TCAACAGAGGGAGCGCAACACCAAAAAACCTATACAATTGTCCCAAAGAGGCAAGCGCAAGGCCTCAGAGGTTGCAGCACCCAGGAAGAAGCAGAATCGTGGTAGTGCAGCTGCCCGTAGTCGTGCTGCTGCCGCGCCTCGCTCCCCATCCCCTCCGGCAAAATACAACAGCCGCGGCCGCCCAATCAGAGTGCCACAAAAGTTTGAGTGAGGAACTTGTTCATATAGGTCTATAGACTACTCCACCAGAAAATCTCATGATAATAACCATTGTGTGTGGCTCTACAGCCTCATTTTTGGTGGACCTATTTTGGTGGTTCGGCGCATTACGCGAATCCGCGCATTACGCGCACGGACACGGTAGTGCCATTTGCGCGGTCTATTGTCGGACACTCTTGTGCGGCAAGCTGTCGGCATGTCACGGCAGCGCATCCGCATCGGCGCCGTTAACTTCCAACCTGCAAGTGCTCAACCCGTTTTTGTAATCATTACCGCCGCCGGATATTGGATCTTAGCAGGAGTTACGAAACTGGATGTTTGCTTTATGACGCTGCACAAAAGAAGACCTCCGGGCACTACGTACTTAAGCTGGGACTTGCACGCTCCATCTTGACCTCCAACCACAGCTGCCGTGAACTTCTCTCAATTCCTCTCACTGACCCCAAACTCTAATCAGTGCCCCAATACCGACGCAATGCCACCCTCCACCGTGCTCTTCATCCCGGGCTCCTTCACCCTCCCCACTGCCTTCGATCCAATCATCACCGCCCTCTCAACCCACAACATCTCAGCCCGCGCCCTCCACCTCCCCAGCATCGGACTGGCACCCAACACCGGTCGATCCGGCCCACCGCCATCGATGTACAGCGACGCCTCCTTCATTGCGGCAGAAGTACAGAAAGAAATCGACCAGGGACGTGATGTTACGCTTATCGCACACTCGTACGGTGGTGTGCCTGCGACTGAGAGTTTGAAAGGGCTGGGCAAGTCAGAGCGGGAGGCGCAAGCTAAGAAGGGGGGTGTGGTAAGGTTGGGATATATCAGTGCGCTGGTGCCGAGGGTGGGTGTGGCGGCGGGTGAAGTGATGGCTGGGGTGCCCGAGGAGAGTAATTTGACGGGGGCGCTGGGTGTGGATGTGAGGATCTCTCTTTCCGCTCTTCGCTGATTAGCTTCACGTGTCGGAACTCGTACTGACCCACCGTCGCAGGAAAACGGATGGCTGTACCCCAACCCACCGTCCAAGTGCGCCGCACTTCTACTCTCAGACCTTCCCCAAAAAGAGGCGGAATCTGCAATGGAAGGACTCGCGCGCCAATCGTCAGTAAGCTTTGGCGGCGCGCTGACGTATCCTGGGTACAAGAATGTTCCGGTATCGTACCTGGTTTGTGAGGACGATCAGGCTGTGCCGGTGGAACTCCAGAGGGAGGAGATCGCGATGGTGGAACAAGAGAGCGGCAAATTGGTTGATGTGAAGACTATCAAGACCGGACATTGTCCGCATATTACTGCACCGGATAAGGTCGTTGAGTGGGTTCTGAGTATCAGCAGTTAGGTCTGCAGGAAGAGATAGACCACCTTGACGTTGTATTATGCATCTCCCATGAACGTGCCATATAAAAAAGTCAAACTCGTTGCGTCGGTGTCCATATAGATTTTGATGGAAATTCAAGTACGATCCAAGCGGAAAATTTACTGAGCGCACGGTGCGTACTTCAATCAATCACCGCATCAATGCGCCAACTAGAACATTTTCGTTTCCAGAAAAGTAGATTCATCCCTCTGAAGCCCTGAAAACCCTCAATCTCTGGGCAAGTCTTGGGATTGGCTAGAATAGCCTGGTTAATGTGTCAATCAAGTATAGATCACCAACAGCGTATCAGAGATTTTTTGAAGGGAAGTGTTGACCCAAAGTCAAGGTGACTCGATGTTTCTGAAATCCACCAATAAACCGACCCGCCAATAGGTGTCAAAATGGTTCAAAAAGGTTTCCCACCAAAATTTCAAATACCCCGTACTATACGCGAAATCGGGTGCTCTTAGCACCGGCCATCCCTACACGCCTCCATCCGGTGAGTAACATCCGTCCGGCTTGCAGTAATGATCCAACTCGACCCTTCCAGTCCCCTTGCACGAACTCCCACTACCCGCACCATCCGATTTGCATTCGTTCTTGATCACCGCAGATCCGTACAGAGTCAGAGTCTCATTGCCGACCGCAATCTTTTGCGTAAGGGTGAGAGTGGTATCTATTTCAGAGTTAGGGACGTTCCTCTTAGCCATATCCCCTTATCCTCCTTTAAGTGAAAGGAAAGATTGGGAATGGTGCGAGAACTTACAGTCCCAAGTGTACGCCAGCCCTGTGTCGCAACGATCTGTCACAGCCGGTGGATTGAAGCCCTGTGGCACAAAGCTGTAATGACATGTCCCGTTGGCAGTCTGCTCGAACTTGGGGTTGTGAAAGCTTGTAGTTAGGTCGCGGATGCTATAGCCGGGCCGCCCGGTTTGGCTCGTGATGGTGGCATCCCAGTAAGATCCTGAGATGTCGACGGAGTAGGATTGGCGGGCGTTGAGGGTAGCGGGTGCTGCGGCAGCGAGGCCTGCAAATGCAAGGGCTGAAAGACGCATGGTGATGGGTTTGAGTATGAGGATGGTCAAGCGTGCGGACTGGACTGGGAGAGACGTCAGAACTGAAAGTGTAAGATGGTGGTAGTATAGTTAGAGAGCAAGTCGGGCTGTACTTATACCATGTCACGGCAGAACATCCAAGGCACCAGGAAGCTATACGAGCTTATGCCAATAAAACTGCATTATAGAGGTCCTGTAGCCTTGCAGAGCTTTCGTATTGCGGCTTAAAAACGGCGCGACCGGGTCCTTTCCATCCTTCGTTCTTGATTAGCATGAATTGAGCGACTTTCTGATTGGTCGCTCAGACGGTCCTGCACCTCCGACCTTCCTAATCTGTCTACCATCACGTGATCTTGTCAAGCAGCCCTGTGGATCAGGCGGGCAGGTCTCGACCGCTTGGTCTGCATTTTCTTCTTTAATTATCTGAAAGTATACATAGACCCGTCCACGACGAGACTTCATGCTTGAAAAATGTTTCCATGGCAGCATTTGTACCCTGATGTAGTGGTACTGGCGCAGTAAACTTGCCAAAATACTCATCATCCACGCTCACGAACAAACTCGTCTCCTTCGAAAGTTACGCTGAAAAATTAATGACAGCACCAAAAAATGTTGCAAAGGCTTGGAATCCGTTGGTTTGCAATTGGAAATTGCAGCCTTGTGCTGATCACATTGAACCATATGTGCTGCTTTTCTTTTGCTCCAGAACGCCCTGCCAGAACGCACCACAACCCACAAACACCTGGTAACTATGCATAACTAGCCCAGCCCATATACAGTACAGCCAAATTATTCTCATCCGTCGCCTGCTGTATAAGCTCATTGACCGTGGCCTTCGTACTCAGCGTCTTACTCAGCTTCTTTTCGACAACGCTGAGCGCTCTGCCTGCCTCACCGGCCTGCTCCTCCTTCTCCCTCTTTTTGAGACTCTCGTGCACCACCTCTGCCTGTTCAACTGCCGACCCAGGGGGTGCTGGTGTGCCGCCTGGAGCAACGCTCTGCCCGCGCGCGGTGTTGGTCGCGTCACCTTCTTGCATACGCTTTGCTTTGGTGGGCGTGACGCTCCAGTTCACGAGTGGATCGTAGCGGAGCACGTTGAGGAGGGTCATGATTGATTCGCGTTCTTCACGGAGGGTGTCCATTGTGAATTCGCAGGAGCGGCGGAACACACCTTCGGTTTTGGTGTAGCCCATCGCGTCGACGAGGTCGCGGGTGAGGCGGAAGGGCACGACCTCTGGGATGGGCAAGACGCGGCCAGCTTCAAAGGAGACGCCGAGATCGATGTGGACCACTTCTCCGGACTTCTCGTCAAGGAGGATGTTGTGACAGTGGCGATCGCCGAGACCGAGGACGTGGCCCAGAATGGAGATGGCGGCTGTCGAGCGCGTGTATGCTAGACGGCGCTCGAACCACTCATCTGGGTCTTCGAAGCGCTCGAGTAGGAAGTAGCGCATAACGGGATGGAAGTTCTCAGTGACCTTTTTCCAGACTTTGACGCGTGTGCTCAGGGAGTCGGATTGACATGCGCCAATCTCTCTCCGGCATCTGTCCGATTTGTAGTCATTGGGGTAATACCTCTCGTGTGCGGGCATCACCCAAGTGTGCAGCGGCAGTGTGTTTGGCACAAACTCCATCAATCCGGAGCGAGTGGACAACGGGAGAACTTTGTAAGTCCGGATGCCAATATTTCGGATGCGCGTAGCTGTGTGGTTTTTCAGCAGTCGAGACACCTGATCGAACACTTGCTCCATGATTGCATCTTGACGGAGGTCATCGTTACCAGATTTGAACTGTACAGAGTCAATGAACGTGTTCCAATCATTACAAAAGTACATACCAGTTGCTTGTAAGGCTTGCCATCAGTACCAACGGCCGTGATGATCTTTGGCGCACTGAGACCGTTTGCAATGCTCATGGTAGACTTGAACCTTTGAATCCTTGGCAAGTCTGTGTAATCCATGTTCGGCCGCACTTCGACCTGCAGTGTAGCTGGTGGGACGTTGAGCTTTGGGATAGTGCTGACCAGCTCCTTCGATTCCTTGTAGCGATCAAGCGGTAGCTCACGACCTTGTTGTGTACTCTCTTTCTCGCTTTTGAACATGGCAAGGTTGTGGTAGATCTCGTTGGATTGATAGATCGAGCTCCAGTACGATCTCGATCGCTTGTCGTTCCTGAGCGCGTTGGCTAACTCGATGGCAGCCTTTTGACGAGACCTTGCAGATTCGTCTTTGGAGCGCGCCACATCCTCCCTTGTAATGGGCCCCACCTTCATCTGTATTGCAAAAATCTGATGCATGCCGTGGTAGGGGTGCTCTATACAGATGCGGTAGACCAAACCCAGCAGAAGCTTCTGGAACGGTGTACTCTCATTCTGCAATCGAGACGATAGTTGGTTCATGAGTAGAGCGAACTTGCCGCTAGGGACCTTGCTCAGATACAGTTTGACGGCTTCGTTCGCAAGATCTGTATCAGCATACTCTATCCAGAGGGCGAAGACGCGAAGAGCGTCATTGTTGTACTCATCGCTTGCGGCTAAGGAAAGCAAATAGTTCTCCAGACACTGACGCAAGAACTGCTCGCGGCCCTTTCGCATGCGTTCGTACTCGGTATTGTCAAGGTCATACCAAGTCTTGGCTCGACGCGCACTGCGCTGGTATGTCTCCCGCATGCTTTTGCTCTTGTCGGTCTTGGCAAGCTTTATGAAGTCGTGGTACTCTTGCAGTTTCCGATCCATTACAGTCTTGATGCGTTCCAAGTCTTCGGCGGCCTCTGGACTTTGCAGCTGTTTGTCGCAGAACAAGGCAAACTCGTGAAACACTTGTCCCGGGCCGGCTCCTTGCTCTTGGCCTTTCAGTTCTCGGATTGCAGGTTCGAGGTATTCTTGCATGATTGCATCAGGCTTTGCGAGTCGGGCTTCGGCGAGATGATGTCCCTGGTCAAGTCAGTATACAGTCTTTGCTTCAGATAACTGAGTACGTACCAGTCTCGCAAGTAGCACAGGCAGGCTCAAGTCCACGTTCTGTGAATCGAAGCTGGCATGGTTGATGAGGTTTTGCCGCATACGTATGGAGGTGTCGGTTTCGCCTAGTTCCCAAAGCACGTTTGCGACCTCATGTTGGGCTACGGCCTCGATGTCTAGTCCTGCACTCTTGCACTTGGGTACAATGTCTGACAAGTAGGTCACGCTGGCCAACGACTCTTGAATGGCGCCGTGTCGCCTGCTGATAGAAGAAGAGGAAACCAGCGCCTCCACTTCCATGTTGCGTATGGTCGCAGTGCGGGTATGCAAGGATTCAATCATGGCATTGTTCGTGCTGAGCACATTGTACAATGTTTCGCGGCAAGACAATAATTGGCGAACGTCAGTAAATCTGTATCCTTGGTCAGTATCACGTGATGCACGTGTACGATATGTACTTACTCTCCGGCTCGCATCCACCTTTCACGAGCCTTCATGCGGTCCCAGACGTCAAGCAGGTACTCCGGATTGTCGGCTCTGAGCACTTCGTCCGCTTCTGTCAGAGCCGCCAAGGTTCGAAGACGGGTTTTCGTTGGTATGGAAGAGCTGTCTCTACCAGTCAGGAAGTTCATTGTAGCAAGCATCTGTTGGTCGAAGTTCTCTTGAGCTTGTTGAGGCGTTTTAGCCATATGGAGACCTTGGAATGCCTTGAAGAGTGTGGCAGATTCGGTGTGGTTCGTCTCAGGTGCTTTGATGTCCCACTGACCCAATTTGCGAGCGGTATGAAGCGTGCTCTCTACAGCATCGTCTCCTTTGTCCCGGAACTGGTCATTCGAAAGAAGCGAGTGAGTGACGCTGTTCATATTGAGCATGATGAGCGACTTGACTGTACCACGGGTGTCAGAAAGTTCGAGCTCATTCTGACGACGCATTTGGCTGTCGAGTCGAGCACCTCGAAAGATAAGACTTTTGACACCATCTGCCTCGTAGTCTAGACGGTCCAACACAGCTGAAAGACCTGAGCCTCTATCGATACCATAGAATGAATCAGGTTCATCCAGGTTTTTATAGATCGCGAGCTGCAGGTCTGTTGGTAGCTTTGGCGGCGGGATCAGAACCGAGGATCTTCTGGAGGCGCTCTTAACTACAGGCTGGCCTGAGGACGTTTCTGCGAACAGTAACGCACTTCTGTACATAGCGCAAGCTGTCGCAGCCCGCGATGCCTCGAGATAGTCGATCTCCAGCCATCTGTCTCGATCGACCCTGGTGACTTCCTTTGGCACTGGTTGACTGCGGAGGTACAGAATGGCCTGGATAAGGATGCGCACATAGCGTGCGTTCTTGGAATTACAATCGCGGAACCAAGCCATGGTGGCCGTTGAGACGGCTTCTCGAACGCTGCGCTCCTCATCGTACTCGGCCAGTAGCACAAGGTGAAGAATGTAAGGGAATACTCTTTCTGCCATATGATCGATACCGTGGAGAAGAGCCGGCAAGGCCCCCAGAATCGGATCCTCAGACGCTACCGCACAAAGCGCCACTGCGAGATCTCTGACCCAGACAGCCACGGTTTTGTCTTCTGTCGGGGCGGCTGCAAACTTTGGTGCTTCACTGGATGCAATGAGCGCAGAGACAGATGGGTCTGGAATGTATAGTACAAGCGCCTTGCCTATGGCATCCGGGATCGCATTGTAGATTTCGGCCTCGTATTGTCGATCTCCTTTTGGCAAGCGGGCAATCAGGTATCTGACAGCACTCTCGGCCAAACTGACCTCATTGCGCTCGTCGCTGTAGAAGAGATCGACCACTTCTCTGATGATGGTTTCTCGTGAGGTTTTCCCGAGAGGATCTTTCGATGATTGACCGGATGCTATCAGACGCCGAGATGCAGGTACACTCTGTTTGATCTCACCATGCGTGCTGAATGCTCGTCCCAAGACTCGTGCAGCCCAAAGCAGGTACCCTTCACCAACATTGGGCCTGCGACACGACTCCCAAACAAGCCCAGCATATTCAGCAGCATCTTGATCCTTGCCGAGAACGTCTTCTCGAGCTGTTGCGGCAAGCTGAAAGTCCTGGCAGAGCAGGTTCAACGCAACTTCGCGAGATGTTTTGTTGAGTAGCTTGCGACCGGACCTTACGTCATTCAGTATCTCCACAAGTAGCGTGCTTTCTTCACTGCCACGAACGGAATTGCCTTCCGCACGCACTCGCGACGCAGCAGTAGTGATGGACTTGAAAGCTCTGACTGAGGACGGTCTTTCGCTCAAAGATATGGCTTCGGCTTGGGACTTCAAGTATTCTGTGAGCCACGTATGGAACCTGTTCGCCGTAGTCATCGTCGCAATGTGTTGCGACTGCTGCGTGGTGCTGTCCTGCGTGGTGCCTAAGAAGACTCGGATGGAGATAAGGATCGAAAGGCCGATACCGGTCACGAAGTTCAAGTGCTGTCTGAGATATGGAGTGCCGCGTTCAAACAGATGTTGCATGATGCCCACTGTGTCTTCTGCACATTGTATGTCGGTCAGGAATGGACGTAAAGACTGCAGCGTCATTTGCAGTGGGTAGCCCTCGTAAGCAACGGGACCGGCAAGGGCAATAACGATCCTGATCTTGCGAATCATGGATCTGGCATACAACGAACCGAGTGCGGGATGTATACGGTCCAACAAAGCGCGCATCACGTAGGTGAACGTACTTGGCTGCCAAAAGCCAACAGGGTCGTCGCCCGTCCGTCGGCATAGCCGTTCGAGCTGATCTGGTAGGTAGAAAGCGTTGAACGACGGCTCAATACCGGTGTTAATATCCTGTGCCGCATGGCTGATGTTGAGCATCTCAGTCAAGGTTTTGGCGGCCGGTGTGAAGGCAGGCTTCTTCTCCAATGACTTTCCAATGCGCTCCTCTTGGTCGACTGTCTGCAAAATGCAGCCAAGCACCTGTGGAAACTGCTTCTGGACAAGATTGAAGTACTTGTCGTTGCCCATGAGATCCTTGAGTAAGTTGGCGTAGCTCGGCTCTGCTTTGTTGCGCGCAAATCCTCTGCAGATGTCCCATGAAATGGTATAAGCTGCTGCCTTGCCAATATTTTTGCAGAGCAAGTCGGTCGTAGAGGTGTCCAGCTGTTTTGCGAGGTAGTCTACCTCTCCTCTCCTTCCGAACATTATCGCCTGACCGACTGCTTCCGCTTCAACATCTCGGATGAGATCTACCAGGGTCGTGTAGCCAAAAGTCAGAAACGGTATGGATGCGAATTTGTTGCCCCGATCCAACCAGGTGAATAAGATTTGTGGAGCAAACAGCTGAAAGAGTTGCTGTGAGCTTACGATGTCTCTGGACTCTGCTACCTGCGATATGCAGCGTTGAGCGTGCCGAGCGGCTTGTTTGACAGATCCTGCAGTTGCGAAGATACGATATACGCTCGAGCGTAGCAGGGTATGCCATCTTGATGCCAGCTTGGATAAGACAAGTAGTCGAAGGGCAATTCCCTCTAGGCCGTCGTCTTCGCCCGGGAGGCTGCTGTCAACGTCATGTAGGATTTTGTCGTGCTCAGAAAGCACAAAGTCTTCAAACATCGATGGTAAGCGTTCAGCGATGTGATACTTCACAGTGATCTCGCTCTCGGAGAGGAGTTCGAAAAGACTGGTTCGCACGGAGGGCACTTTGGGATTTTGTCCAAAGTTCGGGTGGTGCTTGAGTAGACCATGCAGGAAGACGGCGATGGTCTCTTGCAGGTTGGCAGATCGTCTGACCCCGTTCTTCTCCAAGCCCTTGACGTAGTAGGCATACATGGCCTCAATGTTTTCGTAAAGGATCTTGGCTTCGGGATCCTTCTTGTCTGGTCCCCAAACAAGAGCAGTACCAATGAGAAACTCTACCAGCATACCGTTAGCAACCTCGGAGGTATTATACTCGCGTGCACGAGGAGCTGCTAGGGCATCACTGAGTCGTTCCAGTAGGTTCAAGCAATCGGTCCGCGAAAGTCGAAGGCCGCTGTGTAGAAGAGAGCGAATGAATTGGCGGGAGTGCAGCAACTCGTTCTCGCTCAGAGATATCAGATAATCCACAAAACTCGAGGGAATCTGGTCGACGTTTTGATCGCTGCCTTCCGTGACTGCGGCGATGAGATGGAGGTACGAGAAGCTGGATGCGCGTAAAGCAGCGATATCAGTCTCGGCTTGTTCGGTGTGTCGCGGCACATCGCTTTCGATGCTTGCCATATTTGAGGTCATTTGGGAATCGTCTCCATCGTCAACGTCCATGAAGTCGTCGTCTTCAGCGTAGAAGGACTGCTTGGCCTCAATGCGATCTCCCAGAGCCTTGGAAAGATGGCGAGACAAGATACTGACGCCTGTTTGTCTGAAAACGTTGGTACTGAGCTTGTCGTAGACACTCAAATCTGGGAGGCTCTTGGTGCATGTTTCAAGTACGGCGTCAATCTTGTACTGCTCGATCTGTGGCTTCGATAACGTGCTGATGAATGCGTACACGAGCTTGTCGGTGGATGACTCCAGAGCGATCACCCGGCGGTCTTGAGGGTCGCTGAGACTGGCGACTGCTGGCGCGATGATGCAGAGATTGGTGACGATGCGCATCATATCTGACGAGATGGTCTGGATGTTCGTCTGAGAGGCCTCCTTCCACCGCTCTCTTGCTCTATCCACTTCCGATAGGCAGTACTCAAGAACTCTGATTTCCATATTCGTTGGCTGATGTTCGGCGACTGATACATGTGAAAGACTGGGCCGTGTGGGCGTTTGCGTGAGGTACGTCTCATCGTTTTCGAGCAAAAGAAGATACCGCGCAAGTGCCTGATAACGAGCATTCCATAACCTGGCCTGGGATATGGGTCCAAGAACTAGAAAAGGTGATGGCTCCGGGAGGTTAGGTGGCACATCCAAACAAGCGTACAATATCTGCAGAACGTCTCGGGCGTTACAATGATGCGCGTTAGTGGCAGCGTACGTTCGCTCGGACCAAAGACCTACCCAGGTCAGTCCACTGTTCACATGGGCGGGAAAGATACGTACTGGGCGTCCACTTGCTAAGAAGCCAGCTCATTATCCTCTCAGCGGTCTGGTTGAAATGAGTTGGATTCTCCTTCAAACGCTCCCGCATAATAGTGGTCAGCAAAGACGAGCTTGACTCTGTGAGTAGTGACGGGCCTGTCAGTTCGATGGAGAGGAGCATGGATTGAATGGTATCTGAAACAGCAGTAAAGGGCACAATTCCGAGCTTCAGCAGAACGTCCATCAATTGACATGCAGCGCGAGATAATGAGGGAGATGTTACGGCCCGAGATGCACTCTGCCATACGGACACCCAGGTGGGCAAAAGCGTGGGACGCTTTGCAGATTCTTGGAATGCGGCACTGAGTGCGTCAGCAAAGAAGACAAGAAAGTTTGACAGATGCCACCTACGCAGCCAAAGCGACCATTGACCAGACGGAGTGTGCAACATTTTCGTCGGACATGCAAGAGGTAAGCCTATCCATCAACGACAGAAGGTTGTCTTCATCAACAGGACCCTCCTGAACTGAAAAGGCGACAATTTGCAGCGCAGCTCGTTTGGCATTGGAGCGCGGCTCCGCGAGGTGTCGAGTGTACTCATCGAACAAGAGATCGATGCGGACGCGTTTGGAAGCGCTCTCACCGTCGGCTTCGCGATCGTGCATAGTCTTTCGTTTCCTCTTGTCGAGCATCGACGAGAATCGTGCGATAGCGTGGACAGTCGCCCAGAGGCCTTCAGACTTGAGGTGTTCGGTCTCCATGGAGAATGCCAGAGTGTTCAGTGGATGAGTGTCTGCGTCCGCTGCGCCAAGATGGCGGAAGCAGAGGTGATCTTCTTCAAGATACTGGTGCATGGTGGTTTCTTTCCTTGTCCGGTAGTCTGCATACATCGTTTCTAGCACTGCTTCGAGATCGACACACGTAGTCGTATCTTCTAAGTCGGCCACGAGACTCGAGATGTGAGCTTCAGTGTATGTCAACGTGATTAGTATTTCGTCTCGAAGTAGCTGCTCGGACCACATGGGCTTCATTAGGGGCAGCAACTCTGTGATGATGCGCTTTGACAGGTCGAGTGATTGCAAGGCTGTGCGAGCAAGGATCGCGTTGATGCCAGCCAGGGCAGCTGCGGCGACACTGCCACGCCCAGTCCTTCGTTTCAGGAAGTACAAGAGCGCCGTCATGATTGCTTCAGCTTTAGCGAGCACTGGAGCATTGGTCGCTTTGACGAGAGCAAGCAGACAGTGAATGAAGTCTTCAGTAGAGTGAGAGAATTCGTCAGCTACCGATCTAGTTCTTGCTACAGGCTCGCGAGGGCTGCCTCTTGCGATCGACGCATCAGTGGACTCGAGGGGCGTGCGGCCACGGCCCGAGACACTCGTGCTCCAGCTGTTGGCCGCTTCGACCTCAGCCTCCAACGATGTGCCAGCCAGGGAGTCGATGCAGAAGGCAACGGCGGCATCCCAGCAGTCCTGAGAGAGGCGCTCAACATGCGGCTGGTACTCTAGCAGCAAGCGCAACGTCTTTGGAATGTCTTGGAGCAATGGTTTCACAAGCGGCCCATCACTGCTCGACAGCACTTCGACAATGGTGTCTACGATGACCTCGACCGTCGAGCTCTTGATTGTGCGTACGCCCGCGGCTATGACCAGCCGCAGCGCTGTTGCTGAAAGCACGAGATTTGTCTTGGCCTTGGACGTGGTGGCCTTGCTGCGAAGAAAGGCCGAGCGCTCGTCTCTGAGGCATTGGAACAGCGTCTCGCACAGTGCCAGATAGGCCTTGTTTGCAAGTGCCTCCAGGCTAGGCTTGCCGCGGTTGTGCCTGAGGATGTGGATGAGGTTCTTCAGGCCGTCGGTGCGGTCTTTGACTTTGGAAGATTGGACGAGGACTGCAGCGGTGAGTACGGCTGCGCGAGCGAGGGGTGCCGGTCACTCACTCTTCGCGTCCTGGATGCTGGTGGCGCCCATCTTGGCCGCTCACAGTTCCGCGCCGTTCGACAGAGGATCCGATGGACGGCGGGCATTCATTGCCAGAAGGGCGGGAGCGAGGGGGCCGGCTTTTCAGCGGCCGGACATGGTTCCTCAAAGCTCCGCGACCGCAAAACACGCCTGGGAGCCCCGCACTTGAGCGCTGGTGGTGTTGGCGGCGCTGGTGGTGCGGAGTGGTGACGGGGGTGCTGGCCGCGATGGTCGCCGCCAAGAGGGAGGTCGCGTCCAAGCTCGAGCTGCGTGCGGCGAAAGTTCGAGCTGGGTCGTGCAAGGAAAACACCGCCCAAACACGCGCTCGCCCGCCCAGTCGCCCGTCCAGTCGCCCGCCCAACCGCCCGCCCAATCCGCCGGCGCACGATGCGCAGTGCCTCTCCGCGACTCTCCCATGGCTGAAGAAGACAGCCTCGCCGCCCTCCAGGGCCTGCACCGCGACTTGTGCGCCCACATCGATCTCCAGCTGCCCGTGCTGGAGCGGCTGGTGCTGAACCTGGAGGCACATCTGGAGGAGTTCAAGACGCTGCTGGACAAGAAGCCCAAGGACGATGCGAGCAGGCGGCTGCTGTCAGGCGGCAAAATCACCATTGACGACAACGAATACGAGGTCAACGACGACTTCAAGCAGCAAACCCTCGAGCTGGCCGATGCCCTGGACCTGGACGAAGTCGATGCTGCGGCCCTCTTCATGGCCGCTGCAGGCGAAGCCAAAGAGCTGGACCGGTCGCAGCTGCAGACCGCCGTCATACGCTTCCACCGTCGCCGCGAGTACATCCTGCTCTGTCTGCGCATCCTCATGAAGACTGCCTGGGACAACGGAGATGGTGGCGGGACAGAGGTCGAGGGTCTGCCGACGCTGCAGAGGGCCGTGCAGATAATCCTGGGCGTGGACGGCGCAGTGAACCCGGTCAATGCATATGGCTACTGGAACAGGTGCTTGGCTGCCATGGCCTCGGTCGAGAAGTGGCTGCAGCAGATCTCGGAACGCGTTCAGAGCACGCAAGTGGTCGGACAAGTGCCGCTGCCTGGTTTTGTCGAGATCATGGACTTCCAGCGCCAGAGCTTGACCAGACAGCACGAGAACCTAGCTGCCATCTGCACGCACATGATCAAGGCGGGCTATGTCAATCTCGACAACTACAAGGCGTTGCTGGCCAAAGCAAAGACGCTCGACCGACACGACGTCATCACGATACACTACGTGCCCGTGATCATTCGGTTGACGGGCTGGACTGCAACTGAGAGCAACGTTCTGCTGAAAGACGCGCGGGCGCTCCACAACTCAATGCTGGCTGAACGGGATGGCCATAGCTGGGCGTTGAGGAACCTGCATGCGGCAACGTTGGCTTGGTGGCTGGCAGAGTACAGCGGCCGCTACGTGGATCCCAACGACCAAGACCCAGCTTTGCGAGGCGTGGATCTGAAGGCCGAGGCCGAGGCGCGCTCGGAACAGTTCGTCAGGGCGCTCAACGACGGAGCCTTCCACTTCATGCTGTCCGTCAGTCAGGATGTGCGGCCAACAAGGTGGTACGATCCGCAAAAGACGAGCATGTTGTCGACGCTGCTGCAAGATACCGCCGTGCTCAGCTCCGAGACTGCGCAACCCGAGGAATTCTTCAAGGTTCTCGTCATGGAGCAGCTGCAGACTTTCGCCGACTCATTCATCACACACATGCCAGACACGCTGCGCAAACTGAAAGTCGAGGAGGACGACCAGCGAAGAAGGCTACAACTGCAGTTCCAGCGATCGACCGGAGAGTACCCCTTGCATCTTGAGAGGTTCATGGTCATCGTGGCATACGCCTTTGATGGATCTCCAGATGCAGCAGGTGACTTCTGGAATGACAAGGAAAGCAATCTCTATGGGTTCCTGCAGTGGGCAGCCAAGCGACAGCCGACCCCTCGCATTGCCATGTTCTGCGAAATGCTACGGGCCATCTCTACCGACCAGGAGAACGCAGACTCGGCACACAAGTTTCTGCTGGAAGAGGGCGCGTCGTCGACTGGGAAGATCCGGCGCACGAGCTCACTGAGCTACACGCACATCTTCAATGAGCTGGTAGAGTTCGACCGAGATATGCACGAACCAAAGAAAGCCATCCAAATCGGCATCTTCACACAATCACAATCACCGGCCGACCAGATCGTCGAGCCCGAGAGTGCCACCATGCTGGAGAGCTATCTGCGACTTCTCGCGCATCTGTGCAGACACAGTTTTGCTGCACGCCAATGGATCCTCGACTTGAAGGAGTACAACTACCTGGGCATCTGCTTTGGCTTGTGCACAGACAAAGTCGAGAGCGGGCTTCGGGCGGCAGCGTACGATGCGTTGTCAGCCTTGCTGGTAGGCAAGGATGTCAACCGTGCAAGTATCATCTGGAACGCACTGGACGACTGGACAGTCGGTGGCTTCCATGTCGCCTCAAAACCAGGCAGTGCCTTGATCTCAGCACCACGAGAGGAGTTTTGGGCTACCTTGGCGGACGGGTATGACGAATCAATTGCTTTCGTGCGACTGCTCCACAGCCTTGTCGAGCCTTACCCGGAGAGCCAAGGTCTCAACGACGGCCTACCGTTCCCTGAAACCATTGGCTCCTCGCGCCGGATGCCAGGCGTCGAGAGCTACATCGACTTTGTCATGCAGCAAGTATTCGCAGAGCGTTCGCAGGAAGTTCTTGATCCTCTGCAGCGTAATGTCATGAGGTGGACATGTCTGCGTTTCATTGTAACGTGTCTGTCGACGTTCAATGAGAACCTTGTCGTCTTTGCCAACAAGTCCAGTATACCGGTCGATGCTGTCATCGACTCCTCTTCGCTTGCCGCCTACGTTGCCATGCATCCTTTCACTCGTGTTATGGAATGGCTTTTCAACGACAAAGTCATCAAAGCCCTGTTTGCAGCTTCGCATCACGACGTCAGCGAAGTCGATGCCGCTCCGTCAGACTCTCCTCTAGTTCAGACACTTATGCTGAGCATTGAGGTCATGGATCAGGTCATGAAGCTGCAGGCCACCTACCTTGACATCGTTAGGCCTGCACTGAAGCAGCAACCGCTCATGCAAGGATCTCCGGTTGCCAACCTTTCGCTGGCGTCCTTTGAAGATGCAATTCTGAACAACCTTCAGATTGTTGTTGACCTGGGACTGTACTGTGGTACCGGCCATGAAGCTTTGACTATTGCTTCTCTTCAACTTTTGCAGAAGCTGGCGTCTTCGAGGAAGCTTGCCGTATCACCTGCTGGGTTTGGACAACGATCTGGCCGCAGCAAGATCGTCGGCATCCTGGAACGAGACAACGAAGCAGAGCGAATTGGTCGATCCTTGCATGGCTTGATGCAGTTCAGCGCTGAAGAGCTCGAGGCTGGTGAGGAAGCGTCAGGATACATTGTGAAGCTTCGTGTGCTCGAGTTCCTCAACAGCTGTCTAGCAGCGGTGTCTACCAGACCTACGATCGCCCATATCCTGCTGGGTTTCTCGTGTGAAAGCAGCACTGTTCGCATCGCTGAGGACAGCCTGTGGTCAAACGGACAGGCACTCTTTCATGCAATCCTTCTTCTAGGCGTCCAGTATCCCGACAACGACGGAGAACAGTTCCTGGCCTGGAGATCCGAGCTTAAGACACGGTGCTGGGACGTCCTTCAAAAGTTATGGCGCTCGCCACTGACCAGCGCCATCGTCATGGAAGAGCTACGAGATAACGAATTGTTGTTCATCGAGGCTCCCCGCCTCGCCCCGATCAACGTTGATGTTCCCTGGGAAGGCTTGTCTCTCGCGCAGGGCCTGGAGCTGCTCGCTACAGGCGACTACTCTGAATTCTTTTCCGGTCCTCCTGCACTTGCCTTGCAAAACTTCCTCCAGCGACGAGCGGCTTTCCTGGACTATGAATCACGAGAACTTCGTTTGACCATCAAAGAGGATATGCCTACAATGAAGTCAAGGATCCAGTCGTTGCTCCTCGGTACCACCATCCGACCTGGCGAAGACCCGGTGCCTAACCCTAACATCTTCGACCTGTTTGACTTCATTGAGTTCGTGTACCCCGAGCGCGCCCTGCCGGATCAACATCGTTTCTTCGTAGGCGTCAACCTTGCTTCATGCCAAGAAGAGAAAGATGGTAGCCTTCTGTACTCACTGCCCTTACTTCAGCAAGTCATTCTGCTGAAGTTGAAGTTCTGGCGGAAAGACGGCCTTATCGCCGATGAGGTTCAAGAAGCAGAGCTAGCTCAAGAGGCGGAGTTGTTGTTGGCCGTGTTCGCTGACTGGAACCGCCGAGCTCAGTTGACCCGTTATCACAAGGATATTCTTCAGTCTTGGGTGCAAGTACTGATGGTTACTGTGCACAGCTGCGAGTTTGAAGATGGAGCAAGAGCTTCATTCATCCTTCAAACAGTGCAGGTCATCCTTCCGAAGCTGGAGCAGTCGTTCAATGCCGACGTCTTCACGGCCCTTCAACTTGCTGGCCTGGCTGAAGCACTCATTCAAAAGGTTGACTTCGCCTCGACAGCTTTTGATAAGACAGGCGACTTCTCGAACGACCGTCTAAGCCAGCTGTTCCGTGCTGCACTTACAGGGGTCTACAGCCCAGTATCCACCCCCGAGCTTCGAGAGTACTGCTACCAGATCTGTTTCCGCTACATCAACGGCACGTTCGAAAAAGCAACACCCAACTCCCCACTCGGTCGGCACACACTCAACGCCATCAAGAACGGCGGTAGCCACCTACTCGAGATCATCTGCGACGATGCATACGGTGGCCAAGGCACATGCAAAGTCTCAGCTCTCCTGCTACTAAACGCTCTCGTTGCCGTAGCCACCCGCCAGCAGTCAAAGTACATCCTGGAAACCTTCGTCTCACTCAACTTCATTGGCGTTCTCGTCGACAACATCAAACACATCCCCGAAGAACTCCGCGCCGCCGCCGCACCCCACGTGCCCAGCCTACTATCCTACTACGACGCCAGTCTCGCGCTGCTGCTACGCATAAGCCAGTCTCGCCTCGGCGCCGCATACGTGCTCAACGCAGGTCTCTTCCCCGCGATCCGCGACTCGCAGATCTTCGCTGTCGACCCAGACATCGGACTCGAATTCGACAACCCCAACGCGCTAAAGAAGTACTACGAACTCATACTCTCCGTGCTAAGGGTCATCAGCGCCGCAGTCATTGCTCGGGGGCGACAGAACGATCAGACGGTGTTCCAGGCCCGCGAGTTTTTGAAGGAGAATAGGCATAGTATAGTTGCAATTTTCAAGAGGAGTGTGCATGTCGGGGGTGGTGAGAAGGTGGAACAGCAGCAGGACTTGGTGGATTTGGTGGATTGTTGGACGGTTTTGGTTGATGTTACGGGGTTTTTGCAGGTAAGTCGATGTTTGTCTGATGATGTGTTGGAGGGTGTGTGCTAACAAGAGGCAGTATGAGGATTCGTCGACGCTGAAGAAGGCGCGAAACAACATGTTTTCATAGAACGAGCGATGTCAGCATGCGTCAGCGGTCGTACATTTAGAGACGAAATACAATTCAAAAGCACTGAAAGTCATTCTCTTAGGTTTCCAATGTCCGCGTACCTATCAATTCTTCCCAGTCACTACACACATAAGGAGAGGTGCCATTTCGAAGAAAGCTGTGCAGGGGTCCGTCGAAGAGAAGGGCGGGTTTAACGAAGAAATCGCGCTGTTGACGCTGTGCCGTACCAAGTGATTAGTGTGTCCCCACCAGGTATTTCCGTTGGAAGTTAGACTGTGTTGTTGCTGCATCGGCCGTGGAGTTTCACGATAACAAGCACTCCAAGATAGCTCGGTACAGAGAAGCGTCTGCTGTCTCACGTCTCCGTACGTGGACCATATGGGACAGCCTACTACTGTCGTTTTGTTAAGCTCATATCCCCACCGAGCACTCACCATAATGCTTTGTCAAGCGTGTTTGAATATCAGCTTGGAAGTTGGCCCAGATCGCAACAGCCGTCGATTCCTGAAATACGAACATTATGAGACCGTCAGCCTCCTCCGAGTGTCGGCGAAAAACTGCCATTTTTGCTGCTTCCTAGTCTATGGGATCTTTCGATTCAAAAGGAACAAGTATGGAGAAGACAAGGTGCTCGATGCTTCTGGGCCTGTGACTTCAGAGTTCCACTTTTCAGACCGACCCAGCGAAGGCAGATTACCGTTCACAATCACGTTTCTGAGCCTCGATTGCGGCACTCAGTCATGGGGCGCGATGCTTGAAGTTGTCGACAAAGAGCTCTACGGTAAGCGGAATCGATGACTGGCCGCATCGAATTTTGTTCTGACCTTGACACAGATATACCAGAAAGACTCGACCGACCTAGCTCAAGAGTGCAATGATCGTCTATTGTCTACACGCAATATCGATGTTGTAAGACAGTGGATCACTGACTGCTCAAAGTCACATACTTCTTGCAGCTCTGCAGGAATCTTGCCTCTTTGGATCATCAAGATCACAAGTTCCCCCAACGGCATATCGGCCCGGCTTGTGAGTGGGCAAAGCCAAACAGCTCATTATGCACCACTGAGTTACAGATGGGGTCTTGTCGATGGATACGTGATGAGTTCAGCCAACAAACATCGACTGCAAGAGCGGAAACCTTTACAGGACCTCCCACGGACGTTCGCGGATGCTATTGAAGTGGCTCACAGCTTGGGCTATTCTTTCCTATGGATAGATGCCATATGCATAACACAAGACTCTAAAGCAGAGGTCCTGCAGCAGATCGGTATAATGCACCAAATCTTCAGGGGCTCTAATGTCACTCTGTTTGCTGGAGCAGGAGAGGACGCTGGTCGGGGATTTGACTTGGAAAGAAGGGCAATTGCCGTACTTCCTTTTAGGCTTACCGTCTACGTCAAGGTCGATCCCGTAGCCATGAACGTGGAAATTACACTTGCGAATGATTGGTGGACTGAAGATCTTGCGCACGACAAATTGCCACTATTCCAGCGTGGATAGGTCTTGCAGGAAGAATTGCTCTCTCGCCGAGCAGTTACATTCACTGACTCCCAAATTTAATGGAGGTGCTTACACGAGGGACTATCAGAGCGCTTTCCATTTCGCCGCAAGATCCCATCTGGCTCTCGTCGGCACCCATCAGGAACTGCGGGTGATATATTATGGGAGGCCCGCCGTTGGGTGTACGCCGTTAATGCAGTCACGAATTAATACGACTCCCCACCCATTGATACCTTCTACGACATCATCAAGGCATACTGTGCTCGTCAATTAACGTTTACCACTGATGTTCTGCCCGCAGTTTCCGGCTTGATCTCCGTGTACTCAGTACGCCTCAACATACGCTTTTTCCATGGGACCTACCCTAAGGATACCAGAGGGTTCTTGTGGTACGTCCACGGCAGCCCACTCGTCGATGACCCTATGATGGACCGTCCGACGTGGTCATGGATCTCTGGATTCGGCAACAAAATCCATATCGAGCCCAGACCAGACAACAAAGCCATTTTTCCTTCACAAATCATGAAGGTCAGCGCGTGTCCATGTACATACAAGTCATGCAATAAGATCACGGTGATATCCTGAACGCGATGGGGCAATCTCACATGGGATCAGCAATCCTACGGTATCCATCCCTTGGGTCACTGGAGTGAATACTCCATCAAATTCTATCCAGACTTCCAGGACGACTCAGTAGATCTAGTGAAATCTCGCCGTGTTCTTTGCATTCTTGTTGCTCCACTGCCGCGTTTCCCTAACCGCAAGGCATACGCATGTATAATCGTTGTGCCTTATCCAGGTATACCAGATTGCTTCAAAAGGATTGGTTTCGGTATCCAGGTGGCCGGAAGGGGCCATCCTTGCTTCTTTGGAGATAGCGAGAAAGTGACGCAGTTGTGGAGTCGCAGCGGAGCACTGATGGTTCAGAGTACACTATACAAAACCTGGTCTGATGAGACATAGCTATCGATACTAAGATACGTAACTCCGAACAAGACGGCAGACTCCCATACTAGAGTCAATTTCTATGAACGGCTTCATGCAGTCTTTTCTAGTGTATCTAACTGTCGGTTGAGGCCTTGGTCATGCTTGATGCGGCCTGCTTGTTGACACTACCGACAGCTGGGAGTGGTCCGCACATTTTGCTAACCACCGATAAGATGACTCTTTACCCGAACTTTGAGGAAGAAAACGTAGGTTTACTCATGCCCAGTGGTCGCGTGCTCTGTATCTACGCTGCACGTAAGACTCTGATATGGTATTACACATTTGCAAGGCCCCATGCAGATATTCCAGATTGTTTTGCCAGGATATCATTCGGTAGAGAGTGGCTTAAGGAGGACACATTGAGCTTTGTCTGAGACATGCCAGAGATAATCGCAGTTGCTACGCCTGAGGGCAGATCTGATGGCCCAGAGTACACGATTCAGACTCTAGTATGATGCATAGAAGCTAGTGGTTCAGTCTCGTGGTGTCGAGTCAACTAATCTATGCGCACAAAGCACATCCACAAGAGATAAGTAAAGGGCAATCCGCTTACATGTTATCAAAATTCGACACACTCTTCTTCAGCGCTCGACTTCAAGATCGAAATCAACGGTATAGGCCAAAGCTTTGAGTGATACCTAATCAGCGTAGCCACAAGACAATGTTAACATTGCAGGGGAGGATTACCGGATGAGTATAGATAACGAGAGCAGGCTCTTACCTGCTTTTTTTCACATTCGCATCATCTTCGTTCCTTCTTCAATCTGATCTCATCACCACACTGCGTCCCCAAGTCCATCCTAACCTTCGTGTGCCGTCGCTATGTATATTCCAACTATCATCGACTTCTCGACTGAGCTCAATAGTATCCACATCTGATGATACGTATCGCTCAGGTCCACGACACAACGATTGGACATTACATGGCTCGTACTTGCAAGGCTGAAAGTGACAAGAGCATCGCAGTAGAGCATCTCGTCTGAATAGAATTCAAATCTCTCGAGATCGTGTGCGCGGCAGTGTCAACCACTACTGCTTGGTGCTCAATACAATTTGAGGCGGTGCAATGTTGTGAGTGCATTCTGACAGGCATGACGCAGCAGTCGCACATGGTTGGCATCCACTACAACCGGTGAATCCATACCAACAACGCTACTTGACCGGTCTTCACAATATCAGTAGATGCGGTAAGTGGAAAGCGGGGATGACGAAGCACATATTGCCTAGCTCTACGTTGGTGATGAAACTTGCGATACTGGCAGTGTGGCTGTGCAGAGGTTGACCATATCCCTCCTGCGATGACGCAAACTAATTTTCCTGCACTTGGGCCCCCTTTGACGGAGAGAGATATTTCAGCTTTTGGGAGATTTGAGGCGTGTACCATAGGAGGTGCAGAAGAGATGCACACGCACGAGCGATTGCCGAAAGTGGAAAGCACAGTATATAGCAAGTCACGTGATGTGTGGCAACGGAGTCGCCGTGATGAGCGGACCCTCGAGCTGACGACTAAGGGTAGAACAAACTCGACATGTAGGCGTAGGGATTCGTCCTTTGGTGTACTCATATGCGGCTACACCAGTAGGTTGATGTTTCGCTGGTTCAGCCTCAGCTCATCGAACTAGTCTGGTATCTAGATCTGAGACATCAGCCTTACGAACGGCGTGTCCGGATCGTCCGGGGAAGACCTTGTAAGCGGCACGACGTTTATCCGCAATCTGGAAATGATTGACGTGCGCAGTGATTTAGAGAGATGAACACGAAGAGCGTTAGCGAAGACTTGCTGAGCGTTGGACAGCTCCATGGATGATCCGAGTAGTAACTAGGGTTCCCACGTTGTCCCATCTCGGTGAGGCCGTGAAGGCAAATGACCGCGATGTCCGTACTCCTGGTTTGAGACATCTTGATTCTTATCTAGCTGGTAGACAAGGAACAGGCGTCGGAAACCAGGCAAGCTGTTGCGCTCGGCTTTGACCGCGCACAGCGAGCAACAAGACGAAGAGAGAAGCTCGTGGGCGGGTTAAGCGCTCATCATCTGGATGTCAATGAACTAAACTTCGTCTTGTAGAGCCAGTTGAAGGTCATCCCGTCAACCAGCGTTTGTGATTCGATACTTAGACTCAACTGCATCCCTAACGGTCGCTAAAGATATCGGATCTCGATAGCCCCTGCAATTCCAGCTACGATCCGAGTTGCGCATCGCGAAGTCAGGTTCACGCAGGTTTTGGGCCACTCAAAGGATATTTCTGGGTCATCCAAGATTAGGGAGCTCCGAATGACGGCAGCCACTAAACCATTCTCGCGTACTGGAGCTACAATGCTGCGAAGAGGCTTTTCTCGTGGCAGGTACTGGCTTGCTCTGATCAAGATTTGTCTGCATGGCAGGATCCCCGCATGGGGGGAAATGACACGCAGTAGCAATTGCTTGGCGAGTACTTGCTCGTGTATTGAAGGCGTTGCACATGTAGAGCACAATGTTGCTCAAAGCCTTGAGGCGCGTTACTCGACGCATAAATCTCGGTTGGCGCCCTCCGTGAAGCTGAGGCTAATATGGCGAAGCGTCGCGCGTACCAGAAGGCAAAAAAACCAAGTCTCGCAATCCTTCAGATCGGAAAATGATCATTTGTGGCGGTTGAGAGCTCCGCGTAGATGTGCTGATGCCAGCTTGTCGTTGGCAATTGGGACGGAGCTTGACCGGGTTGTCCTAGCCGAATCGGCCCGTGCAACGCGTCTAACCAAGCCACAGTCGACGCCATCGCTCGTTCTTCAGCTGAACACGCTCCTCAACTCGATGCCAAGACTTACGGATAGTGGCCGAGCTGCTGAAACTGACCACACCATGCCTACCCTAGCAGCCTACTGCTGCAATGCTCCCAAGGGCGTGAGTCGTTACAGCTGAGCAACACGAACCTTTTGCCTGTCGATCATGGCAACGCAAACTACCTCGCCGTCATCAGCGCGAGTGTACCACGATGAATGAGCCTGATGTTGCTAATGTTTCCCCGTGGAGGTTGCGGGTAGGCTCTTAAACGAATGGCTAGGGTACCACCAAAGTGCCGTCGTAGCTTCATATACAGGAGCCGGCGCACTGCTCATTCTTGACATAGGATCCGTTTCCAATATCCCAATTGCCAATACCCTTGCGCCGATCATATAGCCAGGAACACGCGCGCGAGTATTGTTCACTGGCACAGACGGAGCGTTTCCATTTAGTGCTTATGCCAACGGCCCTCCAGTGCTTCCATGTGAGTTCTATGAAAAGCCGTGGCATTTCTCTCTTGTACACCATATTGACTGGTCCACAGCTTCGGATGCCTGCAGCACACGACATCATCTCGCCTGCGAGCTCCATCGTACTAAGACTTTTGAGTCTACCAATATTCTCTGTTCTTCCCACCGCCATGCCACCTCTTTCAGACTATAAGAAACTCCATTATGCGGGACAGTTCGTGTCGAGCTCCAAGTACAGTCGACTCCTTCAAGTGTTTCTGGTAGTTTTGACCACCGTGACTATTGCTTGGATTGTGGTCGCCTACGTCTCACAGAGAAAGAGCCGGACTGTCGACGCCAGTGGGGACGTTCCAGAGAAGCCTGTCACCAGACGTTTGCTCGAGCGACAGGATTCTGCGATATGCCAGAAGCAGTGGGGATTTGATCACAACAACCACTTGAATTCTCTCAAGCAAGAGATCCTCCAACATACCGAGAGACCTGTTCATCCTTGGATACTACCGCCGCAAGCATTGCCAGGACCTTACGATCCGATGTACTACCCTCTGCCAGCCCCATCGTTCCGATGCAAATCTTCTAGCTCCCTACCGGCGAATGTCGAAGGAACACACTCGACATCTTACACTCGTCTCGTACCGAAATCCGGGACACCACCAGGCGAAGCGGTTCTCTACGGCACAATGACAACATCAACCAACGGCTGGCGACGAACACATTGGAACGTGACTGGCGGTTGAACAATCATGACGGTCTCAGTAACCTTCTTCAACCATACGTACAAGGACACGCATCTCGACCCCACTTGTGCACTCCCACGACACATGCCGAACTTGCACAGAGTCGGACGGCCACCGCCAGTTCGCAGCATGGCGCATGAACGCCTAGAAAATGCCACTGGATGCGAGTCGGAAGCAAGCACTCGTCGCGAAGCTTGGTCGGTGGCGGTCCGCTTAGTAGCTGGAATAGTGGACTTCTGGTGGGGTGGGCGCGCGGATGTCTAGGATTCGTCATTCAGCGACGTGTCTCTTGCTGTCGACATCACGATCTTTCAACATAGGCAAAAGTCATGCGCGCGTTGGATTTCCCTACCCTAGTCTCTTGTGGCTGGCTGTAGGCCATGGGTTGCGCCACGGACAAGGCACTGCGTCAAACTTTCCATACCAATATTAGCAACTACAGATTAATCTATCCAAACTTACCCCAACACCCATCCTACACCTTCTCAATATAAGCCCGGGAAGTTATCGTTCCGCACTGCAGTTCTATGAGGTCCAGGGCTTCATGTCAGACTTGAGGCTGGCGTCCGTCTGTTAGCCGGCCGTAGCGTCAACACCTGCAGGTCACTAGCTCCTGCCAAAATATGAGGCTAAGTCTAGATGGCGGAAGGTTATCGTAGCGCACGAATACAGGCGCGCGACATACAACGAACGGAAATGAGGCTGACTATCGAGCCACTGGTCGTATGGTGGGTACTCCGAAAAGAGATTGGAGATGCCAGCCTTGCATAGAAACCGTCCAGACTAAACAACTAGACAGCCAGACAATATCTGCGCAACTTCAGCCAGCCTCGGTCTGTATCCTTGCAAAAGGGGCTGGATAGGTTGTGGAAAGTTCCAGAGAGCAAGAAGTTTGACGACTCCGTACAAAGTCTGTAAGCAATAGTGTTCCATGAAGTTGTATACGCTCGTAACGCTTGCAACTCGAATAAGGACCATCTCGCAACAAAATGGCATCCCCACCTCTTGCCAAGATTTTGAATCAGTCCCCACAAATCTTATGATTCTCCAGATTCCCTTGGGTGCTAGCCCAACATCCACTGCGCCTGTCCGATATGGCACGCAGAACTTTATTTCATTGCGGCCACACCCTGCTCACATGACAATGTCACAGTGCATCTTTATGATCGCCCCCTCCCGGTATACTTCTCCGTCTCAGTATAAAATCTAATGAGCGCCTCAGCACCCACATAATCACCTTGCCTAAACAGTTGCGCAATATCCACATTCAACGGGCTATCTGGCTCAGCGCTGGTTAACAGCTGGTGTATGCTCGTCATCGTTGTCGAGATGGTGTATGCGGGTGTCCAGCTCGTCTTGAGCAGATCGAGACAGATCTCGCCGGTCTTGAAGTCGACATTTGGATGGCATATGGGCGTTATGAAGCGGATGGAGGGAGGCGAGTTGGGGTAGGTGGAGGGGATGTGAATGTCAAGAAGCCATGCGCCGCCTAAGAATGCGTCAGTACTGGTGTTTTGAACGTAACTTCTTGAGAGGGAGGGCGCGTTGCGCTGGAGGTATTGAAAAGGGAAGGTGCATTCAAGGTGGCTATACCTTCGTACGCTGTTCCTTCTACACCCTTCATGACAGCTCTCCAGTGCATCACATCTTCGTCTGCTGGCCCTAGATCGAGAAGCTCTTCATTTGGATCGCGCTGGTATGTTTGAAGCTCAGTCATGAGCCGCTTGGTTGCGCCGCGCGATGAACCTGCCATGATGATGATACCGCAAAGTATGGGTACAGTATACGAGATAAAGATACACAACGAAGTCGATGGGATCTTACAGGATGTACAATTTGGCAGTGTTCACAACTTCATGGAGGCTGGTTGGCGCTGGCGCTCTATGATCGCCAGCTCCAGCACCTCGGCTCACCGCCCCTGCCATTGGCTGGTCCAAGCTCGCCCCACCAAAAGTTTGGATCCTTGTCGCGTTAGTGATCTCATCTTCGAGATTCAGTTCGCAACACCAAATAGGTCCACTGCACATTCACGATGGTTGCGCCGGAAGTCACACTTACACAGCTAAACCGCGCCGACGGTTCGGCAGCATACACACATAACGGTTACTCCATCATTGGCGCAGTCAATGGTCCCATCGAAGTACAACGCCGCGATGAACAGCCTGAGGAAGCCACATTAGAAGTAAACGTCAGGCCTTCTGCTGGCGTAGGAAGTCAGTATACAATGCAAAGGTTCAGGGAAGTCATTGGTATTGATTGTGATATAGCACCACGAGAGCGCCACCTAGAAACCCTCCTCCACAACACTCTGCGCAGCATAATCCTCACACGCCTCATCCCGCGCACCCTCGTCCAGATTACACTGCAGGTCCGAAGCTTGCCAGAAGAAGACACATCGACAGGCGTGAATACTAGCCTTACTCTCCTCCCGCATCTCCTCCACACCGCATTCCTCAGCTTGCTGTCTGCGTCGATACCGCTATGCACAACGTTGACAAGCGTACTCGTTGCGTACCCCTCGTCGACAACGAAGAGCTCTACGCCGCTCCTTTCGCCTACAGCGAACGAGTTGTTGCGCGCCAAGCCTATCAGGTCAACACATGTCTTCGCATTCTCTGGGGACAGGCGGTTGCTGTTGAATGAAAGTGACGGGAAGTTCAGTTATGAAGAGTGGGAGACGGCTTGCGAGATGGCGGAGGAGGTGTGTTGTAAGGAGGAGGACCAGGGTGGTGTGAGCCTGGGTGACAGTATGGTGGTGGATGGAGCGGTGCAGAGTCAAAATTTGGAGAAGTGGCTGAGGGAGGTTGTGAGAAGGAAGGTGGAATATGAACAGCGGTGGAAGAGTGCCACCTGAGCCCTGAGGCAAGAAAGCGATACACTTCCAGGTGATTTGAAGGCCCGAGTTTATACCAGCATGCTGTTCAAGGTTGAAGGCTTGTTTAATATCTAACGTGCCGCTTCTGCAGTGGGAAGAACTATTGCAAGGAGGCTGGGCTTGACGCCACAGGAACCTGTGTGTTAGGTGGCACCAGAGAGGCAGCCAGTCACGAGAAGTCATGAGAGATGCGGGCTTTTGGCTACAAATGCACGAGGTTCGGCAAGAACGGTGTAAATGATGATACTTGCCGAGCGCTGGCTCAGTTCGGTATAAATGCTAGCTATACAAGTTAAGAAACGCTCAAAGTGCTATGCGTAGCGCGTGTCCAAATCCAATCATTCAGTCGTGATCCATCTTGTTCGTAGTCGTGATGTCGTTGCCCAGTCCATGCAATGCTATACAATATCCAAATCATCTCAATGATACAACTAGACCTGCTCTTTCGTCCTCTTCTCTTCCTTAAACAAGTGCTGTAGATATTCCGAGGGATCCCATTCAGGGATCTCCCAGACCTTGAATCCATCCTTGTTCTTTTCAGTCATTGGGTCCATGTATTCTCTACTGCAGGTCTTTGCCATGTGGAGCCAGTCATCCCATACTTTCGACTCAGGGCAGTGGTCGCCTCTTCGAACCCAAGTCGCATCTTTGCTAGCCACGATGGCCTTCCACAACGCCTCTGTGAATGACTTGCTCTTTGTGAAGGGATAACCCTTTTTATTTCTCGAGAAAATGTTCCGTTTCTTATAAATGTCGTACTTGTGTAACGCTTCTGAAGTGACTTTGTAGCAAGAAGTGTCCCAGTGTACTTTTGCGGGAAGCGCGGCGACGATCCAATATGCTGATCCGAGCAGCATGTATGAGCCGGCCCATGCGATCTGGCTCTCGATTCTGGCGTTCGCAAGGCAGATAACACCGCCCATCAGCATCATAGTGCCGATGAGACTAAGAAGGCGGTAAACCCATGCGTCTTCGATCAGGTACTCGATCTCCTCCGGTGCGAAGTATAGTTCGCGTGCCACATCCTCGACACAGCGCACTACTAAGAAGCTGCCCTTCGGATATCTGATAACAACGTCCCCTGGAGGCACATGATCCTCTTTCTGTACTTTAGCGCCGGCTTCGGCGGTATCGACTGTGTAACCTGCGTTACGTTTCCTGTCCTTCATCTCAATGTTGTTTTTGTTCTTCGAGGGTTGGAAGGTCCATTTTCTCGCATGCTCCTTCTCATCCTCTCGAGGCTTGCGTTTTGGAAGACGGAGGGTCCAGTAGTTGCCCAGGCCGATGAGACTGGATAGAAGCGAAAGTAGTGCGGTAGCAACGATGGACATGCCATCACGTAGATGTATCGACAGACCCAGCAGCATCGCGGAGAGACTGAACCCGAGCAATGCGACATAGGTAAGGGGCCCGTATTCCTTTGCCTTGATTGATGCATCGTTGATACGCTTAATGGTAACAACTCGAACGGAGTGCCGGGGAAGATTGTTGGCATCACTGAGCCTTTGTCAGCTACGTAAAATGTGGTGATGGCTGGAAAATCCACTTGGAAACATCCCAACCTTTGACAAGCTGCAAAAGTCTGGGACCGAACACGTGGGGAATGGGTTCGGCATGCGCTAGTGCTCTGCAAGTAAGGGGTATTCACCAAATAATGTTTCCAATGTGGTTGACATGATCCTTATCATTGCCCGATTTCACACCCGAGACATCACCACGAACAGGTTCAAGGTCCAATGGCCTGGTCGGTCTCATAAGCGCCTGAGGGGCTGGTATCAAGCGTGGCAGAAAGATCCATCTCGACAGAGTCGAAACCTGCGCATTGGCGAGCACTGAACCCTCTCCTAAGATGGCTAGAAAACCGACAATATCAAGCTGCAGCGCTTGCAGATTGTACGTGCCATCCTCCTCAGCCTGAAGCCAATGCATGCCTGGGGAGAATCAGGTGGCTGGTGTGGAAAATTGAACAGAACGCGGAACAGTCTGACAATGAAGAAGACGGCAGAGGGACATGGGTGGTCTGGAATAATTTGCGGAAGTGGCTGTGAATCTATATCTCAGCACGATGGCACAGCCTGAGCCTCAAGGAGGGGTGGCGACGCATGAGGGCTGAAAAGGAAGCGTGAGTGAAGTTTGAAGAACTTGGCGCGCATCGAGTACGCGCGCGGATGGGGGCCGAAAGAGTCCTTTACATTTGAGCTGGGTTTGACAAGCAGCGATCCAAACTGTGTCTGGTGAGCGCACGAGAAGCCCCAGCCCCCAATATTGGAAATCGTGTCTCGCAGGCTCAGCGATTGGCCCAGTGTCGTTAATTGGTGCCCCAGGCCAGGCAAGTGAGGGGCATGGCTGACAGGCACCACTGCGATGGTGGCTAGGCTCCAAAGCCAGGGTGCCGGAACCGTAGCATAGCCTCAATCATATCGCGAGGGTAAGGTAGTTCTGCCCAGCATCAACATCAAACATCACACTTGACACAGACCCGCACGTTACAGACGTCGTTCGCGCATAGTGACTGCTGCGCCTCGCCCGACTGTGGAGCTCGAACTCTACGGTGATCAGCCGCCATCGCTGGCTCGAACAACAACACCGCACGCGCCAGGCTGGCTACCCATGTGATCGCTGGTCTCAACTGCGACACCAGAACTCATCAAAACGTTGAGGTGACACTGAACTCGTTGTCGCGTAAACATAATATGTAAAAGGAGGGAAAGGTTGATCGCGAAACAGCGCGCTGATGTATGTGGGTGCTCTTTCCTTCAATGCCTTGGGCGCTCAGGCACAACCCTGTTTCCTCACTCTCGCCAGCTGCTTCCGCAGAGCGCACGGCAGGAACACAATATCTTCAAGACTCTGCGAATGATCCTTTGTTTATATCATCAACCCTCTGTTTCGTTGATCACGATCAAGTCCGTGTCATACAATTCTACTTTTTAAGTCATGTTGTCAGACACCTGCCTTGTGATTCAGCCTTCCCCTCGACCTAACTCGCTAGAAAGAGGGCGCAGTATCCGCTACCCAACTTTCTCACGAGGAAGCCATGTTCGAACAACGTAACTAATACCGTACCAGGCCGAAAACTGGGCCAGGCTCAACTGAAACTGCTATATCACACGTCGCCTGGATAGACCGGCTTCCCTTTCGGCAAAAGATCTTGCTGCACGAGCGTTCTGCCCTACAGGTACGGTCCGCCTTCAAGATTTTCATTGATCGCAACACTGCCACGGAGTACCAAGGAACGAACAATTTCCGGTCAGTGGAAGGCTGCAGCAAGTGTATACTTTGGTGTAACCGCTCGACGATTGGATTTGCACCTCAGCCTGCATCGACCGGTATGAGCGACTGATAACATACGCAATCACACACGTCTTGTCGGTATGCCCAGCGAAAGTGAGCCGAAACCTTCGAGCGAATCTGAGGAATCCCCCGCATCCTGGTGGTCAAAGTGTATCTCAACAATGTAAGTCTAGCCAGTTTGCCCCCCGCGATCGCGCGGCCCTCCCAACTCTTCGGGAGCTTGACTGATGAACGTAGATCTGTACGTGAGAGGAGCAGGTCTTCAAACGAAGCCAACAGGCCTGCCATGACGGTAACTAACTCTCCCAAAAAGAGGAAAAGAACCCCGAGTGCCGGGCGTGGCCGCAAGATCTCGATCCAGATCGGAAAGCAAAGGGCCCTTGACATGGATCCGGACAAGGATTTGAAATCTCGAGATCTTTTCGAATCCAAACTTGGAGATGCTAGCGCGATTCAGGAGTACGACAAAGCTTACAGTGCGCTATTGGAAGCAGAAGAGAACGATGCTTGGGATCGCAAAGCGAGACCCAAGAGTAAGTCCAGATCTCTGTCTGACACGAATGAGAGACGAGCCGCGACAATTATCCACGCCATTCGAGAATACGAAAGGAGGGTCACGTTCGGTAATCTGCCATCAGAGGCAATTCCAGGCGCTGACACTTTGGACATGGGTGGGCAATTTCTGACGAACAAGGAACGTATTGATGCGCGAAGTGAGCTGTTTCGTATAGCCAAACTGGTTCCTAAAGGAGCTCTTCTGCATCTGCACTTTAATGCTGAGCTGGATCCTGACAGGCTTTTGAAAGAAGCACGAGAGATGGACAACATGTACATCCGCAGTATTCTGCCCTTGGACAACACCAAAGCCTATGCTGAGACAGAGATGGTCTTTAGCGTCTTGGATCCGAACGATATCAACACAGACGTCGACATATTCTCGTCTGGCTATACTGGTAGGGCAGACAACTGGAAAAAGCCCGAGATGCAAAAAGAGATCTGGATGAAGTGGTCGGCCTTCAAATCTAAGTACAACGAGAAGTTTCCGGGAGGAGACAGGCAAGCGCCAACCCCAATCGATACTAAGAAGCCTGTCCGCATATGTGATGATGAGCCGGCTACAATTGAGTTGGATCCTGCTGAGACCTGGCTCAAGTCTAAGATGATACTCAGCCAAGAAGAAGCCTACGGACAGACTCAAACCGTGAACGGGTAAGTCGGATCTTGGTCTCGACGGTTGAAAGCATCTAATGGTAATAACACAGAGTATGGGCGCGCTTTAACCAAGCAACAAGATGTTTCAAGGGTCTCTTGAACTACGAAGAAGTCTACAGGTGGTACATCGGTGAAGCAATCGAACAACTGATCAAAGAAAAGATAATGTACGCCGAGCTTCGACCAATGCTGCTCGATAAATTCATACCCGCCAACAATGGCAAAGACAAGCTCGACAACGCTACACAAATGCGTATGATCACCGAGGGCGTGGCAGCTAAGCAAGCGCAGATCGAAGCTGATCCACAACGTTCGGACGATGAGTTTCCTTTCGGTCTGAAAATTGTTTACTGCACGCCTCGCTCAATACCGAAGAAGATGATGCAGGAAGAGATGAAACAGTGCATCGAGTTGAAAGAGCAGTTCCCCAACCTGATCTGCGGTAAGTCTTTAGCGCATGTACCTGTCCATCACTGACAACAGCAGGATTCGACTTGGTTGGTGCTGAAGATCGGCCGAACCATATCGGCTTCTACAAAGAAGAGCTTGTCGCTTTCAGAAAGACATGCGAAACCAAAGGTCTCCACATCCCTTTCCTATTTCACGCTGGGGAAACATTGCTTGATACAGGCGGCTCCGGAGATCCAAACAAATCAAACTTGTTTGCGTCTGTGGCATTGAAAGCCGAACGCATCGGCCATGGCTTTGCGCTGATGAAACATCCGCACTTGGTTGAGAAGTTCAAGCGAACACCCACGCAGAAAGGCATATGTGTCGAGCTTTGTCCAATCTCGAATGAGCTCTTGCATCTCTGTCGGAATATCAAAGAACACCCGTTCCCAGAGCTTTTGGCTGCGGGGGTACCTTGCACGGTCAATAGCGACAACCCTTCACTGTTCAGGTACGTCATCTTGCCGTCAAACTTTGATCTCGAAATCACTGACAGAACAACAGGAATTCGATGAACCATGAGTTCTACCAGATTATGGTCGGTGCTCCTACAATGTCACTATACAGCTGGAAGCAGCTCGCACGCTGGAGCATTGAGTACAGCTGTCTCAGCTCAGATCAGATTAAGAGGGGACTGAGTATCTTGGAAGAATCTTGGAGGACATTTTGCAAAGACATCGTCGACAGGTACGATAAGGCACTAATGGATGGCGACGAGATCAATGACAAGAGAGCGGAACTCTTCTACAGCCACCAGCTGAAGCCCCAGCCAGAGTCCCAAGAAGGACAGGCACAAGAAGGAATCCCCGAGGAGGATTGAACAGGCGCCTTTCTTTTCACTTCCACAACATTCATGCCATATCCACTGCGGGAGCGCGCACCGCAAAACTGCAGCAACGCTCCCATATGCCGCGATGCAGGCGTTGTCTTCACTATTTCGACCAGCAAGACAGCCCTGCGCGAGGTACAAGTCGAGTCTTCATGTTCCAGGCTATCATTCAAACCAGTTAATGATGAGCAGTGGATCTGGACATGACCGGAGCAACGGCTATACAATACAATAATTACCTTGGAACACATAGCAAGACAACACTTAAAAAGCAAACAGGATTAGCTTTGGTAGGTATTTGTGGAAGGAACGAGAGATGTATGGGCGATACCCACTGCGTCGTTTTTATGATGTGTAGTTGTTGCTTCGCAAGCCGTAACCAGTAAATCTTGAGTCAAACTGTCGCTCGTTAGTCTCAAGTACAATAAATTTGAGAATCATCTTTGTATTGTCAGCATGATGGTTCACATTGCCTATTCCACTGAAATAGATACACATCAACTCGCCCACCTTTCAACTGGACCCACTTCCACGCCATCCCGCCGTGTCGAACATCTCTTCAAGCTATACTGCGCGCCCTTAACAGTAGCCTTTCTCCCCTCCACCCTCTTCATATCCCCAATAGCACCAATCTACCCATCGGGTGGGGACATATTCAATTCACTGTCATACGAAGTAGCTGCATATCTGCTATCCATAACCGGTAAAGCTTGGACTGACGTTGTCGGTCGTTACTATCATCCAGCCTATGCGGTGGGATCACTCTAACCCGACGAACAAGAGAAAACACCAAGAAACGGCATAAAGCCTCCGATCTTGACAGCTCTACGCCCTGTTCCTTGCCGCCAGCTTCTTACTGCTTCCCACCAACCTCCCCCTCAAGCACCCTCTTCAAATCCTCGTTAAACCTTATCCACCCCTTCTGTGTCTTCTCCTTCATCCCCACCGCCCTCCCTACGACATTATCCCCCATCAGTGCGTACCCCAACACACCCGAGAAGAACTCTTCCTGGGTAAACGTCGTCCCGTTTGGAGTCGTATCAGAGGGGGAGAAGTAGAAAGAGTGTGTGCCGGTGAAGATGAAGGGGAGAGACCCCGTCCATGAGAAGTGGGTGGGTGTATTTGTCTGGATGGAGTTAGTTTGGGAGTGGTAAGAGTAAGGGGTGTGTGCTCGAGGAGGTGGGGAGAGGGGTGATAGGGGCGGGAGGGAGAGGGAAAGGGGACCAACCTCGATAACTCCCGAAAACGCGGGAGAATTCGCGAGTTTCACGCTGACTTTATCGCCCTTCACCAGCTCTGTGCCGGGTTTGGGGGAGGTTATGGATTCGAAAGCGCGTGTGTAGGAGGGTAGACTGGTGAAGTCTAGGAACTGTTCCACATCAGTATTAACTCTTGAGCCAGCAAGGTAGTTGAGCGGTGTTGGGTGGGTGTACTTTTGCGCGGACCGCAGATGGAGGCGCGGCGATTTCGATACTGGCTTTGAGGGACATGTTGGGTGAGTATTTTTTTTGATAGCCTTTCGAAGGAGAGGAGGGGTAGTATGAAGGAAGTGAAGGTAGCAAGCAAAGGTACTGTGTGTATGGTGGCGATAACAGTGGTGATAGTGGGATGTAGGCCCTTCAGTGAGCACGAGTTGGTGGCTGCTTATATGTTAATCTAGATCCTTGCGAGGCATCGCGCATCCTATCACGCTATAGCATATGTCCTCATGAGTTTCTGCGTTTTGCGTGCTCGAATCGACGAGCACGATGCACACGGAGAGTTTCAAGACATCGTGAGGCTGATGTTTGGCCCGAAATAGGAGTCGGATGAACAATTAGCCCGACTGCCTCACCGAAACGGTACAATCGTCGACACGTAAACTGTATATTCGGGTCTCGACTACGAGGGAACGCATGGTTTCAGAGGTGGTTTTGAGGCGTCTTCTGATTGCGCGGCTGGCAAACGTACTGCTCCTCGTCCACAAGAAGTCCTTATCAAGAGTCCTACTCCTACTCCTCTGTTAGGACGCTTGAGCGGCATCGCAAAATGCATGGCCCACGAGTGTGTCGCTAGCACCATACCAGCCCCCGTTGCATTCACCTTAGACCTTGTGCAGCAGTCATGTCTTCTCTAACGGACCACGCCTATTCCACCCTCAGCCTGCGAATAGCACCATTGACGAGATCATCTGCATTCAGACTCCTGTGTGGACTCCCAGCACTGCTCCCTGGCGTCTTTGTGTCGTTCAAAACGCGTTTGTCCGGCCCTGTGACCGTCTGTCCTTTGGCCTGAGCAAAGCCGGCGGATCGTTCGTGCGCGGGGTTCGGCGAGTAGAAGCTGTCGATGATGGGATGGATCATGACAGTCTGCTTGGAGATGGTGAGAGTACTGTTGGTAGGGACTGTAACCCAGTTGTCTGAATGTTTGTCAGTGGAGGTGTATGTTCGGCTGGACTGCTTGGACACACCTCGCTCGAATGTGAGCGGCTCGCTAGCGACGAGGACAATATCTGAGCCTTTGTCGCGTCGCTCCATGACGTAGTTTCTGTCTTCGTCTTCTGGCTTCCCGCTGTCTGGGCTGTGGTCACCCTTGAGTTGCTTCCAACTTGTGCCACTTGAGAAGAACAAGCTTGCAGCTTCATCCGTGGTGGAGCTCACATATCGCGTGCACACAACACTCTCTCCATCTGTAACCGCGAAGTTGAGCAGACTCCTGCTGTCCGCATTACCCATGTTCTCCTCCCCTACCACGTCGCGTATGAACCCATTGATGCGCTCGATCGTCTTCAGTATCGCCTTGCGCAACACCGAGTGTCCGAATCCGCTCTTTCCTGGCTCGGAATCAGGAGAAACACCTGCCTTGTCCAAAGAGTCCAGGAACAGAGCAAACGCCCATTCTGAGTCTGTCGAGCCTTGCACGAGGGTGAACCATTGCTCGTTCAGGCTCATAGCAAGCTTCCGTTTGATCTGCTTGAAGCAGCCAATACCGCCATTGTGCATGAACATGAGACGTTTGTACGAGAAGGGATGGCAGTTCTGCTCGGACAGGTTGCCTTCGGTGGTGGCGCGGACGTGGGCGAAGAGGAGGGAGGAGGTCGTCTTGGAGGCTATGCGGGACAGGTTGATGCAGTTCCATGCTGGGATTGTAGACGTGAAGACGCAGGGCTCTGGGCCCAAGGAGGGCGAGGTATAGTAGCCAATGCCAAAGCCATCGCCGTTGTGAGGGCGCCGACGGTCCTGTGGTGTGTGAGTCGAAGCTGCTCCAGTATAGCTGGAGAAGACAATTTACCAAACGAAGGCGCGAGTCGAACGATTGTGTGAGAATTGAGTGCGAGGGATTGAGAATGAGCTCAGAGAGTAGGATCTCGTCCTTGCCCTTGTATACCTGCGGGTTCGTGAGCTTGACGAGATACTGCGACTCTTGCCGGTTGCTAACCATGAATCTGCACATATTGGGTGCCTAAGGGACCACCACTGGGTACTGTATATGCTAGAAATATGTGGATCTTGCGAAAGGAGCGAGTGCGTGTCTCATGGACGCCAGTTGCTGGTAAAATGTACTGATAACTGCGTTCGCTGTAGAGTCAGGGCGGTATGGCGCCATCGGGCCAAGACATGGTGCAAACCTCTTTATTGAAGTACAAACATCTTGTCAAGCTGGCTTGCGAACGAGAAGAGAACACGAACGCTGTAGACGCAATTCAAGCTCAGTACGCGACACGCGACACGCGACAGATGTCAAAAGTGCTAGACGCACCAGGGCGGAGTGACTTGGCGCGGGGTGTCCGCTCTTGCGCGGGATGACGTGGGGTTCTCACATGCTGTTCACAAAGTGCAGGTGTCGCAACCAATCACAAACGTACGACAGAAGGTTTAAAAACCGATGCATTCGGTATCCCACAGCTAATAGCTGCTACGCATGAGTTGAGCACGCAGATTGTGCCCGCTCACTGATCTGTTCGTTCACGGTGCGACCGCCCAACAGATAAAACCACCCAGCCCAACCAGTCCAGTCTTGCCCATCAGCCATACAAGATAGGGATAAACAAATAGCAACGCCAGGGACATGATGCGGATAATAAACATGGTGGGGTTACAAGACGGTGAATCTTTCGATGCTTCGTAAAAACAGAGGGGAGGCGGAAGTGAAGACTGGGGGTATTGCGAAGAATAAGGGAACTCCCAAAGGCGCGCGTGTATCGTAATTCTCCAAGAGTCGTGCATCAAATCGTTGGATGATCGTGATCTCAAGTCGAGTACTGGCAGGCAGTGGCAGCTGCTGGAGTAGCTCTTACGGCTCGCTCACGCTGAGAGAAGCACTTGAACGTATGCTTGAGCTGGCGTGTGGAATAGTGGTCTGGTTCAGACCGCTCACATGTCCATGGAGTCACCGCCGTTGGCGAAGTTGAAGTTCTGTTGCTGCTGTTGCTGGCCGCCGGCGCCGAAACCGAAGTGACCCTCCTGGTTGACGGCAGGGTTGGTCTCAGCCATGTTCTCTGCGTCACCCTCCTCATCCGAGAAGTACTTCTCGATGATGTTGTAGGCCTTCATGTAGATCTCCTCGTTGGCGTTGTTCTGGCACTCGTGGATCTTCTCCATACCGCCGACCTCCTCGATGAAGAGAGCGTAGCGGTTGATCTGCTCGCCAGCGCCGTCAGCACCGGCCTCCTTGTCCATCTCACCGACCTTGAGGATGTTCTCAAGACCGTCGAGAGCGACCTGGATGATCTTGTTGTCAGGGCACACGAGCAGGTCGCACAGGGGCTTGATGCATCCGCTCTGCACGAGGTAACGGATCTGAGCGGGCTTCTGCAGACCACCGCTGGTAGCGTTCGAGATGGCCCAGCACGCCTCCTTACGGGTCTTGAAGTCACCGTTCTGGAGCAGGTGGATCAGGGGAGGAATGATGTTGGCATCGATGACCGCCTGGATCTGTGTGGAGTTACCAGCAGTGACGTTGGAGATAGTCCAGCACGCCTCCTTGCGAATGCCATCCTTAGTGGAGCTCAACAGAGAGAGCAGAGCAGGCAGGGAACCACAGTTGATGATGACCTGGGTCTGGACATCATCACCAGTGACGATGTTACCAACGGATCGGAGAGCGGGTGTCTGGACGGATGTGGAGGCGTGCATCAGGAGCTCTACGAGACGGCGAGGGATGCCGGCCTCGATGACTGCCTGGATCTTGTCGTTGGAGCCATCCGAGAGGTAGGAGATAGCCCAGCACGCATCGATAAGGACTTCGTCATCGAGGGAGTAGACAAGCTTGGCGAGGACAGGGAGGGCGGGCTGGATCTGTGCCTTGTTAGCAAAGTTGTCTCTCGAATGTGGTGTCTGTGCGCTTACAGTCTGCCAGTCGGGCTGGGGAGTCTTTCCCCTGCAGAAGTTGCTCAGAGTCCAGGTTGCGTTCCTGAGCATGCTCAGCTTCCGGCTGTCGCCCAGAAGAGCAAGCAGCGGGCGGAGAGCACCAGCCTGGAGGACGAAGTCGCGGCATGCGGGGCTGTCACCGGCAATGTTACCAAGAGCCCACACCGCCTGCTCCCTGACGTCCGGCTCGTGGCTGCTCAGAAGCTCGACGAAAATGGGGACGGCACCAGCCTCGATGACGACCTGTGTCTGCTGTGCGGAACCGGAGGCAATGTTGGTGAGGGCCCATGCTGCCTCGAACTGCACCAGTGTGTGGGGAGAGCGGAGGAACTCTACGAAGCGGCTGACAACGCCCGTCTCGATAACGCGCTCGATGGGAGGGTTGCGCTCCTTCGACAGGAGCTTGCGGAACTTTGTCGTCGCCTGGATCTGCTCGTCGATCTGCTCGGAGAAGACGCCTTTGACCATCTGGGGGAGCTCCTCGTTGAGCTAGCGCCGACGTTAGCACACGGGAACAGAGACGCAAAGACACAGTTTGGAGGGGTATACGGACCTGTCCCTCGATGTTGCCGCCCTCATCGTCGCTGTCTGGTGCAGCACCCAGCGAGGCTCCGGGCCGGTCGGCGCCGCCTCCAATGCCGCGGCGCTTTGCGAGGTTCTCTTCACGCTTCGCCCGGCGGATCTCGACCTGCTGCTCCTCGCGGCGACGGCGGAGCTCGTCAGGCTTGAAGGCGCTCTTGGCCTTGAAAGTTGTGCGGCGGTGCTCGGGGATGTACTTGTCAGCCATGCTTGCGGCGCCTATGTGTGTAGACGGAGTGGTGGTAGTGAGTCTGCTTGAGGGAGGGGCGGGGAGACAAGCAGTGTTTGTTTGCAGGGGATTAAATGGATCTTGCTTGGTCCGCTGCGTGGGGCAAGGTGAAAAGGCAGCGGCGGAAACGGCAAAGCGCTGGTCTTAGCGCTAGTGCCCTGGGCAGTTTGGGCGCGTCTCCAGCAACCACTTTGTTGATCCAACTGGGACGCGAACATGTGACGCGTCGACGTTCAGATAATTTTCAATGAGTTGTGCGATCGCGGTGAGCTGGCCATATTCTTTTTGTGTCCACACCAATTACGTGACATAGATGACACACATCTGACATGTACATTACTGATGGTAACCCAGAGCTATCTCGATGTCAGCATTACCAGGCTTCACAGCTGTTAAAGACGCTAAGACAGAAGGCGCTATTGTCAACCTGCTGGGTGTCGTTGTGAGCTTGCAGGCTCCACGGAAAACCCGGGGCACGGACTGGAGCCTGAACTTCACTATTCAAGATGACTTCACCGCAGGCTCAGTTGGCGGCAGCTCCAGCATGGGCTGTTGCGTGTTCAAGCCGTCCAAGAGCAGTCTGCCCAAAATCAGGGGCGTTGGCGACATCGTCATTCTACGCAAGTTCAAGCTGAACGCTTGGCGAGAGCGTATGGACTGTGTCAGCAACCTTGGAAGTGGGATTCTGGTCTTTCCAGCGAACAAGATCCCTGTACCAGAGTTGAGCCAGGCATATCTACTTGGAACACAACGGCTACCATATCACTCTTCTCCCGGGGCCAGGGAACCCACAACACAAGAGCAGAAAGCAGTCCTGCAGTTGAAACATTCCTCGTCTGGCTCTGCGCAGGATGTCCAACAGCATGCTTCTATCGCTTCCCTCAATGCCACTAGCAGGCGCAAGGAGGCTTTGATCAAGGACCTCACTTTTGACAGGTTCTACGATATCAAAGCTCAGGTCGTGAATATCTACTACTCCAACGCCGGAACCGTGGAGCTCAAGGTCACAGACTACACGGCTAACAAGGATCTTTACGAATATTGCGATCCAGATATAGACGGTGATCTGGTCTTCAAGCACGACTGGCGCGGTCCGTTCGGACAAGTGACGTTAGATGTACGACTCTACGAGCCTCACGCTGCGTGGGCACGTGGGAACCTCACAGACGGCGACTTTGTCTACCTCCGAAACGTGCACACCAAGACGTCGCCTGCCAATATGCTTGAAGGTGCAATGCATCAAGATCGGCAAATGCCAAATCAAGTTGATGTGCGCAAACTCTCACATCACCCAGCGATAGAGGAGATCAACCAGCGCAAAGAAGCGTACGAGCAGCAACGAACGAAACGAGGAAACATCCATCTCGCCAATGCTCCCAAGAAGCCATCGGCAAAGGCGTCTGCGAAGAAGAAGTCTGAGAAGCGAGAAAAGCAACGTTTGCAGAAAGAGGCAGAGTTGAGGGAGATCGAAGAGAAAGAAGAGAGTTGGGAGGCTGAACGCAGTGGCATCAACTTGAACGGTAGGTCACCACAGTTGAGTTGAGCTACGTCACTAACAACGTCAGTTCGTGCTGGGTTCCCTGAACTGCAACGCTCAACATTATCCGAGATCATCAACAATCCTCACCTGCAAGCGAAGACTGCCACAAAATACAACCCCTTCACACTACCATTCGTCAACTGCAAGCACCGATCCCGTGTCAGAGTCGTCGACTTTTACCCACCGGAGCTTGAATACTTTGCACATTGTATGAACGACCCCAGTTGGACGCCACGATCGAAGTACCATTGTTGGGAATGGGGCTTCGTCCTGCTACTGGAGGATGCAAGTGTTCCACGCGACACGGTACCTGAGCAGCTGCGTGTCATTGTGAACAACGATGCTGCTCAGTACCTCGGGCTGCCAAACGCAAGAGAGTAAGTCAGAACCATCTATCATATGGCGTGGCCTTGCTGATAACGCTTCAGCCTCAAAGCGGAGCCCAGAGTCCTCGACCAGCTCAAAGAAAAGCTGTTCATCATGTGGGGCAATTTAGCTGAGTTGAAAGGCGAACTGAGGGCCCGCAGTGCAGACCTTCCACTTCTACCTGGAGACAACAGACTGCAAAACAAGCCGTTCGACTGCTGTATCGAGGAATATGGCCATGAGGTTCCGGTGAGCGAGGAGAACCCGACAGGGTATCAACGACTCCACAAACTTGCTCTGACAAAGATCATGAGCTGAACTTGAAGATGTTTGTCTGGAAATTTGAACATAGCTGGCCGAAGCAGGAGGTTTTCAGGTGTTGATTAAGCCCAGGTTCATGTATTTCTTTCCCGTCCATGATACCCAATCAATATCGATTACGACTATCTGCTTATAGGGTCCTTCGGTTCTCAGTCCTTGGGGATGAGGAGACCCGAGGCGTTCATAGCTGCTGGTCGTGGTGACAGCTCCTTGCTTTAGCGTTTAGCAACACCCCCTGTGTAGGTACGGCCTCCGACTAGCTCTTACAATCAATGACTGAGAGTTTGAAAGCAGTGGCACAGGGAATTGTTTGCAAAAGACGTACAGGGTGAGGATTGGCGGAGAGGTTTTGTCAAAGTGTGGTACCGTTGTTGGCGTTGAAAGGTGCAAGATGGCGTTCCTGGATTGCGTGATCCGACGTGCTTGCGTCAAAATGTCACTCACCGTCAACCACAAAACAGCATGTGCGAAATCACAGGAACACGAACCTCAATATTGCCAATTGCAACAAGGAAGAATACTTGCACCCGCCTTGACTCACAGACACATCGAGAGTATCTCGCATTGAACAAATTGTCAAATCAAGAGCTGGGAGCAATCTGTGAAGGGAGCTGGTACGGTTGCAACAACAATACATCGCCGAGTACCCTCAGAGAGCCCTCCTAGGACTCCGATTTCAAGGACACAACACCATGGCACCTTCAGCAGATATCTGGTTGCTTCGACACAACAATGATTTCTCGGCCGCAGATGCATTACCCTCAAAATCCGGCATCACCACCCAAGTCCACGAGGTCACAGAGGCCACCCTCAACCCACAACCAAACACACTGGTCCTCAACCCAGCCTTCGTAACCCAGGACTTCGACGCTCTTCGCTTCCACGCCGCGGCCTCCAACCAACTCCCCTCCGCGGCCTCCTACCCATCATCGCCCGCCTCAAACAGCGGCTCGGGCTCGGATTCCTCGCCCTCACCGGCATACTCAACAAATCTCATCTCCTCTCCCTACAACAATGCTGGCCATTATTTGGATCTCACGGCCGTTTCTGAGACGGCGAGATTGTTTGCTCTAGCACTTACAAGTCTGAAACCGAGGAGGGAGGACTATGCGACTGCGGCTTACACTGAAAGTCTGAACTTCGAGCGAGTGCTAGAGGTGCTAAGGGACCTAATTAGCAGAGAAGGGACTGAGTGGAAAGAAACTTGTTTCTACGTTGTGGTGTTTAGGTCCAAGTTGAATGAAGACGTGGACCAGGAGTGGCTGTACAAGTTGGACTACGAATCGCACCGCGAAGCCTGCGAAAGCGGTGGACTGCTCAAATACTGGTTCGGAAAGGCGGATCTCGACGGCTCGCGCCGCAACTTAGCCACCTGTAAGTCTTACCGCGCCTGTTATAAAGGATGAGGGTGAGAATGAGGGAGGAGAAGCATGCTAACTGAGAAAGGTTTCTGGCATTCGAGACAAGATGCGTATAAGGGCGGATTAGGACCTTGGCATGCGAAGGCGAGAGCTGCGGGGAAGACGCTGTATGAGACGATTGTGTTTTCGACACACCGGTTTACAGTGCTTGATGGGGCGGAGGGATATCGATTTGACGACTGGTAGGGATGAGCGGGCTGGCGAACTGCATGTAGATGGGATGCTCTGATATTTGGAGTTACGGTGGTGTTTTGCTTTGAGGCGCAATGGAATAGACGAGAAGGTCAGCAGCACGAACAGCTCACACCGGCTGTTGTCGGGAGGGAGTTTTTTCAAGCACATAGAATAGAAATATCTACTACAAACAAGTGGCTCTCCGGTATGGTAGTACCGACAACGTTTTGCGGCCGGCATTTAATGGCTACAGTGCGTGAACCGAGGCGGATTGAAAAAGATGACTATTAGCGGCCAGTGTTTGGTGAAGACGGATCGCAAGAGTTGAGGTGAAGAATACCTTTGGGGTTCAAAGGTGAGGTGACGGGAGGCGATGAGGTCGCCCTGCTTTTGCATGTTGGACCCTGGCGCTTTGCGACTTTTTGCCTTGCGCATCCGCATCATCCCCACTGCCTGCTGCGATCGCCTTGGGACTTTCACAACACCCTGTTCTTTTAGCATCTTACATATAGCCAATTTTTCTTCTTGTCTCGTCGCTTTTGAATTTGAATTTGAATTTGAATTTGAATTTACATACCTCAAGCGAACCTGTACATCTCCACGAGCCAGCGTTGCGCGCAAACTCGACGCGACGCCTGCGCAACAGCGCACGAGAACAATAGCTCTTTAGGGAACTCGCCCTCACCGCGCATACTTTGGTCGAAAATGGCGCGCAAACAAGCGAGCGCGCCGAAGCGCCAAACGAAGATCAACTTCTCCCCGGCTGCGAAATGCTCGCCGGCGAAGACTACGCCCACGAAAACAACGGGTTCCTCAACCTCCAAGTCCCAAAGGCAGTCCAAGATCGACACTCACAACATCACGCGGAAAGGCAGGCCGAAACGAGCCCCGAAACAAGCGCTTGCCTACGACTCGAGCGAGGATGAGCTGCAGATCGAGGAAGACAGGAGTATGCGCGTCGGCCTGCCAGTGAGAGCTAGGGGCAACGGCATATTTGGCAGCTCGGAGTCGGAGAGCGAGGCGGAGAGCGAGGCGGAGAAGCCAGTGAAGGCGAAAGCGACAAGAGGGAGCCGGAAGCGGCAGCGCGCAGCGAGCAGCGATGGAGAGAAGGGTACGGTCACAGTCCTACAGAGGAAGCGAGCACGGCAGGCCGAGTCTGCGGAAGAGGACGACGACGAGCTGAGACTGCCCGGCAAGCGACGACGAGTCGAGCGGCGAGAAGCAACTCCCGAGGACGAGAGCGAGGAGAAGATAGCCACACCGCCCCGAAGTACGCGACGCAGACTGGCAAAGCGGCCTGCGACGCCAGGGGAGGAAGAGGAGCAGACGCCGCCGAGAAGCACGAGGCGGAGGGCGAGAAGGCAGCAGGCATCGTCGGACGAGGAAGAAGAGGGACAGGAGGAAGGCGGTGAAGCAGATAGTGGCGATGCTGAGGAGCAGGAAGAGCTGAAGGAGGAGCTGGCATTCTTGCGATCGTCGCCACTGCCAGACAGAGGCAGGCTGCGGAGCGCAAACGACAAGCCCAAGAACAAGCGACAGGAGGCGCTCGAAGCGCTCAAGAGGCGACGAGCTGGCAGCACACAAGAGCCCTCGTCCACCCCGGCCCGCAAAACACGCACTGTCGTCGAGTCTGACTCCGACTCTGGGCTTGAGATCATCAAGGAGGAGCCGGACAGCGACGAAGTGGGCGACCCTGAGAGTGCGGTTGAGGAGGACGAGGAGGACGAGGAGGACGAGGAAGACCGAGATGCAAATGCGCTGGACATGTTCCAGGAAGACGAGGACGACACAGGCTTCATCGACGACGACCCGGACGCCATAATCGGCGAGCCAGACGACGACCAGCCGCAGCTGCCCATGCAGTTCAGCAGCATGTCGCGCGCCAAACCCAAAGAACTCTTCAAGTACGCCGTCGAGTGGATGGTCATGAAGAAGATCCACCCCGCCTTCAACGCCACCGACGAAATCTACGAACTCACCTTCCGCAAACTCGGCGACGAAGTAAAAGGCCTCGCCTCCTCAAAATTCACCTCCTCGGCCTGGACACCCGACTTCACCAAAGCCATCAACGCGCGGCCCGAACTCGTCATCAGTGAGATCGGCGGTTCGCGACGAGACTTCCTGAACGACCACTGCGAAGCGTGTAACCGCAAAAACCACCCCGCGACCTTCGAGCTCTCGCTCACGGGCCAGCCCTACAACCCCGAGTCCCTCGAGCCGCTTGAACCCGACGATTCGGACTCGAGTGACGACTCGGACAGCCCCGCGTCCTCTCTCAGCGCTGATGGCGAGACAAACCTAAACGGCGAGAAACCCACCTACGACTTCCGCGGTGAGCGCATCCCGCCCGAATCCAAAACCTTCACGCTTGGTAGCACGTGCAAAGCGAACGCACAAGTCGCACACACTTTGCATCACTGGCGCTACCACCTCAACGACTGGATCAAAGGGTATCTCGAGAACAATGGGTATTTGACGCCGGAGAAGCTGGTTAAGCGGGACAAGAAGAGTGGTCGCAAGAGGGAGAAGGAGGCGAGGAGGATTGTGGATGAGATGGAGAAGAAGGGCGAGATTAGGAAGTTGCACCACTTGTACAAAGATCAAGTTAGGTTTGCGGTTGAGGCTGTCAATGACTTCAAGAGAGGATGGGGCAAGAGGTGAATCACGATGTCATTGACTTGGATGCATGAAAACTTCCTTTGAGCTTACGGGACATTGCAAATATTCAGCAGGTTTGGAGGCTCTGTCTGCACAAGTCAGGGTAACGCGTTGGATACAGATCCCATTCAAGCCCTACATCGCCTTACACATCGCGACCCGGGAAATGAAAATCACTGGAGTCGTATCCCCATAGAAGGTCACTTTCCACTCTCCACACCTCCTTGACACGAAGGTTTCTTTGGTCCTGTAATGCTCCTTCCGCAATATACCGCAACGGCCCGTTTTCGCATGAGTCTCATTTCCGTCGGCCTTATTCAAGCATCGTCAATCTCACTCTCACGCATCAACAGACTCCAGACTGCTCGTATTACAACACCGCGGACCAACACTCGGAGACTCTAAGAATGCAGTCAAGGCGTAGACTGTACAGATAGCACAATGGCCGCCCTCCTAGTTGTTAGCCATCCCGCTCACTATCAACATCATGAAGTCCTCCACACTCACCACCACCACCCTCCTCCCCTTCCTACCCGCACTAGCCCTTGCAGCAAGCAGCGGCTGCGCGACCACCCTCCCCTCAAACCTCACACCCGGGTCTTCGACGCACAACCTGACCCTCTCGTCCAAATCCGTGCTCGGCAAGACCACAGAGCGCCAGTACATCCTGCACCTCCCCGCCAACTACAAGACCTCCAACGATGCATCAACACCGTTGATCATAGCGTTTCACGGCCAGTCCCAGCCAGCATGGTCCATGGAGAAGATCAGCGAGCTGTCGAATCCGGCGTTCAACCCCAACGCTATCGTTGCTTATCCTGAGGGATTGAATGTCCAAGATCCTGGCGTACGTTCCTCGGCAGCAAATGCATCTAGCTTGCGCTCTGCCAGGAAGACAGTTTGACTGACGTGATGCAGGTGCAATGGCTGGGCGACCCTCTCGCACCAAACAGCACCACAATCGACGACCGGATCTTCGTCTCCGAACTGCTCTCCCACCTGACTTCGACGCTCTGCATCAACGAGTCGCGTGTTTACGCCGCGGGTCTGTCCAACGGCGGCGGACTGACGGGGTTGGTCATGTGTGATGAAGAGCTGAATAGGAGGCTTGCTGCCTTTGCGACCGTCGCGGGCGCGTTTTACCCAGATGCGAGTCTGACTGAACCGCTGTTCCAAGCCGAATGCCAACCAGCGTTGCAGGGCAGGAGGTTGCCATATCTCAATCTCCACGGCCTCGCCGACACAGTCGTGGCGTACAACGGCACCAACACCCCGCCTCCTGCGTCCATTCCCGTGCCTACTTGGGTTAAAAGCTGGGTGGAGAGGAACGACTGCTCCTCAGCGCCTGTTGTGTCAGAAATCGAAGCCGGAACCGTGACGGAGAGTAAGTGGACGTGTGGCGGGCAGCAGGACACTGTTGTGCACCGGGCGATCGAAGGGTTCGGGCATGGGTGGCCGAGTAAGAAGAATCAGGGCGAGCCGTTTGAGACGCTGAGGGGTGGGCCGACGGGGTGGGATGCTACGCCGCTTATCTTGGAGTGGTTTGCGAAATGGACGCTGTAGATGATTTGAGCATGTCGGTAAACGAGAGTGGTAATGCGTGGAACAGACAGTGTTGTCCATTGGCAGAATCTCCATGCGACACGAAGCAAGAGATCAATACAACTCCAGGGGCTTACAAGATCCTTGAAGGCGAGAATGTAAGTGGAAAGAAATAGATGCACGATTGCCTGTAGGGCTTGAGACGAATTCTTTGACTTCGTGGTGGCAAAGTACACAAATGCCCATACAACAGCCTCTTGTGGGTTCACTGAACTCAACCTCTTGTAACCAAATCTTTGCATTACCAGAGGGGCTACTGCTCCTCTGGTCTTCCATAGTCTCGGACTCACATAGGACGTTAAACCACTCAATCAATCAAGCCTCTTGTGGACGATGCGAGCTAGTGTTCCGTGCAACGAAGTAGGTATGCTACTTCCACAGGCAAGAACACGGTTCTGATAGACTGTACATAACATGCTGATAGTCTCCAGGAGTTGTTTCGGTCGTTAGAAACCCTCGTTTGAAGAGCGTGGGGAACACACCCACATATGAATATGAACTCAGCTGCGTAACGATGGGCCAATTCTAAGATCCGAACTGCTTTTGTCAGATAGAATGACTATCGATGCATTAGTACAGGGTTGTGGTTGATTGGCGGTGCTCGTGTGGCGGTCCTGCACGAGGTGAGTACCTGAGTGTGTAGGTGTCGAGCACTGTGATGGCTGAGGGGTGCGCTTATAGTGTCCAGCGCCGCACATTGCGAAACGACGTCTTCCGTACCTGTTTTTCGAATCAGCCTCTTTATCGTATGCTCGTTGCCCTCAGCTGTATACTGCAACAGTCCACCAAGCAGCAATGCAACATGGATTCATTCAATCACGTTGTCCAATCCAACTCTAGTACGCCAAAACAGTTGGTATCAGGATGGAATTTTGTTTATTTGCAGCCAGACACGACGCCGACCGGTCAGACGAGGAAAGAAGTCCCCAAGAAAAGCCATGCAGAACCATCCTGACTATCCTGTCCCGGCGCTCTCCGCCCCATCATGCTCGTGGAAGTCGAATCGAGTCGAGATCGTATCGTCAGGGAATCATCGCGTCACACCGTTGCGCCTCCTCTACTCCGGTCGTGGAATTCGTGGGTACATTTAGCGGTGCTGGTTTGTGTTAGTCATTGCTTGTGCCGTGCGAGCAGCGACGGATGTTGCTCATGCAAACAAGAGGCACAGGTGAGTCGTACCTTGACGAAACCAATGTCGGCGGACTTCTCGCGGAAGCACTGACGGCAGATGTTGAGGCCGTACTTGCGGATCAGACCAGCGGGGTGGGTGCAGACGCGGCTGTGAGTGTCATGTCAGCCTGCGTTTCTCTTCAACACTCTTGTGTGCCCTCTTGTCTTGTCTTGCTGCACATGGCCGCAAATCGCACCACAGGCAATGCAATGCCAGTATCCTCCGCTCCGCAAAGATGTATAATCGCAAACGTACCACTCGCGGGAGCCCTTGCCGTAAGTCCTAGGGCGGGAGTACCAGACCGACTCGTGAGACATGCTGTGTGGTTGATTGGGGGGTTTTCGGTGTCGCTGCGGCGTCAAAGTCAGTCTTGACCTTGTGCAAATGTTTCTTGCGGTTCGGCAGGTGTACTGACAAAAGTTGGCTGTCGGAGACGGGTTAGCGGGCGTGCGTTGGCTGAGGCGTTCACAGTGTTGAAGTTGCAGGTATGAGATTCAATATTGCAGCCGGCCGATCCTCGGGTGCGGGCTAAGCGAGTTGCTCTTTCTTCGCACACAACGCGCTAGTGCCCTATTGGGTGATAACAGCAAGAACACCAACTTCACCAACACCGTTCCGCAGCGTTGTGGACTTCGCATTCACTTCTTGAAATCCTGTAGTCGACACTACATCAAGGCTTTCTCAATGCGACAATACCACCTAAATTGTGTATAGTGACAGAGCCTGCACCTCCTGAGGTGCGGCAATGCGGTGGTGTTGTCGAGATCGCCAGTGAAGCTGGTGCTGGTCGCCTTTGAAGCACTCCGGGGTAGCTAAGTGAGTGAGAAATAATCGCCCGCAATCGATTCCATACTAGACCTTTCTAATACGGTAGTTATATGAAGTCTGAAGCTGCTCATGTTTTTCTCGGTGGGGGTCTTTATATCCCGCCTTCACATCTGTTTCTATAGCGGAAATCAGGTTGCAGTAATGTACAGAGGTCTGATTCTGCCACACAGAATTGATGAGCAATCGCTATGCACGAAAAGATAAATGCTGTAGTAGTAATCATCAATTCGTGGTGTTTCATAAATCTAGTAAGGACAGTCATGGCGGCAACGGCCTCTCGCACAATATATACAGTAAAACTTCCAAACCCCCAAGCCTTTCCAACAAACCCTCTAAAAGGGACTCAAAGTACCTCTCCTCCTGCGCCTCGTCGTCTGCGTACCAGTCCTCTCCGCACTCTTACCATCAAGATCGGACACACACTGCAACCTGGTGGGACGAGCAGTGCTCCTCGCCGTGTACGCCCACCGGCCGTTGCCGCCACTGACAGCCATCGGGATGTTGGTCACACCGTTAACCAGGAGCGTCATTTTCTTATTGTCGCCATTGCGCACGTTGGAGCTACACGACACTGAAATGGTGCCAGATTGACGGGACTCCCATGTGTATGTGTCGATGGTAACGACGTCAGGTGCGGTGGGGCTAATGTTGACAGGGACCACGATCTTGCTACTGGCAGTGGCGTTGGACTTCAGGCTGACAGTAAGAGTGAAGTTGAAAGTCGTCTGAGTGGTGACCTTTGGTGCGGTGAAGGTAGCAGTTGGCGAGGTGGGGTTTGTGATGCTGATAGCAGGTGATGCAGGAGTGGTCTGGGTCCAGTTGAAGTTGAGCTGATCATTGTTGAGCTCCTGCGCGGTGTTAGAACCTGCTAATGAGAGTAGCGCGCCGACACGTTGCACAGCAGCGAACTGTGCAGCAGCTGCTACAGGCACGGTCTGGGGCGCATTGGGGTTGGAAGGATCACCAGTGGTGGGCGTCGTGGGGTTGTTGGTGGGAATGTCGCTGGGACTGCACTGCTTGCGAGGTGCAGGTGGGTTAGCTCCTGGGAATGGGCTCAGTTGTCCGAACTGCTGATCGTCCAAGAAGTCACCCTGAACGAGGCCCTGGATGTCGTTGAAGATGAGTGGTGGTGGGTTGGTTCCGGGCACGTCGACTTCAGGGAAGATCCATTCGCCAACAGCCTGGACAAACTGACCGGCCTTGATGCCGTTCTTAGTCTCAGTGACTGGGGTGTTGGTAGTGATGAGGTAATCGCGGGTATAGGGCGTGGTTGTAGCAATACGAGCTTCCCACTTGCAGCGAGTTTCTTGCCTTGGTGTGGCAGAACCAATGCGGCGGTAAGTCTCTGCACCAGTGCATGGGTCGACGTCGATGGCGCTAATTGTCACTACAGCCCCAGAGCAGCTGGAGAGGAATCCAATGACCCGGATGTCAGCGACCTCAACATTGGCAGCGGTATCTTGAACACCGATGAGCATGTCTTCAACGCGGATGTAGTTGGGTACGGTGTCCGAGGCTTGGGTGGTAACCTGGACGTTGATTGCTGTCACACTATAGGCCAAAATTTCTCCGTTGTTTCTAAGTCCAGAGTATTCGATGAAATCGCCGACCTTGAAGGGGACCATGATCAGTGGATCGGGCGCGTTGAAGTTTGTCTGCCCAGCCGGGCGATTTGAGTCCTTGCATGTCTCTGCATTGCCTGCGTGAGGAATGCACATAGGGAATCCAGAGAAGGACGAGACAGATGGGTTCTCTGTGTCAGCGATGAAGTAGGGCTGTGCCGTAGTCTTGGGCGCAAATATGCCGTCAGGGTCGTTGATTCTGACCCTTGGCCCACCAGCAATCTGAATCACGCCATCGTTGATTGCAGAAATATAGCCTTGACTGCCTTCAAGACCGAACCTGGCTGCGACTTGAATCTGTCCTGCGATAGGTTTGCCGCCAATGATGTTGCCAGTTACGGTGGTTTCAAAGCCTCCAGCTCCTGCGCTGCATAGTTTGGGGAAGGGAGCGTATACAACGGGGAATTGGACAATCATATTCTTCGGAACAGTGATTGTGAATTCATTGACACTGATGGTGCCTCCCGCGTTGTACTCGGATCCAGCTGTGCAGCTATTGTCACGTTAGTAAAGTTATTGAGAACGATGGGCTTAGACTCACGCATCAAGAGATCCTGTGACTTGAAAGGGAATGATGTTGGGAGTCTGAGCAAAGCCGACTGACGCCAGCGAGAGGAGCGAAGCCAACTGTGTAAGACGAGACATCTTGACAACTGTAACGAAAGTGTTGTGATGGGACTGGATGAAGAAAAGACGTAGGATTTTATATCTGACTTGCACAGCTTTGTTCTTCTGTATCCCCGCGTTCTGGTCCACGCGCTGGAGGCCTACACGAGGTCCATTGAAGCTCCAGCTGAACTATTTCGCTTCGTGTAGGCTGTCCAGATGCCTACGGTCCAGGGTTCAACGGATAGAGTAACTCCAATTATTCTGGCATCAGAAGTCAAGCGAGCAACGTTACCAGACTCTGCTTACCAGAGAGTGCCAGCACATGGTCGGCGTCCGCCATCAATACTTCCAAGGCTTTTGACGAGACTTGTAGAGCTCCAGGTACCCGCGGAAGTCAGTGTGCTCGCGCATCCAGGTCGTAATGGCAAGGCTGATCCAAATGCGGCAGCACGAGGGCTTGCTTTCTGGCCAATGTACCTAGTCAAGCTTCTGACGGGGCACGCTTAAGGCCAGCATCCTCATGCAAAGACTAGTCTCGACACCTTGGCGCAGCTTGTGTATACCCTAGATAGAAGTCTCCACTCGGGAGCGGCTGAGGACTGCCAAGAGCCCCTCGTATTCAGTCGGTGTACCCCGGGCCTTACCGGAATTGCCGCGAACGTGGAGTAAGACATCGGAACCAAAGGCCCATGTTATGGTGCCCAGGAAGCTAGACGGTGTCTTCTTTGTTGCTTCTTTATTCTGCTTCCCCTTCTCGACATTAACGTTGAACCCTTCCGGTACCGGTGTGGCGGAACCGTTCCAACAGCAAGAGTATGTCTTGAGAGAAGACCAAGCTGCAATTCGGCACTTGCGAGATGGTCCATAGCATCAGCTGTGCTCGACGTGCCGCTCATGGCTTGCAGATCGCAGCTGCACGGTGTCCTATTCTGAGATGTTCGGGTCCAGGAACGCCCGGATGATCGAGCATAAACTTCACAGCTTACAATCGTCCCCGCTGCAAGGCGAACAAGCAGGATTGAACGGGTCATCATTGTCATTCGCTCGTTGCGCTGGGCACAGCATGATGAGGCGAAGCAGATATTGTAGGGCTGTTCTAGAGCCATGTCAGCTGAATGGCCTCGTGGAATGATGCTTGGCTTTCTGTCAAATGCCGGTACCGCGCTGCGAAGACCAGCCAGGACCGACCTGCCTGGCGCTGGATGGCACTCTTGGGCTCGACAATGCTGAACGAGACTGCCGGTGAACACGATTCGGCGAGGAAGCCGACGTTCTGGCATCGTCCAACACGAAGCGGAAAGCCAAAGATAGGTGTGGTGTTTGGCTGCTTTTGCAGGAGTCTCGCTTATCTCGCTTTGAACCAGGCCGGGGGAGAGATCGACCCATTCTTCGCACGTGTCGATCTCGACCATCCAACACGAACCTCAGCCTCTCCGGCTCGCATTCGACTTTGAGGCTTGCCTTGGCAGCCTCGAGCATAGCTGTCTTGACAGACCGTCTTCAAAATGCCATATATCTAGCCGATAGCTCTTCTCTATGATTGCCCTCCGCCCTCAGCGTCGCCTTGCAAGGACCTAGTGACTCTAGTAGTTTGGCGTGCGCCCGGAGGGCCTCGGGTGCATGGAGGAAAGCGAGCAGGATCTGTACCCGTGTGGTTCTCGTCGTGGACTTTTCAGAGGGTCTGCTGCAAACAGCTTTGTGAAAAAAAAAATACTGAATACCTCCAGGCTGCCAGCTTGATTTCGACTCATGTCGTCTGAAGGGAACGGCGATTGAACTTCAACCCATCCAAACCACTCCTCAGTGCGCTCTGTTGTTGTTAGCAGGCTGCGTCTCGCTCATCACGAGGCACAGTGAAGTTCAGTCGCAGGGAGAAGCCAAGCCAGCTAGCTGATGCAGACGTTCGGGTTGTCCAAGTTTCTTGGGGTCAACAGAAGCGAGGTCGCGATGGTTGCTGGGAAACGCAGTCGGCCTCCCCACTTTGGCACTGCGAACATGAGGAGCAGGCACAAGTGCAGCGGGGCTCCTGTCAGACAAGTGGTTGGTGCGTGAAGGCGGCACGGCAGAAGAGGCACAGACGAAGGACGATCGGGAGATCACGCCGATGCGAACTGTACACGCGAGAACGACGTCTTTGCGATGCCTTGTGGAGATGGCAATTAGGAATGCGGTATAACTGCGTGGTTCCTCTGCAGATGTTGGTCGTCTCGAAGGCCACCAGCTTATTTACAATCCCAACAATCGTACCCTCGCGAACTGCTTTTCGACCCAGCTGAGCCATCACGCGCTACAGGGCATACATCCCTGCGGTACAACCAAGTTTCTCTGTTGTACGCTGTCTGCTCAGCGAGTGGTGCGGAGATAATGTGGATGAAACGGTACTTTCGTGTGTTGATGGGCGGCTCATCACCGAGGCAACGGCGATCAACAAGCCCTCACCAAAATCAAACGCGCGAGCCACTGATTGACCATAGGCCGGCCGTCGCCATCTTCAAGATTGCATCACTTTTGGTTTGGCAAACAACGCATTCTTGACACGACCACATATACATACTGTGGTAGTGCTGTGAGCGTGGTCGGCGCAATTCCTCTCTTTAATTGCAGCTCTTGCGACGACCAGCATTCCTCGCTTGGATCTCGCTCCCCCACCTGTGCATCGACATTCATACTCGGCCGATTCCACACCGCACTACATACTCGAGATCACCGCCGAGTAGCCCCACTGCGCTGCGCAGTCACAGTGCATACGCGACCAACGACGCCGCTGGCAGGTCTGCAGCCACCATGGACACCAGCTACCTCGCTCAGCAGGTCACCACCATCATCGGCCAGCTGCACGGCCTCTTCGATGAGATAGGAGTCCCCAGCCACGAGCGTGATTCGCGCGAAGCAGAGGTACATGCCAATGTACGTGTACGTCTTCGAAAAGCATAGCTGACTTCGCTCTAGCTCTTCTCTGCGCTCTCAGACACCCTCCATGGCCAGCTGCGCACTGTCACCAACGAGAAGCACGAGATGACCGAAGAGGCGCACGGCCTGATCAAGACAATCAAGCAGATGGAGGCTTCCCTAAACGACAACAAGACAAGCCCCAAGTACAAGAACGACGAGCCACAGGTCACCTACCCATTGACGCGGTGTCTGAAGGCGCTAAAGGAGAAGTACAACGCAGTCGCCAAGCAGCACCAGGAGCGCTTCGAGCAAGTTCGGAGTAGGTCACCTCCTCTGCGGCTGCATAGCTCTGCTGACATATCCAAGAACTTGCTGAGGCTCTCGAGTCGTACGCATCGCACCTCGAGTCCGACTTCGTTACCATCAAGCTGCCACCGACCGCGCCAGATGCGACCGTTTCGCCCTCGTTCGACATCTCCTCCTCCTACGTAACCAGGCTCGACAACGAGTTTACCCGCGTATACGAAGAATACACAAAGCGCCTGAACCAGGTTCAAGTCGTGTGCCAGGACATCATCCAGCTTTGGGCTGAACTGGGAACGCCACAGGCGCAGACAGACTCGGCGATAGTCAAGTACCACCGCGATGCGCCGGAGCAATTGGGCTTGCACAAGGAGGACTTGGCCGAACTGAAGGTGAAGAAAGACCGCCTGATCGAGGAGAAGCGCGGACGCGAACGACGAATTGCTCAGCTACGAGCGACCGTCGAAGAGCTCTGGGAGCGCCTCAGCGTAGATCCCAACGAGCAGAAACACTTCCTTGCCAGTAACCGCGGCTGCGGCCTGCGGACGATCAATGAGTTTGAAGACGAGCTCTCGAGGCTGAACGAGCTCAAGCGCCAGAATCTGCACATCTTTGTGGAAGAGGCGCGTATCAAACTACAAGAGCTATGGGATGCGTTGTACTTCTCGGAGGAGGAGATGCTTGACTTCACACCCGCTTTCTCCGATGTCTGTAGCGACGCGCTTCTATCGGCACACGAGGCGGAGATCTCGCGACTTGAATCGCTCAAGGAGCAACGATTACCCATCCTTTCGAAGATCGACCGACACCGTGAGCTGATCAAGGAGCGCACTGAGCTTCAACAGTCCAGCCAGGATGCCTCTCGACTAATGGGCCGTGGTCAGAAAGGCGAGAAGCGAGATCCTGGAAAGCTGCTGCGCGAAGAGAAGATGCGTAAACGCATCGCAAAGGAGCTGCCCAAGGTCGAGGCGGATCTCAAAGCAACCCTCGAGGGCTACGAGGGTGAATGGGGTCGGCCATTCCTTGTCCATGGCGAACGCTATCTGGATGAGCTGTACGCTGCTGCACAAAAGGCACCTCCACCACGGGCGAAAACTCCATCAAACATGAGCATGCCCTCGAAACAAGGAACACTCACCAAGTCCAACTCTATCGCTCGCGCTCGAGCTGGCACTATCCATGGACAAGCAATTCATGGACAAGCAACTCAAGGACAAGCAACTCAAGGACAAGCAACTCAAGGACAAGCAAACCACCGACAGACACTCAACGAGCCACCCAGTCGAGCTAAGACACCTGTATCGAACAACTTTGGCGCAAGCACGATGCGCGGCAATCCTTTCGCGCAGTCTGTCTCTGCAGCATCTGGCGCGAAGAGCCCCTCCAAGCTCCCAACCCGTGCACTACAGAAAACAACGGGCTCACCTGAGCGACGACCTGGCACCCTCTGCCGGACTGACTCTACGCTGTCCCGAGCCGAGTCGACTTACTCTACTCATTCTCGGGGCGACTCTATGCACTCTACGACATCTTCCATGCACTCACAAGCAGACTCACAGTCATCGACACTGCGAAGGATGGGTCCTCCCATAGCACCGCCTCCACGGATGAAAGACCTCTTTATCCCACCAGAGCCTACTGAGACGCCCAAGAACCGCTTCGAATTCCACCGCGGAGAACGCAGCGAAAGTATCGTACGTAGCATACCGCCAGAGGACCCCTACGATGACCGATTTAGTCAAACGATGCGACCTGGCTACCCTGCGTCATACGCACATGCGCCGACTCCATCGCTCTCATCGAACAGCAGCCGGCATATTTCGCAAGCGTCTTCAACAGGCTCCGGTCAGGCAGGGTCGGAAAATTGGGAGACCTTCAGCGAACAGTCTGATGATGCGCCTGAGAGTGACGTTGACTTCCAGAACTACCGCCGTAGTCAGATCAAGCGTGCCACACCTGACCATGCCTCTACACCGCGGGCTATCCAGGGCAAGAAGATCAGGGGCATCCGCAATGTCGACGGCGGCAGCATGATGATGGACCAGGACGGCCGTATGGTCCGTTGCAGTGATGCTGGCTGGACCGACGATGGCAGCGTTTACTGAGGTGATGGTGGCTTCAGACTACCTTCGACTTGCCACAGCAATTTCTTCTGCACCCCTAGCCGCGTACACCACCGTGTGCGACCACCATTCTAAGCAGCCAACGCGACCACATGTTGGCCACACGGCATCTTTGTTCGACGCGTTGCATCGGCCTTTACTTCTTTCGCTGTAATCTTTGACCGCTCGGCTGTCTGAAAATTTTTGCTTCGACTCATCTCTTTACACGAGATACGACTGGCGGCGATAGTCGCCACGTACCAGGTTGGACCGGGTACATTGCATGTCACTTATGCATGTACCCACAGGATGCCGTTGCCGCATCCGCGGTGGCAATCGTGTCCAATTTCACCTTCTTGTCGTTCTTGCCATTTCTGCCTTTCTGGTCCTCGCAACCTTTTCGCGAGTCGACGGCGTTCTGGATAGCGATTTTGGGCACTGTGCTGATATAGCTTTTTGTTCATCAGTTTGTTTGTGTAGCGAAGCTGCGAGATGCATATGGTAATTCTCGCGAACAGGATTGAGACGTGTACTATTACGATTGCGCCAAGGGCCGCAAAGACAATGCAAAAATCTTTACCACCATGCTGATACTGTGCGACGTCTGTGCCCTTTCTTTGCAGTGCATCAGATGAGATGGGGTGTTGGCCTTCCTATTAAGGTTCCTGGCACCGCCCGACCTTCTGCTTCTGGGATACGGGAGATCTTGGACTGAAGCGGAAGGTCGGCGCGATGGAGGGCGAGTGACATGTGTCCTTTGAAGAGACAGCCTGGAGGTATTCGACTCTCCCAGAATGAAACGCTACTATGAGGTCAAGGTACCAGGTGTATACAACGATAACGAAGCCAAGCAGCTGCAGGGCATGTCTCCAAAAAACCAGTTTCCAGGTCATGAGCCACACCTCGCGATCACACCCAAGTATTCTTTCAGCATCGCGCGCATGCACCCCACAGCCAGTTGGGGTAAGGATAGGACCTAGCGCATGCGAGACAGAGGTGCAGCGTCGAGATAAGGAAACGCTATCTGACAGGCCGGCAACCCCAGATGTTAGCCCACACTAGGGGCGCCTCTTCGGTGTGTTATGCTGTCATGGCGACATAATGGTGGTGAAGTCACAGAAGGCTTATCTTGAAGGTACACGTTGTAGGGCTTGAGGCAGAAGAGAAGAGGGCTCGAAGTGAAGCTTGCTGGCGCTGACCGGACTGCTCAGTGTCCTGGCTACACCGCCGCAGAATGCCCTGACTACACCGCCCCAGGACGCCATGATGCATTCTGCAGGCCTTCCAGAAGGAATGCAGCGTGGGGCAGGGCTGACAGGCCAGAGCACAGGCGAAGCACAGGCGAAGCACAGGGGTGGCGCGCAGGCGATCCTCCTCGGCCCAACTCTAGCAGTATTCGACCGCCGCCAACGGGCACTGACCGTTCGGAATGCACTGGGCGACGCACAGCGCTTCACGCTTCACGGGTTTCAAGCAGGTGGATGCAGCGACGTGGAGCGCTTCGAGGCTCTGAAGGACAGGAGACTCAGCTGCGGAATGTCTCAATGGTGCCTGGCGGCCATGCGTGCCTCTCTGTGTGCCGTGACACGGTAACATGCAGTGCTGATCCGGTGTGCTCTTGTGCTCGATAGGAAGGTCCGCCCACGCGACTGGCCGTCATTACTCAGATGTATCGAGCACTGATAGCCCTTGTGTGTGGTGACTGTCCCGGTGCAACCCGTGAGTGCGCTGCCTTGCCTTATCGCTGCATGCCACCGTACTGCGTATCTCTGCCATACTGCACACCTTACTTCTCCCCAACTTCACTTCAAACACCACCAGCACATTCGCCAGCCGTTTCCCGCACATTACTACCACGTCCACAGTCGCTGTCGCGTGCCCGGGGACGTTCGGCCGACCCTGACCCTGCACGTCTGATGCTCCCCTTACCAGCTGTCCAATCCCGCCGCAGCAATAACGTAAAGGATTCCATCCCGACGCGCAGCCGAGCAACGTCACAGACGTCTAGCCGTGCTGGGACTCGGAGCATTGTTAGTCACGGGAAAACGCTCACAGGGACTCTTGCCTACCATGATCTCGCCGAGAAGCTTCCCATATCTCCAGCATTCTCCGCCACCGCGCACCCGACCAGCTGAGAAGATGGGCACACGAACCCAGAGGAATCCGCTCGCACCGCGCACCACCAATCCCGCATGCACACCAGTCACGCCCGCTGAGCCTACTGACACCATGCTCAAGCACTCCAGTCCCGTCGTCATACCTCCTCGAACGGCTACACGAGCGTCTTCGACACAGACAGTCCGTGTAAAAGGACAAAACGGTGGCAGGCCAGCTCGCTCCACCAAGAGCCACAATCCAGATGCTCTCCCACCAGCAGTCGCCGCCCTGCTGGCTATCACAGCAATCCCCAGGCAGCCTCCACGGCGTCGCAAGCGCCCTACGTCAGACAGGAAGATATCCATGGACGAATTGATCCATGAGTGGAAGCAAGATGACCTGGAGATTCCGCACTCTTTGTCTGGATCCCCCATGGATCTGCTACTGGGCCGCATCGATGAGTCTGAGTCCGACTATGGCGGCAGCCTGCCGAGCTTGGAGCAAGAGAAGGGACAATTTGGGGCCTCAAGATCCATATCCAGCGACTCACTCTCAACACTGCCACCTTCACTTGACTACGATGCTCCCTCTTACTCCTCGCACTGGGACAATCTTAGCACGCCAGACTCACTGAGCCGCAAGTCTCTCTCAGAGCGCAGGGAGAAGGTCTACTCGTCACCACCGAAGGAGGACTGCGTCTTGGACCACCCATTGCTCTGCTTCAACGTAGAAGACTCAGAGGAGCCCACAGAAGCGAACATCCCAGATGTCGTTACCATCTCGCCATCGAATGAGAGGTTCAAGTCATTCAAGTCTAACCTCACGGCGTCACTGCAAGCACTAAAAGAAGCGGCCAAGTCATTCTCGAACTTCACGGCACCAAGCGTACCGCCGGAGGACCTTCTTACTCGATCGATTCTGTCACCCAAGTTTACCAGCGAGATGCGACCGAAACACTCGGAGGGGCTCCCATCACCAGCGCTCCGCCGCTACCTCAACCCTCAACCTGCTCCCATCTCTCCCACGGAGCTGTCCATGCAACTTCACGATGCGCTCATGATCGACGCCGATGCCGACACCCATGCGCCGATGATCCAGATGCAGACATACGACCGACGTGGCCGGTCATCAAGGAACCGACGCAAAAACGCGGACCCGTTTTCCGAAGCGGGACGCTTGCAATCACCAACACCGACCGTCCGCCAGCGCGAACCCCGCGAGAACAGTGACTTCTTGCGCGTTATCGTTCTCGAGATGAACATGCGCCGGGTCGGCAAGCTCGACGCGAAGGCCGTCGGCAAGGCGCGCATTTGGCTCCCGCCAAGGAAGTTGGGCTCTAGCAAATCACCTGCCTTTCAGAGCGCAAGCGGTGTGCCGGATAGATGGGTTGGCACGGCGGCATGAAGCGCTTGAAAATGCACTAATAGATGGAACGAATTTGCTGGGCTGGAAACCCGCATTTTCGCAAGATGCAATTTGCGGTCGGGCACACACGCAGCAAGACCCTCGTAACGTTCACGACACACGACAAGTTCGCGACTGCAAAACCGGCGCAGAAACCGTTTGACGTCGATGGCGCTATAGCCTAGCGACGATCTCGCACTGGACGTCTCCTCGGATCGCATGACCTTGGGCGGTGCTAGCGGTGCGATGAAGTGGATACCAAATGTTTCTACGGATTGCCGCATACGGCATTGGCGCGCCCACGACCGCTGAGCTGGGAATGTGTAGAGAAATGGACCAAGCCCTGCGAGCAGGATTGCATACACATCATCCACCACAAGGATGAACGCCACATGCATCTGCATCCAGGACAAGTCCCGGCATACCCGCAGTGCGCTCAGCGCGGTCCCACAGTGCACTCGGAGCCGCCTCGGTGGCGAAAATTTTCAGCCCCAACGTCGCATGGACACCAGCCATGCGCCTAGGCACGCGCAAACACAGCGGTCTGCGGAGTGCAAACCGTACCTGCAGAAAAACGTGCTCACACCGGAGTGCCCACCGGAATACCCATCGGAATGTAATCATGCTCTTCCACGCGTGTTCCCCCACCAAGTCCAGGCCTGGGAAGCCGGTTTATGCCGATGCCGGGAGTGGGGGCTGCAGTTCTTGTTACTCGAGATTTACTCGATGCGAAAGACACATCCTCGCTGTGCCATGGGCGAGGAGATGTTTGAACCCTGAAGTGGTTCTGCAACGGCTTCGAACACGGCTGTTGAAGGGAAGTGGACACCTCGACGAAGAGATGGCAAGAGCTGTGGTGAAAGGCCGACGAGGGGACGAGAATTGTCCGACACGGCGGTGGACACAAGATGAAGAGGGATAATAACGATTATGGTTACGATTGCATGGCATTCGCAGCGAGCATGATGGAGTGAGGTCAAGCGCTGACCGCACTGCACTCTTTTGTCTTTTCTTCAACATATTATGTTTCTACAGAGGCTTCTTCCTTACAGCATATACCCCTTAACATCTTAAAGCTACAATATCGTATTGTACAAAGCACAAAAACATCGAATACAAACCTCAATACCAAACACTGTTCCTTCGTCTGTGTGCTTGTGGAGGTCAAAGTGCGAATACAGGCGTCCACGAAGGATCTCCACCTGCTCGGCCCGTCTACACAGTACGCAGGCCTGAACGGCACATTGAAGACCGGAAACGTTTCCGAGAAGTCAACTGTTGCTAGTGGAACAAGTATCGAGCAAGATAGACGTTTCATTCCGACGGCTGTTGGCTTGAGATAAGAGGCAGTGACTAATGACTTCGTCAATACTGTGCAGTCATTCGAACAGACCGAAGTTGATTTGTAGAATACAACACACAGAACTAGGTTGCTGGTTTTTACATCCACACCTGATCGACACTGTAAACACCCTCGAAACGACTAGACATCCGCACATGACATGCAGCATAACCAGAAATGAGTTTCGTTGGATAGTAACGCGAGGCGCGCTCTTGCAGCGCAGCATCTTTGGATCATCATCACAACGACAACAACATCAATTGTACTCATCGACACCGGGAGCACTGCAATCTCTAGCGCGGAAGAGACGTCGTGAGGCTGATATCACACGTAAAAAATGCCACGAGCCTATGTTTGCTTCTCGCTGCTAATGCTGTTCTCCAAAAGACAAGCAACATCGATGGGAATTTCTCACTGTGCATGGTTGTCGACCCAATACATTCAATTATGGTCCGTTCGTCCTCAGGTCAGTCGTGGAATTTCACTTCGAGTGATCAGGGGTCGAACCTGGAGATCTCAGATACGAGGCAGTCTCGCTTATCCGCACCTTTCTCGAGTCCCACCACAGATTTTGCGAGCATTCGGGATAAGTGGAAGACGCACTACGGCGCAGCATAATACTCTGAGTTATATGTTAAATAATTGCTACTTTCTTCATCAAAGCAGTTAACAACTGGCCTAATGGCCCAATGGCAAGGCGCTTGACTACGATTCACTGAATCCGATATCAAGAGATTCCAGGTTCGACCCCTGGTTAGGTCATATTTTTTCTGTTTTTGTTTCGTTCTGCTTTTCAGCACTATCATCAGTGCGCTTTCTGTATCGGTTTGCGGTGCGGAGATGACTATGTCGAAATGGCGGATGGTGCGACTCCCTTTTTGCACAATCGGTCAGATCTATCAGAACTTCATGCGACACAAAGTAACATCAAGTCTAACCAATCCTGCCCTCGTAGCAGCCCATGCCAGCATGGGAAATGCTGTATGTCCAGTACTGCTGCTCTCGCTGGCTTGTCCAAAAAAAAAGGGACGTTTGCAAGCAATTACTTTGGTAGATATCACTCAAATGTCATCGTGCTTATACGGCCCCTGTTTTTATTTGAACGAGAGTCTGGATGTTTTGCCAATGTCTCCTGTCACGGCTTGCATTTGGTCGCTCGACTGTTTATCAAACATCCGAAAGCACAATTCCAGATTCGACCCTTGGTCACCTCATCCTTGTCAACATTCGCACTTCACCTCTCTCTACGCCACTTGCAACGATCACAACATACACTTCGCCATCGTCACAACCTCGCAAATCTCTTCAGCACATTAACTCTGCACCCTACGTCCAAGCCAAGAGCCCTTTATATCTTCACAATATCTACCCTACTTCTCTCCCACAGCCGATGCGCAACCGCAACACCCCTCTGCCTCTCCTCATCCGTAACCTTCGCGGGCTGGACAATGACTCTTGCGTACGTGCCGGCTGCGCGACGCTTTGCGAGGGTACCCGGGTTGATTACTAGGACGGATTCGACGACCTAACCACAGGTTAGTAAAATTTTAAGGATATAGTTGAACCGCAAAGGGAGTCGACGTACCTTAACAGTGCCTTGCAAAACACTAGGTATAACAAGTATATCCGGCCTCACATTCAGCATCTCACCAAGCTTGAGGTAACTCGTGTCGAGCGGTGTGCCGATGGGCAGGAACGGACTCGGCTTCTCATCTGCAGCATCCTCTCCCTCCCCTTCCACCAATTTCTCCTCCACCTCTACAGGCTTGATATACTTCTCTCTACTCATCGGCGGGAAAACAGGAAGAAAACTCCTCTGTTCAAGCACATTCCTCGCCCCCCTCTCGTAGAAATTAACACCCTTCGCTTTCCCGCCGCTGATCTCTTCCTGCCTCAACATGCTCAGGATGTCAACGGAGCTCATGCCCACAGTGATCTCGTTCATGGATAATGTCATCGGGTTGGTGACGCATTGAACCATTTTACCTGCCGCACCGAGGCCGAGGTCGCGCTTGTTGAATTTGTCCTGAGGAAAGGCGGCCGCGTGGTGGTGTGCGTCTCGCAGACTCGGGACGAGGATGACGTTGCACGTAGCATTCCTGGCCACGAAATCCTGTAGCGCGCTTGAGATGTGATGTCGGAATAGATCGGTCATAGTCGCCTGGTCTGGTGCTGCGTTTGGCGGGGCGTCGAAGTCGCCGGTGCGTATCTGGGGGTGTTCCGTGTCGAGGAAGGGGCCGAGCAGGATGATAGTATCTGCGTAGGCGGAGGTGGCGTTGTCAAGGAAGGTGTGGAGCGGTGCGAAGTCGAGGTTTTGGTCGGTTGTGTAGGGTCCTGCGGCTACCATCATGGTCAGTGGACGGGCGTTGTCGGGGTCAGAGTCAGGTGTGTCAAGGTAGCGTGTGTTGATGGCGTCGAGTTCTTCAGGTCTGGTGGCTGGAGGGTTGAGAAGAGGGAGGGAGAGGATCTCGGAGACAACGAAGATGTCGCCGCTGGCGTTGGTTCCGCGTAGAGCGACGATCTGGCCGGGGAAGAAGTTGTAGGAGGGGAGGCTGTCGACCTTCAGTGGCACTCGACGCCCTGAACCCATGCGCCGCGAGCCTTCAAGGACGAGTGATGCTGTGTTAAGCTTCCCTTCGCTTGTGTCGCTTGCTATGCGTCCTACTGCGATGATCTGGTTTGGTGATGGCAGACTGGGGTTTCCAAATGCGCCATCATCCAAGCCCATCGATTCTTGAATAAGCTGGCGAAACTCGTCTATCCTGTCGTCGAGGACTTCTGACGCTTCGGACAGCTTCATAGTCATAGTGCGGTACGAGAACTTGGACATATCCGTGTTTGCCTTCAACTTCATGCGCGGTACGGTCGGCGGTTCAGAGGGAGGATCTGGAAGTGCCATATCGCTGCTCATGAATTGTTCGGTGATGTCGTTTGCGTTTACGCGGGTCGTGAAGTCAAATGCCCTTTAGATGTCAGGATAGAGTCTCTTTCAGCAGAGTAAGGTTCTCTTACGGCCCAGCTGAAGTATCCCCCTTTGGTGTGAGACCTCCAGCAGGCGAGCTCATGAGATGCGCCTTGCTTGCTCGCCCGCTGGGTGTGTCGAAGTTGCTCTTGCGCTTCACTGCACTTCCGTTCGCGCGGGGCGTGTTCGGTATCAGTCCCTCGATCATATCGTACATGTCTCCGCCCTTCCCTCTCGGTGTCGGGCGTTCTCTCTTGACCTCAGTCCTCTGCTGTGCTTTCCCTCGGCTTTCGCGTTCCAATGTGTCCTGGATGGTCCTTTTGAAAGCCCGTACGCTCTTCAGCTCCATCTTCTCTCCCTCGGCGCCCATCTTTATGCTGTATGCCTGCCATTTGAAATCCAGCTCCTCGGCAGATATCGAGTACAGTCGCAGCATTGACTGCAATTCCGCGAGGACATCCGAGGGGAGTTCATGGTCTTTCGTGTCGCAGTAGCGCTCGAAGCGTTCGGTGAGTTCGGTGGTCGCGTCGTCCATGATTCGTGTGTGTATATGGGAGAGGTTGTGAAGATGCCACAGCGGTGCTGGTGCTGCGCGTGAGACGCGTCGACGCGTCGAGGTAAAGTGGTAATGCTAACGCGATAACGGCTAGCGGGGTGGGGATCTGCTACAGGGACCGGGGGTTGTCGCCAAAAGTTATCTTGGATGAAGCTCGCCTAAACTCCTATCACGGAGGCACTCAACACTCCCCTCCTTATACCACCACGCTCCTACCCTACTCGAGTACTACACAAACCATCCCAAACTCTTCAAGATGACGACAATGGGCCCAATCGCCGAGCCCGCCGCTGGCAGCACACCAGCACCTCCCGCCGCTCTCACCGCCGATCAACAGAGCAAGTACGACCAATTCCTCACCGAAGTACGAGCCTGGGGGTCACTCCCCGCCTCCTCTGCGAAAGGCGCCGAGTCCACCCCTCTCGACGATAACGAACGCATGTGGTTGACCCGCGAATGTCTGCTTCGTTACCTCCGCGCAACCAAATGGAACCTTGCACAAGCCTCCACTCGCCTGCGCTCTACAGCTGTCTGGCGGCGCGAATTCGGCACTGAGAAGCTCTCAGCCTCATACATCTCCCCCGAAAACGAGAAGGGCAAGCAGGTTCAGCTTGGCTTTGACAAGTCGGGGCGGCCATGCTTGTACCTTCTGCCACAGAACCAGAATACCAAGCCTGGGCCAAGACAAGTCGAGCACCTCGTGTACATGTTGGAGAGGACAATTGACCTGCACCCATCAGGCCAGGAAAGCCTAGCGCTGTTGATCGACTTCCGCAACACATCCTCAGGCGGCACACCAGGACTGGGCATAGCGAAGCAAGTTCTCGACATCCTGCAGAACCATTACCCCGAGCGCCTCGGCCGGGCATTGTTGACACACCTTCCCTGGTACGTCTCGATGTTCCTGAAAGCCATCAACCCCTTCATCGACCCCGTCACAAAAGAGAAGATCAAGTACAATGAGCCCCTCACCGACCACGTCCCTGCATCTCAGCTCATGAAAGCATCTGGCGGCGACATCGACTTCAAGTACGACCACGACGTATACTGGCCGGCGCTGGAGAAGCTTGCTGCGGACCGCAGGGCGAAGAGGGCAGAGAGGTGGGAGAAAGCCGGCAAGCTGATCGGTGAGAGCGAGATCTATCTTTGGGGTGGCGAGGAGCAGAGCGTTGGTGGTGGGCAAGCTGCGGATGCTAATGGCGCGGCCGCTGCTGCTCCCGCCGGTGTAGCTCCTGTCGAAGCTGCACCGCTCAGTGATAACGCTGTTGTTGCGCCACCGGTCCACGCTCCAGGTGCGAACGGCGATGCTGCGCTTGCAGACGACGTTGCGAAGTTGGACGTCAAGGACGGCGAGGCTGTCAAGCCTGCGGTCTAAGTGTGATAATCATTTGAGCGTTGCATCTTGGAGTTGAGCGATATGCATCATTAGACATAGGTTAGATACAGCGAATCTTTTGCCTTCGAGGTCAGCACACATCGAGTACACAGTTGAACGCCCGTTTGGCTTTGGAGGCCACTGTTCATCTTTACATATTTGATCTGCTTTTGATTTTGGTTCACATTTCTACTATCCACAGACAAATGAAGCGTGCTCAGGTTACCCAGACATCTGCTAGACCCGTGTAAGTCCTCCGTGTTTTGTTTCTCTTGTGGGACCAGGACACGACTGATGGCTACGAGGTTGCCAATCCTTCGAACCGCGGTCGCGAGGCTACAACGTGGTCACCACAATGTGTTTCCCCCAACAGCGAGGTCTCAGTCTCACTAACTGATCAGAGTCTCCAAGTTCGTTCTTGGCCTCATCGGGCTGACAAACGCAGCATCGCTAGCACACCGACCGGCACCGGATGCATGGGGCGTGCCCCAGGTGATACGCCTTGGGTTGGCCACTCTATGTACACTGCCTCGGGCGAACCTGACTGCTGGCCCCTACTCGTTTAACACCCCTGTGAAAGAGGTAGGTCGGATTCTGCACTTACATTGGTGACACCGCCCTCCAGTCATGTTGCCATCTCTTCACCTCGGAGACGCTTGATATCAACTCTCTTGAATAGAATGTCGAGCATGTCGTCCGTGCTTAGAGACCCCATTAGCAATCTTGGCCTATAGAGAGACGTCATATACATATTCCAACATCTATTTCGCCCTTTCCCCTCACTCCTCCTCGAAGATCTCATGGCCAACGTCACAATATTTATTCTCAACGATGCAACGAATATGACTTTAACTTGGGTGACGAAACCCGTTTATAAGTCCGGCTACGTATTCAAGGATGCTTGGTTTTTGTGCTACTCAGGTTCGGTGCGCTTTGGCAGAACGGCACGCCAGCCTTCTCTGGAGGCTTCCTGCAAATTATGTGCGCTACAACATATGGCGACAGTGTCATAAACCAAATGGAAAGGAGGCCGGTCAGAGAGGCATTGAGAGCTTACCGGATGATTTATTGAAGTTGAAGGTGAGATATGGGCAGGTCAGCGACGGTGCCGGTGAGAAGAAGTATGCAGCATTCGGAACGGTGGAAGAGACTGAGGTCCTGTTCAAGGGATCATGAGGAACTCGTCGCTGAGCTACCAGGTCATCACCTGTAAGGGCGAGGTTTCTTGCTTCAAATTGTTCTATTTACGGTGGTAGTGTTGGTCGAACCAAGTCGCATCCAAGCCTCACATACTTACGAATCCCCAATCCCACTTCAAATAATCGTCAAAACCCCCGGTGACCAGTAAAACACTGTAATATATGCGATAAGACAGGAGGTGCCGTTTGGACATAGTCCAGAAAGCGTTCTCAGTTTGACTGACAACGCTAAGTTGTCTGTTGCTGATGCTCAACCACAGCAACAACCAAGTGTCTTGTCAGCTCATTGTTCTCCTTGACAACCGCTTAATTCTCTCATCTCACCATCTTTTAGCGTATAAATTTTTCGCTTATCCTCCGTGGTCATTTGTAACGCAGCTCGGGATGAACGAAATTCCTCATGGAGTAGGTTGTTGCCATTTCTCCATACAACGCCGACTTGGCGAGCTGCTGTGGACGACGCCATCACTCCCGCAGTGCTGTACAAACCCCTGACAGCATAAATTGCTGTTTACATATTTATTGCTTACCGGGCGGGCAATTGTACACAGCCTGGTGCCACGGCGTATTTGGGCCTTCGACTTCAGATATCTTTGGGCTGTTCCTTCCCGTCTTCTCGGTTGACTGTCCTCGTCTCTTTTCCATCGCACGATATTACGACACCTACCACCAACTCGGAAGTTTTGCTTCGCAATGCCTCCTTCTCCTCTCTCAGCACGCGAGCCGCAAGCCGATGCTTTGCAGCACCAAGCAGGCTCATTGCACTAATCGTCGATATCCCAATACTCTATGTAGCCGTGGCGGGCTTCGCGGTAGTATATGTTCAATGGCCAGGACCAAGGAGAGGGGAGGGGTCGGATGATTTGATGTGTTCTTCTTCGTCTAAGGTTTCGTGGTGTGGGATGACAGACAAAGGCTCATAAGGTGGTACCTGATAAGCTCTTTATTGATGTTTGATGCCGCTGGTTGCATCGGAGTCGAGGGTACAATAGCGTCGATCGTGGTATTGATAACCTTGTCTATAATGCCGAGCAAATGACTACCAGCTATTCCGAATAATTGTAACCACCAGGAGTGTGCATTGTTCAGTCTGCGGGTATGAAATGTGCTGACAGCTGCATGGTGGTCCTCTTCTGGTGCGTAGACCTGGAGCGAACAAGCACTGCGAGGATGCAGAAGTGTGACGGTTCATTTGGGTCATGGTAGATGCAGTGCAGTTCGCTGTCTGAACAATCTTCAAGAGTAAGGAAAAGCATGCCGAGATCAGGACAAATAGCTAACGCACGTGTAGAAGTGCGAGACTTGACAGGGGAGTCTGCGGTATACATAGGGTATATGAGGTGAAGTCGTTCATAAAGGGCTACAATCATCAAAACTCGTCACAAGTCCACCTCTTTCACACTATCATCGTGGTATCCCCCGTCAAAGCCGTCAACTGATCAACACTGGGCGCCGTGAAGTCATCATCAAGCGCATAATCCCTCACCCACACGCCCACCTCCCCATCCTTGCTTCTCCACCCAGCTCCTCTATGCTTCAATAACTCCACAATCTCTTCAACATCCTTAGTCAACGTCTCGCCCGTACAATCCTTGCTTCTGAACTCTGCACCATCTTCAAAATCGAACACACCCAAGTAGCTAGCAATGACCTTGTAGCTCTCAGTCCACTCTAGCCAGAAGTCGCCAGATTGAGCTCTACCCATGCGGTCTGGTTGGCTGAGCAGGTCGTTCTCGGGTCCAGGAGCGAGTTGGAAAGTGACGTTGCGCAACGTGGGTATGCGGTGAAGGGCGCGGATGATGCTTGTGACGTTCGTTGCGAAGGGAAAGACGCCGGTGAAGCTGAAGGATGTGATGTTGCAACATGTTTCCACTTCTTTAGCTAATCGCAAAAGCATCAGGTAGAGCATCTTGGGTGACTGTTTGAGGTGGTATTCATAGGTGCTGTAGGCGGTGATAGAGGACCCTTCGTTATATCCGACATAAGACCATGGACGACGGTGGAGAAGCGCAGTATTCCAAGGTCGACAGCTGGAGCTCATGTGGTCGAGACGTGGAGGAGACGGCTGTACGAGTTCGATGTAGTGCATCTTCATGTCAAAAGCCCACGTGTCTGAGCTCAGCATTTGCGTGTCGAGAAGGCCAGCGAGAGTCGCTGGAGGCGCGGCCACAACAACACGAGTTGGCTCGAAGTAAGTGAATATCTGTGTCCATATCTCCGCGACTGCTCGAGCCAATGGTGCGTCGGCGGTGGACACATGGCGCAATCCGTACTCTATATCGGTGTGTACCACTATGCTTTTGATGTGCTGCTTGAGCTGGTACTTTGAGACAATGCGACCAAAGTCTGTGAAGCTGCTGTTAAGATGTGGCAACCATAATATCGTTGGTGACGACTTCAGAAATTCATCGCCCTCCTGTATCCTACACAGGTTGATAAGGATGTCATCGAACGATTGATCAAAAGCGAAGGCGGAGCTGCTCTTGAACTTGCTGCGCATCTTGGTATAGATCATGAACTCATGATTGCTCAATGTAGATAGCTGGCCTTGCATGCTTTCGATGAGTCGAGCATCTAGAGGTACCCATTGCGGATTTGGGTCGAGGGGAACCCTAGTGTATTTGAACAATATTTGAATGACGACCTTTCTCCAGCGCCATGACACTCGGGACAAGTTTTTCAGAGGTGTAGCATCCGCGACGGTCAGTTCCGTGGAGGGCTCGTGGGCAAATTTGGCAATCGAGGGCGCCTCGATGTCGAGGTGGGATGCGATCTGAATGAGAAGCTCACTGGGCAGCGCATGCAGGCTGTGGGATGGAGCTTCATTCATCATTGATGATGAGTCGAATTAATACAGGAGTATGAGTATGTGTAACTCAGCATCTCCAAGTTGTAAGGATATCTTTGAGGGGTCGGTAGGGTGAGTGTTAAAGATGCGGAGTTGATGGTGGAGCTAAGGAGATGATCTATCGTACGTCATCCTCTAGCTGGTCATTCATTAGAGCGCGTTTGGACATGAACAAAGTACAGCGCATAACACATCTGACAGTCTGAATTATGTGAGATGAATTGTACATGTACATTTCTCACAGTTAGAATCCTGCCCTCACAGCACCCTCCAACCACGCAACACCAGCCATCACGCCATCCACAATCCTGACCCTTTGCCCCTCCTCCTGCCCCAGCTCTTCAACACACGCCTCTCTTACCATCTGATCCATACCAGCCATGCCCGCACAGCCCAGACAAATCGCACCCACCTTGCCCTTCCTTAGTAGCCGCTTGACAGCATCCTTCATCTTCTGCCTGACCTCCTCAGCCGGCGCATCATGCAGGTCCGTCGCATTCAACCCTGTTGTCTCGACCCCAGCAAACCGCTTGCCCGCATCAGCACTTGTGCCGAGGAACTGCACTGTAGCCTCTGTGAGGATGTCCTCCCAGACCTTGCCTGTGCTCACAATGCCAAACTTCTCCTCAGGGTGTATTGACTGCAAACTGGCGCCCACGCTTGCCTCGAAGATGCCGGTGACAGGCTTACGACCAGCCTTGATAGCGGGCTCTTCCTTCAGCAGTGGTACGAGTGGGTGTTGCGAGTAGCATGCGACAAGGAAGGCATCGTAGCGATCGAGAAGCGGCCCCAGGGTGGGTAGGCAGTGCTTGATTGACTCATGCGCATCTTCTTCGTTGTTGATGCTCTTCACGCCATCAGGTGCGGTGAAGTAGTCGTGCGTTGTCTAGCTGCGGTCAGTTGCTGGGATGGAGTGGTGAGTGGTGCTGATTAACATCTTTGAACTGCAGCGCGTCGACCAGAGGCTTGAGGCCATCGGTCATCGACACCGTCGAGTTTGGGTTGATGACGAGAATGGAGCGCATCTTGCTGCATCTAAGGTTGCGTCCTTGACGGTATTCACCCATGGGTCTCACTTGAAGCTTTCCTGTTCATTCTCTCGCTACCCCGCGAAATGTTGACTTCGCGCGTGATGGGCAAAATAGTGGAGCTCCTGCGACAAGGGGTTGGTTTACGCGAAGCCTGTGACATCATTCAGCTTTACGCGCCGGACTTGGGCAAGTTTCAATGTTCATTGTTCGACGAAGCTTGGACAGTGCGATAAGAGGTCTGTCTGTTAAACATACTATAAGATGTGTGTGATGTGATCACGATGCAGTACAATTGCAGATCGGTACGGGCGGTTGAGAGATCGACGTTGATGGTTTGATTAAACTACAGAGGGCATACGAAGCCTGGTGTCGACGAATATCTCCTTGGCATGGTGAGACATATTCGACTTGGAACCAAGAACAGTGGGACCTGCTTTATCGCACATGTGTGATAACAGCCCAGTGTCTACTGGTCCAGAGCGACATCAACAAGTATCCCATGCTAACGCCTTTGCTGGTGGCATTATCGCGGTGTGATGAAGGGTATAGGAAACTAGCTTCGTAAGCAAAATGCCATATCAAAGGCAGAGGCGGCAACGTACAGGTCGTAACATCGTCAAGGGTATGCGTTGTCTAGCGGAAGCAGGAGAAGCGACCGCAAGAGATCCTGAAGGGAGCGCGGCGGACACCATGCCTGTCAGCGACGACACCACCGCCTGGAACATCTGTTAGCTTCCGAGTTATCCAGGCGAGCAACCAAAAGTGAACTAACCGCCATGTTTTCCGCCCCATTGCTTAGTCCAGAGAAGACCCATGGTTGTGTAGTGTGACTTGTTGGTGGTTGATGAAGGTTTGTTGTAGCTGTCGAAGCTTGGTAACGTATACTTGGAGGACGTGTTGGCTTGTGGTGGGAATGAGGAGCGATTGATGCGTTAAATAGGGAGTTGTTACGGGAGGCTGAAGCAAAGCAGGGTAAACAAGCTGGCTGTCAATGAAGCCTGTGACGTAGGCCAATTTAGGAAGTCTTGGCCAATGACACTCTTGCGTGAAATATCCCGTCCCGCACAGCCACAGCTTGCGAAACGACTGCAACTCAAGTGGGATCTAGAGCTGCAGCTTCACCAGATCTGGAATTGAAGTGCCTCCTAATGTGGTAACTGACGTTGAGGCAGAGCGGTGCGCCACAACACCGCGGGATGATCTCTTAGATTCTGCACGTTAGAAAGCCCGAACCAGTAGATCTTGGGGCACAATTGCGACATCTTGAGGCTGTGAAGTGTAGCGAGAAATAGTTGTAGCCTTCATCTTGTATGTTCTGCATCAGTGGCATGACGAAAGATTGAGATATCGATCACAGTCAGCATCTGCAAAGCGAAGGCTCATAAATCACTACAAGCCTCATGAAGACAAGGCCCAAGATAGGAGCTTATTGAGAACAGCTTGGCATAGTGCAAGTAAATGTCGCTCGCTTTGTTCGGTTCGACCTCCCGATGACGGCTTCTGACTTGCGGCACGAATTCCCCTGTGCAAGGACGGGTGCTTGTGTTTGTATACGTAGGAGTTCGTGAGCGCCATACCTGTGCTACTGCGTACGGAGTGATGTTGAACAAAGTGCCATTCACAAATGGCCTAAATGCCGATTGCCAAACGCTGTTCAAATTCGTTATACAAAGCATGCCTGTTGGTAAGAGGAATTGTATGCGCCCCAGATCCTATCCCTATATTGTACAGATTTCATGCAATGGAGCGGCTCAGCGCGCCATATCCTTCAGCCTCGTTCAAAATGAGAACTTTTCCGTAAGGCCTCTCATGCGTTTTCCCTTCCACCTATTGTACACTGGCTGCCGTCTCATTGTTGCGGCTTATCGGCCAGGCAGACCACCCTGTGCCATAGCAGCGTTCTGCTCCTGGAACCTGTCACCGAGGCGCTGCGAGCCCTTCATGTGCTTGTCGACGCATCGCATAACGCAGCCCTCCTCGCGCGAAGTGAGGGACTTGCTCTCGAAGCCGTTGACGCACGAGTCGAAGCATTGCTGGACGAGGTTGGAGTACATCTACCATTATCAGCTCCCATTCCATCGAAGTTGATTACATCAGTCTATGAAGAACTTCAGTGAGCATGTACGTACGTTCATGAATTCCTTCATCTGCTTCTTCTCCATGCGGTTCTGGAGCTCACGCTGCTCGCTCTGTGTAAGTCTGCGCGCGGTCAGCTTTGCACGACATGCATGAAGTGGCAATCGGCGCATACTGATCCATGATGTGTGGTATATGTGGGATGCAGATAGACTGTAGTTGGGTATATAGATGGTATAGGCGTTGGTGTTGCTGTTGATATGACGTCCTGAACTATTTTCTCGAGAAGCTCGGACTGCACAACGGCTGCACCTGCCCCGACCAGCCCACAAGGAGTTGTAGGCCGAAGGAGCGCCTCGAGGATCTTGAGACAGATAGCTTTCGATCTAGAACGCTGCTTCAACCTGATTCCCGCTCTCATGGATCGTTGCACGGCGGGCCAATATCTTCTCATTTCCGGCGACGCGCTTGTACCTGTACCTTTTCGGCGCCAAGTGCAAGCTCTATTATTGGGCCGAGTAATGAGCAGCGACGACAGAACAATAACTGCTCTCTTAATCCCATCTCTGCGCTGCATCTGCTGCTGATCGACCGTCTATCCGCGCTGCGACAGGTTCCAGAGCACACGCCCTGCGCAGTGTCTGAATGTCAGACGACCGTAGGTGCCGTCTTCCTTGGATTTGAATCAATCAGCCACATCAGAGGAGCCCTCGCCAAGTGTCTATCCAACATCCCCAGCGCTCACCACCCACTGCTGCGATCATTGCCCTCTGCAGCCACCAGTCCTGCACACTTGACGTCGCCGTCGCCGCCAGTCCCCAGGCGCAGACTGCCTTCCTCTTGCTCCCTCCAGCCTGCTGCTTAATATCCCCGCGACCTGTCGCATCGACTCCTAACCGCTGCCGCTACTACGTCGCGTTGTTCACGAGTCCGTAGTGTACCAGCTCCCGCCGACTGCACGGCCGCACGCGCCGCACTGCACCCGCCCAGCAGCCCTCTGCAACGTCGCTCTGCTCACTCTCCTGCGCCCACGACGCCCTGCAGCACCACGGCGAGCCCCGCAGGCCTGCGATTCTTCCGTTCGCTACGCTGCGACGTCACAGAGTGGCCCCGTTCCTCTGCCGCCTGCAAGACCACTCTGCGGGCCCACTCTGGATTGCTTCGACTCCGCAACACACAGCGATCATTCACAGCCCGCGATATCCTGCGCCTGAAGAGCTGCGACGCTCTGCAGCCTGTCTGCCATGCCTGCTGCGACGCAGCATCACCCCCACACGCCGCGCGTGCGCAACGGCGAGCCTCAGCCCGCTCCAATCTCCGCGAACGAGCCCGTGTCCGCGAGGCGTGACTTGACCTCGTGGTGGAGGACCTTTAGCAAACGCGCAGTCAAGAAAGAGGAAGAACAGAAAGGTAAGGCGCCTTTCCATGCTCCATGCAGTCACTCAAGCGCAGCATTGCTCTGTGGGGAGCTGCGCTGTAGAGGCGTACCTGATAAGGCTGAGTCTTATCCGGGTGCGCTTGCAGCGTCTCCACTCCAGCTTGTTGTATACAGCTACTGACATCTCCCCAGCAGAAGCTGCACAACAGGGCATATTCGGTGTACCCCTCATCCAAAGTATACCCTATGCTAATGTAGCAATATCACTGTTCAACGAACACGGCGAGAGCTACATATATGGCTACGTACCCATTGTAGTCGCCAAGTGCGGCGTTTTCCTCAAAGAGAAAGGTTAGTCTTTTTGCTCTTAGCTATTTCCAACAGCTAACAGCCCCTAGCAACTGACGTGGAGGGTATTTTCCGGTTAGCAGGCTCAGAAAAGAGAATCAAGGAGCTCAAGACTGCGTTCGACACCCCACCACGATACGGCAAGGGCCTGGACTGGACAGGCTACACAGTTCACGATGCAGCCAACATTCTACGCAGATACTTCAACCATCTGCCAGAACCCATCATTCCTCTGGGCAACTACGACAGCTTTCGACAGCCACTACGAAATCACCAAGCAGAGGCTGTTGGCCCTATTGAAGGTCAGGCACCCTCAATTGGAGGCTTCGACGCAGACGCAGCTGTACGCAACTATCAGCATGTTATCAAGAGCTTGCCATCCCTAAACCGCCAATTGCTACTATACATCCTGGATTTGCTCGCAGTATTCGCTGCGAAGGCCGATGTCAATAAGATGACAACATCCAATCTGTCAGCGATCTTCCAGCCGGGTATACTATCTCACCCACAGCATGATATGTCCCCACAAGACTACAGGCTAAACCAGGATGTACTCATTTTTCTCATCGATAACCAAGACCACTTCTTGATTGGTATGGAAGGCACAGCTGTTGATGAAGGTACCGTTAAGCAGATCGAGAGCGGGCCCAACACACCACAAGTACGGACACCGACAACTCCTGGGCGAAACAACTCAGGCATCAACCGCTCAGCTTCTACATCATCGAGCGCGGGTGCCGACAGTTTACGTAGATATGGTGGTGTTCGCCGCAACGTTTCGACCTCGTCCAAGCGTTCACGTCATTCTGGAGCTATTCCAAGCCCTGTTACTCCAGGCTTTGTGACCCCACCCACATCTGGTGTACATAGAAGCAACACTTTGCCGTCGAAGCGATCTCCGGCTCTCAATAGCTCTCGTTTCGCAAACAGACCTTCGGGACCATCGACACCTACAGCAGAAGATGGCAAGGCGTTACTGTCGCCCAACACAATCGAGTCTGCAGCGGCAAATATCCCTCAGCCTGAGAAGAGTGCAAGCGAAGCAGATGTCTCGAAAGCGCCACAACCTATTCCGAGCCAGACGCTGCGAGTCAACGTACCACAAGAGCCTGCTCAGCCGGCGCCTGTGCCCGAAGATGCTGTCCCGAAACGCGCAATGACTCTTCCTCCTGGCAAGATTGAGCTTCCCAAGCCTGCTTTCGCGCAAGTAACCCAGCACCCTAGGGCCATGGCAGATACTCCAGCACTGGAGTCCATTCCTGGAGCATTCCCGCCATCAACGCCAGGCGTCGTTCCGCCAAGTGAGGTCAACACTCCGATCGCTTCCGTTCCTGCCTCTATCCCTGCCTCCGTTCAAGCAGCGCACGTATTACACCCTCCACCTGCCCAAGGTTCGGGCCGCCGTAGCCCGCATATGACCCCAACTCGCGAACGGTCAGAGTTCCTCGAAGCACCAGTTGACTCCGGTCCATCGGTCGAGCCAACTCCAGCTGTCCGCACGTTTACTCAGATACTTGCGAAGGTATCTCAGTCGCCTTCCGATATAAAGGATGGAAAAGACAAGGACGGTCGTAAGCCGAACAAGTTACAGAAGAAGCGGCTTCCGTCAGGTCAGATTCCCAGCGCTCACAGTTCGACCACGTCCTTGACTGGTCAACTCGCAAGCCTGGATGCCATTAGCGTTGCTCCTGCGCCTGCATCGCCTCTGTTCCCACCACAAGCTCCTTTTGCATCACAATCGCACACTAGCGGTTCGAAAGACGTGCTGCCTTATGCTAGTAACGACACATTCTCTTCACGAAATTCTGGGAACACCTTGAAGCCTAGCATGTCTCCATCAGCTTCCTTCAGATCTCATTCGACGGCGACCGAGTACTCGGAAGCCGAGTTGAACGAAGAGCCTCCTCTTGTAAAAGAGGAGAAGGAGAAGCGCAGTTTCTGGAAAGGACACAAGCGTGGCGAAAGTAAGGCCACACCTACGGCAAGCCAGACCGACCTGCATGGTTCAGTACCCGGCGGCGACAAGAGCATGAGCTCCTTTGGTAGCAGTTCAGGCTGGGCCACAGGTGGACGTCGAAGTGGCCAGTTCGACTCCAACCAGACACCGGAGACATCGATGGTATTTGGCAGCCCGCCAGATGGTGACCGCTCCTCAGACAAGAAGGGCACATTCGACTGGTTTCATAAGATGAGACATGATCACCGAGAGAGATCTGACAAGAGGGAGCGAGCTAAGAGCCCTCCTGGCAGTATGAGTAATATGCCTTTGCCGCAGAACTTGACGAAGCCTCGCGATAGTCTCCCCATTAGAGACCGATCTACGGATGCTCCGAGGTCCACAGGCGATGAACCCAACGATGTGACGCCCACCGGAAGCAGCCCTGCTGCGCAGATTACCTCGTCAGTAACCGACACACGGCAGCAAGCGCCACCAGTGGCAGCGAACCCCCAGCCACAACAGACTGTGGGAGCCACAGCTGGACCCCCACCTGCTACTGCGAATCCTGTTCCAGTAGCCATACCTGAGGAATCAATCGCGCAATCCGCGCCTGATGCTCTTGCTCTCAAGGACTCGGCGACGACGATCCAGCCAGGCACTCAGCCTGCAACAGAGCCTTCATCGCCCGCGATCCAGCAGCCCGTGCCCTTCACTCCAATCAGCCAGGTGCTGCAATCCTCTCAAGAGGAACCCAGGACGCCTACAGCTACATCGCATCCCGTCCTCCATGCACCGTCGCCAGCTATCGCTGAAATCCTGGCTGCGCCAGCGAGGAGCTTCAGCAGATCTCCAGAGCGGGCAACTCCATCACCTTCGAGATCCCCACCTCCTAATTCGACCCATTGAGGTCTTCACTGACGTTCATGTACAGTAGAGCATTACGCGCTACTACAGCGCTTTGATACGCGGAGTTCGGGCTTGTTTCGATTCTGGATACCATGTTTTCAAGATGACGGCTGCTTGGATGCCCCAACAAGGGTACTGAGGGCGTTCGGTATGGGTTAGGATACACATCGATCCTGGGCGAGGGAGTTTGTTTGGATGGGTTGCATGTAGTGAAGAGCGATGAGCGATAATCAGTTGGCGCGAATGTCTCTGACGATGTATAGGCGAGGCAGCGGTAGTAATAATAATCTCTTTAATATTGTCGAATATCTGACTGCACGTCACATAGGTATCTGATAGAGGTCTATATGTGAAGACCTATAGGTATCGACAGTTTACAGACTCGGTACGCCCTGAACACGTGAAGAAGCCCAGGCTTGTAGAAGTCTTTCCACGTCTGAGAGCCCCACTACTTCCTGTCGTACGATGTACACCACGTGCCTGCTCTCCAGACGTGCTGTCAGTTCCTGCAGGCTGCATAGTGCAGACAATGTACCGTAAGCACTACTCATAGCCAACCAGGCCTCTTTCAAACTGCCTAGAAATCTCCACATTTCATGATCTCAGCTCATTAATTCGCGGCAGAAGAACCCGTCGTGGCACTGAAGCCACGTATCGTTCAAATCTCCACTACTTCCACTGCGAGTATGAAAGGTATCGAGGACCTGCATAGACTTGTCCGGTGAGAGTTGAGGCTGAATGCATAGTACACAGCTGTGGGCTTTTTGTATCTGTCGCCACATGTCTATATTGAACAGGTCAAGACAAGCGCACCGCTCTGCCGTCTTGCACCATCGGCTGACAGACGATTGACAGACGGCGTCGTGGCGACTTTCAGGCTTCACAGCCAAGTTCGAGCGAGGTCGAGGCGGATGCATGAGCCTAGCGGGTCTTAGTTCATTAATGCCAGAAAGCTGACTGGGTGGAAGCCTGCCAGCTTCTTCCGCTGGTTCGCTCGCTCCGCTCGCTGCTCGGTTGATGTGCACCGGGAGGCTATTTTTGGGCCACGCAGGGCCATATCGAAGGCCTGTCGAGATGCGAGAATTGCGAAGCCTTCATGACACGCAGCGCGGCGAAGTCATCCCAATAACACGAGTGTGACTGTGCTGAAAGAAGATCGTGAGGTGAGGTCCACCATTTTAACAAGCACGGCGTAGGTGGCGTTGCAATTCGTATTGCAGACAGGTTTTCAATATCGAGATGAAGCCGGAGTGGAGTTGGTGAGCACAGAAGCATTAACGTGTGAAGCCGTTCCCGTTCGTGGCTCAACAACTGGCGTACGGGACGCTATCAGCCCCGGGAAGTTCAAACGCGCTGTGCCGAGCCAGAGCGCGCGGTCCACGCATGACGTTCGGAAACAGGGATGTGGTGAGCGAGCATTGTGTGAGGCAGGGGTATCACGTATAGGGCAGTGTGAGCTGTCTTGATACCTTGGATGGTTTCAGGCTGCAAGAGGTAGCACAGTTGCTCTCGAGAGTGTACGCCGGCAATTGTGCTGCATCTGGGCATATAAAGGAAGTTATCAGCTCAGCAGATGGGCCTCAGGCAGGACTGCTGCGAGGAGGCTCAACCCGCTTGCGCGAAGGGATCGTCTTGGCGGAGTCTCACAGCAAGCTAGAGGTCTGAGCGCTCGGGCTGGGAGCGACGGGCGTTCAACGCTGGACTCGTATCGCCCTGTAGTCGCATGTATCAAAAGCCTTGGGGCGGCGCCCATCTGCCTGGACGACTTTCTTCCTTGCCTGCCATCCGAATTCCCTGTTTCTCACTCCAGCTTCGACTTTCACTGCCGTTTCCGTTCGACACATTCGATTGTGTTGATACACTGTCGCTTTGATTAACAAAGAAAGATTGTTGTTATTCGCCCGACAAAGACGTGCCTAGATTGCGCGTGGCGTTACCAGCCGTCCGGGACTTGCTTGGGAAGTTGTAAGCGTTTCCGCTCCGGTGCTCTCACCTTGATAACAACCCCAGCCTGCGTGCTATAAGGCCATAACAGCTGCCTGAAGCGGCAATATGTCCTTGTACTTGCTGCATACATGGCCGCGGAGTCGATCACACACATGACGCCTTCCTAACAGCGATTACAGTCTTTACTGAGACTCATCCTCGCCTTCACTTCGCCAACTGACGCGATTCACGATGCGTTCCTTCCGCTACACATTGCTGGCATTGCCCCTGCTGGGCGGTGTCATTGCTGAAGAGCCATTGACACAAACCTCCGACGCATCGAACTTCATCTACGCAAATGCCCAAGAAGCATTCCAGGACCTGCTGAACGCTCTGCCCGAGGAGTCGCTGCAAGCCGCCCTCAACTCGCTCACCAAGTTCAAGGCAGGTGTCTTCGAGTCGCACCGCCGCGGTGTCGAACATGTGCACAACAGCAGCCCCGCGCTGGCGACCAAGCTCATCGTCGCCGCCGTCCAGGACCTGAAGAAGCGCCAAGTCGCTGCACCCTCCAACGGCACAACACCCGTTGTTTCCTCCAGCCAGACCCCCGACCAGCCCGAGAGCAGCGCGCAGCAATCCGTCCAGCAGCAGTCCAGCCAGGGCCCCGAGAGCACACAACAGCAGAGCAGTGCCGAAGCCCCAGCAACCACCGCCCCCAGCACGCCCACCAGCCGCCCCGTCCTGATCCCTGTCGAAGTCACAACGACCAACAACCGCGGCAGCACTGTGATCCAGACCAGCGAAGTGCTCTCCGAAGTCACCGCCTCAGTCCAGGTAACCGTAACCCGCACGACTACCAACAACGCCGGCAGCACCGTGGTCGTCACAACACAGGAAGTGCGCCCCGCCGTGATCCGCACCACGACCGACTCGCGCGGCAGCAGCGTCGCCGTCACATCCGCTGCCAACTACGCGCCAACGCGGGGCGAGGTGCTGACCACGACCAACGCCGAGGGCAGCACGTTCCTGACCACGTACACGCCCGGCGGCGGTCGTGTTTCTAGTGTGCGCCTGGTCACGACGACGGACGCGCAGGGCCGCCCGCAGACACTGACGAGCATCACGTATGTGGACCCGACGGCTGTTGGTGGGAGTGATGAGGGGGGTTCGGGCGCGAGTCCGACGGCGACGGGGAGGCCGAGTGTGCAGTCTGGGTCTGCGAACAAGCACAACGCTGTCATGGGTCTTGTTGGACTCGGTGCTTTCGCGTTTTTCTTCTAGGCTCGCGGAGGCTAGGGAATGTGGAAGAGGTGGAAAGCAATATTTACGCGAACACGACTCTCCTTTGGCATCGCAAACATGCCACGTTGCAGTCCTTACGGCTAGCATTGTCATTCGTGTATATCAGCATTTGGGATCATTTGAAGACGGACAGGCTAGCTGGACGAGTGAAAATGGACATATAGCGGTGCATATAGTTTGGATTTTGGGATTGGCATACATACATGGAGCGTTACGGCTCGTCACTTTCCTTCGATATACCCACAATCTCTTCGGCATAGGATGGTTGGAAGATGGACACGGTGGACGGCAAATACGTAGTTTAACTACGATAACGAAAGGGACGAAAACATCACAAAACATTACAAAGTTTTTGACATGAGTAAATCCATCGTGTATTGTTTGTTAGCCTTTGCGGACCATCGATTCGTAGAAGCCGCGCCAGGCAACTTGCCAACATAAGTGGAGACCTCGGTGAATGTTTATGTTTTGATATTGACAAAGTATGTATGTATGTCTATTTACACAGCTTTCCTACCAAAAGTACCGAATCGAAATGGGTATCGATGCAAAGCACTCGGCCCAGCCCAAATTCCAATGCAAACCCAGCTGCACAAAATCGCGGGCGAACCGCAGCTCAGTCCAAATGCACCACCGGGTTGCTTCCCAACCGCTCCGATGCATGCTGCCGCTAGACTGCGATGTCGCTACGTCTTTCGCACAGCGCCAGCCCACTTCCCCCGTACGAGCGCAGAGCAGCCCATCGCACGGAGCGATGGTACTATCTCGCCTTTGTCGCAATGAAGTACTCGACACTCTCGCCCGCCCAAGACACACAATCCGTCCCGCTCTCGTACCGCTCCTCGTCGAACAGGCCCGCAATACTCTGCTCATTCCGCACTCCCTTGGTCACCCCGCCCCCGAAGCTCTCCAACGACACAACCTTGCACCCAATCTTCAAGTCTAAAAACTTCTGCAACAGCGCGTTGTTCAGCTCCTCGCCAAAGACCTTGTTGTTCACGAGCACGACATCGGCTCTAGCCAGCACCGAATCGATGGCGGGGGACTCGAGGAAATTGCCGTGCAGAAGGTGCATGGCGCCGATGTTGATGTTCCACAGCCGGGCCCTGGCTTTCAGTTCGGAAGCTTGTTTCGTAGCCAGACTGGCGGCGAGATCCATGATCTCGACCCCCCAGCTCTCGGCGCCTGTTTGCAGTGCGGACTGCAGGACGACGTTGCCCACGCCGGAGCCGAGGTCGACGAAGACGTGGCCGGAGTGCAGGTTCGTCTGGGCGAAGATTTTGTGCACAAAGACGGGCATTAGCTCGCCGTATGTCGTCTCCTTCCCTTTTACTTTCCGCAGTTTGTGCGAGAGAGGCGAGACGATGCGCGCATATGTCTGTTGGGTCATGTGTTTCACCAGGCTGAGGGGGATGGCGTGCATGGCGTCCATTTTCGCTTGGATTGTGCCATCGGCCAGTTTCGACTTGACCAGCTTGTTGAATCTTATCAGTTCGAGCTGGTAGTCGGCGAACGTGCCTGAGGCGGCTGCGCGCTTGAGTTTTCGCACTGGCCCGGTCACGTCGGAGGAGAGTGAGGGGAAGAGGTCGACAGGGAGGTAGTGCGTTATTATCTCTTCGATAGTGAACTGGATGTCGCCGAGAGGATTGTATTCGGAGGGGTCGGTGGGGATCTTGGCTTGGAAGGACTCGGGTGGGAGAGGGCTGGGGTACTGCAGCTCGAGGAGCGGGACCTTGTTAGGACCCGGCCAGGCGGGCTTGTAGTTCTTTGCGAAGGCGCCCTGGGTCATGACGAGGCCGTGTGTGAGGCTACCTCGCCGCGAGCGGTCGCTTTTGCTGCCAGCCTCGCCGTTCTCCTGCTTCCGTGCGGACGTCCCATTCGAGTGCGCGTCCGCGTCCCCGTTCGTCTCCGAGTCTCGCCGTATCCGTATGCGCCGGCTCATGTCGGGCTCCAGCTGGCGGTTCATGCCGGTGGGCTCTATGCTGTTGCTCTTCAGCCTCTTGCTCGACCCCCCGACTGCCAGCCTGTCGCTCGACTCGTCGCTCGACTCGTCGCTACTCGCCCACAGCGGCGGCGTGCTGGGCGTGACCTTTCGTTTGCGCATGTTCGAGACGGCCGGCGACTCTCGTGCAACCGGCCGTGGCCGTTGCGCCGACGAGGACGAGGAGAGCTGGTATCGGTTCGCTGCCGGCGCTGTCGCACCTGGGCGCGCAGCACTGCTGCCTCCGCTGGCGGTCCTCCCATTCGATGCAGGCGTGCGCGGTGCTGGCGGCGGGGCGACCTTCTTCAGTATGGTGACGGTCCGCGTCTTGATCTTCGGTTTGCTGGGCTCGAACATGGCGGGCTAGCGAAAGTTTGGCTGCAGCAGTCCGGGAGTGTGCGTGTCGTGTATGCGTGTCGTATGCGGGGTGCGAGTCGTGTGCTGCAGGCCGGTGCAGGCGCAAAGGAGTGTAGTGTACAGGTAAGGCGAGCGCAGGCAGCCGGCCGAAGGAGAAAAGAAAGACAAGGCAGCACTCGAGGAGCCAATACGGAGGTCGCACGCGCACTCAAGAGGATGACCAGGTCGGTTCCCGCGCTGCAGGGACGCCACGCACGGTGGACAGGGGTTGTTAGCCAACGGTAACTTGGCGTCCCCAGTGTATGGTCTGAGGAATCCTTTGGTATCTTGACTGCTCGCGTGCAGGACCTCTATGAACACTATATGCTTCGATGAGTGTGAAGTGCCACTTCTGTTCCTTCTGTCTGAACTGTTTCCAGCGCTCTTCGACGTCCATGTTGTGTCGGAGCACCTCCGCGCTGCCGTCGAACCATGTCGAATTTTCGATATCCATTGTTGCTGCTTCTGGTATCTGTTTCAGGTGTTGAGTGTGAAGACAACGACAAAGCTACCGAGCAAGATAAACACAAAGACACCGCATAGACACAAAAGCATGTCAGGGTTGTAGTGATGTTTTGTTAGACTCCAGGTCGTTTCTTGGGTCGCAACGTGCGTACCACAGAAGCTAACCAACCAGACTCGAGCTGACCAGCAACTGCCACAGCTGACAGTAGAGACATCACCGCAATACGATGCGTGTGAGTGAGACGAGCATCGTGCCCAACAACATATTAACGTATTTAGCTTGGGTATCTGTTCCATCATATGTACCGTTCCAGCTATCCCAACCATACATACACCCATATCCATAGCCTTCATTAACCACTATATATCCATTCATTATCGTCTCACATCAACCCTTTCCCTCGGAACGCACCCATCACGTTACACAAGCAACAGCCTCCCACCCAATACTCCACCTCACACTCCCCATAATCACAGTCATGATGCTCAACCCCACGACAACACTGCTCGTCCCATACACATACGCATGCCCCCTCCTCAACGTATCAAGCTCAAGCATCCACGTCGACACCGTCGTCAGCGCGCCGCAAAACCCATCCTCGATACCTTGGAGCACTTGACAGCCCACGACACTGCCGCCCGCAACACCGCCAATCGCCACGCGCTGGAGATCGTACGACATGCCGAGCACCGTCGTGCCGAACATATTGCACACAAACGTGCCGAGCGGGAACGACGGAATCTTGGCATTGAGGAGGAGCGAGACATAGTATCGCATCAGACACCCGACCGGCGCGAATACGCACGCGAAGAGTGCTTGTCCGCGCCATGCGTTGTGTGGAGGGAGAGCGACCATAGCCACCGCGCCGATCCAGGACCCAATCCCTAGGACAACGAAGAGCGGATCGAGCACTCTGCGCGTGAAGCGGAAGGGCAGCGTGGGTGTAACCGGATCCATGTAGACGGCTAAGTGGGCGCCCACTCTCAAGCTGCAGAAGCACAAAGCCACGGTGATGAACACCACGCCCAAGAGCGCCATGACCGAGTACCCAGCGTCGCGGTGGACGAGCGCCGAGGGACTCGAGGTAGGATGGTACATCGGCGCAGCCAAATCGTTGGACATGCCCAAAAACACATCCCTCACAAAACTCGAGAAACTCGTAAAACTCCCACAGAACCCCGTCGTCAAGCCCACATATATTGGAATCGTCTTCTTGACCTTGCCGTGGCTCTTCTTATCCCTCGTCCGCTGCTTCTCCAAATTCTGGTGGCCTTCAGCGGGTCGGTCTTCGGGTTGTGCCATGGACGCGCCGCCGGCGGAACCCCCCCATTCTTCGCGGAACAACCGCATGTCCTCGGATAAGAAGCCCATGATGAATGTCCCTGCGACGTTGGCCCATAGCTCGCTGAAGAGGACCGGCGCGCCGGGGTAGAAGGTTAGTGCCTGGAGGCCGAGGCGCGCCAGCGAGCCCCAGATGGCGAAGAAAATCAAAAACGACACTGTATACAGTTCTGTCAAGAGCTTAGACGCGCGCTGGGCTTTTGGCGTCGACCAGGATTGGTGGTATCTGTCGGCTTCGGAGAGCTGTTGCTTCGCGTCGTCGGTCATGGTAGGCAGCGCTGTGATGTTGTTCTGGGACTGGGCCGCGTTGCTGGGGTTTGAGCGGCTGAAGAGTGAGGGGCGGCGTGAGCGCTGCTTTGTTGGTGTGCGTGGTTCTGCGTGTTGTGCAGGCTGTGGTAGGTTGCTTCCGCTGCGCTCATCGTTGTCGAGGTTCGCGCGCCAGTACTGTTCTCTGTCGACCGGTAGACCCGGCAGTTCTGGTGGTGGCGAGGATAGGAAGTCCAGATTGTCCCATGACGCTGCAACTAGGAGGTCTTCTATATTGCGTCCTTTTGGTGTAGCTCTTGTGCGTGATTTCGATCTTGATGTGGCTGAACCTCTACCTGTGCTTGATCTCTTGCTCCTTCTTTTCTCCTTCTCTCGACTCGCTACCGTTTCCGAGCGGTCTCTTGGCACAGCAGGCGCCGGTGAAGGACTCCCAGGCGGCGAGGACAAAGTTTCGCTGTCCGCACGATCCGGATGGAGGTCAAAGTCCTCTGTGGTCCGTGGCAGACTCTGTCGCTGGGACAGTAGACTCTGATGTCTTGAGCGCGAGCGGGCGTTGGAGGAGCTCTGCGAAGTATCCGACCGCAGACTCGCACGCTGCTCGTTGAAGTGGAATTCGCGTTTCGTAGGCTCATTGTCGGCGTCGGCCATGGTGATCAATGCCCGGTGACGCAGGGCAGGCCAGCACCCGTCCGTCGACGTCAAACCTCAGATCAACAAACGTCGTAAAGGACTGATCCTCCAGGAGCCACGCACGATCTCATCTCGTCGGTTCGGCAGACGACAAGGAAACTGGCACCCGAGTCGGGCCCTTAGCTGGGCTCTGCTGGCTTGCCATAATCAGACCATGGGCGCTCTGCATTTGTAAACTCAGCGGCCAAAAACAGCGTCTGCGCGGCAGGGCAACGAAAACCAGGGCAAGGCTAAGAGTGCCGGCGTACGCCATGTCTCCGATGGACGCAGGGATAGCCATGCCAGATCGCGTGGAAGATGCGCCGCTTAGCGGAGCGGAGCTCACCGCGCAGCTGATAGCGGTGGGGTAGCTCTATAATCACCTGCCCGACTGGATGCACTTGGACAGTGTACACATGGCCGTAGTCTTCACTATAGCCTGAGTTGCTGCTTCTTTCCGTCAGATACCATACGTCTGTCATTTCCTCGTCTGTGATATCCGCCATGTCCATCCCAAAGAACGCTCACGTCTCTACGCACCCATGCTTGCAGGCCAAGCTCTCACAGCTGCGCTCAGCGTCGACAGGGTGCCGAGATGTACAAACACTGGTGCACGAGATTGCTCTGATGGTCGGCTATGAAGCTCTAGGTTCAGCTCTAAAAGCACAAGAAGAAGGCACAGTACGTCCTCTCCTCCTCCTCCTCCTCCACCAAAAGTGGGGTAGCCCTGTATACACAACACTCCGCTCTCCAAAACTACACCACACCCAATTCACACCCAATTCACACCCAACCCACACCCCTACTAACACATCCCAGGACAAATCGCCCCTCGGCTACTCATACACCACCACAACCACCTCTCCCACCCCGTCCCGCATCTCCCTGGTCCCCATCCTGCGCTCCGGGCTCTCCATGGTCCCCGCACTCTCCTCTCTCCTCCCTGCCCCCGTACCCATCCACCACCTAGGTCTCTTCCGCGAAAAAACCACCCTGCAGCCCGTCGAATACTACAACAACCTGCCCTACCACTCCCCGACCTCGCAGCACGCGGGCGGCCCCGCCGACCTTGCCATCGTCGTCGACCCCATCATTGCCACGGGCGCCACGGCGTGCGCGGCGATTGATAGTCTGAGGGAGCATGGTGTGAAGAGGATCGTGGTTGTGGGCGTGCTGGCGACGGAGGAGGGGTTGGCGGCTGCGTGTGGGGAGTGGGAGGAGGGGGTGGAGGTGTGGGTTGGTGGGTGTGATAAGGGCGTGGATGAGAAAGGCATGATTAAGCCGGGACTGGGGGATATTGGGGATCGATTGTTTTTGACGCTTGGGAAATGAGTAGGTGTTGAGGCGGGGTACTGGTGGGTGAAGCATGGGGTGGTTTGTGTGGGAGGTGTGGAGAGGACGGAATCTTCATACACGTTCATACAACACAACATCAACAGCAGTTCATACAACACAACATCAACAGCAATAACGAACCCACGCTCCATACTCACTTGCCAATCTGATATCCCCAACATCGACGACCATGGACACCCCAGCCTGGCACGTGTTATGGACGACTCGAACCAAGCTTTGACCGGCAAACCTTGTTAACTTCCGCTCGGACCGCTGTGCTTACAGTGTCGTAGATTTGGATAGATCGCAACTGAACTGGCATATCTCAGAGTGATTCCGAAGCCTTGCACCTGGATCAACGTCTTATACATGCAATATTGACGACCCATGTATGCATTGAATGTGCAAAGGTAATGTGCGGTGATGGAAGGTTATGCTTGTGATAATGCAGCGCATGTGCTGTTACTTTGCGCTGATGCTCTTGACATACAGATGATATTACACAAAAACAAATCCAGTCATACCTTGCATGTATATGTACCTGCATCACAGTAAGATCATCAAGCGAGGAGACAAGCCCTTACCTGCAATCCTACCTTGACGGTGCGAGTAAAAAGCGCACTGATACTTACTACCTACCCGCATAGTCGAAAGAAAAGTAGAAATACAGGTAATGAGCATCACTTTTGCCTACCCTTGCCCTATCCTTTCTGCTACTCTATGTGCCATAACCGTACTGAAGAACGCATCCAGAACAATGGACCGAAGTCGAAGATCGCAATCATATACTGGCAATCGAGGGACGTGCTGTAGAAGGGTGTCTTTGTCCGTACCAGGAACAGCTGGTATGTCGGAATCCGGGTGTCGCGCCATCTGCAAGAGTGAATCTGCTTACCCTCCAATGCTGATGCGGTTTGTGTACGTTCTTGGTCTCACCCTCGTTGACGAAGAAGGTAGAATAGAAATGGGAGGTAACCTGTGACAAACCCATTTGAGAGCGCCCCGGAACCTTCCCGGCTTAGTACCTCCTGCGCTGGCTCCTGTCATCGTAGCTGTCGCCCTCGTACGCACGTTTCCGCGAGTCGTCCCGACCGCCCTGGCTGTCTCGGCCTCCACGGTCGCGGTCATTGTATCGATCTCTGCCGAGCGGTTCATTGTTGGCACCGCTAGATCCTCGATCGCCTCCGCGTCTATCGCCGCCGCCATAGCGGTCGCCTCCACGGTCGCCGCCGTAGCCACTGCTGCTGCCGCCAAACCCACCTCGTGGCCCTCGAGGACCGGCAGGAGCACCATCGGGCGGGCCATAGCCGTTTGAGCCTTGGTAGCCGATACCACCACGACCTCCGCCGAAACCACCTCCGCCGCCGCGGCCGCCACCGAGTCCTCCTCGGAAGCCTCCACGGTCACCTCCACCAAAGCCGCCGCGACCGCCTCCTCGGCCGCCAAATCCACCACCGAAACCGCCGCGACCTCCAAAGCCACCAGGTCCAGCTGGCGCGCCAAAGCCTCCGGCACCACCTGGGCGTGCGGAAGGGCCCTTAGTGTAGCCTCGGCCACCAAGACCTCCACCGAAGCGGCGTGGACGCCAGCCAGAGACTGTGCGGCCGCGCTCAACATCAACGAGTACACGGCGGTCCTTGATTTTGATGCCATCTGTTTCTTTGTAGGCGGCCTTCATGTCCTTCTCGCGCTCATACACGATGAAAGCATAGCCACGTTTTCTCTTCTTTGGCGGCGCGTCGGGCGGGGCGGTCGTGTCTTCGACGATTCGGATCCGTTCAATGGGTCCATAACGGCCGAACTCGCGTTCGAGATCGTCAGAGGTCGCGCCGTATGCGAGACGGGACACGAACAGTGTCTTGAAGGCGTCGCCCTGGACTTTGGGATCTTCGCTGGGTTTGTCTGTACCGTAATGTTAGCAGTGAATCAACAAATGGATAGAACGAATGGATAGCGCACAGTCCTTGATGCCCTCGGTCAGCAGCTTCTCCTGCTTCTCCTTTTTCTCAATCTTCTTGCGGTCGCGCTTCTGCAGCCAGCTGTCCGTCGGCACGTATCTGTCGTTGTCTTTGTACTCGCGCATGGCCTGCAGGTACTGCCCAACGCCGCCAATCTTGGGCGTGCAGCGCTTCTCCGGCGCGTGGTCAATGGGTTCAACCCAGCGCAGCGGAGGCCGCGGGGCGAACAGGTTCAGCAGCATCGGCGGGAGTTGGTAAGTCATCTTGAACGCAGTGCTGGAAGGCGCTCCAGCTACAATGTGAAGAGTTGAGGGAGATTGTGTGGATGATGCAGAGAAGTGATGATAGGTGAAGTTGGTCGCGTTTCAAAGCAGGCAAAAGCACGGAAGAATTTATCACGTGACCGTGAATTTGCGAAGTCGTCGGCAATATCAAGCCTGGACGTATCTACCGTACCATTGACCGCCAACATGCCTCTCGCAGCGACCAGGACGGTCGCGAAGGCCCAGGTACCCCTCCTCAACCCCATCATCGCAACTCCGCAACTAACACACCCCAGAACGGCGTCGGCGCCTTCGTCCTCCAATGCAAGCGCCTCGAATTCCACTACTGCAACTGGTGGGGATCCTCAAAAGGCATGAACGCCTTCATCAAGTCCTCTCTCCCCTCTTTCGCGCAGCGCAACCCCTCCGTCGAGTTCTCCGTCAGCCCGCGCCCACGCAAGCACCCCGTCATCATCGCACACTACATCAATGGCGCCACACGGTCCATCTGCGTTAAGAATCTGCAGAACGAGGGGGTCAGGGAAAAGGCGGAGGCGCTGAGGGATAGCAATGGAGAGAAGAACAAGAGATTGGGCAAGCCGGTTACGAGTATCAATGAGAGCGTTAGGGGTATTTGGAGTCCGTTCCATGGTGCAAAGATCCAGATCTAGGGGAAGACGAGGAAATGGGGATGTAGGAAGCGGACAACGTGATAGGAGAGCCAATGCAGCATCTTCTGGACGCGAGGGTCGATGGATCACTCGACTGTACAATACCTAGGCATGGGCGGCGCATATTGGGTTGGATATGTACAGAAAATGTACGAATACTGTCATCGACATATTTAAGATGCACAAACATCATCACCCGCTTGCACATATTGTTCCTTAGGCTTTGGTTTGTTCATTGGCTTTGTTCATTGTTCGTCAGGTAACGTTATATCATGATATCCAACTACAATCTCGCCTCGCTGCCATGAATTCACGCAGAGTTGGCGTTGATAATGTCGACGAACGCAGGCTTCAGCGACGCACCACCGACAAGGAAACCATCGATGTCGGCCTGCTTGGCAAGCTCGCCGCAGTTCTTCTCGTTGACACTGCCGCCGTACAGGATACGGGTCTTCTCAGCAGCCTCGGACGAGACCTCCTTCTTCAGCCACTCGCGGATGGCAGCGTGAACCTCCTGGGCTTGCTCAGTGGTCGCGACCTTGCCGGTACCGATGGCCCTGGTACATGTCAGTGTTGCTCAATCTTTTCTTAGGTGGTAGGGCTCACCAGATGGGCTCGTAGGCAACGACAATCTTGCTCCAGTCCTTGACCTTGTCCGCAACAGCCTTGAGCTGCTTAGTGACAACATCGACGGTGGTGCCAGCCTCCCTCTGCTCGAGGCTCTCACCGCAGCACAGAATGACACTGATGCCACCGTCAAGTGCAGCCTTGGTCTTGTTGGCAATGAAAGCGTCGTCCTCCTGCAGGATGGTACGGCGCTCAGAGTGACCGAGGATGGTCCATGTGATGCCGCTGTCCTTGAGCTGCTCGGCGGAGATTTCACCGGTGAAAGCACCGTTGGGCTTGTCGTAGACGTTCTGGGCAGCGACCTCGATACCCTTGCGGAGGTGCTCGCGGGTGAGGAGGAGGTAGAGAGCGGGAGGAGCAATGACGACCTCTGTTGAGTTATCAGCTCTGCTGTTCTTGCTAATCCTCGTTCACGAGCTACTTACCAGCGTTTGGGTCGAGCTTAGCATCATTCAGGTTCTGGACAATCTTCTTGATGGACTCGATGGAGCCGTTCCTGTTATTTGATCAGCCTTCCAGCTCACTGCAAGTCGAAGCCTAGAGCTCTGAGGGGTCCCATACATCTTGAAGTTGCCTCCGATGAAGAATTGACGTGCCATTTTGAATGCTTTTGTGTGTATATAGTATTGAAAAGGCTGTAAGGGGTATCGAATTATGCAAAATGAGGTTGAAGGTGTAGTGGTGGTGCAATGCGTTGTTGAGCTTCTGTGCAGACTACCTAAATGTTTGAGCTGGCGGGGTCATGGTGGGGCGAGTGACGACCTTTTTGAGTGAGCTCGAGCTTCCACCAGCCCTCCGAAGCTGCCCGAAAGCCTCGCATGGCCCGGCCGTGAAAACACTGGAGATGCGGAGCTCACAAGAGTTCTTTGGAACGTGAGAGAAAGTCACCCGAGGTGATGTGATGCGTGCTGTCTCTACTGCTGGTGTCCTTACTCAGTTCGTTGCCGAACACCAAGAAACTGCTCTAGCAAGCGAGTACATCTTGAGATTGTCTTGCTTTCTACTGTACTACAGAGTCCCCAGCCTCAAGATGATCAATTGAAAATCCATTGAGGCTCTGCTGAAGATCGAGCAACATAACGTCACACGCAAGGACTCAAACCGCCTGCAGCAACGAAGTGGATCTCCGCTTCCGAGCCTAGCTCAGCCCTACCATGTCACACATCCTCACCTTCGACTTTCCAAAACCATCATCTTATCGAACGAGGCCAACATGTCTTCCAACCCAGAAACATCTTCACCGCCCACCGTTCACGGTCTCTCCGTTACTTCGCTGACCCAATGCGCCCATTGGCACTCTCCACTAGACATCATCGCTATCAAACACTTCTGCTGCCAAAAGTTCTACGCCTGCATCAGCTGCCACGATGCTGGTGAGACCCACAGGTCTGACGTGTGGCCAAGAAGCCAAAGAGCGGAAAAAGCAGTGCTTTGTGGAGCGTGTGAGCACATTCTGAGTGTCGAGGAGTATATGAATAGCGGAAGTCGATGTACTCGGTGCGAGGAGGGCTTCAATCCTGGGTGCAAGAATCACTGGGATCTGTACTTCGAGATCGATGAGAAAGACTCGACTTCATGTGGTAGAGAGTGAGAGTGCGTGGAAAGAGGTAGAGATTCGAGTCGACGATTTGGGGGTCTGAGGGTATGGGCGAGGCAAAAATGTCACCAACACATCATGCCATATCAAAACTATCAAGTTACCACCGCACGACGACATGCCTATCATCCCCTTCGCCCTCCCTCACCGTCTTTAAGCCCACGTCTGCTGCAACACGATATTGAAAAGCCCTCCTCAAGTTCCCCACAGACGGGAGCACCAACCCACTCCGGTCGACATGGAACTCCGCAATCCTCTTCACATTGTTAATGGCCGCCGCTTCCAACCCCTCGTCTGCAAGCCTAGCGAACAGAAACTTAGTTTTCTGATCCGACGTCACATTTCGCAACCACGCCAATGGATGATCGTCCCCGCGCCGCTTCCCCTGCCACATCCGCTTTCTCGATGTAGCGACCCGCACAGCGTCACTGGTCCTCGCAAACCGTGTGTCGTCGCTCAGAACCCACTTCCCCACGAATCTCAAATCCCTCTTCGAATATCTGCTTACACTATCAACGAAGAACGCGCTTTTCGTGCTCAACGTCCCTGTAAGAACGATCTGAACACACCCTCGATAATGCTCATCGATCTTCCGAATCAACATCGACACATCCCCAATATGCCCACCCAGAAACTTGTGGCTCGTGCAGTTATCATGCACAAACTGCCCAAGCACCAGCCGATGCTGGTCTCTCTTCTCCACCGGCGCAGGTGTGACGTCGAGCCAAACCTGCTCTACACCCTTCGGCATCAGCGGAACAGCGTTCAACCAGGCTCTGATCAGTTCGGGATGTCTCCATGTTGATTGGTCGTTGTAGTAGTAGGTCCACCTAATACGCTCCGCCTCGGATTCGTAGAAGAGGACGAGACAGATACGTGCGACTACTGCTCCTCTGGTAATGCAAAGATTTAGGTACATGAGGCTGTCTTCAGTGTGTTGTCCAAGATAACACCTCCTTGTGCCCACCTTGGTTCTGCTGATGAAGTCCAGAGTGGCCTTGATGCCTTCCTTGGTGTGGAAGAGAGGAAGTGTCAGCTGTACCTTCTCAAGGCTATCCTGGAGGATTTTCTGGTCTTCTCTGAGCCACTTGCAGCTCAGGAGGAGGTGCTCTGGGGTCTGTTTAGCTCCACAGCTGCAAAAATGAGTGGTCTGCCTTGCCAATGTGAAACAGGCAGGCCTTGTTATATCCATGACCAAGCTTGAGCTGATAGAAGGCACTGGCAGCCTCTCTCCTGGTCCCTGGGGGCATCCTGAGTCTCTTGCCAATCCTCCAGCTGTACTGGGCAGCATAGGTGGAAGGATTATGGTTGACAGTATCAATGCTGTAGCTGCTCAAGGCCTTCTGCCACTCCAGGGTTGCCATGCTCTTGATCTTGATGCCAGTCATGGCTAGGCTGGTGGTGTGTGTGTGGATGGTCTCTTCTTGACTGCCTGCTTGGCCAGCCTGTCTGCTCTCTCATTGTCTGTCACACCCTGGTGTCCAGGTACCCAGTGGATGGAGACAGTGGCTCCCTTGCTGACAATCTGCTGTGCTGCGTAGATGCATCTGAGCTGCCATGCCTAGCCAGGCCACAGCGCGTCGAATGTTGCATTGGCTGTTCATGCTTGCGGAGAAGCCCTCGTGTATAGGTGCTTCAAGAGAAAAGTGAGCGACAAGACGATGTGGTGAGGTCAGGTATGAAGGAGTGAGGCACCTGAGGCGTCGCGTTGGGTGAGTCTGTTTACTCGACCCAGGAGGAAAGAGCACCGACGCACAATCATGTGACGACACCAACGATCACGAACTAGCGCGCTAGATAATTGCAAAACACGTCATGCTCGATCGGTGTGTCTACATCCAAGTTAGAGAATACTGGGAGCGCCCTCAATAGCAATTGCTTACCAGCGATAGTGTTCTGCAGCAACGTTTCTTTATCGTTGAGCTGCTTGTAGTGGTCGATGTAGAACTGCTTCCGCTCAGTAAGGTCGGTGATTTTATCTGCGTCGGCCTTGAGGGTTTCTGTCGTTGTTTCGGTGCAGACGGCGAAGGATTTTCGACAATCTTCAATGTGTGGTTCAGCTATGATCAACAGATTTGCTAGGTCGTGGAAGAATGCTTTGACGGTGGCGCTGTGTCTGCATTGTGCCTGGATCCTGTGCCATATCAGTTTCACGCGAGCCATGTCGTGATTTGGCAATGTTGTGAATGGATCAATTCAGGTTCTGGAATGTCGGATCAATGGAGACAAGAAATTGATGAGGCTAGGTATCCACCCTTTTGCAACGTGAGGCGAGAGCTGCAGGTGAAGGTAAACGGGCTGCCGCTAACAGCCTCTTCGAGCGCGCAAGTCAACACAGAGTCACAAGAACGTCGTAAGGGAAGTAAAAAGCTCTCGTATAAACGAGCGAAGTATTGACAAGAAGCTCTCTACATCTTCTCACTCCTCAATCCCTTCGACGTTGACAACCAACAAGTTCAGACATTGGAAACCTGCAACACAAACACTCACTGCCTCCAGGCTAATCATAGCCTAGTTTGCCGCAGTCCACAGCGCTGGACCAGGGAATGGGTAGCTGGTGGGGCTGGTGTAGAGGTTGAACAGAATGCCAGCGTCGTTCCTCTTGTACAGACTTGTGCCAGCAACACCGCCAGACGGGGCGACTGAACCGCTGCCTGTGACCTGCAAGTTCAAGCACTGCGGAAGGTCAGTAAGTCTGTATAGTCTCTGAGCATGATAAGAAAGGGACGGACCTGAGGGTATAGCTGCGCGCCGTTGTCACTCTGACCGCCGTGCAGGGCAATGATCTCGTGACGGATTACGTAGTTACCAGCCTTCAGGTTCTTGGGAATTGTAGCAGTAGAGGTGAAGTTGGTCTGGATGAGGTTGTCGGTGGCCCAGATTCCCGTGCCGCCGGGGGTGATCAGGCCAGCCTGGGAGATCTTGCTCCAGCGAAGGGCACCGGGAGTGAGGGTCGTGCAGTCGCCTATGTGATCATTAGATGCATTCAGAGAGACCTAAAGCGAGCATGTTTACCATTGCAAGGAGCGATGTAGTTGATGATGGGACCCTTGTGGCTGTCTGGCCAGGTGTTCCAGTAGAAGGTCAGTTGAGAGCCGGCAGCGACGCTGGCGTAGAGCCTGGCGGCGGTCGCGCTCTTGTGGCAGTTGATGTTGTCAGTGCCCAAGGCAGCGGGCTCGACGAATCCAAGATCCTGGTTCAAAGAGTCCCAGCCAGCTGTCTGAGGCCTCGAGTTCGCAGGGGAGTAGTACCACACTGGGTCGGAGCCCTTGGTCCAGACATTGTTGGTACTGACACCGCTGACGAAGCCGTGAGCGGATGCGACGTCGAGAAGGGTGGCGACAGCGCCGAGAAGGAGTGCTGCGGAAAGCATCTTGTAGCGAAAGTCGGACGCTAGTGGGTAGCCTAGGAATGAATGCTGGTGATGAGGTAAATAGGTGACGATGTTCTCATCTTATATACTTCCAGTCTCTTTCCCATGTTCGACATTTCGCCGCAACGGTCAACGGAGTCCTTTCTCCGCCTCATCATCTATACCCAAGCCCTCGAAGGATCTCAACATGAATTGCTCGGTGGTGCAGTACCAATGAGGCTGGTCAACTGAGGAAAGCTTGGCCTGTCGTTCTTGGGGTAGTGGAGATACCCCGAAGCACGAATAGTATAACGCAGTCACCATGCGAGTGACACGAACGAAAACAAATGAAACAGATACTAAGCCAATCCTGGTAGCGAGTTCGCGGGGTGCATCAAGATGCTTGACTGGCAAAGTGCCGGAGGCTGATAGCGAGACCATGACCTTGTGTCGGTTATAGGGTTAATCTATTTTCTTCGGAACGTTGATATAAAGTGCCGTTAGCGAGCAGTCCTTAATAAGGCCAACGACCAACGCAATACACAACGCCAGCACGTTGCGGTCAGCTGGGCTGCCTCCAAGTCTTCTCGAGAGTATGTGAGCCCGTAGCAGAGGTGTCCAGTATTGCGATGGCCCGCCTTCTGAGGTCGCGGGCTTAGTAGACAATATCGACGTGTCTTATGACCCGACGAATTCCACTCTTCACGCCATTTGCGCATCCGTCGCGCAACCCTGCTGTAACCTCGATGCTTGTCTGGTTCTGGTAGAAATGCGATGATGTGAGGTTGTCGTCTCGGCGCTACCAAGGTGGATGACCAGACACAAACTTCGCCGAGCGTTGACACTATGATGCTGACCCAGGTGCTTAGCGGAGGTATTCACGTCTTCGTCTCGAGGACTCTGGACTGATCAGCTGTTGCTGCTGCTGAAGGGGCGCTTGTGAGCGCAACTAAAGTCGTCGAGAGAGAGCACATGAGAAAGTTTCGTGCATTAAGTGCAAAATACACTCTCAACAGGACAGACTGCTCTTATATCGCTCCGACAGCACCACTGAGGAACGTACGAGGCTAAATGTGCTCATACTTATTGCGACGATCAGGCTGCGAAATGCCATAGTGGCACAATAATGTGCTCAATATGTGCTCAACTATACAGTGAGGGATGTGAACAGAGAGAAGACAGGGGTCAGTATATGTGAGGATGTGACAAGGGGAAGAACGAGGAGTGTGAAGGGAAGAGCGGAGAACACAAGTCGGAGATGTTGACACCTAGCTGCACCTGATCCGAGAAATTGCCGAGGCGCGCGTTCTGCGATTCACCTTCCGCTATTACCACTTCACTTCGCTATCAAAGTGTGGGCCCTCATACTGAACGCTGTGTTCCTCTGTGTTCGTTTGGAGAAGAAAAAGTCCCTTCTAGATGAAATGCATCAACGCAATTCGAAACGCAACGCAGAGTCTTGCGACCGTTGGACTGCTCGTAAAGCGACTGAGACAGCCGACTGGATGGCGAAAGCCTCCTCAATTCGCTCGCTTTCAACGATCGCTCTTGACACGTCTCGACGCCGTTCGCTGCACGCATTGAGACCGTTTCTTGATTTCAGGCCTTGAAACGACGGAAGGCGGCGGTTCTGATGTTCCGATCGTCTCTTGCCGCTGTGGTGTTGGATTCGCAGCATCCCACATTTCCTGCCACACGTATAGTCGTATCCGCAAGAGCGCCTTACGAGTGTGTCGCTGATCGCAGGAAAGGTTTGTTGTAGGCTTGCGACACAGATGCGGCTTTCTATAAGTATGATCACGCTGGGTCCTCTTACTGAGGCTCCCAGCTCCTGCCTTTAAGATTCCTGCTGGAAAAGTGTGCCAATCACTCTCAACACAAGCGATATTTCTCTACAGCGCTTCGAGATGTCCACGAAGACCACAACTAGTACCCAAACACGTCTTCGCAGCGGTAGCAGTACCAAGAATCTTCAGATAGCCGGATATGATCGGTCTGGACTCTTACGAACATAATACGTTGAGTCTGCGCGTGACAGCGGGCAATCGAGGATCGACATTTTAGTATGTCTGCCGTAGACTTTTCTTGCTATGCGGGAGGCGATGAAATGTGCTGATTCGACCAAAGCAAACCACCGAGACGAAGCAACTCTGGCGATCGATCCTCGACGTCTTCTTGCCTAATGGTTACCCGAACAGTGTCAGCGATGACTACACAGCCTACCAAATATTCGACTCCTTCCAGGCCTTCGCTGGGAAGATTGCCGGCATGATAGGCTCTCGAGCTGTCTGGCAACGCCTTGGTGTTGGCGACTCAGCAGCCTCGCCAACAGGTACCATGCTTATGCAGGTCATTCGCAAATGCATGGGCAAACTTGCCACTATCTTCTTTGCCCATCGCATGAGTACTTCCATCGAAGCGGAGTGCAAAGCGTATCGACTCGAGTCTGACCCTCTGACCGAGACCGCCATTGTCATTGACTGCATGAGTCCGCGGTTCCTACGCAGATTCACTTCTTAGTTCTTTGCATCAGCAGCATCCTCTTATCAGCCGCTGGAGTCGCAGGTGGTGCAAGCAAAAGTTCCCTGAGCGGTCACTTCGCCAAAGGGAACAACCTAGGCGAACTGAACGCGAAGGATGGCAGCCAAGAAACCGTTATATCTCCTGCAGGTATGATGACGGGCACTCTGGTCGTCTCGTGGCTCACAACACCTTTCCGGACATGGTTTGCATTGCTCTCGCTACTGGCTCTGCACTTCCTCAACCGCACTGGCGTACGAGCCGTAGAGATGCGATCCTTGAACCGGGAACGCGCCAACATCACTTTCTCATCCCTTCTGTCGGCCGACAAAGTTATGACGCTCTCTGCCTCGCACGTTCTCAATTCGGCGTTTCGATCAATGTGCTTTTGTCAGCTCTAGCAGAGGGCGAAGTTCATCCCAGAACTGGCGCAATGAACCTTCAAGGGGTTTCGCTATCGGCTTTGTTGGAGCTCTTCCAAGGTGAGGAGTATATTTGGTGGCGCCAAACTCAAGCTCAGCCAAAGTCGTCGGATGCCGTCGTTATGGTGGTATTGAAGGAAGGTGCTACTGCCCAATCGCAGTTAAGGGCGTGGTATCATGGCCTCCTCCTTTCTCGGCATGTGCACGACTTGGATGAAAGCACTCAAAGGCAGCACACCATGCTCGGGCACGTTGCTCGGACGCTGGCACAGGCATCAGAGATGTTTGATGCGTATGCAAAGATGCTCACGGACGCTGGCTGGGATTTAAGCATTCCACTTCTCCAAACTTCGTCCGGTTCTAGGATTAGGATAGAGGCGGAGTAGTCGAACGATGACTATATGAGCTTCTGGAAGACAGTACGGACGAACAGGTTCATATCCAAAAAAAAAAAAAATCCAATGAAACTCCTCACCTGCGTTATTCTTCGGTTGCTCGAAGAGCTTATGAAAAAGCTATTGATTTGGTTCTACCTCTCACAATTCAAGCATTGTAGAGTCCTTTCTTTGATCAGAACCTTCAAACATCGTCCGCCATGCAACAAGCAACAACCCAGCAGCTCGTCTGTGAGGCTCTGGAGTATTAGGTCGCTTTACTGGACCGTACCCGGAACCACCAACATGTTGGGCCAAGCTTCCTGGGCTAGTCCTTGCTCGTAAGCTCTACGCATACGGGCCTCAGTCTGACTACTTCGAGCGCAGCGACTGTATTGGGTGGAAGCGGCGTGGTGACTCCGAAAACCCAGATGGATGTGCTGTAATCATGTCGTGGACCCAAGGGACAGACCTTGAGCATTGCGCGCCTTATCTTAGGATGAACGTGGGAAGCCAGCACGCTGGTGAAATCTGGACGGAAGTCCTCGGCTTTGAGTGGAGTGCAGTCACCGTCGATGATGATGGTAGCGGAAGATTCCCTTGCCAGAGAAACAGTATGGCGTGTTTCGTCAGTGAGACCGCGAGTTGAAGAGAGAAGTTCCCTGTACGGTTCAACACTGAATTCCACGACTTGATTGCATAGCTCGGAATATGAAATGGTGTTCTGGCGCAAATGTGTAGCATACAGCGGGGACGTACAATATCGTACTGCTTGTAACGGTTATAATTGCGGAGTTCAATGTAAAAGTTTGATACGAATGTGCAGGCGATGTAAGAAGACGTGAATGGCCAGATGGGGCGTTCCCTAGCGCGTAGTTAGCGTATTTCTTATCTTGCTCTTCGATATCGTCTCTCGCACTTTCACTGAGACCAACACAAGAAGATCCTTTTGAGTTCAAGATTCAAATCTAGTTGAAATTGGGTACTGGTACAATGCTATGCAGAAAATTTCCTTGTGGCCCTTCTGGCAGTCGCAAGACCTTTCTCAAAGTCTGCTTTCCTCTGCTCATTCTCTAAGATCTCCTTCTTACAAACCTCCAATCCAGCCCGTTCCCTACGAGCGATATCTCCCAAGGTCTGTGCAGACGCAGGGCTCAATAGTGCTTTTCCTTTCTCCAGTTTGACAACCGCTTCATGCAGCTCCATGAAACCCCACGCCATGCCGATGAGCATGTCTCGCTGTGCCAACCATTGCATAGATAAGCTGATCATCCACTTCGAGAAGGCGACTGATTCTGCGTTACCAAATGCTACGACATCTTTGACGTTTGCTGGCATGGAAATGTTTGCCCGGCCGCAGATCTCTAAACCTAATTCAACGATGCCAAATGATTCACCGTTGTCAGTACGCTGAACCTCGTCCATACCCGCTACGCCTTGGCCCTCGACGTCGAAACCAGTCTGGGCGCGCAAGACTCGAACAAGCGCAGAGCCGAAAGCGTCCGCTGCACGTACTGGCACGGATGGCAGAGTCTCAAGAAGAGTGGGCGATGTGAACCATAACGGAAGGAAGCTGCGTAGTCTCGACTCGTCCAGACTGAACTCGACGTGAGCGGCATCGTCGAAGATTTCGTTATCAGTCAAAGGCGTTGGGATCTTCGAAATCGAAAGAGCCGGATAATCGACGAGGATGTCCAGATCCACCGAAGCTGCCGCTGTTGAGACGTTGGACGACTGTTTCGTGAATTCGTAGTACACGATGGGATCTGGCCGAGGTGTCTGCACAGGCATACCGAGCTCATCGATCCAAGCTTTTACGACATCAACCTCAGTCTGGGTGAAGCTACCGAACATCTTGCCCTCCCAGGACAGCTCTTTCACAAGTCTGCTCTTCTCGCTATCGCCTTTGATAACCCAAGGCTTGCAGTTGCTCAGGTCATGAAGGAAGCCTTGCTGCCACTGCCTATCGGCAAAGGCCTTCGGTTCGAGCCAATCTACCAGGGAACGACGGCCGATTTTCAGGCGACTGTTGCAATGGATCTTGTGTGCTACGAATGCTTTGGCGGCGAAAATGTCGAGGAGTGCAGCTTCTGTCTCCGTACGAGGAAACGGTCCATCTGTTTCTGCCTTCAGTGAGGGACTTTCAGGGGTTGTTGGCAAGCCTTCTGCAAGGATGTAGCCAGCTTGTACCCGTCTCCACGCAACATGCGCGGCCTCAGCCCCTTCATCTTGCTCGACAAGATCGATGTAATCGGCGACTGCAGCCATGGCCATTGCAGCATGTCCTGAGTCCGCGTTGTCGATCGAGATGTGCAGCTCGAAGTAGTATGGGTTGAGTCGAACCTCGCGGAGTTCCTTGACCGTCTTTAACAGATGCAACGGCAAGCTCTCGTACGCCATGTTGAACCCCAAAGACTCCGGTAGGAAATTATGTGGGAAGAGCGAGATAAGCAGCTGAGCTACGGCAGCTTTCCAGCAACGAGTCTGATCCAGTTTGTGATGAGGATTGATGAAGTCCTTTGAATCCGCGGCAGGAAGTCCGGCATCGATGTCATCCATCAGTTGGCGGTACACATAAACGTGGTTCTTTGCGAGGTCGCCATCTCCAAGCTCCTCTGACATCACCTGCCATGCGTTTTTGGTAATCTTGCGGTACTTGAATGGCGTCGTAACCTTATTGATATGTCCAAGCCAGGCACCATCGACATACTTGACTGGAGCTGCCTGCTTCAGCCACCATTGGGCTTCTTCTTTGTCGCCAAAGATCTCGCGAGATCCTCCAGCTCTACGGCGAGCCAAATACTCCTCCCAACGGTTGGTGACATCCACATCTTTCGCTTTGAGGAAGTGGTTCAAGCTCTCACGAGAGAACGTGTCGACGGAGAGGATAGTGCTGCCCGAGTCATCCAGGGCGTCACTGATTGTCGACGACAAGAACGAAAGAAGAAGCTCGCGGCATTCAGGCAGTATCCCGGGATGTTGTTCGAGGTTATGAAGCTTATAGTAGAGCTGTTTATAGGCTCTCAGCTCAGTTGACTCTACCACAGTAGGAGCTTCGGAGGTTGAGTTGTCCCTTGGTGGTTTTTCTTGGGTGGCGGCAATCTGTGGACTCTTCTCTGCGGCTTTGAACCTCCAGCCTTTGAAAGACAATCTTCTCGGGCTGTCTGGAGCCTCGGGATCCTTACTTCTTGAGCGCCCTTTTGCGAGGCGGTTTCGCACCTCACTCCATGCAAGGAGGGCCAGAAATGCGATCAGTATCGCGGTTGTGGTTTGTATGATGTACATGATGGGCGGATATGGCCGGACAGGATAGGTGAGGGATCGTTGACTCTTTATTGAGAAGTCACATCATACATGCATGCCTCGGAGAGGGGAGAGGCGAAACAAGGCGAATCGTCGCACAGGTCCAGAACTCAATCACGCTGACGATGGCATTGTTTAGATCTGGGGTAAGGTATCTGACATGTCAATGTCATTGCTCCCTGCACAGCACGCCGGTCCAATTAGGGACCAAGGGTAACGTAAAACATCCACGTGGTGCGTGCGTGATTCGCGACTAGGCACCACAAATACCCGCAATTGAATTCAAGCGTGAGATCTTTCCTCTCCAACGCCACCGATCTTAACGTTCTTTGCGGGCTACTGGTACTGGTGTAACTATTGTATCCGAGAGCCGTAGTATATGCGACACGGATTGTATGTACTCAATATCACCTGAGGGCCATCGACTTGTTGTTTAGGAAGGTGTTCTTGGCTACATATGAAGGATGACAACGTGGTGTTGTTCGCACTGCCGAGACCCACGGGTAAGACCACCGAGACGTCACTTTTACCCGTTCATGTCACAACCTTTGTGTTGCGCGCTTTGCACGCGCACATTGGCCGCGGAACATAAAGCACACCATTCTACGTCACATCCCCTCAATGCCTAGGTAACTTTGTTTGTGTACACGTATTACCCCAGATCCTACAACAAGACTCGAATTAGTTTGAGGCAGCATAGCATAGCAATTGCGCGCAAACATAAGGTCGCTATAGTTCTGTGATCATGTCCGAGTCTACAGCAGCCTATGAGCCGCTTACCAAGCACCTGGCTGGGGCAAAGTATACTTTTGTCTGTCCATCTCCAGAAACTGCTGGTAGAGTAGTACAGAAGAGGACCTCCGATCCATCGACAAAACATGCTCGGACTGCACAGGACTTCTTTGGTTGGAGTCTCCCATGTTCAAGGTACGCGCCGTCAATTCGAGCCCACTCTCAGACGTTCTTGAGGCCCCCCCAAAAAAGAGATGAACACGTCTTTCCCACCCATGCAGCTGTTACCCACCCCTCATGCTAATAAACTTCCAGACAGATACTCAAGTCGATAATACCGGATGATGTCTTCGAGAGCCTACGCAAAGCCTCCATTATCACGAACGGTGATAGTGACGACGAATACCGCTCGACGATCCGCGTATCAAACTTCTACCTAGCCAATATCCCGGAGCTTGACAACAGCGCGACACCGCTTTACTACATCCACTCGTCCTTTCCCGCCTCCTCGGACTCAGTCTTCTTCGGACCTGACACATACCTGTATACTCAGTTCTTGAAAACTGCTCAACATCATCTGCCGCAAGATCTGAGCAGCGCGATAGATGTGTGCTGCGGTTCGGGCGCAGGTGCGATACATCTAGCCAAGACTTACCCACAAGCAAAGGTCCTGGGTTTGGATCTCAATCCACGTGCACTTAGGCTAGGAGGCGTGAACGCACACCTGGCCAGCGCCAAAGTAGAATACTACGAGTCAAATCTTTACGCCGCTGTACCAGATGAGAACAAGAAGGCTGGGATAGACCTGATTGTCAGCAATCCACCGTACATCGCCTCGAGTGCAGACGGCAAGGATTTGCCGATGTACGCAGACGGCGGCGCTGAATTTGGGCTTGATATATCGCTTAGGATCGTCGAAGAGGGAATGAAGATACTCTCAACAAAGGGTGTCATCATTGTGTATACAGGAGTCGCAATACCGACCGCAGACCCTGGCCATGACGCGTTTCTCGAGAAACTCCAGACTGTAGAGGGTGCTGAATTGGCTGAGTACACGATACTGCACCCAGACATGTGGCCAGAGGAAATCGGGCGTGGCGCATATGCAGATGTCGGCAGGATACAAGTTGTTGGAGCCGTGTTGAGGAGATCCTGAGGCTGAGCAGGCAGGCACGGCTGGCAAAGCGGTACGAGCGGGGCGAGTGGGACCAGGCGCAGGCTAGTTTAGCGCACTTTCCAATTGTGAAAGTGAAGTCACGCCTGCATGCTTCCGCAACATTCTGCCACATTACGTCTCCCCTTGCCTCCTCGCAGCCTGAAGCATGTGCACATGCCGCATATCCAATCGGCAACACTGCAATGACTGTGCGTTACCCAAAGCCTTTCAAGTCAGTGGTGCAGCCTTACAACGATATCTCATTCCTGGAGATGATGTGGGCTTCGAAAGAACCTCAGGTCTTAATTCCAAACTTTCAAACCCATATGGCGTGAGAATAACTGCTCTTGTAAGACTGCATTCCAGGACGATTTCCATGCACAGAAAGACGTCAATACCGGATCCATCCATCCTTAAAGCCACATAAAAGCTCGATGATCCTACTGGAGGCTTAGTTATATCATTTTTCAGCATAAATCCGCAGAATGGTCTCTGTTTCCGGCGTCAGTTGCTTCTTGCTTGTACTTCTATCCTCTATTTTCTGCGCAATTGCACAAGACTCGATATGCGGCACTCTTGATTACCACGATGAGGTGAACTTGTCTTACTACATGGGCAACTTCTTCTACAATTGGCCTGGCATTGTTCACTCTGTGAGCCGCATACTACCAGCAGGATGCAAGTTGCAAAGTCTTCCGCTACTAGTCCTGGAGCGATACTGATGCGCAGTACTGCGAATTCTTCGACACAAGCATGTAAGTGCTCCTGAACAACGAACTCTCCAAAGCTAACATTGCGATCCAGCGCAGGAAACTTCGCCACTAATATTACCTCGCCTTACTACTATTACGATACCGGCTGCTCCTTTTCGCCTTTCGGCACACCGGTCACGGTGACCTCGTTTTCGATACTTACTTCTACCATAAGTCTTACATCTTCTCGACTCTCCACAATTACTTCGTTCGCCACTATTACATCCACCCTGCCGGCAGTGACGCGGACATCAAATATTGCCGGAGCAGCTGTCACCACAACCCGAACCGCAACCTCCACCTCCACCCAGACCCTTGTGGCGCAGATACAGACCGTAACTGCCAGCTTTGTGGCGACCCAGAACATTGTTGCGACCCAAACTCTCCCGGCGCAAATCAGTACCGTGCTGTATCCAGTTACAACGACTCTGCCGGCGCAGACTAGTACGGTGTTGTATCCAAGAATGTGTGACAGTTTATGGAGTGAAGAGGTCATGTCTGCCACGTGTGCTGGTGCAGTGCTCTTGCCTGTTCCAATAGCACTTTCTGTCTGAACGACAGATACGTCATGTAAACAGACCCTGATGGCCCGGTGAGAGAGACATAACCCTGAACAAGAACAACAACAATACATACCGATTTTACTGCTTCGCGCGGTTACCCCTGACTTACTGCCCTGAGCGGTTACACCTTCACTTATTGCATTTACTGCAACAGAATGACTACTGCTACAAATACAGCGGTGTATTCCTTCACAGCTCTTGCACTGACGCAGAGTCGAATCCAGGGAACCAGTGCCACTGTATACTACTCAACACATCAATCAATGTGGATAATCATTTTCACTTTCGCTCCCTGTGTTGTTGTGCCTCAATTAGCGCAGCGCCGGATCAGGTTCCGGAAATGGCGCAGTCAAAACCGCTTGTCCTAAATCTCGCCTATGACGTCGTGGCTCTGTACCCTGATCACTGATTTACTGAAGCGGTTACTTGAAGTGCTGGATGACTCTGGCTTACTGTCGATCTGCCCTGAGTCTGCCATCGTTCGGCGGAGGCGTAGTAACATCCCGGCGAGCATCAGCCGCATCGAAGCGAGGATAGAAGCGAGTTAGCAGCATGATCTCAAGTGTATATGAACCAGGGTCTCGTCTGCATTGATGGATAATTTTCAACGAACTACCCCAGAAAACATACAATACGGTTCACTCGACGAGCCTTTACCAACCAACCACTATGTCCGGACATCAGCACCCCACCAAGCCATACGTCGACGCCTCGGACATGAACAACATGACAAAGGAGCGCGAAGCAGCCCAAGAACAAGCCCCATCCTACACCAAATCGTAAGAACCCCACTCAAACGCCACCCACGCACTACTAACCCAAGACAGAGGCCCACCACCAGCCTACACCGTCAATGCCGCAGCTAGCGACCTGCTAGCAATGCGCGAAGGCGACCCAGACGAAAAAATCGACGTCCTCTTCGTCTACAGCCACGACAAGAAATCCATCAAAGACTACCTTGCCTTCCGCAACGTGGGCACCGTGACGCACCGCATTGTTCCACGACTCATGACGCGCCGGCTTTACAACGAGCGCTATGCGCACGATGCGAATGGCAACTTCATTGGAACGGGTGTGAAGGCGCCGGATGCTGGGCTGGTGTTTATTCCGGGCAAGGGCACTGAGCAGGATCTGCTGGATCAGGTTAGCAGGATGGCGCATAGTAGGAAGAATCATGATCCTAGGGACTTTAATTTTCAGGATGGGTATGGGATGGCGCCCATGGGAGGTGGTTGGGGTGTTGCTAGGTAGCGATGGAGGATGGTTGTTCCTTATGCTTGAGAGTTGATTTGGCACGATAGGATGTTGATGGGGTTGGGTCGTTCTTTTGCCTAGAATGTTCAGTATGCTCCGTGGTTCGTTTGGTTAGTGGTGGAGTTGGTTGTTGCTTTTGCTTGGGCAGTTGAATTCGGTTATTTTTAGGTGTTGTATCAATCTACACGTTCTCCAGGACAGCATCGATACCAGAGACCGTAACTTGTGTGAACTCTTTGTCAACATCGGCGTATGTGACCTTGCCATGATCGATAACCAGTGCGTATCGTCCGTTGCTGGTCGCCTACGCCAGCTTCCCAGCCGTGGTTCTTCGAGAAGGGAGCCTTGAAGTCGCTCAAGAACAACTACAAGAATTGGCTGTAGCTGTAAAGTAGTCCCTTGATCAACTGACAACCTTGTCATCCAAGCTGCGATTGATCTTGCCCCATGCGCACATCTCCCAACCATCGTTGTACCCAATGACAGCCACAAGGTCAGCCTTGCTCTTCACTTCGTCTATTCTCTCGAGGATCGGGGGTATGTGAGCGCCCTCGCAGGCAGGCGTGAACGCTCCCGGAACGCTGAAGAGCACGACCTTCTTGTTTTCCAACTCCCTCGAAATATCGTAGTTGACGGGCATGCCAGCGAACTTGTGAAGGTAGGCAAGTAGCTCTGCTAAGCAGTTTGTGGTCTTGTAGTGACCCTAGGAGGACGTCACGTCGGAAATGGTCATGTATTGCTTTGCCAATTCCACAACTGAAAAGTTTCAAGGCTTCACCCAACCGACTCTTTTGATGGGCCAGTCCAGCCATGCTCTATGCTCTCTGGGCAGCAACTCCCATATCCCACTCATAACATGGTGTGTCCATCCCTGCATGTACCAAAACTGATCCAGAACACGGATCAACACCACGAAATGTGCATAAATGATCATCGGAATTGGGTCGCGCTGCTGCAAACGCTCGAGATAGCTGTCTGTCATGCGATACAACCAGCCGAAGGTAACATGGTATTCTGTATCGGTACCTTGATATCGATTGTCGTACATCTCGCGGAGGATATCGACAGCTTGAACGTTGTCGTCATGGTCCGGCGTATCCTTTGAGACGAAGTCGACATGCTCACGTAATTCGTTGAGCTGCTTCTCGTATTCTTCAGGTACTTCTTGAGCTGGTAGTGGGCGGTTCTTACTTTGCACTGCCGGTGCACGTGTCTTGACAAATTGCTGTCTCTCGATGCTTGCAGATGTTGTTCTGATGCCGCGAAACATCATCAGCCAGTCAGACTTCTTGTCTCTCCCAAAAGCAAGGTACTCGCCGGGTTGGGGGCCACGTCCCCAGCTAATGAAGCATATTATCTGAACAGCCAGCAAAACTGCATCGCAGTTGCTTGGGTTGAGGTTTACGATCTCCGGTGTGACCAGTACAAGTGCTCGCTCATAGTGGTGGTCTGCCGTAGTAACATATTGCTCTCGTCGATCGGGCCGGCAGTGTGCCAGGTGCAGCGCTGTGAGTGCAAACATTAGATGCAAGACGAAAGGGTTCCTGAAGCCAACGTCGGCCATTTGGATCTGCCAATTGATACCTGAAGTGGCCCAAGGCGAAACGGAAAAGCACGTAGAAGTGGCATAGTGGTAGGTGAGCTCGATCTCGGTTATAGGTAGTTCTCCAGGATTGAAGTGGTTGCTGCTGCTTGCCCCAGATTGTGATGGCGAACTGGCCGCCGGTGCAGCAAAGTCGCACTGTACTTGTCGACGCTTACAGTTGTCACATTCTGGCTTTGTCTCATCACACTAGGAACGTTAGCATTGATTCTCTTGATTAGTAAGGGTACATGGATGCAAGCTTATGGTGCCTAAAACTATGGGAGGCACTGAATGCTAGTTTACAGGCCATGTGCAATCCAGTAAAGCTTCACAAGACCACAGACATTTTTGCCGACTTTGTAAAGCAATCCAAAAACTGCTGAAGACCTCTAGCTTGTCGTACCTTGATGCGGCGCGTCTTGCAGTTCTTGCAGCCGGCACGCGACTTGCGGTGTGATCGTCTCGTTATCTTCTTTTCGTTATGGCCATCTTGTTCGTTTGCAGATGGTGATGCTGTGTTGGAGTGAGTAAATGACAACGGCGACTCTTGCTGCATGTTTGGAGGCTCGGTATGCATAGTTGTAGCAAGGAAAAGGTAGAGAAGGCACAGATGCGTATTTGAACACGAGGAAAGAGCGCAAACACGAACGCGCGGCTGTCTATCCTAGCGCCATCGCCCCCTCGACACCTCCATGTATCAGCTTTCGAGCGTTTCGCAAGCATTGCCTGAATCGTTTGAACGACCTTCCATAGCGGTCAAATCAGGCAAAGAACGATGGTTCTCCTGGAGATCTTGCCGAATACTTACTCAGTTAGGTGAAGAGTCCGTGCGTCTGCCTGACTCGCCAAACGAGAACCTGCGTATTCTCTTTTGATACGATGGGAACCTTCGGCAAAGTCTAGTGACAGTAATTAGCGACCTCAACTTATGCAACCTTACCTTACTATCTCTGTCTCCGGTCGGCTTGGACTTTGCGTCAGGGCCCCTGTTACAGATATAACCTCCTGGTCTGTCCCTTCGGGCCTGACCTCGTTCCAAACATCGCAGACCACATCAAACCATACCCACCACGCCTATCTTGTTACCAAGCAGCAATGGGAGTACCTACGCAAGCGGTGCCTCCCAGCGAGACACCGTCTTTATCCTCAACAGCCAATACCATACCCGCCGATGCGCCACCGCCTATGCCTCCGCCACCCTACTTCAAGACACACTTCATCAACCCCAGCTCCTTTAAGTCTGCGGTCAATAGCAAAGTCGACAAGCCTCTTGTGTCGCTATTCCGCCTGGGCGTACGGATACTCCAGCTCATCTTCGTACTTGCCTCAGGCATATCGTATGCCACCGAGCTATCACACGGCAACGGCAGGGGAGGCGCATCAGGGAGCTTTGTCTTCTCGCAAGTCGCATTCGGTGCTACACTTATTACTCTCATCATCAACGGCGCGACTGTGCGATATTACCGCTTCTCATGGATTGTCGACTGGATCTTGGCGGTCTGCTGGTTCGCGCTCTTCGCGGTCTTCTATGAGGCCTACTTAGGGGGCGGGGTGGAGCCCTCGTATGGGGGAGTGAACTTGGGACGAATGGAACGCGCAGTCTGGTGTGACCTCATCAATGCGCTGCTATGGTTAGGGAGCGCGCTGTTCTCGTCGACAATGTGCTGTTCAGGCGTCAAGGCTTCCATCAAGGGGAAGATCAAGGACAGACGGCAGAGGAAGGACAAACAGAAGATGATGGAGACGATAGGCGAGATGGAGATGGGTACTATCCGGACATAGCGATGTGGTATGGACCTCTTTATTGAGTTTTAGCGATCTTTCCTTTGCATCTTCGTATTTCAAGAGGCGTTCGTAGTCCATGATGATAAATGAATGAATACGGGTGGCATGGCTACAGGTGCTTCTTTGGTGCTTTGTTGCGTGGATCAGGTTTCTTGACAACAGGTTGAGTTGAGTCGGCGCGGACAGAGAGGTCTTTGGCTTTGGCAAGGCTCTTCTTTGTTGCTTTCTCTTTATTGCTTTCTTTGCATCACGACGATTAAGAATGTACTCGCACAGATCGAAAATGCTTGGTACTGCGATTTTACGGTTGAAAGTACGTCCTGACGTTGACGATGATCGCTGCAAGAGGGCTGTGCACCCAAGCGACAAGGGCGGTCTGCGGTTTCCCCCTTGGCGGCCGTTGAGACTCATCCTTTTGCAGCCCTGAAACTTATCTGTTCCACTTCCTGCACCCAGCGCAACGAAAGTGATCCGGAAGGATTGATCCAGCACTAGCCTTTTCATCGCATGCTGTCGTGATTCAGACGCCTCGATGCAGGGCAGGGCAGGGCTTACAGACGATGGTGTACCGAGGTGCGTGGCAGCGCCAGCCCTACCCACGAATTCAACTGACACCCCACTGTAGGCAAACCATCATCAGGTACATGCCCCACAACGACTGTTGCGACAATGACTGACCTATCTTGAAGCATGCGGAGAATGTAGAAAGCGCAGAAGTAGGGTACGGAAAGATTCTTTAGTGTAGTCGGTCCGCGGCAACCGCCTCATTATTCGCTCGCTGCCTCTTCAAGATAAGGCTAACGGTTGATCGCAGTGTGATCAAGTCACACCCTGTGGACAATGCGTCAAAGCCGGTCGCATATGCCCAGGGTATCGCAATGCTGTCGATCTCCTGTTCCATGATGAGAGTGCGAAGGTTGTTAGGAAGAGTAAAGGCCAGCCTTCAAGATCAACTTCCACGTCAACACCAATTGAGAATGCGGTCGCAGCACAGAGCTTGACTCCTGTCAATCTCACTAACTTTGTCGTGTACCAGCCATGGGATGACTTGGGTGTCCACTTCTTCATGTCGAACTACGTCGGCACAGATCCTGCCGTGTCACAGCTTCATTACCTTCCAGACTTCTATGCGAGGTCAGGATACGCAACTTCGTCATTGCAGAAAACGATCATTGCCAGCGGTTTGGCCGGCTATGCGAGAACAGCTCGTCGGGCTGATCTGATCGAACAGTCCACCAGGACTTATGTTGCCGCAATACGAGACATCAACACCACGCTGTCCAGCCCCCAGACTGCCGTTCAGGACACCACGCTCATGTCGATCATGATGGCTGCGATGTTTGAGACTATGCTAGTCTCGCCAGAGTCAGGCATGCACAACGTCAGCAAGCACCTCGAAGGCGCTATGTCAGTTGCATACCTGAGCTTGCAACAGCGAGCGCCAAGCGACATTTTCAAGGCGTTACTTAGCACCCTGATCCAGAGTGTGATCATGAACTGCTGGATTCAGCACGTACCATTACCTTTCCGGTATAAGCAGATCAGACCATACGTTCCCGAAAGGATCAACCCCACCTCGGTCCACGCAAAACTCGTGGACATCCTGTCGCGAGTGATTGAGTTCAGAGATGACCTCAAGGCAAGGTCGTATTCGAATCCCGACGCGATACTGCAGAAGGCTTTAGAGCTTGATGCTTCTTTGAAGACCTTCATTGAAGAGATGCCACACCATGCGTCTTTTGAAAAATGCTGGATGCCGACGATACAGGCGACAGAAGTGCAGCAACTGGTGTACAATTGGGTTTTTCATGGTGAGACCCTCGTAGTTTAGGTGTGTGGCTCTTCGCTGACCAGTCTAGCCTACCCGCAACAGTTCGCCGGACATTTCTGGAACAACGTTCGGTCTTGCCGCATACATCTCCATCAGCTCATCCATCAGCAGTGCTCTATACTTCTCTCTTCCAGTACAGGAAGCGAATACACGAATCTGCGACTACAAAGATCAGCCTCCGAGTCACTGACGATACTGCTCGCTGAGGAGATATGTGCCACAGTCCCACAGCTGCTCTCATACTCTGACTACCTGAATCATTTCGTGGAGTCGACCGAGTATGCTCTGCCAACACGCACAAGATCATCGAACCGCGGCGAGGGCTTGACGGCATCAGGCTCTTCACAGCACACGATGGCAGCATCAGAAGACTCTGGCTCCAACGTCTCCACATCAAACCACTCCACCGCATCAAGCCCACACTCTACATCCACGCAATCATCATACGCGTCCAACAAAGACGCCCCCAGGAGCTACGCATCCAAGATTCCCCCCTTCACACCCGGCGCCCTCGACCCCGCCAGCGCCTTCCACCTGCTCCTAAAACTGCACAACCTCACCCTCGTTCCCTGGCTGCCCTTCAGCATGAAGTCCTGGATCCAGGGCCGACTCACCTGGATCGAGAATAACTCGGACCCATACAGCGCCTCCCGACTGCTCTCCATGATCACCAAACGGCCCTGCGACGGCTTCCCCGTCTCTACTGCACCGGGCCAGATACCTCACGGCGGGATTTGCGACACCATCGCGCTCACGCCAGCAGACCAGCGGCTCTGGTTCCTCGCGCATAGTTGGCTGTTCGTGGGGATTGATTGGAATGCAGATTACTATTCGGAAGCAAGTACCTCGTAAAAAGATGATGAGCGAGAGTTGACTGGGATAGCAATAGGATGGAGGAACGCGCATGACGAACGAGAACGGATGGCAGATGAAGATGGATGAGGAATCCAGGTATCCGGTTACATCAACGATACCGTCACCATTGATGCAAGAGGCAAGTGTCTCGTTCGAAGATTGGCAAGCACGACCTGAATAGAACAGCAATAGGGCGACGCAGCGCGCCGGCGACACAGAGATAAGAGAGGCTCATGATGATGGACGAGGGATCAATTTCGCTATGACGCCCGACGTGAAACTGATCTGGAGAAAGCCGCACTGGACGTTTGGATAAAGGAGATGAAAGTACACGGCAGACGAGAAAACGCTTTATGCAATGGGCCGAGCAAAGAAGGACATAAAACTTCCGTCTATACATTCTCTCTACGAAGAGACACCGAAATCGATCTAAGAAATGCAATTCTAGTATCCTGCCGCAAAGCACTTTCGCAAGCAGGATCCTGCCCAAAACGCCCGCTGTCATAATGTAAGCATTCGATAACAGCCTCTAGCCCCTCTCATATGAGACGTTGGAAAGGTGTCTACAAACGGCGCTCCAACGAGAACATCAGTCCTGCGTAAGATCCAGCTGCTTCTTCTCTCACACCTCGAGCGCCCTTTCCAACTTCCCTCTCCCCCTGCGTATCACACCCACCAGCCCCGCACCATCATTCTCCTGCTTCTTCCTCAGCAGCCCCCAACAATAGCTCGGCGGCGCCTCATCCAATCTCTTCCCCCAGAGTTTCCCATCCTGGATTCTATACCGCTCTTCTTTCGACTCGTCCAGGCCCTTGGGGTACAAGTCTGCAAAGGCCTGCTGCAGCTTGGGGCCGTTCTGGTACTCGAGGCCATTGAAGAGCGTACGAAGATACTCCATGGGCACGCTGTCCATGCGGCGGCCGTGGTAGCGGCCGGAGGTGAAGCAGTAGTTGTTGTTTCTGCGTGCTTTTGAGGAAGGTTTCAGGCGGGTGGGAAGGGCGGTATCGAAGCCGACGCCGTGGCGTGAGGGTTTGGCTGATGTGTCTTGTGCGGTTTGGATGGATGAGTCTTCTGACAATGGCACAGTCAAGGAGAAGGGAGGTGGTGGTGTGGTGTCGATGCCGTAGCGGCCGAGGGCGCCAAGGTGGTAAGTCCCCTTGACCGGGTAGGAGAGGTACTCTCCAATTTGAAGGGGTTCGTATGGCTGGTGCGACTGAGGGTCAACTTGTGCAGGCACGGAAATGGTGCCCTCTTTGTACAACGACAGAGCTGCAATAGCTTCAGTGACTGTGAACATGACGAATCTGAAAGATACACCTGCAGGAGGTGCAATCTTCTTCGGGTGTGCCTTGTCCCTTTCTTTTCCAATCACTTGATGTCCTTGATCCTTGTCTGACTTGCCAGGATTGACCTGATTGACCGGAGTCCCAGGTGGAGGCCCGCACCTCTGATCCTGAGTGGGCGCTCTGTTGCCTACATCGGCAACCACGGCCTCCGCCTTGTCGACCTCTTCCAAACCATCCTCTTCGAATTTGAGCTCAGCTGTCCGCCGTGCAGTCGGTGCTGCGGGTTTCTTTGTCTTTCCCTTGCGTCTTGGGCCTAACGCGTATCGCGAGTCGGCGTCTTCGTCTTCCGTGTCTTGCGAAGCTGCAGGTTGGGGTCGCCGTGCCGCCTCGTCTTCGCTCGAGTCGATGTCGTCAGTCAGGTCCACCTGTGGAGGCTGTCGCGAGCCAATGACGCCATTGCCATTTGTCTTGGGTTCGGTGTCATCCTCTTCCTGAACTTGTACTTGCTTGCACGCCTGACGCTCTGCTTCTCTCATCGACTTGGGTGGTCTCCCAGGTCTCTTCGCCGCTCTTTTCGCTGCTCTCGTTGCCGGTGCAGACTCTGTAGGCACGGGATCTGTTTTGACCTTGGCAGTGCTTTTCACCTTCTTTCGACGCTTAGACGAAGGTTGGATCGGCGGCTGCGCTGCGCTCGGTGCGGCATCGTTGCTGCGTTTGCGTTTCGGCGGAGCGACAGGTGGTAAAGCAGGAGGCTCGGTCGACTTCGATTGTCGGCGTGTCGTCACCATTGCGACTCAAGCGCTACCTTTGTGCCGCTGTGAGCTGTGAACGAGTGACTATGGTGTTGTAGACTCTCAGGCAGATGGCGTCAGTGTTTAGAAAAAGTGAGCACGGACTGCAACGCCAAAATGGAGGCAGTCGCGACCCCCCACGTGCACCATCTTCCAGTTTCATGGGTAAACCCTCCCTTGTCGGCCGGTCTTTCCATTGAAGTCTGCGAGTGCTTCTTTCAGACCAGGCCAAGAGTGAACAACAGTTGGCATGCCCTCTAATGTCTTTATGTAGTTCTCGTCCACTTCATCAAGACGCTTGCCTTTAAATGCGCCCTTGGGGAACTTGTACTTCTCAGATGGTGAAGCACCGTTCAAAGCACCGCCTCGTGTACGTCTTGGAGCTTGTACTGGTGCTTGTGTTGGTGGCTGTGGGTTCGTGACGGTCTTTCGCAGTTCTGGACGGTGGTGATCGAATGCTTCTTTCAAACCGGGGTGTCTGCCGTCGAAGATAAATGATTGCCCACCGATGGTGCGCAAATAGCTCTCTGGCACGTCTGAGATGTGGCTGTTCTTGTACCTCCCCCAATCAAAAACATAGTCTTGCACAAAGTCGTGGTCTGGGAGTCGTGGCGCGGCGTTCGTTAGGTTGTTGACAGCCGGTCGCTGTCCTCTTGGGAAGTCTGAGACGTAGGCAGATGATCTCGTTGAGTGATCGCCAGCACTTCTGGTCGAAGCCTGTGCGTTCGTCTCCTCTGTGAACTTGATGTGCGAATTTTGCGTGGCATGGTGGTTATTGGTGTAGATGGCCTCAATCTCGACCTCCACTACCTCTCCACTAGCATCGAATCTGCCCATCTTCCTTGCAGCCAAAGGAAACCCAGCCTGGTGCATGGTGTCGTAGATGGACACTGCTTCCAGCGCAGTGAACATGACTTCTGCCCTCCTCGGTCTCGCTTTCCGTGGCCGAACCTCTCGAAGATTGATTATCATGTCGTCTGCGCTGTCGTCTGTGTCGACGTCGCTCATCGAGTAGTCCATGTCAGAGCCGTCGTCGGTGAGCTCGCCCTCCTCAAGATCTGAGTCGTCCAGCGCGATCGGGTCGAACGAGCTACCACCGCCTGCTCGAGCGTTGTTGTTCAGCGTGCCGAACTGATTCCCACTCCTCTGAGCCTTCACAAACGACCTAAACTCTTCTGCGCCATCGTTGCTGCTCTGTCCTCGTGCTGGGCGACCTCCAAAGTTGCCTCCTCGACCGCGACCGCGACCACGGCCGCGGCCACTACGTGTCGCTCGCATCTGTCCTTTCGATTTCGGTGGTGGAGGCCGAGGAGCTGACTTCGCATTTGCACTGCGCTGTGCAGCGACGCGTGCGCGCCGCTTTTGGCAGGGGCGCGGCATAACGTGACCTTTGACGACCTGCATGGGTAAATGTTGAAGACTCGGGATGACGCTTGAGGCTGAGTGTGGCGAAATTCGGGGAGTGTGGACCTCTCGTGTTGCGAGCCAACATCAATCGAGTCTGTCGAAGTCTTTCATCAATCATCACAACACAATACTATACCCATAGAAAATTAGCATCCGAGAGCACGATCGAAGTGTTGTAGTATTTTTCGCTCAACAGAAAAAGGCCTCTTAACAATTGCTTTCGGCATGGGAGCGCTTGACGCTGTGTGAATTGACATCATGGTAGGATTGCATGCTCTGCAGCTACCGAACCTTGGAAGCTGTTTGTGGATATGAAGGCGTTCACAAAAAGAGCAAGATACTAACAGCTTCAGATGATCCAGCGGTGGCACCTCCCCACTTGGGTACTGCCTCAACATTTGGCCCCCAAACACGCTCAGCCCCCGCAGCCTCGCCTCGTTGCCTGACTTCTGTCCAAAGCATGCCTTTTACAGCTACACTCTCTATACGGTGCATTTCTAGCGTACTTCAAGATGATGGACCCGCTATCGTTTATTGCGGGTATCGTTGGCATCGCTGCAGCGAGCGCTCACCTGGCAAATACGGTCCACGACTTTGGCGACAGGTCAGCAATACACGCTCACAAATGCATGATATTGGCTCAAAGATGTCACATCTCTCTACCAATCTCAAAGATCTCGCCACTATCTTAGACTACGGCCACGGCAAGTACAAGTTGCAGGTACTTATTGACACGGAGTCCATCATGGAGTGTGTGGAGAAGGTCCAGAAAGAGATACGGCAGATAGTCAAACAGAATAGCGGTATCTGAGCTCGAGTGAGGTGGGCGTTGAGCTCTGGCAAGATCGCCGAGCTTTTGGACCGGATCGAAGCGCTCAAGTCCTCACTGAGCAATGTGCTTGCCACTGTGCAGCTAGCCATTACTCACAGTGAGCCAAAACAACCTGACCTCGAGTGAGGTTCATCACATCATTGCCAAAACATCTGTACTGACAGCATGCAGGATCGAGCGGCTATAACAGTTAATCATTTCTGGGATCAAAGAAATACGCCAATCGGTGGTCAAACTGCAACAGGCTAAGCCAGCAGTCATGTTTGAACCACTCAAGATGCCCACTACAAGCCAGACTCCTGCGCTGCCAGACACTCTCGAGCACCAAGGCCTAACCCTACCTGACGCTACTTCTGATGAGGGTTCTGGACTGCAACTACACCAGAGGGCAGCTCACAATGCAGCAGAGGCTATACAACCCAGCAAATCTCAGTTCGAGACTGCGGCTTGGCTGTATCGCATGACGTTGACTAGCTCTGTTGTTGCAGTAAATGCAATAAGTGAAGGTGTAACCGCGCAGGGCAGTAAGTCAGGGGTAACCGCGCCCGGGATATCAAACCCAAGAATGTCTTGGTTCACAAGGCCAATGTCTTACTAGCTGATTTTGGTATTTCCACGATTTTCTGGATACGACAACGTGACCTTCAACAGCTACACAGCGATACTGCTCGCCGGAAGTCGCGGCTCATGAGGGACGTAATGCATCTGCAGATGTGTGGTCTCTCGGCTGCGTGTTCTTAGAGATGCTATCAGCTCTACAGACCAAAGACTTGAGTTGGGCAAAGGTGTTGAAGGGTTGAGATGTTGATTTATCCTCTGAGCTATTGGCTGGAATCGATCGGGACTATATAGTAGAAGGCAATAGCTCTCAAGATCAATCAATCGTCTCGACACTTCCACAGTTCTGGACCTGGAACGCCCTCAACGTAACTTACTACTCTATCTTCTTCTTTACATGACCAACTATGCAACCAGTTATAGCGTTTTGCATCCTACAGCAATTGAGAGTCTTTCACGGTTGTATCACCCATTTATATGCGGCAAAACCTATCAGGGATCACGAGAGAAGAAAATATTAATGTTTCTGATCGAAAACGTGAACTGCATTTTGGCAGAATTGCTTGGAGCCGAACAGGATGGTGATGCAAGACAGAAATTAGTTAAGAGAGTAGCGTTAGAAAAGCAGAAAAGAACAGAGGAAGGGGAGCGGCTCAGGAACCAGAGACCAGAGAAGAAAGAAGAAGAGCGACTGGGGACAAAGAGAGCAGGGGAACTGAAATCAAATCAACTAGTGCTAGGAGAGCAATCGTGGAAACAGACAGAAGAGAAAGAGAAGGAACAGCAACCGTGGGAACAGAGAGCAGACAAAAAGAAAGAAGAGCAATTGAGAAGACAGAAAGCTATGGCAAAACCCTCATTCGTCGGAAGGATTCGGGAGAGGTTCCTTTGATACCTCATCACTACAGTAAATCAGAAGCAGGACTAAGAACCTAGGCCCGATAATCTAGAAATTCCGACTTTATGCTCAAATGTCGTTAGAACCTCTGTTTTGTCCACACTCATGCGGTCGGCCACCCGTCAGTTCCAGACTCATCAACAGTATATGTACGAGGGATGGCTGAAGTAGCACAACACCCAATGGTGAAGACTCTGTGCTTGAAGGCTGTCCGTAGGATGTGAAGGAATGTCATCACTGTTTCCTGTTTGCCTTGAGCCCCCTTGAAAACCTAAACCGTATTGGTTGCGCCCCATTATCGCCCTGGAAATGCGAACACGGTGAGATTAGACTCTGAGGGGACACTCCAGAGAAGGCTTTAATTGAGTATATTATTTGTCGACAAACACAGAGCATACTTCCAGACCACAGCAGATGCCTTGGAGGCCGTAAGGGTCGACAGTAACAGGAGGGGGGTGATGACGGCATTTCTTGAATGGGGAAAAGAGGACGCCCCGATGACAAAAGAGGCGGTAGCAGCAACTGCGATTAATGGTAACAAGGAGGCAATAAAACCTTAACACGCTTATCGTGGCCTTTAGCATGCGCAAAGACCTGATGACATAGAACCGCATCGATAATCAGTGACCGCATTGATGCGCCTTGCTTATCAAACATAGATGTAGCATATAGCCACAACGCCCAGTGGGTCGCCTAACAGGGCTGACGAGAGACAGCCTTGCTCAAATGTAGAAGGTCGTAAATCGTGGGTAGGCCTGATGGCGGCATTACCCAATCAACGGTCTTGATTTCTTTGCAAGGCAGCATTCAATATATGTCTTCCCAAACATGGACGTCGAATGCGATATTTAAGATGGTAAATCCGCCGGTTTCGATTTCTGGGTTTGTTGTGAGCAACAAACAAAAGCAAACAACATGAGAACCCAGAATCGCATACTCCTAACTGTGGCGGGCATCATAGCGCTCTGCCACAGCTTCATTCTCCCACCTCCAACCGGCCAATTCAACGTCGGCTCGAAAGCATTCATCTTCCCCAAGCTCACACTCGACGATCCAGTAGCACCAAACGGCACCGGTACCTTCATCCTACTCAACATATACTACCCAACCGAACAACCCGCCCCACCCACAAAATACATCTGGCCCGATCTATCTAATCTCTACGAAACTTACTATAATCTCTCAAACGGTACATTCGGTAACATTACCGCGCCTATAGCCTACTCCGCTCCACCCCTCCCTCCAAGAAAGTGGAAGAAACTGCATCTCCCGACACTCATATTCCATCCCAGCTTCGCAGGCCCACCGTCGCGGCTCTTTCACGCTTTGCTCTCCAATCTAGCCTCTCACGGCTACTCGGTCGTGGCATTGGACCATCCGCACGAGGCGCCGTATATTGAGCTGCCTGATGGTACGGGGGTCACCGGCCTACCATTCAACTACCAGACCGACACGGAGGAGAAACTGAAGTTCGTGCAGCGCGTGCACGATTACCGTCTCAACGATGCATCAGCGGTGCTGAATGCCATACCGGCGATATCGAAACAATTAGCCATCCCGCTCAACGCCACGCACTTTTCTTTCGTCGGCCACTCGCTTGGCGGCTCCGCAGCGCTGGCGCAGGTGGTATACGAGCGAAACTCTACAAACCCACGCAAACACACCATCCTCGGCGCTCTAAACACAGACGGCAGTCTCTGGTCCCCCATTTCCGCCAACGATTCCTCAGTGGACCTGCGCATCCCCAACCTCCTCCTGAGCTCAGCGCAGCACAAAGGCGATCCGCTGTTTCATGACTTCGATGTGCAGCAGTCTGCCTGGGCGAAGGAGATCAATGTCGGGGGAAGATCCAATCACACGGATTTCTCAGACTTGATTGTTTTGAAGCAGGGTCTTGGGATTACGGGGGGTCAGGGCGCTGTGACCGCTGAGAGAATGATCAATATCACGCGAACGCTCGTTGGGAGTTTCCAGGGTCTGCTGGTGGGGAGAGGTGAAGGGGTTTTGAGCGGCTCGGAGGAGGTGAGGAAGGCTTGGCCGGAGTTGGAGTGGTTGTACAATGGAACAAGGTCTTTGTCTGGATGATAGGCGGTTCAAGTATCCCTAGCGTTGAAGTCACTGGCCTCATCTGGCGATAGTACAAGCGAAATTGCACTATTAAGTTTACGGCTGACATACAAGGTTCTCCCGTCTCTTGCTTGGCAGTCATGCTGATTCGTTGTGCGGTTGCCCATGAGTCGTCTGTCGATCATACCGAGTCAAGGAAATCCCGCTGTGCTCTCGTGCTTTTCACTTCTGCCATTTCCACAGCTGCCATGAGCTCAAGGAGCTACTTCCAGCTGTCGAGCCAGGTTTCAAGGTTGGCACGCTTTGGCATTTGCGCTTTGGCATTTGGCGAAGTGCCAGATATCGTGAGAGAAGCTGAGTTTCTCGTTCTGCTGTTGATGGACAAAGCCGGCTCTTGAGTTTCTGCAATCTGGCGTGCGGGATATCCAGATTCATGATCCAGTGGAGTCGGCGCTCTGAGATCGTTGCCGCAATTTCGCTGTTGAACTGCCTTAATTCCAGTTCCTTCTTCTCAAACTTCGTCAGTTCCTTCTGGTAGTTGCTGTACCAGGCTGAATACTTTCGATATTCATGTTCGTTAAGATGCTCGAGGTCGTACATGGTGTCGTCCTCTCTTTCTCTTCCATAGAAAACGCCTGCCTCTTTCTTTGCAGGCTTCTCATCTTCACGTGTTGGAGTTCAGTGAACTGTACGCAAAGGGAAGAAGTTGAAGATTGTACTGAGGTTGTATTGGGTGAAGCTACAAAAAGTATATATATGTGGATAGCTGTAAATAACGCTAGTGTGACTTGGCAGTCACTCTCATAACAGGTGAGGTACAACAGGCAGGAGCACCCCAAACCGTGATACCCCCCCCCCCCAGTTGTCACCACGTCAGTGAATTGGTGATAACTGACCTATCCAGTAGGTTGACTACAAACAATGTATTTGCATTAGGTGGTAGGCCATTATCCATCTGAGTACGGTCACCATGCTTTCAATGTGACTCCCATTCAGTCAGAGCATTCTTGATTTGCTTTGCAATTGTAGGGTCCTTTCAAGCTTGTTCAACCTTGCAGACTCCAATAGGTGCTGGCTGTTGCAATTCGTGCCTTAAGCAAAGCTCGTAGACACTATTCGATTGGTTCTCGGGGATGAGCAGAGGTACAGAAAGCCGTAGGGGTTGACAGTCACCTAAGCAAGGCTCGGGTGGTCAGGGGTAGACTATCCGGGCGAGGCGGTAGTAACCTTCGTAATAGTCAGGTAGTCGTCTAGTCAAAGACCGTGACGACTGGTTGCAATGAGTAGTACGGAGTATACTGTCTGGCTCGAGAGCAAGTGAGATTCCAATAACAAAGTTGATTGACGAGGTTGAACACGATGCCATAAGGGCAGCGTGTCTACTTGTTATATACTTTAGCAGGAGGATTTGCTCAGATCGCTCGGTATCGAGTATACTGCTCGTACCAAGTTTACTGACGCGGCCTAACTGCTCGAGTTGCTTGACCGAGATTGATGATCATACTGAGTATCGCCGACGCGGCCTCACTGCTCGGTTCGACCGAGATTGATGATCATACTGAGTATCGCTGACGCGTCCTAACTGCTCGAGTGGCTCGAGTTGCTCAACTGAGAGTGATGATCATACTGAGTATCGCCGACGCGGCCTCACTGCTCGGGTCGATCGATAATACAGTTCCTTGGCTCCTCTCGTATCGTTGCGTAGTCCTGTTCGTTCAGTGTTGTTGTGCGAGTTACTCCTTGATCGTAACAGGTACTTGGGTTCTTTACAGTTAGTGCTGCTACTAATGGCTATACAAAAAAGAAATCTATACTTCTGGATGGCTTTTAGTCATCTGAGAGAGAATATCTGTCAAGGTTGAGGTGTCTCCTTGCAGTCAGCCGCATGAGCGCTTATCTGCTGATTGGTTGCTACGTCGCACGATTACATGTTGACAGCCACACGACATCATTGTAGACGTTTTCTTATGTATAGCTCCCCTCTGTAGTATGTATAATAGTTAGTTGAATCCTTCAGTCCTTCCCACATGCGTACTATCTATACTCCTCGACAATAGGTAGGTGACTACTAGCGAATACCTGCTGTTGTATGTTCTGGCCTTTTTCCTTCTACTAATGATACTCTTGCGTCATTTTATTAATTTGCTTAGCTATATTTTATAAAAAGATGCACCTCTTTCACATACGACCATAGGACGTTGAAAACAAGGCTTCCCGTTTGCTCAGCCCTATTTAAGCAACGTACCGGCGGATTAGTAGTTAGGTGGGTGACCACTAGCGAATACCCGCTGTCGTATGTTTTGGTCTTGATGCCCTCTCTTTTTGCACCCTTCGCTAACAATCGCATCCAAATGCTCGCCACATTATGAAGCAGAGCGCAAGCTGTTTCACCTTTTGCTAAAATGGTCCTAACTTTTGCCTTTGGGAGTCGATGTATATGCTAGTCGCGGATTGGTGCCGTGTGTGACGCTCATGCATGCCCAGCTAAAGGCTGGCTGGAACGTTACGTGCAGCAAGGTATCACCCACCCTAAGCCTGATGGCAACATAGCACTCAAAGCATGTCCGTCGCTTTCAGCCATTATCGACTCACCGAATGTCCTGTTACTCACTTGCGTTGAGTTTTACGTTTTTGCTATGGAATCGTCAAACACAGCAATGTAGGACGGGGTGTCGGTTGAACTGCCGCATTCTCGATCGTACCACTAAGTTCTCATTATACTGACAGATGAGAAAACGCTACATTTCTTTGGTAAAGGCGAGTTTGCGCGCTGATGCAGTAGTCTTCCCTCTTCAGAGCAACAGCAGCAACCGAACAAATGTATGTGCGCAATGCCATGCTCTGAGTGCATGTCTACTCACCGATCAGGGAGTATCGCCCAATTCGTACATGTTATGATCGCTCTGCTGGCACTTGGCACGTGTACAATCATACAATAGTCGTCGCACGCCTCGTCCTCAGCCTGGTCTGTTTTCCTCCTCAAATTCGACATGCGCATTCTACTTGCCAGCGCGCTGTTTGCGCATGTCATAGCACAGCAGCTCATTGCGAACCCGATTAACGACTTTTGCAGACGACATCAGCACCAAACCTGTGTGATTGACAACAAACTCTATGTCGACGGGGGGTTCATCTATTACGGCGCAGATGCCTCAAAAGATAACCCACAGCCAAGTGAGCTTTCCAATCGTGTGACGAACTCGTCTAATGTCATGCAGTTCAATGACTGGTCAGTGCGGATTTGTCACAATTAGACACAGGTTTGCCTCCTCAGGAGATTGACTCCATCAAGGTATTCCTAAGTATGAATGTGTCCATGCTGTAGTAGGGACATGCGAACCTGAAACATGGTTGCTGACTGATATGCTTCAGGGCTTGGGAGTTCCATCTGTCAATGGTGGCGTCCTATGACCGGACGAAGTGAACAGGCTCTTCTATCTGTATGGCGGGGAATATAATAACGGAACTGTCCTGGAGTTCCAGATATTCTGGTTCTACGACACAATCAACAAATCCTGGAACAGGTCTCGAGGCTCCGACACTATAAGCAATGTATGGACAGATGCGGACGGAAAGCTGAAGGCTCTGTCGTGGCCTGCTTTTGGAGCTGGCACCGTAACTGATTCTGGGGTGGGGTATTATTATGGCGGATACCTCAGCAACAAATCTGTTGTAGACTGGAGCGGGGATCGCTTCATGCTGAACAGCCTGATATCCTTCGACATGACATCGCAATCCTGGAGCAACCGTACTTACGATAGCACGCCGCGCGCTGAAGGCTCGATGCAATTCATACCGGCTTCTGAAAGTGGTATGCTAGTGTACTTTGGTGGACTCGAGATGTCCAGTAAAGGCGAAGTTGAATACGTAAGTACGCCTATAACTGCGATGTCTCTTTGCTGACGTGAGACAGGCCAATATGAGTGCAAGTAATTTGAGCTTACATGCAGGCAAAGTGCTAAGTGTTCCTTACAGGACATATCAGTTTTCGATATCGTCCTTAACCGATGGTACATCCAAAAGGCTACTGGCGACATACCTCAACCAAGGCGTGGCTTCTGTACCGGTATATCGTGGGCGGCAGATCGCTCTTCATACAACATGTACGATAGCCATCAGTTTCCTGGAGTTACATGCTGACAGTGCAAGATATATGTTTGGAGGAATCAGTCCGAACGAAACTGCACTCGGCGATCTATACATCCTGACGCTTCCCAGTTTTACATGGATCTCAGTACGTAAACAGAAGATGCCTGTTTGCATCTTGAATAGAGCCCAGTTGACATCTCAAGTGGTACCCTGATCCTCAGCAAACAAATTTTGCTGGTGGCAAAGCCTGGTCGACGTGCGATGTTATTAATCATCGATCTCAAATGGTCATCATGGGTGGGCACTATACAAACAAGTCAACAGTCATATGTGATGTGCCTCAAGGCAAAGGTCAACATGGTCTTAATCTTGGGCAAGAGATGTTCGAAAGAGAGTTTGGCGGACAGGAGTGGAATAGCTTGAGGAGCAACCTGACGCAGTATCGAGTGCCAACAATATTGCTGCGGTTATCGGCGGCGGGTACGTATTCTAGCTACCCACCCCTACCTGCGCTAACAGCACATGTCTCAAAGGACTGATGGAGGTGCCGTGAAAACTACACCAGCAGCAGGATGGTCTGGATCAACAAACCAAGCCAGTTGGTTGGCAAGCGCCTTTGCCATGTCCTACTCTGCTGCAAGGAGGACGCCGACCCGGTCAGACATACCTGTGACGCCAACTGCTACCAGTTTCACACCGACTGAGCCACATTCAGACGATCCGAGCCCCGGAGCAATTGCCGGCATTGTAGTGGGAGTCTTCGTTGGGGCGGTCACGATGGGCATTGCCATAGCCTTCCTACTCAGGAAGAAGCGTGCAAAGACTCAAACTACAGATCAAGCTACAACACCTGAGCTGGAAGACCAAGACGAAACTTTGGCAAAACGAAAGTGGTTCCTCAAGGGCCGCTGGAGGAGCGAAGTCGAAGCAAAGGCCGATCCTCAAGAGCTGGACTCGAAAAATGTCAAAGTCATTCCAGGACCTCCGGTGGAGCTGGAAGCCTTGGAAGTGAGGCCTGCGGAGCAGATTACAGATGAGGACAGCCATGTCAGACGTTCGGAAGATGAAAGTACGCGGAGATAAGAGCATATTGCATCTTTTGGCTCTGCGAGCCGGAAATCGCTCAACATGTAGTGGCCATACAGCCCAAATACCGCACTGTCATACATCATCAATCCATGACTTACATCTCCTTCACCCCCCTCAAACACTCCAACTCCATCGGCCCAAACGTCCCACCCCTCATCCCCTGCCAACTCCTGACCAACTCCTCGCACCTCCTCCACCCCCACTTGAACTCCCTCTCCACCTCCTTGACACTCCTCTCGACCCACCCCTTCTTGCTTATCCGCCACCATTACCACCTCCTCCCCATCACATTTATGCTTGTGCTCCGATCAAGGCGCCTTCCCCATTCGCAAAGTGAATCCACAACTACGCGTGTTTTGTTAATATGGATTTTAGGCGTTGGGAGGGGAACCAGAATTCAGCGTTTCCAACGGACCGTAAACCAGTAGTGCCGAAGCCTATATCCAATAGTACCGACGGATTTTTGGTGTTGTTACGTACGTACGGCTCACGATTGAACGGGTTACGGACAGTAACAGTAAATCCAGACAGTAAATTTCCTATCTAGGCTAGTCTACAAAGTTGAGTGAACTGAATGTTCGGGTTGCTTCTAACTTCTGCGATACATGGCGGCTCAACTTGATGAGCGGGCTTTCAACTACACGGTTTTTTAAGCCAATTCTTCTGTAGTTGAAGTGCCTCAATAATACCTCCAGATAGTAGATTTCTATCTGTGCAGATGATGCGGCCAGCCATACTGAAGCAGCGCTCACACTCACAGCTAGTAGATGGGATGGACAGGAAACTGCAAGCCATTTTGAATAGTGCGGGATACCTGCCATAGCCAATTTAAGCCACCAACGCCGCGGGTCAGCCATCAACTCCTGATAATTGTCTTCTCAATTGAGGTCCTCATTGAGATTGTCGTTTTAATTGGCCAGTTTGTTCTCACACTTCCGACGCTTGGACCTGTGTGTGCCGTGAGAGTAACCCGGGTCCAAGTGAAGTTTGACAAACTTCCATGTGGGGTCCCCCTTGGTGAGGTCAGTAAAGGTCGATAAGAACAGCTCACGACACTTGTGTGAGCGGCAAACAGCTCGTACAAAGTTGTGAAGTTTTCCAACGATGCCGTGTGGTCGATATAAGTGAAACTGCTCTATCGGAGCTGCCTGAGCAGGCCGTTGTTTGAAGTTGAAGACTCCATCTCCATATAATGTAGCCTTAACAATGAGGTTGATGTGACTCACACAGCGGATGCGGCGCTCGGTACTGAGGCTGAGGTTTGCTTCTTTGTTGAGGTGATTTATGAGCTTCATGTTGTTGTTTGAGGCGTTATCGCCTATCAAACAGTTGAGGTTTGACTTGAAGTCGTATTCTCGGATGACTTTGAGTATCGCAAAGGCTGTGCGGAGGCAGTATGGTCACCAAGAAGGTTGTGAAAACCAATCAGAAGGTCTTGTTGGTTGTAATTGGCATCAACAAAGTGAGCAACAACACTCAAGAAGCTGAGATGATTCAAGGAAGTCCAGATATTGAAGCTAACAGCAATCTTACTGGTGTTGAAGTCGTGTCTTAAGCAAAGCTCGTAGGCACTATTCGATTGGTTCTCGGGGATGAGCAGAGGTACAAAAAGTCGTTAGGGTTGGTTATCACTTAAGCAAAGCCCGGAATGACAGAGGTTTGCCGTCTAGTCAAAGACCGTGGCGACAGGTAGCAACGAGTAGTACAGAGTATACTGTCTGGCTCGGAAGCTGAGGGTTGAGATTCCAATAACAGAGATGATTTACATACCGATCACGTGCACTTATCCTCCTGCGCCTGCCCACACCGTGACACGCGCGACGCTGCAAAAGCTTTACAATTGTCTCAAAGAGACAATCGTACAACCTCAAAAGCTTCTGCAGTTAAACAGAAGCCTGCGCGTCGTGCTGTGGGTGCTCGTAGTCATGCAAAGCCTGCGACACCTCCTCCGCCAGCTTGCACTCACACCACCCGCAGCGGCCGCACTCCCACCCTATATAATTGATTTGTATAGTAGAATATCGTTGCTTGGGTCTATAGAACATATTACCAATTTTTTCTGTAATAATAACCATTGTATGTGGCTCTACAGCCTCATATTTGTGGTGGTGGGCAGGGCCAAAAACGTGCATTGGTTGAATCCGTGCATTGGGTGCATAAAACAGTGACTTATTGGTCAACACTCCAAGCGCTGAAGGATATAATGCTTATGCCAACCCTCGTCTCTTTTCGGGATCCTTAGTTTTTTCTCCAGTAATTGGTACAAATTTGTGTATTCCCGTTCCGCATTTGCTGCATCAATGTTACTGGAAACGGTCAAATTGAGGACTTTTGTGGTGAACGATCAGGAGACAGCAAGTTCTCCCGTCTGATCTGCAGTCTGTCAAGGTACTGTTTTAGGGTCTCCGTTATTTAAAACCTGCTAGTAATGGACAAAGTGGACGAGTTGAAACGGTGCTTGGGTTCTTTACAGTTAGTGCTGCTACTAATGGCTATATGAAGAAGAAATCTATACTTCTGGATGGCTTTTAGTCATTTAAGAGAGAATATCTGTCACGGTTGAGGTGTCTCCTTGCAGTTGGCCGCATGTGCGCTTATCTACTGATTGGTTGCTACGTCGCACGACTACATGTTGACAGCTACACGACATCAACGTAGACATTTCCTTATGTATAGCTCCCTTCTGTAGCATGGAGAATAATCTGTTCAATCTTTCAGTCCTTCCCATATGCTTACTATCCATGCTCATCGACAATATCCGATGAGATATGCAGAGTTCATTGCCCTCCTTATTGGCTACAGTCGTATTAAATGCATAATATATTCTATAAAAATGAACACACCTTTCACATACGACCATAGGACGTTGAAAACAAGGCTTCCCGTTCGCTCAGCCCTATTTAAGCAACGTACCGGCGGATTAGTAGTTAGGTGGGTGACCACTAGCGAATACCCGCTGTTGTATGTTTTTGTTATTTTTCAACCCTCAGTTACATCAAATAGAAAGAAGTGCTTGTTGCTCATATACCGTGCTTGAACAGGCTCACCTTTTGCGTGCAACCAACACAAGGCAACAGATCGGGGGTCCAGTCATTCGTAGAACGTAACAGTCAACACACGCAAGGCGGCAGGAGTCCAACATGTTGTTGAAGTCGTGTCTTAAGCAAAGCTCGTAGGCACTATTCGAATGGTTCTCGGGGATGAGCAGAGGTACAGAAAGTCGTTAGGGTTGGTTATCACTTAAGCGAAGCTCGGAGTGATAGAGGTTTGTCGTCTAGTCAAAGACCGTGGCGACTGGTAGCAACGATTAGTACAGAGTATACTGTCTGGCTCGGAAGCTGGGGGGTTGAGATTCCAATAACAAGGTTGATTGATGAGGTTGAACACGATGCCGTAAGGGCAGCGTGTCTACGTGCTACATACTTTGAGAGGAGAGGGGTTGCTCGGGTTGCTCGAGTCGCTCGAGTTGCCTGAGTTGCTTGATACTAAGAGTACTGGTCGTACTTAGCATTGCCGACGTGATCTAACTGCTCGGATCGCTTGATACTGCAGTTCCTCGGCTTCTCTCGTATCGTTGCGTAGTCCTGTTCGTTCAGTGTTGTTTAGCGAGTTGCTCTCTGATCGTAACACATGTCTGTGCCTTTGCGACCGCTGTCAGACTGCCAGCTGAAGCGCCACAGATGGCATGCAAAAGGTCGCTATCGCGCTTTCTCAAAGTGCGGAAGGTATATTTGTTTCAGAATGATACGTGGTCGTTTGCAGTGGCTGGCAGCGGCGTTGCATGAAAAATTATTGAATATTTATGATCTTATGTACCGTCCCACAACATTGAAAAAGTAGCAGCGACAGAGTCTTTGAACTAAAGAAAAAATTCTGATACAGGCAAAGAGAACTCAGCGACCTGTCGTCGTTGGTGCCATTTAAAAGCGCGAACTACGACGCCGATCCCTTTTCGACCTGCTCTCCGCTGGTTTGCTCGACTTATAGGCTTTTGTCGGAGTGCAGTACACCTCTAATCTTGAAAACGCACGCGACTGATGGTTCAATCGGTTGCAGTGTCTTTCGCTGTCTGAAAGATCGTACTCGTCATCGTTCTCTTCTTGCCCACTCAAGTCTTCACCGCTGCTGGCCCCATTGTCACTACTTTCTTCATCCTCTACGCTCTCACCTTCCGTGCTCTCATCCTCTGAACTTGATGGTACGTACGAGGCATCGGAATCATCCTCAGATGGTTCATCATTGTAAATGAATGCAGACATATTTTCCTCCTCGTCTTCCTCACTTTCCCACTGTCTCCTGGTGTGAATACTCGCATATCCCTCATCTGAAGTATCATCGATTTCTCCTCCATCTTGCTCCGTAAATCTATTCAATTGTATTTTCGGAATGCTGGCTCTGGCCAATCGCCTATCGAGAGACCCAGGAGCTGTCTTACCATGTGGCAGAGTGGGCCTCGCTGGGGTGCGATGTCGACTTCTCGAGGCGGGCGAAACCAATTTCTCAAGATCCGCCGTCTCGCTATATGGTTCACAAGATGCGGCCCTTCTCTTTTGTATCACTGTATCTCCACTGGGTGTGAGGGAGAATATCTGAGGACGATTTTGACGAACGTCATGAATCCATCTTGAGATCTCGGGCTTAACGCGAGCATATACCCAATCTTTCACATTCTTCACAACCATACGCAGCGCCATGATGCCCCAGGATAGCTCTAGTGAGGTCGCCCAGATGCAAACCATGATTATACGACCCTCTTTGTGCCATGGTTGGCTTTTTTCGCTGCGTTTGCCCTTACTTGTATGTTAAATCACATTTTACTTGGACGAGACTATGGGACTTACCGGCTTCTCCCGATAGGTGATCCAGAGCTTGACAGCTGAGCCAACACAAGTAAAAGAGAACATGACTCGAGCGTTATGCAAGTTGGAACTGTCTCTTGCCCTTGCAGCCAAATGTTCTCGCAGAGTAAGTCCTGCAGCGGAGGCATTTGCCGCTTGACAATAGCAGAATTGCGCTCTTTTCTCATGGTCCCTCGATTTGGCTTTGTTGTCTTTGTGCTCATCATCTGCAACCAGTTCTGCAGTGCCACGTTTGACCTCTACGACGGCCCACGGGAAACACATCAAATCTTTGGCCTCTAATGGCTTAGCTTTATCATTCGCTACCCAATTGTGCAAAGCTGTCGTTGGTGCTGAGATGAGGCTTTCTTTTTTTCTGTTTCGTAGCTCCCCGAGGACTGTCAAAAAGAAGCTTTCCACTTGATGATCGCCCTCTGAAGTCCGAAACAACTCGTCTTTGGGTGAAATGACAGGGAACCCATAAGTGAGGTCAGGTTTCGGCTGTGAGACTCGTGTAATCTTAGGGTTCAGTCTGGCCCACTGTGGAAACTCATTCCAGAGAACGTTTCGCTGCCTATGAATGTCAGTAGGAACGGAGCGCATTGTAAGAAAGATGATAAGTACAGTTCCCACCCATTGAGCTTTTGCCTGATGATGTTACTTTAGTAACGTCTTTAGATACCTCTGAACTTACTCGTAAGAACTCGAGCCCCTATTGGCCTTGTGGAAGTCCCAGAAGACATACTCGCAGAGGATCTGTGTCCATTTGTCCTCATTCTCATTCCTCTGGTGACACAGTCGTACGTCTTCTAAAGCATGCTGATAACTTTCTGGCTTCAGATGATCTCCTACAGCTGCAGAAGTGGTGTAATCCTCTCGCTGGAGATAGTCGAAATTATCAACAGGCCTTAGGCACCAATCTTCTCTGCGAGCATCGTCGCGATCCTGACCGTGGAGATAAAACTGCTCCAGTTCTTCGTTGAATGTATTCCTTGTAGCTTTCGGAAAACGTTCCTGTAACCGCGTTATGGCACGACCTATTGGCTGTAGCCAACTGTCCAGTTCATCGATATTGGAGACCTTTTTGATGAATTCAATACCATGACCTCGGAGTTGCTTCCTGCTCAATTTGGGCTTCTCAGTATTTTTTTCTGGCGCCATGTTGCTGATGTGTTTTTTGTCTGAGCACTCAGGAGCGTACAGGCCCGCACCTTTAACATAGATTGGCCAAGTTCCACGTTCTGGCTGTTGGCTCATGCGAAGTTGCGGCGCAGTGCAGGTGGCTGAGTCAAGGCGAAACCGAAACATTAGTTGGCAGAGAACCTGTCCCTTTGGCTTTATGCAAATCAGCCACTACTATACATTGCAGGAGAGCCAACAAGTATTGTCGTAATGAAACCATAGATGAACGTACTGCAACTCGATCTATTCCATCGCAGGCGGGTTTGGGGGGGGGGGGGGGGGGGGCGGCACCACACTAATGCAGGGGCATTATTGCTAAGACCACTAAGTTGGTGACAATAAGTTTGTCCTGCAGATCCGCAATCAAAAGGGACTAACTATCTAGGTACGTGAGCCTGCCTCCAATCTTAACACACCAGTAGCCGCCATCTTGTTGTTTTAACCCCATGCCTTCACACCCGAAGTAGACTGTAATCTCAATATTAGGACTGCTCCTTTACTAGAATCCTTCCGCTTTGGAGTTCAACGCTAGATGCCATGTAACAGGCAGCACTACCCTTCGCCTTTTTGCTTTATCCGTGGCAGATGCGTGTGTGTTGTTGCGTGCCCACAGGGCTTTCATTATGCAATGTACATGTTGCCTCAATAGAGCCGTTGAGTTGGCACATAAATAAGGAAAGTCGACGTTCTGCTTCGACGTGAAGAGGAGGTTGAATCCTCTAGATATGCACCAATTTTTCTAATCAAGATCAATGCCATCAACTGCCTGCTTGACGAGCGAGCAGGGCACGGTCGGATTCGACACACACACGGGAACCAGCTGCTCCATCGACGCGCACTGACATGATGACACGTCAAGACCCAGAGGACTCCTTTCCAGACCATCCCAAGATCCATCTCCGCGACAGCGCGCGCAGCCATACTCGACCTGTACCCACGCTAGCTACCTTTTATGAGCAACCAAAGGCAAAGTCCATGTCCCCAGCTAATTTTGAAAGCTCGTAGGACCTTACTCTATTGAGAAACGCGCTCGCCAGCACACACGCTATCAGACTTCGAAGTGCAATACCCACAACTGTAGTGTCATCAGTTGGATACGCGAACGCGGAGGATACAAAAAAACCTCCCTGCTCTGCTTACTCGTGCTTAGCAAACAGAGAGGGGCACACACAAGGAAGCTAAGGGGACAAAGAGGAGGATCAAAGAACGGAATAGCCGCACGACCTGCAATAACACTCAAAACGACGATCAATAATCATGAGTATAAATTGATTGCAATACCATGAACTACCACATGTGGCCATAGGAAATTATAGTACAGTAAATTTACTACTGTATAGGTATGCACCGCGCTGGAACAAAGCGTGGGAGTGCGATTGCCCGGGCCACACACTGCCTTTGATTAGATGTCATGTGGCACGGTAAGGCCTTCCTTATTTATACATGGCATTATTGCTTTGATCCCAGCGATGAACGCTGCAAGTTAGATTTTGCCTGTGCTGGCACAGTGCTCTAGGGCATGTCAAACATAACGCAGCAGAATTATCACTAAATGCCTGTTTACGGATTCTGATATGCCAATCTCCTGTCACTGTCTCCAGAAGTCAGGCGTCAAGTTGCCGTTACAGGATAATTAAGAACATTTGGGTCAACCGGACAGGAGACAGCAAGGCTTCCCGTTCGCTCAGCCCTATTTAAGCAACGTACCGGCGGATTAGTAGTTAGGTGGGTGACCACTAGCGAATACCCGCTATTGTATGTACTTTTGTATTTTTTGCTTCTCTTCACACCCTTTGTAAGTAACAAATATGCTGGGGCTACTCGTAGGCCTCCAAATGAGATTTTGCTGTGCATACGTTCGATACTTCGTCCTTGGAGATCTCCAGCAAGCCTCATGACCTGCGGATTTCGGCACGGTCTCCATACACCACCGTCAACCCCAGCCAAGGAAACACTTCTCCGCAAAAGTCTGCATTGCCTACGGTTGCCATATCAGGCGGTACCAAGGCGCAACACGCGGGGAATATGCAGAAGCAGGCGCAAACTGCTGATGCCCATTTGCCGTCCGTAGAGATACCGACAGGCCTAGTTTGGAGCGGTACATAACAGCCCGAGGGACGTTTGAACTCTGGAAACTGGCATTGCGACTCCAATCCTGAATGTCATACCAACAATGAAAGTGGTTCTCACCTCGCTGCTCGTGGCGAGCGTCACCAGCTCTACAGCCTCTACTCGACCGTCCTTCCTCGCATCGCTAAATTGAATTCGGCCTGCAATACGATCTCTCCTACAGATTCAGTCGTAACGGCGAAGAATGGGACATTCACAGGTCATCACATTGCTGCTTACAATCAAGACGCCTTCCTTGATACCCCGTTTGCAGAACCACCTGTAGGAGATCTGCGCTTCAGGGCACCCAAATTTCTGTCACGAGTGCGGAACAAGACGTTTGAGGCAAACGCTTATCCGCCGAAATGTGTCGGATATGGCAGTGAGCAAATTGGCGATTTTGATGTCGCAGAGGATTGTCTGTACTAGAACGTTGTCAGGCCAGCATGTGCGACAAGAGAGTTGCCGGTTGCAGTTTGGATCCATGGTGGTGGTGAGTATCAACCTTCAAGTGCCGGAGTTGTCGAAGACTGATTAATATTCCAGCATTCTCGCAAGGCGGTACAGTCGATCCACTGTACAATGTGAGCTACATCGCCCAGAATGGTGTCGAGATCGGTAAGCCCTTCATCGGCGTGTTCATACAGTATCGGCTCAATGCTTGGGGCTTTGTCGATGGACAGAGAATCAAAGCTGATGGCGCAACTAATCTTGGTATCCGTGATCAGCGTCTGGCATTGAAGTGAGTGATGAAGAATATTGCCGCATTTGGCGGCAATGCATCGAAGGTGGTTCAGGTCCCACTATCGTGCAGCAAAGTCTATAGCTGACTTTCTTCAGGTCACTATTATCGGCGAGTCCGCAGGTGCGGCATCCGTTGGTATCCATCTCATTGCATACGGTGTCCGAGACGATAAACTCTTCTCTGCGGCAATCATGGAATCCGGCGCTCCACTCCTCCTCGGTAACAAGTACAACGCTTCGCTTGAGCAAGCCAAGTATGTTAGAATCGTCTCCGCTACGGGATACTCGTACTAGACCGACTCTTTGCAATCTTTACACGAGCTCGACTATTCGGTCTTGCATGCAGCACTTAATGGCACGGCCTCTGGTTCAGTCTTCCTATATATAGATGGAGATATTATCCAAGGATCGGTCTACGACCAGCTTGAAGCTGGTGAGTTTTGTTTGTGTGCCTATCATAACCGGCACAAATACTGACGAAGGCGTCTTCACTGCAGTTGGCATGAACATCAATATCGATGACGACTTTCGCATTCGGGCTGCCGGCTATGGTTCGAATGACACATTCGGCAAGCTCGAAGTTTTGTATCCCGATAGCCCTGCGATCGGCATTCCCGAGCTTTGGCAGACACCTACGGGTCGAGGCAATCGACGAAGCGCTGGGCCGCCCTTTCGGGTGACTTCACTTTTGTTGCACCCCGGCGTCTTATGTGTCAGCGGTGGGCTCAGCACGGGGTTCCAGCGTACTGCTACCGCTTCAACGGGGACACGCCTCTGCTTCCCATCTGTTGAGTTAGTCGAGTCCTGCAGCGCGAGAGGCAGTCCTCAGAATACTCTCCGAGTAGGGTCGGTCGCGTGTTCTAGAGGAGCCACTAGACCGCCGTCCTTAAGCTGACAAGCTCCCATGTGCGCCAATTGTTCTTGTTGATGTATGAGAGATTTCGTGCTGAATTTCTGTTGCCTGCTTCCTCGAACGATGGTAGTAATTCCCAAGTCAAGTTGATAGGACACTTGACGTTAGTTGTTCAAGGTTTTGTCCATCGACAGCAAAGTGCACATCCTGCACACTCCGAAAAGCGGACCCCAATGGTCCAACGTAGCTGGTATACGTAGTGCACTCATCCTCCCATGCTTCTTGCAGGAACAACAGTACCATGATCTTAAGTGACGCCACAAGCTCAAGTCTCCTTGCTTCTCCAGTGCTGGCGAATTGATATTGATGAATGCTGCGGAATGAGTTCCATAGAGAGCGATGCTTTCCAAACAAAGACTTCAGGCCGACGCTCGACAGAGGCTCTGACGGCGCTGAACTTGTAGTATTATCCAGACGATTCGATGTAGCTGCATTAAAGCAAAGGGCTCCGATCTTGGCGTCCTTCGAGCCGGGCTGCAGACAAACGTCGCGAATATGTAGAAAGGTCTCGGCCAGTGGGTGTAAAGAGGCATTCGTCCATTTGCGACCTTGCAAGATCGCCCAACATGTGCGCGCAACATGTACCATGTATGGATCATTCCCTTTGCTGAAGAAGCGCAGTGACACGTTGACCGTGTCGATCGGACCAGGTACTCGTGAAGGGCAGCATGTCCAAGTAGGCCAAAGCTCGTTATCGACGACCATAACATCGAGTGAGTATGACAGATTGAGCTGCTCCAAACGGCTCTGCGTCTCATCTTTTAGCTGAATATTGGTTTCGAGCAACCCGAGAGCGTTGTATGTGCTTGGTAATATGGTTGGCGGCCTCAGCGCGCCCTGCCCAATTGCGTCTTGTCGCGACTCATTGTCATGTGCAGGGTCCTGTGGAGGTTCTTTACGAAAGAGAAGGACTTGCTCGATGATTTGATCGCGAATTTCACGAGGCAAAGACAGAAGGGAGTGCATAAGGGCAAAGACCGTGTTGGCGTTCAGGGCTTGCCGCCGAGAATCGAAAGACGCTAAAACATGGCTGACTAATTTTCGGCCACTACGTCATCGCATAGCCCTTCACCATCACACCCTGTCTACAAGAGTCAACTAACTTCGAATCATTTCACAGAAAGTTGCCCCCCAGAATCTTGATCATGTTTTGTGAAGCCGATCAGCTATACCTCGCTCGGAGTATGCCGACAAAGCGTGCTTTCAGTCGGACAATGGCATCGCCGACACTGTTCTGGCTACATGTACTGTTGCTCATGCGATGAGTCGAGTCAAGGTAGCCTTCGTTTCATTGTCAGTACGTCTTATAGTCTTTCACTTCGGACCTATGCATTAATCCATCGAGGGATGCAGCCTGTTACTTCCAACGTCCATGATCCATTCAGCTGCAATTTTCCTTAATCGTAATTCACAATAGCAAGCATGACCAAACGCATACCAGGTGAGGTCATTACGGAACCAATGCAGAAGAGACAACGACTACATCCATCGCGCTCGCAACCACTGAGCCTGGCGCGCACGGCGCCTGAAAATGAAGCCCGCACGCTACGCTGCTCGTCGAACCTGCGTCGGTCGCAAAGACCATCAAGCCCGCCACTACTATTCAGCTTTACAGTTCGCAGTGCTACGGCTAGACTACAAGAATCTCGAACACGACTCTCAAACCCAATCTCCGAGCAGCTACAGAATGACGAGGTTGAGGCGGACGATCCTCTCTTATATCGCATATTGTCTGGGATTGAGTACGCCCACGCACAGAACACCAGATGAGACGATTTCATGCAAACCAAGCGTGTCTCTCTCAGGGATTGAGAACACTGATACACAGGGTCAGCTCTAGACGTTCTGCGGCAGGCGCACAACGAGGGTTACGCAACCCGTATCGTAATATCCTACTAGAATAGAGACATTATTGAAGTCTGGGAGATCGGCGTACCACGGCCTGATTGGGTGACAGAAGGCGCAATTGGGGGCATCCATGATCCGCAGTGGTTCTACAGGAAAACTCCCGCACAAATCAAGGTCGGCCCTCATGCTGAAGATGCAGATGTTAGGAGAGCCTCGGCAGTTCTCAGAGGGCTAGCCACAAGAAAGGTGAACAGAGCGACCAGGACGCACTGGGAAATAGGGACTGATAAGAGGTTGACGGAGGGCTTGAGAAGGCAAGACCTCGTATTGAAGATATATGACGATGAAACAGACAATGATGGCTCAGGGACGAGTATATCAGTACTTTCAGTCAGCAACAGCAAGATCAACGATTACAGTGACAGTGGTAACGAGCCGCTAATGGATAGATGACGAAAAAGGCAGGCAGAAGCAACAATGCAACAAGCATCGTCCCCTGTCTGTTTACCGGGTGCCTTCAGCAGAAGGCTATCTGTATCTTTATCAGATTCGGACGCGTATATACCTCCATCTTCTTCCGCTAGCTCTTTCGACGACAGTAACGATAGCAATGACGTCTAAGCTAAGAACAGAAGGCGTGTACCCAGTCAAATCTCAACTCGAAAGCTTATCAGCCGGACCAACCGGCAGACACGATCGAACACTGAACAAAGCAGTGAGAATGAGAATGGTCTGCCCATTAAGCGTGGTGTCCGTTATCATCGAACGAGGACAATTAGTGACGAGAGTCCCTCACCCGCGGAATTACAAGAACTATTTAGTAACCAGCAAGATGACGTACCTGTCATGCGACGTGATGACCGGGAATCCGGCGGTAGTGCATCGAGGTGCTATTGACCGGTTATCCTGAAATCCAGCGAAAGTGAGTGACATGAAGCCATCAGATAATTAAATCCGGACTCGTCGATTTTCATTGTACTGGCAATTTCACTCTCACTTAATGAGTGGAAATATCTTAAGGTGCGTCCCTAAGTGGAGAGACACACTATGTCCCGAGAGAGATTGGCAATTAGGACCTTCGGCGCATCTGATGTGTGAATCTGCAGAGCTGTCGTTCATTCATGACGTTGATGGACTAACCCTCCTTTAGGTCAACAGGCTCCGACAAGGATCTCTTCAATGCTGGTCGTGTTGTCGATCGTTTCGTCGACAGCGTCAAACGACCCTTCAGCAATACCCCCCTGTCTACTCGCGACATTGAGAATCTCTCTGAACATCGGTGGCCTTAGGAGGAAGAGCGGTTAACGAAGACTGTGTTCCCAGGCTTTGAAGATCACTCGAACGTGGGAGTGAGCCCCGAAGAGTGGAGAGGAGAACTGTGACGGTTAATGGAGTATAGAGGTCATGTGTGGCACGTGTGTTGGCGCAGTGCTCTTGCCTTTTCCAACAAGCCCTTTCTACCTCTGTCTGAACGACAGATACGTCGTGTAAACAAACCCTGATGGCCCAGTGAGAGAGACAGAACACTGAACAAGAACAAAAACAATATATACCGATTTTACTGCTTCGCGCGGTTACCCCTGACTTATTGCCCGGCGCGGTTACACCTTCACTTATTGCATTTACTACAACAAGAACCCTGCAGCAAAACCCAAGCTGGCGGGAAACGCCAACAAAGCTTGGCCTACATTAGCGCATCTGCGAGCTGCTTGTATTTTACATTTAAAGCAGCACCATTGTCCTATCTCCATATTCTCCGTCTGCCACTTAATTTAATCGATATGACCAATGTTTGGGCTTGCGTAAACTGTGTGTATAGATTTGCGCACTGGGTTTTTAAACACGAATAGGACAAGCAGAAGTCGGTCTTCCGCGCAAGTGTAACCCTTCTTTTAGGCGATGCGGGTGTGGGCTCAGGAACGGTGGAGATGTAGCGTAGTTGATACTCTGCGATTGCCTAGAGGAGTGATGAGCAGAGCATATAAAATTTTAGAGCCCTAACATACAGGCTCTCGACTCGAAGTTAGTAATGCGATTTAGCTTCATGAAAAGCTCGATTGATGCCCAGATAACCTGGTAGCACCAAGCGTTTCGTCTTGACCAAAGTCTGTGCAGTTGCAGGCATCCTGGGATATCCTTCATGCGCTCCAGTACATCAATCAGTAAGAGATAGCTCACCGGCCGCTTATCATCATCGGCGTACGCTTCCGGGTCGATAGAGTCCATGAGCAGGGACGGTGTATCAATAGCCTTGCGCAGGTCGAAAGGTATGTAACCGGCTTCGAGGCCTTCACGACGTGCCAGTCGGCCGCGGAGGCGACGCCTGCTTCATGTTGCTGGAGGGACTTGAGCTCATTCTAGATCTTTATGGCACGGTAAAGGTTGTACGGCTTGACATCTCGATGACACTGATGCTACCAATATACGAAGCGCTCGGCGCTGGCACACATCGTCAGCATCCTCGTAGTTCCAGCCCAGGCTGTCCGTACTTTAGACAATGTACCGAGAGCCATCTCCGAGAAGTTGCCTCGAAATATATCCGTACATTGTCTTCTGGCCACGTACCTTTCCTTTGAGAAGAGGAACGAGTTCGCCGTCTGGAGCGCAGTTTTTTCGAACCTCGCGGCTTTCAGGATCAGTACACCGCTCATGTCGCCACCAGAGCTTCAGAATCTTCTGCCCAAGCCGGCCAAGGTGCGTCTGGAGAAACAGCAGAAGAATTACCAGCGGGACTTTAGTATAGTTTCAAGGCATATCCGTATGGCAGTCAAGAGCAGTACTTGCACGCCTGGTTGCTTGTCAATACGAGGTCATTCTATTATACAACACCAAAACTGGAGAGAATTCCCGATGATGACAGATTAGCTTTGCTGCCAGTAGCTGATCTGTTTAACCATGCGGACGTGGGTTGCGAAGCGTCATTTTCGCCACCAAGATACGTCTTCACGGCAGACCGTTCGTACCATGCGGATGAGGAGGTCCATTTCTGCTACGGAGGCCATTCCAACGACTTCCTCCTTTTGGTATCGAACAAAGTACTAATGTATGCGAAACGTCTCCTCGCATAACTCGCCACGTTCCATCATGGCGATAGCCATGCCCTGCATCAAGCCATGTGCGTAGCATTCACCAACAAGCAGGAAGCCGCCATCGATCCAAGGTCGCAACACGAAGGGCATCTTCCCACCATACAGTACACACAAGACGTCTCCGGGCTCTATTACCTTCGGACCTAGCACATACCGACCATTCTTCGTTCGAGCGAACGCACGATTACTTGCAGCGCAATCCGCATTACGGGTCCAGTTGTGATAGTCGCCCTCTGCCGCTAGCTCGTGAATCTCTTCCGCCATGAGATCGGATGTCCCCAAGGCTCTTGTTAAATATGCTAGCCCTTGTGCAAACAGCTCCTTCTGGTCGATGTTTTGATAAAGCCGACCTTCTCGCAATGCGGTGGCAATCCCACCGACACTCAAAGTCTGCAAGTATGCGGAGAGCGCCGGCTCATTGTTGGGGTCGCCCATATACCGGGGTTCGATGCTGAAGCTCTTCTGTCCGCACACATCAATCCACAGAGACTCGATCGCCAAATCCTTGCGCGTTGGATCGTAGTGGAACTCCTTCCATCTCAGGATACCAGAGCACGCCTCCAGGATATCGACCTTGATGCCGCGCACTGAGAGGATATTGCCATCGATCTGGGTCTGGTAGGTTCTTTCGCCGTGTGCACAATGTGGACTTACAGGTTCAGACATGAGGTGACCCTCAGACGTTCTCCAATCGGGCACCCACGATGGCAAGCCATTCTCGATTGCCTCGCCCCGGTTTGAAGGTAGACTGGGGTGCTGAACCGTGGCAAGCGTTACCAGGCTCTTTTCTGGATCTCCAAGCAATGCTCTCTTAGCGACATCTATGTATACTTCATCGACGGTTTTCGAGTAATCTGCTTGCATCTCGGAAAGTAGTTGATTGCCAGAACGCACGGAGTAATGGCCCAGGAACATGAAGACACGGTCACGGGGGTCGCTCAACTCGCAGTGGCGTGCCCTTTGCAACTCATACATGAGACTGAAGCGGTTCACATGTCGGCTCGGTTTTGGCGGCTCAATAAAGCGTTGGTAGGTGTACTTTATCGCTGAGGTTTTCAAGTCGAAGCGTCCTCGCAGATGATGGAAATTGGCAAGCTCTCGGACAACGCCGCTGATGAGCTCCCAGTCGCACTGCTCTCCTCCCCAGTACAGTGTCGCAGGGGCTTTGGTCCCAATCTCTTGGACTATCCAACCGCGAGTGAACTGGGAAAAGCTTAGCAAAGACACGTATGAATCTGGACCGAGTCACTCACCCAAGGCCTGATGGTCAGATGCTCCAAAGGAGCCCAGACTTCAGAAGACTGCTCATGCAGCTTCTCAGTATACTTAATGCCGAACCCTTGCCTCTGTTTCGGATCCCTGAAAATTCGATCGAGGTCGTGGATCATATCAAACGAATCTTTCGCTTCGCGCTGAGGATCATTGCCCAGCCATACTAGAACCCGCGCCGCATTCTTATAGATGGCGTTCATATACTGGACTTGCGCGCTTCTTTCCTCCTTATCATCCTGATTGATACACAGCTGGTCTACCCATAGTCGGCGAGGCTGGTCCCTGTGTCTGATGCGTCGCAACGCTCCGTCCAAGCTTGCTGTCAACTCGATAATACCGCCGGATGAGCCGAATTGAAAGCAGCGATCGGGCTCTCCCCATGCATAGGAAACTGCCTCGTATTGCCTGATCTGCTGGATATGAACGACTTGAAGCTCTCCGGACAAGTATGCGTCTTGATCGCCAGGCTCTAGCGTCAGAACTCGGATATACTGACCTTGCGGGAGTGGACCGTAGCAATATCGGTCATTCTGTTGTTTTGACATGGTCAAGAAAACTGGCCTCAACACCTAGGGTTGCTTTCGAGCCGTGAAGACTAGAATGCTAAGAACAATCACATAATGGGGTGCTCTAGACGTCCTTCCATTTTGCACAGCCCCCGCCACCTGAAGGCTGGGTCAGATTGCTTTTCCGGTGACGCCCTACTTTAACAGGTGGACAGTCCGCAGAGGACCCGTTCTTATTTGCCTCATTTTCGAGGTGAACTAGGCATCCATAAAATATTTCTCAGCCGCTTTGTACACGGCTGCCTGGAGTTGTACACAAGGACAGTTCAGCCTCGAGGACAAGCTACCCCGCATTTCAATCCCCACCTAAGGCAGGCATTGATCGAGCGGCTGAACACCAAAATGTCTCTAGTCGATACCTTCATCAGAGAGCACTGGAATAGAGACCATTTCGACCACATCGCGAATTCCGTCAAAGGCACCATCTCCACTGCACTCAGAGAAGACCCACCAGATAAGCGGATATTGCACCAACTGTCCGCAAGAGCGAAAGATGAGACGTCCTTGAGAAAGAAACTTCAATCCCGCCATAAATCTCGACCCTTCGATAGCATAGATGCTATCAAGGGATGTGACTACGTATGGGACCTGGCTGGAGTCCGAGTTCTTGTTTATTTCCCCGATGACATCCTCGGTGTCCTAGAAAAGGTTCTCGCCAAGTTCCAGGACAGATTAGCCAGCGATCCCTACGTGCGAGACAACAAGCGCGAACACAAGAAGCTGCCCGTAAAGGATTGGGATGTTGTCGGTGAAGAAGACCAGCTCATGGCTCTGACCCGTATCAGGGGAGATTTGAGCGGGCCATGGCGCGAGCGACCGGCAGACCAAGTGGTAAGAGACTGGAAGCACTATGGCTACCTCGCTGTTCATCTCCACGTCTTCGCGGACGATATCAAAACTCAACTTGAGGTGGAGGAACGTTCACCTGTACCTGAGGAGGTTGCTAACAACCATGAGGGGAAACGTGAAGAAGAGTGGCAGGAAGATCAAGAGCAAACTCGGGAAGGAGATCACTCCTGGAAGAGACGTGTCGAGATCCAGATCACTACCGTGGTCATGCACGCCTGGTCAGAAGTCGAGCATGATATTGTCTACAAAAATCCATGGAATCTTCCTCCAGATCAAGCGATGGACCGAATGCTGGATGCAATCAACGGACTTTCAATCACAAGCGAGATTCTACTGCGCCAACTGCAACAAAGCATAACATCAATCACCAGCCGCGAAGACCGCAATATTGACAATTCCGAATTGGAATGGATTCTAGAAGAGTGGTATAGGGGACTCTCCTCATCGACAGATCGAAGCTCCCCTAGGTCACCCCTGGGATCTACCTCCCGATATACACCAATGTTACGAGCCATTCTCGGATCTCCATTGTTTGGAAAAGTCACAACGCGTCGGCAATTGCGCCCACTGCTCCAAAAGCATCAAGACTCCATCGTCAGCCCTGCTTCTAGACTACTCGATCTCTCTCGGAATTTCCTGTGCGTCTTGGGCAATGAGCTGGAAGGCCGAATGAAGCCTTGGCGCAATGAACCATCTCCACCGCGCCAAAGCGAGAACCATTTCGGCGTCGAGTTGCTGCACAAAATGCTACACATCACGAACACGGTCAGCATTGCCGCAGCATTGAAAGCATTGAGCGGAGAGGAGGTCAAAGGCTGGAAACTTAAAGGAAATCTCCAAGATTCCTTCTATGAAGACAACAGGGTCATCACCAACGCTCTGCAATCATTTTCAAGATACCGCGAAGGAGGACTGAGAGACCAGCTTCGGGAGAAGCTGCAACAAGAAATCGCGGAGAAAGGATTCGAAGATCGATTCCTCCCGGGATTACATCGAAACAGCGAGATGAAATTAAGCAGAGCTGTCTACAACACAATGCCAGATATAGAGTTTGCACTTGATATAATATCGGGCATAGTGCATGGCGACTTGCGACCATTGTCAGACGGACTGCAGGTGGCCCAGATCAATACACTCGTATGCGCAGTAGATGCACACATCCGACGACAATGCCCGTCTCTCTACGAACCCGCTCTAGCAATGGCCAACATGTCCTTCTTCATAATAACTGAAAATTGGGCCACCTTTCCCCAGCTTACTTCTCATCATGAACACCCAATGGATCATATTGACGATCCTATCCGAGTCAATCACAAAGTCCTAGAGGATTTCCTGCGCAAGGTCACCCTGATGGTAGATCGACGACCTGAGTTACCGGGCATATTTTGCACACGTTCGGTGGAAACCATGATATATTGCAACGACATGGAGGCTTTCGAACAGCGAGACCAAGAGATTACAGAACATGAAAGCAAGAAAGCGGAAGCCTGTCGGTCAGATCTGGTCCTCCGATCATATGAAAGCCGTTCACAAGATTGGTTGTGGTATTCGCGGGATCAGTGGGGGAAATGTTCGTATCAAGTCGCGGATATGGCAAGTGCGGTCGAGGTGAGTCATATGGTGTGGGTCCCCCCAGAGGTGGTATTCGCGTACCTCAAGCTGAGAGACACTGGGGTCTTGGATTTCTATTTGTCAAGCAAATTGTGGGAAGGTCCATCGATAAACCTCGATTTCCGTGATAGTCCACCCGAAACTGAGACCCTGAGGATGTCTTGTCTGGAAGATGACATCATTGATAGTTTGATGCGGGCCCAGGATAACGACCAAGAACCATTGCCCTGATGCGCTGATGGAGGCTCACATACCTTAAGTTAGACCAGATATAGTAACATACCTTGCCAAACGCTCAATCTCCGTAGTTGTACCTGATCACTATACCATGATATTCTTCGGACACCCCCACATGCCGCGGTACTACTCCTTCCCTAAACTTCAGTCTCAAAAATACTCAGCGGATTTGGAAACGCGTTGGCTGACTAACAAGCGCCGAGCCCTTTGAGTTTAACGCTGCTCCCAATCCTGAGTCGGATTTAGTCATATTCCGAGCACCTGTGCGACCCGTACAGCCACATTCCTCACAATAAATACCGGTGGGTGTATGAGGTAAGACGGGTTGAGTCACCTCCTATTAGTGAGGATTGGTGATTCGGTTCCGCTGGAGGTACCAATCGACATGGCGGCCCTGCATGGAATTGCGCCCTGCAGCACGCATGTGGCTGATGATGACTTTTTAACATCAGAGCAAGGTTCTGGGGCTCGGACAAGGTCATTCTACAAAATTTGGAGCGATAAGGACTTGAGATTGGCGCTGTGGGGAGGGAAGTCTGTTACGCTACGAAAGAAGGCGCTGTACAAATCAGGCTCAGAGACGACGATGCGAACGTAATTTTTAGGGAAGAGTAAATCATAGGCGTTCGCATTAGCTACAGCAGATTATGTTCGTACAAATATAGCAATATTCGTTGTGCGCATGAGCTTTCCGGTTGCTGAAGTCAAAGTATCCCTCATTTGTCTCGCTACACAGTGTGTCTCGCCACGCCGTGAGGGACGTTAGTTTAGACGACTACAGACCTGATACGAAGCGACATTGCTTTGCTATGACGATCATAGTTGCATCCATTGGAGAGGCGGTGCTATTCCGAGGATGCGTGTGACAATGAACTGCTGTGGAAAAGTTGAATCCTAAGGTCTCCAGCCTGAGATCGTCATAAACATCCTAAACGTATTCCCAATATGATACAGGATACACCCAGAAAACTATACACGCAACGAAACTACCCATCAGACACCGCTTCACTAATCTCTACTGCAGCTGCCATATCAGCATCCACACTTAAGCCAAAACCCTAGCCAAGAATGGCAAAGGGCAGAAGCCGAGCATCCACAGACACCACATCTTGTACATCTTGCGATCCAGCTTGTTGTTGCCATTGCGATAAGCCTGGGAAGTCGTAGCCAGCAGTGCACCACCGAAGACCACCGGCAACAATGCAGTCTTCCAGCCGCCCGCAAAGAAGCCCAGAGGCGTGTAGATAGACCAGAACGCCACAGTGACAAAGACAGTCCAGAGTGCCAGCTTCCGGCCAAGCTCAGTGACCAACGTGCGTCGGCCACGAGCCTTATCGCCAGCCTCATCGCGGAACTCTTGAGCCTGGATCGTAGTCGCAAGGATACCGAACGCAATGATGACCGTCCACTTCCACGCAGCAGAGCTCATGACAGCATCTGGACCAATGACAATACTCAGTGCACCACTGAAGTAGCACGAGAAGCCTGCACCACAAAATAAATTGCGGACTACGCCAGACTTGTTGCCGCCGCCGTAGTCGTTGTACGCAGTGATAAGAAACATGTAGACGATGAAGATAGGCATGACGTTGAGCTGATAGCTCAGAGCGCTGGCGATGATATTGGTAGCCCCCAACAACTTCCCTGCTTGTTCGGAGGTCATTCGACCCGATGTAATGGGCCGCCAGGGCTTGTTGATCGAGTCTTCTGCTACGGAGCCCTCGCTACGTTGGTTCTGCACGCAGAACTGGAGAACGACAAGCCATAGCCAGAGGGAGACTTGAGGGATGCGTGGGAGGATGGATAGGGTCCACTGGGCCGGGAGATCCAGGGTGGGACCTGAGAGTGCTGCGAGAACCCCGAACGCAGTGCCTGGGATGACCGTGTCGAGGATTTGATCACAAGTGAACAGAAGCAGAGTTCGAGCATGGAAGCCAACGTCGGCATCGAGGTTGTTCAGAGATGCTTGGTAACGCGAGATAGCCTTTGATCCATAAGACACAAGGCTGGGGTGGTGTGCCATCTTCGGTTGAGTCTGTTGTTGATGCATGATTTCGGTCTCAATAGAGGACGTCTTGGTCGAAGAGTTTGAACGAATTGCCACGGTTTGGTTTTCTGGTTTTGCTTGGGTAGGGATGCCTTTCACGAGAGTGTTCAGGAGTTAATGGCTGGCCAAGAACTCTTCTGTGGTAGACAATTCCTATTCTGTTTATGTTTGAGTCCGTCTAATGGCTCTAGGAACGGACGAAATCGACTAGAGATTTATACGAACAAGGACTTCTCTTTGTTGGTGAGCAGGGCGAGTTCATTGGGCACATGTTAGTGCTCCGGCACAACAGCCATTGTACTCGCATCAAGGGTGAAAAGACGGAAGTGCAGTGAAGGATTCCTGGAGGATGCCAGGCCTGCAGACCCTATGGCTGCACAATGCTACCTTGAGGGTTTTCCGGCGGTGTCAGACTGGAATGATCCTGGCCGCCCGAGGACTTCCATACCAGAGAAGATTGATCTCTCTGGACATACCTCCCGTGTGCTTACCTTGCTGGCAGAACCTTACCAGATGAGTATCCTCTCATCCTTTGCGATGGTGTTCTGACATTTGATTTGATATCAACAGAGTTTAGCCAACTCCTGCAAGAACGCTCGCTCGATTGCACGTCTTTTGTACTGGGCAGTCTTCTACATGGGCCAAGATATGATACTCGATTGCCTAGGGCAAGCAAGATACATCAGCAACTGCATTGCCTTGATATCCGACATCATCGCTCGATTTGGCACCCTACAAATGTCTTGAAGGTGAGCTTACATGAGCTCAGGATTCCACTATGGCAGTGTCGGACTTCCCAATTTCGATGTGATCGTCAAGCGGTGTACTCGTGCAGTTCGGCTTAAGACTTAGGTTGAGGAATGTCAAACATGTTGCACGTGGAGTCCTAAATAGCATTGATAGTGCGAACGGCACATTGTTATCGAGATGGACAACAGAGGCCACGATGGTGGCGGGAAATCCACTGTCGCGCTAAGAACGCGCTACGCCACACTAGCGGCCACAGTGCGGAGTAATTAGGAGACGACACAACGTGATGTCAGCAATTTACAACCTGTGCACTAACATTAGGAACGAAACATACGTACAAAAGAGATCCCCAGAGGCTTGCTGACTGGCAAATGGCGATGGGCTGAAGCCGGCACGGAATGAAGGGTAGGGAAAAGAATACTGCAGGCATCGACCGAAGATGCAAGATGGTCTTGATTGAAGACCTCATACCACATCGCCTGGTCTACCTTCTATCGTGTCTTTAAAACCTCGTCTTGGTTCCCTACACAACTATCAGCGTCCGCTCTACCATACCGGACCAGTCCCTGACGAGACGAAGCGCACGGAGTCTTACACAGTCCACAAGAAGTTTGGCACAGTCCACCAACACCTCCTACACCATAGGTTCATCCCACTCTGCCGGTGCATCTTCGATTTCCCAAGCAATGGAAGGTTCACGCAAGCTGGAGGCAGCGGTGTCGGCCAAGAACGCTTCCATCTTCCTCACACGTCTGTTGCCCAACTCGGGCTTGTGTTGCGCTGCATCATATTAGAGCGGTTCGTTTCACCAACACATCAAACACCTACCGAGCAAATATCCGATACCGATACCGTTGGGAGAACCTGAGCTACCGTTAGCACTGCAGAGGTTCTGCACAAGTTGACCTGGCTTACCAAGAATGAGAGGACCGGTGTTCTGGTCCGCTGTCCAGCCAACCCAAGGGTAGGGCTTCAGTGCCTTGTCTGCATCTTTGAGCGGCTCATCCAACATCCCTTCGAGGGCAGCAGATATGAGGCGCTGTGACACGCCGTTCGTGACCGACCACGTGATGATGTGGTTGAGCTTGACACCTTTGTCGTGGTAAGGCTTCCAAGCAAGCCATGCGACATCAGAAGACGATCGCAGATCCGGAAACTCTTGAGCTGGGACTGGAGGGCGACGGTACTGGCTCTGGTGTGCGGCGCTATATTGTTTGGCAATGACCATGACTGCGACCATGTTAGAACGGCTCGTTCCATTGCCACGTCAAACACCTACCGCCATCCTTTGCATTGATCGCAAACTGGAACAGAGCGCCAGTGACCTACAACAAGGTTAGAGTCCTGCGGTCAACAGAAGAGGCAGAATGATTCATCATACCCTCACGGTCTGGCCAGTACGTGGATTGGTGTACGTTTGATCGTCGATGCTGATGGTCTTGTGCTCAGGGTCACCATGGGTAATTCGGACGCACTTCCAGTCCTTTTTGTCGGCTGAGATACTTTTCGCCTCAAGAACAGCTTGCAGGCCATACATGTCCTTGCCGTTGCCCATGTCGCACTTGGGGTCCTTCCTGGGCGTCTTGGTGACGTAGCCCCATTTGGTGAGATCTGTTTGTGGGTCAGCTAATGAAGAGAGAGCACCGAAAAACCGTACCGTCCAGCTGCAGATAGTCACTGTGAGCGGAAGCTCGCGGCGGAGTGAACATTTGCCCGGCTTGCACATCATCCATGTGCATCATCGGCCACAGCGTGCAAGCTTTGCCGTTGGCAGTGGCCAGCTCTCGACCCATGGCTGGAGAGCCATCCCAACGTTTCGACAAGGTAGAGACGTTGGTGAAGCCAGACTCGCCAGAGTCGCCCAAGTCCCTGGCTGTTGGCGAGGCGGAGGTCGTGGACAGGGCCACAAGCGAGACGAGGAAGGCGTATGTAGCCATACTGAGGGTTATTTCGACTCAATTTCGCGGTAGATTGTGGGAAGTCAAGTTTGAGGCGAGACGAGGTGAGAAGGAGTTTGCCGGCGATCAAGGTACTCGAGCCGAATGGGTCAGTCTGGTGAAGGTGAAGACGAAGTTGGCGGTGGTCTGCTCCTTCCTCGTGGAGACACTGGCAGCTGCCGATGACGACACGGCTCGGACGGTCTTGCCAAATTTACGACAACATCGACTTCCACCATCTCCACGCTTCCGTCACCCTCCAGCGAGGGATTGTATCTCTTTTTGTTCTGCGTACTACCAGTTGCGAAAACATACTTCCTGCGCATGCGGCGGTCCGGTGCAGTGCGAGACGAAAGGCAGGTGAGCAAATGACTGACAAGCAATGAATCCAAATTGAGGAAGACGAGCTAACAAAAAAGCAGACAACTAATCGCATTTACAACGCTCAAACGCTTGCTAAAAAGGGCTCACCAATACAACAAACATCGCTGAACAACAAGACTTCACCCTGCAAACATCGCGCATCAATTACCTATCATTGCGCTTACTCTTTCGATTCCTCCTTTTGCTTCTTCTCCTCAGGGCGGACCTTGAACCGGTCGAGCTTCTCGTCAGCCCAATGAGGTCGCGCATCAAAGCCGAACTGCAGGATCTCAGGTCGCTGGTAGTGACCGGCAGCATCGATCCAGACTTTGACGGCACCAAGCTGCGCAAGGTCAATTTCTCCCTGCACCAGCTTCTCCTCACCACCTGCATGCGGGCCCGCAATGAAGTTGCAGAAAGGAGCTATGACCGATGACCAGCCGCCTCCTGCTTTCACCAGATCCTGTGGCCCGAGATTCTCTTCCATCCAGTTGAGACATGTGTCGTCGACGTAGTTAGAAGCGGTAATAACGAAGACCTGTGCAGTCAAGGCATGCGCTTTCATCAAAGCCTCGATTTGCGCATCAGCAACCGCCTCAAATCCAGCCATTGTCGAGAGGGCCGGCCATGCTCCCGCATGTATGTGCTGATTTTGCATGAGCAGCGCCTGGCGAGCACCGTTCATGGTGTGCTCCCAGCAGGCGAGACCGCCGAGGTTATACCCAAGCGACAGGGGCCAATTGCGCAGAGAACTGCCGTTGCCCTGGGCCCAGATGTAGCGCTCGACATAGGTTGGCTGGAGCTTGCGATGGACGCCTAGAATAGTGCCGTCATTGTCGATTGTGACCTGCGAGTTGAACAAAGTGTGACCGTTTGCAACACGCTCAGAAATGCCGAGATTGATAGCGACACCAGTACGGCGGCACGCGTCCTGGATGGCGCCGACATCCTCTCCATTGGGTTCGACTACGACGCTCTCCTCAGCGTACTTAGCTAACGCGTTGACCTGCTTCAGGGGAGCGTAGCATTCGGCCCAGTACTGTGGTTCTGATCAGCGCATGACATTTCGGAGGAATCCAGCCGCCGTTTGGGCGGGCCACGTTGATTACCCACAGGATAACCGGGGACGAACGTTTCAGGAAAAACAAGCAGCTTGACATCGTCTTCTGCAGCTTGTTCGATCAGAGCAATCGTCTTTTTGATTGTCGCAGCCTTGTTCATGAACACCGGTGCTGCGTGGGCTGCAGCCACCTTGAACTTGGTTTGTTTTGCCGCCATTGTGTCGACACTTGAGTTAATGATGCGTAGGACAATCGCGCAACGAGAACGAGGTGTCACGGTAAAGAGGAAAAAGCAATCAAGGTTCAAGCGAGTGAGAGGGCAACGCTGCACAACTCGCTACATGAGGTCCCCACTTATATCCGCTACACTACGAGCCGATCCTTCTACGAGCCGATCCCTCTACGAGCCGCCTGGCCGTGTCCATCGTCTATTAGCTTATACCACATTCATCCACTACCGAAAGCTGGTAAAATAAGCGATCCCGGCGTGTCACCTCACAACCCCCGTGTCGCAACCTTTGTCTTGTTCAGATCCGGCAAGCGCTTGCAAGCTTTGTTGTGCAAGGTTACGTGGAAGCGGGCTGTTGGGCTCAGCACCAATACTAGTGATCATGCCGTCCGATCCTCAGCTCTCGTGGAATCTCCCTTGCGTGACTACAGACAACTCACTTCTGAAGCTGGATCTCTCCTTGCGCTCCTACGATCGACTTTGCTTCAAGCCTTCAATGTCTTGCGCGCTGCCATGGCCGTCGACTACTTCGCAGACCCCCCACCAGGACTGGACCTAAACGAGTCGCGAACTGCTTCCAACAATGCGGTTGGGATCCTTCTTCTCGCCTTGTCAGCGATCTTTGTTGGCTTGCGATTACTTACGAGACTGAGGTTGAAACGCGAGAGGCTTGGTCTCGATGACTACCTCATGTTCCTGGGGTTGGCGTTGAACGCTGGGAATCTTGCATGTTGCATAGCTGGTGAGTCCTGATTTAAATTCTAAATGTCCATCATGACTAATCTTACTATAGGCGGCTTCTTTGGCCTTGGGAAGCACATTTGGTCACTTGATGCATATCAGATGCGCCAGATCACCATCGTACGAGCTTCACCTGACCCTCATATTTCCTTGCTCACGTTTTCACAGATCACATTTGCCTACGTTTTCATCTACGCTTGGAGCGTATGCATCATCAAGTTCTCGATTCTTGCCCTCTACCATCGCATCTTCGGGCTGTCGTGGATGGGCTGGTTCTGTGTTGCATTGACCACCGGCTATCTGATCACTAACCATGCCGTACTACCGCTGTACACAAAGCCTCTGAACTACTACTGGAACCAGTGGTATGGTGCCGAAGGTGTTGTTCAGGTGGATGAAGCGAAGGTGAATAGTCGTTGTAGTGCTGCTTCTGCTTTTACTGATTAGGTCACAGTTCTATCTTGGGATTGGCATAATCAACCTTTTCGGGGACATTTGCATCTTGACAGTCCCCATCACGAACGTCTTACAGCTGCGACTTGTGAGAACGCAGAAGATTGCGATCTCGCTAATCTTCATGCTCGGGAGTTTGTAAGTGAACCCTACATCTACGATATCGTCCCTACTGTGAGGACACATCCTACAAGCTGGGGAATGTTAAGACGTTAATGTACTGACAACACTAGTGTTTGCCTCGCCTCCATGTACCGCATCATTACGATAGCTCGGTTGGTCAAAACAACAGACGTCAGCTGGGCCAAGAGCGATGTGTTCATCTGGTCCTCCGTCGAGCCTTCCATCGGCATCATATCTGGTTGCCTGCCCACCCTTCGGCCATTGATGCTGCAAATAATGCAATCATGGTTCAACTTCATACCCTCTGGGCGATCCTCAAGCGGTAAAGGGTCGCGCTCGATCAGCCTCAAACCCATCGAAACGATCGGCCAGAAGCGCATGCGCAAGATCTCGGAGCAAGATACACTTGGCGGTTCGCAGTTCACGGAGCTCAACAATGACGGCGACGCGGATGAAGAAAGGCGAGGGCATCATTCGAGAACTTGGAGGCCCGATGAAGATGAGATGTGTCGCACGACCACAACGGTCCATGCGCGGAATGACAGCAGAACTGGGACCGAGAGGAGCACGCCAGACGCAAGAGATGGTGGGATCAACGTTACAAAAATGTTCGAGTGGGACGAAGCGATGCGGAAATAAGCCTGGATATGATACTTGATGAGTAGTATTTGCATATTGAAGCTAGGAAGCTACCCTACGTAGACTTGAATATCGAATGTCTTTCTACCTCTGAATTCTCCAATCGAGTCAAGATGTTGATCGCTCGGAGACTTTTTCCACACGCTCAATGTATAGCCGCTACAGTTAACGATCTACAGTGAAAGGTCCGCAAACACACTATACAACCTCCACGAACATCTTGGGGAGGCGTCCTATTTCACTGAAATACTCCAGGCACTGGCGAGCTCGCCCTGGCACAGTACAGCTACCATTGTTCAATAGCTTCGCACGACGCCCAATCAATCACCCACATACACCATGTCCAAGCAACAAAAAAGTCTTGAACAGGCGTCCTTAGAACCAGCCGAGCACTCATCCACAGACCAAACACCAGCCCACCTTACGAAACGGAAGCGAGAAAGCAGAACCCATCAGGTTCCTCGTGCCTACCAAACGGCGAACCACAGATGATCGAAAGCTTCAGAGCTACATCTCTGCATGCAGACTTGCAAGATGGCAGTGACACGAAACAGGACACGGAGGGCGATTTAGATGATGGAGCTGAAACAGAAGAGGATAACACGGCGATGGAAGAGTACTACCTGAACAAAACAGATCACAAGAAGAGAAACATAGGTACTGTCTTCGGAAAGGGCATCAGAGTGTGGAAGTCACATGAGAGCACTGTATACACACACTTTGAAGGGCAAGAAGTTGATGGTGAGGTAGTGATCCTTCGAAAGCGAAGACGTGGACAGGGGCTCAGTGCACCGTTTCTCAAAAGTCGGGATGGCCCATTAAACACCGAGGAAGTGACAACGATCGCTCCAGAAAACACGGAGCATTCATCAACATCGTCCATCCTGGCACAGAACAGCTTCACATTTCCCACCAGACCCGTCACGACAGAAACCCCAGCACCAGCACTGGTACTCAATGCCCAGAGGCTCCAGCAGGCACATTGAATGGTAGAATACGTTTAGTAAGAGATTGTATTTAGATTCAAGTAACCTGTAATGGACATTCTTTTCCTACCTGCCTATGCAACGCCGCCCAATGCGATCTTACAACGCCTCTATTCATCATCATTCCCAGCCTTCTCCTCGCGCCACTGCTCCTCCAACGCCTTGACGCGCTCAACACCCTTAGCATTACCGTTATTGCTCTCCCACTCCGCCCACTTCTTATACACACTGCCAATCCTCTTACTCTTCCCGCCCGCCTTCGCCGCGCGCTCGTAAAGAGCGCGGATAGCGTCGTCAGTCCCATGACTTCTCTCAAGATCAATGTACACGTCCCACATATCGCCTTTCTTCGGGTACGTGCTGACCAACCCTTCGAAGATGGTGCGGCCGCGCTCGGCGTCACCGTTGGGCGACTTGAATTCCAATGCGGCGAATTTTTGAGTCAAGTAGCGGTGCTGAGCGCTGGGTACGGATTGGGTTGCGCGTTGCAGCAGCGCGCGCGCCCGGGTTGGTGAGGGGGGAGAGAGGACATCCATGAGGAAGGTTGCATAGCCGAGCCAGAAGGCGGGGTCGGGGGTGAAGGATTTGGTTTTTGTCATTGACTGGTAGAGGGTGTCTGCTTTCTGTTGCGGTGTTAGTGTATTGTAAGTAAGGGGTGAGCGAAATAGGGTAGACTTACGTCAAGCTTGCCAGACGAGATGTAGATCTTGATCATGCGCTCGTGCATCTCGCGGCTATCTTGCTGTTGGCATGCTTCTTTGAATGTGCTCTCCACAACTTCATCGCTGGCGGCATCGTTCTCCAAGTGCAGCAACGCAGTCCAGACGTCTAGCTTCTCCTTGTCTTCGCGAGCGTTGATGGTGGCGAGCGCTCGGCGGGCGATCTGGCGCGCTTTTTCAATCTCGTTGAGTTCGCGCTGGAAGACCATGTAGCGCACCCAGAGCTCGGCGCTGTTGGGCTGGCCGAGGAGGAGGCGCTCGTAGTCTGCGACAGACTGAGGACCGTAGGCATCGAGATCGCCGGTGCGATCTTCCTTGATAGTGGCCTTCTTGCTCTTCTTCTTCTTTTTGCTGGGCTCGTCGTCGGACTCTGAGTCGACTGCGGCTTTCTTCTCGTCGAAGTCGAGGTTGCCACCGGTCCAGTCGAAGCCAGAAGTGCTCAAGCCGGGGCCTGAAGCCTTGGCTGGCTCTGCGTCTGACTCATCATCAGATTCGTCCTGGGCAGCATCATCCTCGTCGTCACTGTCTGCGCTCTTGACACTCCTCATATCGACATCGTTGTCAAGCTCGATGCCGCCGTCTTCCATCTCGGATTCGTCATCAGCCTCAACGTCAGGCGCGTCCCCCATCTCCTCGTCATCATCGTTCTCACCCTTGATCTCAGAGTACTTCAAGGTGAAGCCGATCTTCCTCTTCTTAGGGTCGACGTTCAGGACCTTGGCCTTGACGACGTCGTCCTTCTTGTACATCTCCTTGACCTTCTCCTTGTCGACCTGTGTGTCGGCCAGCTGAGAAATGTGGCACAGACCGCTGACATTGTTCGACTTGTCGACGAGCAGGAAGACACCGTAGTCCTCGACGTGGCGGACCTTGGCAGTCACAATTTGGCCGACCTCGAGATCGTGGAAGCCAATTGGTTCTGTGTATTCGCCCTGGATGACTGAAGTCTTCAAGCTCATTTGGGGGTTGCGCATGTTGTCCTTGTTCGAAATGACTTTTCCGGTAACGAGCTGATCGACATGGAATGCGGCCTTCCAGTCCTTGATGTACGCATCTGAGAGCTCACTGACACGGACGTAAGCTTCGACCTTGGGGCCGAGACGTACATAGATACCGTTGTCGGCGACCTGCTTGATGAAACCACGCACAACTTGGTTGACCCTAAGATCAGACCTATCCTTGATCTCGGGATCCTTTACAGGCAAGGAAGAGCTGAGAACCTTCGATGGCCTGGCTGACAGACCAAGTTTCTTGTTGGGAACATCAACGTCGACAACGCACACGCGGAGCACATCGCCCGTCTTGAACTCTGAAGGCTTAGCCTTGTCATAGTCGTCGGCAAGCTGCTCGAGATAGATGGGCGCAGCAATGCTCTCATTGATCTGGACGACGATGGAGGTGTCGTGTGTCTTTGTGACACGTGCCGGCAGAACGTAGCCTACCTTTAGATCATTGAGAGTGAGCCTTTTGCCGATGACCGAAGACGCCGCTGTCAGATCCAAACGCCCAGCAGCGACATCGACCGACTTGACGCGGACCTTAAGGGCAGAGCCAACTGGAAAATTAGTCTCAATGGCAGACAGCTTCTCGAGGTCGTCGGTAAGATCCAAGAAGTCGATGCGTCCGCGAACATTGGCTGAGATGTTAACCCAGACAAAGCGGTCCGCAATATTGTTGACGAAAGCTACAAACGTAGCGTCAGTTGTGATCTTATCGAGGCTAAGGACATCAGCCTCTGTGGTGAGCTTGTCTTTCTTGGCGGTCAACTCGTATGTTGGTGTCTTGTTGCTAGATCGATGTGTGATGGGAAGGAAGCGGTGGTTGCGAGCATCGTGTCGGCCGAGGATCTTCGCCTTGATTGTTTCATTCATCTTGAACTGCGCCAATGGGTTCTTCTTGTCCTTGATGTCGTCCCATGACTCAAAGACCTCGGCAACAGAGATTCGTCCTTGCACGTTCTCGCCAAGAGCGACGTTCAATTGTGTGTTCTTGATAGACCTGATGCGGACATTTGCAGAGACACCGAACTTGATGTCGGCAGTAGATGTGACCTTGGGGTCGACGGGGTCAATTAAAGCTTCGCCAGCCGGCTCGGTGACCTTCGAGGCACTGTCCATGTCGACGTCGGCATTGGTCTTCATCGACAGCCAGAAGAGCTCCTTGGCCTCGTCGACGTGCGTGACCTTGGCAGTAATGGACTGGTCCTTGCGCAGACCGAAATTTGGCGATCGGAGCATCTCATCCGTGAGTTGCGACTTAAAGACGGCACCGCTGATGTTGTTGCCAAGCTCGACGAACACCTTATCTGGAAGGATGCCTCGCACAAAACCATAGACAGTTGCGCTAGCCTTGATATCCGCGAAGCTAGTGACAAGCTTACCGGACTGCGCAGCCTTGCGAAGACTGGGCTTGTTCGAGACTGTGACGTTCTTGGACTTGTACTGCTTGTTCAGGATGACAAGGTCCTCCAATACACCACCAACGCGGATCTTCTTCATAGTGGAAATGTCCTTCTTCTCGGAGCCATCTGTCAGATGGCCAATTCGGAGCAGGCCTTTCACACCATTGCCAATGTCAAGAGTCGCTAACTCATCTGTCTTGTCAACCACTGTACCCTTTGTGATGTCTCCGGGGTTCAGTGCGTTGAAAGCGGCTTCCTTGTTAGTATCGACGGCGGCGGGATCCTTGCAAGAGACGAGCAACTGGCGCTCTTCAGGATCGACCGAGAGTACGCGTACGTTGACAACCTGGCCCTTGGTGAAGTGTCGGCCGGCATCTTCAATGTATGCTTCGCTCATCTCGGCGACAGGAAGCCAGGCCTTGACATCGCCGTAGAAGCGTACTGTGGCACCATGGCGGCGAACATCGACAAGGATACCAGGTCCTTTGGCGCCCTCCTTGACCTTTGAGTAGTCTGTCCAGGGCTCAACATCAGAGTTGACAAGCGACTTCTTGAGGGTGAGCTGAATCTGGTGTCTTGCAGGGTCGGTGTACAAGACACGGGCGGTGACCGGCACCCCCTCCCTAAACTTGCGCTCTGGGTGCTGTAGCTTGACGTCTGCGAGATGAAGCTCCGACACAAGTCCGGTGATGCCCTCGGAGAGATTGACAAGGACGGCTGCGGCGCCCTTCTTGTCAGCGATGAGCTTGTGAACCTTGCCCTTGACAACCTGGCCAGCCTTGATGTCCTCGATACGGAGGAAAGCCTGGTCTAGCACCTTCTTCTCCAGCGACAACTGGAAAAGCGCGTCCATGGCATTGTAACCGATGATGCGCGCACGGTGCTTCGTGTCGAGCTTGAAAGCGCCTGCATCCTCGGAGAGCACATCGACGCGATCATCTGAAAGGCGAGACACGTGCGCAAAACCGATAACATCGCGGACGCCTAGCCCGAAGAACGCACCCAGCCCGGGCTGCACCTTGACGACCTTGGCTTCCTCGACGATGGTGGAGACAGGCAGGTACTCGAGTGGTGTCTTGCGCTCCTTGGGCTTTCCAGACATGCGTGAGGACAGCGAAACAACGTGGTCAAGCAATGAGATGCCAACCTTCCTGGGCTCAGCATCGGGGCAAGTAAACAGGATTCTCGCCTTGACTTTTGTGCCAATCTTGTACTTTTGCGACACGTCTGCGCCCTTCTCTGTGGCTCCCGAGTGGTAGGCGTCGGCGGTGGCATCGATCAATCCGAGGATCTTGCCAGTAAGCGTGCTCGGTGTGTTGTCGGCGACGAGGACATCGACTGCGGTACCGGGCAGGAAGACGTCGATGGTAGGCGCGTCGGTGAGTGTGTTGCCCTTGGTCAAGTTTCCAGACTTGGTCTGGTCGGCCGAGAGCTTGACGATCTTTCCATCTGAGTTGAGGCCGGTGACCAGGCACATGAAGACAGCGCCCTCTTGCACCTTGGAGTGCTGCACCTTTGCGCCCAGCTCGCCCTTGGGCAAGAAACCCTTGATCTTTGTGTCCTCAAGTCCGAGATCCATGACGAGACCGTGGTCTTCGTTGCTCAGGACTGACGCCTGCAGCATCAGATTGACGGGGATCTTGCGCTTGGGTACGCCCTTGTTGACGAGCTTGGGATCAATCGACAGCTCTAATCGCTTCCGTGCTCGCGCTGTGTCGTCGGTGGTTGATGTGACGCAGGCTCTCAGGTACTGCCCAACGAAGAACATGTTCCTCAGCTCCACGTCCTCGAAATCTCCCTCGTCTTCGCCCTTCTCCTCCTCTTCCTCCTCCAGCAGCTTCTCGAGTCTCTCGTTGAGCTTGTCGGAGACGGCGGTGAGGGGCACGTAGCCGACGAGGTTGTTGGGCAGGGCGAGCACAATGTCTTGGTTGGTGATGTCGGTAACCTGTCCGAGGATCATTGTGCCGGCCGACAGCTTCTTGTAGTTGAGGCCCTCGGCGCGCACGACATCCTCGTTCTCTTCGTCGCCCTTCGGCTTCTTGCCCTTCTTCGCAGGCCACTTCTTTGCTGTCTTGGCGGCCTTGCCCTCGTCCTCTGAGCCCATGTCGCCGAATTCATCGTCGCCGCCGCCGCTGCGTTTTGCGCCAGTCTGCTCGAAAAGCACGTCCTGGTTGGCCTTGATCTGAATTTGCTTGTGCTCGAGCGGTGTCAAGACGCTAGCGCCACCACGAGGAAACGACTTCTCCTCATCCTTGAAGACGCTCGCCTTCGGTGGTGCGCTCTCAGTCTTTGCAGGCTTCGACTTTGCGGGCGACTCTGCGGCGCCGTCTGATTTGCGCGGACGCTTCGCTGATCGATCGCCGGATGCACCCTTCTCTCTTTTTGTAGGGGCGCTCGGGGCGTCTGCCTTTCGTTTTGTGGCTCCCATTGTCGTGGTGTGGAGCTCTTCAAAGCTTGCAGCAGCAGCAATCATCTCGCGCCTGCCAGAACTTTTGAAAAGTTAATGTGGGGCCGCCGGGGTAGCCTGTTCGGGCATAGGCTGAGATGGTGCGCCGCTGTGGCTGTCATATCCTGGACGTGAGCACCAAAGTCCGACTTTGGAGGCGCTCAGAGGCGCTACCCATGCAAGAAGAGAACTTGAAACCAGTCTTGAAGCTACAGATTCTTTCAGACATGCATAGAGTAGCTATCTGCAATAGATCTGAGCTCCTGGACCGCGAAATGCCGTCGTGTTCGTGTTGGTGGGCTCTAATTGGTATGCGCCACTGGGCCACTTAACGCGAACGCGAGACGTGACGCGCTGGTGAGCTAGCCGAGCCAGCCTCTCCGCCTTCGAGCTGCTATATCTGCATCGTCATTCCGTCCCATGTCTCAGTCTCGAGTCTGGCTCTGCGTGTCGTGTGTCTGCGTGTAGCAGCCCAATTGATGGTTGATTCTCTTGTATATACGTGTACAACAGCTAATTGCCACCGGTCCCAAAATGTCCTCTCCGTGCGCCCCTCGAGTCGCGTTCCAAGAGCCCACGCCTGAGCTCTTCTCCTCGCCGCCTGCACCTACAGCGACACGCAAACTGAAGAGACCGCCGCCAATTACCCCGAAACGCTTTACCCGCTTCTTCACCCCGCGCAATTCGAGCCATGGATCGTCACGCGCCTCACCCTCCAGCTCGGGGCGGCAATTGCAGGACATCACCCGCGCTGCCGTCAACCGCAGCCATGCAATGACCCGCACTACTCCTCGCAAGACGGTGAACTTTGTCGACATCGAAATTACACAGACTCGGACACCGTCATCGAGCGCCCGCAAAAGGAAGAACCCATATCTATCACCTGAGAGTTCACCGGCCCAATTCCACTCGTCGCCCTCGAAACGTTCGCGGTACGTCACCCCGGAGCCAGTGGAGGTGCTCGAGGATGAGCCTGAGGCTGAAGGGCGGCCTGTGTTTGCTGCGCCGATTCGACGGTTGGGGACATTAGCAGGCACATCACGGCGGCTGCAACGGTCCTTCGGTGGGATACTGAGCGTTGGACGGGGATTCAGACAAGACCATTGTACATCGTGGCAGGATCAGACGGCCGACTTCCACAGCAGCGCAGATGATGTGCACTCGCTGTCACAGAATGCCCCACCCTTCTGTACAGCCAGCTGCAATACGAACTCACTCTTGGCCATTGGAGATGAGGACGGTCACATCCATCTGGTGGACTCCGAGGGCGACTTCTCCAAGGCGCACATCTCATGGCAAGCACACTCGAATGCCGTCATGGACGTCCAATTTTCTTCCGACGACTCCTATCTGGCTGCCGGCTCTGGTGATCAGACAGCACAGATCATCGATGTACGGACGCAGCAGACATTGAGTGTGCTTGCAAAACACAAGTCATCTGTGAAGCAAGTACGCTTCCAGCCTGGTGATGACAAGATCGTTGCAACTTCCAGTCGAGATGGTGCGGTCCAGATCTGGGACCTGCGATGCAAAGGCGGAGATCTTACAATACATTCAGCATGGGGGTCAGATGCTCCATATGCCAGTGTCGTTCGAACACTATCAGCAGCACATGCTGACATGGGCCTGTCATCCAGCGCAACCACACGGGTTGCTCCAAACGGCAAGACAGAAACCATTAGTAGACGCAGCGACGTCTCTGTCACCGCGCTCTCATTCCTGCCTGAAGGCCGCCAACACCTACTCCTGACTGCTTCAGACGCCTCAACATGCGTGAAGCTCTGGGACATCCGCGGTCGGTACTCACTGCGAGGGCCCGCCATACCCATCGCGACCACGCGACACCCTGAATCGCACAACAGACATCGACACTTCGCCATCAACTCGCTCACCCTTAGCGGCGATGCATCACGCCTTTACGCACTAAGCAAAGACAACACCGTCTACGCGTACTCGACAAACCACCTCATCCTAGGCACTGCCCCAGAGCTTTCCGTCTCGTCGTCCTCAAAACAAAAGTACTGCCAGGTAGGCCAAGAAGGACTCGGACCCATCTACGGTTTCCGCCACAACAAGTTCCATGCCGGCTCCTTCTACGTCAAAGCCTCGTTACGAAAAGCTTTCGACGACAAGCCAGAGATGTTGGCCGTCGGAAGCACAGATGGCTGCCCAGTTCTATTCCCCACCGACGAGACCTTCCTCAAGCGCGAAAAGCGACATCGCGAAGATGAGGCAGATGATCTGCCAGATATCACCCCCCGCTCTATCCTTAGACCATCATTAACTCGCTCGACGAGCAGTCGCTCGCCGGACACAATTCCTATCTACGAGCATGGCACGCCTTTGGTACGCGGTCATGATGCTGAGGTCACGAGTGTGTCGTGGGCGAAGAACGGCAGTCTGATCAGCGTCAGCGATGACCATCGTGTAAGGAGGTGGATGGAAGGCACCCAAGCGAAGGAGCTTCGAACGGGTGGTGAAGGGGAGGGGAGAAGATGGCAGTGTGGATGGGCGGATGTGAGTGAGGCTTATGATAATGAGGAGTAGGTTGGTTCTATTATACCCATTTATTGTTTGGTTACGAAGCGATGCGAATTGAACAGATTTCTCGCACACTCCTTCTCCTTCCGCTAGATTTACAACCTGAAGCTCTAATCTGCTCGCACCTCCTTGCTCACATTAAGCTTCTAGCTAACGGTCATAGTGCAGAGGAAGTCAGAAGGTCGAGCCGACAGGACAGTGTGATTGCGATCATCAGTGGCTTTCGATGAACAAGATGATACAAGCGGACACGCGTTACTGGTCTTGTGTTGCTCCTTCCGCTGATTGCACACTCCATTTACATTCGTTTAGCGCTGGTGGGGTGCTCCTGCCGCCCTGTTGACGTCTTCCAAGCATTGCATCCTTCGTTTTCTAGCAAGTCTGTCACCTCATAGTAATTCGCTTCGCCATCCGGCTCACAGGAACCACTTACACACCGCAGGCTGCTGTCGCTACCGCAATCGAAATTGATCATTTGTTTACCTTACGTTCACCATGGAGAGTCAGCGGACGGGAGTTATTGCGAACCTTATACGAGCCTCTACCGACCACGACTTCGATCCGTCTACTTGACTTGTTACCTCCGGAAGAGGGCGATCCGCTTGAAATCGAAATGAGCGTTGTGGACCTGAAAGGCAAACCCAAGTATTTCGCGCTTTCCCATACCTGGAGTGAGCCTAGGTTCTATCTGCATTGGTATTTTAAACAGGCGGCAGTTGCGCCCATGCAAGACGTACAATGGACACGAAACTGAGTTTGCTGACGGAATCGACCAAAAAGGACAGGGAACTGAAAGTATACACCCTGTGGAAGCAACGAGAAGCAATGCAATCATCTTCTTTGTCTCAATGAGGATCACTGAAGTTTTGCCGCCTTCTCAAGACCGCACAAAGGCCCGGATGCTCTGATACTAAGGATAAAGTATTCTTGTTTTACCGCTTGGCTGATTGCGATGCGTCAGACCAATAAGATTCAGAGCCTGATTATAGCAAGTCTGTTGCAGAAATCTACAGCGAAGGTATCAAACACTGGATTCCGATTGAGCGGTCCCTTGACGTCTTACAGTGGGTGGTGGATCGACCGCAACGACTCTTCCCAGGTAATCCAGCCTGGGTGGGTGAAATGCAGGAGACATCGGATTTGTGCAGACTCTACGTCTCATTTGACAGGCACAGAGCGATAAATGGTTCGCAAACGTCACTCGTGGCCTCAAAGTTAAGCAATTATCTTGTTCTTAAGGCACGTGGAGTCGAGACTGGTCTAGTACTCGACCAGACGCAGCAACTACGATGGCACGGATCTAACCTGTTATATGACCCGGGGTGGGTTTGCATCGCTATTGAGGACCAGACAATGCTGAGTGAACTCGATTCCGGAGCTCCGTCGTGTCAATTCACTGGTACAGAGATCACCGACATTGATGAGCGGTATGCTCCTGGCTGGCGATGGTACAAGAAGTCTGCTTCATGAATGTGTAGCACTTGCATATCGTATGTTGGGCTTCTAGTCAAGAAAACACAGGCCTTGCTTATGATCTTGCGGCTACATCGATCATGAAAGCCATTGACGAGCTGCCCGCTACATACAAGACAGACTGCATGCCATCGAGAAAGGAAACCCAACAGGTTCAGAGCACGAGTTGCGACTGCGATGGCCTGGTCCTTGAAGACAATGTTGCAAACGCAATCTCAAGACTAAACCACCCATTCGCCACTACAAACCGGATTGTCTCTACGTCAAAGCAATGGCTGGAGACCGAAACATCATCTTTGACAAGACGTTCGCCTCTTCAGACATCATTGCTTCCAGAAGGGTCGACAAGAACTATGTGTACAAAGGCCAGCATGTACGACGCATTACCGATACGTCCATTGGTATGGCACTAATGCCCAGAATCTCGATCGCCGATGACTCGATCTTTCTGTTAGAAGGAGCCAGTGTTCCCTTTGTGTTGAGGAGAGCCAAAGGCCAAGACGAAGCTTCAACAAATGAGTACACTTGGGAAGTGATCGGACCTGCGTATGTACGAGGAGTGATGCAGGGAGCTCTGGGAGCAAGTCAAACATCGCACAAGCATGGTGCATCTGATATAGACCTTTCAGCCGTCTTAAATCTTGAGTCAATCTCAGGGTAACAACGCCGTATTGCTGCAAACTCTAAGCCAGCTGTTGACGTCACTTAGCGTCGAATCGTGCAGTTGCCTCAACTGACGGCTTTGCCTGCCTTCAACAACTTCTCAACTCCAAGCTTTAATTAAACAATGTCCTATGCCCCTACATCTGAAGAGCCCGATCTCCACAACGGTCATTGTGTAACGCACGTGCATCAGGCAAGTCTCCGCTGCATTGGCTGTAAACAGCGTCATGGCCATCGCGGTTCTCATATCGAGCTCGAAGAGCGAAATGCTTGGAGGTCTTGAGCTTGCCGTTTCGGCGATACCTGAGCCTTAGCCATTCTCAGTCACCGCATGTCTCCTATCATACAGGGGATACTTCTATGTAGGCAAGAAGATGGCCAAGCGGGCTCAGGTACCGCCTTACATCTCTCCAAGAATGCTCGGTTAAGGTTTGTCTTGACAGTCTGCTTCCTTTCATACAGTGCCAAGCTTTGCTCAACGTGGGACATACTTGGCCAAGAAAGCCGTAAGCGGGATCTTGGTAACAACCTCAGCCTGTCAGGGTCACTGCACTCAGGGCTTTGAGGTGGCTATGGTCTCAAAGTATCGTTCAGGCTGACAATGCAGTCCGAGGCTTCGTATCCCACTGTTTCGGTGCAGGCAGAAAATACGCCTTTTTTTCCTGCCAACGACTCAAGCACCAAAGCTGTTCTTCAACGTCTCGATAAAATCATCCACAACATGGAGATGAGCCTCTGGGAGGTCTCTGACCCCTATTACTTCGATCTGCCTTACGTCTTTAACCACATGGGCTTGCGTCATTCGATTGTGTACGTTGTTTACCACTCCTTCGAACTTTTCCCAGGCCTTGCGGCCGTTCTGACGGAGCTCGAACAGAGGAACGGAACTAGCCTTGGATTGGCTCGGGAGAAGGGTGAGATCTTCCCAGCAGAGTGCGATGGTCCGACTTCTGCGTACAATTTCGTACTGACCAAGTATACCACGGCCTGCAATGATGTAACTGGTCGTTTCAACGTCTCATCCGTGGAACTTTTTCAAGATCATGTGACCGAGTTGAAGGGCACTTCAAAATACATTGGCACACCCTGGGCTAGAACCATGACACTGTATTGTCGCAAGCTTCGATTCAGCCCGCCAAAGTCTCAAGAATTCTTAGGTACGTAGTCACATTACTGTTGACTTTTGAGCTTTTTCACCGACAAGAACCAGGCTACAAAGAGATCAATACAATCAACCTCATCCTTCTCAATAACAATAACAACAAAATCGACCCTGTAACGCCTAGCTTGGAGAGCGTAATCGAGTTCTTCCCAGGGGCTGGCTCGTTCTACCATGATGCTATTGGGGTAAGTCACTCACCTTACTGTATCATTTGCCAGTATTCGAAAGCTAACATGGAGTAGCACGGTTTTCTTATTATGGAGTCTAATTGAACCTCCGAGTACACAATCAAGTACATAGAGACTGGTGAACTTCAACCACCAGAGACTGTATGTAAACCGAGTGGCAAGGCACCATCAAAAACAGTGCGATCGTTCTTACATTTATGATATACCTATGCCGCGCCCATGTTTCATCATGCTGCCTCAATGACCTTATTAGCAAGCGCCGGCAGAGTATCCGCAGTAACATCAGTCTTGCCAAAAACATCTTCAAGCGGCTCCTTCTCCAACACCGTACAGTACGCCGTCTTGAAGCCTGCTCTGCTAGCCGCACTCACATCCCATCCATGTGCTGCAGCAAACCATAAAGACTCATCTTTCCCTGCGCCGATTCTCTCTTTCACACGTTCGTAAGCTTTGATCTCTGGTTTACCGATCCCAACATCATCACAAGTAATGATGTGCTCGTTGTCGATGGAGATATCGCCTTTGTTGAAGTACCCTTTTACTCGCTCCCGGTCGCCGCTCGTGAAGGCCCACACCGTCCACCCACTCTTTTGCAGCCGATCAATGCATTCCCTCGCTCCAGGTCTGACAGTGCAGTTTTTGTACTCTTGTATGAAGTATTCCACATCTTCCTCGTTCGCAACACTTCTGGGCTCATGTACGCCCGCGAAATGCAAGACGCGGAAGAAGATGGCTTGGAAGATTTTTGCAAAGGGAACGTAGCGGCCTGAGAGAGAAAGGTATGTGTATTCGCGCTCGGCAGTTTCAAGCCAGGCGTACCCTAGGAGACGGCCGGAGATGTTGTGAGGCTCAAGAGCTGTACCCAGTCGCGTGCTGATCACGTCGTAGAAGTGCTCGTGGGAGACTAGGGTGCCGACGATGTCGAAGACGATGTGCTTGGGGCTCGTCTGAGATGCCATTGTTGTGGAGTTGAGATGTTGTTAAAATGAAAAGTGTTGTTGTTGTTGTTGCTCATGCTAGGCAAAGAGCATAAGCATGCCATTGCATGCTCGACATGCACGCCCTGTTGTCAAAATGCAGCACTAGGGGGTGCAATAATTCGCTTCCCCTCGGACTTCGATGAGGTAAGCCACCCCACCATTCCTTCCCCCTTATACAATGCCCATACAAACTGATGAAATATGATTTAAATGTATTTTTAAGAGAAAGCTATTGATATAGGTGTACAGGGCTATACAAGAGGGTTTTGTGGTGTAGTGAGGCATTACCACAATGCCGATCTTATCTTTTCACCACCATTTCCCCTGAGTTGTTCACATCTCTCTGGCATCTCTCTGATCCTTGCCCTTACTTCTTCTATAGTAATTCTATGAAGAACACGGTATCTGTGCACACACAGATACCGTGTTCTTCTGCTATCTGCTTGAGAGTCTTGTCATCATGGCATCGATCATAGGCCTCAAAGTAGTGGGACCGCTCGGAGGTATCAGGACATTTCAGACTGCAATCTTGTTTAGGGGTCTTTGGGGCATCCATTGATTAAGAGACCATCAAAAAATATTGATATTTGAGTGAGTTATGGTAGGGATGAAGTTGGGGGGGTTGATGCGTGGGACTTCAATATGATGGGGTTGATGACCTCATCCAAGCTGAGGGGAAGCGAATTATTGCACCATCTAGCGGCAGGTGCTGACGGATGACGTCACGCGATGCGAGGAAGGCAAGAGCAACTGTAAAATCACATCAATCCTTACGAAAGATGTGTGCAGACGTGCTTTCGCAAGAAATTGAAGACTGCTCAAGTGAGAACGATATCGGCAGCGCATGATGTAAGGGTTATCGCCACAATGGATGTGTTGTCCCAATCCGGCATTTCAGCCTCACAGAGCGCTAAACCACACTCGGCATGCTCTTCGATGGACAAGTCTCGATTTGGCGGGGTCGAAGACAAACGCAACATTACAGCGGTCGTATGTCATTAGAGTCTATCAGTGATGTTGGCGGTTTGCAGAAGACTTCAATGACTTTGCAGTGAAGGGAAAATAGCATGAACATGAACAGCAGCAAGAAGACACTGAAGATTTGTTTTATGTTGCAATCTTTCATTTTCCAACAACTTTGCTTAGGGCAAAAGCCCTCGCCATCCCTTGTACTTTCATAGAACTCAACCTCCTGTAACTAAACCCTTGCATTACCGGAGGAGCTACTGCACCTCTCGTCCTCCATAGTCTCAGACTCACATAGGACGTTAAACCAATCAATCAATCAATGACACCGAGAATTTGAAGGACTGCCATTCTGGTCATGGCCTACGAAAAAAATCGCTAGAATCAACGGCAAAACTGCCAAAGAGGTCAAGGCCCCATGCAAACACCCAAACTCCATCATATGCCTCATCAAATTATACGCTTTTACCAAGCCAACTCGCTCTTATCATTGTCATTACCACACGCCAGTCCCTCGCAGAAGTCAACATCCTCATTGCTGATCGCCGAGTTACCATCCTTCTCCAGCGCCTGTCTAGCCGGCCAGATCTGCTTGCCCGCCGCCTTCTCCTTCTTTGCGTGCTCCATGACGATCTCGCGGCACCGCTTCTGGAAGAAGAGAGGCCCCTTCTCCATGTGGGGATGCAACTCGCCATTGATGAAGACGCCGGCGTTGATGTTCTCTTGCGCGCGCTCGCAGAGTACTTTGTCTTCGGCCATGACACGCTTGTAGACGATGTTGAGGCGGTCGAACTCCTCGCGTGTGCTGTTGCGATTCTTCCAGACTTCGTAGTACATGACACAGCGGTTAGGGCCAGAGGGCATGAACTTCTGCATGAACATGAAGTGTGGGCTATGTGGTGTTAGTTGCTGTGAAAATATTGATGAAGTGGTGATGCTTACCTGACGGTGTAGGAGGAGTAGGGGAAGAGATATGTGGAGCAGATGTTGAGACCCTGCTTTACCTGCTCTGGGTTGCTCTTGGGGTCATGATCGATGTGATCCGCTGAGCACTGAACGTCGTAGGTCTCGAGGTTGGCAATCGCAGGCAGGTCGGGGTGTGTTGTCTTGCAGTGGTAGCACTCATTGAAGTTGTCCGCAAGAATCTTCCAGTTGAAGTTGCCTTCCATGGTGTATGAGTGGTCGAATTCGTAGTCGTCGAAGTCGAACTGCTTGAATCGCTCCTGTTGGTCGGTGCCTTCGAACTGCTCATCCCATGTGACTTCTGGCACCTTGTTTGAGTCCATGTTAATGTAGATGAAGCCGTTGGGGTCGATGTGAACATGGATCTGGAAGAGACCGTTCTTGGCCTTGTCGAAGCCATTGAGCTCTTGGTAGCCCGGGGCCTTTGCAAGCTTGCCGTTCAGACCGTATGACCATCCGTGGTACTTGCATGAGAGAATCTTCGAGTTACCCTCCTCTTGTTCGACAACAGGGTAGGCTCGGTGCCTGCAAACATTGTGGAAAGCATGGATCTCGCCGTCGCGGTCCTTAGAGACAACGAAGTCATAGTTAGCGCAGTTGTAGCGGAGCCAGTCACCGGGCTTCGCAAGTCTTGACTTGTGTGTGAGGATGAGCCATCGACGAGAAAAGATGGAACGTCTCTCCAGCTGATACATCTCCTCTGATGAGTACCAGTTTCCAGGCAGGGCGCGAACGGCGCCATTCTCTAGTGGTGGTGAGGCTGGGACAGCGCCACCAAGTCCGATGTAGCTCAACAGAGATCCGACCATGGTGAAGTAGATGTAGGCGACACTGAGCTTGATAGTACGGATTACTGATGATAAGCTGAGAAAGGCCTTGTTGTGTAGAGAGGACATTTGTAGTGATGATGCTATGCTTATGGCAGCTGAAGCATTGATATACATAGCCAGGACTACTCCTCATCCTTATCGAGTAAACGAGTTCCCTGCCCCATATGGGGAAGTGGAATCCATTCACTGTGTGGACGGCTGGCCAGTGGGTAGCGCGAACGTAATCGGACTGTAAGCAGCCGTCATGCGCCACGTTTGCTTGCTGCATCCGAGGACTATTTGCGACCGCCAGATCTGCCATCGTGATCAGAGTCGTCGTCGAATCAAAGGTGATCCAGACAGTAGGCTAGTGGTCAGCCATGGCGTTCGGTGGGCGATGGCCCAAATCAATCAAAGAGTCCATAGGAGCCTAATGCAACGGTCATCGTAATAGAAAGCGAGACTGGTCTGGTTGATTGCCCCTCCTGCTGGCACGGACCTGGTATCATCGCTCATGGATCTGATGTCCAAATTCGGAAAGTCAGTACCAACAAAGCCTCGCCCTGCTTATCAGCCACAAACACCACGGCATGATTGCGGTCAGATCCTGCAACTTCTATCCCTCTTGTCGAATTCTATCGAGATAGTCTCGATCGTCCAAGCCTGCGATTAACAGTAGTTTCACAGAGAGGCCAATTACTATGGTGCGGAACCGTGTGCAGAGCTGCATTTTTTCATCAGGGGCGATGAAGTGTGGATCGGTGACATTGTGGCTCAGTCTGTGCTTGACAGAGCAACGTCTGTCATAACCAGACATAATGTGTACTGCCAGGGCTGTTGCGTAATAGCACCATCTTTCAGGTGTCGTAGCAGCGATACCGCTTTGTCAGTTCAGTCCGGAGTTACCTTACCGATGACCACGCGCCTCAATGCACGTTCTTACCTCACATCGCATCTGCCGCACTTGTCGTCGGAGTAGTCGAAGTAACGACGTGTCTTGATATGGTAGGTGAGCCTGAGTGAGTACAGTTTCGAAGTCGAGACTGCTGGGTTTGGGCACATCTGAGTACAGGCTCGTATAAAGAGTCTGGATCCTATCGAAGGGCCATCAAAAATTTTGCAGATCTCGATAACCTGCCTCAAGGGAAGCCGACCGAGGAGCTCTGAGACTGCGATCCGCAGTGACTTAAGTGAGGAGTGACCAAAATTACAGACTTGGATCAAGGGCTTTGTCGAAGAGTGCAGTGCCGCGATACGAGCACCAATCGAGTCGAACGACAAACATGTAGACGGCAGTTGCTGTAGGTCTCAACATACTGGCAGGCCCGTTGGTGGATGTTTTTGTAGGGCTTGTTGCAAGGGTTTGTCGCAAAGGTACGCCTCGAGGGCCTGAGTCGCATGGAAATCGACAATGGCGATGTCGCGATGCTGATTATGCAGCTTTCAAACTGGTGCATGTGTGCATGCAGCGTTGTAGCCAATGTCGATTAAATTGATCATTGCTGGTATCTCTGTGAAGAGCCAGACAGGGAGTTGCTATGGAATAGCCATGTTGCACAGCAAATACTGACCGTTGGAACGACCCATCGGATGATGAATGCTTGAATCTGATATGGAGTCTGCAAAAGTTGTGGAGGGAGCAAGTGCGCACACGCGAGGCGGGGTTGTCGCGAGTTATGAAGCGTTTCCAGAACTAAGCTGGCCGGACTGTTCGGCCACCCACACTAGCCATCCCGGTCGGCTTATATCGCGAACGCGCCCGTCTAGGCTCGATTTGGCAATCAGGACCCTACGTCTACGCTTAGAAGACATCCCCCACCAATGTCGTAAGAGCCGCATGCGGGGTATGGATTCATCGTCCCTAGCACTGCTGTTACATGCCACCATGGGAAAGCTTTCGCAGTCCCGAAGGTGCTGTCCACGCTTAGGTGCGGCCGATTAAGCTGTGAAGTGCGACGAGAGGAATCGTTATCTCGAGCTACAGTCCTCTTAAGAAGCTGCTTGCTCAATAGCCAGTGTGATCAATTATATCCGTTTCATCCTTTTTCACAATGGCGACCTCGCAGCGTGTTGTCATCATCGGTGCTGGCATTGTCGGTACCAATCTTGCTGATGAGCTGGTTTCGAGAGGATGGAACAACATTACCGTTATCGAGCAAGGCCCGTTGAGCATGCCAGGAGGCTCAACGTCACACGCACCGGGCCTTGTGTTCCAGACGAACCCGTCGAAGACAATGACCCTGTTCGCCAAATACACAGTCGAGAAGTTACAATCACTTGAGAAAAATGGCCAGAACTGCTTCAACCAGCTGGGTGGTCTCGAGATCGCGACAACACAAGAGCGCCTGGAAGAGCTCAAGCGCAAGCACGGGTATGCTCAGTCTTGGGGCATCGAAGCACACTTGATCAGTCCAGAGGAGTGCCACAAGAAGTACCCGGGTTTGAACAAGAGTATGATCTTGGGTGGCCTTCACATTCCGAGTGACGGTCTGGCATTAGCAGCCCGCGCCACACAGCTGCTCATCGAGAGCACAACCAAAGCTGGCGTCCGATACCTCGAACACACCGTAGTCACCGGCATCGAACAGGCGAATGGCCACGTGACAGGCGTCACCACAAACAAGGGCAGCGTGCCTGCAGATATTGCCGTGTCTTGCGCCGGATTTTGGGGCGTGGAGATCGGTAAGATGATCGGGCTGAAGGTACCACTCCTCCCGCTCGGTCACCAATACGTCAAGACAACAGCTGTACCGGGCCTTGTGGGTCGCGACGTCAACAAGAACATCAACGCGATGAATGCTGAGTACCCGATCCTGCGATACCAAGATCAGGACTTATACTACCGCGAGCATGGTGAGCAGTACGGTATTGGATATTATGGGCATCGACCTATGCCAGTCAATGCCGCATCTTTGGGCGTCACACCAGAGAAGGTTGATGAGAAGAACATGCCATCACGGCTCGAGTTTACGCCCGAGGATTTTGAACCAGCCTGGAAAGCAACGAAGGAGCTACTGCCGGCACTTCGGGAGACTGAGATTGCAGATGGTTTCAATGGTATTTTCTCCTTCACGCCAGATGGCGGATCAGTTGTAGGCCAAGCGCCCAATCTCGACGGGTTCTACGTTGCCGAAGCTGTCTGGGTGACGCACTCTGCTGGTGTAGCTCGGGCTGTTGCCGAGATGCTCACTGAAGGCCGCTCCAAGATAGACATTGCCGAGTTGGAGGTGACTCGATTCGAAGAGGTCCAGCTCAGTCCAGAGTACATCAGTGAGACGTCACAGCAGAACTTCGTGGAGATCTACGACATCATCCACCCACTCGAACCGAAGCATACTCCACGCAACCTACGTGTCAGCCCATTCCACGCTCGACAACGTGAGCAAGGCGCGTTCTTCCTCGAGGTCGGAGGTTGGGAACGTCCGCACTGGTACGAAGCGAATGCTGAGCTCGTCACGTCGCTTCCTAAGGATTGGAGGCCAGTCGATCGTGATGCTTGGTCGTCGAAGTTTTACTCCCCAATCGCAGCAGCAGAGGCATGGAAGACTCGCAACGCAGTCGCAATGTATGACATGACCACGTTCCATCGATTCGAAGTCTTCGGTCCCGCAGCCGTTGACTTGTTGCAGCGTCTTACGACAAGCGATGTGACCAAAGCGCCTGGTGCTATCACTCACACATTGCTCCTCAACAGACATGGTGGAGTTCTGAGCGACATTTTTGTGTCAAGGATTGAAGATGACGTATTCCAGATTGGCGCCAACACCGCCACCGATCTCGCCTACCTCGTGCGAGAGGCCCGTCAACAGTCAAAGGGCACACCCAGTCAGTGGGTGCAAGTACGCGACGTCACCGGAAGCACTTGTTGTCTTGGTCTCTGGGGACCTCGAGCTCGCGATGTGATTCGAGAGATCAGTGCAGACGACTTCTCCAATAACGGCTTGCCATACATGGGCGTTAAGAAGTCAGGCCTCGCCGGTATCTCAGTCACGATGTTCCGAAAGTCGTTCGTCGGAGAGCATGGGTGGGAAATCCAGACAACACCGGAATTTGGCCAACGGTTGTGGGATCTTCTGTGGCAAGCAGGCCAGTCTCATGGACTCGTGGCCGCTGGCCGTGCTGCGTTCAACGGTCTGCGACTGGAGAAGGGCATCCGAGCTTCAGGTTCAGACTTCTCATCTGAATACAATCCGTATGAGGCTGGCATCACCTACGCGATCCAGAGAGACAAGAAGGTCGACTTCGTTGGCAAGGCTGCGCTCGAGGCTGCGTCAAGACGCACACCAACGAAACGGCTGAGGTGCTTGACTGTTGACGATGGTCGCTCCATGGTCTTGGGTAAGGAGCCAGTCTTCCGTAACGGACAAGTAGCCGGTTATGTCACCAACGCAGCCTTTGGGTACACTGTTCGCAAGCCCATTGCATACGCCTGGCTACCGAAGGATCTCAACGAGGGCGATTCGGTGGAGATTGAGTATTTCAGCCGCAAGATCACTGCTACTGTAGTGTCAGACCCGCTGTACGACCCACAAGGTCGCCGTCTGCATGACGATGGTCCATCGGAGAAGCCCGAGCTGCAAAAGCGATTGAAGGCACTGTTGTAGTAACGATGTTTTGTAAATAGTGACGAGCTCATGACTGGTAGGGCATTGCAAGGGCTGGCGTTTGGTGCTGGAGACGATAATTCTGTGCACGACCCTTCTTAAGGTCCAATTGAATCTCTTTCCTGCACTGCTTCATGATTTGGGTGACATGTGACTGAGCGGGAGTCTCGCGATCATGAAGGTGAAGCGCGACAGCAATGCGCTTTCCGTGGCTTTACTGACATACTCTCTATCGATATGGGTTGTTTCGGAAAGACCAGGTATACCCCGTGACCTGGACAGCGAACCAGCTCTATGCGTAGCTCTGATCAGAGGCTGCGTACAATAGCCAAGAGACTATCTTTTAGCGCCCTCATCAAGGTGAATCAGCTGCAACAAGGTGTGCACGTATGCGCACAAGAGATACTATGCTAGCTCCTGTATAGATCTATCTGACGTAGCCTTTTGCATAGTCCTGTCGAGTTTAGAGGTAGAAGACTATGTTTTGATGATGTTGGAGAATGGTTAGCTCGCATCACTCAGGTCACGGGGTGTACCTGGTCTTTCCGAAACGCCTACAAGCAGCTCGGGAAGCTGCGTTGATGTCATCCCCTTTCGCAGCTCCCATGTATGTCATCTCATCAACAACACTGCAGACTCTACCCATGAGCTTCTTTACTGCTGCAGTCAGACGCGCACCATTTCAATCACTTCGTTTACCGATTACAGGAGTGAGCTTTTTTCGTGTTTCACTTCCAAGAGACCATAAGCTAATCTCTTGCAGCTATCCATTTCACGCGCCATGCATATCCAATCAATTCCTATGTGTATGAGCACCTTGATGGAAAAACCCATTACCATCCCACGCTGACAGCCATGCAGGGGAGGGCACCGGCAACAACTATGCCTACCTCGTCTCAGACGATAAGACACGCGAAGCCGTGATCATCGACCCAGCACATCCGGAGGAGTACGTCTACTGCCACTCAGATGACCCTCGATGTGGACTCAATAACTAACTCCTAATGTCTACAGGGTTCTTCCTGTCCTTGAAAAGCAGACAAAAGCGGGTCTGAAACTAACAAAGATCATCAACACCCACCAGTGAGCATCTCCACTTCTTCCTCGACATTTCTCCTAACATGTCGGCAGCCATCATGACCATGCAGGAGGAAACAAAGAGATTGTAAGGCAGATACACCAACTATTCTGTGTGTCAGCTAACATATCGTAGCTCAAGCACCACAAGCTCCCGGTTATTGGCGGCCGCGACTGCACTCTAGTCAACAAGACTCCTACCCACAAAGAGACGTTCAACATTGGTTCCATCGAGGTCACTGCTCTTCACACACCATGTCACACACAAGACAGCATCTGCTTCTACTTCAAAGACGGGGACGACAAGGCTGTCTTCACTGGTGACACAATGTTCATTGGCGGCTGCGGCCGCTTCTTCGAAGGCACCGCCGAGGAAATGCACAAGGCACTAAACGAGACCCTGGCCGCTTTGCCAGACGACACAAAAGTGTACCCTGGCCACGAGTACACGAAGGGCAACGTCAAATTCGCAAAGACAGTAGCGAAGGACAACGAGGCAGTCAAGAAGCTTGACAGCTACTCTCAGGCGAACAAGGAGACACAAGGCAAATTCACCATTGGCGATGAGAAGGTACGTTTTCGCGATTCTTCCGGTCGACGTCAAGTCACAACTGACAAATCCAGAAACACAACGTCTTCATGCTCTACGCAGACCCCGAAATTCAGAAGGCTGTCGGGCAAACCGAGCCCGTCGAAGTCGTACGCACACTGCGCGCACTGAAGGACAAGTCGTAGGGCGACTACACGTGTAAAGGGGCCGGCATAGAGGTGTACCGGCGATCTCAAATGAAGAACTATCACTATTTCGATCAACATGCATTCGATGAACTCGTGCGCGCCAGAGACCTTGCCGACAACCGTGCTGCCGAACTAAAGTCACTCGAGACATCTTTTTACGCGCCACAAGTGTACCTCTATCGCACGACCGGCACCTTCTCGACCATGTTTGGTCAGGAGCGCGGCAATAAACCGGTGCTGGTTCACGAGAAGAGGGCATCTATTGATCTCAAGCTTGCGGAGCTGAGGGAGAAGTTCTGGCCGACTACGAAGGAGAACCGTGCGCTGGCAGAGGCGGGGGCGGCGAAGGCTAAAGAAGCTGAGATTCTTGCGAAGAAGAAGAGGACGAGGATCAGAACGTGGGGTCAGTCGGTTGGTGAATCGGTCATGGGGTTTTTTAAACATGGCCGCCTGCCAGAGAAGAAGAAGGTGAAGGAGCCATCGCCGTTCGCTAAACTTCTTTGAATGGGAGGAGTTTGATGGGTTCGGTGGATGGGCAGCAGCGGGACACGGTGGTACATGCCAGCAACGCGCACAGGTTCATTAATATGAATTTTTGTCAAATAGGCGTGGACATATATCGTGCGTGAGCCGTCATCGAATTGTACAAGCACGACCCGACATTAGACGCATTGATTTGGAGACGGTAACGTACAATTGCGAAGCGACAGGTCGCGTCATCTCTTCTGGTATCTTTGTCTACTTCTACATCATCACTATCCAACACAGCTCCGCCAGTTGACCTTGCCTCGCTTGATCCTCAAACCACGATCCTCTCAAAGCTGTACTTGGGCACCTTCTTACTGATGAGCATACCAATCTCGCGCTTACTCCTCTCCTCCCTCCGACCGCCCTTGCCCTGCTTCGTTTTCTCAATCCCCATATCGCCGCGCCCACCAAGCGGCAGCATGGGCAAGTCCTCGTCCTTGATGCCCGCAACAGCGAATGGCTTGTTCTGGTTCTCCAGACTCTTGTTACTGGGCTTCTGAGACTTGGGCGTATTCGCCGCATACCGCAAGAACTCCCCAAGTAAGCCGCGCATATACCGCGCTTCCCAGAATCCATTCAGCGCCTCCGAAGTGTCTGCGTGCAGCGCGTCGATGATGTCCTTGCCCTCGTCAGCGTCTGTAGGAGTGCCGACGGCCGCGAGCCAGGCCCCGGCGCCGATGGCATCGAGCGTGCTGGACAGCAGGGACGCGATGATGGTCACTGCGTGGTCGTCGGGGCTGTCGTCGGTGGAGGCTTCCGGATCGATGAAATCGTACTGCGAACTCCAGCCGCCGTTCTTGAGCTCGAAGTGCAGCAGCCGGATCAGGCTCTCGAGATCTCGGCGGGGCAGCACGGAGCGTAGTGTTGAGCTGATGAGGGGGGCGGGGAAAGTGTGCAGGCGGGTGAGCGCGGGGCGCAGGGTGTTGCTGCGGATGGAGACGCCGTTGGAGAGCACGGTGAGGGCGTGGTCGACTTCTGTTGTTGCCGCATCGAGTTCGACGTCGACGTCCATGTCGGAGTCTGCGGGGGCGGTGCCATTGGTGAGCAGCTTGGGCGTGTCTGAGGATGTGGAGGGCTTGTCGTCAAGAGACTGTGTGAGGAGGCGGATGGCTTCGACGACTTCGCCGATGGGGAGGAAGTGCTTGTGGTTTAGCACGGCGGAGAGGATGTGGAGCTCGGGGTCGAAAGCTACGATGGCTTTCACGATGTCGCCGTCGGTGATTTTGGGGACGGCGTGGGCGAACTCGGACGCTTCGTCTAGGAGGGCGCGGCGGATGGATTCTTTAGTCAGGTGGCCGATTTGTAGCAGCCACTGGAAGACGTTGGGAGGGAAGAAAGCGACCGTCAGTGTACTGCCCTCGAATCTGAAGATCTTGCTGAGCGCGTAGAGAGCATGTTGACGGTGCAGCTGTCGTTGCGACTCGGGGATGGCCGAAAGCAGGTTCCACTTCCGCAGTTGATCCTCGGAAGCCTCATCATCAGCCTTCTCAACAACCATAGCGTCCTCTTTTGGCAGGCTCGGGCCCACACCGTTGGTCAGAGGTCCGCCCTGTACCTCATTCTCCTGCTTGGCCTGTGTGTCTGTCTTCTTCTCCAGTGGTACACCCAGGCATGAAGCGAGAACACCTTCGAATTTAGCAATCTTGCTCTTTGAAGCGTAGCGGTCCAGCTTCTCCTTCCTGTCCAGCCACTTGGCCGATTCTGCGCCAGCCTTAGGCTTTGCAATACCCTTGCCGAGCGCGTCAATCAGTAGGGTGCCCTCGGTCTTGACCCGCTTGCGTGCGTTTGTGCCTCCGTACTGCATGCCGAGGAGCTCATCATCGCGTACGGCTACTACAAGACCGAGCTCGGCATAGTAGGCTACTAGTTGGGGTGTGGCTGATGTCCCGGCATCTGGCTGAGCGTGCTTCCGCTTCTTGGAAGCTGCGTCGTCCGATGCGGGAGACGTACCCAGTGTCAAGTAGGCTTGCAAAGAGTTGTACTTGACGTCAAACGCACGGCATGAGCCTGGCGCTGTTGTGAACACAACGTCCTGGGAAATGCGCAAGAACGAGTCGATCTTTGCTTCAGTGAGCAGAAGCTCAGAGTTGATCTTGGGTACAGTTCCTGACAGGTCGTATGAAATGATGCCACCGTCGACCAAAATGTGCAGCGCACCACTAGTGGCGTGAAGTGAATAGGTCGCGGTTGAGTCTGTGCGAAGTAGTATGCTTGAAGGCTTGGGCAGGCTGATCGAAAGCAGGTGCTTGAGCGGCTGTAGCTGGGTCGAGGGAAGATCCGCATTCCGAGGCTGCACCTGCAGAAGCTGCAAGATCCTGCTCCCGTTTGTGTTCTGGCCGATGACGCAGAGTATTTGGGTAAGCTCCAACAGATCGGAAGCTTCGTTGGATTCGGGGCTCAGTAGAGCTGCAATGTCTTCTCTGCTGCGCAACAGGCCTCGCGTTACATTACGGGCGATCGACAGTGTGATGTTCTCAATCTTGAAGTCGTTGCTCTTCTGCGAACCCGCTGATGTCAGATTCGCGACCCATCGGACAGTCGAGAGGTCTGCGGACAGACAGATGACATCTCCGTTGTCGAAGGTAGTAAGTACATCGTGTGTCGAATCCTTGCTCGAGCTAGCCCCTGCGACAGGGAGCGACTCGATCGTCGAGACCTGGGCGCCGTTCGAGGGTGTGTACGAGGTTTTCGCAGTCTCTGCATTGTCGCCGAAGATGGTCTCGTGGAAGCAGACTAGCTGTGACTTTGCTCCAGCGGTCGACTCGGTAACGGAAGCGTATGTGAAGCGCTGGGCGGCTGTCTTGGACGAGCCCTTTCGGTATGTCGAGTATGGGGCGGCTGTGAAGGAAGCGCTGGGCGGAAGCGCATATGAGGTGACGAGTTGAGGGTTTTGCAGCTGGTTTGAGGTTAGCTGGTGGCTTTCGCAGATGCAGGATCATAACATACACTGTAAATACTTATGCATTCGCCCTCGACACCAACAACAATTTCCGTGCGCTTCCTCTTTTTGATCCCACTGATGCTGCACACACCAGTTGCATGGATGCGCCCGTTGGTGGAGTTAACAGGCTTTGACAGCGAGGCCAAAGTAAATGGCGCGCCGATTTCCTTGTTGGACGACATTCCGTTAGCCAGGCCTTTTGTGTGCTGTGTGAGGTCTGCTCAAGTCGCTGCACCGGTCGCGTCTGCGGTCTTCGAAAAAGTTCAGCGGGTCGTTTTAGCGGTGGCTTGATCTGTGGCTTGCACTGTGGCTGGGCCGCGGCAAGAAAGTGGGCCCCCTGCAGCCACTTTAGCTCAAGGCGCGTCGCGTGCATCATTATGTCGCGTAGACGTGAGGCAGATCTGGAGGCATTCACATCACGCTTCCACGCTACCTCTCTCACTTCTGGACCCTGCAGATACCCCTTGCACGTATCTGTCTTTTTCTGTCTTTCCTGTCCATCTACTTCACTTCAAGCCATGTCGTCGTGATTTCAGCCCAAGTCAATGGCTCTTACTGCAGTGCATACTGCCATGCATCTTGAGGAACCCAAGAACGTGCATCCATTCTTCTCCAAGCCTCCCAGTATGCTCGTTGCATCGTACACCAGACTCTCATACTAACTGTTATTTAGAAACCCAGGCCCTAGAGCCAACTGCGAACGACGTTACCACGAATCATCATGATGCGAACGATGACCAGGACTATGACGTGCAGGACACCAGCCCAAAGGCTCCAAAGCCGCGAAAGAAGCGCACAAGGAGAACCGCGCACACAAAGAACCAGCCGTCACTGGACAGCTTTGCCCGGCGACCAGCTGTCCAGTCGAATGAGGCGGACGTGAAGGCCAGTGCAGATGAACTGGCAGGATCGTCGTTAGAAGAGGACTTGAATCTGGATCGAAGAAAACGAAGAAAGACAGTATCACCGGAGCCTACAACGGATGCAACAGATGCAGGTCGAATGGCTGCAGGACCGCCCTCAGATCTGTACCAGCAATTGCACGCTGAAGCTGGACTGACAGGGACACGAGAGGTCATAGACGATATCATGGTCGATACACATACACTGGTTACAAGTACACCAAAGGGCGAAGCACTGGGGTCCTCACCACCTATCGCCGAGGACGCCCCAGAAGATACTGTCCCGGAATCATCGTTCCCACAAGCAGCTAAGCCTACATCACGGTCCGTCACACCACCGAATGCTGGCGAACGCGTCGCAGAGACCGGCAACGAGAACGTCCCTTCAGAGGCTACCGGAAGTACGGCTGCCAAAATCACCCCGAAGAAGCAGATCAAAGTCACAAAGACCGGCAAGCTGGTATCGAGTCCCCCGAACAAGCCTGACCCACCGACTTCAACAACACCGAAGCGAAGGGGTCGCCCCCGAAAAGCCGCTAAGAACAACAGTCTCTCTTCCACAGTCACGATCATTCGATACGGTTCAGACAATGCGTCCAGGCTGGCTATTGGACAAAAGATCGGTGCGATCCTCAGTGGTGGCAAGTCATCTGAGAAGCATGTGTCGGTTGTCCCCCCTAAGCCTGCTGGACCGCCCAAGGCCCCTCATCCGTTCTTTGCGGGCAAGGCTGGTCAGAAGAAGGTAGAAGCGCTCACAAAGCCGGAACCCGAGCGTCGCACTGTGACCCCCAGGAAGAGTGCGTGTACGCCGGGCAAGCTGAGAGCGGAGAGACGCAAGGAGCAGGATGATGAAGGTACGCCAGCCTTCGGGACGACATCAAGGAACAGTCGATTAGCTAAGCAGTCGGGGCTGAACGAACCCTCCTGGCCTTCACAGGAGACTGCGCATGTCCGGAATCTCGACAACGAAGCCAGAAATGAGCCATTACCACAGCCGCCGGGCACAGGCTTGACGTTGAGGCCTGCAAAGCTGAAGAGCAATGTGTACACACTGTCCGCTGAGGAGGAAATCATCACGAGATTGGTCGGCCAATTGCCAAAGGACGTGACAATTGGATCAGACCCGACCAACCAGGAGTTCGCACCACCGGAGGACGTGCGTTTACCAACACGCTTGCTGACCACAGGAATCGACATCCAACACAAGGTGCGCGCCCAGATCCGGGCACCGATCGAGACATTGGCACAGCGACTCTATGCCAAAACACACCCAGCCATCACCACGCTGTTTGATGAGATCGAGCACACACTTACACCCTTCGACGAAGGCAGATGTGAGCCTCAGGCGTGGGCACAAAAGTACAGACCCGGGCGGGCAGACCATGTACTACAATCGGGCACAGAAGCATTTGCACTCAAAGACTGGCTGAGAAGCTTAACAGTCATGGCTGTAGGTGCCGCACAAGATCCTTCGAAGACTAGTGCTCCGCTAGACATGAAGAAGCCACCTAAGAAGAAGCGGAAAACGGCAGCGGATGATTTCATTGTCTTTTCGGACGAAGAGGATGAAGACGAGGAAATGATTGAGCTCGATCCGAACCACGCCGCCCCAGGTCAATACCCTTCCCTGATACGGCCGCAATGGACAAGAAACAAGAACGTGGTCCTTCTCAGCGGGCCTCATGGGTGTGGCAAGAGCGCTACAGTATACGCCGTGGCAAAAGAGCTGGACTTCGAAGTCTTTGAGCTTCACTCTGGTATTCGACGCTCTGGCAAGGATATCCAGGACAAAGTTGGTGATATGACCGCCAACCACCTGGTAAATCATCAACGAGGGGACTTGCCCGCTAAGCCGAAGCCCGCTCCCGTTGTCGCGGATAATGACACAGACAATGAGCGCGACAAAGCATTCCAGAAAGATCTCGACAGCGGAAGGCAAGGTACCATGACTTCGTTCTTTACAGCAAAGCCTGCCACGAAGCCAAAGCCCAAGCCGAAAGTTCAGGTTGCAATGAAGTCTCCTGCAAAGACTAGGACAATTCCAGCCGCTCAAGCCATGTTGCCGATTGCAGGCGCCTCGCGCAAGTCACAGAAACAGTCGCTCATTCTCATCGAAGAGGCGGATGTTCTGTTCGAAGAGGATCAGAACTTCTGGGCGCAAATCATCAAGCTTGCTGCACAGTCCAAGCGACCCATCGTCATTACCTGTAACAACGAGTTACAGATACCTACACAAGCATTACCAATGGCGGCTATACTGCGTCTCACCCCACCTACTGTTGACCTCACGACGGACTATCTAGTTGCACTAGCAGGCAGAGAGGGACACATACTGCAGAGACAAGCCATTAGTGATCTCTACAACTCGAAGGGGCACGATCTTCGAGCCAGTATCACAGAGCTGAACTTCTGGTGCCAGATGTCTGTCGGCGACAAGAAGGGCGGGCTGGAGTGGATGTACCAACGTTGGCCGCCTGGCAAAGACGTCGATGCCAATGGTCGCTTGCTCAGAGTCGCGAGCGAGAATACCTACCAGTCTGGTATGGGTTGGCTGTCGCACAACGTGTTTGAGACCAAGAGCAACGTTGTGTTCGACAAGGAAGAAGAGCTACTGGCGGAAGTCTGGAATGACTGGGGCATTAGCCCGATTTCCTGGAGTGCAGAAAACGAGCCCATCAACAAGTCGATGGAGCCCGATAAAGACGCTCGATCTACAAGTCTCGACGAACTCGACCGCCTAGTAGCTTTCTCCGACGCTCTCAGCGCCTCAGACATATACTCTCGCATCGATCTTCCCTCATACGACGCCATACACGACCAACCCATGGATCCCACTCTCCCCTCAATAACCGGAAAAGAACGTCTGAGCTACACCATCGACGCGCCTCTCCTTCAAGTGGACCCTCTCACAGACTTCCTCAATCTCGACACAGCCCTCGCCACACAGACACATATCCTCGCAGCTCGCTTGTTTCCAGATCTTGCTGCCCATCACCCGCCAGCCGACCCTCAGTCCACAACCCTCGAATCGACATTTACGCAACAAATCCTGACTCACAAATCGCACCGTGCCACCCATCGCCCCCTACCCCGCTCATCCTTCTCATCCGCCCTCGACACCCTCGCCACCCCTCCCTCGCCATTCAACACCTACCCGGACCCCGCAATCGACCACCGCTCCTCGTACAACCTGATCTTCTCATCTTTGGATCGCCCTTTCGCGCTCATCACACTGGATATCGCACCATACGTTCGCGCTATCGTGGCCCATGAACAGGTCCTCGAAGCCTCACGCATCAGACTGGGGAATCTGCTGAGTGAAGGCGGGAGAGCGAAGCGGGGGCGGACGACGAGGGCAAGTCGTACGGCGATGGGGGATGGGGAGCGGGGGAGCAAGAGGAGGGAGCGGTGGTTCCCTAAAGACCTCAACTTCGACTTGGTCATGCAGACTGCTGGAGAGAAATGGGCGGGGATGGGCTGGAAGGGCGAAGGTGCTGAGGAAGGGAGTGTGACTGGCAGCGCAACAGGGACACAGCAGAGCGAGAGCTTGGCGGGGACGCAGAGGAGTGGTGACGATGGGGAGGGTGTGGAGATGGTGGTCGATGCTGAAGGAAACTGAGGCAAGCAGATATACACGAGCCCGAGCTTTGATGAATGTAAGATTGATATGAATGAGGCTAAGCGCGTGACCGGCGTACACTATCCGGGTATTGCTGTTGCATATATACATTATGTACTGAGGTGCTGAAGCGGAGTGAGGAAGTAGACACATGTACGAACGAGACAGTTCATAAATTCATAGTACTCATGTCTAGATTATGTAACCCCAATCTAAGCCCGGTCTATATTCATGACTCCAAGCGCCCAGTCTAGGCTGAAGCGGTTCCATACGGCACGGCCTGCGCGCTCGTAATGTCTATGTACCCATAGTTCTGAACCTTGCTATCATTCGCCATCTTCTCGCCCCACGTCCCCATATCCTTTATGAACGCGTCCAAGTTCTCCTTCTGGCTCAAGTCAATCGGCTCCTGATCCTTGCCAACTTGGCGCATCTGCGTGCCGGCCGCGACGTTGGTAAGGCCGAAGTTGTTGTCGTCGATGGCCTGCTTGATCGCGCCCGTCACCTTGCCCTCCAGGATGTCCTTGCACAGATGCGGTTCCTGCGCGAGCGGGCGTGCGAGACCCACGCCGTCAACGACATCGAGCGCCTTGACCATTGCGCCGACGGACTTGAAGCCGCCGGTGATGTATGTCTTTGTCTTGGAGAGAACGGGAGCGATGGACTCGGCAAATTCGAGGAAGAAGCCCTCGCGTTGCTTGGTCGACTCGCGCTGGTGCCCGAACGCGAGCTTCTCGTATGTGCCGCCGGACAGCTCGACGAAGTCGAATTTGTTGTCCTCGAGGATCTTGCAGATCTGTTTCGCTTCCTCGGGGTTGAAGCCCTTGTCCTGGAACTCGACAGAGTTGAGCTTGATACCTACGACGAAGTTGCTCGAGACACGCTTGCGGATCGCGTCGGTGATTTCGACGATGATGCGCGCGCGGTTCTCGATCGAGCCGCCGTACTTGTCGGTGCGCTGGTTGGTGGTGGGGGAGAGGAATTGGGCGAGCAGGTAGCCGTGGGCGCCGTGGAGTTCGATGCCGTCGTAGCCGGCCTTCTCGAGGTACTCAGCTGCGTGGGCAAAGCCCTCGGTGATGTTGGCGATGTCCTCGTCGGTGGCAGCGTGGGGCTTCTCGAAGGTCATGCCCATGATGTTGCCCTCGAGCTGGACGTCGCTGGCGGAAACGGGGTTCTTCTGGATTCGCGACTCGACCTGGCGTCCTGGGTGGGAGACTTGGCCAACGAATAGCGAGCCGTGCTTCTTAGCCTCTGTTGCCATCTCCTTGAACGCCTCGAAGCGCTCTCCGGAGAACTCGGACTTGCGGGGGATGATGGGGTTACCGGCAGCCTCGAGGTGGTCGTACTCGATCATAATGTTGCCGGAAAGGATGAGGCCAATGCCGCCCTCGCCCCATCTTCTGTACAAATTGATGAGGTTCTTGGAAGGTACACCGCGAGCCTCAAGATTCTCGGGATCCCAGCTGGAGATGCGCTCAGTCATGGCTCCCTTGAGGAAGCGGTTGGGCGCTGTCTGTCCAGAGAACTCGAACTTGAGAGACTTGCCCAAGGGGGAAGCATCCTTGGAGTCGGATTCGTATCTCGCTGCTGGTGCCATGTTGACGTGGAGTTGTATTCGTGAAGTGGTCGTTATAACGAAATAGTCTAATGGGTATCTTGAATCAAAAGCAGAGATTGAGCGTGTGAACGAAACTTAATTGGTAGACATGAGTGCCGGATGGCTTCCTTTAACATCTTTTGCACAATTGCATCTTACAAATCAACGACAGTGGCCGTCAGTTCCCGAGGCTTCGACGTGTTGCGGGCTAAAAGTCAAGACGACGTCATGGTCAACCCACAGATTTCCCTTTCAAGGGTCTTCACCGCTGTGACACCGGTGGTCAACGGAGTCGAGACCGTTGCTGGAAAGTTGATCTCGGCGAGATTGTACGTGCGCCGGCAATCGAGTGTAGCATCATCTGCCGTTGTAAGGCTGGCTTGGTCGGGATTGTGGGGTGCTCCCGGCCCGGTTGTTCGCCGTTTTCCCTGTGTGAGATGGGTGTCCTGAACCTAGAGGTCGGTTTGAACCTGAGTATCTGAGGGTTCTCGTACAAAGTTAGTTTATCACAGTATGAGATGGTGGAGAAATTTGTTTGGAAGTGCGGTCGAAGTAAGCAGCTGCAGGGACAATAAAGTGCGACCCTGAGGTTGAAGAAGCGCGTGCACGGACAAAGACCCACCTAGCACTGCAAGCCATGGCATGCCGCTAGGAGCAGCCTTGCACCAACAGCCATTTCAGACCTGAACACCACCACATCTCAATAAGTTTCGACAATGATGAGAATGAAGAGTGAGTGTGTCTGCTAGACATGAGGTTGCAGCTACCAGATGGCTGGTCGCCCTACCCCGCCATATACTCCTCATCTGGTGACGTCGACGTTGTAACCATGTAACAACAAGAACTTGGCGAAAGGTTATTCCCTTCGCCTCTTGACCGAATCATTCACTCTCATATACATCATGTTGGTTCTCTGCTTTGTCTTCTGCCTTCTTTTTTACGGTCAAAAAGCGCATTCAGCGTCCGAACACGCCAGTCAAGACCATGGTTCTGATATCCTCGACTTCATTGACCCCCTGGTCGGAAGCAGAAGCGGTGGAAATGTCTTCGCTGGTGCGACTTTGCCATACGGCATGGCAAAAGGTTTGCGCCGAGTCACACAGCCTGTTGCTGTATACCACTAACAGGTGTCTTAGCTGTTGCCGATGTAGATGGTGGGAACACTGGAGGTTTCTCCACCGATGGAAGCAACATCACGGGATTTTCGGCTCTTCATGATTCTGGGACCGGAGGCAATCCGAGCTTGGGCAACTTTCCCATCTTTCCTCAGGTCTGCCCGGAAGACGACATCAATTCGTGCAAGTTTCCAATAGCAGCGCGGGCTATGCCGTACAAGAATGAGTCCGTGAAAGCGCGACCTGGCTACTTTGGAGTAGAATTGGAGAATGGCATTCATGCTGACATGACCGTTGCTGAACACACTGCACTGTTCCGCTTTGACTTCTCCCGGGCTTTCTCCGCGAATGGGAGTGGAAATCCGCTGATCATGCTAGACCTTACCGATTTGTGGGCAAGCAGACAGAACGCGTCGATCAGTATTGAAGCCAATGACGGTGAAGAAGCTGGACGGATAAAAGGCAACGGCACGTTTCTGCCAAGTTTCGGCGCCGGGTCCTATCAAGCATACTTCTGTCTCGATGTCGCAGGGGGTAGGATCAAAGACTCAGGAGTATGGGTGAACGATCGAGCCGGTACCGGACCCAAGCAGCTTTATGTCACAAGGGGCTTCAATCTGTTCTACCTTCAAGCGGGCGGCTATCTCCGCTTCAAGGGACCACTCAATGGGACTATCAATGCGCGAATGGGACTTAGTTTTATCAGCACAGAACAGGCGTGTCAAAACGCCGAGAACGAGATACCTGGTCCAAATTTCGACTTTGAAAGACTGGTCACCAGAGCTGAGGGTGCATGGCGTGCGAAACTCGCTCCAATAGCAACTTCGACAGGCGATGTTGACGCCAGCTTCCAGACTAGCTTTTGGAGCGCAATCTACCGCACCATGATCTCTCCTCAGGACTATACTGGCGAGAACCCTCATTGGCAAAGCACAGAACCATACTTCGACTCCTTTTACTGCATCTGGGACATGTGGCGTGTGCAGCTTCCGTTCCTCACCATCCTCGACCCAAAAATGATGTCAAACATGATCCGCAGTCTACTAGACACGTACAGGCATCGCGGTTGGCTCCCGGACTGCATGATGAGCACTTGCAAAGGCTGGACACAAGGCGGCTCGGACGCAGACAACGTCATTGTAGATGCGTACGTCAAGAACCTGACCGGTATCGACTGGGAACTCGCATACTCCGCGATCCTCAACGATGCCGAAAATGAGCCGCTGGAATGGAGCATCGAAGGCCGCGGCGGCCTCAACTCTTGGAAAACACTGCACTATATCCCGTATCTGGATTTCGACCCCGTGGGCTTCGGCACGAACTCGCGCAGTATTTCAAGAACGTTGGAGTACAGCTACAACGACTTTAACCTCGCTAAGCTGGCCAAAGGACTCGGTAAAGATACATACACGACCTACCTTTCGCGCTCCACAAACTGGCAAAACCTCTTCCAACCCTCGCAAACCTCCTTCATAAACGGCACAAACACAAACTTCATAGGTTTCTTCCAGCCCAAATACCAAAACGGGACATGGGGCTATCAGGACCCGATTGCATGCAGTCCGCTCACAGACTTCTGCAGCTTGACATCCAACCCCTCCGAGACTTTCGAAAGCAGTGCCTGGGAATACATGTTCTTCGTGCCCCACGATATCGGGCGGGTGATTGAGCTGCTAGGCGGCGATGACACGTTTCTGAGACGATTGGACTATTTCCATACTTCTGGGCTGGCGGATATAGGCAACGAGCCCGTCTTCCTCACAGTATACATGCCGCATTATGCGGGGAGACCGGGGCTGTCGGCACGACGTGTGCATTCGTGTACGTCTTCCCAATATTCATATGCACACGAAACCTTTCCTTTCCTTTCCGATGATGACGATGACGACTACGATGATAACTGGGCAACAGACATACCCTCCCGCTTCAACACCTCTTCCTCCGGCCTCCCCGGCAACGACGACTCAGGCGCCATGGCGTCCTTCACGTTATTCAGCATGCTCGGTCTCTTCCCTAATCCGGGACAGAATGTGTACTTCATCACGCCTCCGTTCTTTCCTGAGATCAGCGTGACGAACCAACTCACTAACATGACTGCGACGATTCGCAGTGTTAATTTTGACAAGGCGTACAAGAACATATATGTGCAGAGTGCGAAGTTGAACGGGGAGGTGTACACGCGGAGCTGGATCGGGCACGAGTTCTTCACACAGGGGTGGACGCTGGAGCTTGTGCTCGGAGACAGGGAGAGTGAGTGGGGGACCAGAGGGGAGGACAGGCCGCCTAGTATGTCGACGGGGGGTGAGGGGATGGAATGGTGATGTCGAAGAGCTGGTGAAGCAGGGCTGTAGATACACCACAGGAAGGTTCAGAAGAAAGTGGGTAGCTGAGCAAGATCGAATAATGGGGGGTTTCAAAGAGTCTGCCAGGAAACGTTTGGTAGAAATTCATGTCTCATTGCAGCCACAAAGGACGGGTATCTAGATTCTTGCAGCATAGTGCTCGTTGGGCTGCCCTCAAGCACGGTCTGCCGGTGGCGTGAAGTATTTTCTGTCTTCCATCTCACCCACTGCTTCACAACAGCTCATCCTCTTCCACAGGCGCAGCAACACTCGTCGGCGCCTTATCGTCACCCAGCTCCCCTTGACTCTTGGCCGCGCCCTCTTTCGCAGCCTCACCCATCTCCTCCTCACCGCCCCACGCACGCACCCTCTCCCTCTCCTCCCTCTCCTCCGCCAGCGCCGCAAAAGCGCTCTTCTGCCGCCCCTTGCTGTCGCCGTTGATATCATCCCATACCTTCGCCCTGTCCTTGATCGACGCAGCTTTCTGTATGCTCTTCGCTTTCTTCAGCTCCCACTTGTCCATATCGTCTGCGGCGCGCTCCATAGCTTTCTGTGCGCGGACACGCTGTGCGCGCTTGAGGCTGCCGCCTTTCTTTTTGGAGATGCCGGCGTTTTGCGCGGAGAGGACGTGGTGCTTTGCTTCTGAGGGTCGCGAGGGCGAGGGCGAGTCTCGTGTCGCGGGTTTGAGGTCTTTGGACAGGTTGATGGAGGGTGAGGCGGCGCGGCGGGCGGCGCGGGAGTGCGGCGCGACCTCTGCTGGAGCGGTTAGCCGTTGCTTGAGGGTGTTGCTGTGGGGAGGGTTGCATACGCTTCTTCTTGAGCTTTGCCGTCTTTGCCATTGTGAATGTGGGTAGAGTGTGGGTAGAGTGTGGGTAGAATGTGGGTAGAATGTGGGTAAGATGCAGCTGTGTCGCGGGTCTCGGAGCGGCAGAGTGGTGTTTGTGTGAGGTTCCAGAAAGATTCCGCGTGTAAGAGTGTGGTCAAATCGTGAGAGGGAAGTGAAGAGCGAATGGCTGCTGTGCGGACGGCCCCTCCAGGATATTCACTCGAAACTTTAATGTGGGGCGTCATAGGGCTGCGGGAGTCCCACTTGGCCGAACCCTCAAGACCACCATCACAAGCTTTGCGCCCAACGCTCACTCCCGCCCGCCGCCACCGCCCTCGCTGTCTCACGCGTAGCAACTGGCCCTTCCTTCATGTTGGAAGCAGACGCATCGCCCTCGTGTTTGCTTGGTCTCATGCGCTGGCCTGAGGGTTGAGCCACGGTTCCATCGTCTCGTTCCTTCGCATTCTATCCCTTACAAATACTGGAGCCCTACTCCACCACCCATCCTTAGCACGCGCTGCTAGCACAAAGGCAATGAGCCACGGCGACTACCTCTCGTTTGAAGAATTCAACCGGCGCTCGGCCACACCAGACAGCCACACCACACCCGCTGCCGTTGGAATCGCTGTCGTCGCAGGCATCGCAACCCTCTTCAAGTTCCTCGACTTCCTCGGGTACCCGGTCTGGTTCTGGATAGGCCAGTTCGCGCACAAGATGGCTCTTGGCATCGTGCGCGCGGTGTCGCCTGCTCCGTCTCTCGGCTCCGAGGCCAGCGACGACACGATGCAGAGCGGAGGCATGATGGGGAACCTGTTCGGCATGGGCGCCAGTGCTCTGTCCAAGGGCGTGCGAGGAGTTGCAAGCGCTCTGTCCAGAGCTCCCAGCGACTTGCCGCCGGGCCTGGGCAACTACGACAACTCCTGCTACCAGAACAGCGTCATCCAGGGCCTCGCCTCCCTGCCCTCGCTGCGCGCCTACCTTACGAACACTACGACCGAACACGAGTCGCTTACCGCCGATACCACCAACGGCGCGCTGCTCGACATGATCAGCCAGCTCAACGACCCCGAGAAGCGCGGACAGCACTTTTGGATCCGCGGGAAGCTGAAGTCCATGAGCACATTCACACAGCAAGACGCGCAGGAGTACTATTCGCGGGTCCTGGATGAGCTGGACAAGGAGATCAAGAAGGCGGCACGCAGTAAGAGGCGCTCATCTGTCTCCTGGACAGAGGCTGCAAAGAGCTTGAGCTTACCAGAAGCAGGTGACAAGGAAAAGGAGAGTGCGGAGGAGAAGGAAGAGGAGAAGGAAGAGGAGAAGCGCGAAGCAACAGAACAACCGAATGCCGCGCCGATCCCGCTGGAAGGCTCGCTGGCCCAGCGTGTAGGCTGTACGACCTGCGGCTACGCGGAGGGCCTCTCGCTCATCCCGTTCAACTGCATCACGGTGTCGCTCGGTAGGAACCGATCCGGCTACGACGTTCGCGAACTGCTCGACGATCACACAGATCTCGAATACATCGACGGAGTCGAATGCTCCAAGTGCACTCTCTTGAAGCTGAAGAGCACGCTCGCGCCACTGGCAGCCACCAAGGGACCGGATTCACCATTCGCTGCAAGACTGCTGGCCGTGCAGGAAGCCCTCGACGATGAGGACCTTAAAGACACGACTCTGACCAAAACTTTCAACATTCCCAAGAAGAACTGGGTCAAGAGCGAGAAGTCGAAACAAGTGGTCATTGCACGCGCGCCGAAGTCGCTCGTCCTCCACGTCAATCGAAGTATCTTCGACGAGACCACCTTTGCGCAATACAAGAACAACGCCGGCGTATCGTACCCATCGACGCTGGATCTAGGCAAATGGTGTCTAGGGACTCAGCCAAGCGGCTCGCAAAAACCTGATCTGGACCCCAAGACTGAAGAGTGGCCCCGGGACCCCAAGACATCTATGCTTGTGGGCGCAGACGTCACTACGCCATCGCCCTTCCAGTACAAGCTGCGAGCTGCTGTCACTCATTTCGGTACACACGGCAACGGCCACTACGTCTGCTATCGACCGCACCCCAGGCCGGTCCGCAAGGCAGAAAAGGAAGACAATGACACGGAAGAGAAAGAGGACCGAGAAGAAAAAACCGAGAAAGCGAATGAAGAAGACGAAGCAGAAGAGGAGGAGGGGGAGGATGAAGAACCAACACTAAGTTCAGAGCAATGGTACCGCTTCAGCGACGACACCGTTTACGCCGTGTCCGAAGCCGAAGCCCACCAGGGCAACGTCTTCATGCTTTTCTACGAGCGAATCGACGACTCCACACCACTCGAAGCCGCAAATACGGCAACAGAGACACTCGCTGTCCTCAAAGACGCGCCACTGTCGCCAACCAATGCTTCCACGCCCCTCGAACCCGTTGAAGTAGCAGTGGAGGTTCCGCTCTCAAGCGACGATGACGACGACGACGACGTCATCGACTTCACCCCATCAGAACCTCCAGCAGCACACCCCGCACCACCTATCATCGCATCCGATAAAGCGACAGCAGACGACACAGAAGCCACCGAAGCCAGCGAGACAGAACTCGAATCTGAAGCTGAGGCGCCACCAACACCTCCAACACCCACACTTCCCAAACTCTCACCGCACACAATGCGCACAGCAGGCAACGCTTCATCCAGAAATCAAGGTAGCAGGGCGAGTTTGCCGCTTGTGAGCGCGACATAGAGCTCCGTAGGGAGGAAGAGGAAGAGGAAGCAGATACCTCGCGTCAGGAGGGAAGCGAGGGCGCGTTGGTGTCTGGCGAGATTTTACATGGTTTACATTTTACACGGGGCACTTTGCTTGGGCGTCTTCAATATACCTGTTGGCCGATGAGGATCAGGATCAGGATGGCGTTCTGGGGTAAAAGTAAGCTTTTGGCGCATGAGTAATTGCGTAGTGGTATGAATATAACGTCCGTCCCTACGTGCCGGGACGCACGGAGTAACGGGACAGGTTTGCACTCCGGACCTTCGCCATCGCTTGTTCGTACGTTTACAGACCTGTAGTTGACAATGTAACGTCCTTCAATCATCTCTTCACCAGCGCATCAGCCTCCGGCGACAATTGCTGCCATTTTAGCCCTGCTGCCGATCGTTGTGTCAACGCCGTCAATCGACCCTTGGTCGATACCCCCCCCCCCCCCTGTCTATTCGCCACCTGAGGAATCTCAGTAAGACTCGGATGGTCTGAGAGGAAGCGAAGTTGTGGAAGATTGTACCCCTGGGCCCTAGAAGCTGTCTGCCTAAAGGAGTGTACAGTCCGGCAGTTTCGCCGGTCGGGAGCGAAGATCTCACAGAGCGATCTTACCTACAGCAGAACAATCACCAAGAATAGCTGTGGCGCAAGCTGGTAGCTTTCCAAAAGCATTCACGACCGCGTGCCGATGTGTGGTATTCACGCGCGCCCCAGTCTGGTTTCCCCACCTCTCCTGCATGCCTTTCTATGCTGCGCACAGCACCGAAAACAGCAAGAGCATAAAACACAGGGTTCATTGATAATGACTCGGCGTTAGTTATTTCCCCAGAACGCTGCAAGCTATGCTATGATATGCAACTTGTGTGCTCATGTGCATCCCTATAGGCACTGAAAAGCAGAGTGTAAAAGAGTCAATGTACAGCAGGGGGCGATCAGCTTTTGTCTACGCTTTGCTAAGAACACATGTCGGTGTCTGGGTCAACACTGCAGGTCCACACTCTGCCAGACCCCACGCCCATACCGACTGTGTTCCCGCACACTGCAGAGCATGACGGTCGATACTCTGATGGTATCCACAACACGTTTCTGCCGTCATACTTGATCCACATGCAATCGGAGCTGAGGCTTGTGCCTAGATACAGAGGGGGTTCAGATTCCACGACAGCTACCTCGCTAGAAGTTCCCGGGCTGTGTATGGCAATGCGACCTATCTCGGAATGAAGAAAGGAGCTGGTGGAATCGAAGGATAGGCTGTAAAGAGGCCTGCCGATGTTGAGCGTCTGCAGACACGTCCCGCTGCTCGCATCCCACACCTTGACGGTCTTGTCGTGTGACGCCGACGCCAGCTTGGTCGAGTCGTGCGAGAAGGCTACAGAGCTGACAAGATCGCTATGGCCCTCGAGCGTCTGCAGACATGCCCCGCTGCTCGCATCCCACACCTTGACGGTGTTGTCGTATGACGCCGACGCCAGCTTGGTCGAGTCGTGCGAGAAGGCTACAGACCTGACCCAATCGCTATGGCCCTCGAGCGTCTGCAGACACGCCCCGCTGCTCGCATCCCACACCTTGACGGTGTTGTCGTATGACGCCGACGCCAGCTTGGTCGAGTCGTGCGAGAAGGCTACAGAGCTGACAGCACTGCTATGGCCCTCGAGCGTCTGCAGACAAGCACTCCAGCCGTCGCTCATCGCTGGCTTAATAGTGATCCCGTTTGGCTCTTTGTGCTGGAACAGCCTTCTAGTCACGCTCCCTGTCGGACTGAAAAGCAGCGCAGATGCATATGTTTGCAGAGGGTAATTCTCAATTACCCCTTTGTGGTACATGATGAATCGGCTAGCATCTTGAACAAGCCTGGTAAGCTTATCGTAATCCTGCATCTCCTGGAAGATTTAGCATGCATAACAAGTGGACTATACAATCGTGTTATCTTTGCATGTCTTACCTGAACTAGAGACCATAGTTTCGCCATCGAAACCACCCCTTTTCCTATACTTCTGCACAGACTGAGCCCTTCTAGCCAATAGAGATACTTCTTCCTTATAAACTCATTAATGACGTCTGTGACTTTCAGGTCACTAACACCGTGTGCCCAAGACTTAGGCTTCGAGTCGTACAGATGATCGATCCAGTAAACGCACGAGTAGCGCATAGTTGCTAGCGGATCAGGATTGGGTGTTTCAGCCTCATCGATCGAGAAGCCTGGCTCACCTAGACTATACATATCACGTTCTAGTGTGCTGGACATGAGCTCGAGTGACTGAGCAAATAGGTGATAGTGCATCTCGTCCTGAGACGGAAGGGCTGCAGCTCGCATCTTGTCGCTTAGATAGTCCGTGGCTGACTGGTGAACGAGATAGACTTGCTCGTCACGAATAGTCAGGAACGAACCACACATGGCTACAATCTTTCTTACAGTCTCCGCCAAGACTGTAGCTCGGCCTGTCAATTTACGCAAGCTGCCTATCTCCACAAGATAGAGCGGGCGGTATGCGGTCGCTGCAGTGCAGAGTAGAGACCGACAGATATCCGCATTCCTTGGCGACAGCCGCTGGATCTGGCCCATCATGCGATCGTACAGCTGGGGCAGGCCCGCTGGCGCTTCCTCTACTACCGCTAAAGGGTCCCAGCTTTCCGGCTTCTCAAGCTCTTGCATCATCAGAGCAACCCATAGAAAGGTGCCGTTCGCCTTGCGGCGCAGCTCATCTCGCACCTGCTCGCGCAGACCATCCCCTTCGAGCGACTCGAGGCAAGACAGCCTGTGGTCGATATATGCATCCACAGCTCGAGCTACCTGCTCCGCGTTTTGCTTTAGCTCCAGGCTCAGCTTCGCTTCGTTGTCGACCGACTTGAGCTTCTGCTCTATGTGACCCTCGTTCCGACTTGACACAAGCCACTTTACACGAGATGACAACGCCGCGGTACGGACGATCAGGTCTAGCAGCTGTGGCAGGTCCACCACGCATTCATCGAGAGCATCAACAACTAGACAGCTTGCCTTCAAGCCCACATCCTGCACCATGCTTGTGAAGACTTCGGACAAGGCTACCCAGGCGTTGGCGTCTTGGAAGAGAGAACCACCCGCTTGATCGTATCTCGTCCGCAGGTGTGACGTCAGCCGCGGTTGCTGCTTAACGAGCAGGTAGATCAAGCCGCGCAACACAGCCGTGGCGCTGTTGATGCGCGAGTTAGTGGCCTGGCAGAAAAAGTAGGATACAGACGCGGTGTTAGCGACCGTCTTGTGCAGCTCGTTGATAATGCCACAGAGCAGCATCGTCTTGCCCTTGCCGGGATCGCCTTTGATCCACAGCAGCCGGCTCTGTGGGTCGGTGTGCCATTGCTGGAAACTGCTGTTGTCAAGCACCCAGCGGTACGAGCCCTCCAACAAGCCGCCCTTTGTGTCCTCAATGCGCTTCTTGTCGTTGCGGGGATCGGTAGGACGTAAGTCACGAAGGCACTCCTCTTGCTTCCGGAGGTTCTCTTCCCGGCTTTGAATCTTGTCATGAAGCCGTCTAAATGCTTGCTCTGTGCCTTCACCATAGACGGGCGCCATGTCGACGTCAAAGATGCCAGACAAACAATACGCTGCGTCCTCTTTGAGCTTCGTGTCCCGACTTTGTCTCCACCGGAACCGCTCGTCGACGCTAGACTGAGAGAGCGGGGCCCCTTCGAGCACTTTATGTGGGATAGTTGTAATTTCGTGGATCTGAGACTTCAGCGATACCCTGTTACCCAGCTTGTGCCACTCGCATGAGAAGAACTCGAGAACGCCAGGTGCGAGAAGCTCCTGCAGCGTCCAGCCCCGCGTGAACCACTTGCTGTTTCGGAAATTCAAGTCCCATAGGGGCACACCCGCCTTTTCTTCCGGTTCAAGAGGTGGAGCGGACACGTCTGACAAGTAGACGTAGCATTTCGCTGCGCTTCGGTACCAGGAGAACATGGACTGTATAGCCAGCGAATGCTCAGCCTTGTTTGCCTTGTTGATGCAGCAGGTGTCGATCCAGAAGTACTGCAAGCCGTCGCGCTTTGCCTGCTCTTCACAGAGCTTAATCTTCTTGTAGCCAGGCTTGTCCTTGCCAGCGTTCTTCGCTAGGTCTTCGAAGGTGACCTCATCCGCCTCGGCACCCCAGGTATGAGAGAGGATCGCATAAGGAGGTATTGCGTCTTCGTCAACTATGTCAGGGGTGACTCTGAGCTCTCCATCGTCTTGATACTCTAAGAGCCGCATTGAGATGCGCAAATGTGTCGTAAGTGTACGCGACAACGGCGAGGATTAGGGGAAACTTTAGGCGATGGCCTGGGGACGAGAGAGTGCTGCCATTAGTTTCCCTGTTACGTTCAAGGTCAGCAAGTAAACACGGGGGCAGAAGGCTGTACAGCACCAAAAGATCTTGAAGAGAAATGGCAACTCGCTGTAGCGTTGCGAGGCGAGGCTGATGTTGTTTGCCATGTTCCTGTTGGGTAAAGGATGAGAGGAGATGGCCTGAAACGGGGCAGGCGCGGCCAGGCGCAAGGCTGAACAACGGCCAAACTGGTGGCTGCCTGAACGTCGAGGAGCGGAGAGCTGACCCGCGCGCTATCTGAGAAGCGGGGCACGGCATGTGGCTGTGAAGCTAGCTTGCGCCACAGCATCTCTCAGCGGCCGATCTGCTGTGGGTATAGCATCGAATTCAGTACGATATCTTACGACAACAACTCAGCACGCTAATGCAGGCAACCGCATCGCAAGTGAAGCTAGCGTGTCCCGACTCGCTGGGTCGCGTTTTGCAATCTTCGCGCTCGACCTGCGAAACTGCCGGACTGCACACGTCTTCAGTCAAAAGAGCTTCTGGGGCCCAGGGATATAATCTTTCTCGACTTCGCTTTCTATCAGACCCTCTGGATCTTACGGAGATTGCTTAGGTCGCGAATGGACAAGGGGGTATTGACGAAGGGTCGATTGACGGCGTTGACGAAACGATTGACAGCAAGGCCAGCATGGCAGCAATCATCATCGGAGGCTGACAGGCTGTTAGAGAGATGGCTGAAGGACGTTACATGTCAATCGTAGGTCTGTAAAGGTGCAAACAAGAGACTCCAAAGGTCCGGAGTGCGAGCCTGTCCCGTTACACCGGGCGTCCCGGCACGTAGGGACGGACATTATACACTTTCACATCTCCAGGCGATACTCGTGCTATACAAATGCTGCATCTGACGCTAAACGCAAAACCGATATTTCACCATGACAGTGAAGACACCCGAGTGACTGCAGGAACGACGGAACTGACCAGCACAAAGCAGTCGCGCCGCCATCCCCCACGAACAAGACAAACCCAGTCAGCGCAAAGACCGAGTGGGCTCGTCGGAGTTGACGTTTGGAGAGGTAAAAATCGATTGTGTGCTTGGTTCTCACTTGTCCAAACGTCAATTCTAACTAACGTCTCTTTCGTGGCTGCTGTCAGCGTAATGCTGCCCGTGAGGTTTGCTTTGCTTTGCTGATAGGTTTCAAGAACTATATCTACTCGTTTCCCTATCGTGTCACCCATCTGCCGTGTCTTACTCCTGTTTACTCCTCCCACTCCCACTCCCACTCCCACTCCTTTGACTCGTATTCTTAACCAGCGTCTCAGCCGACGAGTTCTCACTGCTATTGCTCGTGCTAACAACATGGAACGAGAAGTCCAGCTCGCCGACGAGTTTCTTGACAGCCCTATGTCGCATTAGCCCCATCTCGCAAACCTCTTAAAATCGCAAGACACCTGCTCGCTCGCTGTCGCTCGCTTCGAATGAAAAGGCGTCTCGGTGCAGGGGGTGAAAGGGAGGAAGATAACTTACTTGAGCAACCTCTCAATATCCATACTAATGCACCTCGTACTAATCGCCATGACCGCAAACGCCGCATACCCCGGCTCCGCAATATGCCTCAAGCTCAGGATGTCGGAATCGACGGCTTCGAGTTTTTGACTTAGTTGGTAGTTCTGCGGGACCTTCAAATACGGCGGAAGTGGCTGCCCGTTTTGGATCGAACTCGACAGGAGGGAGAGGAGCGTTGTGATTTCGTGGCTCGTGACGTTGGCGTCTTTGATCACCCGCCGGAAATCACTGAACCATTGTGGGGATGCTTGTTTCGGGAAGCGCGGGGACGACCATGTGGCTTCTTCGTCTGGTGTGTTGGGTTTGAGGAGTGGGTGTGTGAAGGCCTGGCTGGCGTAACCTAACAAAGCGGTGTAGTTTATGATATTATTTACGTAGCCGATTATCTTCTCATAGTCCTTTGCTGGAAACTTGCCGCCAAGGGGAAACTCGTATTTGACGAAACCTGAGTGCATTTTTAGCGCCTGCAGGGTCAGCATCTGCTTTGCGAAGACCTTGTTGCGCGCTTTGTTCAGCATGAAGCCCGGCGATTCCTTGTCGTTTTCCTCGTCGCCCGCATCGCCCCGGATCCGCGACATCACTTGCTCGTGCATGATGGAGTAGAAATTCGCACTCAGATACAGCGCGCCACCGAGCTTCTGGCGCAGCGCGGAGTGCTCAGTGATCGGGTAGGGGAAGACGGTCCAGAAGAACGCTACCGCGAGGCCGCCGACTACGGTTGCGAGGCGGTACGGGCCGAGCTGGTAGATGGGATAGGCGGGTTGGCCGGTTGTGGTTGCGGCGCGGACGCCGATTTTGCGGACTTGGAGTTCGTAGCCTACGATCATGGTGGTGGTGACGACGCTGATCATGCCGACGATTACGAGATCCATGCGCTTGAGTGGGATGTAGAAGCCGATTGCGACGAAGAACCAGAGGAGGGGGATGATGCCGCCGGTTTTTTGGTCGGGGATGTACCAGATTAGCCAGGCGACGCACATGGCGACCGCGGTGCCGGCGATACGCAGCATGAATTGGAAGATCGATTGGCCAGCGGTCGGGGTCATGGAGATGGCGACCATGATCATGGCCCAGACGAGACGTTGCTCGACGAAGAACGTTTGGGTGTCGTGTAGGAAAGCGATGATGCCGATTGACATAGTAGCGCATGCAGCACGGAAACCAAAGGCAGATTCAGAGGAGCGGAAGAATCTTGCGCATGCGCGAATGATGTCTCCAAACTTCTCCCAGGCGTTCCTAGGTGGCAGGTGCTCGGGATCTTTCTTGCTTTTGTAAGCCTCACCCATGTAGATGGTGGTGTTGTTCCTGTCGGAGCCAGCGATGGTAGTCTCATCGTCGTGGTTCGAGTCTTGAGTTTTGAAGATGCTCTTCACCCACTTCTTCAGACGTCTACCACCAGGGTTGATGATTTTCTTCTTTGCTGTTGCTTGGTCGTGCTCATCGGCGAACTTGACGAAGTCGAGAATAGAGCGGCTGACTGAGTTAAGTAGGAAGATAACGTAAAGTACAATGTATAGCTGTCGCTGATCACGCTTTCTCGTAGTGATGCTGGGAAGCCGTTTGAGCGTTTCGTCGTCGATCTGGTCTGGACATGAGAAGTAGTCGGCACTGAGCTTGATCCCCTTGCTTTCGATCCAGTGGCGGAGAGTGGGCTCCTTTGCGCTGTAAAATATGTCGGCTTGCTTCTCCATGTACTCTGCAAAGTTCTTATCGCCGGGCTTTACTGAATCTCCCTTTGCTTCTGTGTCGTCCTGATTTTGGCCCTTCTTCTTCTTGGGAGGTTTAGTGAACTGCATTCTAAGCATGACGTGCGTGAGACCCTCGTCCATAACTTGCATGATATGATCAAACGGTTCATGGACGAACGAAAACAACTCGTTCCACTCGCCGACGGCCTTTTCTCGCAGTTCGTAGTCATTTTCAGACACATTTTCACCATCCCAGTGATTGATCTCCGCAGCTCGTTCGAAAAGATCGAGGACCGAGCCTAGACCGAGGATAGGCATGAGAATCGATCTCAGGTGTTTGAACATGGCTTCGAAGTCGTCCGGTGTCAGCTTGCCGTACGCAATCTCTCTCTTAGCAAACGCGAGATCCGCAGTGAGCTTTCCGTGCAATTCCTGGAGAGCCCCTATCGTCTTCTTCACTGCCGCGACTTCCGGCTTAGCCTTTGGCTTCCTCTCCTTGTCTGCATCATCTCCATTCTCGGCTTCGGGGATGTATGTTTGCCCAAACATGTCTGAACCTTCCAGGCTGTGGATGTAACCTTTGTGCGCAGCGATTGCTGCCTTCAAGAGCCCAATATATCCAGTCATCTCTTTCACAACGACTTTTCGACAGGTGACAGGAAGGATGAACAGACTCACGCCAGTAGCGATTGCGAATCCGGTCAAGAACGACTCCAATAAGCGCTGGATGAAGGCCACACACTGTGCGGGCGTTGTGAAGAGAAAGCCAGAGGTCGCCGCAACGTTTACCTGGATCGAGTAGATGATAGTCGGGAAAGCCAACTGCGGGAACTTCGCCTTCAGCGTGTTGACAATGTAGATCTGGATGAACAGCCATACGCCAAGTACCGCTGACTGCGAAGAGTTGTATCGTGATGGAGGAGCGCCAGGCACCGTTGTGTGTTCGCGCGCCTTGACAGCAGACCACACCATCAACATCGCAATAGCTGAACCCACGCACGTGCTGAGGATGTTCATAGTCATCGTCTGGATGAATTTCGCTCTCGGCATGATGCAGAATCCGAGAATCGAGATGATGGCGACAAGGTATCCGAGGGTCGTGTATGTCTGCGCGACCTTGTCGGCTTCATACATGGCAAGTGCTATTGTTGGCGGGAGGGCAGCTTTGCCCATCATCATCAGCGTCGGGGCGTCGAGCCCTAGCTTGTCCCATATCTTCTTAATTCTCCCTGGCTCTTTCTTCTTCTTGTCCTCCTCTTTTGTGTCTTCCCCAAGTGATGCATTTTGTTGATAACGATTGGCCTCCTCACGTGCTGCGTCCGGCTTCACACTCCCGTTGGCGTTTGTCTCTTCCTCGTCCGGCAGATGCCCATCGTGCGCAAGTCGAGCCATGTCGCGATGTTATGAAGACCCCTCAGTCTGGCGAAACGTCAATTGGAACACAGAAGACGTGAAAAGACTGCATGAAGGCGTTTAATTGATGAGGGCCCAACAAGCGTGAATTCAAAAGCACCGACGCTCCGCTGTCTAATTGACCCCCCCCCCCCCCCCCTTTTCCGGCGAGCGATCGACGTCATGGCGAGTAATTTCACTAGACAAGCACTACGCCGAGGCGCTATCTCTCGCTTAGGATGCTCAGCTGCGGAGGTCGGATCGTTCGGACTTGCAAATGCTGACCGAACTTCAATGCGAAGCGAGTTGTCAGCATCTCGCAGGACTCACATTTGGTGTCAGCTGAATACCATGTCGGTGGTTGTCTCGTACGACCTGTCGCGATGTCGAAGAGCGACGGGCGAGCAAAACTTCACCGTTACCACTACAACGCCAGCTGCAGATCTTCTGTTTGTGCATGAAGTTTATCCTCCGACCTCTGTTCCATACCCTTACATCTTCTTTACGTCCTCGCGATGCAACTATGTGACAAAGAGCATGAAATCTCCGAGACAGTCACAACAGCTCTAATTGGGCAACAAGCATCGAACGGCACCATGTACAGCGTATCTCTCGCTCATTTAATAGTCCATCTATCTTCTCTAGCTCAATCACGCCCATGAACCGGCGTCCCACACCACCAGCCACACATCGGACAACCTATAACCCCTCATCCCCATCCTCATCCCAATTGTCGTCCTCATATGCACCATTGCCCTCCGGTGGTCCAGCAGTCGGCTCGCCAGCCTCGTCCCAAGGTGCTACATCCTCCTCCCAGCTAAGGTCATGTCCACCGGCTTGACATAGGTAAGGTATAAAAATGTCGGGGGCGCAGAGATGGTGCTTTGTGCGACAGAATGTGCCCCTGCAGTTCCAGAGGTGGATTTTGCGGTTGTCCATGGGTTATGACTGAAGGCTCGGATGAGACCGAAGAACTGTGAAAGAGAGGTGACGACATCATACCACCAGTCATCCCAGTCCTGCTCAGTCCAGTCTGGCTCCATATCGAAAGCTCCCCAAGCAGCGATCGATACTTCAAACCCTGATAAAGGCAACTTGTCGACGTCTGGGACACCAATCTTGATCACTCCATCCCGCACGAGACCCGGGAGCTGAACATCCAAGCGCTCTCGGAGCTCCAAAATATGCATGATGATCAACACCGGATCGTCCTGGTTGCCGTTGTCGTGGCGGCGAGTAAGATCTTGGTATATCTGAGACAGTGTAGCTCCTTGAGGCCATTGGTAAAGGAGAGGCGGGAAGTCATGAGTAGTATGAGAAATGATCCGGGGAAGAAGTAAAAAGCTGATGCTGTAGGCCTCGTTTTCGTCCTCTGTTCTGGGGTGGAACTTGTAAGTGCTTCCTCGTAAGTAGCTCTGTGGCAATTGCTATCCCATTGTTGCGAACCGTAAGTAGATTTTGAGACGATGTTAGTACTGCAGCTAACAAATGATGTACTAATCCCGGAACTAGTTATGTCAGTGTAAGTCGAATCTACATCGTCTGGATCAATTGAAGACGATTGGTTGCACTATTTCGCGCAAGCCACTTGAATCTTGAGATCCAACATTTCAGCCATGGCAGCTTCTCGCTCGAACTGCGCTTCCTGCAGTTGCTCCTCTAGACGAGCCGGAGCCTCCACATACAACTGAACATCCTCCGCCAGGCTGTCGCTCGTGTCTTGAAATCCCCGCACTTGATGCTCCAGGTAGCTATTGCGAATTTGCAGACTGGCTAGCTTCATCTAAGCCTCAGTGCGGGGAGATGGTGTAGCCTCGCCACGAGCTTTGGCGTTCGAAGTCATCTGCAGAGCTCTTGCGCTTGTCTTCTGGGCCGCTCATGCTGTCAGAACCTCCACCTCTCAAATATGGCATGTGGCTGATTCTGACTTTCGAATTCGACGGATGCTCGCTAACAATGTAGGTATCGCCCTTGCGGAAGCCGTGTCAGTTGTCTACATACTCAGCATTGACATCCATAGTTGTCCACCACAGCTCAATGGGGTGTTGAGGCTATCGTCTGAGTTTGGGTGATCGAATGGATGTGATCGTAACCCCGATTGATTCGTATTATGAGTCCTTGTGTAGAAGTCTATACAAGGTCTCAAGGTTCATGCCACTGGGAAAGTTATAGTCAAATGCGGCCTTGCTGAGTGTCGAGCTCCCTGCATGCTCCACATCCAAGGGTGTTGTGAAATCTGCTGGCAGGAACGTTTTGCTGAACCGGAAACTATCTCTTCTGGACCTCACCTTCTTGTTTGAAGTTTCCTCAATCAATTTGTGGTAGAAATGTGAGGCAAGAGTTATATACCTTTTTCCTGGGCGTTGGAGTATTCCATACCTAGTATCCGGTTTAAGATCCTTCAACTCAAGAAGAAGCCGGTTGCCGCATGGCCCAAATACTGGGTCACTTCTGTTCAGCAGAAACAGGCAGCCGCTTCCTGTCCCGAACTCCTTTCAAGCCTGAGGATCGCGAATAGTGTGACCGATGTCCGCCCACCAGGCTTCATTGGCATCCTTGAGCCACTGTCGCTTGTCACCTTCGAAAATTTGTGGGCATGGTTTCTTCCATGGGTCGCAACGCTCCAATCTCATGATTCCTTCGATTTCATGTTCATCTGCGCCGGCAGAAAAGTATAGACAAGTTAATGATTTCGTATAGATCAAGCCGGCATTAAAGGCACTGATATTGTTAGTGCGCTTAGTGATCTCTTCTTTAAGGAAGAAAATCTGCTAATTCAGTCTTTCGAAGCCGACAGAATGAGTCTGCTCTAAGCTGCACGTAAGGGGCCGTTGCATTTTGTCAGATCCTAGCGTTGTAGGTTTGGCCGCCGTACCTGTTGGAGGCAAGGAAGATGCAGATTTTGGAGTGCCACTGGCAGAAGCTACGGCCTGCACGTCCGCAAAGATAACCTGCGGATCTTCATCACAGCCTGCCTCAATAACCATTGGAGTACTGGGTGTAGGCTGAGATCTCGAAGCAGTGTATCATCCTGCTAAGCGCGTTCGAACAGAGTGTCGAGTAGCCTGCCAAAGGCCTTCGACAAACGACTCATAACCGTACTCAATACATAATCCTCTGGCAGCCGCACGGTCTCGAACGCAGCTCGGGTGATTTCGATGTTGGTTGAAACTCTCGAGACGAGGCAGTGCTCTAAGTCCTTTTGCAAGGGATTAGACAGGTGTAGGCTTACAGCATACACAAGGTGGTGCAGGCTGAATCGTAGATCGTTTGAAGGCTAGTGGGTCGCTCCGTCACTTCTTCGCGTAGAAGCCAGGTCTGTTGGCTTATTGCTTCGAGAGTGATGGAGTGTATAGTGTAGAATTGGTAGAAGGTAAGTTTTGCGGAGGTTGACCGTTGTCGACGGAGGTACTACCTCACAGATCTCGTCGGACTTGGAGAGCTGGTAGTCGGACCCGCCGCTGTCGGCCACATGATTCTCGCCATTGCTCCTGTGACACGCATGATCGTCCAGCGCATCATACAGTGCCGAGTACGCTTGCTGTAAATCTACATTGAGCAGCGACTTCAAGTCTTCAGGTGTTCCCGGCCATAAACCGAGCTTTATGGTCGCTTGATCCATGTTCTTGCCCATGTTGATCAGAAGGCTGCACTCACTGTCCTTTTCGTTGCGCTCAACCGTGCCGTTAGTGTACTCGTTCATGCCGTGAATGATGGCAATCGCGAGGGAGCGGAGTGAATCGAAGGTCTGCTTGCCGGTGCTGAGGGACGAGATGAGGAGGTCCGTCTGATGGCTCAGGAATTCGAGACTGGTGGTTGGCAATGGAGTGGATTCGGTTGGAGATCGTAGCGAGGGCTCTGCCTCTTCTGTGGGCTTACTGGACTCGCAGATTTCATCAGATTCGGAGAGGTCGTAGTCAGATCCGTCGCTGTCTGCGACGCTGTCGTTGTCACTGTCGCAGCCCTCATCATCATCCTCTTCACCTTCTCCTTTCTGCTTACGAATCAACTCCTCATACTCCTCATTAAGGCGATCCAGTTCATCCAGATCTTTCCCAATCTCATCAAGGTCCCTTTCAAACTCATCAAAGCACTCGTGCCACAATCTAAGCGGCACACCAGCCTTCCGTGTAATCTCGCACCTACGTTCCCACTCATCCAGGAACTGCCCAGGCTCGAAAGTTTCCCAGTCAAACTTGTACTCGGGGAGCTCCAGGTGCGTGATCATGTTGTTGATGTGTTCCATGTTCTGGCGGAACGCGGGGTCTTCGAGCAGGCCGGCTTCCTTGGCTATAGCGTGCTTCGTCTCGAAGCCGGAGCGCAGCTGGGTGATCTTGGCCTTGTCTGACATGTTGAAGTGCTGGAGGTGGATGTGGGGGGTGCTTGTGATTCGGCAAAGAGGAGAGCTCGATTGCTGCAAAAATTCGGCTTCGAGTAGGTCGTGAAAGCTGGTGATGCTAAGAGACCGTCAAGAGTAGATGTGTTGTCGAGTACTGACTGGCCATACTACGTGGCAATATATATACCGTGATACATGTCGACATGCGCCAAATGCTTCAAGTACACAGTGTGAAGTTCCAGAGCCGTGACTGGAAAGTTAGCGCATTCAAGTATCTGAGCAGTCTCAGGGGCAAACATACGTGCGAGTTCGTGACGCTGCCAAACGCCAAACAGAAAAGGTCATTCGCGTTCGCAGCCAATGATAGCTGATGTGATGGCACTAAATGCAGATAGAAGTAATTGCAAAGCTGAGAAACGAAGTATGGCAGAAGAGCGGGAGTATCAGTCAATGGAGAGTTGGCGCGCCGCGACTCAAGAGCGAAGGAAGGAGTGGAGAGGCAACAACAGCTCAGAAAGGTAGCAGCCACGACAAGAGTAGCCACGACGAGGATATTAGCAAAAATGAAGAAGGGCAGGGGACCAAGCATCATGATGTCAGAAAAAGGTGGATATGATTACCGCGCTATGCACCGTACATCTATCGTATCGTAATGCCTGAATGAACAGTCCAATCTAGGAAATGGCGCCTGGGTATACCGTGTACTTCGATGTAGTCAAACGCCACAGGAAAGAAAGGAAGAAGAGGAAAGGAAGTCAAGACCAAGGAAACACAACATGCAATGCCCATAGACTGATGTCGGCCGTAGAAAAAGAAGATTCGTAAGAGCCACACCGTTGGCAAGACGCAAGCAGCGACTCGATGCCCATAACGCCAGTCAAACACACTTTTAGTTAGAGGTAACCTCCTTCGTAGCATCCGAGCGCCCACGCTCGATCTGCTCAACCGCCGTCTTCGAATCGGCCCTCGACTTATTCGCAGCAGCGGCAAGAGCCTCTCTGTGATCCCTCGCCATCTGCCGCATAGCAGCCTTATCCTTTTCATACTCGATGCTGCCATTGCGCCTTGGACTAGAACGGCGCGAAGCAGGCTGGCTGTGCGTAGTCGATGTCGAGTGTGAAGGCGTCATGCGGATGCTATTTGGTCGAGTGCTAGGCACACTAGGACCGTCTCTGTTGCTGCCCGCCTGTGACGAGACGTAGAACTCTGTGCTGCGCGATTCCTGGCTTCGGCTGTCGGCATCGCGCTCGAAGGATGGGTTACGAGAGTTGCTGCGCGAGTTGTTGCGTGAGCCGGCGAACTTCGGATCGTCACCCTTCAGCATCGGTCGGAATTGGCCTGTGCGTTGGCTGATGCACCACAACTTGTAGGGACCGGGGATGAATGTGCCCTCCTGATCCCAGCACTGGACCCATGCTACGCCGTCATCGAGGCGGAAGAAGCCAACTTCGACGTTCCTGCCGCCTTCGTTCTGGATGGTGCCATATTTCTTGCGAGCTTTGTAGTCGCCCTCCAACATGTACCGCTTCAAAACACGTGACCAGTGGGCAGAAATGGGACGGGCGAGCTTCTCGTACTCCTTCGGCGGTTCCTGGGGTGCTTGTACTGGTCCTCCCTCGGCAGTTGTCTCAGGAAGATCATGAGGAGCCTCCTTTAAATTTGCGATCAAGTACCAGCCTCGACCAGGGATATATTCATAAAGCCCTGGTGTGGGTTCGGCCCAGTGCTCGGTCTTCCTGACGGATCGTTCCTGCGACTTGGTATCCCGAAACCATTTGTGAGGAGAGAAAAGCTTCTGGGTAGCCAGAAACAAGTTTGGCGACATTGTGGGGTTTGAACTTGATGTGATGCAGTTCGATGATTTTTCGAGAAGCTTGCTTGCTTGCTTCAAGTGGAGTTGAATGTGGAGTATGTAGTGGGGTGGCGCGCTTTGGGGAGATTTGAGCTGTTGCAGCGGCGAAGCAAGCACGTGTGAAAGTCCGATTTCACAAGACCTCCGTAAATCTGACAAAGGAGGCGCAAGTTCTTGGTGGAATCTTCGATCACACGGATAGCGAATTCGTGTTCTGAGTGGCCGAGGGTCGCCGATCCGCTGCGTGCAAAGCACGAGAGCTGTCCCAGGGGAAGGCTGAGCGCGCCTCTGCAACGCTGTTCACCAATATATGTTGAAGAAGAATTTCGAGGACAAAGGCGTTGCAGGTGTCAAGCTATTTAATGGACGGGAGCTAAAATAGTGTTGGGCTTGTGAAAGATTTTCCCAGCGAAGAAAGGAAATTATCAGGGCGCTTCAGACCGCTCCAAGGAACGAAAGTAGTGCAGACTGTGGGTCGAGGTTGTCAAAACTCGGGTTCTGTGTCGATGCAGGTGGTTCAGATCGAAGTCAAGCTTACCGTGAGCCTCGCATTTTGGTTGAGCTACCAAACTCGCTGCTCATCATTCGTCATCACACACTGCCCGATCAGCTCATCTTTGGCTCCAAGCCCCATTTTCCCCTTCTCTTGCTCTCAGACACGCGTACACTGCTGTACTCAGGATTCGTAAGAACGTGTGCCTGCCTCACAACAACCCACGCCCATGCTATGAGGGCCAATCAGGGCGCCTTTTTCACCCCGTGATTGCGAAACAAGCCGCCTTGACGTGGGACAGTGATAAGGGTAGGTGCTTGTGAGTGAAACTGCAGCAACGCAGTGACAGATGCAGCGACAGGCATGGCGGTGTGGGAGGGAGCGCAGCGGGCGACCTGGGAGCCAAGGTCGGAGTAGAGGGCGGGTGTTCAAGGGATGGAGAGTGGAGCTGTGCCTGACTAGCACGGCGCGGAAGCACTGCAAGTGCACCCGTAAGCGAACGTTCAACACCGAAACAACACTCCACAGCCCTACAGACGCCCACAATCGTGGCTCAGCGCCAAAGCATATTCAAACATCACTGGAACACCCGCGGATTCCGGTCCTGTATGCCCTGAGTCCACTACTAATTTCTACATAGCTGAGCGATGGAAAGTGACAGTGCACATGTTTTACGGATACTTACCGCAGCCGGAGCCGGAGCCGCAACGGCTTTACTTTGATCCATCAATGTGCGGTGAGTTGGTTGGTCCTGAGCAAGGGCGGGCGGATAGATGGTACTGATTGACGATCGGCGGATTAAATGCTTGTGCTCGTGCAAGTCAAGCGAGCATCAGAGATAAACCAGGTAGCAGGTATGGGGGAGGGGGGGGGTCTTCATGACACTGGCACCCTGCAAGCCGTAACGTATGAGCCCGCCCAATCACACCCTCATCAGAAGCTTATCTGAGCTAGTGTGAGATTGTCGGCTGGCTGAGAGTTTGGTGTATTTGGTGGTAAGAAGGTAAGTCCGTGTCAGCTTCAATCAGCATGCGACAAAATAGTCGATCAGCACAGATAAGATGAAGGCGCACGATACGCTCATGCCGAGCTGGTGGTCAAGTTGGGCTTCAGATTGTGTGTATGTATAGCTACCTGACGACACGAGAATCCCAGGCACAACACGAGCATGTGGTAGTTCCATAGGACGTCGAGCCTAGGTGTTGCTTGACAGACCTGATAGCAGTTCGCAAGGTCATGTTGGATTGTACGCTTTTGGGGCTTGGCGCAGGGTGATGTGTTCATGTCGTGCAGTATCTGATGGCGCAATAAGGTGATGGTCGTGCATTACGGCTAAAGTCTGGTCCAAGAAGCCCGTTGGTGTGATTGTAGGGTGATTGATAGATACAGGTTCGACTGCATGTTGTTGAACCTGGTACAAGCGTAAAGCGTGTGTTTGCTGATAGCTTGTTGTTGCTGTTGGTACTAGTATAGCAACGATGAACCATGAGTTGCAGCCTGTTCTAAGCCCCTGCATCAGACTTGGTTTCTGTCTAAGAGGCGCTTCAAGAGGTGAGTATATCAGTGACTGTCGTCGGCATCACAGCTCCTCATGCAGAATCCAACAAGGTGGCTCATTTCGTTGCATTTTTCCTTCTGCTCCCTCATTCATACCCTCTGATCACCCCTTAGGGGAAAGTCGCAATAATTTCTCCAAGTGCATGTCATGCATGTCACTCGTCATGTCGAAAGAAGCGAGCCACGGAGGAAAAGCCTTCCCATTGAGATCGTAACTAATCAGAGAGACGCCTTGTATGCCCTGCCCAAGTGAAAATCCACGCTCCTCTACGACTCGGTCTTGACGCGGGCCTTGTCGTTGGTAACCTTGACACCGATCTGCTTTGCGCGGGCGATGATGTCGATGCGCTTGCGTGCGGAAACGGCGTGGGCAATCTCGGCGGCGAAGGTGGTGTTGTGCATGAGAAGGAGGTCGACATCGTTAACTAGAAAGTCATTAGTGGCAGTCCGGACAGTAGGAGAACTGCATGGTCGTACCGTTGCTGACGACGAAAGCCTTGTGGCCGGAGGGCATCAGGTGGCGGGTCTTGCGGTTGGATCCGTAACCGATCTGTGTCGCAATTGTCAGTCGAAGCCCACATCTCAATCAATTCCACTTCGACATTGCTCGGTCCATCTATGTGTTCCAGTTGTGTGTCGTGTAGAAGGCAATCCGTACCTTGGGCATAGCAGCCTGGCCCTTGAACCGCCTGCGGACGCGGTTGTCGATACCCTTAGGCTTGCGCCATGAGGGGTCAACGCCTGTTCCAAGTCAACATCCATTCCTGTCCTCTCAATTCCTGGAGTATCATACGCATAAAGCGGTCCGACTGGTGGCGGTTGAAGCGCTTGGTGTCTGTATCGGTTGCGTCAGTCTGCGAAATTTGCGGATCAGGGTGCGTGGGTTCAGCATACGCTTCTTGACGATCGCGACGTGCTTCTTAGCGGCGGCCATCTGTTGCAATCAGTATTTGAGCAATATTGCGACATGTGCGGGCGACATACTGTGTCTGCTGTGTGGTTAGTTTGGACGGTCGGAATCGTGAATCAAATTGTGCTGTCTCGAATTGCGTGGTGGGCAGGCCTTGGCTGCGCTAGTGCAATAAGCGAGGTGGAAAACCAATGCTGGCACGACCAACACCAACACCAATACCTCACGCCGAGAACATCAAAAACGAGTATGTGCCGTTGGAGGAGATCGCAGAAACCCCAACTATTGCGCATGATCGTTTGCAGCATTATCGAATTATTGCATCCGTATTTGGTTTGAGGTCGCTGCACAACTGCAGCATGTCACGTTCAATATGCAGATCACCCCCGCATGTTGCTGAAATATAGATGTTCACATGTATTCCGCGCCCCTCAAGACGCCATGCTAAGCTATTCTATCTATTAAGATGCTTTTGATGCCAACGTAAAGTGCCATCGGGGAAGGCGAAGGGTATGTATGCTCCGTGATACCATGCTGCGCTGCAATCGGCGCAGCGATCCCTTAACCAAGCTGTGTTGGTTTAGGTACATCTAACCATGTTCGACGTGACTCCCGCCAGCGAGTATGTCTGTAATACCGATAGAATCGAATCATTCTGATTCGACTCGACAAGGATGCTCAGTACTCCATCTCCTCGGTCTTCTGCTCAGCACCGCCACGCTTCTCGTTCTTGACCCACTCGACGAAGTCATCGATGACAGACGGCCACGAGGACTCCTCGTTCCAGAAGCTGATGGACTCGTCCTGGAGGGTGAGCTGTGCGAACTTTAGTGTTTCGTTCCACATGTCCTTGTTGACGCTCTTCTTCCAGGAAGCCTCAAGGAACTCTTTCCACCAGTCCAGCCAGGGGTTGTTGGGAGTTGACCACTTGACTGCGGAAAGCGGTGAAGCGAAGAGAAGGTCCCAGTACGCGGTAGCCGCTTCGAGAGCAACAGCTTTCTGTTGCCCAGTCTTGGCAAGGAAGAATGTATACTTGTAAACCCTTGTGAAAGTCGCCTTGTCTGCTGGCAGCTGCGTCTTAAGGTTCCCGAGGTAAGCCTTCTGCTTGTCGATGGTGTCGCAGCTGGAGTGGGTCAGTACCAGTCTGATCAATACGGAATGATTGATGGATCGACTCACTCTCGCTCTAGCCAGCCATTGACGAAGCCCTCTCGAGTGATCTCGCCCATAGTGGGAGCTTGGATGATCTCCAGCGCAGCGAGAGAGTCCATGCCTTCGAGGTCCACTTCCAATTGCTGGAGATAGCTCATGGTACCGTCTACACCGACGAGATCAGGCTCCCCAGCTGCATTCTCTCGGTACTTGTCGAAGAGCTTGTTCAGGGTCGCCTTGGTAGCGGAAGAGGCGTTCGAACCGCCACCACCGCCGCTGTAATATCTGTACATGGTTTGTCAGCGGACGTTGCAGTGTTATTGTGATGCTATGAAAGATGGTGCGAGCAAGCGTGCAACGGGTAGGGTAGTCTACCGGGCTCCGGTCCCAGGATCTCGCAGTGGCAGTAAAGCAATCATCAGAGGAGACAAGTAGACAAGCGGATAGTCGTCGCCCTTCTTGGATGCCGTCTTGATCTGGAGGAGTTCATCGGGTGATTGAATCGTTCCATTGAAGCCTGGGTCGTGGAAGTCTGGGCCTAGCAGCTTCTCAACCCGCTCATTAATCATGCGCTTGAACGTCATCTGGTCATCGGATTCGAGTCCCAGATAAAACCATTGTCGAGACAAGTTGAATTCATTTTCCACAAAATCCGTTTCGCTAGTGAAGAGCTGAGAGAATTCTGTGGCTTTCGATGGAGGCATCGAGTCCACGAAGAGTCTGTACAAAAGACCAGTGTTGAATGGAAAGGACCACAAAGGATGGTTCCTAGCCAGAGCGAGCCAACCAAGGTCTGCGCCGCCTCGCAACGATACAGCTGTCTGTGTGCGCTCAATTGTCGTGGATACCGAGCGATTGGGGACACCAGGCGCCGGTAATGTAATCGATTGATTATCCACCGCGTATGCCTGTGATGTTGGGGCAGTCGCGTGACGTACTTGATGTAGTATCTTTGCTCCCCATCCGAGTACTCCATACTGTCTGGTCTGGCTAGGAAGCATAGAGTGGCTTGAGGAAGGCAGGAAAGCGTTGTTGGCAGCCGTATCGTTGTACAGAACCTGGCTCAGATGTTCGGCTTGACTACGTTGCTGCTGCGTACACGGACGTTGGTTCTTGGCCATCATATGCGACAAGGCTTCTTCCACATCGGATACTGCAGCAAACTGGGCGAAATGCTGCGATCCTCCTGAGCCGTGCTCATTGTCATAGGAGCCGTTGGCTGTGTATGCATAGTGCTCAGGGATTGGCGTAGGCCGCTGGGTGTTCTGCTCGAAGATAGACGATGTCTCGCAATGGGATAGTTGACTCAGTTGACTCGAGGAACTGGCGGATCGATAACTGGAGTTTGAACCACTGGAGCTGATACGCTTCCAGCGCTGTCGGCCGGCAAGCTGTCTGGCGCGGTCTTCGGAGGCACCGAACATGGTGGGCTATGGCGGTCGTAGGAACGTGGCTAAGTGGTGATGTAGACGAAAGGTGTGGATTGTGAAAGAAGCAGCGCTGGCCATGTTTATCGAACGAGTTGACTTGTTGGTCCGTATGGAAGGTGGTATGGCGTTGTTTGCGGACCATGCAGAAGGTGTGCCTACTGCTTTCAGACGAGCATGCGCGCGCAAGTGCATTGCAGTTCCCCAGGAGGTGCGCCAGGAATGCGCACTCGTGACGAAAGCTGCATGTACGGCCCGATGCCATGTGCTTTCCCCACGTTGTGTACCGTCCTTGCCTTCCCTTCTCCTCAACGTCGAAGGTGCGCGAGCGTAATTATTGATATATACGGTATATTGGCGGTTGGTCCAGGGTTTCAAATATCCAGTGCGCCTTGTAAGGGGCGCAGGTAGTGAGGAAGGAATAGAAAACGAGATGGGTACTTACGCGTTGACAGCGTTCTGGGCATCCCAGCCATGGCTCTTGAGCACCCGCACTGCAGCGGCGCGGTCCATCTGTGTGAAGCTCATGAACTGACTGATCGCTGCCTTCTGCTGCGCCGTGTATGCTGGAGGCATCTTGTGTTAGAGATCCTGTATATCCTTCTCTTTAGGTGTCACTGCTCGATAGCAGTCGCGAGATCAGGCTGCGCCGACGGTGGGGTGTGCGGTAGCGAGAGCACCGGAGTGAAGAGTACAAGGCGAGAGGATTTGGTGAGAAGAGACAAGGCAAAGTGAAGCAGAAGCTATGCTAAGCTTTGGAGGAGTCGACAGGGTCGTGGGTAAAGTGACGGCATTTGCGCGGCAGCAGTTGGAGCCGACCCCACCAATCGTGCCCCTCCTCCGCGCCTCAGAAACAAGGCTGATATTTGGCGCCAGTCTCCATCCATCTTCACCTCGCCTTGCTGCCCACGGATTGATATGCAGGGACCTCTGGAAAGAACACACTAACCTTCTTTTGTAGCCCTGGCCTTCTTAGCGGGCGTGGTCGACGTTGTTGTGTCCTGGTTCTTGCGTTTTGGCATCTTGATCGAGTTGCTGTTGTCCACGGTTTGGTAACTAGTTGAGTTGAGGCGGTTGTCTGCTTGATGCGGTGATGATGAAAAGACTTAGGAAAGAACGCGTCAACAGATGTTTTGTTGATCTTGCGAGGCTATGCTGGTCATTGCATCGTCAGTGCGCTCGCGGTGAATGGGCGTATGTGAGACCTGAACCGTTGGAACTAAGAGATGTCCGTGGTGAATGACTGTGTTTGCATTGGCCGCTGCTCTTGGTATTGCAAATCAAACAACAACTTCATACTGCAGAGTGAGACTTGGGAATTGGCAGATATATTCCGTCGACCACGTTTATTGGGAAGGCACCCATGACCATGGTTCAGTATCAACAGCCTCCACGGCTCACCCATACACATGCAGATATGCCGTATTACACACATACAGCAATGTGCTCGTACAGAGGAGCTCAAGAGACTTGGAATCGGAGGTCCATCAAACGCGCCGAACCCCTTCATTCGCCCAATCCAACTAAACGATGAGTATATACACACCCACACCTCAAAATGCTCGCATCGAAAATATACAAATTACAACACCGTTGCTTAGTCCCCTACATCCCTTCAGAGCACCTCCACCTGCGCAGCGACCAAGGCTGAATCCTCAGTCGAAGACGCAACGTTCCCTCGGGCGCCTAGTCCGCGGTAGGCATACTCTCGACCTCCTCAGTCAGCGCCCTCCAATTATCCGCTTGCAGTTCCGCATACTTGACACGCTCCTGACTCCACTCCTGGTACAGTCTTGAGACGTGGTACTGGCTCTTCTGGAAGAAGAGGAGTTCGTCGCGGATGCATTCCTTGATGAAGACGCCGCGGGCGTGTTGTTGGACGATGGATTCTTTGTCCTGCTAAAAGTCAGTCTGAGCTCGTACGGATTTGTGGGCGCAGTGGAGCAGAGGGGTGGTGAGCTCACCTTAGAGATCGCATCCTCCACCTTCTCTGCCTCGCCCGGCTTCACCAGTTCAGCCGGCTTATTCCTGATGTTCTGCAGTTTTGTCTCGTTGTTTACTATCCGCCTCTCGAGCGCGGGGATGTTATCCTTTGCGTGTTTGTCTCGGCGGTCGAACATGTCTCGTACGCTGACCAGTGTATCTCGTTGCCTCTTCAGGTCTTCGAGGACACCTTCTTCCCACCCTCTTGCCTCGTCTTCAAGCAGCTGTTTTGACTGGTCCAGATGTCTAGCTGTGGAGTTCAGGCCTTCGTTCAGCAGGGGGACGTCGTTGGTGTCGACGGCGTATGTGTCTTGCGAGATTTCGGTCAGGGAGCTGAGAGCTTGCGAGAAGCGGAGGTATTCGGCTGCGATGCCTTCATTGCGCCGGGTGAGTCGCTCCATCATGGCGCAGAGGTTGATGTAGGTCTCTGCGCTTCGGCGTACGCCAGAACGGACGGTCTCGCTGAGTTCGGGGAGAGTCTTGGGTAGCGAGTCTTCGAGGTCCGGGGGTAAGGCCTTGCCAGTAAACTCCTCCTGCACAGACAGGTTTGCCTGTTTCCGCCAGACGGAGAGCTCCTATGTTCTTGTTAGCTGGATGCAGAATTACTGTTGTATCGCCAAAGCTTACTGTAGGTACGGTAAGGAACATGACGACAAGTTGCTCTTGCGAAAGAACAGGGTGTCGAGCAAGCGCGTTGGTGAACCGTGTCAGACCTTTTCTTCGTTTCTCAAGGAAGCTCGCGTCCGCGGCTATAGGGTTGCCATTGACTAAGGATTTTCAACAATTATTGCGACAGGATCAGGGCGGGTACTCACTACCGACTCTCTTGGGAGGTAATAGAGGCAATTGCCTGAACGGAAAGCGCTTGTGCAGGCAGTCCAATAGCCACACAAAGTCGCTGTATCTGCGGACAACCTTGTTCGCCCGGCGATTGCTCCCAACCTCGTAGTTGCGGTGCTGGAACATGAACAGGCCTTCCTTCTCGGCGAGGGCGGTTATTGTAATGACCTCCTCGTTGCCAGATCCACCTGGAAGGCGGCCAAGAGATCCGCTCAAACCAGACGGCGCACTGGCACCATTATTGCCGCTCGCTGGCGCATCCTGGAAGCCGCCAGCGTTGAGGTCTGGTGCATTGAATGGCTGACTAGATCCTCCGTTGTACCCGCCCCAGCCGCCATCACTCGGTAGTGAGCTTGGGGGAGGAGCAGCAGCAGCAGCAGCAGCAGCAGCGGCCTGTGGTGCGATTTGGTCGGTCGTGGACTGTGTTGTAAACTGACTCGTCGTTCGCGCAGTAGGATGAGGCGTGGTGCCGTTCGTTTGCGCAGGTACAGAGGTGTAGCTGTTGTGGTTGTGCCCTTTGTGAAGGTCTGGGCTACCCCAGGGATCTGCCTCTGGGTCGCCAAATGACTGCTTGCGGAACGGTGCGCGCGACCTGCCTGGACTCGGTGTCTGCTGACTGGGGACCTGTTGCGGCATTGGAGGTGTGGGCGGTGGCTGCTGTTGCGGCGTGGGCGCGCGTGGTTCTGGCTTCGAGGACTTGGGCAGCGGTACAGATGGCTCGGGGAGATTGCTCTTGCGCTCGTCCACGCTGTCAAGTGTGACGTCGTCGCCCTCTTGTGCCAGACCGAGGAGTGCGAAGAGCACATTGAACTCGTTCCTGCCGAGTCCTGCGACGTCCTGATCGGGTTGCGCCACTATGTCGAGGATCTTAGATTGTGTGTCGCTCGGTATCCCACTGCTCGCCAGCAGCTTCTTTGCGCCGTCCAGGCTGATGCCATTGCCAGTGCGGTCCCCAGCGTCCAGCAGGGCGTCAAAGGCATCGATGTACGAGTCGGGCACGTCCGACGCAGGAAGCAGCGACTTGACCAGCGATCCGCGACCGCCTTTCTTGGGTGTCGGGAAGGCCCAGGGCGAGTCGTTGCTGTCGAAGCCGTCGTCGAACAGACCGCTGCTCGACTTGCCCGCGGGCTTCTGATCGTCGTCGAAGAGGCCGGACGACTGCTTGGAGCGCGACGGCACGTCGTCATCGCCGAACAGGGACATTATCGTCTATAGGCGCACGCGCAATGCTTCTCTCTCAGAAATCGAGGAAGCTGCAAATGAGGGTAGAGAAGCAGTCTAAAGCGCGACAGACCAGACGAATGGCGCGCAAGGTGAGGGTAGCATGAGCACTTGAGCTATGTCGAAATGCGGCAGCTCCAGGGCAGTGTCCCGCGGTTAGCTAGCCAGAGCTTGGGCCATGAAGTGGCTGGTATCTCGTGCGTTACCTATCAACCTTGGAACACCGATTGCATGTGCGGTACGAAGTAGACTAAATCAGGTAGTTTGACATCTTGTATTTATTGCTAGTAACGTAGTATTTCATCTCAGATCTTGTCGTCTGCTAGATGTTCACAGCACAACAATCCTTCGTATCTTCCAAACGTAAAAACGTAAGTGTGAAGCCGAGTCTCATAACATCGGCGGGTATCCAAAGAATATCCAGCCCTTCCATGTGGGGCTCCCAATAGCCCTCAGCTTTTTGAGTCCAGATAATGCGCCAAAACCTATGCGGATGCTGTCGTCTCACCGTGCCACCAGTGCGCCGTTGAAAAACGTGGGGTATACAAGTATCGACGCTGAAGTGCGTCGAGAATATAAACAAAGAAGTGCAGGAAAACGTCAGTCAGGCCACGCTACCTGTCGTGGTTGGTGTGCTGCTGAGATGACGATCCCTATGGAGAAGCGTTGTCCAGCAGCGGTGTAGGACTCTGTATCTCCTCTGCCAGACTGGTTGGTGAGACAGGTGGGTGAGCTGTGAGTCCCCCAGCTTGTGGCGTGTACCGTCTGCGCGCATTGCGGTTCGCGTTGGTAGAGGTAGGAGGCTGAATAAGCTCACTCGAATTGGTGGTCTGGCCAGAGTGTGCTGGTGAAGGCATGTCCGATTGCTCTTCGATGGTCGTTGGTATCCTTGCAATCTGAATACCAGCAGTGGCCGACACCTCGCTCTTTTGTCCATCGTGCCGTTGCTGATGCTGTTGCTGTTGTTGCTGCTGCTGCTGCTGCTGCTGCTGCTGCTGCTGAAGGATATCTGGAGACCAGGTTTGACCACGGGGCTGAGCTGGGATGATTGTCACAGGAAGGTTCATTTCGGAATGCTTGTTGGCCTTCTTCTTTGACCTGAACCTTTCTCCTTGTTGCGCAGCGAATGTGCCAAGGCGATCTGATAGTGCCAATCCGTTGTAATGACGCGGTGGAATGTTGGCATGGACCTCGTCAACTGCGAGCGGTTCGATCACCTGGCCTCTCTGCAACTCCTGTGGTGGCGCACGTCCCTTCCTTGTGAAAGGGTTGGCCATAGCCTGCCAGTTCCATCTGCTGTTGCTGGCAGACGTATCGGGGTCTGTTGCACCTTTCTCAGGATCGCTGACGTCTGCCGGTTGACCAGTACCTTCCTGGAGCTCAGACGGTTGCTGTGCTTTCGCTCCTTCTGGTGTCAACCGATCTTCAATGGATGCAGGTTGACGAATTGGTGGTGTTTCGTTGATGGGGTGGTATCGTACTGTGTAGACGGTAGAGTCTGCACTTGTGGTGTCCGTCCGGCTGACTGGTGAGGCAACAACAGGAACAGCCGGAGCAAGGACTGGGCTCTGTACGCGCACATACGCACTCGAGCTGCGATCACCGCGACGAGCGGATTCAGAGCGGCGGTGGACTGGCGGTGGCGCGGGGACATGAATAGTGCGCTTCTTGCGTGCTTCTGCCCGTGGTGACTCGGTCATCTTTCGTCCCAGTCTCTGGGCAAGCTCGCCAACACGGCCGCTCTGGCCCGAGGCGAATGCACTCAGACTGAAACCGCCAAGCCCACCATCGCCTCCGTCCTTCTTCTCGTTGTCGGAAGAATTCCGCTTCGAATATGGCCACTTCGATGATTTAGATGATGGGGTGTTGTCGAGCATGTCGTCTCCGTCGTAGATCTCCCTTCCTAAAATTCCATCTTTTCTTTCTTCTCTTTCTAGCGCCTCGATGCGCTCTACCCATTCCCAAACAATGACACTGGCTGCTGCTGCTCCGACCCAACGGAAGTAGTCTCCCCAGCCGGCGATGGTGTAGTTAGCAATGTCGGTGATGAAGAATACGACAGGTGTGAGTATGGCGATGATTGATAGTAGGGCGACGACGCTCATGTTCCACATCATGGAGTGGTAGAAGGCGTAGCGTCGCTTGGTGATGGCGTAGTAAAGGACCCAGGCCGCATACAGCATGCTGAGGGACAGCTGGAAGAGGTAGCTGAGTGCGGGGATGGCGGTGTCGAAGTGTGCAGGGCGGGCGCTGTTGTCGTACGAGCCGAAGCTGTTGAGAGAGCTGAAGGTGATGTCGAGTAATATGAGGGCAAATCCCACCCATTTGATGATGACCTTCTCTTTGTGACGGGGGAACAGCCGTATCAGGGTCTGTACCTGCGCAAGCCACAAAAAGATGTCGGAGATGATACGGGACACTTTGATCTCCATCCCTGAGACGACCTGGTCGCGCAGCTCCATGGCATCGATGAACCCCTCGGCGTACTGGCGCCCGGCGATCTTGAACGTGTCGGCGGTGGCCAGCGTCAGCGATATGGCGACCGTCAGCGCAGCTACCTTCTGCAGCCACGGGCGACTCCCCACTCCAATAATGCCTCCTCCTCCTGACGCGCCGCTGATCATGCCGCGTCGTCCCATGAGCCCTGAGCGTCCGGAAGCGTTGCCGGCGAAGAACGTCCGGGGCGTGATGATCAGCATGATGACGAGCATCCAGGCAATGACGGTAGCCGCGCCGGTTGCGTAGGCCTGCGGAGTGATGGAGGCGTGGAAGGGGTCTCTGATGTCGGCGACGCTGAGGACCTGGCCAGTGCCGTCGCCGTCAGCGCCCTGCGAGGCGGAGGTGCATTGCGGGCGGAAGACGGCGTTCGTGGTGAGGGTGATGGTGTTGCCGGGGCTGATCTCGATCACCCCGTACTCGGGCAGTTTGTAGGACGGACAGTGCTGTGAGGGGGCGTCAGTCATCGCGTCGGGGGCGGCTGTCGGGTCTGCGATACTCACGTAGGGCCGGCTAGAGTCGCGCACCTCCAGCACCGGCGTCGCCCCTGTCCACGGCACGCCCACGGCCTCCAGCATGGCGGCGTGTTATACTGGTCCAGCAGCGGCGGGTGCCTGCGTGAGTGCTCCCATGGGTGTCCAGACGTTGCGTGTGCGGGTATGCGGTGCGGTGCGGTGCGGGTCGTAGAGTGGGCGAACGTGCAGCTGCGATGGGTGCGATGGGTGGATAAGCGGCGTCGAGGAGTGGCGAGCGACCAAGGCGGACTGGGCAAGATGCTTGTCTCGCTGCGGCAGGTGCCACCTTCTGCTCTACTGGCGTCGAAACCACGGGGCGTCCGACCCACCCAATTCCAGACTCCAAGCACTGCAGAAGCCGCAACAAAGTTTGCAGCCAGCAGTTCTCCGCCGCCTGGGAACGCTTCGCTCCGCAGCGTCGCACTCTTGTTTGCCTGCGACTTTTTGCAGCAGAGGCGCCGGCGACAGCGCTGGCAGCCGCGTGAAGGGGCGCTGACCTGTTGGGATGGGCTGTTGCTCGCTGGAGATACTCCGGACGAACTCGGGTCACCCAACTGCATTACTAGCTCCCCACAACACTGGTTTGGAACAAGAGACGCTGATAACATGGCTTCATGTTGTGGCATGAGGCGTACAGTGCAGTGGCCTGTCCAGCCGCCTGATTTGGTTGTGTAGGCTGCTGCAGAGCCAGCGCTACCACAGTCCATCGAAACAGAAACACCTTGTGTCTCTTCCCTGGGTTCAGACAGGCTCCACGTCAAGCGTCGCAAGCACATGGATGACAGTATGACATTTGCGTGTCTGTCCTGCGCTTGTCCTGCGCTTGTCCTGCGCTTGTCCTGCGCTTGTCCTGCGCTTGTCCTGCGCTTGTTCTGCGCCGTTGGACCCTTTCCCACACACTCGTTGCTCGATGGCAGCTGGAGGTCTGGAGAAGAGCGTGCACGGTGACCGCGCCTAGACTGCATACCCGAACGAAGCTCACCCAGCCCAACACAATGAGCTTGGCCTAGCCAGCCTCAAACACGACATCACGAGCGCACACAAATAACTGTAACAACCACAGATGCGCTCCGGAGCCACAGCCGCAAGGAATCAACAACGCGCTCACGATACCACTCGAACCATGCGAGAAGGCCAAAGCACACTGAACACACACTCGATCCATGTCTGAACGCATGTTCTCCTAGCCGGCTCTCCAGGTCGGGACGGACAGAGCGGCAGCCTGCTGCTTCACCCGGATAGGCGGCCTTACCCAAACCGCCACGTGCACGATGCTGGCCGTCGACCCTCGAAGCAGCACAAAACAACGCCCTCGCACTGTATCCGACAATTCGGCCCCGGCAACTGTCGAATCGCATCCCAATTTTAATCTTTAGACATTCCATTCTGACGTGCTCTTTTGAAGTCTGGATGCGAAAACAGTATTCAGAAGCCTTGGGCGCTGGTGCTTGTGGGTCTAGAGATCCGTTTTTGCCAGTGAGAAAGCAAGACGCTTGCACCCACACCCGTGGTAACGAAGAGTCAAGCTCGATCGCCGTCCTCGAGACACCGACCGACTACTCTTGGTATCACGGGTCAGCGCTGCGCAACACAACGACATCGTGAAGGCTAGAGGTATTCGCTCGCTTTTACGGCTACCCTTTTACGGCTACCCTTTGGACATTAGCTGCTGACGTCATCACGTCTGCTCTACAGTGCTTCGGTAGCATGACAGCTATCTATGATGAGAATCACTTGCTGTTGCAGCCGATATAACATCTTACAGTGCACTGGCTGAAGACACCTCCCGACTCTCCTCAAACGCCCTAAGAGCAATGCGGCTGCTTTTCCTGCCTCAACCAACTGAACACTAACCGCACGCACAAATCTGCCACGTTCAGGTACAATAACCTCTCCTGATCCCCCACTACCCTTTAGATCAAGCACAATGACGAAGGTGCCGAGTTTCACACCACCAGCCGTACCCGGTCCTTGACGACTTTGTACATGTCCAAGACACGCTTGATGAAGCCAAGCAGCGGCGACCCTGCTTTCGGCTGAACAGCCGGACTTGCTTCAAATCTAGGCCTCGACAGCGATGGGTGGCGAGTATCACCAACGCCTGCCAGCGCCATACCTGAGCAGATTGTGACATCAGTGCAGAGATTGCACCTGCATTCACACTGGCCTCACGAACAAGACCGTGGAAGACCGAGACGGTAAGGTGAGAAGTTGCGCGTCCTGCTATCACTCCTCTCACAGGTCCCATCACATGTCAACGAAACTGTCAAATCGAAGATGTCCATCGAAGTTGACGAATGTGTACACGCCAGTGACTAGTGGGCCTCACTGAGCCCGATTACAGTAACGACCAGCTCCGGTCAGCACAGATACTTCTTCGTGAAGGTACACATCTAGTAAATTGACAAGATCGAATGAAGCTGCAAGCCGCAAGACGGACAACGAACAGCCTACTCTTCACCGCCTCCTCGTGGGAACGTGCAGCTTCATCACACCGAACCGATTGCGCTCCAACATCCTCTCTCAAACGTGGCTGTTCAATACAAACTCACAATTGCACCGAAGTCTGTATAAGCAGTGTTACACTCGTCCTAGAGAGTATTCGAACACAACCCAGCTCAAGGGAACATGCACGTCCATAAGATAGCTTCAAACCATAGGACATTTCTCCCTTTCGCAAAGATGTAGGTTCCATCAAACAGTATCGTCACTGGAAAACGATCAAACGCACAACAAAAGACACAACTGTCGTGCCACTTTCAGCAACCTGTGGCGACAGCCTGGGTTGTCACGCACTCACTGTGACGTGTCTCTACGTTCGCAAAGTCCTTTTGAGCGTAACGGTAGCTGCGGATCACTGCACAAGTGACTTAGACGATACAAGCTCACAGCCTTTGGTAGTCAGACACTTACTCCAAACCACGCAAGATCAAACCATTCCCCATCTCAACGTCTCGTCTTCCAACACGTCCCACACCAAAGATTTAAACTGTGTGTGCACAGCACATCACACCACACTCTCATCTTCGCTAATGCCGTTAAATCTCTCGACGCGATCCCCACCTGACATATAACGCACTGTGTAGCGCGCTAGCTCAACAACAAGTGATAAGCATATGCTTCTCTCAAGAGGCGTGGAGTGTTTCGTCACAGGATTGAGCATGTGGAAATTTGAGAGTTTCGCCAGCCGATGTGGGGTTTCGTTACATAGGTTGTAAAACGTATGTGTTTATCGGTCACTGTTGCCAGACTGGTTACAATGTCTCATTTATCCGACCTTACTATCTCAAGTGTGCATATGTGGAATGCATGTGCAATACCATAATGCCACGGCAGACGTCAAGATTTCTTTGCGGATTGTCATTGGGACACGGTCTTGTTGACGGATCAGTGAGTTCAGAAGCTAATGTACATGGCTGGTACATGTATGCAATCGTTGGCTTTCGAATGCTCTACCTTGAATTAAGGCTGACTCATGCGAGAAGATTTCGGAATAAGCGGGAAGTCGACTGGTCCGCATGCTAGTATGGATCTAGACGGTCCCTGTTCAGGGGTTGACTGTGTGGATGGTCTGATGAGGATGTAGTGGAGGCCTGCATGTTACTCAGAAGTCCTGGTAGCGTTGACTTGAGGAGTGAGTTACCCGTCAAGCATTCGATGATACATCATCGGGGTGACTAGAAGTTGGGGGAAGCTACATATCGATTCGTAGCCACTTTCGTGTATGGATGCGTTTGTACATGGTGCAGTGCTCCATGAGTAGGCCGTCATCGTCATTTCATGAAAACCTAAGCAATAGACGATGATGCAGGTTCATCGCACGAACGCAGTGCCACAGGCTGCATATCGTTTATGACCTAACAACCGTATTGCTAGAAACACAGGAAAGGTAGCTTTGTAGAATTGACATGTCGGCTTTTGACTCGACGTTTTCCTTGCTTTCATCATCCTGACACCTGGTACTTAGTCTTTCCAGGATAAATCGAGCATACACCAAGGAAAAGGTATCTCCCATTCGGTAACCAAGAATTCTTGTGGACGGTACTATTAGCCGAATCGCGGTAGCGTTCTGCGTGTTCTTTCTCAAAATGTTTGTCCGGTGGTGACAACATGAACGAACTGTTGCTGCTCTCCACTTCGACGACCAGATCGCCAGGCTGAGCCTTATCATGACTGACTAAAAGCCTCCCTAGAGAGTCTAGAAAGAACATTGCGCTCGTGTTGCGACCTTGGTGTCTGTGGTTATGACGCCACATTTTGTCTTCTGAACACAGGGCTCCAATCTCCCCACCATGCTTGGTCAAGCGATCCCAGCCTGAGCACACTCGAGTTTGAGACTCATCCCACTCTGACGATCCCAGCATCTTAAAAACGTTGCCTTGGAGGACTGCATCATTGCATGCCAGGACATGTCCCTCGAGTTCCGTGATGATAACGCGAAAGGCATCACTGACGCTCCCGGGCGCGTTGCTTGTCACATCTCCATCGAACTTGCGACTGCAAGACCGAAGGAGAGTAGAAACAACCTTTCCTTGTAGCAAGGAAGGAGTAACTGTGTGAGCCTCGCCTTCCTCAGGATATGATGCGTAGTCATCACGTAGAAGTGGCCGCGGTCGCCACCGTTGAGTGTCCCAGAATTTGAATGCGAATCCGCATTGCTTATCAGAGGACTCGGAGTTTCCTTCTCGGAGCGCTTATGGCAAAGGCACCGTAGTCCCTGCTACTAGCGGTAAGTGAATTCCTGCCTTTGAGAAATTTATGATAACTTCCTGTAAACTCAGTGTATAATCCGGCTCTACCAAGGGATCTCTTTGCCGCCTATGCTGAACATCGTGGCAAATGTGCAACAATGCGAACATTTTGTCGCGAGGGTCGCTGGCTAGAAAGATAGAAGTTTATCTGAAGCTGGGGATCAAAGTGCTGAGACCTCCTCGGAAACTTGGACAGATCCAAGCTGAATTGACCCACTCTAGTATATGTCTCAGTTGTTCTTCGTATTGTCGATATCTTGACGGAGCTCTTGGGACCTCGAGCAAAGTTCGTAGAAACATGAGGCCCATGACAGCCGTGATAAAGTCTGTCCAGGGCAGTACGTCGTGACCATAGATAATGGTCGCCTTGGGAAGCCTTTCGCGATCATGACCGCAGTATGGCTCTCCATTGACATTTTAAGTTGCGTTTCCTCGGCCAAGTCGCGGATGCATCTCTCCAGTTGAGCGATGTTGAAGTCGTGTGGAGTTTTGCGAGCTTTCGAAGGAAGCTTCTCCTGCGAAGCCTGCTGAATGATTAGTACTTCACAAACATATGGCTGCGTCGATCGTCGTCACCGAGCCAGAATATCACCTCCTCCGCTCGTGAGTAGAGGCTGTTCATTATCAAGATTTGTGTAGTCTTCTCCTTCGAACCATTCTAATTGATGCATAGATCATCGATCCACAGAGTACGTGGTTTTTGAGGCGAACGCAGGGACAGAAGTGCACTCTCAAGCTTGCGGGTGATGCGATAAGTCTTTCGAGAGTGTGTTCTTGACCTGAGGTCATCATCCAAGGTGGCAGGAAAATAGACCTGTATGTTGATAGTGTCGGCGACATCACCCCAGCAGTACGACAGAGCTTCATATGAAACTCTTTGGGACCACAGCTGTAGATTCAACGTCGTATGGTTAAGGTAGCGTACCAAAGGTTCTTTCCCCAGGGCAGGCTCCAGTTGTAGGTAGCGGATCTCGTTCAACTCCAGATTAAGAGGAAAGAAGTGGCTGGACTCATTCTCGACACCTCGAAACGGCAGGTAGGTTGTTCTCAAAGCTGCCGGTGCGCTCGACATGATGCACGTCTGTAGCCTTCCAGGGGTGCAGTGGGGTAGTGTTAGACAGTACTGGAGGATCAAGGAAAGCTCGAAGGTAGTTCAAGCTGACCCGGCCAACTCATACCACCTGCTGTGCGACTAACAAGGTCTGGTGATTGGTCGTCTGCCGATTGGCAGCAGGCCAGATGGGATGTTGGGGCCTCTTGCAGTCTGCAGAGAACATGTCAAGTGCGTTGCAACTGAAAAAGCAGTGTAGATTGTAGTCCATGATTTGGAACAGTCGGTAGGGAAGAACAGGCATTACAAAGCACTACCCGCTATACCGGAATTTCACATCCTTTCATTGGAGAACAATACATCGATGGGAAAAAGATCATGACGCTAAGTTAAAGAGATAGCAAGACGTACAGGTGATTGTACTTTTAGTCGACAGCTGCCCTCTGACTACGTGGATGATACGCCTTAATGATATACGTGCGACCTGCGCTCGTAATATCGACTCCACGCGAACCGAGCTCAGCATACATGTACAGCAACTCGCTGGTCAGTTCCGACTGATTGTAGTTCCAACCCTCAATCTACAGCGCGGCTTGGAGGGCCTCGGCTGCGTCAGGGAGATCGTCTGCAGTGTCCAGAGCTAACGAGACTTTGGCTAGTTGCTTGTACCTGTTGTTCGATTAGTTCCGACTTTCGAGATGTACCTTATACTCAAGCTTCGGTTAGCCTATAGTCTGAATAACCATGGCGAATGAGATAGTCGATGTAGAGTCTGAGATGACACCACCTACCGCGATATGCGTGAGGCTCGATCGACGCTGAGCAGGCAGACGAGTTCTGATCTGGTTCTGCAAAGTCAAAATCTTGAGACATTCTCCGTCGAACTGCCGGTGGTTCTCGTCACGGCAACCGATGCACTGACAGGTGAAACTCCAATGCTCCTGCAGAAATCTTCGGCGTTCATCGCGAAGGGGTAGCCAGAAGTCGGCTGAGCCTCTGTTGTATTCCATCAATATCTCCTCGCCGGCTACGATGTCACGGGTTGCAACAAGTCGCATGGACCCGAGATCCTTACCCGTTTGCTTACAAGCATCGCTCACGACAGCATTGGGATGCATGAATGGTTAAGAAGGCTAAGATGTTTACCAAATAAAAGCCAGCGGTTGGTGTTGACACCCGGGTTAGCAAAACCCAAGGCGTTTCTCTGGACGACCTCGAGGTCATTTGCACCGTGAGAAGTATGCAACATCTTCCGTTTGTTGAGGTCGCGTGAGATCGCTACTTGGATAATATTATCTGCCTCCTCTGAGGCGTAGGGACTCCAGCGCTCCTCCTTTTTAGATCGGAGGCTTGGTCGAATTGTGAGATGTGTGTTATGGGCTTCGTCGTTGCTCTGTTAGACATGATATGCAAAGCTCTGATATTTTGTGTTCGAGTTTCGAGGTTTGAGGGTGATTGAACATTGTTTTTCAGTTTGTGCCAGTTGGGAGGCGATTCTCATCATGTGACATTATGTATTGTGCGTGGGATACTGAAAGCCATCGTGCTCTCGTTTCGTAATCGAGGATATCGAGACAGGTTGATTTGTTCTGAGCTCTTGTGTATTGTGCGGTCGATGAGCCACCTTTCGTGGCGTTGGATATCCTTGGTTGAACAGTGTACGACACTACTAGCTCCATCGTAAGACATCTGAAGGATGACACCCTTAGATGTAGTGAACTCTAGGCAAGTAACGATTGATGGAGTTCATATCGAAGTGCAGGAGGGACGCAGATCACCAAACCGTACCTGCCAAGTCTACAGCCCAAGTGGAGCCTCCACTCGCACCCCAGCCGCCGACCCTAAATTGCTCGAGTCCACCTGACATCTGCTACCACGCATCGACAGGCTCTCACGGCTTGCCCTTTGCTTAGACATCACTCGTATCCGGATAGCAACTCTACAAATAACTTCTGCAAACGTCACCACCAATCCAGTCTGACAGCCGGCATCCAAGCAACACGAGCGCCCAACGCACGCGAAAGGCCTAGCCCTTGTACAGCTCGAGCGTCCTTGGTGTTTCCGCGCCTTCTGACTGGGCGTTAACACGAGCGCTATTGAATGCCGCGAATGCTTGTGCGATAACCTCAAAGGGGCACGCTGATAAAAAGGGACGTGAACGTCGCTGCTGTATTCGGGGTTTTGGTACTTGCACTTTACATTTTCACTAATACTCAACGTTCTTCTGTTTCATCTCCTTGCTGTCTACCGTCGTTACATATCGTGAAGATGCTCTGCTCAACGTGCATGCTCGTGCTTGGGTTGGCGGCTGCTGCGTTTGCGCAAGAGTCGAGCTGTAAGTTAGATAAAAGAACAGGCTGATGGCGGTTTACTGATGAATTGTAGACACAGGACCAGCGTTCAACCCCTCAGAAGCGCCGTACTTCGACTACAACTCTCTCGTCATCCCCACACAAACCACTCTTCCGGCTATCCAACCCACAGATGCGTTCAGCATGGCTACCACAATCTCTGGAATACTCCTCCCAACAACACCATTATCGCGTTCGTCCGCAGCTACGTCACGTTCCTCCAGTCATTCTTCGAGCCACTCCGCTTCATCGTCAGCATCTTCGAGCGCATCAAGGCTGGCGAGCAGTACTGTGAGCTCGGCACCTACTTCCGCGTCAACATCGGCGGCTGCGCAACAGAGTACTGCAGCTGCTGTTGCGAACCGTGCTGGTGTGGTGGGTGCTGTGGCTGGAGGATTGCTCGCTGGGCTGGCACTGGCTTGAAATGCGAATGAGATATGGCGTATGGACGGAGAGTACCAGAAGAAGTAAGCATGTCAATTAGTGTCGATGTCCCCAGGCAAGAATCTAAACGTGATGAGACGTTACGAGGTATGCCGCAAAGGAAGCTAAAATCGTATGCTTGTGGCATCGGGGTGGGGGGCAGACCAACTTTGTAAATCTCTGAACTTGAAACATGGTATGCTGTGAAGTCAGCTGTCCAACCTCTTTCTCTCAATCACGTACCCGGGGTCGTAAGGTTGCTATGATCTCCATTCTTACTTGCATTGATCCACAGCTTTCGATGGGAACGGTGTCAACATGAAAGGGTATATTGATGTTATGCTTGTGAAAATCTGACAACAGTAGCCGAACTGTTGAAATTTTTCCTGGACCCAAACCAACGCCTTTAGAACGCCGCACAGATGCATGTTCGTTCTCGCAGAAACTCTACTCCTCCATGGCATCAACCTCGGTAACTGACTCGGTCTTCTTTGAGTAGTACGCCTTGATATCGATCTTGAAGTCGGCCATGGCGACGCCAAACATCTTCAGCAGCGCGGTCTGATGGCTGTTCATGACCTGGCCCTCCTTGCACACGGTGTAAGGCGCATCAAGTGTAACCTTACCCTGGTCCAATCTGGTGGGCATGCCCCATTTCCTGATGGTAGTCTCAACGCTGTGAGGCAGCGGGACATCATCATCAACCGGCAGCTCTCCACCTCTCGAGTAGACGACACCAGCCGGGATTGTGAAAGTCTGTGTGGCGGTAACACCAGCGCGCGCAAAGTCGGTCTGCGAGTATGCAGCAAAATACTCGAGGACATCGGTGGGTTCGCGGTTCGTGAAGAAGAGACCGACGTTACCAGTGAGGTGCTTGGTGAGCTCAGAGAGGTTGGTGAGATGCTCTTCAGCGGGTGTCATTCCCAAGGCTTTGGCCATGACTTTTGTCTTGCCAAAGAAGAATCTGCGCAAATGTTACTATGAAAATTTGTGCCTTATGATTCGTGACCTAGATTTACCGGCTGTCAGAAAATTCAGCGCGCACTTCCTTCAGGTACGAGTTGCGCATGTTTTCAACCGAGAAGACGAAAACGTGCTCGAAGTTTTCAGCGGCTTCTTGGACATTGGCGAAGAGCTTTTGCGAAAGCTCCTTGCCTTTCTTGTCCGTCTTGGTGAGGTGTACGACCTTGGCGCGCTTTGACTTGGGCATTTTGGCGGTGTTGTGCGATTTTGAACTTTGGTGTTGTTCTTAGAAAAAGTTCTGGCAGTCGCAAAAAGTTCAAATAGGCGGCGAAGAAGGAAGCGACCGCCGACCCTTAGCGCAATGCAGCCGCGGCTCAAGCTCAACTGCTCGTCACTGTACCTCTGTCAAGAAAGCTTCAAGCTCTCTAACATTTCGCGCTTCCCTCAGCATGCTTCGCTCGTGACAGCGACATGTTGGATTTCATGGAGAATGTGCAAAATGCATTCTACGAAGCTTCACACTGGAATTTGGACAATTCCTATGGTGCGCTGAACACTACGGCACGAGGTACGCTTCAGCCCAAGCAATGTACCAGATTCATACTGACGGAAGCAGAACTGCTTGACTTTAAGATACCACAAGGTCTTCGATTACAGATCTCGTCTCTCGCTGCGCCAAACTTTGCGACTTCGTACACGCTGGGAAGTGTAGGTGTGGTAGATGGCTCAGTGTCCTACCTCTACTCGTCGCTGCCGTTGAGGAAGGAGTTCAAGAGCTCCCACATTGACCTCAAGAATGTCATACGAGGCTACAAGCATGTGCAGGAGCTGAGACGGCCCGACGAGAACTGGTGGTGGGAGCTCTGGCATGCTGGAAAGCGGGTTGATCGCAAGAGTAAGTCTTCCATGACATGGGTCTGAACGTAGGCTGAGATAGGCAGACACACTGCTGTACGGACGGGTGTTCCTTCCTCAATCGAGACTCGAAGCCCTGTACTTGCGCCGCCTCACACCCACTCGACAGCTCCGCATCGCCGCCGTTAGCGATTCAAACCTCAACAATGGGGGCACGATCCTTGCCCTGCTGCAGAACGATGTGGGCAAGTACAGCACAGAGTACATGTACAGCACGGACTCTGCGCTGATGGGCGTGCGAGGTCTCTATAATTTCGGCGCAGATCCAAGGAATGCGCCAACAGAACCGACATCCGTCGATCAAGTGGAACCGGTGCATGGTCGCTTCAGCGCAGGCGCGGAGCTATACTATGGCTTGTTGAACAAGAGTGGAGGTATCAGCACCGGCTTACGGTTCACGACACTGCCCAACCACCCGGGCTTTCCGTATACCATGACGCTTACGCTGAATCCATTGATGGGCAATCTTTCCTCTACCTACGCGGTCAAGGCTGGATCTAGTCTGGCTCTCTGTTCTCGTTTCGACTTCAACTTCTACTCATACGAGAGCGAGTTGCAGCTTGGTTGCGAGTTATGGCGGCAACGCAGTACCACAGATGTTGAATGGGCGGTAAAGAAGCTGCGCCCAGGTTGGAAGCAGCGCACCATTTTTCCCGATGACGATGTTTCTGGCGTGTTGAAGGCCAAGGTCGACCAGGATTGGCGCGTGGGAGTGCTGTGGGAAGGCAGGATTAAAGAGCTGCTCTTCACACTTGGCGCCAGCCTGGACTTGAAGAAGAGGGACCAGATCTTCCGATCCGTAGGCATCGAGCTGCAGTACTCTTCATGAGCCTGTCAACCAGACGCAAGCCACAATGTAGACGAAAACACGAACCAGTAGAAGCGCGGCATATGCCGCTGCCCAATCTGGTGGTCACTTGAAGCTAGGAGAGCAACGATGGCCGTCCTTCCGTAGGGCTTCTGGAAGCGTGTTTCGAGGTCTTTACACGTCACAGGCCGTTTCCAAAGAGTCGCGTAATGCGGGTGGGTACTCGACTCGCGCTCGCATTTATCTGGGCGAACATGATTTCCATATGGACTACGATCACAGCGTTGACATCCTGGTCCGGACTTGAGCCAGTGGTTAGTATGACTGCATTCTGCTTCCGATGGTGTGACGTTGAAACATGAGCATGTCGGGATCATAGTTGTCCGTCGAAGTTGTCAACATGGGGTCGTTTTGGCAGTCTTCAGTTGCGATAGTGGCGCCAAAACAATTGAAAGAAGGTTGGCAAACAGAGACACGTGTGCTGGAGAAGGTGTGTCGCGCAACACGTGAGTGGTGGAGAATGCTTCAGGATGGGAGCACTTCAGAGCTCCGTTCGGTGCCGAAGGGCGAGGATGCGTGGGAGTGGAGAGTGGATTCCGGATGCTGGGTTCGTGTTTCTTCGCTTGCAACGCGTTCCGCCATTCATGCTGCCGTGCCTGGCGTTAGCCTTGCAGTCAGTGGCAGGGAATTTGTTGGTACGCCAGCTTGACAGCTGTAGGGCGACTAGACGCCCACTTAGCTTCTTTCCCGAACGAAGACGTTAGGGCCAGAGAAATTGCAGTTCACTCGTCTTGGTGATGGCGAAGCTCACCACTTGGGTCTTTTTGGAACGAGTGCATCAAAGTGGGCAGGATCAGACACTGCACGGGCACTGATGCTCGATCAGGATCTCACTCGCTATCGGCTCACCCGAGCGATCAGTGACGAGGGGCTATTGAGAATCTGCGACATGCTTACGGTGCCAATGCGGGTCTTCTTGCCGCTGGGAGGCACGCCGTGGCCAGTTCCGCTAACCCTTGCGATGAGGCACACACAGTCGAGAGACCGAACGTTGTGCCGCAGATGCCAGACCGGAGAGCCAATGCGAGTCTGCCGTGCAGCGCAGTTCGCTCGATGACACCACGAGTTCCGCTGCATGCGGTGGCGAAGAATCACGGTCCTCAACTGCAGAACCGAGGCGCCTCACCCCGTATGGTGGGACTCGTCCTAAGGTTTTCTGGTACGTACCTGACGCTTGAATCGCGCCCAGCAAGCTAGTACCTGACGCGCTCTTCGCGCAACAATGTGTCTTATGCGGCCGGCACTTCAAACAACTATCGTATACTGCAGTGACAGCAATCCAGCGGACGGCTCCACGTTCGGCCGTCAGGCTGTCGGCGAGTTGTTTTGCGACAAGGGTGGCCCAGTGTGAACGACTCCTGAAAGGGACTTGGACCGGAGCGCGCACTTGGGGAGCTTCCACTCAGTCGCTCTCGCTGCGACAAGGGTGTCCGAGTCCGACGTTGCCTGGTTTCTCAGCAGTACGGTGCCCCTGGACCGTTGCGGACAGCATGCGCGGAGCCTATCGTGGGCTGTACACTGAAGGCCTCGTGGGTGCAGCTCAACGCGCACCAGACAATAGGACACAGCAAGCGTGACGAGCCTTGTCCAGCGACAGTTGTAGGAGCAAGCAAGCGTTTCCAGCGTCACCGCCGGTCTTTGGCGCTGGCGTTCAAAACGGCCAGCCTTGGTGCTAAACTTGCATCCTGACGCTACGTGTGGATGCAGCCGGTCGCGCTTGGTGGCAGGAGCGACCCCAATGCAGCAAGGCGCCTTTTCCCCCCTACTCGTCTTGCGGACTCCCTTTAATCTCTCTCCCTCCCCACGACTTTGTCTTAATCCATCGCCTTCCGGTGTCCGCAACCTCACGTCTGGTGCGATTGTGATCTCTTGTCACGTTCCCTTCTCTTGTCGACTTCTGCGAAGTGCCGCCATTCCTTTCGGCCTTTGCCCACATTCATTTCCACTTCACCCCATCCTTAGGCCCTGCCTGTCCGCTCCTTAGCTTTCCCCAGCCTCGTTCTACTCCTTCCCGGACCAGAATCGCTTTTGGACGATCATACTTTGACACCTGCTCCCCGGCTAGCAGACTTCTTTCCTTGAAGACCTCATACGCGCCTGGACGGTAGCTCGAGCCTCGACTCACACGTGAACCCCTTTGCACTCCGCGCAACTCGACTCGCCGAACGCCTCGTAACGCTCTCATACCTTCGCATATCCACTTGTCTGGATCCATTACCCTATACGACTCTTCACGAACATTGATAGACAGAGGTGCTTGGCTTGACCGCTCCCTCTTGTATCTCACCCATCCTTTCGAACCACTCACCACCCCCTGATCTTGGTTCACACATTTGTTCAAGATGCAATCCACCGACGACATCATGGAGTCCACTACTCCCTCTCCCTCAGCAACTGCAACTCCCACGCCGTCCTCAAGCTCGGCCGCACGCCGTCCTCCACGCAAGAGCACCCTTACTCAGCAACAGAGGAACCAGAAGCGCCAGAGGGCTACCCAGGATCAACTAGTCACCCTAGAGATCGAATTCAACAAGAATCCCACTCCTACCGCGGTTACCCGTGAGAGAATAGCGACTGAGATCAACATGACTGAGCGTTCAGTCCAGATTTGGTTCCAGAACAGGTGCGACGGTGCATTATCTTGTAGATAGTCAACCCTACTAACATGGACACAGGCGAGCCAAGATAAAGAACATTGCCAAGAAGAGCATCGAGAACGGCGACGACTGCAACGACATCCCTGAATCTATGCGACGATACCTTGCTCTCCAGGCCATGGAGTCTGGGAAATCGATAGGAAGCAGTTTCCTCGGCCGTGCTGGTGGCATTCCGTACGGTAGCGGCATGCTTCTTAACACTGACACTAGCTCTTCGAAAGTCGGTATGTCACCTACCACGTCACTTTCGCTATAGGCTCGCACTAACGATCGTCAGTCATTACTCACTTTTCTGTTCGCTCTCTGAGCGTTGGTAGCTGGAGGAGAGTTGGCCAATCCGCCATGGATCTGGTCATCTTCTACTCACCAGAGAAGTGCTGCATCACATACTACATCAACAACGACTCAGCTGGTTACAAGATCGAGTACCCCTTCTCGTACATCAAGAACATCAGCCTTGACAACGGAGACATGGCCACAAATGCCGAGGGTGCCTCTCAACGACCAGGAGGTCTTGTCGTGGAACTCAACCGTCCACCGAACTTCTTCATGGACTCCTCTGGATCAGGTGGCTTCTTCCAGTGCGGCGATTTCACTGAGGACCAGCAGGCATCGCAGGTTCTGGTCCACCACCTTGGTGGCCACCCTAAGGTGTTGAGCGGACAACTGGCAAAACTTGTCTCACTGGAAGCGTTTCAGAACCGCCATAACATGTACGACCCCCATGCCATTGCAGTCTCGGCGCCCGTCTCCCCAATCAACTTCCGTCCTGCATCCCAACCCAACCATGTGGTACATCCCCACAGCGGTATGTTTCATGACTCCCACCTCACACCAAGTCCTTTCCCACCGCGTGGTCACAAGCGCCAGCGTTCTCGGTCTGTACCTGTGGCGGTTGACTTCTCGATGCTGCGTCATCCCATGCCGTCCTTCATGATTCAGCCCGAGCCGTCACCGTACATCCCGAACCCGGAGATCTTTGCTCCTGTTCCTCACTCTTCGTCAGGGCCCATTGGCCCACACCTGAGCATTGACACCTCCGCGGGTTACGGTATGGGCGATTATCGCCAATACCCCATGTCAGCCACAACGGCTAACTCACCCTCTGAGTATGGCACACCGTCATTCTACTCATCTGGACCTCAGAACGATAGCATCCCTGCTTCGAACTTTGGTCAACAGTACAACATCCCGCCATATGTGCACACACCTATGGGCCCGCCTCCCCACTCGGCAGCGTTGACTTCTCCAATGCCACCAATGGGTCACCATGACCCCATTATCGCCAATCAGTCACCGCCACTCAACTCCTTCGGTCGCGATGGCTCTGCGGATGTATATCCCATGTCTCATGACCAGGGCATGTCAGATGAGACGCTTCACATGACAGACATGTACGCGAAGCAGAACCTCAACCTTCCCTTCCGATCACCTCTGATGGAAGAGAACGTTGATGACCTGGACATGCAAAATCTGGTCTCTTTTGGTACACTCGACCCTTCGGGTCTGTCGCCTGAACATCACCACCAGATGTAACCATGGCATGGATTTGCGTTTCTGATCGCTGTCATTTTGCTCGCGCTAATACCCTGTCCTCGTTGCCTTGGCGAAAGTGCTGTGCCGCTCAGAGCTCGCTCTTGAAACAGACGTGTGCACCTGCTGCTGCCACCTTTGTTGGCCATATTCATACCTAATGTGTGTTTGCCTATCATTACATATTGGCTCAGAATGCTCGACCATATTGCATCTTCTTGTTCGATTTCTTCCTCTTCAGTTTCTTGTCGCTATCGACCTGAGAAAAATCTTCAATCCACCTCCATTTGACAGATCTTGGTAACGCAATCTGAACGACCACCATATACGGGATCGGTTACATCTACGGCGTTGCTTGGGTTTGGAAGGATGGGAAATACACACGACGGCGGACTGGTGGAACCTGCGCCACCACCTCAGTCGGTAGTTGTCGGGTCGCGGTGTTGGAGGTTGCTATGTAGTGTATTCACTGCGGATTTCTTGTTCAGATCTTTTTTTTCTGGAGTTCTTTCATTGCCATTTTGCTGCAAGTGTTTCCTTTGTTGAGATTTCATACCCTTTGTCGGTGGAGAAGGGGTTGGGGGTGATCGCAGTTTCGTCTGTGACATCTTCTGCGGGTTGGACGTGGATGTAGCCGCTGGGCGTGCTGAAAGCTTGTTTTTTTTTTGGTTCTAAACAGTCAAATATCTCTGCATTAGAGTTAGCAAAAACATATCGCTCCAAACGTACACCATCGACAGCAAGGCAGAAAGTGATGATTCAAGTGAAACTTCATTCTTCAGAGGGCACGACTAGCTTATATGCTCGAGGTACTCGGTGGAAATTGAGATTGACTAGTATCCAAAAAAGACCGTTTATTGATGGCAGTCCTAACGTGCAATCACCGAGTTGACAAGCGAAACGCCATCGAAGTGTACGATTGGCCTGCGTAGAATTACTCAGAGTCAACATATTTGATGTCCGTCTATACGCTGTGATTCGACGTGGGACGATATCGTCTCATCAGAGACCACAAATTTCTCGCTTGCTTTCCTCGCGAATACGCTCGTACGAGGGCTGCTTTACTGATTTCGAGGCACGTGACGTTTCTTTCAATCAAGTCGGATTTTCACACCAGACCCCGAACGGTCGGGCGCATTCGGCCCTAAATCTCAAACGTGAGTGCCGTGATACGGCAGATAGGTACCCGGGTAACAAGGTCTCACAGCGGCAGGCCGTGTTACTGTGCTGGACGAGCTTACGTCCAGGGGCCGTGTCAGGCTGTCAGCGCTTGCCTGCCGCGAGTGGAGAGGCTGGCAGTCGTAGTAAATACGGCTGAATTACGAGGGAAACGAGTGCTTGGCAAGAGTTGTTTTCGTAACGAAATTTGACAGTTCGCTCTGGATGTCATGACGTGAATGCCGACATGGTGTATTGACAACAGTGGTGCGGCATCGAGGTTCTGGACGCGACCCGCGAAGCTTCGTCTCTTTGGGCCCAAGTCAGGGGCGCGCTCGAGGTGGCGACGGGCGGGAACATGATGGGGCTGCTCATTTCGCGCAACCATCCATGCCAATTTTGCTCCTGAAAAGTGTGAGGCCCCTTTGCAACGGGTTTGCTGCTGTTAAGCTTCACTGCACGCGACACGGCCAATCCGCAGGCCAATTTGCTTCCTCGCTGCACCTGCACGTCCATTCTCTCCGAGTGCGCCGCCAGCTTCCAGCGCCGACGTCAACTCGACGACAAGATCGTGATTGGGGCTTGGCGCAAGGCGAAGCTCGATCTGAGTCTCTGACCCTGTGGAGCAGCACAACGGTCCTGCCAGGCACGCACAACCACCAGCAACAATCTCTGGGGAAGACACTTGCACTTGCACTTGCACTTGCGCCTGCAGCTGTTGCCCAAACGTCACCCGGCCATTTGCAGGATCAATCACGTAGGTGGACTTTCTTAGCTTTGTCGACATTTGTTAGGGCATGGGCTCGGAAGTGCGCGGCATGAGAGCAGCGGTGCTGGATCGGTGCAGGACCGGTGCATGGGCGCATCCATAATCATGAGATGCTCGCACTGCGTCTGACGGCAGCCCTAGCCTCCGCCTTCCGCTCCACGTCTTATGTCTTCCTCCTAACACCACCCTCCACCACACCCATCGCCGCCAATTGCTCCCTCGAGTCGTGTGCTGATCGTCGCCGCCAGCAGTCACCCCTTTCACACCCACACCGACACACCTGCTCCTCGCTGCTCACCGCCTGGCGCAGACGACTCGACTCTATAGCTAGCTGTCCTCCACCCTCTGTACGCCCTGGGATCGCTGCCATGCCGACCAGAAGCATCAATCCGTTTGCGACATCCACCCCTATCTCTCCCTCAACCGACGCTCTCAACGAGAAGCGCGAAGAGCCGCGCCGGGCCTCCTTCACCAAGGGCAACAAGTTCACCGCCCTGTTCGGAGGCGCTTCGCCCAAGGCCCGCACCGACGCTGCTGCTCTGCGGGAAGCCCTCGTTGCCCAGCAGCAGGCTCTTCTGAACTCGCCCTCGCCGCAGCAGATTAATATCGCTTCCATATCCCTGCCGTCAATCAGTCTTACCACAGCCACTGGCGAGAAGATGCCTACCGAGCCCAAGACCCTCTTCCAGCCGCTCTCGCCCGAGGAGCAACGGCGACTGGCGCGAGCACATGCACAATTCGGTCCCCTCGGCTCCCAGGCGCATCGATACACAAGCAAGTTCGAGGGCGAGTTTGGCGACCCCATCGAAGACGAGCCGCCATACTACTTCCTCCTCACAACCTACATCAGCTACTTAATCCTAATAGTATTCGGACACGTGCGCGACTTCTTCGGCAAGCGCTTCAGGAAACAGCACTACAGCCATTTGCAGGAGAAAGATGGCTACGCTCCTCTTAACAGCGACTTCGATAACTTCTACACCCGTCGATTGAAGATGAGGATTAACGACTGCTTCTCTCGACCCACAACAGGTGTGCCTGGACGTTACCTTACTCTGCTCGACCGCAAGTCAGACGATGGCAACAACACCTTCAAGATGACAGGCACCACAACCGAGACACTCAACCTGAGCTCCTACAACTACCTTGGATTTGCTCAGTCTGAGGGACCCTGCGCCGACGCAGCTGAAGCAGCTATCAGGAAGCATGGAATCACAATGGCTAGTCCTCGCGCTGATTCTGGCACATCTGAGCTTACTGTGGAGGTCGAGGATCTGATTGCCAAGTTCGTTGGCAAGCCGGCGTCGATGGTCTTCTCCATGGGTTTCGTCACAAATGCCACCACCTTCCCCACACTTGTCGGCAAGGGCTGTCTCATGATCTCAGATGAGCTAAACCACTCCTCGATTCGATTCGGTGCCCGTCTCTCTGGAGCCATGGTAACTATGTTCAAGCACAACGACATGCGCGATCTCGAGCGTAAGCTCCGCGAAGCCATCTCGCAGGGCCAGCCTCGCACGCACCGTCCCTGGAAGAAGATCCTGGTTGCGGTTGAGGGTCTTTACTCCATGGAAGGCACCATGTGCAACCTGCCTGGCATCATCGAGCTGAAGAAGAAGTACAAGTTCTTTCTCTTCGTTGACGAGGCCCACTCCGTTGGTGGTGTTGGTCCTCGCGGACGCGGTGTCTGCGATTACTTCGGCATCGCCCCCAGCGAAGTCGATCTCCTCATGGGTACACTTACCAAGTCCTTCGGCGCAAACGGCGGCTACATCGCAGCAGACAAGGCCATCATCGACAAGCTCCGCACCACCAACGCCGCCATGCTCTACGCTGAATCCCCTGCACCCCCGGTCCTCGTCCAGATCGCCTCCGCCCTGCGCATCATCAACGGCGAAATAATCCCCGGTCAGGGAGAGGAGCGTCTCCAGCGTCTCAGCTTCAACTCCCGCTACCTCCGTCTCGGGTTGAAGCGTCTCGGCTTCATCGTCTACGGCCACGATGACTCGCCCATCATCCCCATCATGCTGTACAACCCCGCCAAAATGCCCGCTTTCAGCCACGAAATGCTCAAGCGCAAGATCTCCGTCGTCGTCGTCGGGTACCCCGCCACACCGCTCGTGTCCTCGCGCGCACGTTTCTGTGTCAGCGCGGCGCATACCAAGGAGGATCTCGACCGCATGCTCAGTGCGTGCGACGAGGTCGGCGATATCTTGCAGCTGAAATTCAGCTCCGGTGTTGCGGGTGGTGCTCTCCCTGAGGAGCTGGTCGAGAAGACAGGCAAGTTGGGCGAGCCCAAGGAGTTGCAGCCCCCAAGGTGGAAGGTCCAAGATGTGCTGAAGAGGGGCGTTGAGGATGTGCAGTTGCCGCTTAGGTGAAGCCCTGCCACCTCATCAGCTTCCCCGCCCTCGTTGTGTCATTTCTGTCGGCGCCAACTGGTCGCCTTGTATCGTTTCAACGCTTTTTCTTAGCATTTCTGGAGTATCATTGCGGGCATTTCTTGTACGATACTCATCTTCATACCCTCGCTGTACTACTCCTACCTTCTTCTTATCGAGACATCACGTCTCGATTCACCTTTTGCACACTTTACTTCTTCCACGGTACGCCGCTATGCGGCGCTCTGTGATCTTGCTCACGGTACAGCGAACGCGGTAATAGTAATACGATGGGTGGACGGTTGTATATAAACGACCTCATGATCTTGGGTCAATCATTACGAATGGAAGGACATTCTCCAATCTTTTCGTCTCAACATGCGTCGCATGGGAAGCCGAAGATTTCCTATCAGATGCAGTGACAATCTCCCTTACAGTAACCGTTAGCACTCCGCTACCACCGTAGACGCCTCTACACAGTACGATGGTTTTGAGTGGTCTGCGGTACTGATCATACGCTGTTTCTTTGCCCGTGTACGACTCATAAAAGGCGGCATCGGGATTCGCTCAGTCAGAAAGCTGCACAAGCTCGAAGCTCGAGGCTGTCGCAAACAGTGCGTACTATACAAACATGGCACATGCCGCGCGTCCATTCTCTGTTGCCTTACACCCTCCACCCGCGTGAATTCTACCTCGCGGGACCTTCGAGAGTGTTACGACGACTGGCTACTCGCGGATCCCTCTTCCCCATCGTAACCTCCAGCGCCTGAATCAACCCCCTCTCATCATACCGCACAAAACTCTCACCCTCATTCTTCCTCCCATACACCCTAATCGCCTCAATGCCCAGCGCCCTCAACTCCTCCTTATCGACTGCCGGCATCTCCGGACCCGTGAGATGGATGATATGCGTGACATACTCCTTATACGACTCTGTCGGCGGCGTTGCAAGCACACCCTTCGAGTTCGCCCCCGCTTTCGCAATTGCCGCTACGAAATCCAATGCCGTGTAAGGATCCAAGCTCGGCCCTGTTTCGCGATCCAGTGTGGAGTTCAGGATCAGGATCTTGTACCTGATCTGCGGATTACTCAGCGCTTCACCAATACCTTTCAACACCAACGATGGCACGATCGACGTGTACAGCGAGCCGATGCTGTATATCACCGCTTGCGCGTCGTTCAAGGCATTCAGCACCATGGGGTTTGCAGCGAGTCGGATCTCCTGACCATACGGGTTGATGTACCACAACCTCTCGATCCTCGCATCGAGTTCTTCTTCGTCGGCTTTGGAGAAGGCGATGTACTGTTTCCGCAGCGTAGGGAGGGAGCCGGGGAGGTTGGCGTCTTCGATGCGATCGTGCTCTTCAACTTCGTCGTGGGCGGGGTGGGAGTCTAGGGCTGTGGACTGCGAGGGGTGGGAGATTGAGTTTTGGCCCGTTATGATGGTGCCGTTGGCTAGGCCGACGGAGATGTGGTGCGTGAAGTTTGTGTTTATGGCAGGCAGGACCGAGGTGTGGGAAGGGACTGAGCAGATGCTGGAGAGGAGGTAGATGGCGGATTCGAATGAGCCGGTGAAGAGGCGTGCACTGTGAAAGTTAGTGGTTGTACTGATATCGCCGGTCTCATGCTTCTGAGGTGATGGATCAAGGTTCAGGCGAGGACCATGCGTTGGTGTCGGAGGAATATAGAAGCTCTATGGTACTCACCCCGTCAGAAACAGGTTGCCAATACTTGCACCCGAGAAATCGAACGTGGAAGAGGGTCTACGCCGCTTGATGATCTCGAAAGCCACGTGACTGAGGATCGACCGTATGAGCTCCTTTTTCGCCGTGGAGATGTTCGTCCAGAGTGCATGCTGCGCTTCTACAATTTGGAGCCATTCTTGCTTCGCCGGAACTTGCTCTTTCGGCAGGCGGTGATTGAAGAAAGCTTTGATGGCCGCTTTCTCACTTTCGTCGTTATCCGGATCATCTGGGATTAGGCGCACGAGACGACCTGCTAGAGGTGAGCACTATCCTTTCCAGCTTGAATTGAAGGCACACGTACTCCGTACATCACCAATACCTGTCGTTCATGAGCAGACTGCGTCGTTTTGTTATGGGTTGTACTTACCTGGGCCGCCGAAGACACGTATGAGCTCAGAGGAGCTTCCGCCGTTGTCACTGATAGGGATCACATAGCTCAGCGAACACCTCTTATCCTCCCGCACGGTCTTGAAGACATCGACCAGATTATTTGCAGCGCTTCCACCGGAGAATACAACAATGCCCTTGGCTTTGACAGAACCATTTGTGGTTGGAGTGGAGGTGCCGCTGTTCAAAGTAAGGAAGAATTCTGGAGCAGAAGCCATTGTAACGTCGTAGGAGTGTTAGGCGGAGGGAGGGTGACCACGAAGGTCTTTGTTGACTTATATCAGGACATGTTGTAGGGACAGAGTGTTATGTTGGAGCATTGCGAGGTACCTAACATGTTCACATGCTCGCGTGTGGCGGCCAGGGAAAGAGTCATGCACACTCAGCACTCCCTTAGGGCAGCAGGCACACCCTGCTGAATTAGGCAACATCTCGCATTTTGGTGTATGGTGTTGCGCGGCGCGACATTCGATCAGCTGGTTGAAGAAGTCTTTTTTGTATTCTTGGGTTTGAGGATGTTGTACAGAGCGAGTCCTCGGCTCGAACGCATGATAAGAGTACAAAGTAACGCCCTCCGTCCCAACGTGCATGTAGATTTTCCTTCAGCGTGCCATTGAGTCTGACGGACGAATGCAGCAGATTCGAGCGCAATTGCACACATGGCGGCTCTTCCCATGCTGCAGAGGACGGCCAATAGCCTGCCTCCTGTCTCTGATTACCCCTCCTCACATAGCCTCTATCTTGCTGCATGTGATCTACGACTGCTCTGCGGCAGCCGCCTCTTCACGCTCCTTCCTTCGTGCCCGCTTCTCGAGCAATGTGTCGCGGCGGTCGGCCAGGTACTTGAACTGGCGGTGCTCGACCCCCATCAGCCAGTAGCCAAAGCTGCCGCCGATGCCAGCATAGACGGGGTAGACCCAGAGCGACTCGCGGTTGAAGAGCGGGCGCATCTCAATGCCGAGCTGCCATAGTCGTGCCGCGATACCTGTCGGGGGGCAGCTGTGGTTAGCAAGCGCTTCGCAGAGCACACGGTGGTGGTCGGATGCCTACCGAGACCGCTCCAGAACAGGACCTTGTGAACCATTGCGACTGTGCGAGGGCGTGTATGTATGCGTATCCGAGACGGGGGGCGGCAATTGCAGGAGTTTGGGGGTATGACGGCGTTGTTGGGAGGTCGCGATCTCTCCTCAGGTCCTGGCCGGGGTCGCTTTGGCCTTGCGCAGAGCTCCAAAATGCCAAGGATTATGTAAGGCTTCACGGCGGCGCAAGGAAGCAGCATCGACATGACTGCGCCAGGGCCGACTCTCGCATTCGCACCCTAGAAACCAATTTCAATTCACTCCCATACTCAGGCGGCCCATACACCCGTTTGCACATGACCGCCCGCTCCCACACGTAGTCCACCGCTCGGCGGCCACCTCTAGCACGAGCCTACCTCAATCCACCCCGGCTCCTGCGTACATCGCGTTCGCCATGGCAGAAGTCAGTCGCAAACGCCCGCTGGACGGCGACGGCGCCGGCCCCGGCCCCGGCGCACCTCGCAAGAAGCTGCGGCCCGCGGAGCTGCCTCTTTCTCAAGCACAGCGAACGGCCATGGACAACCTGGCGCATACCTTCCGCAAGAAGGGCCACTATGACAGCATCCGCAAGGACTTGCTGGCGCAGTTCGAAGCCAGTGTATGTGGACATGATGCTACACGCTAGCGATGCACACTTCTCTAATTCATATTCACAGCCCGCCAAAGCTGACCTTCTGACCGCCCTCGAGGAGCTCGTAGACCGCGAGACCGACCGCAATCCCTCCTTGCTGTCTAAGGACCCCAGAGTTGCTGCGACGCTGATCGAAGGCGCCGGCGAGCGCAGCGACATCTATGGCAAGATCACGCATACCGTGAACACATTGCTCGACAAGTTGATTGAGGAGCAAGGCCTGCCCAAGATGCGCGAACATCGGACACAGGAGGTGGGTGCTGAGCTGGCAGCCGAAGAGGAAAAGCGCGGGAGCAAGACAGAGGAACAATGGCAGCAGGAGGCTGATGCTCGCCGGAAAGAGAGGGAGGCCAAGCTGGAGCAAGAACGCGAAAAGGAGCGTGAGCGGGAACGGGTGGAGAAGGCGAAGAGAGAAGAGCGCAAGCGCCGCCAGAAGGAAGAGGAAGAGGCTCGTGAGAGGAAACGGCAGGAAGAGAAGGAGGAACGGCGCAAAGCTCGTGAGGCGCAGCAGAAGGAAGACGAAGAGCGTCGACGGAAGAAGAGGGAGCGTATCGAAAAGGAGGAGGAGGAGGAGCGCGCACGTCTCAAGAAGGAGAGGGAAGAACACGAGGCCACCCGTGAGGCTCGCCTCAAGAAGATTCGGGAGGAGGATCGTGAGCGGGAGAAGCGGCTTGAAGCCGAACTCAGTCAGAGTCGCTCAGGACGTAGTCGAGGTGGTCGCGCACGCAGCAGGAGTCGAGATCGGGATCGGGATCGGGATCGAGGACGAGACAGAGACCGTGAACGGGATCGCGACCGAGACCGGCGCAGGAGCAGAAGTCGCACCAGGTCACGCGAGCGCACAAGGTCGGTCAGACCTGAGGATATCAAGGTGGACGATGATTTGGCGCTGCAGTTACTGCTACAAGAGAGCGAAGAGATGAAGAAGTCACGACAACGGCCTGCACTGGACAGGTCCGAATCACTCGAGCCACCCCTGAAGAAGGCGCAACCACCACGGACACTTGTTCCGCGGGATCCAGTCGCAGCAAGACTCGCAAAGCTAGACAGTAAACCGCATTCCCCAGCCGCCAAGTCTCCAAGCAAAGAACCTCCAACGCCCACAACGCCCGCTCCGGCCAGCAGAGATGAAGACACGCCCATGGAAGACGCACCGCCAATCGACGACCAAGCAAAGTCGAGATGGGATCGACCTCCACCTCCAAAGACGGAGAAATCACGTGGCCGCTCGCGGTCTCATAGCGTTGTTCAGAGCACTAGTGGCAGGAAGCGCAGCCGGACTCGGTCGAGATCGCGCGGTAGTCGTTACGATAGGCGGGCGTCTATTGTCGAAGACGACCGCCGTTCTCGCCGTGATGATGACAGACGTTCACAAAGACCTCGCGATGATAGTAGACGACGAGACCGAGACGATCGAGACGACAGACGACGCAGCCGATCGAGAGACACCCACACCAGCCGCCGCAAATCTCGAGTGTCACGCAGTCCCGAACGACGTGGCGACCGCGACCGCAAAACCTCGCGTTCACGATCTCGAGACGCACGCCGAACCCGCGAACGTTCTCCGGCTCGAAGCCGCCGCCATCGCTCGCGCTCAAAAAGCCCCGAAACTATCGACAGGTACGTACCTCGGAGCGGCGAGAAGCGTGACGACAGCCGCGACCGCAAGCGCCCAGATAGCCGTGAACGCAAACGAGATGACAGTCGTGACCGAAAGCGAAGCGACAGCCGTGACCGCAAGCGTGATTCCAGTCGACCTCGCCGCCGCGACGACAGCCGCGATCGCCCACGCAGCTACAGGTCTCGAGAGTACGATCGCTGGGACGCGAGAGACGGGACCGCGCGGGAAAGCAGAGACTCTCGAAGCACCAGAGACACTGCAGAGCGAGGAAGTCGTTTCCAAGACTCAGATCGTTACATCCCTGGTGATGCTGGTGGCGACGATAAAGATGCTGACCGTGAGGGTAAGCGCGATCGCAAGGAGAGAGAAAGGAGTAGGAACAGGAGCAGAGACAGGGATGGAGACCGAGATCGAGACCGGGACCGAGATACCAGACGGCGCCGCAGTCGGTCGAGGAGTCGAGATCGTGGAGGCCGGAGACGTCGTTAGCAAAGATTCACAGACAAGGCATACCATCGAAAGGCATACCATCGAAAGGCATACCATCGAAAGGCATCCCATACTTGGCAATCTTGGAGAGACCATACAACTCAGGCCAACGTTTGTATTGTCATTAAGTCAAACACTTCTGATACGGAGCAGAGAGGCTCTGCATGAGGTTCAGGACTTGTATTACTACTTAGGTACACACTTGTAATATGGGGCACCATGCATACCCCACATTGTATCAATGAACAAAGGATGGTCCCCAGGACACTCAGCATCTACCGAAAGGCCATTACGAAGTGACAGCTAACTACGAAAGGAAGTATCTGGTAGGTACGTCAGAAAGACATTGATGAAAACACCGCCATACTCATCGATAGGAAGACGTCCAGGGACGTCAAGTCTAGTCACGATGCCAGGTCTACAAACAGTATAGCTGGACTTGGTCCTAACAGCCTTTATATATATGCAACTTGTTGGCAAGTAGTTGAGGCGCAGTCTGAGCCATACATCTGCTATCTCCCATCGAGCTCGAGACACACATGACGTCGTAAGTCACGGCAAGTACCATAGTCGAGCCACAGAGGCTGTGTCCATCAATCTGAAACTTGAAGATCTGTCATCCAAGCCTCACCAGACACCTCATCGACTTCAATGATCTCTTCCGGAACCCCATCAAACCCAATACGAGGTGGTTGATGCCGGCTGCTCATTGGCCAGCTAGTTCCGCGCAAGCGCTGGGGTCCACAACGCTGGATAACCTGTCACACCTCAGAAACTCACTTCTCAGCACCAATTGGCCGCGCCTGCGCCTCACTGCACAACTAAAAGCAGAGTCATCCTACGGCGGGAGCTCCTCGAATCTCTGCTCGTGGAATTGCTAAGATGCCCGATGGATCATGGCGAAGAGCCAACCGGAGCGGGAAGCGGCTCAAACGCAGCACGTTGAAGGGTGCCCTGACCCTTTGTTGTGCTCATGCATAGCTTATGCGCATTTGACGGGGCAGATATTAGCTCTTGGAGCCCTTCTTGATGTTGAAAGCCTACATCCCGACCTTTGTCGTTCAGCCTTGTTCTTGCAACAGCTTGTGAAGCGTAGCGAAAGCATCGTAAGCATCGCTTTTGCTGACGCTTGCCAACCCACCTGGATACGTCAACTGAGTATCTTCAGATAAATCAGGCCTACTTGGGCTCCGTACATCATTCGCGGAGGTGGCAGCACCACTAGTAGGGTACATCATGGACCCTCGATACAATACGTACCCGCAACGACAGGCACAGCAACCTCAGCCTCAAGTAACACAACGTCAGCACCAACGGTTCTCATGGCAGGCTCCTGTAGAGACAGAAACAACACCACGGAGGCTACCACAGTACCAAGAAGTACAACATCAACCACAGCAGCCGGTCGTCAACACCAACATAGCCTTGCAACATGATAGAGGCTTTTCATATGCCCCGACTTCGACCGAACACAATGGATCAGCATACTATACATCATCATCGGATGACCCGACGCTTCCGTCGTCTCCGGTCTTTACACCCATCGATGATCGGCCACAGTCAATGTTCAACATGCTGAACACACCAGCACGACGCCAATCACAGCAAGCTTACGCACCCTTGTCTCACCCACATGACGAAGAGACACTTTTGTCACCGTCATCACCGGAAGCTCAGACTCTGCCATTCATGTTAGTAGAGTCTGTAGTCGGAGGCCAAGACCAAACAACATCACAAGCACAACAGCCCGCGCCAGCACCACAATCGCCCGTCCAGCAAAGCAGACATGCACGCCAAATGAGCAATTTGGCACCTCTCAATACAAACCTTTCACAACCCGTCATGCCCGCAATCCCCCAAAGTCCGCGCTCCGGCACCGAGCATCAGACCTCACCCGGCGCCCTCCCCTACAAGACACCTATATCTCCCATCTCCTCTGCGCCAATCCGAAAAGACACACCAAACTCGTCCTACAACAGCCACACGCGGCACCAAACGCATGCAGCCGAACCCTACTCCCCACACAACTTCTCATCCCACAACCTCGCAACACCACACGCCATTTTCTCCCCCGACGCAGCCCACGGACCCAATGGCCTAGACTTCTCTTTGCACCAACCAGGCCAAATACGGCACCCGAATATGGACGACCAATCGAGCCGGGCGTGGAAGAATGGGCTGTGCGCTTGCACACCAGACGTTTCCACCTGCCTCACGGGCCTCTTCTGCCCGTGCATACTCTCCGGGCGCACCGCGTACCGTCTCTCGCAAAAGAGTAAGAAGGCGGATCCGACGGATATGCTGGGGCATAGTAGCACGAATGGGCATTGTATTGCGATGAGTTTGGCGTGTGGGGTGGGGTTGGGGTGGGTGTTTCCAATGGTGCAGCGGACGAGGATTAGGCATCTGTATAAATTGGAAGGTAGCTGTGGGGATGATTTGGTGAAGGGGTGTTGTTGTTGTTGCTGTGTTGCTGTGCAGAATGAGAGGGAGGTTAGTGGGAGGGAGGAGAGTGCTAATCGCTGGGCGGGGCCGGCGAGTAGGGACGTGTATACGAGGAGTGGGGGGATGGAGTATAGGCCGCAGAACTGAGGCGTCGATGGGAAGCGCGGAGGAAGACAGACTGCTTGGGTGTTCCGCTCTGGAGATTAGGTAGGGTGTACACGAGGATCTTGGTCGCTGTCTGCATAGTCTCGACGATACCCATCGGTAATTCCTTGTTCTCTTTCATTGTTTGTTCTTCAAGCGAGACCTGTGTAGAAGGGGGGAAATGGTGCTAGAATGAAGCGTGGATGCTCACACAGCTCAATCCGATCCCTGATATTGGCCAACCCTTTTCTCATACCAACTCCACCATTCTTCGACCAGTGAGCACCAATCTAGTTGCTTGAGTAATAGCTGCCTAGCCACGCCGTAACTAGAAAAGTAAGCGCAGCTCCTCAGAGAAGTTCGTCGTGGTGGAGAAGATGCTCCATGAATCTTCAATGCAGCGAGGCAGGATAATCAGACGAGCAGTATGAGGATGAAATGTAGATGGCCGTGTTGGAGGTGAATGGATGATTGTGCCAAGGCTGTGTATCAATACTTCATCGCCGTTAATCCTTCGTCTACCCTCGACTATCCTTCTGACATAAGGACATATCTGAAATCCGCCCTGTCAGAGTACAATCGAGATGAATAAGCTCTCCGACTTCGGTGTGCATCAGACTGAGCATGCTCGCTAGAATGCCTACATCTAGTCCTCGTTCCCTTCAGAAAAGCGTTAGTACCAGCCTCCAAAAGAACAGGAAAAGCAAAGAAATCCAACAACTGGGTCTAGATATTCGTACTTAATCGATGAACAACAGGGACCGAGCTCGGCGGCAGTCCACCATACTCGGTAATGACCATGTCGATATACTTTGCAGGTGTGACGTCGTACAGAACCTGCAGGTGATGCAGGTTCTTTGATTCTTCGATCCACTTCAGAACGTCCGATGTGTCTGTCTTCTCTTCCTCGCTAGCAGCAACTTTGTCGTCGTTCTTGCTTGCGTTTCTGCTGCTGGGCAGCATGGACTTGAGCGGAAGAAGCTCCCGGCGTTCGGCTTCAGAGAGAAGCTCCTCTGCGGGTGCGACTTCGTTGCCGACAATCGAGTCGAGGGCGACCTTCTCGGTAAACTTGACGGACTGGCAGAGCACAATAACAGGGAGGGAGTGCGCGCTTGCGAGCATCGATATGCTGGCTGTGCCGACCCGAGAGTAGAGGCGGCCGTTAGACATCATGGCGTGTGCGCCGAGGAACACTTTAGTTGCATCCTGGATGGCATGTGAGGCGCCGGTGATAAGGTAGTAGCGTACTTTGACGCCGGCGTTCGCTAGTTTGCGGGCAAGTTGCTTGCCTTCGAAGAGTGGCTTCGAGTCAACAATGATGACGGAGAATGGAGTGCCGGCCTTGTGGGCGTGCAGGATGGCTTGCTCAACAATTGAGCTGGATGCGTAAGTGAGGATGACATCCCCAGGCTCGATCTTTGTCGAGGCAAGATCGCGGATCAGTCTGTCAGCTGCAGTGACGCGCTCGCGGATGAAGATGTCGACTTCCTCTAGTAGGTCTCGCTTTGCCTCCGCTTCAGGAGTTGAGGGATCGATCTTGATGATGACATCCTTCAGCCATCGGATAGCATTTCCCATGCTGATGCTGAGCGGTCTACAGCTCCTTAAGTACTCGATTTGCGGACTCAAGTGGTGGTTCGTAAGATGCCGTGCCAAACTGGTACCGGGTGGTGTCTGATATGATTCGATCACAGCCTTGAAGGACAGAAGCATTGCCACCATACGAGCGGTACTACCGCAAATTGCGTAACTGCTGTACTGCAACCCCAGAGACAGAACCGCTGGGTGTACGTCCTTTCCTGCTCCGTTCATTGACTGCTGCTTCGGTTGACTGTACAAATGTCCAAAGAACAATCCAACCCCAGCCTGTCTTGACTCTTTCTTGCTCTTTTTTTCAGGTTCTTTTTGCACTGGTACATTAGACTGAGAAGGTCGTCTTCTTATGGGCACAGGCCTGGCTTGCTCATTCTTTGCGCCTTGGTTGGGCTCTTTCGATTGCTTCTGTCCATCTTTGGGTGCTCCTTGCTCTTTCGAAGGACCTCCCGGGCCTTTCTGCTGTGCTCTCCGGGCCTGTTTCTCGGCTTGCTTTTGCTTCTTCAACTCAGCTGGTGAAAGCTTCTTTAGTGCACCATCCTCGGCTGGCTTTATGGCCTTGGCATCTCCGTTTGTGGTGGCAGCTGGTGTGTCTTGGGGTTGCGAAGTTGATGCGACGGGAGCAGGCACTGCCTCTGCTGTTTGGTCAGACATGGTTGGCTTGTTCCGGAACTCGGCTCTCTTCTCCAAACGTGGCGCGTCGACAAGGTACGCTTCGCGCTGATGTAGTGGGGTAAATCTGAGATTCCTTGATACTGGATCTATGGGCAGGGAGTGTGACTTCCAGTCGATGTTTATGGCCAAATAGAGTTTGGTATGGCAATTTAACGTCTGTCGTCAACCCTGGGTTGGCGCCGTGGATTTTTGATAGAAACTCGTGAAATTGACTCAAAGGCCAGAACGGTGCTGGCGCACTTGGCAAACGCGCCCCACAATTTTGCCCCGCCACTGGCCGCGACTCAAACGTCATCTGGCAGCCGCAACTAACAGGGTCCAAACACAAAGGCTGCAGCATTCCTACACAACACCTATGCGTAGTTTCAAATAAACAATTGACTTACTTCCTGACTCCTTCACAACTTGACGCAACTGACTCATCAACATGACTGACAAAGCCACATCCATCACAGACCTTCCACTCGACATTCTCGTTCTAGTATTCCCATACCTGGACGCGAAGTGCTTCCTTTCACTCTGCAGCACATGCAAAGCTTTCCAACAACCCTCGATCCGACTTGACCCAGCATACTGGAGTTTCGCTACTCGCAGTGCTTTCCGTGTACCCAACCAGCCAGTCGTCCAGCACGATGGCGTACGGTGGCAGAAGCTATATCGACGCATGCTAACTCAGACTCATGTCTTTACCTGGGGTAACAATGGTCACAGTCGTCTGGGTCATGGCTATGGGGAGTCGGCACCCGGAGGTCCCTTGCTTTTACCTAGACGGCCTGGCCGGATGAGGTTTGGAGGCAGAGCCAACTGCGCATTCCCTACCGAAATGGAAGATACTCGACACCTGGGCGTTATTGCAGACATGCAGTGTGGGTAAGCAGACATGGATCGAGGGCTGCATGCATGCAACGAGCTAACAGCACACAGTGGCTGGTCCACAACGCTTCTCACTGCAAACGGTACACTCCACACGGCCGGTGTTCTTGACGGTCAAGTAACTCTAGCTTCGCACGACCGCATATCGCCTCTCGGATTTCCCGCCGGTTACCCTTCTACGGCCACCGAATCTCGATATTACGAGCCTTCTGTTGCCATTCGTCAGTTCTCAGCGGGAAGATCACACATACTCGGACTCTCAGACAATGGAAAGATTTGGTCATGGTACCACGCCAAAAAGGCGGCATTGCAAGTCAAATTTGCTCACGTAGACTTACGGGAACAAGCTACAGAGGGGTCCTCGGCGAAGCAAGCTTCGGCCTTCGGACACGTCGAGCAAGTTATGGCTGGGTGGAGCCGTAGCTCTGCCTATGTTCAGGGTATAGGCATTGTGGTCTGGGATGTAGTCGAACGAGGGACGAATGACGGTGACACCGATACCATGCTTGTACTTGCAAATGCCGAAGTACCGAAGACAAGCTATCGACGACCAAAGGGAAAAGAGCGAGAGAGTGAAGAACAGAGGGCTCTTGGCGAAGAAGTTGGGGCCGTCCTCAACTATATCATCCTCGAGCACTTTGTTGTCTTTACTACTGACGCCGGCAAAGTGTTTTGTGGACTCTTCCGCGATCAGAACATAGTCGATGACATACTTGAGCTACGCGATCTGCGAAGCGCAAACGGCACACCTGTAGACGTGCAGGGCTCCTTTCGACGCTTCGCAGTCTTCAAGAACGGCGAAGTCATCACCGCCAACCAAGACTACCTGCATCAATGTTGGAACGCCCGAGGTACAGATTCGACATCTGGAGGTCTTTACAAGATTCCAGCTTTGCAACACAACGACGTGATTTCTGTCGCGTTCGGTGACTACCATTATCTCGCACTTCACTCCAACGGCAAAATTACTTCTTACGGTACCGAACTACAAGCTTGCGGCGCGCTTGGCCTTGGAGAAGAAGGCCCCCAAGGAAAGGCTCGAGGCATTGTTTACGACCGCTTCAATCGCGATGGGCGCCTTCTACCTCACGCATACACGTACGGTCGCCAAGTATGGTTCGACTCGAGAAAAAAAGATTGGATCCAACAACTTATCCAGAACGCCCCAAATGAAAACGAGGAAGCGAGACAGCGAAATGATCTTTTCGAGGAAGAAGCGAATGTCCAAGGAGAGGTGAGCGAATGGATCGAGCAAGAAGGTCGCGAGTGGGATAAGGATACTGGTGAAGATGGTCTCGGCGCATACTTCGCCCTGAGAGTCAGTGCTGCAGGATGGCATTCTGGTGCTCTGGTGTTGGTGAATGAAGAGCTGGCGAAGAAGGAGCCGTCGTACTCATACGAGGGCAAGTCTTTCCCGCGACTACGGCTCAGTGATGGCAACGAGATGCCTGGTTCTGGGGAGCTGGATGTTTGGAGGCACGGGCAGCCTGAATGGCAGCTCGATGCTGTATCTTGAACATGACTAGAGTCCTACACGCAGTGACAGCAAGCCAAAGCAAGAATACACAAGTTAGGACAACGCCATTCAACTAATCCCACAAATATATTTTCCAACCTCAAGACCTCCTCACAAACCTCACACCCGCCACCTCCGGCCTCCTCAAATGTGCACTAACATTAAAATACTTCTCATCCCTCAACACCTTGTTAACCCGTTCGCGCGCCTCCCCTTCACTCTCCCCACCCTCCCTCACAATCTCAACCCTCCAATCCTTAAGCAGCTCAGCCATAATCCCAGCAAACTCAACCTGACTAAACTTCCTCGCCGGACACATTCTCGGTCCAATCATCCACGCAGTATACGCCGGGCCCTCCGGCATCTGAAACCTCTCTTCTCCCTCCTCATCGACGCTGATGAAGCGCTTTGGATTGAAGGTCTCGGCGTCCGAGCCCCAGCGAGGAGAGAGGTGCGCGCCGTATTGGTTCATGCCCATCAGTGTGCCTGGTTTCACACTGATAGTCCTGGGACCAGAGGGCGTGGTCACATCGATGTTCACAGGGACAAGCGGTGTTTTGACGAACAAGGGCGCGGGAGAGGCGAAGCGAAGTGTTTCGTACATAAGAGCGCGGGTGCGTAGCAATCGTGGGTAAACATCGTTATACCCAAGATCGCTTTCTTCGTCTTTGCCACTGGCGTGAGTTTTGGCATGCGTGTCGATCTCTTCGGCAATCCAGGTCTGGATCTCGGGGTGGAGGGCGAGGAAGGGGAGCGCGAATGTGAGTGTTGCTGCGGTGGTTTCGTACCCGCCGAGGTTGAAGACGAATATATTGCCGTAGAGTTCCGAGTCTGTGAGGTAACTTCGTGGTTTTCCTGAGCTGTCTCCGCGCTTCTCGAGTTCGTTGGCCGATACTATGGCTTCGATCAGACTCGCCGGGCGCGTCCGTAAGACGGAGGGCTTAGAAGTGGATTTCATGTGTGCAAGGACTAGCTCTTCCATGTACAATCTGACCTCCGCGACCGAGACTTTCAGCTTCCGCAATACGCTTGGGAGCAGGAAAGCTGGCGCTTGGAGCGAGTTGAACACCACCGTGAGCAGAACATGCTTGAGTATGAACCCCATGCTCTCCATGAGGCTCATCTTATGCCCCTTCGGCACGCTGGTCAACTCGGTCTCCTGGCCAAAGGCAACAACAGCGAGGACCTGCATTGCCAGGATATCAAATGTACTCCTCACCCTGCCCAAACTCCTCTCGCGCTCCTTCTCAAGCGTGAGCTTCAGTGCTTTCGTCTGGCGTTTCGCTTCACTCCACACACCAACCATCGTGCGCTCATTGAACGCTTGTACAGTAACCTTTCTATGCCGTTTCCAGTCCTCGCCGTGCGTGCTACTCACGTTCTGCCCGAAGAAGGTAAAAAGCTGACTCTGGCTCTCCGGCATGCGCCAGATGTCTCTTGTCTCGGTCCACACCTTTTGCACAACGGCGGGTTCGCAGGTTGCGATGATGTTGTCGACGGGGGAGCAGAGGACGAGGTTTTCGCCGTAGCGGCGCAGCGAGCGAGAACCGTCTTCCGTCGGCCAGCCCATGGTCGTGTAGAGATACCAATTTCCAAGGCCGAAGGGGAGGTATTCGACCCATGCGAAGAGGGGCCGGAAGACCATCCATAGTGGTTCGTTGAATGAGACTGGGAGGAGAATGATGGGTAGGCCATAGCTGCGGGCTTGGAGGTAGTTGCGGACCCATTTGAAGATGCGCACGCCAACAAAGAGAAGGAGAGACGAGGTGATGAAGAGCAAAATCATGGCTCTGAGTATGGAGGGAATGCAGAAGAGGAGAGTAGTTAACGTAGTACAGAGTTTTTGACCGCGATACTTTGTTGTGGTGTTTGTTTTTGTACTTATTGCTGATATAGTCCTTAGCGCAGAAGCCTTGCATATGCCTATGAGGGTTAGGGAAGGCGCGACCTACATTCCCACAATCTCACCTAAGCTTGAGAGGGTGTAGATCGGTTTAATTGATTGATTGGTTTAATGTCCTATACAATCTCACCTAAGCTTGATGGCGTGTAGAGATAACATGCACAGATGAATGATGTTGATTCGGAACTATACAAGCAGCAACGAGAGGGTCGTTCGTCGCCAGGGTACTAAGATGACAGAGGTGGTTCGAGAGATTTAGTTCGACCTCTTTTTTATGCGTCCTTGTCCATGGAGGTCTTGCCGCGCTCCTCCTTGTTCTCAGCACCAGGTCGGTCAGTGGAGACGGTGCCCTTGAGCTTAGCGGTCTCAGCAACACCCTCGCCCTTCTTGGACTTCTCGGGGTGCTTGGAGATCTGCGACGTGTGGTGGGTATCGTCGTTAGACATGCCCTGCTGCTTGCCGGAGGTCTCGTTGAAGCTCTTGGGCTCCTTGCGGGGGTCGGGCTGTTATTGTCAGTACACGTCTGTCTGCTGGCGCATTGTGTCGCGCTCACCTTGTCAGACTTGTCGGGGGAAGCGACGGCCTCGTCGTCCTGCTTCTCCTGGCTGGCCTGTGCCTTGGCCTCCTTGTGCTCCGCCTTCTTGCCCTCAGCAGCCTTCTCGCGAGACTCGGAGTGCTTGCCCTCCTCCTGGCCGTCGGTCTTCTCAGACTCGTCCTTGCTCGAGTCCTTGGCGTTGGCGTCGGACTTCTCCTCCTTGGGAGCCTCAACGTTGGTCTGGTCAGTAGACTCGTCCTTGGGCGCCTCCTCCTCGGCCTCCTCGTGCTTCTCGGCGTGGTCGTCGTGACCGCCGTGGCTTAGGTCCTGGTTCAAGATGATGTAGAGACCACCGACAGTCGAAGCAACAGCTGCGGCCATCCTGGGCATTCGTTAGCGACGTGCCGCGGAGCTGTATGCGCATCCACAAGCTGGCTATGTCGGCAAACAAGCCCACGTCATTCCTCCACCGGTTGAACAAATTGACTTACCATGGGACGTCGCTGCTCTTGGCTTCGCTGTGGCTGTGGCCGCTGGCATATGTCCTGCGCTGAATGCTCTGGCGAAGAGGCTGGGCAACGCGGACGGCCGGGCGAGCGGCGCGTGCGACAGAGGATGCGCGGAGGACGGTGGACCTGATGAAAGACATGGTGAAGCTGCGGGGATATCAATTGACTGCAGTGAAGAGCAATTGATGACAGTGACGAAAGGTTGATAGGTGAGGTTGTGGGATCAGGTCACTCGGCACGTCATGTCAACGAAAAAGGACCGTGCACAACCTTAACCGGATCCGCTTTGGCTCATTGAGCTGACCAACTCCTGGGAAGGATTTGGAGGCTTTCAATGTTGATCCCATGGTGCTCTGTTGAGCTTGTTTGTCCATCTGGAAGTATTTGGAGCCATGAAGAGGGTTCTCTGTGGTGGAAGGAGCTCTGCGATGGAAGCTACATTCTGAGCAAGCTACGTCACAGCTGCTGTCCATTGTCTGAGCGGTGTGCAGAACGCCCAACATTGGTTCAGATTGGTTTGGCAGTACAAGAGACTGGAGTTGGTTTCAGTATTCTGGAAGTAGTCACGTCTAGTAAGGCGAAGTTTGTATGGGTAGCTGTCCGTTTGCTCATTACTATGTCCGGTGAAGTGAAGACCGTGCGCGCATGAAGCTCTGGGGCAAATGGGACACAAGCAGCAGGCGGCAACTGGTTGATCAGCTTCCACAACGATCCCTCCACTCCACTCGCCAGTGTCCGTCAACTATTTACTCTCTGCAGATACAGCGCGTTCTCCTCACGCGCTCGTAACAACAGCTTACCACCGCCCACCATCAACACCCCACCATAGCTTAGGTACCCCGCCGCGCAACAGCTCACACTTTGTAGACTGCGAGCATCTTAGACGACACATACAGCCACCATGGCGCCCTCGTCGGTACCGCCAAACCCGACCGCCCACAATGTCGCCCAGCTGCTACCGAAGCTCACCGATGCAGACCCCGACTTTCGGTTCATGGCGCTGAGCGACTTGCACGACACACTCGTCGTTGCTCACTCAGGATTCCTACAGCATGACGAAGTGACATGCGCGAAGACAGTCGAGGGTCTTCTTGGCACACTTGTTGACACAAACGGCGAAGTGCAGAACCAGGCGGTCAAGTGCTTAGGGCCTTTCGTGAACAAGATTCCGGATAAGATCCTGTGTCCTATGATCGAGAAGCTCTCCAACCTGCAGACAGACAGTGCCGTGGACCAGAGCATACCTTCCCTAGCCCTCCGCGAAGTCGTCGTCTCGCTACCACGTCCCGTCGCTGGCGTTGCGCGAACAAAACCAATCCTCGATGCCTACAGCGCCATCAGCAGGGTGCTCATCCCACGCCTAGTGGGCTATCATGTCATTCACCCGGCACAGCAGGGTCTGCCGAAGGTACCGCAGGGCATGCTGCAGGTGGACCTTGAGAAGGGCACAGACAGCAACGCCATCGACGTTCTGATTGAGATCGCGCGTTGCTTCGGGCCATTGCTACAGGATGTCGAGATTCAGGCGCTGCAGAAGATCACATCTGAGATTCTCGAGAACGATCGTGCGAGCTCTATGATGAAGAAGAAGTCGGTCACAGCGATTTCCACACTGGCAGGGTACTTCTCAGACCAATTGCTGAGCAGCTTTCTGTCGCGCGTCATTGAGCACCTTCGAGACGCTCACCTGGTCCGTAGCAAGCGGAAGCTCTACATCACCATCCTCGGCTCCATGGCGAGGTAAGGTTCTCGACCGTTGTGGTTACTTTAACACGCTGACGTGAATAGGTCGATCCCTCGCAAATTCGGTCCCTACCTGAAGACACTGACGCCCTTCGTCCTGAGCGCAGTTAGCGAACAAGAACAAGAAGATGACATGGATGTGTCCGACGACGAGGGTGAGCGTGACCCTGAAATCGACGAGGTGCTAGAAGCTGCTCTTATCGCGCTTGAAGGCTTTCTTGCCTCGTGTTCACAGGATATGCGCATGTACACAGACGAGACGATCGCCGCAGCCACACGTTTCTTGAAGTACGACCCGAACCTTGCACAAGACGATGGCGATGATGAGGATGCCATGGAGAGTGACGAGGAAGACGCGCTCGAGGGCGACGACTTCGAAGAGGAGGCTGGTTATGATGACGACGAGGACGCCAGCTGGAAGGTCCGTAGGTGCGCAGCCAAAGTCCTATACACTTTGATCTCCACGAGAAGCAATGGTGATCTCATGGACGATGGGACGCTTTACAACAAGGTTGCCCCGGCTTTGATTGCACGCTTCAAGGAGCGGGAAGACAACGTGCGTCTGGAAGTACTTGCAACACTGTCGAACCTGGTCAAGAAATCAGGCGACGGACCCAGCCCTGTCAAGTTCTCCGATGAACATCCCCAAGGCGGGACGATGATGCCACCACCGAGTCGTAAGCGCCGTAGGGGTGGTAGTGACGCCAGCATGCTCGACCTGCACGCCAACTCATCAGTCTCAATGGGCTACTCTTCTCCTGCACGAACGGGAACACCGCCAGTCGGTCCTCGTGCCAGCCTAGCTAAGCTCAGCCCTGAGATCGTCAAGGGTGTAGCACAACTTCTCAAGCAGTCATCTTGCCCGCCGTCCACTAAGCAGGCGTCGATTGTTTTGATCAAAGACATTGTCATCACCCAGCAAGGTGGTCTCGAGGGTTACTTGTCGCAGCTACTCGAGCCTGTGGTAGAAGCTTCCAAGACCAGCAGCGGTCTCACAAGCAGCGCATCAGCAACGGCAAACAGCCTTCGCATCCAGGCTCTGCAACTCATCGGCGCCATCGCCGATACGCACCACGCGAAAGACATTCAGCCATACTTGTCGGCTATCGTCCCTGCCCTCCTGAAGGGAGCAACAGAAAAGTACAGCAAGCTGTCTATCGAGGCGCTTGCAGCAACTGAGCAGGTCATCAAGGCACTCACACCTCCTCGATCTGCGGCGTCAGGGGCACAGAACCAACAGTACTTGGAGCCGTTGTATGACACACTGGTCAGTCGAATCTCGGCGAACGACGCAGATCTGGAGGTTCGCCAGAGCGCCATTCACGTTCTTGGGTTGCTGCTCGGCCGCAGCTCTGGTACAGAAGGACTGCTGTCTTCACAAAAGCGAACGGCTGGTCTGGAGCTTTTGGCTGATCGGCTGAAGAACGAGCTCACCCGTCTGGCATCTGTCCGAGCCATTGACTCGATCGCGGCCCACACGAAAGCGCAGAACGAGCTGTCTGCGAAGTGGGTTCAAACCGTCGCCTTGGAACTGGGCGCACAGTTGCGCAAGGCCAGCCGTGTTCTTCGTGGTGCAAGCTTGAGCGCACTGAGGACCCTGGCGCTGAATGAGCGGTCTAGGAGCCAGCTTGACAGCCAAACCAAGGCACAAATTGTTGACCTGTTACTGCCACTCCTCAATGCCTCTGATCTTCACCTCCTCGGACCGGCGCTCATCATCCTAGCCACCTTCATCCAGGACGATGCCATATCGATCCTGACTCCTGAACTCAACGGTGCGCTCTGTCAGGTGGTACAAGGTTCGATCAGCGGGTCTTCTCTTGACGCGTTACTGAAGCTCGTCCGTACGATCGGAGAGCAGCAGGCAGGCCAGGCTCTGATGAAGTCGCTGCTCCAAGATGTTGGCGTTGCCGGTCATCCAGAGGTAGTTGGCAAGGTCGTTGGTAACCTACTTGTGTACGGTGGCGCCAGTGTTGGTGTCAAGCTTGACCAGTTCATCACCGAGCTGGAAACAGCTCAAGACGACAAGCGAAAATGCCTTGCACTAGTGGTGCTGGGTGAAGCAGCGCTTCGTCTCGGCAAACAGTCCACCGTCGATCCCAACCTGTTCATCAAGCACTTCTCCGTCAAGTCTGAGCAGGTGCCACTTGCAGCTGCTGTTGCTCTTGGGCGTGCTGGAGCTGGCAACGTCAGCCAGTATGTTCCTGTCATTCTGTCTACAATGGGCAAGCACTCTGCGCCTCAGTATCTTCATCTGCACGCTATCAAAGAGATTCTGCAACACGACGACACCGAGTCCGAGATCATCCCATACGCTTCTACACTGTGGCAGAATCTTGTCGCTGCATCCCAACTTGAAGACAATAAGGCGATTGGTGCAGAGTGTGTCGGCAGGCTTACTATCATCGACCCCAAAACGTACCTGCCTCAGCTTCAGGTAAGATTTAGCCCCACTGCACATCTACGCTTGCTAATTCCATCAGGAATTCCTGAACGACCGGAAAGCTGCTGTTCGCGGCATGGTCATCTCTGCGTTGCGATACACACTTACCGATACTGATGAAGCCTACGATGAGTATCTCCGACCGATCGTCGTCCCGATGCTTGTGCAGATGCTGAATGAGGAGGATCTGGACAACCGCCGCTTGGCCCTTACCACCTTCAACTCCGCCATGCATAACAAACCCGAGATTATCCTGCCCGCTTTGGACCAGCTCCTTCCTCTCGCCATGAAGGAGACCCACGTCAAGCCCGAACTGATTCGCGTGGTCCAAATGGGTCCTTTCAAGCACAACGTCGACGACGGCCTTGAGATCCGAAAGTCCGCATACGAGACCTTGTACGCGCTCCTCGAAACCGCCTTCACCCGACTCGGGCCCATCGAGGTCTCCGACTGCTTCGAGCGTATCGTCGCTGGTATCGCTGACGAGCACGACATCCGTGTTTTGTGCAACCTCATGTTGACCAAGCTGATGGTCATTGCGCCCGATCAGGTGCACTCGCGTCTTGAGGCTATTGCATCGAACTTCCGTACTGTCTTGATGGTGAAGCCCAAGGACAACGCAGTCAAGCAGGAGATCGAGAAGATCCAAGAAGGTGGCAAGGGTGTCCTCCGTGTCACTGTTTTGTTGAACAAGCAGTTGGGCACAGAAGGTACAGTTGGCCAGGATGACCCACAGTCAAGGACTTGGGCGCAGTACTGGGAGTGGGTCACCAAGGAGCATGGACTGCGCCTCAAGGAGGCTGTTGATGAGCTCAAGGAGCGTGATCGTTAAAGGAGCTTTTGTCAATGAAGGATAGATAGGGAAGGTCAACAGCCTTACACAAAGCACGAAAGAACGCAAACGAACAGTTCATGATTTTGCCAGTTTGGCGTACATAGCAGTCGCATAGCGTGGACACCAAAATCCAAAGCTCAAGAGGCTACAGAGGCCCATACAAGCACAAAATAGCTTGATTTATTCTATGCCCGTCTGACCTTCAGTCTTCTCACTACTGCTACTTCTATAGATTACGCATGCTCCTTGGCTAAGATCGGCAGCCAAGGTGCGTCGTCAGCATCAGCTCGACGGGGTCACTAGGCCAAACCTATGTTATCGAGATGGTGGCATATGATGCTACCCGGTGGTTGCTCATCGGAGAAGAAGTCCATTCGTGACTAAGAGACGTAGCAAGGCGCCGTTGATATGGAGTGAAATGCGGACTCCCTAGCGCGTGCACAGACTTTCCCCAAGCATAGCCTCAGCCGACTTCAACAGGAGCGAACGCCGTGACGCGATCAGCAAGGATGACCACCATTAATCATCAGATACGAAAGGCGGCGAGGAGGAGCCAAGCGGTTTCGATATCCTTGACTGTACCTTGACCTCAGACAACTGTTGCTCGCTTGTAACACATTAACCTGCCATTCACCTTCTGTGGATTGCGTCCAAGTACATACAACCGCTACTTCGCGCACAGCAACGCACCACAATCGCCCACGATGTACCTGAAGACCGGACTCCTCTGCCTCGCTGCCGCGGCAGGCATCAACGTCGCGTCTGCGGACTTTATGGTGTACACAGAACCCCCTATCCCCACCACCGCCATCCCCTCGTTCGCAAACCCATCAGACGTATATCCCCCCTCTTCCCCTCTCATTCCTCCCACTAACACCCCCCAGGCTGCCGCATGGACAACATCCGTCTTCCTCAACGCGAACTTTGCCTACAACCGCTTCACCTCCTCTCTCGGCGCGCCCTACAAATCCTCCCAATCCTCCGCCGCATCCGAGATCGCTGCCTTCGTCGCCACAGCCTCCAATTATTCGATACCGGCTGCTGTTACTGAGAGCACGACGACGCAGACATTTTTCGGCGTGCCGAGTTGGTATTCGGCGCTCCCGAGTGGGGCGAGGGCGTTTAAGGAATTGCAGGTGCAGGATCAGTTTAGTATTGTTAGGGGCGTTATCAGTGCCAGGCAGACGACGAGTAGTTCGTCAGGCGGGGCGAGTGTGCCGACTGGGATGCCGTTTGTTAGGGCGGAGTTTGGTGTTATGGCGGCGGCGGCTGCGGCGGCGTTCCTGTGATGTGTAATGAGGATGATGGAACCTCAGAAGATAGGGAATGTACGGATGCCGTCGGGCGAGGTACGCTAAGTACAGTGCCATACAACATGCGCACTACAAGATGTTATGTTGGAGAGGCCATGGCTGGCATAGCTGATATGGGATATACTGCTTAGACAACCGGGTATAGGTATGCAATTGTTTGACTTCCTTAGCACATGACCATAGGACGTTGAAAACAAGTTCTCCCATGCGATCCGCCGTCTGTCATGGCACCGTTTCAAGAAGGCCGTTATGCGCCTTCCTGTTTTCGATAACCACGCCCTCTACCAGGTTAGGCTTAATCCAGATCTAGTTGCTCTCTTTCTTCATTGCATGAACACCAAACTGGAGACAGGATTCTGGTCTGTGACCTTGACGGCACACCGACCGCCGACAACGCCATGTTGTTGACTATGATATTCCGCTGGTGCGCACCTTCCCACGGTCGTACATTCCCTACTGCTTGCTCTCCGCGCCCTCTCCACAACAATCAATGTGCAAATATAGACGCAACACCTCTTCCTTCATAGACTTGTCCAAAAACATGCGTAAAGCGGCCAGGCTCATTAATCTTGAGGATTTAAGAAGCGTGCTTGACAAGAGATTGCGTCACAACCTCTCAGCTCTGAAGATATCAAAAGAGCCTTGATTAAATCTAGCCATGACTCCTACAAGTTCACGATGGAGCAATGGTCGTAGTAAGTCTCATAGTGCACCGCTATGAGCGAAGAGGTTGCTGACTAAATGCAAAGCTTCTCAGAAAACATCCTAGAGAAGTCGATGGCTGAGCAACATTTTACAGAAGCACCTACGATGTACCAGATCAAGCTCTTCCTTGAGTGGTTCACTCAAATACGTATTGGTCTCTTGGAAGAATGTATCACCAATACAACCCTTCTTAACCGCTTCAACAGTCTGAAGCGTGTCTGTTGAAGTCATGCTTTAAGCAAAGCTCGGAAGCACTAGGTAATGCAGGCCCCCGCATGGCAAGCGAAGCTACAGTAACCCAATCTGCTGGGCCGCTTTTTGCGAACTTTGCTCCTGACTAGCGAAACTGCTAGACTTAGTTCAAGGAGCTTCTAGAGCCCAAGTATACGATCTTTGTGAACTTCGCTTTCTATTAGACTCTCTAATTCTGACAGAGATACTTCAGATCGCGAATGGACAGGGGAGTATTAACGAAGGATTGATTGACGGCGTTGACAAAACAATTGACAGCAGGGCTAGCATGGCAGCAATCGTCGCGGGAGGCTGACGGGCTGGAGGAGAGATGGCTGAAGAACGTCACAGGTTAATCACAGGTCTGTAAACATGTGAACAAAAGATGGCGAAGGTCCAGAGTGCGAACCTGTCCCGTTACACCGTGCGTCCTGGCACGTAGGGACGGACGTTATTCATGTGTGTCTTCTTTCGAATCTCGACAGAAGCGGCGGTACTAAGCTTCGGAAGGTGTTGCATATAGCGTGTGGGAAACATGAGGAACTGAGTTGATTGAATAGCTATGAAGGAGGGGAGCTATTTATGTGTCACGGGTATATACTGTTCAGCTCCCAGTTCCTGCTATCTACAGCAGTACTGTACCTTTTTGGTCAGTGTAGCACAGTGGAGCTGAGCTGTATGCCTCACGTTATGTATCTAGAATGTGAGAAGTGGGGAGCGTAAGCTAAGCCGGTAACAGAAGGAAGATCAAGTTAGGAAAGATGCTATAAGAGTCATTGCATCCACTGACGTCGCGCCGACAGAATCTCGCAGACGTTGCTTTGAGCTGCAAAACTGCTACTTCTGAATTTCTCCTTTACCTAGACACTGTCAACCCAACAAAATGGTCAAAGAGCATGTTTAGGGCTGCAGCCGTGGCTATCAAATAGCAGATCGAGAGTTCAAAGATTGAAAAATTTACTTCAAAGCTGAATGCCATCCGCGGAACCTTGAATTCTGCAGTTATGTCAGCGCTCAGAAGCAATGAAGATGCAAAACATGAAGTCGTACTGGAACACCTTCGCTTCATCAATGACAGAGTACTTTCTGGGTAGTTGCATATTGAGCAAAGCTTGAAAGCAATCGATGAAACTCTTCGCCAGCTCATTCAGTACAAAATGACTTGCCGCAGACCAGGGAGAATAACATACTTGGTTGGCTCAATTTCCGGCAGATGGCCTGGAGACAGGAGGAAGTCAAGAACTCGTACAAAGCTACCTTCGATTGGATCCTGGTAGGACCGAAACCACGAGAGAACTGAGATAATCTTGTCTCGTATCTTGGTTACGAGACATTGACACCTTGTTTCGTCTGTGGCAAGGCCGGAAGCGGTAAATCGACCCTGATGAAGTACATCGCTTCCCGCCTTAAGACCCAATCCTACGTACAGGAGTGGGCAGCAAGAGACCACAGCGAGCTCTCTGTCAATCAGCTCTTCTTGTACAATCTCGGGACAACTTTGCAAGAAAGTTGCGTAGGTTTGCTGAGAGCTCTGATCTTCTCAATCCTGAAAGAATACCCAGAGCTCATCCCGGCTATCTTTCCTGCCTTCTACCATCATTAGACCCAAGACATCAATGAACCGAAGTACGTCGAGATGAAAAAGGCGTGGGACGATGTCATCGTCTTAGCAGGTTCATTTCTGAAGTTGACCATCTTCATCGATGGAATTGACGGGTTAGACGGAGACCACACTGATTCATCCCAGTTTCTTCGCTCTTTATCGACTCCGAACGTCAAAACCATGATATCTAGTAGAAAAATCAACGAAGCCCTTATAACTTTCCGAGGCTGTCCTGTTTTGCGGCTGGAAGAGTTGACTACTTGGGATATGAAAGTCTTTGTACAAGGTCGCATAGTCTCTCATGATATTATCGTCTGGCACCGCAAGGACAACCGGGCAGAATATGATGAACTTGTCGCAGAGATCAAAGCCAAGACTTGTAGTGTATTCATCTGGGTCAAACTTGTCGTCAAGCTTTTTAAGGAGGTTCTTGATGACGGTGGGACTATGGACAGCTTGAGAAGAGTTCTTCAACTGTTACCGGGCGATCTGTATGAGCTCTACAATCGTATGCTCACCAAGATACCGGCAGAGTACCGACAACAAGCTGTCGATGTATTCATGCTTTTGCAAACCTGGCGACCGGTTGTTTCGCAAGAGAGCCTCCACGTCATGACCCTACATTTCTCACTGAAGGGCTCATTGAGATGTGCTTCTGTGCGTTGGAATTATACAATCTCCTACGATTCATGCGGTGGCAATGGGGTACGTAACGTTGGATGTACTATGATGTATTTAGATGCGTTGAACACTTGATGTTTGAATCAAAGCTTCGAGCGGAATGCCGCCAGTGAGACATTCTAGCATATGGCGGCCGTACTTCAGCAGAGATGAAGACAACCTGCCAAGACATGACTACGATCGCAAAAGCCGTTACCCTTGCAGCGACGAGTCGAGGTCCGCTATGAGGGCTGTCGCCCTTGATGGATCTACATCCTCAGGTGCACAGAACAGCTTCCTCAGCTTCGCCTCCTTCTTAAGCAACGTGAAACACTCTCCTGAAGTTTTACACATGGGGGAGTACTCAAGTAGGTAATGCAGTAACACAGCAAGCGCTGGGCAACATTTGGTGCCAATGTATGTGAAGAGAGTCCCCAGGCGTTGAAATGTCTGTAGATCGGTGCTGGACAGAAGATGCGTGCCCTCCAGCGCGGTTATTGGAACGGACGGTTTCCTTGTTTTGGGGGGTTGGTGCATGTTTGCTTGTTGCACACCCGAAGCCTTCGTGTATACAATCTGAGCCAGGAGGTTCTTTGCCCCTTCTCTACTGGCGGTGCCCATCAAAGCGAAATGTTCTTCGACTATGTGCGTCATCAGCCGGAGCCAGACTACGCATCGTAGAGTCCCACGTTCGCAATTTTCATTGTCGACGTCTCGGGCGGCCAAGATAAGGACTAGAAAGCCGTCAAGAGGATATTTTGAGTAGGGACCGTTGCCGTTCATCGCATCTTTGAGAAGCCTTGGAATGGTGTCTGCCAATGGAGCGGACGACCTGGAGCCCTGAGCGGGACTCTGCCCAAGCGGGGTCGTGGTCGTATCGCGACAAACTATGAGAGATTGCAACAGGTTGCGGCACGCCCATCTCAACGCTCGGGTAAGATGCGTATTCTCTCCTGAATCGACCGCGGTGAGATCATCAAGAGTATTGTAGAGTACCGCAAGAAAGACTGAGATAACAATATCCTCGTGGAAACGCCCTCCAAACACGCTAATCAATGTTTCAGTCCAAGACTGTAGATTGAAACGATGTAGATGGCCATGTGTCTGTACCAAAGGCAAGGCTCCAACAATACATGCAGCTTTAGGTGATTGCCCATGAAGTTTGAGGTAAACGGTGCACGCCTCGCAGTAGATTTCTTGTGACACGATGTCAACATCCGGATAGTTCCCAAGCACAAAAGGGAATATGTGCTTTGCATGTTGCCCTGGCGTAGGATAATTCGGAGTAAGCTCCTCGTCTTCCGGTCTTTTCAATACCAAGGCCATCACCTGACCAGATCTTGTGCAGAGGGAGCATGTACCTTCAAAATGCTCGCTCGCACTGTTCTCGCCGCTGTTGATGTGCCCCAAGTACTTATAACCTTGCGTGAACAATACACCAGGGTCCGGTGGGTTACGATTGTGGCGCGTCCTCGAGCGCCGATTACATTTGGTTTCTGATACAACAACGAAGGGGTCATAGTCTTCAACGTGTGATTCTGTGTATCTTGGACCCGATATAGAGGGAGAGACTGGGCCCAATGTACCCGGAGTAGATGGTGTATCATCATCCAATCGAAGACGAGCAGTAGCATCCGCAATCACAATGGTACGTAGTTCAGCCTCTTGCTTCTCGGCAATCATCGTGGTGGCAAATTGGCTCCAATTTTTTTCATGTGCCGATCGCAATTCGTCCTTTAGGTTGGCTACATTCTCGTTGATAAAATCCCTAGACGAATGGACCATCTTTTCTATACACCTGAAGGCACGGTGCTCGATGTCGTTTCTTGGGGCCCATACTGGATCGCTTGCATTTAATTGTTTCTTGGATATCCATCGCTTTACATCATCCTTACGCCCTCTTGTCGATGCTGTCATCAACAACGTTTTCAGATCATCATCGTTACTCAATATCTCATTCGTGAGCGAGCTTTCGAGAGTGTCGTTGTAGACGTCGCTAAGACTGAATGTACTGCCGCTGGTCAAGACGACAGTGTCCATGGAGAGATTTCGTTTTCGGGGTACAGCAAAATTGCGAAGAGTCTCATAGTCCATTTTGGGCAGGTCCTTCCAATTTGTGTCATCGTCCAAGACGATCGAGCTGTTTGGATCAGGTAAAAGTGATCGGAAACGACCCTTGCATTGAAGCATATACACTTGTCGTACCCGAATGTCGTGGTACAGAAATAAACAGTCAGGGACTGTAGCAAAAACCGACTTGCCGACGGAAATGTTGCCATCAAGTGGACGGATTGGGGCCCTGCCTACGCATATGACAATTGAAGCTGTGCCATGCAAGCCGGCTTCGCCCAAAGTATTAGAGAACTCTCTGACCAAATCGTCGCTGATATAGCCGTCTGTTACGAGCACCCACAAAGAGGAGTTGCGTAGGGCTTGACGATAATGTCTGTCCCGGAGAAGGACTGTAGGGTCTGTCCCGCCGGAGGAGTACATGTCCTCAACTTCTTCAAGTGATAGCGCTTCCTCGGCTTCATCATTCCAAGGTAGAATCACCACTCTAGCTTGCGCTTCATGCGAAAGCAGCTTAGAGATACCATAGATCGCGCTCTTCTCTTCTCTGAGGACGTCTCCGTTGGTGCTACCGGAGCAATCGACTGCGAATGTCAAGTCTACGTCTGACAAAGTGATAGTCCCACTATTATGGTGTTCCGATCTGCTTGGTTGTTGCGCAGATTCTTGGGTTCCAGGAGGCGACCCTCTTTTAGCTTGGTGTGTTATATTTGTGAGCGATGGTTCGTTCACAGGGCTTTTGAACGCACTCACTCGTGGCGAAACTGCGTTTGGAGCATGGGGTACAAGGCTGCTAACCGCGCTATTGCGCCCTAAGAGGTGGTGACCGAGACTGCTTGGTTCTTGCGCTGACTCCTCAGATGCTGAAGCCGGCGAGCCTGTTAAAGCTAGAGGTGCTGCATCTGCGGGCGATGACTTGTCCATAACATTGTGGGATACGATCACCCTTGATAATACAGTATTCGGGGCGCTGGGTGCGAGGCTGCTGGTCTCGCTGCTATGCCGTGTAGCATCTTTTGCGGGTCCCGGAAAGGAATCGTGCATAGGAGCTTTGCCATTTGAGTTGGGGGTCGGGCATCCGGAACCCATCGTGGTTGGTGAGCTCTTGCTCCAAGGCCATTTGGCAGGCATTGACCTCAAACTGATATCTTTCTTGCAACGTCAGCGCGCACGCTGTCGCGGATTGTGAAACTATGCTTACGAGAACTATTTCCAGTTCTGAGCCTCTTCAGGGAAAGTGGGTGAGGCTTATCTTTGGATTTCGTCGCTGGATCAACCATGTCTTTGGCTTGGGACGAGTGGAAGATATTGTGGTTTGGAGTCGTTACATTTCGCGCGGTGCAGGTTATCAGCTAATTGCAACAAAGGCTGAGCACTGTGAGTGCGCCATCCGTCGCAGGCTTGCATGCAAATGATGTAAGTGTGCCTAAAGGGTGCCTCAGCCTCGTTGCCTTTCTCCGATTCAAGCCAGTCAGCAGCTGCTAGCTGTGCCATACACTTAAATTAACCATGGCACTGCAACAAAGGCTGAGCACTTACAGTGCTCAGCCTTTGTTGCAGGCCTCCTGCATGCAAACGATGTAAGTGTGCCTAAAGGGTGCCTCAGCCTCGTTGCCTTCTCTGATTCAAACCAATCAGCAGCTGCTAGCCGTGCCATATACTTAAACCAACCATGGCACTGCAACTCAGCTCTGTGGCTTAGCTTCGATCCAATATGTCTGGTGATACCGTCGGTGTGTAGTTCGAGGTATTGATGGGCATTCGCGCGGGAGCGTCGGCGCCACTGCTTTGACTTTGGGAGCTCACAGAATATCGTCTTCTAAGATGACGAGGTACATCTTTCGCTCTGAAGTGAGCTCGAGTGGGCGCTGGAGGTGTATCCATGGAGGTAATCGACATATTCTTCGAAGGGCCATTCATGAACGCGGTGTTGCCCACAACCTTGTGGGGTGATGAGTGTAGCTTCGATCTGGACGCATTGGCGCTTTTTGCCTCCATCTCCTCGTGTGTGGAGTCCATGATCCAGGCAGACGAATGTGTTTTTGAGTATCGTGACTTCGCGTTTTGGGTAACGGGCAGCGCAGACCGAGCTTCTCGAATCGATGGCAGTGAATCTACAGTGCTGTTGCTCGTGTTTTGAGTACTGTTTATTGTTGTTTGCTGTTCTGCTATCGACGGCGACGCAATTGTCCGTGAGGAAGGCGCCCCACCTTGCGCCCCGCCGAGAATCCACTCAGGCTTGAGAACTGAGTGCTCTCTTTTGAACCGAGCTTTCGACATGTTGCTATCGACAAATATTGATGGATCTTGCGAGCATATAAGGGTTCACTTGGGTCAATGATACGGACAATCTATGACATGCCCGCCTCCAGTGGGGAAGCACTACTCAGCCTCCGCAGTGGCGCTGCACGCTGGGGCTGATTTCCGTACTGCAAGTTGGGAAGGCTGCGCAGCACACATGGCACTTTTGAATGCACCCTGTGATGCTGGAGCCATAGCCTTCTTATCCATCAAATACTGGGTGCTCCGCCTCACTTCCTGACCTAAGTTACCATCACATGGCATGGCTACGGACTTTGGACGGGATGCAACCGGAGCTGTATGTTGGCCTTACCTGACCCGGCCGTCATCCATTGGTATTATGAGAAGCTAAATCAACTACCAGAGAGCTTTTGAGCGCAACCGAGAAATTGTTTCACGGCTTTGTATCTTCATTCCTGTGTAACGAGACTGTGGTACAAAATTTCCATTGCAAAGTGAATAGCCAAATTCAGAATGAAGCAACATTGGGCGCGGAACAGTTGGAGAGGTGTCTGAAGGTGAGTTGTCAACGCCGAATACTTAAGACACTCGTATGCATGCTTGTTACTTACGAGTACAGCAGAACCTGGCATCAGCTCACGATTCCTGGAATTTCTTGTAAGTATGCATGGCATAGAGCGATAGTATCCGGAACTGAGCGTCATATGTAGTTTCGTCAACAAGTTTATCGTCCGGGATCGCGCCGCAGAAGCTCCACCAAATGCTAACAAACTTCGCATCTCCCCAGCGTCTTTCAAACAACTAGTCCAGGCTTTCAACATCCCTGCATCATTTGTAGATGCATTGTCCACTCACTATCTACCACACGGCCATGGACATCATCAAATATCCACAGTACCAGGCTCAGACAGCTATGGCCACTGGTACCTTTTACCTGTCCGGGTACAATTTGCATGCACCGATCAACGGAGCGGTCATGTTGCAAGTGCTTCGAATAGCAACCAGATGAATCCATACCACTACGTCCATCTGCCCGATATGGAAGTTGACGTTAGAGGTTTCTGCATAGCAATATATGCAAATCATGACTCGGCAACTGGCAACTCAAACTTCGTAGTGTTTAATTTTGTGCAGGGTCGTTGGGCCAAAGTTGTAGAGGAACCACAGAAGCGCGTGGCTGGAGCGATCGCACATTCTGCGAACAATGGACAGAAACTGTCACCGTACTTCCTTCACTTGGTGTATCTCACTAGTGTATCGCGTTGGTGGGCCAATGTCATGAGCAGTGTCTACGATCAATTGATCGCATACGTAAGAGAACATGCGGATACAACCACAACTATCGCTGACAGTGAGCAGGAAGAGGGCCTGCAAGAACAGCTCGACAGTGACAATGAATCGACACATTTCTATGCTAAGCTTGATCGAGCTTTGCATTGTATCGCAGCTCATCTCCAACGTTATCGGTCCGAATTGAATTCCCTCGAAGCGACCATTGCAAATATCTTCCAGCTCTTTAAGGAAAAACATGGCGCTTCAGACACTGGGGATCGAAGATTCACACTAGGGTTAGCGCAGACAGCATCGCAAGTCAAAGCAACGAACGACTTTTGTCAGGAGCTCGAGAAGAAGCTGAGTAACATACTAGCTTTAGTGCGCTGCAGCAACCACTTCAAAACTATCGTAGTCCAGCTAACGCGATACAGTTGTTCAACCGTATGCAGATCTCGAACACGCGAGCCCTTAACGTGGTCCTACAGGCTATCCAGACAGACACAGAGACTTCACAACGTTTAACTGAGGAGACGCGAAAAGACAGTCTTTCCATGAAGACAGTACTAGAACCTCTTATGATCACGATTATCAACTACTTACTCCTATTCCAGATCGCCGTCGTCACAATGTTCTTCTTACCGGGTGCAACTATCGCCGTATGCCACTTCAAACATTAAGCAGATTCCAGAAAGCTGACGAACAACAGGCTTTGCTTTCTATGCCATTCATGGACAATGTCGAGTTATTCAACTCGATCGAAAGTATATGGCTGTGGTTCGCTCTAACCATTCCTACGACGACATGTGTGTTCATGTTCTACTGGTATTGCAAACGACGGAGTGATCGGCGTGCCGAAGAGACAGCGAAAGACCAGACACAGTGAGAGCTTGGGGGTCGGGAGTGAGGATAAACAAAGCGTAACATACCCAACTAGCAAATTGCCCGATTTGGCAGGTTTGAGGAAAAGTATCAATTTACCCGCTAAATGGGAACGTTACCCGCTCGCTTGTTCAGGCATCGTCGGTCAGAGACTTTGTAACTCCTCACTCTTGCTCAACTCTGAAACCACTTTGGCTACGATCCTTGATACGAGTTGAATAGCCAAAGGCCATGGACAATAATCGCGTGTATACAACGCGCTTAAGAGTATAGCGTTTTTGGCGGTCAGCATGTTTGTAAAGATTATTGACCTCCAGCGGCTGTATCTTCTTTCCTGTTTGAGCTTCCACGTGACAATCTGCCTCCGCTGTCTACCCTTACAACAACCGCCATACCATCCTTTGATATCAGGACGCCTAGAGCAATAGTAATAGCTATGTCGCTTTTCAGCCGCTCGTTGAGGCCGCTTTTCAGCCGTTCGTGGAAGCCGCTTGCCTTCTCCAGCGAGGGTTTCGTCCCCATACCCACAGACAAGGAAGTCGATGAGGAGACCCTTCCAGACTGCGTCGCGTCTCGATACTATCCTGTCCGGATTGGCGGAGTCTTCCGTGCCCGTTACCAGGTGGTGAGCAAGCTGGGGTTTGGAGCCACCTCAACCGTGTGGCTAGCACGGGATCTGAGGTGGGTCGTATTCTTCTTCTTTGCATAGTGCCTGCCCGCTCAACCATCGTTTTTAGCAAATGTCGGCACGTCGCTCTCAAGCTCTTCATCGATTCAAAGTCCATAGGGATTGAGCAGGATAAACGAGCTCAACGTTTACAAGCGCATCGAGAATTCCTCGAAGGACCACCCGGGCCGCAGTGCCGTTCGCTTGCTGCTCGACTCATTTGACATCGACGGCCCCAATGGGAGGCATCGGTGCCTCGTGCACCCGCCACTCTGGGAGAGCATACTCGATTTCAGACATCGTGATCCTGTGCAGGGGTTACCGGAGCCGGTTATGGCCTTTGTGCTTAAGCGCCTTTTCCAGGCTTTGGACTTTCTGCATGAAGAGTGCCATGTCGCACATACTGACATCAAGGAGGCCAACGTGCTGCTCGGAGCGGACGAGTCCGTGCTAAGAGCCTTTGAACAAGAGGAATTCAACGAGCCTTGCCCGAGGAAGGAGCTCGACGGCAGAATCATCTACCTGTCCCGTGAGCTTAGCATACCGCAGGACTTCGATGCGCCTGTGCTGTGTGACCTCGGTTCCGCCGTGCTACTGGACGACGGGGCTGAGCGCCGGGAAGATATCCAGCCCAACGTCTATCGAGCACCAGAAGTCATCTTGGATATCCCATGGACGTATAGCGTCGACATATGGAACGTGGGGTGCATGGTGAGTGTCAATGGCTTGCATGAGTGCCCTCTAACTGATCCCTTTCTTTCCACTCGCAGATCTGGGACGCCTTCGAGGGCGAGCACCTATTTACCGGCCTCGGTCCGGAACTCGAGACGTACCGGGGCCGGGCCCATCTTGCTGAGATGATAGCCCTCCTTGGACCTCCGCCGCCGAGCCTTCTTGCCCAGGCGAACTTGAGGAGCAAGTTTTTTTCCGTTGCTGGTGAGTTGCGTGCTACTCGGAGGCATTTGTTTTCCTCTAACGACGCATTTGAAGGCGACCTCTGCGCGGGGATCCCCATTCCAGAATCGATACCGCTCGAGCACAGGGAAACATCTCTCGAGGGAGAAGACAGGGATTGTTTCCTACGCTTCATGCGGAAGATGCTGCAGTGGGAACCGGAAAAGCGCAGCTGTGCCAGGGAGTTGGCAGAGGATGAGTGGATACTCAAGCACACTACGTGAAGGCGGCTAAGATACTAGGGACTCGGCGTGTTAGATGTGGTTGTCGAAACGGCAGGTTTGCTAGAGTGCACATTTGTCTCACCGTCTATTTACTGAGCCCAGAGCAGCTCCTTGGTATCTACCGACGCTTCTGGGAAAGGCCCAAATAACTATTTGTTAGGGTTTTCAAACCTCAGAAGGTTGGCAAGATAGGTGTATTCCAGGACGGAGGGTTACTCCACAACTGTCCTTCAGACATCGCAGAATGGGAAACGAGGTTTGTCTAGCCCAACAAACCTGATGACCCAGATTTCGCTCTCTCCCTTGGCACTGGGACTCTATCAGAGGTCGTCGAGACCGGTAACCCCTCAGAAGATAATTCAAGCATTACAAGCCGATTTTTGCTCCGTATAATTGAGACTGGGAAGCATTGGTTGAATGCGCAGAAAGGCTACAACCGTTACATTAACTCTGAGTCTCGCTCACGCTATCATCGCCTCAATATTCAGTTCCATGGGCCCAAGCCTGGCCTAGACAATGCGTTGAAGATTCCAGAGACGAAGAACATTGTCTCCAAAACAGTAGAACAGGATGAAGGTAGCATCACCGCGGTTGTTGATTCTATCATGGCTTCTATGTTCTATTTTGAGCTGGACGGGCCTCTAACACTTAAGCTGGCGAATTACAATGCCCTAGCCATATTTACTGCCGTGCTGACTTGCGGGCCGAGGGCCTCCGCTATTTCTACGCCCGGCTACTGGATATCTCATATTGGTTCTTGACCCAAGGGAACCCCATCAGATGCGTCGATCAAATACCAAGGAGCCTGCTACTATTCAAGAAGAGAGTATGTTTTCGAGTCAAACATGAGGATGAACTCATCACAATATCAATTCGAGGCATCACAAAAACTTCGAGATCCATTAGCGGCTTTCCGACGACGCTTCGGTCACATCGGTGCCTACCTTGTTCCTGCACAGGTAGCTATGTACCCGTTTTCAGTCTCTGGCATAGGATTATTACCTGTCTTCGGAACATATCGGTGCCTGTTATCCTCCTGTACAGGCAGCCTTCTTCCCGTTTTTAGTCTTCTGTGTAGTTTGACTTCCTGTATATGCTATGTGCCGATGACTACCATATTCCTGTACAGGAAGCTTTCTCTCGTTTTAGTTTCCTATGCAATTAGGGTGGCTTCCTGTATATACTATGTGTTGGTGCCTGCCACATTCCTGCACGGGGAGCTTTGTATTGTTCTTAGCTGCCTGAACAGGGAGGACGACTGTTCTCAGATCTTTCAGGGCTTGATCTGTGGTCATCGTGTAAAGTTAACACCACCCGAGATGCGGACATACCCCACCCATTGTCTTTCACTGGTCATGCACTTGCTGATACAAATTCACTCTCGTGTAGCATCCTAATTTTAGGGTAAGCTGAGTGTTCCATTCTCCGGCGCCAAACGTAAGGACATTGCTCACTCTTTCCTTGAACTCACGGCGACTGAAGCATCACTCAACGGCGTTTGTCACACTCAAGTTGTTTGCGTAACATCAAAGATTAACATTTCCTGAACATGTCTGAGCAATTTGACTTTACATCTGTCGGGTCCGCCGCTTTTTCAAAGGGCGATAGGTTTCGTCCTGTGCGTCGCTGTCCCTTGTGCGATAGGCGTAGATACTTGACAGGGTTGTTGCGTGATCCTGAATTTCATCCACAACACTCCCTAGCTCCTCGATCATGCCCTTGTCTTCCGAATGTCTCAGAATTGTAAGAAGATGACCAGCAAGATCAATGTGTGATTGGCGTAGCGTGCGCGTGTCTTCGATCGATACCGCTTCCGTATCTTGGTAAGTTGCCCCAAACTCTTGCACTCAGATGTCATGCTGCTTGACCTTCACATCTTCAATCACCTCTGGAAGCTGAACAGTATATACCCGTGACATCCAATCAATACTATTTTGTGTCTTTTGCGCTGTCGCTCCCTTGCCAGTCTTCGTTCCTGAAGATAGCATTCCACACTATCGTAAGCTCTGGACGAGCTAGGCATGCTGGGAAGGATAGCGCACAATCCTTTAGAGGGCATAGATACAGCCAGTACTTGTATTAAGAGAGCTGCGTGCGTATCGTAACAATAGATCCTTGGGTTATCCTGAGGACCAAGCACGACAAACTGGTATAGAGAGTGTGATTTGAGAAAGTTGAGCTGAGGGGCAGTGCTCCACACGTTTTGTCTTCTCTTGGCGTGGCACTGGCAGCACGTGATGGTCGGACATCGGGATCCGTGACTACTACAATTAGCCTCTAGATCCCGCGCCACTAGTGTGTGCAACGGGGTGCAAATTTGTGTCTTCTGTCGTCTGTTTTGAGCGCTATGAAACACCAGATACGGTAGAATTAAGGACCAGGAGACAGCAAGTTCTCCCGTCTGATCTGTAGTCTGTCAAGGCACTGTTTTAGGGTCTCCGTTATTTAAATCCTGCTAATAATGGACAAAGGGGACGAGTTTAAACAGTGCTTGGGTTCTTTACAGTTAGTGCTGCTACTAATGGCTATACAAAGAAGAAATCTATACTTCTGGATGGCTTTTAGTTATTTGAGAGAGAGTATCCAATGAAATATGCAAAGTTTATTGCCTCTCCCTACTGGCTGCAGATGATGGACGCGTCTTCATGACTGCTGCAGTCATATTAGTTTTGCAATATATTTTGTAAGATACATTTTTTCCTTCACATACGATCATAGGACGTTGAAAACAAGGCTTCCCGTTCGCTCAGCCCTATTTAAGCAACGTACCGGCGGATTAGTAGTTAGGTGGGTGACCACTAGCAAATACCCGCTGTTGTATGTTTTTTGCTTTAGTGTTTTCATCCACTTGAAAAAGATGCTGGAGACCTAGGCTATCTGGACCTTTGCTCATTCTGTTTCGTGAAGTGTAGTAAATTCTAAAGCGTGAGGCGCTTTGGCCGTCAGACAGTTATAGTTACGGTGAACAAATCTTCTGATAGAATTCACCTGCCATATCGTTGGTGAAAGTGCACGGCCCTTTTGAGTTCCACCCGCCTAAACCTGCCTTATCTGACCCAATTACCATAGCATCGCCCATCATGGTATTCCAACCCTATAAAACCAACACCAACGATTGTTTGCGACCTTCAAGATACCATCTAACTCATCGGTGCCATTCAAGCCCTCCAAGCATGGGACGTACAGAGAAATCACAAGGCCTTGCACCTCCTGCAATCCGCAAAGACATCCGCGCAAAGCAAGCACGTCACATTATCAACAAAGTCGTACCAGCGATACTAGCTTCAAACGCGAGAGCAAGACGAGGTGCCGATGGTAGTGGGCTGATTGTTGATCCGGGCCCAGCGTCAAGCAACGAAGTCAAAAAGCTAGATGAAGGTGGCGAAGATGTGGCGTACGTCAAGCGCAAAGGTCAAGGACGACGGAAAGCAAAAAGTGGCCACGAATTTGACGATGAAGACACAGCACCACCAAAGATCAAAGTTAAGAAGAGCGGGAAAAGACGAAATGATTCGATTGATGAAGACCTGTCAACCTCTACACTCCACGTACCGGCTGCAGATCCAGCATCGCCAAAGCAACGCACAATCAAAGTTGTCACAACAGACAGTCTTACCGCCGCCCAAATACTCTCATCAATATCCAACAAGCCAACGAAGAAATCCTCAAATGTCTGTATACTGAATATGGCCTCCCCGTTACGCCCCGGCGGCGGCGTGCTCGCTGGCGCAACGAGTCAAGAAGAATTCCTCTGCGCGCGCACCACCCTCCTACCCTCCCTCAAAGAACCTTTCTACCGCCTACCTGAATACGGCGGGATCTACACGCCCGATGTACTCGTTTTTCGCACCCCTGGGCCCCTCGGCGACAGCCACGGCGAATTGGGTGCCGGGGAGAGGTACTACGTTGATGTGATCAGCGCGGGGATGTTACGCTTCCCTGATCTGGAAGGGGAGGAGGATGAGATGAAGAGGTTGGGGAAGAGGGATCGGGATGTTGCGGAGCGGAAGATGCGTGCAGTGTTGAGGATTGCGGAGGCGAAGGGTGTGAAGAAGCTGGTGCTTGGGGCGTGGGGGTGTGGCGCGTATGGAAATCCGGTTGTGGATGTTGCTGAGGCTTGGAACCGTGTTCTTTCTGGCACGTTGACTGTGGGTGGGAAGAAGGGCAAAATGGCTGTGAACGAGACGTGGCCGAATCTGGAGAATGTTTTGTTTGCTATCTCAAATCATAAGATGGCGAAGGAATTTGCGAGGGCGTTTGGTGGTGGTGTTGAGGCTGAGGATGGGCCACGCAGCTTTGACGAAGACGATGAGGAGGAGGATGAGAAGGATAGGGCTGCACAGGAGTTGCGGACGAAGATCGAGGAGATGGAGAGCCAGATCAGCAAGGTGTGGAACGTGGATCTGAAGTCGAGGTTGGGCGTTGTGCTGGATGGGTTGAAAGCGCAGTTGAGGGAGAGGCAGGGCGAGGAGGATGGTAGCGATGAGGGTGGTGTGGAGTCTGGTGAAGATGAGGACGACTCAGATGAACATGATGAATTGGCTGGCGGGAGTGATGACGGTTCTAATGAAGACGCCGGCGATCTTAACACGTTTTCTGATGGTGTGGATAGTAGTGTGGACAGCGGTGTCGTAGTCAAGTCATAGTTCATTGGCATATCTAAAAGTTTTGGGCTGGCAATACAACCGGGCAGCTGTCTTGTTGGCATATGTTCGTATATCGGATGGCCATGATGCGTTCGATGCATGAGATCCTATATTTTCAGCATTGCACATGCTCTGATGCTTCCACGAAGGATTCTCGCATGTACACAGCGCCGAAGGCCATTGTTGCTCCAAGTCTCCCACAAGGTATCCTGCGAATCTGGTTCGAAGTCAGTCGTATTGTGCGCATGTCAAATTATGGTCGGATGACGGGTGCCAATATGCACGACTTACCTCGCGGTTGAGAATCTGCAGCTATGTTGAGATCAGCTACGCCGGTACTCTTTGTTCCAGAGCTAATCGGGTTCGGACAGGCCTGCTGCTGGTTGTCCCCTCCGTGGAGGACTGGCTAGATGCATCGGTTTGTAGCCATGATAAGAAGCGAGTGGAGTTGTCTGTCAATGTCGAGGGAATCTCGAGCTTCAGCAGCGATTGCCACCGACTGAGCAGGTGATGGGAAGTGCAGTCTCGAGCGTCAGTCGGAAGAGCCAACTTTCGATGGTCCAGACTCACAGTAAAGTAGACGAGGGATTGAGGCATCCAGACGGCCCATTGCCAGTGCTTGACGAGCTGAAGGTCCCCCGGCGGCAGTCACTACTGAACGAATTGCAGAGGTGCCGTGCGGAGATCGTGAATGGTCTCTGGGCCTTGTCGTTGCCACCAACAGATGCTTTGGCCAGTCAGTAGTCCCGAGTCAACAAGCCATCAGAACCGAACCGGTTGGATCATCTCCACACACAAAACCTACCTCCACAGTGGCAAGCTACTTGCAGCGTCAAGGTAGCTAAGTGGCGACCCCTCCATAGCCTGCGGTTGGAAGACATCGCCCAGTAGCTGCTATCGATCACCGAAGTTCGACCATGCCGCGTGTGCCATTGTATCCGGAACACCAACTATGCGGCGTGGGCTTCTCACCTTAGGCTCATGAGTAAGCTTTGAGGTGAATGAGGAGGGTTGTTGCTGATCAGACTGGAAGGGTAAATTTGTGCAGCAGGATCTGTGCGAAGAGACGAGCATATCGTAATGAAGAGCCAGATACAACCCTTAGCACTATTGGAGAGTGGACATCAAAGAACGTACAAGCGTATGCTAATGATCGATGAGCAGTGAACATCCCGCGCCGCACTTGCTGATGGTCGTGTTTTCGAAGCAGACTGGACACTTTTTTTTAGCCACCGGGTGCCTATCATTGGTATGACCACACGCGGTGGCGGATACCTCACGTACATATCTTCCAAATATCGGAGCCATGCTTGATCATGTTACTGATCAAAATGGTATCCACACATGCGATGGTGCCACGTGCGTTTACGTGCCGCACCCTTGCCCTTAACCAGGCACATAAGCGTTACCGAATCAATGCATGCATCAGCAAGCTGTCAAATCGATAGTATGTCTAATTGGAGACCCGCTCCAGAACTCGAGCTGAAATGCAATGAATACTTGCAAACAGAAACATTTGACGTCCGGGAAATGTGGGTTGCTACCGGGTAATGTCGATGGACTGAAGAATGTTAGTTTAAGCCGCGTCAATGCCCAGAGCACGGTGGAATCAAGAAATCTTGTCCGACCAGCCACCCGTCTGTGGTCAGCAAAGAGGCTGAAAGTCTGAAAAGCTGACTGGAAGCAGCCAGGGTGGCGCTGATCATGCATAAACCCATGCACGTGGATATATCGGTTGCAATGTTGCGATCCGTTCAAACCTGTGGAGAATTCGAACCCCATGGGCAATGCTGGTACTTGTCATGGACATCGACCGAATAAACATTCAGGCATTGTTAGGCACATAGCGGCGGGCACGACCGTCAGCGAAGAAAGGGTACTATCGTACGACGCCAGATCGGGCAGCCGTTTTGTGGGTCGATTGGCAAAGTGCAGCATCGTGTGATATGTATGCGCTCAAAGGATGAGCTGCTGAAGCTGGGCACGCGTTGTCGTAGCGTCTGGCTGCCAACGCCCCACTTTCGGCAGAAGCTAGCCAACATTCTGGGGAAGAGTGGATCCCACATCTTCCACCAACCGCGCCTGAATATTCGCCGGTCTCAGTGGTGTCCACACACCTTCCTGGGGTAACGCTAGCCACCATCCTCGGTCTGGGGATGCACCCTGGCTAAAGTATTCAGCCGTATCTCGTTATCCTTCACCAGGAGACTGCCCTTCTGGAAGCCTTGCGCGCTTGCGAGTTCTCGGGAGGAGGCTTTCGTACCTGAACAGCCGGCCTGACAAGCAATAAGCCTCAATGCCTCGATCAATCAATAAATCAGCTTCAACGAATGAACAACATCTTTAACAATGTGGCCGGCTTGTCGTACCACAAGACCGACGTGACGACGGTACCACCGCGAACAAAACGTAAGGAACGCGCCTTGGGCCATCAAGCCAAGTAATCAACTATACGCCTCTTTGGTGGTTCTACCGCAGACTTTACCTAAAATGATCACTCTGCCGCGCAGAGTGCTGGAGCCACACGGTTGTATTGCAGATTTAACCGGTTCGCCTAGCCGTTACAATGGGGCTAAGGATCGCCTCGCGTTAATGCTAGCATGAGGTGGAACATATATGAAGCATCCCAACATTGTCAAATGACCCAGGCTCAGCTGCAACCGGCCCACTCCTGGGACGTCGACAACTTACATACCCACCTGCTGTGGAGTCTGATCCCTCAGTCCTGACCGAACATCTCACCTTCGTTTACTCGGACAACGATCGATCATCATGGTGTTGAACAAGTTCAAGCCCAAGATGGGCGCTGTTGCGAACAAGTCTGCGGACCTCGAGGTCGCTCAGGCTGAGGCTCCCCATCTGGCACGAGTTGACTGGAAGTCCGACCCTGGTCTCAGGAAACTGTACTTCTGGGCCTTCATTATCTGTATCGCTTCTGCGACTACTGGTTACGATGGGTGTGTAGCACCTACCATGAGATTGACACCCTATTCTAACTCAAGGTAGATCCATGTTGAACAACCTGCGTATCCTCGACCACTGGACCAACTACTTCCACGATCCCAAGGAATCAACTCTTGGTCTCCTGACAGCTCTCTACTCGATCGGTTCCATCGCCTCGCTCCCAGTCGCTCCCTTCGTTGCTGACCACTTCGGTCGCAAGTCTGCTATCGCTGCCGGATGTTTTATCATGATCGTTGGAGCTGCTATCCAGGCTGCCGCAAAGAACCTCGACTACTTCATGGGAGGACGTTTCTTGATGGGTTTCGGCAACTCGCTTGCCCAGCTTTCATCTCCCCTGCTGCTTACCGAGCTTTGCCACCCTCAACACCGTGCTCGTGTTACCGCCGTCTACAACTGTCTGTGGAACGTTGGTGCTATCGTCTGTACCTGGTTGACTTTCGGTACCAAGCGCATCGACAACGACTGGTGCTGGCGCATTCCCGCCCTTACCCAGGCTTTCCCCTCCGTCGTCCAGCTGGCTTTCATCTGGTTCATTCCTGAGTCTCCCCGTTGGTTGATCTCGAAGGAGAGGAATGAGGAGGCTCTTGCTATCCTCGGCAAGTACCACGCCAACGGCGATATCAACAACCCCACTGTCCAGTTTGAATATGCCGAGATCAAGGAGACTCTTCGCCTCGAGTTTCAGTACAAGAAGACCTCCTCTTATCTCGACTTCTTCAAGACCCGTGGCAACAGGTACAGGCTCATGCTCCTCGCATCTCTGGGTCTCTTCTCGCAGTGGTCCGGCAACGGTCTCGTCTCCTACTACGCTACTGATGTCTACAAGTCCATTGGTATCACCGACGGCGACACTCAGCTCGGTCTCAATGGTGGTCTTACTATCCTCTCGCTCATCGTCTCCGTCTCCTGCGCTCTTCTCTGCGATAGGGTCGGTCGCCGTCCGCTCTTCATTGCCGCTACTGCTTCCATGTGCGGTACCTTCATCATCTGGACAATTTGCTCGTCGCAGCAGGAAGCCAAGCAGAGCAAGGCTGCTGGTCAAGCTGTAATTGCTATGATTTGGATCTTCTCTGTCGCCTACGCGCTGGCCTGGTCTGGTCTGCTCGTCGCCTACACTGTCGAGATCTTGCCCTTCAAGATCCGTGCTAAGGGTCTCATGATCATGAACTTGTTCATTCAGGTCGCCCTGACTATCAACCAATACGTCAACCCCTACGGTTTCGAGTACCTCCATCCAACCTGGAAGTTTTACACCATCTACGCTGTACGCAGAACTCTACATGAAGTATCTCAAGAGCAAATGCTAATCTTCACAAGGTCTGGATTTTCCTTGAACTCATCTTCGTCGTCTTCTTCTACGTCGAGACCAAGGGTCCCACTCTCGAGGAGATTGCCAAGATCTTCGACGGCGACGAGGCCGAGGTTGCAATCATCGATGCCGACAAGGTTGGACAGGACACTATCGGTTCTGAATACGAGAAGCAGGGTGATGTTCACGTTGAGTCTGTCCGTCACTAGAGAGCTGTTCTTCGATAGAAGGTATAGATTCGCGACGATGGTCGTGAAAACATCTCTCTCGTAGTTTGCAAACTTCTTTGTATATCGATATTCAATTATACTGCGTCTATCGCTTGAGATGTCGTATGGCTTCTGGCTCATTTTCCCACGGCATATTGAATTCTCCGTGGTTGGACCTGATCACATTTCGCACTGTCACTGACAATGTTTCCTGGGGTGTTCGCCTTCAGAGTCAAACCACAATCTCATCAAGGTCATAGGAGTTGTTAACTACATCATACTATCGTTCTCATATCAGTTGCTTCTGAGACTTACCAACCACGGAAACATGTGTATCTTTTTACATTGTCTGCATGATGTCTCTGCAAAGCCAAGAAGACATCCAACTATATACAAGGATCATTATCACAAATTCATCAAGGTTGAAGCGAGGGGTTTTGACAACATCATGAGACCAAACGTCTTGTGTATGTTTCTACACTACCTGCATAATATCGATTGCATGGCTAATATGTCCAATATGCCCGATCATATACAAGAATCATCACCACCACATGCTCTCCCTTATCTAGCGCCTATTGCTAATAATATACCCAGCCTTCTCACCAACCGCATACATCGTACTCTGAATATGTTGACTGGGTACAAGCGGAATAATCGACGCATCAATAACCGACAACTTCTCGACACCATAAAACAGCAGCTCATCAGACACGCATCCACCCAGAGCCTCAGGCATCATGGGGCAGCTACCACTCGGGTGACTCAGTGTCGGCCAGAGGGTGCCGAGCTCGACCACTCGGTCAATGATCTCGGCGTCAGTCTGGTACTGCGCGCCAGGGCTTGTCTCAACGGGGGTGAACTGCGCGATCTCAGAGCGGGCCCAGACTTGGCGGATATAGCGCACGCAAACGGCGAGTATAGATTTATCGAGAGGGTTGATCATGGCGTTGTAGCGGATTAGAGGGACGCCCTGGGGGTTGGTGGGGTTGATGGTGATGGTTCCGCGAGATAGGGGCTTCTGAAGGGCGACGAGGAGACCATTGCCGGCGGCGGGGATGCCAAATTCGACGATGCCTGCTTTGGAATTGGAGTAGAGGCTAGCAAGAACCTTACGCTGGGCAGCGACACCGGTGAGGAGCCTCTTGCTGCCCTTATAGATCGCTGGGAGATAAGCGTCGTTTGCTTGGGCGGTGACTTGAGTAGAGATGTTGGCGTAGCTGTCAGGTGCGACTTCCGGCAGGGGAATAAATGCAAGGGCGTTGCCACGAGCCTGTGTGAGAGGTCCAGTCTTGTTGCCGTTATACTCTGCCCAGGCGGATGCGTTGAAAGCTGGGTCGATAGAAAGCAAGGCAGGGTTAGGTGTGCTCATGTTAGAGATGTTGAAGCCCATGTATGTATAAGGGTGGTCCTGGAAGTTGGAACCAACTCCGTCGTGCGCAAGCTTGACCGTGATGCCGGCAGCCTCAAGAACGGACTTGGGGCCGATACCACTAAGTTGGAGGAGTTTAGGGGTATTGACGGCACCAGTGGCAAGAATAACCTCCCTCTTAGCGTAGACAGTCTTAGTCGCACCCGTCTTCTTGTCGGTGACCTTGACTCCACGAGCAACAAGCCTCTTGCTGCTGTTGTTGTCGAACACAAGCTCGTTTGCAACAGTCCCGAGCAGAGTGTGAAGGTTCAAGCGGCTGGCGACTGTATCGTAATAGGCCAGACGAGCATGCTGCCTCTCACCAGTCTTAGGGTTCATCGTGTTAGGGTACCACGACGCACCAGCGTTATCGCCATTGTTACCGTCAACAAGTCTGCGCGCACCCTGACCCTCGAAAGCTGCCCAATAACTCTTGATATCTGGGTACTGGAAGTCGGCAATACCGAGCTTCAAAGGACCTGTGCCGTACGCCGCAGCGTCCCAGGTGATGTTGAACTCATCGACAAGCTCCTGGGGCGGAGGGATGAACTCAGTTTCTACGTCCAAGGTTAGTTCTTTTAGTCTATCGAAGTGGGTTGCAGTTGTTACCTTTTTTGAAGAAGGGGTAGAGGCCACTCCAACCCCAGCCCTTGTTACCCAAAGCCTCCCATGCGTCGTAGTCTGCAGCAGATCCACGATCGTACATCATGCCGTTGACGATAGATCCACCTCCTAATACTTGAGCAACGCGAGTGTCCCATGTCTTGTTGTTAAGAGCAGGCTCAGGTTGACAGACATAGTCGGTCCACAGCAAGGATGTGTTCAAGGCGTATGTTGCGCCATATGGCAAGCGAATGTTCGGGTTGTCATATGCGCCACCTGCCTCGATGACAAGAACCGACTCTGAAGCAAAAGGTATTAGTATAAATCATTCTGGTGTATGACGATCGCAACCCACTCTTCTTGTCCTCGGTCAAGCGATTGGCAACGATCAACCCAGTGACTCCACCTCCTACAATGACATAGTCGTATGTGTCTGAAACCCTGGTTTCATTCTCAACCGGGGTGTTATTACGGAGAGCGGCGGACATGCCCAGAAGCTGAAGCGCAACAGCGCAACGAGTGGATGAACGCATCTTCAGCACCAACAAGACGCACTACACACTAAACGAAGGAATGACAGAGGTCGCAGTTGCGATTGCAGCCACTTCCATATCGGACGTCGCGGACATTATGAAAATGTGGTTGCCACGAGGTCGAACAATCCCCTATTGGCGCATGGTTCGGTACTGGCCTGGGAGACGAAGTCTCCTAAAGTCCAATATGGGCTGTGTATTCTAACTGCAGAACATGGAGCCACGCCTGCTCGAATGCGTGCACTGCGAGATTGCATGGTATGACAATGCTCCGCTACGCGGCACAGCTCTTGCAAGGGTCTTACCGCCCGTTGCGGCGCCCCATGCTCATGATCCCAACGCCGTAGGGCAAAGGATCAGAAAGGTTCCGACAGCTGCGTTGTATGTGTGTACATATCCGTACTTTCGCTGTTGAGCGATGCTTCGTTTTCGTTGCACAATGTAACTGCATGCGTTTTGCTGTGTGTGAACCGTTCATAAAGGAAACGGCCTGGTTGCCCGGTGGTAATTCTCGAGATTGTGGATGCTAGGGAAGAAGATCCTTCGTGTGTCCGGGGAGATCAGTTCCTAAGTGCGGCCTCGTTAACTCAGTATACTTTACCCCACGAATCAACATTACTCGTATCTAAAGGTCGATCGAGGCCCCGTCCCCGGACCCTATGGCGTCTTCGGAGAAAACCTCGATCACTTTCCAGCCCGCAGTTTCATGTCAGTCGCGGAACGTGCCTTCGTTGGTGTTCCCTCCTATCGATAATCCACATCCGGGCATGATCTTCGTGTGGGATATCAATGTGCCGAAGACCCTCGTGGTTCGGTGATGATGGCTCGAATGGGTTCGTCGTGCATGCGTAGGTTACGGAGAGGTTGGGTAGTATACGAAGATGTGTACCGGACTCCTATCTTGAGCTGTAGGATAGAATAGAACTTTGCTGAAGCTGTTCGTTCAACAAGTGTTCGAAAGGTGCATGGTTACGGTGGGCTTGACTGAATGAAGAAAATACTGGTTCGCAGTCCATGACAAGAACGTCTTGAGGGTAACCCTGAGTCTTGACTCGCCAGGTCTATCAGTGGACAGTACCGGAGTACACTTCCGTCACACTGATGACCAGCGATTCTCTCGGACGCAGGTACGCAGGGGTCAACGGTTCAGAACCAGTCGAGGGGAACAGAAGATGAGGTTATGCGAAACCGCACCTCATCGTGCCCTCTTGGCTGCATATTGCAGGGTAGATTACTTGCAGAAATCGTCCAGAGGGATACGTAAGGCGTTGTTATGAAGAGGATACTTCTTTTGTCGCTCTCATCGCTCCATCCTTCTGGGATTTCGGGTCCATTCAACCTTTCTGCACCTTGACCCAGTGTACGCTTGAGATCGTTCTGGGCATCTCAGACCCCTCACCCAGTGCCCAGGATGGCGGATGCGCAGCAAGAATGGCGGATGCGCAGCAAGAATGGCCGGATCGCAGGTACGAGATCTTGGGGTCGACCATCAGCATTGGTATTCTGAGTACCTTGGTGCCGATATGGAGGGTCGTGTATGCGATCATGAACAAGCGAAAGCTGTTGTTTTGCGACTATCTCTTGACCCTAGCGGGCTTAAATCTGACTTCGCGCATCTGAAGGTAATACTGACCGCCCATGTAGACAATGAACGTAACAACGATAGGACTTCGCTTTTAAGACCATCGACTTCGCTCAGGGTCGACACATCGCGGACCCTTCGATCAAGAAACCTGACGATATCGTTGGTTACAGCTATTACGTGTGGGTCGGACAAGTGATTAACCTGATGGCAGTTGCTGTCCTCAAGTGGTCGATCTGCGCGTACCTGCTTGCTCTGAAGTTTTCCAAGGTCTACACACTCATCGTTTGGGCCTCAATTCTTATGGTCACAGTCTTCAGCTGCATATTGCCATGTATGGGTTTGTTGAACTGTGTGCCTTTCAAAGCCAACTGGAACCGCGCTGTGAAAGGTTATTGCTGGTACAAAGGTCATACCGTTCTGACTTATGCGCAAGGTGTCAGTAACATCACCACGGATGTCGTGTATGTTGTGGCGCCAATCTTGTATCTTTCAACCATCCAGTTGGCAAAGCGGACACAGTGGGGCTTGAGGGTCGTCTTCATGCTGGGTTTGATGGGAGTTCTTCAGCAAAGTGTTGAAACAACAAGCTGACCTGTGCTGCAGAGCCACGGTGTGTTCGATTTTCAAGACCATCGAGCTGAGAGCGCTGAGGAAGACCAAAGACCCGACCTGGGATGGCGTTAATTTGACGATTTGGAGTGCGACTGAGCTCTCAGTCGGTATCTTGATCGCAAGTTTGCCGCCCCTGCGGAAGGTCTTCGATAAGATGTTCCGCCGTATCCTACCATTAACCTTCATGACGAGATCGAAGACGCCAGGGACCATACCACTATACAACGTCAGCAAACCTTACAGTAAACCGATGGGCCGCTCGACCGCAGAAAACGACGCCGACAGTGAGGAAGACATGCTTCCTGGGAAGATCAACGGTGTAATCACAATGACTGTGGTACACGAAGTAACCAGCGCAGAAAGAAGTGACGGTGTCCAGCCGCCTAACAGGACTTAGAGCACGTATGGAAAGATTGGTGGGTAGACGCTCGTATCAGTGTCTCCTGGTGAGGAAAGGTGCCGTATACCGTGGAACTGTGTTCCTAGATAATTGTAGTATGTTCTACATTTGAATCCAGTTTTTCGTTTGCTGATGCAATTTTTGCGTTGTCGTCGGTGCTCCAGGGCTGAGTAGCCACGAGATGCATTCATGTTGTGTCCCTATCTACTCCGATGCCTAGCTTTTCAAGACACCTGACTGATACAAATGATGCCAAAACGTCTGTGACTATGCTAAACGCTAAAACCAGATATATGGGAGGGGGGGGGGGGTATCTCAAAGGAAAGTCGCGGGAAAATAAAAACATGTTGGAGAAAAAGAGCGCTCAGAGGCTGGTGGGCTGTCCGGCAGTCAGTTGCCTCGCTGCGCTCAATGTAGTAGTCGTTCTGACGATGTCTCATCGTCTCGGCTGTGAAGCAAGATTTGGGTTCGCAGTGCCCGGTGTTTCCTCCTTGTTCAGCAGAGCGTTGACGCGGTCAAGCCGGCTGACTGCTTTCTCCAGACGGTCCAGCCGTGCCATCTTGTCCTTGTCCTTCTTCTCAAGCAGTTCTATCCGCTCTTCAAGCTTTGCTCTTGCTCTACGCTCCTCGGCCACCATTTCGTTGGCCTGAGAGAATAGAGTGACACTGAGCTCCTCAATTTCCGAGTCAACGGTGCGCACCCTGTCCTCCGCTTTCGCTCGAAGTGCACGCTCGCGTTCGAGTTCATGGAGTAAATTGGGATCTGCTAATGGTTTGGGCGTTGGAGCAGGCAGGGGCGGCGCGTTCGTCGAGTTCACAGGCGAGGCCAATCTACCAGTAAGGAACGAAAAGCGGGATTGCGTCCTGGCGTGAGCTGAGGTTGCTGTCGATGGATGCCCGTCTGGGGAGGAGGTATCGACTGAGTCCGATGTGTTGTTGCGTGCTGGCTTATTATTGCTCAGCGGCGCCATCTTCAGGGTGCGAATCTGATCTTCGTAGTCGGCACACTTGTCCACTCCATGACGCGTAAGCATACTTGTGGCACGTATTAGGAGTTTATAAGCTTCGCAAACGTACCTGCAGCTGCGGCCTTTTCCCTGAGCAACCCCATCTGCGCTTGCAGCTCTCTGATAGTTCTCTTCGCCTCTTCCGCGCCCTCAATATCAACAGCGAAGGTTGTGCCACATGACGGGCAACTGTGTGTCGTGCTGGCAGACTGGACAGTAAGTGTCGATGGTGCTGGCTCTAAGGGTGGCTGTATCTCGACTGACATATCTCCACTTCTTCAGCTCAATCTTGGTAGGTGTTCTACGCCTCAGGTTATCGACAGTCGGTTTTTTGAAGAACGAAGAAAACTGTCGTGTGTCGTGTGAAGAATGCGTCACAGGCTGACGGACATTTGCCGGGGTTTCGTGCCCCTGCATGGACATTGAGGTGGGGCGGCGCTACTACGCTAGCACTGTCCCACCTCTGTATCCACGTGCAGTGCCCTTCACTACGATCGTAAACCCGTAATTGTCTTTTTGAACAATGTGCCACTTCAAAATTCCGTTCCGGAATGAGCAGTCGTGTAAATGCTTAACTGCAGAGCGTTGACAAAGTCTGGTTCAGCATAAGCTACCTCCATAGATCGATCGCTCATTCGGTAGAAGCTCAGTACTACTCGCAGTAATCTTGCGAACCATATAACTGCTTTCTCAACATGGTATGAGAGGTCACTACAACTGAGTGGCTATAGTTGTGTCTGCAACGACTCCAAGGACATGTCATGGTCGAGATGAGTGCTTGCTGAGACCATATAAAAGAGCGAGCTTTTGCTGCTTTCAGATACCTCTTGTCAAGATCTCCTTCATTCCTGGGCGATAACACGAACGGCTAAAATGACTGCTCGTACGAGTTATACCAAGTCAACCAGGACCCATCTAGCCTTGAGGACCGCATACGCCAGACAAAACAGCATTGACCATCCAAGCCACACCAGACAGGATTTGCAAGGAATTCAGAAGTCAGCCATACACAGTGATACAATTCGAATAACCTTTACCACATGGCGGTTTGTAAAGACCACGTCCAGATCGGAACCAGATAAAAAGACCTACCGGGCTCTCCGCTCCAACCATATAATCCCCAACCTTGGTTTGCTCTGCCGCCGAACCACGCATTGTTCTCCAATCAACATGCAACTCTGCAGACCATATCACAATGTAAAGAACCATGAGTCGCTTGGAATCTCCGCCTATCAGATCACGATACAGCTGTCTACACACAAGTACTCGTATTGAAGGTGTACTATGACGATATATGGAGTATAGAGGTCATGTGTGCCACGTGTGTTGGCGCAGTGCTCTCTTGCCCTTTCCAACAAGCCCTTTCTACCTCTGTCTGAACGACGGATACGTCATGAAAACAGACCCTGATGGCCTGGTGAGAGAGACAGAACACTGAACAAGAACAACATAATATATACTGATTCTACTGCTTCGCGCGGTTCCCCCCTTGACCGACTGCCCTGCGCGGTTACACCTTCATTTAGTGCAACTACTGCAACGTGTACTCCATCACTATGCTATTTCGATAACAAAAAGCGTTACTGCAATACGACTTTGAGGCTCAAAAAATTGAAAGTCACTATGGTGGCACACCACCAAAGAGAGGGCATTTCAACGCGTCCTTTTTACGAAAATCGTGGTCTTACTTCGAATCCCCTCAATATGGTTGATCAGCGGGATCTATGTCCTATTGGGCGTTCCAAGGGGAAAGTGATCGAGTGATCGGTGTCCGTTACTTCCGTTTGTAAACCTCTGGTAGCGATGAAGATCCAATAGTCGAGAGAATTTTCACGATGGTTCGCTTGTTCGATAGCCCTATGTGATGCTCCCAGATAATGCTCCCGCCTGGATTTCTGCAGCACAATATCTGTGTGCGTTGCAAATGGCCGAACCAAAAGGATTCCGCCATCACGACTGTCCGGTTCATGGACGCCTTGACCCCACAGAGCTGTAAGACCCAAGCCTTTTGAAGAGTATAAAAAGCATCGATCACACTGCTCTGTGCGGTATTCACGTAGTACAGCATAGCAGCTCAGCCTTTGATCCCAGCTACGCGCAAGCATTGCCCATATCTACACCACTCAGCAGCAGCTACCCATCACAAGCAGTAAGTGCGACCATACCGTCACCAACACCCCGACTAAACCACCAACAGTACACCACCACAGGTAGGATGTCCGACGGTCTCGAGCTTCCTCCTGCCATCGCCCGCCAGCGCGCGAGTGAGCAGATTCAGTACTCGCGCGCATTCCCCGAGCGGCGAGTAAGGATACTTCACGGCTACGGAAAGTTGACTGGTCTGGCGGGCGATAACCTGTTGGCGCTCGCTGTCGAGGGAAGTGACGCACGCCTAGCAGAGCCGACTTTCTCCCGGTGTATACCGCAACGCTTGGGGTCACCAGTTCATCATCCCCGATGATGAACAGCGGTGAGCGGTTTCCATGAGGGAACCACCAGCGTCAAACCTCGTCTAGGCCCCTAGACACTCGCGGCCCGCCTCCTAGCAAATACCTGTGAGGTACCACTTCATCCTCGTTGCCTGGCAGTGGGCGTCGCCCGCTGCTCCCGTCCCCATCGCCTCCCTCGCCCCTCTCACCTGCTTCGGTGGCGCTCAGCACCACCAGCAACGACTCGGTGACCGGCTACGCGTCAGCTGCTTCCCGTTGAGGGCATGTATCGTAGTTTCCTTTCCTTTTTTCTGGCGCGGGTTTTGTTCTTTGGGCCCAGATTAGGGTTGTATATAGCTTTCTTTTCATTTTTAGGTTCGAGACCTTTTTATTTTGATGATCGGATACTTTTTTCTCTTCTTCATATACCAAGGTGTTTTTTTTTCTACTGCAGATGAACCTCGTCGCCTGTTTACGGATCTGCTTTTGGTGTTGTTGTCTGTCACGGTTTAGACTACGTGAGGAGAAGCCGACTATATACTGGCCCTGGAAGTCACAATTCCAGGACAGTATATACCAGGGTAATAGGGTCTCAACCGAGACCACAACATACTTAAACACACAGAATAGTGAAATACAACCTCAGTTCAATCCTTCACTTCTTCCCACATGCGTGCTGTCTACGCTACTCGACATTGTCTCTTGACTCATCGTTAGCTTTCACATCTGTATACCAACAAACAATTAAAACACTTGAGAATGCAAACCTCACATCTCTCCCGCCATTCGAACTTGTGTACCTGATGTGTTTCAGTGCGAAATGACATAACAAGATGCTGTGTATATGGTGATTGTCTTCAAGGAAAGTCTTGATTGCTGCAAGAGTTACTCAAAATATAACAGCTGTGCGCACGCTTGACAGCAAGAACACCTGCCTACTATTCTTCCCCTAATATCTCCAGAGACATAGCAGTCGATCATAAAAGCTCGTAGAGATGAATGTTCGCTGCCCCTTCGCATTCAGTCCAACCTGCGAGTCGCTTCCATAGTTCATGCTCTTGTGCTCCTCGAACTTGGCCAGAACCTTGAAACACCAATCATCGCCGTCGCGAACAAGCTTGACAATGCGCACACCAGCATGCATACAGCTGACCAGCAGGAGTACTTCTTCCGGCGGCTGTGTCGCTTCGCTCGAGTTAATTGCGGCTTGGCGTGGCAACTTCTTGTCTAAAACCTTCAAGCGCCACACTCCGCCTCCAAGGTCCATCTCAGCATGCACTTGCCGGCGGCCAACGGTAGGGGCGTGGATCAGGCGGATATGATCGTCGTAGCTACCGGTGACTATCCAACTGCTTGCGCTGTCCGAGTGGAGTGGGAGGATTGCGGTGACACCGGCGCTGTGGGCTTTCTTGTCTGACCATGACATGATCCACGAAGGGGCGTAGTTTGCTCCGGCGATTTCCTCTTTGCTGTCGGGGTGATCACGTGGTAGCTCCATGTACTTCAGAGCGCTATCATCGCCTCCGGAGTAAATGCCCGTTCCATCTGGCAGGAATGCAAGGGTCCAGGCTTCCAGCTCGTGGAGCCCAACGTCCATATGCGATGGGTTTTCCAAGTCGACTTTGCCGAGACATACCTTTCCAGTCGAGAGAGTCATGCCAACGGCGGACTGCTCTGGGTGCCATGAGAAAGCGGTGATCAGCTCATTCTCGGGGAAATATTGGATGGTCTGAAGGAGGATGATTTCAGGGATGTCCCCAGCAGATTCTTGATCCAACTGGTAGATACCAATCGAACCTGTTGAAGTCGCCACTCCGAAGATGGAGTCTGCGCCCTCTTGTGGAAGAAAGTGTACATCTAAGATTGCAGATGGTGTTGTAAGTGTCTGGACGATTTCGCTGATTGTTATGAGTCTCACATCTTCAAAATCTCAGGGTCTGCTGAAGTGATTACTTACACTCTATCACCTTTTACACGAACCAGTATCAAGCTCCCGTTGCGCTGCTGGCTCTTCTTTTGCCCCTCATGTTGTGCAGGATCTGACAATCCTTGTCCGTCTTCTTTCTCGAGGTTGTATGTGCCAACAACAGCGTACTGCGAGTCGCGCGGCCAGAACTCGATACAGCTCGGCGGCAGGTCGAGCGTGAGAGTTAGCAAAGATTCAATTGATGCCATCTTGTTGTTGGCTTGCGGAAAGTGCAGCCCTCATTTTGCGCTAACAGATACGGTTAGTGCGCCGGTTACTAAGCAGTCATGACGCGACTCGAGACGCGCTTCCTTCTACCTTCACTTTCCTCTCATAACTCGAGCATCGTCAACGCTTGTTACGGACATGACTTCGAAACGGTCTTCCATTGCCCAATCCACTGCACGTCTATTTTGATCTAAGAGGCCGTCGAGTTGATGCCTGACTAACCCTTGCTCGCCTCAGTTGCAGCCTACGCTAATGACCCGATTCGGAAAGTAGCTGATCGTTACTATTTATGCAACTTTCTATAAAAGTCGCCCGAGAGCGTCTCTTTCGTGTTTCCTATGTATAACACGCGTCCCATTCAAAACCAACGCTCGCACTTTCTTTCAGACCCCTCTTTGACGTCAATTGCATCGAATCAGCTCACCATGTCTCAAGCCGCCGCGCCACAGACGACCTTCGCGTCCGGCCGTTACTCGAAGCGCAAGCGAACGCAGGTCAATTATCGCATGAAAGAGATGGATGTTGATGAGACGGATATTGATGAGACGGATGTTGAGTCGGAAGAAGAAATCGTGAAACCAAAGGTTCGCCGGCTGCTCTGCAGGCACGCCAGCGATACTGACACGACTTCAGAAGCAACGCAACACCGTAGCATCCAGACCGCTTCCGAAGCGCAAGATCTTTCCCTTCCTTCAGCTACCTGCAGAGATCCGTAACATGATCTACAACTATGCGCTCACGGATCCCTCTGGCATCAAGTTCGTTGCGGTTCAGCGCAACAAGCGTCGCTGTGTAGAGCGCGTGTCGAACAAGACATTCGACTCCGTCGGTACAGGATCCTACTATCAGTCGCACAGAATCAACGACGACGCGGACGAACAACCTACATCTCTGGTTCCTTCGCTTCTCGCAGTCAACAAGCAGATCCACCAAGAAGGCTGTGATATCTTATATGGCAACGAACTCGTCTTTGCCGACACCATTGCACTTTACGCATTCATGATCAACCTTGGTCCTGGCAGCGCTTTGCACCTCAAGACCATGCGCCTCAAAGGTTGGGGCTTTGGCCGCACATCGAAAGCATACAACAATGCTTGCTTCGCTGTCCTCATCTGGGCTACCAACATCGAGAAGTTCTACATCGACGCCAACATCGGTTGGTACCGTCAGCCCAAGAACGCCGCTCAGCAGATCTACCGCAATGCATTCCCGTGGCTCGAAGCCGTTGGACATGCGAAGGGCAAGTTCGATGCGGCTCTAGACGTTCTGGACATTGCTGATGAGAGCTTGGCTCGAGGCTACTATGGCAAATCTCAAGACACATCGGATGCACACAGACGCAAGATGTTCAACGACGAACTGAGCCGGAACCTTGGGCTGCAACAGAAGCGTGCCACGGCTAAGTCGGTTAAAAGAAGGAAGATCTCGAAGGTCAACGCCGAGTCCTAAGCATCAACAACATCGACTGAGTTATTCGTAGGATAATGGTATGCGGACTTCGCTGCGTGGGTGTCGATGTGGGTGCCTATCAATGTCGCCAATGTCGCAAGGTTCTGTTCGAAATGGTTCAATTTGGAGTTCACCAATGTCGGCGTTAAGGTCATGGCTGGCCAGTTTATAAATCTTTCGACTATATCCCTCGTCTTTTCACATGGAGGCTACGATACACTTTGGCAGTTTAGCCATTCCTCTAGCATGTATAATTACATTTGACGTAACAGTCAACGAATCTATCAAACTTACTTTCGAGCCCTCGATACTGCAACAAGATGCTTTTTGCTTCACGCCTTCAGAAGATAAACCCAACGCGAAGCAATAACTCATGTGTTGTCAAGCTATGCCAGGATAGATGTTGACGTAGTCATTGACTGCATTTGGGTTCGTATTTATCCAGGCCCCACCATTCATGTGAAAGAGATCTCAGCCACAGTGGACTCGGCCCACACTTGCCGAAGACTGCGTCATGTTCAAGCTTCGATTGAACCACGCGCACATGGCCTGCAGCTTCTGCTGCGACTGTGCCTGGAGCTACAATCGCCCTGCTGATGGTTTCAAGTGACATCTCGCTGACATCGTGACATTGCAACCTGTCTCTTGCGCCTTGCAGCATTCGGTGTCTCTAGATCTCCGCGCCGCTCAAGAGCTTCACGAACTATTCATCCCAACAACACGCCTCGGCCTCCGACCATTCCGTCCTCACGGTCCCAGCGCACAGCGCACTGAGGGACTTGCACGCGTCAAGAGCTGCATATAGCCTTGTCACAGATCTCTTCTCCTGTGTCTTGCCCCGCATCGACCTCGGCGTCTGACACTCCAGACACCTACATCAGCATTACCCGCGCATCATACATAATCCCCACTACCGCGAATCATGTCCACCGCAACACACCCCTTCGCTTCACCAAACGCCATACCACCTCGAACGAGCTCCACTGGTCAAGTCACCAACGGTCACCCTGTAAACCCACATCACAGCGTCTTGCGCCCACTCTCAGAAACCGACTGGATGAGCCAAAGCAAGAAGAGCAAGACGTCGCACGCCTCCACAGAGCCACTCATCGGCACACAACAACAATTTCACGCGCGGTTGCAATCGCAATCGCAATCCGAACCTATGAATCTCGAAGAAGTCAGCACGAACTACCCTACCCCACTCTCCCCGCCGAATGACACGAAGAACCTGGGCGAAAATCTCATATACGGCAATGGTGCGGCATGGACAGAGGAGAAGGAGCGCATACTTCTTGGGCCGTATGATTATCTCTGGGGCCACCCAGGTAAAGATATTCGGTCGCAATGCATAGCAGCATTCAATCTGTGGCTCAAAGTTCCTCCTGAGCGGCTCGAGGTCATAACGCGGGCGGTTGGCATGCTGCACACAGCGTCTCTCTTGGTCGACGATGTCGAAGACAGCTCGATATTACGGCGAGGTATCCCTGTCGCAAACAGCATCTTCGGCGTTGCGCAAACAATCAACTCGGCGAACTACGTATACTTCAAGGCGCTGCAGGAGCTGATGCTTATGGCCAACCCCAAGCTGATCGAGATCTTCACAGAGGAGCTTTTGAACCTGCACAGAGGCCAGGGCATGGATCTATACTGGCGAGATAGCCTGACATGTCCCAGCGAAGCAGACTATTTGGAAATGGTAGGCAACAAGACGGGTGGGCTGTTCAGACTGGCGATCAAGCTCATGCAGGCTGAGAGCGCGGTGCAAGTGTACGTCTTCTTCTCTGGCCTCTCGCATTTCCATGCTAACATAGACACAGGGACTGCGCACCATTAGTGTCCACAATCGGACTACTCTTCCAAATCCTCGACGACCACCTCAACCTCTCCCCCACATCCGGCTACTCCTCTCTTAAAGGGCTCTGCGAAGACCTCACAGAAGGCAAATTCTCGTTTCCCGTTATTCACGCCATACGCGCCGATCCTAGCAATCAGATCTTAATCAACATTCTGAAACAGAAGACGACGGATGAGGAGGTGAAGCGCTATGCGCTGAAGTACATGGAGAGCAAGGGCAGCTTTAATTACTCGAAAAGAGTTATTGATGAGTTGAGGGGGAAGACGGAGGATCTGGTTAAGGGGATTGAACAGGGGTTGGGAGATGATGGGACGCAGGGCGCGGAGGCGTTGAGAAAGATGTTGGGGAGGTTGGTGTTGAAGTGAGAACTTATGAATACATGAAAGGTGGGATGGAAGGGGTAATGCTGCAGCATCGTATTTTTGCATAGCGACATAGCTAATGATCACGAAGCTACGTTTCCAGCAGGTGTCCTTGAGTGTGCTGAATAACTTAGCAGGAAGGAGCCATGCTGTAGGGTAGTAGGCGACTTGTGTCAGCCTCGCGTTCACAAGTCTAGGCAACAACAACAAACAACAAAAATACTCACGAGACGTGCATCGTCCACACACACCCAAGTCGCCTCATTCGGCAACAACAGAGCGTTTTCTAAGCCTGCTCCACGTCTGGCTTAAGACATGTATGGTATGCACCAAAGACTATTCGCTGAACGAACAACAGACGTACGAAGCATTTGCACTTGCGTGTCTGAAGGTCAAAAACAGCATTCGACCGACGAATCAGATCAAGGAGTATCACGAGTGTCTTTCCTCGCCCAACGAAAGCCTCTCCCAGATCCCGGACTTGAGTGTTTCTTACGACAACACTGCATATATAATCAACTGTGTACTCGCACATCAGTTCTTCCATGGTCTGATCAATGGCCGTCTTGGGTGCCGGACTGGCGACAGCAACCATTCGTACCAGAGAACGAGCTCCTGAGCGGAATGCATGCGCACTTCCTCTGGGAACCTTCTAGTCATAGAGTTTAGATTGGGTTGTGGTGCATCTGGTGGGGCAATGGCAGACAACTGACGTACATTCTACCCTCACCGCCAATCCTTAAGATACATTTCGATACTTATCCGATTGTCAGCACGGTGTATAACCCACACAATTCGCTAAGTCATAACCATTATGACAGGAATGAGGAACCCATCGCGAATTATGCGCGTTGGGCTTCTTGTCTCCCACTTGTCCTTTCTCAGTGGTAGTGGAAACGATATCAGCTTTCAGATCATGCAAAGTCGTTGATAACACGCTCGAAGGCTGGACGTACTGGAAAGACCTTTCGTTCGTCCACGAATCCGGATTTTCTTCCGAGCGAACATGGGACCATTGACTTTCTTTGGGGTGGGAAATAAGGCTCTCCGAGCAGGAGATGCACTTCGTTCATACCAACGCAGAATATTCGAAGTCAAAGATTCGGACCCTCATACATACTACCATGTACACGAGTCGCTTGGGCTCCACCCTGTCCTACAGGATAACCAGGATATCGGGCATACGTATCGTTCGATAGGCACTGCGGGCGTCTTGGGACCATCCTTGGGTGAAGAACCATTCCATTCGTACGACGGGAGTGGTCGTTTCACTGAGATATGTCCAGTCTGAAATATCCCGGTATATGGTTGTGTAAGGTAGGTATCAATCACCTCTTCTGACCCAGTTTATGTGCATGCTACCGCCTCACGCCTTATTGATATGTGATCAGCGCTCGAGCAAGCTTTATCATGGCGTGTGGTGACCCGTCTCTAATATTTATGAAACTTCAATAGCATGCCAAACGCCTCATGACAGTCCCATGGTCTGTTTGTGCGAGCGACCACAATGCAAACTTCTTCTTGGTAGACAAAGGCCGAGGGCTACTGGTATCTGCATGCCAGCAGGTCACTATTACATTTGTAACATGTTGTGTGTAGAAAAATCGGACTGGAAGGCTTGAACGTAAGTCATACTGGAATTCTGCGCTAGAGATCAGACTGTATGTAGTCTTGTGATAAGAGAGATCTCACGCATTGACTGAGGAGTCTTATAGAGTCTGCATTGAAACATCGCTAGGTACACCAGCATAATCGTGCATAGAGCCAATGTACCTCCGACCGATGCTTGTTCTCCTTCTCTCCCCATAAAGATTCTGAGAAGAGGATACACAAGCATTACCAATCAAACGGTACGAATCACAATAAATCTCGGCGTCTTGGGCTTTTTCCCGTGCCACTGGGCATAGTATCAAGACTTCATGCACCTCCTGCCGATCTGCGCTGCAAGTGCAATCGTGAAAGTATTGTCTGTACGAGATAAGACCATCACGAGGCATCATGGTTCTGTTCCCAAGACATGTCCGAGAGTATGCGCAGTGGGACGGGTTGGAAGTACTCATGTCAGCAGGCAGAGGTGTAAAACAGTTGAAGTAAATCAGCAACCAAGCTATGCCACTAGCCCAGCAGTATGAAGACTGTGGTTTACAGACATTGACAGAGGCCGTCTTGTATATATCTAGGACTGATGCGACATCGCTTCTTGCAGCGTTGAAGATAATTATCGAGCAAGTCCAACAGACCCATTGCGCGGTTTTCGAAAGGTCGGACTGCACAAGAATAGCTCTTATTCTGTCTGGGCGGCGAAGTCTTCGAAGTGCTAGGTCAAGGTTCTGTGTAGCTTAGACACAAGAACCGTCCTGCAAATACAGGGGGTAGATAAGGTTCGGCTCGCCCCAGGTGTAGGAGATGGCCTCATACTGCCCATCCAGCTTGTCAAGGTGACCTTCCGAAAAGGAGAAGTATAGAGGCACTTTTGGATCAGAAACTGGCCCGAGAACGAGTAGATGAATATTCTCAGGGCCTGCGAGGCGGAGGTAGATGTGCTAAAGGCTTCCCGTCTCGCTCGATTGACCGCTGCTTTGGTGTAGTGTCGCGGGTAAGTGCAGTGTCTGAGCCATGCTTCGAGGCGGTTTAGCGGCTGATAGAGAGCAGTACCGTAGGACGAAGACGCAGGTTGAGCGTCAATCTGATCAGGCTGAGCTGGCGAGGCGCAGCACGTCACGTGCACAGAGGGGCTTGCAGGCACTCATCGACAGTCAAGAGCTCGATAGCAAATTGAAGAAGGGCATAAGTTGTTCAGCTGTGAACGCGAGATGTGCCTTTGGGGAAGAAATGCATGACGCAAGCTTCAGCCAGCAGGAACGTGTGTGGTGCCAAGACTTCGGCGCATAGGAAGTGGAGGAAGGAGCAGGTCCTGTTGGTACCCTACACCTTCAGTGCGCACTAAAGAAAAACAATCGCAAGGAAGATAGTCACACTTGCGAAAGTAACAACGTGCTACTGTACTGGTGCCAGCCGCCAACTCTCAAGCTGCACAGCAGCATTAGATATTATACAAGTATCAAAGCCCCAAGCCTCACCCCTGAATGTACAATCTCGCCCAAATATAAAGGGGTATGAGAAGCTTTTGCGAAACGCCAGATGAACACAGGCTAACAAAAAGAAGTATGCAATGTGATGATGTACCGAACCTTTTGAGCCACAGCTGGGCGTCCATGCAACCGCGATAAATCCAAAAACACAAAAGAAATGTCTGCTCTACTATCGTACGTCGTAAGGAAATGCGCCACGAAAGGCTGGGTATGTGGGATATGGAAGTGTGTTGGAAGTGGGGTGTTGAGAACTTAGGATGCTTGACTGTGGGCAATCCATGCATCATGCGCCTCTCGGAGTACTGAATATTATTAGCAGCCGTTTACGTGGCAGAGTGTTCTAGACTTACTTTGCAGGACATGAGCCTGCAAGGTAGAGGACTCGCATGCACACTGCAGTGTCCGACCGTCAATGAAGTCCAGTACAACGCTGTTTGGAAGCTCCTGTTGGTCCTGGTCAGGTGGGTAGGGAGCCTTGAACTCGGTGAGGTGGAAGCGTTTTGTGATGCCCTTTGGATTTGATATCGAGGGGCCTAGGACAAGGTTGCCCAAGGCGTCAATCTCGACGAAACGGCGCTTCCACAGCTGTATTATTGTTAGCATTATGTCAGGCTACGGTGGGACGAGAGACTTGCCAATGTGTCAGGGAATTGGATATTGAGGTCGCCAACCTGGACAGGGGGCGGCGGTTCCCGAAGAGACGACAAAGAAGTAGATCGCATGTCCTGCTCAGGAAGAGCAAGGCTTGACTGTGAGTTCTTCCACGGCATGGTTGACATCGATGAAGACATGCGCTTGAACAACTTGCTTGTGCGTGAGTCCTTCTTTCCCTTCTTCTCCTCTCGCTTCTCGTCGTCACCGTCATGGCTGTGGATCGACTTGGTCTCACTCATTCGGCGACCGAACGACCTCCAGCTGCTTTCAGATGAAGATCGAGGAAGCGCAGGGCCCTGATCACGTGAATGTGAAGACGATGGTGCTCTAGGGGAAGCTGGTTCCATGGTAGCAGGCGGTGCCGTCTTCACACGGGTTGGGCTCTTAGGGACAAATGCGGGCTTCTGATGGTCGATGATCAGTGGGCTCTGGTGGAGGTCCAGTGGTGTGGTCTCAGTTGGCATAGCCAATGTTGGTTGCTTTGTGCGATCATCTTGAATGATACGAGCAGTAACCTGCACAGTCTCGGGCTGATCCACTTGCTGTACGTTGTACACGGTGCGATCGGTTGTCATTGGCGAAGGTTGCAGTGCTGGCTTCTTGTCAGGCGTGGTCTGGTTAGACAGACTCAGGAGTGACGGGCTGCCCAGTCGTTGCACAGGCGTACCGTCAGGTGACCTCTCGATGGGTGTTGCTGCGAAGAAGTTCGACTTTCGCTGCGCCAAGCTGGATCCAGGTCTTGACCGTGGGGTATCGTGTGGACTCAACGATGCTTGTGAATCACGCTTGGACTTCTCAGCAAGTGCCTTGATCCTTTGCGCAATGCCACCAGATACTTTGACGGAGTTCATCTTTGGTGGTGGGGCCATATCCTCGCTCTTGGTGGAGGTGATCCACGGACCTGACGACTTCCTCGCGAGCTGCTCTGGTGATGTCCGGGTTGCGTTGTTGAAGGATGTCGATACAGCCCTCTTCGGTGGCGAGGAGAGCTTGGGCTCAGACGACTGTCGAGAGAAGAACGGCATGATCGGCGACTTGGACACGGACATTGGCTTCGCCTGCCGGACCTCCGCGCTGCGAAGTTCTTCCATAAAGGACTCGTCGGACAGGTACTCTGCCTCGGAGTTTTCTGCGCTCACCTGTATCGGATCAAGCAGTGCCCTGCGCTTTTCTTTCGACTGATACCAGCTTTCTCTTTTGGAGCTGGGCAGGATCATCGACTCTCTGTTGCGTCTCTTAGACTGGTTATCATTGAGCTGAGTGCCCTCGTCAGGGGGCATGTAGATGGTTGACTCGCGGTTGGAGCGGCGTGATTGGTCTTGAGGGTTAGAAGGCATAAGGGTTGTTGTGGATTCCCGCTTTGACGTCTGATTCTCGTTTGACCCAAGTGGGGCGTCCTCTGGCGGGGTCGGCAACTGACTAGGGACCTGCATATCCAAAGAGGGAACTGGCGTTCTGCTTTCCGGGACAATTGTTGGTGAGCTGTCCACAGATTGCTGCTCGTCTAGATTATCCCAAGTTGTATGTTCTGGAATATGGGCAGCCTTCTGTGCATCATCCATGTTATTATGATCGTCCTCGGACAGGGATGAGGGTCGGGTGGATGGTGCGACAGATGAACCCTGCGTTTGCGCAGATACCGGCGAAGACACGAATACAGCAGAATTGAGATCATCGTTCTCGGTCTGGTTGTTGGTGTAAACCATACCTGAGCTGTCCACTGCCACAGTTGAAGTTGTATCCTCCTCCAGCGATATCTTCCTGTCCTCAAATCCCTTGTTTTGCGATGTGGCAGTGCCCTCTGCGTTGTTCGCTGTCCACGGGGTCGTAGCGTTCGAGGCTTCGGCCGTAGTATCGATCGACTTGCTGGTCAATTCTGGTGGGTCGACCATCGTGCTGCGATAATCGAGGAAAGTCTTAGGCTCAGCATCCTGCTCCTTTGCTTCGTTGCTCCCTGTTGCTTCCTCTGCCATCCTGCTCTGCCGGTCTTGTTGAGCCTTCATCTGCTTCTTACGCAATTCCAAGGCCTTCATCAACCGTGTCCTCTCCTGTGTGTTGCCGTTTGATCTGTGTCCGCTGCTGTAGCTCACGGGCATAGAACGTACACTAGCCGGACTCTTTAAGGAGAAAGTGACCGAGATGGGAGAAATAGGAGTTTCGGGTATTGGGGACGGCGGCGGAGGCAGGGATGCGGGATTCGCGAGGTTCGGTTCTGTTGCTGGGTCTTTGAGTTTGGGCTTCTTCGATTCCGGCACTTTGCGGTTAGCTGAGCGAAGACCGGATGGTAGTGACGATTTCGCTCTCGAAGCAAGTTGGGAGCCGCTGCTTGAGGTAGATGGTCGTCTGCCCTCCTGTGATGCTCGGGGTCGTGGCCCTAGCTTCTCTTTGGGTTTTGTGTATTGGGCGTAGTAGTGCTCGTACAGCTCGTTGTAGTCAGGACGAGTAGTCTGTGAGGAGGCTCTTGGCTCAGGTCCACCTTCGAAGAGCTGGTCGTAACCCGTGAGCGTCTCCCTGAAGTCACTGAGGTCGTCTGTTTCAGGTGTCTGCGGTTCTTGTGTAACCCCGATTGTAACGTGCGAGATCTCTGGCGCTGGCTTCACTTCTGCCACGGGCTTTGCTTCCAGCACCTCCTCGTCGAGGACTATAGGGACCTGCTCGGTGTTTTGTGACACTACTGAACCACTCCGCAGTGACCCCTCCACGTTGCTGATTGTGGGCTCGAGAATGGTCGGTATGGTGGACGAGGATGTCGGTGGTTGCCGCAGTACCGGGCTGTCGTCTCCTCCAGGCTGGCCAGGTGCCTCGGATTCTTCCCTGATCCAGCTCAGCTTCTGCTGTCGTGCAGACGACCCACTGGACGAAGAGCTCGAGGGGGCAGCGGTGTGCAGGGTGCAGGCCGAGGTAAGGGCGGCATCGCTAAGCTCTTCGGGGGTGCTGATGGAGAGGACGATGTCGTGCGGCGCGAACTTCTCGGTCACAGTGATGAAGTGGACGGCAACGCGGGCTGGGAGTGGATATTAGCGCAGCCCTGATCTGCCAATTTGCCATTGTATGAGCGCGCATGCGTCACTTACCCTGGAGCAGCCGGGACGTCCCCTCGGGCACGTACTTGACCAGCACCTTCCGGCGGCGGTACAGCAGCAGGCCATACAGCGGCGACTTGTCTTCGTACTGTGCGACCGCAGTGCGCGCCTCTTGCACCCCGCCGGTTCCCTTGGTGAGGACGTCGACAGCATCCCTTGCCGTGTACTTAAGCAGGAACCTACTCACGATACATTAGCACAGCGGCTGGAGATTGCGGAGATACTTGGGGGGGAGGGGGCTTCGCACCATCCACCAGCCTCGGCCAGTGCGCTCTGGTACGCCTGTGTGACGGCGACATCGTCCAGCCCGTTGAGCGACATGCTGCGTGCTCAGGGCCTGCGGAGTGCAGCAGCAGGGCGGCGAGTGCAGCAGCCTCCAGTGCAGAACGAAGCTGCAGTGTTTGGAGAAGCTGCGCGGTCGTTGCGTCGCGCGCTTCTAGGTTGACGGGGCCAATGCTTAGGGGTCAACGCGAGCTACTGGTGCTATGGGAAATCCAGGGACCTTGCGGATTTGCGGGCGAGTCAAGCGGCGGTGCGACAGGCCATTGGCTCTTCTGCGGACAGCGGTGCAGACAGCAGGCTGGAGGTAGTCATGGGCGAGAAGACAGCATAAGTAATTCTCCCAGCCGGCAGCAGAAGGGTGCAGCTGCGTGCTTGTGAGAGCGTGAGCTGCTGCACTGCTTGATGTTTCAGAATTCAGTAAGACAGCAGCAAGCCACAAGGGAACCGGCATCAGCTGGTCCGAGTGCCAGCTTCTCCTTCAGCGCTCCTCCTGACTGCTGGAGGCCTTCAGTGGACAGACTGGACGGCTATCCGCGTGTCGAGTGCTGCTACTGCACGCTTCCTCTGGCCCACCGGCGTGGCCTTGGAGAACGTGGATCTCTTGCACGTTGACAGCTGCAGGAACGCTGCATGACCAAGTGAGGCAGGAGCCGCTGCAGCAATTGGAATGCCCTTGCAAGCAACCATCACTACAAACAAGGAATGCTCATGCAAACAAAGCCTGCCAACATCAATGCTCTCCTTGATGACCTCCGCAGTGAGCCTGCGATAGTCGTTGAAGCTGCAGCTGCCGGACAATTGCCTCCAATCACTCGCTGTCCTGATCGTGCGTGCGTGCCTGGGATGGCCCTGCGGCTCTCGACTCGAGGAACTCGATCGAAAGATGCATCACTCTTTGACTTTGATTGTTCGCTTGACTACCTCCTAGCTCATCATTGCCTTTGTACGACTGTTCAACAATGCCATTCTGCAAGCTCCATCCATGGCCTCAATCTCCAATTGATCCAGCAAGCAGAGCTATTTCTCACGACAGCCAACGTTTTCAGGAACGGTTATCCGGCGTCAAGAAAAGCTACCAGCAACCAGGACAGGCCCTCCAACCGCGCTCAAGCTATCGATACGCCCCAGAAGAGCTCTCCACCCCCTTGCAGCAGGCATCCAACCCACCCCTCTATTCACCACTAAAAGCCTTGCCACGACGTACTGGTACCTGTGGAGATACCTGTGGCTTGAAAATGGCAGTGGTTTGCATCGGACGGCAGCGGCCGGCGTCACACCTTTTTTAACGGCATCGTATCCCCACCATCGCGCAGCTGTAGCTTCGACGATTTCAGAACGGAACCTCTCAACACGTCCATTCCCGCCTCAAGTTCTGCAACAATCGATAAACATGACATCACTTCCTCCCGTGTCTACGTTGCCACATGCGTCCGATTCGGAGTTGACGACGGTGCTGGACTTGCTCTTCGAGCCTTCACTCCCGCTCAATGCACTCACACTGCCCGTGCTGCGGTCAACGACGTTTTCGAGTTATGAGGTTTTGATCACTGCTGTCAATGCCCAGTTGAAGGCGCTTGCGAGCTCAGATAGCCCAGAAGATGTGAAGAAGCTATCAGAGATTCTGTGCTCGCATCCACGCCTCGGCGAGAAGAAGGTCGAGAGCGAGCAGAGCAGAAAAGAGCAGGCGCAGTTACATCAGGGCGCCGAGGAAGAGAAGGAGAAGCTGGAGAGTCTGAATAGGGAGTATGAGGCGAAGTTTCCGGGGTTGAGATATGTGTAAGTCCTGTCTCCTTCCCTTCATCCAGCAGCTTCAGCATAGTTACGTGCAAGCAGCCACCTAAGACCTCCACAACGCCCATTTATGATGCACGTTCATGACACTCCAGCGCTCTCTGCGCGAGCATCGTTTCTTTTTGAGCATAACTCACTGACACACCCCAGCGTATTCGTAAACGGGCGCCCACGCCCCGTCATAATGGAGAACATGCGCACCCGCATCGACGGGGGCGACATCAAAGCCGAGCGACAAGAAGCCATTCAGGCCATGTGCGATATAGCACTTGACCGGGCTACCAAGCTCCAGGCGTGACTATCTACTTCGAAACTCTGAGCTGTGTCAGTAGTAGAACAACTGCCTGAGTTTCGAGCCCAACTTATACCATAACATCTGCCTCGCCAGACAAGCCGCTGGTCGGGCAAATTGAAGTCAGCATCAAAGGCAGAGAAAGCCCTGCTTACGAGATTGGCAAACTTCATGCATCTACATAGTGCATGACAGCGATTGTGGCAGCAGCATCCAAGATCGAAGATACGGGTGACATTCTATCAAGGACTTAATCTTCTAACTTCCTCACGTCTTTGTATCTGCAATATAGCAAGGTAATACAATATTAAAACAACAGCATCAGAGGACAGTAACGTATCCCACTTCCCACCAAGAACAACACCACGTCTGCCCCATTTCTTCCTCACCGACTGTTCACAACGCCCATCTCCCCATCGCTGGACTCACTAACCTTCCTCGTCACGCCTGTACTCGCTTCTTTCGGCCGCCATACAAACAACAACACCAGCACCGCCAACATCGGCACCCCATCAAAAGCGTACAGCGTCCACTCATGACTTATCAGATACGCTGCGTTACCCATCGCATACTCAATTAGCCTGAACACACAGCGAAACAGGATGATTGTGCTCAGTGCGTACAAAATGTGAAGCATCTTCTTCCAAGCCTCATTCTCTGCGTCGTTTCCAGTTCTCGAAGTACGATTCATATGGACGTGGAAATCGACAGCGGCAATGAGGAAGACGATGAAGGTGGCAACTTGCAGTGCCAGACCGGCGATGACGACTTTCTCACCCACCAGTGCGAGGGAGAGTTTCATCGTGCCCATCAAACTCGCCCCTGATACCCGTTAGCACACTCCCTCCCTCGCCTCTGACTTGATGGTCACATACCTAGACCCTGAACAGTCAACGTCGATACATCCGCCGCAACAAAGATCCGCGTGCACCACCTCGGGCTTATCCTTGACGCGGACGATGCGTCGGCGAGACGGATGGCCCGCCCGAGCATCATGTACACCGTTGCAGCGAAGAAAAGCGGGCCGACGAGGAGGAGTGTGCCTTGTACAATGAACGGCGCCCATGCTGTGTTGTCGTAATGGCTTCCTATGCGCGCGGCGAAACCTGCAATCTCACCTATCGAAGCATCAGCACCAGACGCAAGTTCGGATGGAAATGGAAGAGGGGACTTACACATGCCGCCGAGGATTACGTAGATGATGGAAGTCTTGCGGTGCCGGATGTAAGTGTATACGTGAAGGAGGGTGAGGATGGAGAATAGCGCGAGGAAGAGGGTGGCGAGGGGGAGGATGGGCGTGTAGCGGTACATTTTCCAGTCGAAGGAGGGGGATGAGGGGGGGTTTGCCATGGTGGTGGATTTGGTATGGTGGACAAGTGGATGTGTTGGAGATGTCGGTACGAGTATATCATACAACAAGGCTTGTTATTGAGGAGGATTGGATGCAGAACGATGCTGTGTGTTGCAGTGAAGCATGGTGCAGTTTATGTACTTGGTGTTGATGAAGCAGGAGGTCCTTGCGAATGCGAAATGCTTCAATGAAGTCATGTTGGAGGTGTATCTTTCGCACTCGCTTGTGGAGGCTGTAGAACAAGCACGTACATTCTTGAACTGCCTCCTTCGCATAGGACTGCAAGGCTGACTGCTTTTGACGCTAAATTCGCATTCGCGGTATTGACCAATGAGATGGATGCACTAGACCCTGTTTGAGCTGACACGGTGAGGTCACTCCTCGCGTTTTGGACGATGGCTGGAGGTAGTCGAGATACTCAGATCTTAGTGTTCAGTGTTGTTATCTGGTAGACAGCAGTGTCAGATCTCGTGCTTGCTTCTTATGAGTATCCTGAAGCTTGACGCTGAGAAGTAAGGCGTCGCTCCTCAAGCTTCAGCGGGTCATCGATCAATGGTCTTCACATATACTAAAACGTGGAGGCCCTCGGTATGCTTGCGCTTTCTGCATTGTCTCGATGTATCTTGTAAACATTTTTGTGAAGCTTCGTGGCAGTGGTAGTATGTAAGCAGCCTTACTTCCCACGACGCACGGGCCAGACGGTTCTTGTAGTGTTCAAAGTGAAGGCCATCGGCAAGTGAAAGGTCAGCAGACATGGAATCTTAACGAAGCTCTCCACCTCAAGCCAGCGTGGCCTCTGTTTGAGTGGAGGCGTGAAGGGTGAAAGCAGGCCAGGGGTTGTCTCTCCGCAATTAGCGAGCCGGATGCTTGGCGCTTCTTTCTCGAACACGTTGCTAGAAAGAGCTCACTGGACCCCCCTCTCCATCACCCATCTCGAGCGTCGCCTACGACCCCTTCTTCTTCACTTCCTTTTGTCTCTTTTCGCTTCTCTTGGGCCCCAAGACTCGCAATCATGAGCGGCCGTAAGTGCAGCGCCCGCAATTCCTGGTCGCGCGATGCTGCACCCAGCTATGCGCGCGACCTGGTCCAGTTGAGATACATTGAGCCACAGCTAACAAGCATATAGTCCGGTTCCTCGATCTCGTCAAACCCTTCGTCCCTCTCGTCCCCGAGATCCAGCTCCCCGAGAGCAAGGTGCCCTTCAACAACCGCCTGGTATGGACGGGTCTGACGCTGCTGGTCTTCCTGGTCATGAGCCAGATGCCATTGTACGGCATTGTCTCCTCTGACACCTCGGACCCGCTCTACTGGCTGCGTATGATGATGGCCAGTAACAGAGGAACACTGATGGAGCTGGGTATCACCCCCATCATCACCTCCGGCATGGTCTTCCAGCTCCTCGCGGGTACCCACCTCATCGACGTCAACCTCGACCTCAAGTCCGACCGTGAGCTCTACCAGACCGCCCAGAAGCTCCTGGCTATCCTCCTGTCCTTCGGTCAGGCCGTCGTCTATGTCATCTCTGGTCTTTACGGACAGCCCTCTGACCTCGGTGCTGGTATCTGCGTTCTCCTCGTTCTCCAGCTCATGATCGCCGGTCTGATCGTCATTCTCCTCGACGAGCTGCTGCAGAAGGGCTACGGTCTTGGCAGCGGTATCTCGCTCTTCATTGCGACCAACATCTGCGAGTCGATCATGTGGAAGGCTTTCTCGCCCACTACCATCAACACTGGCCGTGGTCCCGAGTTCGAGGGCGCTATCATTGCGCTTGTCCACCTGCTCTTCACCTGGCCCGACAAGACTGTCGCTCTCCGCGAGGCTTTCTACCGCCAGAACCTGCCCAACGTCATGAACCTGATCTCGACCGTCATCGTCTTCGGCGCTGTCATCTACCTCCAGGGTTTCCGCGTTGAGATCCCCGTCAAGTCTGCTCGCCAGCGTGGTGTCCGCGGCTCGTACCCCGTCCGCCTGTTCTACACCTCCAATATGCCCATTATGCTGCAGTCGGCTCTGTCCTCCAACGTCTTCTTGTTCAGCCAGATGCTGTACAGCCGCTTCTCCGACAACCTCCTTGTCCAGCTCATCGGTGTCTGGGAGCCTAAGGAGGGCTCTGCTCAGCTTTTCGCTACCTCCGGTATCGCTTACTACATGTACGCCTTTGTCTCCAAGCCTGCAACCATTAGTTACTAACGGATCTAGGTCCCCTCCTCTCAGCATGACCGAGGCTCTCTCCGACCCCCTCAAGACCGCTGTCTTCATCGTCTACATGCTCGTCGCCTGCGCTGTCTTCTCCAAGACCTGGATCGAGGTCTCTGGCTCATCCCCTCGCGATGTCGCTAAGCAGCTGAAGGAGCAGGGTCTCGTTATGGCCGGTCACCGTGAGGAGTCCATGTACAAGGAGCTCAAGCGTGTCATCCCCACTGCTGCCGCTTTCGGTGGTGCTTGCATTGGTGCTCTCTCCGTCGGCAGCGACCTTCTCGGTGCTCTCGGCAGCGGAACTGGTATCCTGCTTGCTGTCACTATCATCTACGGCTACTTTGAGATCGCCGCCAAGGAGGGCGACATGTCCGGCCTCAAGGGTATGGTCATGGGCTAAGTGCTTGTAGGAGAGAGCAATAGCAGATTGAAGATGATTTAGGGATTCTTATTTTGTATTGGATTACGAGAAGAGCGGGTTGCATCTAGATGCTGAAAAGCATGTGTACACTATAACCGTCACGACCCAAAAGCAAGCATTGTATGGATTCTGCTTGGTCTTTGAAGCTCAAAAGTCTTGATGTCTGATAGAGTAATGTACTATTGAAAAGACCATATGCCTCGACACTCGCTGACAACCTACACGCCTTCGTCTTACTTCCTTGCAACAACAACCCACTGGCTAGCCTTCATCCTCACCTCATCCCCCTCCACCACCGTCCCAGGCTGTACCAACAACAGCTCTACCAGCTTATCCACAGCTTGATCCCACGTCTTCTCATCCCCCTCAACCCACCCCGCAATCCCCCCCAAATATGCCCAACTCTTCTCCGCCCACTCCCTCAACCCACTCCGCTTCACCACCGCCCACGCATCGCTCCTCTCAATCCTCATATCCTCTTCCTTGAACCCCGCTTCCTGCATCACTGCTTGAATATGCTGACCATCGTGCCATGCGACCACGGGTGTTGGGAAGACTTTGCCCGGTCGAATGGTCTCGTGCACGGCGCGCACGGGGAAGAGCCAAGTTACGTGCGCCCAGCAGTTCACTACGGCGGTGCCGCCGGGTTGGAGGGTACGGTAGATTTCCTTTGCGCCGTCGAGGCCGGCGCTGGTGGTGAAGAAGATGGCGATGTTGGTGAGGGAGTGCGTGAATGTGTTGTCTGCGAAGGAGAGGGACTCGCTTTTTTGGTTGGTGACGGAGATGGGCCAGGTGTGCTGTTTTGCGGAGTATTGCAACGCGGAGAGGAAGGGTGGGTCAATGTCTGTTGCGTGGATCTTGATGTTGCTGGGTGCGCGAGGGGAGGAGAGGATTAGGCGGCTGACGGTGCCTGAGCCGCATGCGTTGTCGTGGATGATAGAGCCGTCCTGAATGGGTGAAATGAGTGACAGATTGTGCTCGGCGAATTGCGCAGTTACGAGACCGCCTGTAGTTTCGTAGGTTGACACTTTATGAGCGCCTGATAGTAGGGCTTGAGCCTGTGGGGGCGGGTTGATGGTGGAGATGTTCATGGTTGCTGTGTTTGAGAAGGTACGGAGAAGATAAGATGACAAGACAACGAGATGATCGGTCGGAAAGTCTGAGATGCGATGATACAGAGAAGCTTGATAGAAGGGACGTAGGCCCCATATACGGAGCATGTAGGGCATCGTGGACACATCGTGGAGACGACTTAGCGCTTATGCCACGCTGGAATTGCAGGCCGTGTCAAACCACGTCTGAAGAAAGGATACCATAATACTCGGACATACTCTAGCTGTGCGAGCAGATGCCCCCTAAGCTCAGGAATCTGACACGGTGTTCGACGTGAGCAAAGGTGAAGCTGTCGGAGCCGGACTGAGGTGAGATGATTTGACGTTTGGGGTCTCCTCGGCTCCGGTGCTCGGATCCGGTCGCACCTTCTCACACTTGCTTCAATAATCCCATAGTATCTGCGCGACTCAAGACTCGTGAAGGCAGTCAGATAAATTTTCGGCAATCGCCATGCTATGGACTTTGCTGTCGAAGTTCCTGGACGCAAGGGCAATGCTGAAGCCTCGCGGCGCGTCCATGACGTAGGTGTTTGGCTATGAGTTGATGCTGCTCGTAAATGCCTCTGGACGCCTGATAGCTGCTGCACATCTCCACCGACATGCATCCAACGCCCAAAGACCTTCATCACTATCAGATCATGCCCAGTTCATGATGACACGTCGTAGTGCGGGATATGTGAGCAAGAAAGCGCACCGCAAGTCTCGTGGTGGATGCGTAACATGTAAGCGGAAGAAAGTCAAGGTAAAGCATCTCCTTAGATTGCGTGCTATTTCCCTCAGCTTTGAAGAGTTTCGAGGTTATGGAAGATTCATAGGTTGTTGTTGAGGTGCCCAACGACACAGACTCTCTATCGAGGCTGGATATATTAAGATCAGCAAAGACGACGTTATTAGCAGACAGACCATGAGACACGATTATCAAGTGAACAAGGACTGATTCGACACAGTGCGATGAAGTCCAGCCAAGCTGCGGCTACTGCTCGTTACGCAGACTGAGCTGCGAATACATTCATGAGCCAACATCCGCATCAACATCCGCATCGCCTGCATCTAACGCAACACTCAGCAATGGCAATTCTCCCGCTAGCACAGTCCCAGTCGAGGAGGCAGACTTCAATGATACTTCAACACCAATACCTTCGTGGCTTATACCAGCTGCGCAAGCAGCTTCTGGACCCATGCCTGGCTCAGGCTTCGAACTACTGCATCATTACAAGACCTTCACATGGCAAACGCTTACTGTGCGGGACGACGAGGTCGTTGTATCGATACACAGAGACTCCGTTCCCCGACTGTCGCTTTCGCATTCACACTTGCTCTACGCACTTCTCAGCATCGCAGCATCCCACAGCAATGCGCTGACACCTTGCAAGCAGGCCGAAAACCTCGCACTAGTATACCGTCAACGAACCTTTGCGGAGTATAGCAAAGCCCTCCAGAATATCACTGCCGAAAACTACGAATCCGTCCTTGTCACCGGCATGCTCCTTTTGAGTCTAATAGCACCACCCGAATCGGACACCTCAAAGGACGACGCGTACCTAGTCTGGATGGACTCGTTTCTGAAGATGAGCGAAGGCCTCCGCATCCTCGCATCTCTACGCTGGGCAGCCGGTATCGAAAAACTCTCCGTCTATCCTCTCATCTGCAGAGAATTGAGAATACTGCCACCGCCACCAACCTTTCAACCCAGCGACAATCGTAACCTGCATACTCGTGTCGGTGCAGTAGGCACAACGCCCAACCATCCAAACCCTCCGTCAACATACTACCTGCAGCACTCCGAGGCTTCACCAGTGTTTCTCCCTCCTCCGCTGATGAATCTGTTGGCGTCACTTAGCAATGCAGACTCAGGCTCAGGTCCCCTGGACATGCACGCGAATACGCTGTATCCTGTGTTGCATGCGTTCAGCCCGATCTTCCTGAGTCTGTACTACTACCACCTTAACCCTGATTTCTTCGTTCGTGTATTTGTATTCTGCTCATTTCTCATGCCGGACTTCTTGTTGCTTGTCAAGAACAGAGAACCGCGAGCGCTTGTGCTAGTTGCGTGGTGGTTTGCACTTGCGGGTCTGGCACCTAGGGGCTGGTGGGTGGGAAAGTCGGTGGAGAAGTTTGTGGAGGCAGTCGGTAGGATTGTGAAAGAAAAAGGTGACCAAGCGACGCAAAGAGCGTTTGAAAGCGTCGAAGACGTTATTCGCATACTAAAGTGCGGAGGTAGTCATGCAGCCGCAAGAAGCGTATTTGTAGAGTGGAGTGGTGTGGATTGGGATGAAGGGCCTAAAAAGGCAGATGCGTGGGAAGCAAGTCTCTTGGCAGACTGGAGTACAGATCTTGACTTCGACTCCAGGATGTTCTCTCGTTGAGTGCTTGATTGCAGCAGAATCATTGAAAGTCTCCAGGGTTTCTTACGCACGAGCGCAGACTCGAGGTATACGCTGTGACGAGCTCTAAGACACATTCACGTTTTGCTGACAGTCACTGCAGTCTTATCGACTGCCTCCAGGCTTTCACTACGCCCTCCCAAACCGCGAGTCTCCAGCCTCCCTGGGCTTCCTCAGCATGCAATACAACTTTATTGCATCTTTTTCTCCATCACCGTCCTTGCACTCCATCTCCCTCGCCAACTCAAACCCAAACTTCTCATAGATCGGCACATTAGGCACCTTCCTCGAGCTCTCCAAATAGCACCCAACACCCTCCTTATCCGCCATCCTAAGCACCTCCTCCATCAACTTCCTCCCCACACCCTTCCCCTGCGCCTCCGGCAACACCGTCACAATATTACAAAAGTAATACCCCTTATCGCTTGTCCAAAGCTCCTTCTGCGCCTCCGCCTGCCGCGCTTTCCAGACCCAATATCGCTGTATGCTGAGCCCGCCGCGACCGTACCAGGCATTCATCCGGATTTGGTTCAGCCAGAGCCACCAATAGGAGAGGTACAGGGACCATGATTCGGGTTGGGACGGTGGCTGGGGCGGCATCCACATCGCGCAGCCGAGGATCTTGGAGGGGTTCGAGGAGTCGCGTGCGACGTGGAAGAGGCCGTGGGATATGCCCCAGTGGCAGCGGAGGGTTAGGGAGACGCGATTTCGTATGAGGTTGAGCTGAGAGAAGTGTCAGTGTGAGGTTATGGATGGGCTCTCGTTATGGTAGAGCATGGAGGTTTTAGCAGTTCTTGGGCACTTGTCTCCTGTAGATAAAGTACTTTGTAATACTCAACTTGACTATGAGGTCACACGCCTTAAGCCATTTTGCTTTGACTACCCCCCAAGAAATGCGCTTATGTTCGGCTTTCTCTGTACCGTGATGGGTTGGGTGGGACATTGCGTACCTTTGAGCGGTCAGGATAGACCCAATTATTATATGGATCATCTGCAAAGGCTTGTTGTATCGTATCAATGGCGCCGTCTATATCCGCTTCCGTCATTCGAGTGACTTCGATAGGCATCTTGGTAGCGTTTCGATAAATTTAGGGATTATGGGGGTTTGACAAGAATGAGTTTGATCTCTGCGTTATCCTCAGGGCGGCTTGACATGAACATTCACTTGTAGAAGCGAAAACAAAGTGTTGAGAGCAGAGAATGCCATTGTGTGTGGGGAATGAAGTTGTTAGTGAGGGCTGGTTGGCATTCGAGATACGGCGGGGACAAGACGATACTTTTGGCAGGTCCAAGCGGGTGGCAGTTATAAGCGAACTTGCTCTATGGACACTGAACAGCAGCATGCAGCCTTACCTCAACCTGAACCCCGCACATTTGTCAAGATGCACGAGCTGGTCTTTCGACATCTCGCCGTATCACTTGGATCGCTTCGCAGTCAAGGCAGTGCACATGTCTTCTATGAATGGATTTATCATTTCGAACAAGCTCACTAAGCACAATACTGGGAAAGAAGATGACCTCCCATTGGCAAACACATGCACACTGCCGACGTTATTCACGGAGAGCCTTAATGCCACACAGGGTGCTTTCGGACTTTCCGAGTCGGGACTTACACATGCTTGGCTGCCTATGCCCAGGAACCTCCTTCTCCGACCGATTGGATACCTCGATCGTCGGCTTTCATTTGCAAAATTCCAGAGCAATATCCTGCGCAGTCACTTGAGCAAGTTCAATGGAGAAGATGGAACAGAATGAATTTGCCAGCCCACTTTGCATTGAAAACAGTGGCTCGCTCATGCGGAGTCAAAGGGCTCTCGGTGAAGGAGAATTCGGAACCGTTGACGAAGTGTTCCTACCGACCAAACCAGAACCTTTGATATGTGTGCGAAAGCGTGTAGCAAAACCGAAGCAATGGAATACTCACAGGAGAGTCATGGAGGCTTTCATCCGAGAAGTATCGGTCATGGCAAAGTTGATCACATCCATTGTGTCCGTCTTATTGGCAGCTACACAGATCGCGGGGTTCTGGGTATCCTCCTACAACCTTTGTCGGACATGTATCTGGCTGTCTTACTTGAAGCGGAGGAGACATCAGAAGAATGGGACTGTCTACTCGAGCAAAGTATAGGTTGTGTTTGTGCAGCTCTGGCGTACCTCCATGTAAAACAGATCCGATCAGTTAAGTCTTACAGACCAAGTGCAGTATGTTCTGCGTACTCATCAAGTTCTAGGCACGAAGACCTCAAACCTCAATATCTTGATACGAGGTACTGACATTTTACTGACCGACTTTGGCTTCAGGTGAGCTGTATGCCATGTTCAACAATCAACACACTGACCGCGAACAGCTTGGATTTCTCTGGAACTTCGGTATCGACTATTGCTGGTGAGCCAAAGGGATGGACGCATCGCTATGCGGCACCAGAGGTGTTGAATTCCCAAGCTCGTAACGGGTCTTCAGACATATGAGATTATATCGGCCCTTGCTGGCTACACATTGTCAGAGATGAAGGATCATTGGAGGCAAGTGGGCAATGGCAACATCAGCTACGCGTTCAACAAAGAAGCAGTCATCACTTGGATGTCAGAATCACGATCGATGTACCACGGTCACGCACTCTTGGATGATTCGGACCCCGATTTATTGGATCTAGCTGACATCAAACATTCGAAGCTCCGTGGAACTATGTCCATATCTTTTGACTGCACTTGAGCATGACCCTCGACTCCGACCCACGGTCAGCCAGGTGCTGGGTCGTCTGGAAGATCTTCACACCCTTCTCCCCGACCATGGCCGTCTTTATGGAGACTGCTGCAAGGCAACTATTTCTATCAGATCATCACAACATAGATCTGAGTAGATTCCTTCGCGTATCATCGATAGGGCATCTTCTCCCCTCTTGGTCCGAAGAACATACGTACATCCTTCTCACATACACCGGGTCTCCATATACTCTTGGACGGATTGGAATGTTCCCGAGGAGACAGAAGAACACAATACCTACTTGAGGTCGGTCTTCCAGTCTATGCAAGCATTGCAACGCATCTACTCTGCTTGGCCATTGCTCTCGCACAGCAATTATTATGATGGACCGCTTAGTTATTTCAAGAACCCAACGTCTAACCTAGATCACACCGGGCGAAAGGCTGCTGCTGTTGCTAGCATGAAGCTTCTGCGTTTGAAGCATGTCGTCTTTACATCCAAAACTTGCTACGTCCGACTACTATCACAAACCTCGAACGATCCGACCTCCCATGAACGTGTGGCGCAGATTACGCTAGTCCCCATAGATCTTCCGAGGTCAGAATTCCGATATCAGTTCTTCCTGATGCTGTCCTTTGCCGTTTTAAAGGAGCGAGATCTGCCTTGCGAGACCTTGGACATCATTGACTGGAAATGGCTGCAAAAAAGGCACATCACATAAGAGATCGTCGGTACAGTCCCGATTGAATGCTTCTCACATACACTTACTTCTTGCTGCTTCCCGTCATGCTTAGACTTGACATGAAGCACGAGGCGTAGGCGGTCATGCGACAAAAGACAGCCAGACACAGCACCAGCTGATTCTCGCCTTCCATTAAGGAGGCTGAAGGTATGTAGCAAATCTCAGGTAGCTGGTTGACGTGGGCAAAATGCTCTATAGTCCTTAACCTCTAAATAGACGTGTGGAATTTGCGCAAATTGACTGTGATAGTCTCCTTAGCTTTGGAGAACCATGCTTGATCTATGTGTCTCCGTAACACGGAGAGTAGGATGTGATGAAGTGATCCAACTCAATGATAGAAGGGTTGTGGTAACACAACATCAGTATATGGATGCCCTCCAAGACGTTCGCTTCGTACAAATCCACGGTCTGCTTGATGCGCGTACACCTGCCTATTGTTGACCTTGAACAAGACCCTGGATACCCACCTTTGTACATCATCTCAACACCACGAGCTATTACGCGTATCCGTCCATCCCGCGTCGCTACCAGACCTCGTTCTGCTGCAGCCTAAAACCAAGCGATCGCTCGTTGTTATCGTCAAGATGATCGTCCGTGGAGCAACCAAGCCTTAAGCCCCGCATTACAACGTCTTCGTCATGATCGACACACCTGCTTTTCACGTTCGCCTAGAATTACGACCGATGACATCTTCATGCAACATCGAAGATTAGGAACGGCGCGGGACCCGTTTGCCTAAATTCTTGACCTGCGTTGGTTCGCCTTCAGGGTTTGAAGGGGCAAGATGGCTTCCTGAAGGTCGAGACCCACTTCGCTGTGAAGATGATGCAACAGCGGGAAATCGTTGTAAGACTGCAGGACGATCTGCGACAGGAAGATATTTCTTTCTTTCGGAGAAACGAGCGGATCTGTGTCGTTATTCACTGTATTCTTGGTACAGTAGAAGTCATTGTAAGCTGTTGCTGTAAGCCAATCCGCTGAAGACTTGTGGCTTTCTATCATCCCAAGATGAACTGTAAGGCTTAAGCATGTGCAAGACGAAGGCTGCGTTGCAGAGATAGTCAGCGAGTCGCTTTGTGATGATCGAGAACAGCCAGAGACAGCCTGCGGCGGTCAACCCCAGATGAGTCCTGCGCGCAGATCTGGTGTGTGCTAAGCCGATCATCTAGTGCCGCTTAGATGAAGACGTGCGGTCAGAGAGAATCATGAGTAAGTTGGCCAATCAAGTGTAAGTGTAGTAGCTCCATAGCGTACTCGGTTTGTTTCCTCCCGGACCAGTGGTCAAGGTTTGGTTGTTTCGATGTTTCGTAACGACATTTGCACACTCTATGGGACCCGCCATAACCGTGGTCCAGATGTTCGACATGATGGCAAGCACGGAAAGGTCCTCGACTACGGTCAGCTGAATCGTGGCGTGCAAATGTCGGATCTGCCGAAGTCGCTTCGTGGTGATGCAAGTAGGCGGACCGGCGGTGAGTTGCAGATTAATCGGGCAGCAATGAAGCGAGCGGAAGAGGCGGAAGAGCAAGAAGGACCCGAAGTGAGACGCTTTGCGGGATTACACCGGTGTAAGTCAACCCTGTGTGTCGTGCATGTTGTGTATGGCGGTCTGGGGCGTCAAAGACTTCCTTGTTCGATCCTGGAGGTCGTCAATGCACTTTGAGTGAAGAGGGGTTACAAAAGTGTGGCTGATAGAGAAGAGTTGTGTTGCTTCGAGGCTTGGACCGATACATGACAAGGAGAACAAGCCCGGTCATGAGAGAGGCAGCTGGGAAAATATCATGCCATTGTGGCTTGCCGGACGATAATGGGTATCCTTGCTTTGCACGGGCAGATCAGATCTGTCTCGAGCTCTGAAGCCAAAAGTAAGCGCTTGATGTGCGGGGATATCACGGCAAGAACCTGCATGTGACTCCATTCGTGCATACGAGCTCTTGACATGACGATTGGGGAAGGAGCCCTGGAAGACTTCGTGGTTGCACACAACGCGGGAAGTGTGGCCTGGACGAATCGTCCGCAGGGTACGATGTTCCTAAGCTGAAGAAGGCTTGGTAATTGAATAGTGTGGTTCGCAGGCAATCTGTGTAAGAAAATGCACGGTCGTACTCGTTCTTGTGGAAGGAGCCAGCCCCAGTTCACCGTCGCTCTGCTCAATTTGTTGTTTTCGGTCGCCGTAACAAGGTAAGATGTCCCAGACCAGCTGCGGCTTGGTTGCAGATGGATCAAAGCCAGAACTCTTAGCCCGTTTGCTGGTGTAGTGAGCGGAGTTCGAGCTCCACTAGGACAGATGGCCATATATCAACACCGGAAGATGTGGAATTCATGCTACAAAAATACAGATGTGGATGCGGAGCGCAAGCTAACATGACTATTGGGCCCCGTATCGCGTCGAATATTGCATGCGCCAACATGGCGGCCTTGTTGCAGAGTGAGCAAATATTCATTAATCCTCCAGCAGGTGGTCCGATCCTCGGACGCTGTGGTCATGTAGCCAGGGTATCAACCTTCATGAAGGTAGATTCTGTTGTTACGCCCTTGTACGCGATTATCGCCTTCTTGTTAGAACAGAACACTCACACAAGCACAAGACGAAGCTTGTATCACCTTGTGATCAGGCTGCCGTGGGGTTGGACGCGAGTTCAGAAATGAACATCTCCGGATCACAGTGACGGCAAAAGGAAACATTCCTGCGTATGAAACCAAGTCCCACCCGATCCTAGCGAGACTGTTGTTGCAGAGGACGATTGACTGCAAGTTAATGCGCCGATCCAGTCGCCCACTGATGGGCCATTTCAGCGTGCGACCGGCAACGGCTGATCACGGTGATCGAGCTCGGATGTAATCGCAAGGAAGCATTCAACGATGTGTGCATGCAGTGACACCTTACTTGCAGACGTCTGTTGAATCTGCGCGTCGTAGCGAGGACTGTCGTGTTCGTCGGCTGGGCGTTCCTAGCAGCGGCAGGTTACGGCCAAAACAGTAACCTTGTCAGAAGCCTCGTGTTTGAGGACCATGGGAGAGACCCATCAAGTTGTGCAAGAGTGCAAGCCTTCTTGTTACGTTCCACGGTGTTTGCCGACGACCTAGCAATTTTGTTGGGCCCTGTTGATTGTGACGATCCCAGCCCTGGAGGCATTCAAAGCGGTGACATTTGCACAAGCACGAAGGACAACATCAAGGCGCCGACTGTCCGAGGGGAGTGTTGATCAAGACTGTCAGGAGAGACCTGATTGGTTGACTCGTTCCAACGTCGAACAGGCCCAATGCGCAAGTCGAAGCTAATCCTTACATCAAGGGTAAAGTCCAGCATGACCCACAGAACAATTCATGGTGTTTTGATATCACCCTAGGCGCAGTCTAGAACACGCATTGTGAGCATCAGCTCCTAGCTAGGATCGGCAACACGCACATAGAAGCTAGTGATCCACTTTTTTCTCTTACTGTTTCCACACCACCTGCTTCAGAGCATGTCGCTGTATCGGGAACGGAGGTAGGCGTATCTATGGCAAAGTTATATGTTCGATGTAAAGTGTCACGCATAATCTGGAGAACTTGAGCGGCTCCCAGATGATACATAATACCCAATATCTTTCAAAGTTGCGGAACTCAGGTCCCTCGCGCTAAGAAAAGAAACCTTCTTGACCAGCAAGTGTTGGAGACGACGAACCGACCACAAGGGATGGCGAACTGGAACTGCCTCCTGCTACTGGCTAGCACTGCCGCAAGCAGCCTTTCTTTTGCCAACAGTCGTCCACGATGCGACGCCACGTTCGGACCCACTCGTCTCGTGGCACGGTGAAGAATACGTCATGAGGGTTTCTTTCCCGCGTTGCAGACTGCCGGACGGAGACTTGTCAGAGATGCGCAGCGCTTGGCTCGAGAGTCAACGCACGCCTGCAGAAAGCGGATCCCTGGAAATTGAACGGCTGGATGCACTTCGCAATCTCGATTGGTTGAACCAACAAAATGCATCGCATCACCATGATAGTCATCTAGTGCATATCTGCAGGCGTATTGTGATGACCTTGTTTGTGTGATGTCTGGTTGCGCCCGCGTCGAGCTGGCAACCCACGGTAAGATGCAAATCAGAGTCTGCTGCGGTCTGCTACCGTTCGTAGAGATTTACAAATGAAATCGACCATAAAGCGTGCAGGGTTAAGAGCCGGCGCTTACAAGGACACGGTTTGTCTCGTGATGCAAAAGGTGGGACGACCGCATTACAATCTTCCATCAAAAGCGGCCGAGGCCGACTGCTGCAACCATGCCGACTACTGTAAGTGTGATACGTGGGATATGGTGAAGTACGGGGCGCAAGGCATCTCATTGGTGCATTACGAAGAATTTAAACGAGGGAAGGTCGAGGCTGGCATGCTGTCAGCATCTGTGGTCACCAAGTATGTGGCGCATGTTTGTGGCAGTTTTGGAGATTGACTGATGGGCCACAGGTCGTGTCTTACGCTCGACCTTTCGTACGATGAATGTGTGTGACCAAAGTGTTTATTGGAACGCGTCAGCCTAAAGGTAACCAGTACTGGGACGCTCTGCTGCGACTAGATGGACATTAGTGATGCAAATCAAGCGCAGTTATGATGGTCATCCATGCATGGCCACACTTGTGGTTACCACACCCCCTTCTGGCGGCAAGACACCAGCCCCCTGACATGGCCCGGTTCGTTTGAACCGCCAAAACCATCCTTGCGCCCGCGTTGGACCGCTGTCGATCATTTAGGCGGGATGCTATCAGGGTTCTCGGCGCTTCGGCTGCATCTGCTCAAGCCACGCCCCGGGGATTTCTCGTTATCGAAAACGGTATTGCTGTTTCGGGCCTGGTCACCGTGGGGTCGTTTAAGGACGCCTTGGTGGCCTTTTTTTTTTTCTCCCGCTGAGATTATTCTCAACCGTCATCGTCGCCGAGGCAGATAGTGGCAGGGTCGGTCAATAATAGCGGCAAGCTGCATCTTGAAGAATGGTCCACAAGCTGCTTTGTCACTGAGGCGCAGCCAGGCTTTCGTCGCAATCTACTGAATGCAGCGCACCACATCGCAACAATCGGAATCAATATACCTACCTTAGCGACGGTGTTCGACTGTTAATGTACAAATGGCTGCCTATAATTATCAGCTCCTCGCCAAGTACCGTATATCAGTTGCAGACCGAGGACTATCGAACATAGATCCACCAGCAAAGGGAGCTTGTCGACGATGTTTCGCGTCTGCCGTGTCTTGATTCAAGACGCGGCTGAAATTCTAGTTTCGTCTGCTTCGTGTGCATCCCCGAGCGAATATGGCCGGTGGCTCGGTGTCAGCAGCCTGCGTATGGTTTCAAGAGCTCGGTGATCCACAGCGATGGTGAAGTGGTTCTCTTATCCATCGCTGGCTAACTAAAACAGGCATACCAGGTTTGCCAGTCACATAAGGGGTGCCTGGGCGTCCGCAGTGACGGCACACGCTCCCATGTTGAAGGGTGGATCATCAAGGGGTGAAGCGGGTGCTCACGGCTGGGTGCTCAGACTGCCTTCAGGCGCCTGTAGGTGAGGCTGATGGCATGCGTATGCGCTGTGCCGGGTGAATGTGATGTGTTAATTGCTGCAATCTCCGCTAAGGTGCTGCCCGTTGGCTGTGTGACTTCAGCGGATGCAGATGTCGATGCTGCATGCATCCTAGAAGGACCCATGTCATGCTTCGCTGTCTCGTTGCAAGTGAGCACTGGCAGGGACGAGCTGGTTGCATGTCGATTTCTGGAAGGCGTTCGGCTGCAAGGTGGCCAATAGTGTTAGCGGAGCTGCGCCCACCCCGGATCACGCTTGGGTACCCATGGGCCAGCAGCTTGGTTTGTCGGCGGCACGCGCAACCAGGCAGGAGGTGCTGGGTTGCGGGCGTGGTGGAGAAATGCACTCCCTGACAGTGAGTAATGATTGGTCAAGCGCACGGGCCTTTCGTGAAAGAGACGTCGCAGCGCAGGGAGGCAACCTCGCTTCCCAGTCTTTTCCGATTCCGAAACTAGGTACTGCACCTGCTCCCACCAAAGTTTGACTTTTCATCGGCCCCCTGATTTGGCGACTGGTGATGGCGCCCAGCGACACGGCTTCCGCTGAAATATGCACCAACAATCTTGTCCCATCAGCAGCAACATCGTCTACATGCGATTGGCTTGGCCCAGCCGTCTCCGTCTCGCCCAGCGTTCTTCCACTAATTGTGCATCGTTGCTGGCGTGGCTAAAACATGACGCAGCCGACGCTGTAGTCGCCATGCACCATCCTTCCTTCGTTGAACATGAATCTTCAGGGCTAGCAGACCGCCTGGAGGACCCCCATGCACACGACACTCCACCTTGGCTCGGACCCAGCTGAGTCGCAACTGTAAGTTCATCCTTCCGGAGCCTAGTCGCACTACCGCACTGTACCGTCACCTTTGTGGGTGCGGTAGCTTCCCTTGCTTGCTGTCTCGATGAGCCGGTCAACCTTCGCTGCACGGTTGCTCCGTTGCGCCATGATACAATGGTACCCGCCCTCGTCGAGTGCCTTCCTTGTCCTATGATTTGGTCGTTTCCCACGTTACTTTTCGTCGCCTGCATCCCATGCTTTGGGTCATCGTTCCAGCCGTGCCACTCGGCCTAGTCGTCACAGCGCTCCCTCACCGAGCTATCTGTTGGTAGCTCCGTACGAAGTAGTCAAGAGGTTTCCGCTCCTTGTCTGCTTCCATTCCACTTTTAGTATTTCTTGAGTTTCCACTAGCCTAGTCCTGGCATTTCTTGTACAGACCATGACTTGTGCCGCGACGTTGTTCTTTCTCAATTTCCCCATATATCCTACCTAATTCATCCACACCTCTTGGCACTCCATATACCTTTGTAGTTCCCCCCATGTTGGGATGCTCAAGCCGGACAAGGGCAACTGCAATGTATACGACTGCTCGATAGCAAACCTACGCAACCCATCTCGACATACAACAACCTCATTTCTACGATTCCTGATATTGTGCTCACTAGCACATACGCACTCATCATGTCCGCCCATATGTACAACTCACAACTTCCACGACGGACGTCACGAAGCTCAGGCACTCAACCGTCTCGTTCTTCACGCATCGAAAAGCCAAAGAGCCATCATAACAGCCCAAGGACCATGGAGAGGAGAAAAACAACTACAGAGCCCAAGCTCTACGCAACACTAGACGACCACTACAAAATGATGTTTGGAATCGAGGACCCAGAAGAGGAGGTAGAAGAGCGTCCACAGCCGAGCAGGCCTGTAAGCTGGCACCCATCGTCAAACCAGTGGTTTGCACCACACTCGTCAGCATATGTAGCGTCTCCTTCGCAACAAGAATGGTCCTGGCACGCACCTTCTAGGAACTCTGGCCATGGGTCTGATTTCTACTCTCTGTCTACACGAAACTCCATGTATGACTCGAACACGAACTACCAGACATATCCAGCCGGATACGGGATGCACAGAGGATCGGACGAGTCCGACTACAGCTGGCAAGGGGTTCCCCATCAGCCACAGTCCTACGCTCACTCCGCTCTCAACACTCCCACTACTGAGCCCCTACCTTGGTACCTACAACAGTGGGCTCAGAAGAACCAATCTTTCATGGACTCGCAAAATGGATCCGCAGAATTCTTGCCCATCCAGCACCCCTCAGATCATGACGACCAGATGGATGTAGAAGACGATGGCAAAGAGCTAGTGGGCATGGGCCTGTACGATGCCCCTGACCCAACGTCATCGTGGGGAGGCCTTGTAGAGGCCACAGGCAAAGGCCTAAAGCTCGAGGAGACCTGGCAGCCACCTGAAGCTGAGGAAGATGATGACGAGGATGACGCAAGCTCAGAGGGCAGCATCGAGGAACCTTCCCCACCACTGCCGGCAACCAACCCGCAGAGCCAGCAACTGCAGCTGCCAGTTCATGTCAAAGCACAAACTCCTGGCAGCATGGAAGGCCAAAGCTTCTTTTTTGACGATGATGAGACAGTGTCGAAAGAGTGGTGGTTCCAGCAGCTGAAGCAGCCCAACATGCCAGGACAGGACGTTGGACTTGGGTACGGCTGGCTTCGTTGAACACCACCTGTACTAACAGTTTTGAGTGGTTTCTAGATGTACAACAGGGCGTTTGAGCGATTCAATTCGGGACATAGAACCTTTTACAGATACCCCTTGCCTTCACGGCACCACATCGCTCGATAAGAGGTCAGATGAGTTGTACATTGTATACAACATAACACACAATGAGAAGCACAAGTCAAACTCTATCTTACCGTCTTTTGACTCCAAATCGCCGTGAAGACATGATCAACATCAGCTCCACAATCCCCTTCAACAGTTTTTTGTACCTCGCGTTCGCAAAGTCAAAGCTAATCTCACATCGGCGTCATCTCCCCGTTCTCCACTCAGATCCCAACCGTGGCAAGCATCCGGGACGCTCACGGACATATCCCCGCCGCAGGGCCACTGCAACGCCAGAAGGAATCACAGCAGTACGAGCACGCCAAAACCAACCATCAACACGACAAGCTACGACCTTTGACTTCTGCCGCATGCGTCTCATCAACTCAAAAGCGACCGATGCACCGCCGTGGAAACGCTGCTTGCGAAATGCCGTTTAAGTTCGTGTATGTCACTGCAGGCGATCTCGGGCTCCGCCGTACCCGCCTCTGATTCATCATCCACAATAGCACCTGCGCGCAGCAGCGAGTTAGTGCAAGTTCAAAGTGAAACCTTGTGCGCCTTGCACCGAGGCACACCAGCATCACGCGTCAGCAGACATCCGTGCCACGGTCCTCGCACGGCGACTATGGTAGCCCGCTTCCCTAGCGCAGCATCGACCGAAATAAAATTTGGGAGCCACACACTAAAAGGAAAAAAAGGTTCCAGAAACCCCGTGTGCCGGGACGCCTCATTTGCGCTGGGGCGAGAGTCGAAGCAGAAGCCCTGTCACGGTTTTGTGAATGTCTCCAAGCTGTGCTATCGATAAGAAAGTGTGCTCGGTAGATTTTTTGACCAGACGCGAGCTCACGTGCACGACTATCGCAGTGAACGAAAACCGCGTTAGCCTGCGACCATCGCCCCAGCCAATCCCAGTAGGGATACGACTATTGCACGCCCTGAAGCAAGTGAGATAAACCGTTGCGAGCTGGCTCAGCTGTTATGGAGACGTACACGCATTTCGTTGTTACGCCGTGGCGCAATAGTCAAGAGCTGATTCGGCTTCGGCGAGACCTGTATAGACTCAACGATGACAACGTTGATAGAAGACAGGGTGCGGTGAACAAGGTTAGTAGGGGATGGTGTTAGACGATAGACAGTGAGTACGGAGGGCTGATGAGAGGTAGGTTTTGGCGTGGCGGGCGAGGAAAGAGAGTCTACCATTGCTGCTAGAATCGACAGCAGATATCGTCGACGTGATACTCCAAGATGAGAGCCGTGGGTTGAAGCACAACACGTGCAGGTTGCTCTACGCAACTGTTATATCGAGGTAGGATATGATTGTTGCCCTTTGTCCCATACTATATCACCGTTGTTAATATCATCTTCCCACATCCTGTCAATCTCGTTCCAACGTTCGTTTAATACCGACTGCGTCAACCTTGAAACTCTCATCAATCCATCTGGTTCTGCTCGGCCTCCCATCGTATAAAGGACGTATTTTCCTCGTTCTCCAGTCAGTCAGACAAATACTAGTCTTCATTCAAAAGCCAGATCAATCACCTTCCACGCTCTCTCCTGACACCCACGCAGATTCATAACCGGCTACCTCGACACCCAAATCGACCTAGCCCGTGACCGCCCCTCTTGGTTCGCACCGGGCAAATTTCTCCAACCACCCTCTTCCCTCCTCGAAGTGCGCCACTGCATCGTCCACCGGCACATGCCCTCGCTGGCCGAGCTCAAGCGTGCTGTTCAAACAGCTCTTGATTGGCTATGGGAGTGGTACTGGTCGCACCTCGAAGCCGTGTTTGCCCTCCCATCTGCCAACAATGCTGATGATGGGGAGACGGGGGTGGAGAGCGGCGTGACGGACAAACTGCAGACGATTTTGAAGACGTATGTCAAAGGGAGGAAACAGGAGATCAAGACAAAGAGAAGGGGGGATCTGTGTACGGCGGCTAGCACCGCGCTATCAACATACACCCTCCGCTTCAGTCCGTCGGCCACCACACTGCCTTCAGCAACAACGCAAGATGCACTTCTCCGCCTCCTCGTCTCAGAAACCCAGATCCTGCCTGCAGATAAGAAGATTGGGTCCAGCATGTCCGGCGCCTTCCTGATATGGACACCTCTGCTTCTCTCCTTGTCCACCACAAACGCCACATTCTCCCCCGGCCTCCTCAACTCTATCCTCTCGGAGATGAACGATGCCGATAGAAGGATTGAGGAGAGGGAGGGCATGTGTGAGTGGGCGGCTCACATTCTCACTTCGGCAGAGTGGCGGGATGCGAGAGGGAGTAAGGAACGGGCGATGAGGGAGAAGGTAATGGGGGAGTGTTTGACGGAGTTGGGGGTGTGGAATTTGAGGCTTGCAGAGACGGTGGTGGGGAGTTTGGGTGAGGGGGAGGGAGAGTTGTGGAGGGCGATTTTGGATGCGAGTCGGAATGAGGGGGGTGGCGAGGGGATGGTGATTGATGGAGCTGAAGAGACGCAAGTGGCAGATGAGGATATGGAGGTAGAGGGGGGGGTAGAGGGGGAGGTTGAGAAGGTTGTTGAGGCGGTGCCGGTGGAGATTGAAAAGCCGATACTTGCTCTTGAGCCCAGTGAGGCCGAGGAGAAGATTAAGGGGCCGCAGAAGGTGGTTGGTTTGTGGAAGCCGAAGCCTATTGGCTGGTTGTCTGAAGGATGGGATGAGGACGCTTGAAGGTCAAGCTCTACAGTAGCCAAACAAGCCGGGTACGAACGCGTTCGACTGAAATATGGGAGGCCTTCAAGCCAAATCTGAAGGCTATCCGCAATCAGATAAAGTGGTAGAAGATTACAAAAACCTCTGCAAATATTGTAGAGCATTTGCATTCATGCTGAGGCCCTCTAGCATATGATGACTGAATTTAGAAAGGTCTTGGTCCTTGACAAATATCAACACCCCAAATCGAGCGCTTCCAAATAAACCGCTTTACCCCAAATAGACCCAGATATTGTATACCTTGATTGCACCGCCCAGACCGAACGCGCTATGCAAGTGGACGAACGTGGAAATGTTATACAGTGTATAGTTCGATTACAGGCTTAGATCTTTGCCTCCACGTGGGGGGAGACTCCTAACCGGTCTTCGACCTTGCGCATGATCTTGATTGTTTGTTCGGCGAGCGTAAGAGTGAGGATCTGGAGTCTGTTAGTATATGTGCTTATATGTTTTGATTGTAAACTCACTGTGTGAGGTAAGATCCTGGCCAAATGCGCGAAGTAGCCTTTGTACATAGCCATGATACCCTCTGTCTTGACTGTTCGGTACAGACAATCAAATGCAGAGCTGTACAGATTACCAGTCTGGTTATACATGCGCGACATGATGGTGTCCGGAGGATGCATGACGCAGCATACGACAAAGCCACTGGCTGTACTGCTGGCAATGTGCAAGGGCATGCCCTCTTCCATGCCAAGGTGCTTCACCAGCCGCCTCTTTGCAAAATAGTATGTTGGAAGCTGCACCGAGCTACCAAAACCTGTGCGCACCATCGCTGGCCCTACACCACGGTAGAGACCTTTTATCCCTTCGCTCGTGTAGATTTTGCGCATACCGTCGACGGCGCCTGTGTAGTTGTGCTGTGTTCCCACGGGCAGGAATGGCGAGTACGATTGCAAGCGTGTCTTGACGAGGAAGAAGGGCGAGCCAGCTGCAGCTCCGAGGATACCTGATGCAGCGCCGGAGAAGATATTGACGCCGAATGATTGTACTGTAGGATCGTGGTAAATCGCCTTCGTAACACCTGCTCGCAGAGGCTCGTAGAAACCTAATCGACAGCCATTGAGGGTCATCTGGTAGACATAGGCGCAGTTAATTCCTCGCAAAAGACCTCTGGGCCCTTCGTTCGAAAGGATGACTTTAACGCCATGGAATACGCCCTTGTACATCCGTGGCGCTGCCTTCTTCGACTGCAGCTCTCCTTGTAGTTGTAATCTAGACACTCATCAACATCGTCCTCCGCACGAAGACGGTGCATGTATGCGCACCTGATCTTGACCGTCTCGAATCCGTGGGTAACCGTTACCGCACCGCATGCTGCGATTCCGCCGGCAATGAACGACCTGGACGTGTCAACTTTCGCACGATACCGTCTGTGCTACCAGCGACTCATACCCCAGCGTTGTTGACATTTTGGCCCCTTTTGCGACAGCTCTTCAATATTCCCGGTTCCGGATTGGCCGTGCTCAAAGCTCCCTTTCACTCTGTGACGTATGGAAGTCCTTCCAGAGACCGTGAAGGTATTCAGAAACGAAAGAGAGTGGGGTGAGATAGTGATGGTGGCTGACGTTAGTCACTCTGAAGATTATCGTTGCGAGTGGTAAGCTCAGCATGAATAATCTGTAGATTTCCTATGGCCGAGGTCGGAGGAGTGATGCAACGCGCCAAGCTCCAGGGTCCACCAAGATGATCTTCGCTCTCCCGCGGCTTAACATTTCGATACTGTACGCGTTTGCTTGTGGGCACGCGGCGCGACGTGAATCACGTCTTGAGGAATATAATGCTGTAGAGCTTCTTTTAGGTCGCACATATAGCGCCTACCACTACGCATCATGGTGACTGGATCAGCGACGCCGGGCGCACCTCCCCCGCCTGCAGGGCCACCGACACAGAAAGTGGGCGACGTAATATCGAGCTTCCGGCCAGCAAGAGTGAGCTTCGATGCATGTCGCATCTGAGTCGCACTATACTAACAGGTCATCCAGCGCTTCAAGCCCGGCAGCTCAAGCACATCCATCACCTCTCTCGACTTTGATGATACAGGCGAGCTTGCCATTGTAGCACGCGATGACGACACCCTCCAGATCTACAACTGCAAAGAGGGCAAGCACGCCAAAGAGCTCAAGTCGCAGAAGTATGGCGTACACCTGGCGCGCTTCTCACATCATGCGCAGAGCATCATCTATGCCAGTACCAAGGTCGATGACACACTGCGCTTCCTGTCCACACACGACAACTCATACATCCGCTACTTCAAGGGCCACGAAGACACAGTGACTTCCATATCACTGTGTCCGTCGTCTGACACATTCATCTCCTGCTCAGCAGACAATACAGTCCGTCTCTGGAACCTACAGTCACCGAACCACGTTGGTCGACTGAATCTCCACAAACCTTACCTCGCTACCTACGACCCCTCTGCGACAGTCATCGCAATTGCCTCGGCAGCTACCCAGTCCATACTGCTCTACGATGTGCGCAACTACGACAAGCCACCCTTTGCAAGCTTCGACCTGCTCGAGCTCGAGCAACGATTCCTCGGCGGACAGAAGGGCGAGTGGACCAAGATCGAGTTTACCAACGACGGCAAGAGCTTGATCATCGCAACAAATGGCAGCGGCCACTTCGTCCTCGACGCTTTCTCTGGCGACATCACACACTTTTGCTACCGCAAAGGTGGATCCTCAGGGCGGCTTACACCCGGCGCGTCGAGTCCAGGCCACAACTCTCACAAGTCGAATGGCAACACTCCTGCTGTTAGTCAGGGAGATATATGTATCACACCAGACGGTCAGTACCTGGTTGGTGGCAGTGGCGAGGATGGTCTTCTCGTGTGGGACATCTCGAAACCACCGGCGCCGAACAATGTACTGGAGCCCATTGAGAAGCTGCCTGGACATGGACGAGCGGCTGTTGTAGGCTACAACCCCAGGACGAACCTGTTGGCCAGTGCGGACCGCGATCTGTACTTGTGGCAGCCAGATCCGGACCTGATGATCTGAGACGATACCGATTGCAAACACATCGATCAGAAGTAACCATAGGATATACCGCAACTCTCTGCACAGCACATGAGCTGTACGGAAGGACGTCCAGGGGAGGAGGTAGTCAGATAATCAAGTGACTCGGTATACTTGATGATGCCACCCCACAAGACGAGAACATTTCTAGAAAAGTGCATTTGATTGCACAAATAGGCCATGAAGAGTGACAGAAGCTTTTCACTACCGGGCGTTGACACCGCAACAGAGCAATGCAGTGCATGCCATATACCCAATAAAACCAATCCTGTCATATACAACGTCTTCTCACCTCCCTCTTCAACGTTCCTGCACATGAAGAGCTAGCTAACTCGCTCACACCACAGGCAAACTCTAGACCACCTCCCATCACAACCCCACAGCCTTCAGTCACGAATCGGCCTGTCGCCATCGGCGACCCGTATGTCGCAAACCGGATTATCGCACGTTGGCGCGCTCAGCCGCGATGTCGACATCGGTTGGTCGGGCTGCAGCGTCGTTTCGTTCTGCAGTGTTGCTCCACCATATTGCTTTTTCGTGCGAAAAACCACCTGCTCACGTTGTCACATGCATGGTGGCGCTGAGCCTCACGGTGACCTATTTCAGAGAGGCTATTGGAGACGCTGCGTGTCAGATGCGAAGTGCAGAGCAGAGTGCAGGTCAGAGGTTTTGGGTGCAATGGTTGGTTGATGCTTGGTCGTTCGCAACGCGCCGTACTCCGTCTGTTCAAGTCTGCATCGAAATGCAAGGTTAGACATCGTTTGTGTGATCGCTGTGAGTATCTCCAGAGGTATTGATGCACCAGCAACGGTGACTTCACGAGCATGACAGTCGTACGTACCATGTACGAAGTGGCTTAATGCTCAGATGTCATCGTTGGTCAAGAAGACTCGCGATGTCCTGATCGGCGCAACTGGCAGGAGCGAACAAGGATCTGCGGAAAGCTACTTCCAAGCCTCACTTTGCGCCACCTTCACTCTCAATGCGCTGGAGACATTCTCCGCGCAGTCGTTTCATATCGCCACATGCGCGATTTGAGTTGCTTGACAGGAACAGGGTACAGTGATCCTTCGCCGCCGAGACTTCAGCAGCCTCATCAAACCTCCTTGAAAGTAACAGATCATCTTGGGCAAGCCCATGCAAGTGGAGGGCGTCCAGACGCGATGGCGGACAATCACTGAGCACGTTGTCCAATGGTATTGGACAGAGAGCAAAAGGGAGCTGACAATGCATGGTTCTCCGCATTTTGTGCCCAAAGCGTCGGGTCAGATGAACCGCCTCCTCAAGAGAACACCGCTTCCTCGCTGAGAGCAATTGCTAGCTTTCACAACTGAAATACCTCCATGACACCACAGCATCGCGGGCAACGCTAGATTATGCGACCTAGGCACTTTCTCCGCTCTAGACGTGGCACGCACACCTCGACACCGCGACATCTGGTCTCGTGATCCCTCCAGGAATTCCAACGGGGCCATACAGGACAGCTGAACACACTCCCTACACCGGTGCACTCCAAGGAACATACTTCACCGCTACACTAGCCTTGGCATAATCTTTGAGTGCATTCGGCAGTGACATTTCGTACCACGCCTGCACTTACCAGTGATTGAACCTCCTCCAGCAAGCTACGCGAGCATGCCGAATTGTTTGCCCAGCCATATTTCCCATTCAAGACGACACACAAAGTTGGGCAACGGAGGATGACACACACCGAACCTTTACGCGGTCCTGGAACTGAACGCCTTCAGTCACCAATCCCTATGCTAGATCTAGCACAGCCAACAATTCCTTTCGAAAGACCGCCGCTTCCTGAAATGGGGCTCATCTTCCTGCCAAGACCGTCCCTACCAGATTCAAGGAAGCGTGGCAGAGCAGCTGCGAACATTGATGGCGAACATTCATGTACGCAAAAGAAGAAGCGTAGACTCAGGCTGTTCCTAATCACTTCTCGCCTGTCACCTCAGTTCTCCCACCCAGCAACCAACATCGTCGACAGAGGGAGCTCCAAGATTGCTGTCTGGGCAAAGCAAAAAGCCCTCGGACGGAATATTCTTCGTAAAGCCGCCATCCTGAACCGCATCCGCCGTCGTGCCGTCTCAGCACGGGAAGCAGTCTCACGTGGACGCCTACTCGTCGAGCAAGAGAAGGAACAGCATCAACTTGAGATGGCACGTCTGACCTTCCACTACGGCAGTATTGACACCTACACTCGGCCTGTCCACTCGCAGACACAATCAGTGCCATCCTCCGCGGCGGTTCGAAACGGGTGTCACTACCTAGTCTCCGGCTCTCTCACCGGCCCACCGTCTGGCTCACCGACCACCTCCAGAAGCCCTTCTCCCATCTTGATCTCTCCACCCCTGAATGGGCCTGGACACGATGCTTCATCGGAGTACAGGAGCCCAAACGCAGCATACGCGCTCTCACCACCGCGCGCTCAGTCCTCTACACGCACCTACGAACCACACCTACCCTCTCCTCTCGGCCTCTCCAATTACGACGCCTTTGACGTCGAGGACCTAGGCGCCAAAGACAATACACATACCGACCTGTACTCGCATTTGGATGACGATGACGAGGAAGATCGGTACTCCTATCTCTGGGACGAGTTTGAAGATGAGAGACACGGCAGTCCTTTCTCGCCGTCAGTCGCCACGAATGACTCCCGTACCACTGCGAAAACTGGCGCGAGTCAGGTGCTAAAGACGCCACCACAAGTGGCATACGATGACTTTGATATAGCAGAGTCACTGCTTAGTGGATTTGAAGAGGGCGATGAAAGCGTGAATTCGGTGTGGCCGAGTCCGTTTCTTGGCGCTGAAGCGAAAGCAACGACGAAAGGGAGTCGTGGTGCTGCGAGTCCGAATTTCCATGCGTTCGATAAGGGACCATTGGCTGTTCAGTACCCTGGTGCACCTGTCCCTTATTCAGAACAGACGCCTGTGACGACATCACCGGCTGTGTCACCGAACTTGGTGCCCGCATCGATGTCGCCTAACTTCCTGCCAGCCGACTCAACAGGGTGGCCAGAGTCCGTCAGGTGGGAAGAACGTGAGTAGATAGCTTCATGTAGGCAAACAAAGCTCCTGCTATAACACAAGCGACGTCCACAACCACAATCGTGGATCTACAGCGCTTGTACAGGGATATCGCAATTAAATGGTATCGTTCCATTCTCATCAAATACTCGTCCATCCCATAAAATACACTCACCAACGCCTTTTCCTCCAAATCCACCCATCATGCTCCTCCTTACACTTACCGTAGCAACTCGGTCTTACTACGTAAACCCAACACCATTAAGTATTTTGCCTCTGCACCATCGTCTCAAATACAAGCGACCAACGCCCCGCCATCGTGAGAAGACGGAGTCAGAGGAGGGCCTGGAGGCTCTGTCAAACGTTAGCACCATGGATCCTGAATCGAACATAGAAAACACTCACTAGGTGACGAAAGAGGAGGAGTGTACAGGTCTGAGTTCTCGTCAGGCCTGGCCTTGGGTGAAGGAGGCGGAGGCGGAGGTGGAGCATCTCCACGACCGAAATCGTTACGAGGAGGAGGAGGATGATGAGGAGGAGAGTGTGGCAAAAAATTGGTTTTACCATCACATTCCTCGGGCTTGGCCTTGGAAAAGGGCGGTGGAGGTGGAGGGGGCGTGTCTCCGCGTCCAAGCCGCTGCACATCGACAGCCTGATCACCCAACACGGGCACGGGAGGGAAGGGGGGATCATGACGCAGTGGGTTTTCACCCTCGTAACACTTGTCAGGCTTAGACTTGGGAGATGGAGGTGGAGGTGGAGGTGGGGGAGAGTCGCCGCGATCAAGCTTGAGGCAGATAACCTTCAGCAATAAGCCGATAGCCTTAACGAGCTCGTCGAGCTTTGCCTTTAGAGATATAGGCAGGACAGGTGGTGGAGAGTCGCCTGCAAGCTTCACTCCGATGACCTTGACGAGCGTGTCCACAGCCTCGAGAAGCTCAGTGGGCTTGTTCTTGGGAGAGGGAGGTGGAGGAGGCTTCAGACTCAATGTTAGCGCTGGAGGCATTCAGATCAATTCAATGACAACTTACAGGTGGTGGTGACGAACCACCTAGAGCCTCGCCCGTAGGGCTGTTGGGCGGTGGCCTGGGCTTTGAGCAACTTGTTAGCATTGGGCTGGAGGTATTCGCGGCATTGAACTTACAGGCGATGGTGGGTCGTCCCTGGCGAGCTGGTTTGTTGGAATGTGTACTGAAGTGGACATGTTGAAAAGGAACCTATACCGTTGTAGTCTATGTCTAAGGCTGAAATGAAGCGTGTAGGTATTTTTGATCCTTCCAAGAGATGCCGTCGGATACTTTGCGGGAAATTGTTGCTGTTGGTGTATAACTTATACCGGCGTTAAACCTGCTGCATATATACGTACTGCACTTCAATGTCAGCAAAGCTTGCAAGCCGTGAAGATCGAGGAGCGTTCGTTGCATTCAACAAAGATGTGAGGATACTTCTTCTGTTGTTTGCTGCCGGTAAGGAGCAATCGCTGTTGTTGGGGCGCAAGGCGAGAAAGCTTCGGCAAGCATCGGTGGGAGTGTGATTAGCAAACGATCGCAATTGACCAATGACCCCGGAAGCACACAGTGTGTGATTGTCCGCTGATAAAGTCTGCAGTACACTCGCGTTAATCAAGGTCACTAACGAGGCGGTCAGGTCGATGAGACCGTGTGAAGTAGTGCGCAGCATATTGCACAAGACTGTTGCGGTAACAGAGGGATGCCAATCGTGAGGCGGTGAGACATAGCAAGGTTGATGTGGAGAGTGATCATGATATATTGTCAAGGGCCTCCAACTGGGAGGCTCGGTATTAGGTATGGTTATGTTATTACAGAGTTGTTCAGACGTCAGGTCGGAACTCATTGAGTTAAAGATATAGATGAGAACCCGGAGTGAAGCCATTCGTGGTCATCGAGAAGGGGTATATCCAGATACTTCCACGACCGAAATGCCCAAAAAAGGCCAAACAACGAAGTCGTAAGTATCGAGGCGCATACGAAAGCGCAACGAAGGATAGATATAACAGAAAGAAGGCTGCAAAATGCTGAGAACGGAGGCGGACTAGCCGGGTATCAGAATGAAAGTAGTCCAAAAAGAATGCTCATAACGACGCAGCGAACCAGAACGCTTACGTTACAACAAAGGAAATACTTAATGGGAACAATAAAGGAAATACTGATCTCTGTGAGCTTGGACTTCGCTCACATCATCATAAGTCTTGTTCGGCGCTTCTGCACATTTCGCGGGCGGTAGTCGCCAGGCCCAAGATAGTTCTGGCGTGGCGCTGCGGCTCGTTGGCCATGTCGTTCGCAAAGCTTTTGTCCGCCAACCTCGTAGTAGTCGGCGCTCAGTGGGATCCTACATGTAGAACATATGAAGCATCCGGGATGAAACTTCTCGCGTGAATCTGTCTCCAGATATTGTCCTTCGATACCGCGATTGCAGGAATTGCAAAGGGATCCATTGAGCTCGTGGTAGTGGTGCTCGCAGTATGGCGCTTTTTCGAAGACGTAAAATTCCGCGGTAGGGAAGCCGTCGCCGCATGTTCGGCAAACGAAACAAGACCTGTGGTAGCGTCCGGTGAGGCGACCCGAAGAATCTTTGACAGACTTGCCGAGGATGGGCTCGGAACAACCGCGACAATTGCCTTTACTTGCGGGCGCCGGCCTGCGTACCTCTGCTTGTCGTGGTCCAGATTCTGGGCTGCGTCTTCGAGGACTCTGAGCAAGGTTCAAGGCAGGATCTTGTGGCGCGGACTGATCTCTCGGGCGTCCCTCGAATGACCCACCTAGCTGAATGGCAGGATCCATTGGGGACTCTGGTGCACTAGGGCTTGGAAACCCTGGTGACAAGATTTGTGGAATTGGTTCAGATAGGTTCGGACGTGTGTAGCTTGCAGGCGCTCGTCGGCCTTGCGTTTGAGAAGGAGGGGGCCTTGATTCGGCGTAAGAAACGGGACTTGCGATTCTCTGAAAGCTCTCCTCTGCAAGATAGTCCGAACGGCTGATCTTGGAGACATTGCGCGAATGTCCGGCCTCAGAGCTGGGCGGACTTGATCGAGAGCTTGCAACGCTTTGTGTGGTATAGCTGGCGTACGAGTCATCCGATAAACCTGAGTCAGACGGTGTGTGAAGGGCACCAGATGGTGTATCGATACTGTAGTTGGTTGTGACTGGCGGTGGTGGTTGCAATGACTGCGGAGGTCCAGGGTCCCTGCGTGAGTCTGCCTCCGATGCTGTCTGACTAGGGTTGCGTGAGGGAAACATGTTGTTGGATCGAGGGGCGAAGTCTGAGGTTTTGTACTCAGCGATGTTTGCTGGAGGCAGGTCTTTCTCGGAAGGTCTCCTTGGTCGCGGTGGTGGCCCTTTCCTTTCCTGGCTTTCCTTGTGGAGCGGGTATGTCTTCGACCTATCGTCTTGACTTAACTGCACCGGACGTTTAGCTTCATTCTGCAAACGCCCGAGGAAAGCGTCGATGCCTTCACTCTCTACAGCTGCAGCTGGTAGTGGAGGTGGAGGCATCGTTGCAGTCGGTCCCGATTTTGTTCGGCTGGTTAGTCCGGCGCTGCGGTTCGAGTACGCAGAAGCTCGGGATGTGCTTGACGCCAGCGATGTCCGTGATTTGGATCCACTACCAATACTCCGCAGGCTCCCCTGTGTCTCTGTTCTACGGTGCCCAAACGATGGTTCCTGCGAAGGCGATCTGGGCGCACTGGCTGTGCTTGGTCGTCGGCTGTCGAAGGGACCAGGCGCAATGTTGTCCATACGTTTTAAGACGTTCTCTCCACCATTTGTACGGGGGCTAAGGGGCGCAAAGAGGGGACTAGGTTCGGCGTATCGCTGATTGTATGTGGCATCGAGCCTATCACGGTCCTGTGGTCGTGCGCTTCGAGGCGTAGCTACTCGATTGGTGGGGAATCGAGGAAACGATGAGTCCATGTTGGAAGGGAAATCTGGCGAGGGCTGCGAAATAGAGGGCGGTACTGGGCTTGTTGCACTTCGATTCAGGGCGTAGGGTGACCTGGGAAGCGCAGAAGGCAGCGGAGAACGGCTTCTTGGATCGCTGTAATTGCTGCTCATCGGTGATGGCTCAATGGGCCGAAATGGTTTATCTAGCTTACTGAGCGGTTGTTCACAGGGAGTGTTAGAGGATGCAATGATGTCTTACTGGCTGCTTGTGAGTCTATCCTGGGCGGTGCCGGCATACGACTCGAGGAAGGTGCTTGACCCTCATACCGGGTGCTGAAGGATGGACCTCCAAAGGATGTAGCGCGTTCGAGCTTTGGCGACGTCGGTTCTGGGGCCGGCGCTTGCGGTTGGGCGGGTGAGGCTGTAGCTGGGCCTGAAGGTAGTCAGATATGTGAGCCTGAGGTAGATCAACCCCATATCTCTCCTACTTACTTGCTGTTGGGAGAGGAGCTTTGGCACAGACATGATCGGCCAGTTGTAAGATATCGATGTCAATCCCACATGATGAACATTTGATCATCGGCAATCCGCTCATTCGATCCATGTCGTGTGCGCTTAGTAGGCCTGGAAGGCCAGTACGATGGACGGTAGGCTGTGCTCTAGTGGGCGCAGCTGTTGTCCTTCACTTTCGACAATGTGATTGTTGGCGATGTTTCCACTGTGTTGACATGGGATGGAGCGTGAGATCCAAACGACAGAATCTCAAAGGCGCATGCGACCGCCGAGAAAATATCCCTGACTACCTCCAGGCTGTTTGATCTTCGAACACGACGGGTCCTGCTAAATCAGGAGAAGCGATGCGGAAATGGTGCTGGTTTAGCTCTGATCTGAGGACGGCAGCGGAGAAATGGTTAGCGTAGCACCAGTACCAGCCCGTTTGAGATTGAACAGCCCCACCAGCGACACTCGTAATGTTGGATGGTGTTCTGTTAAGGTGGTCTTGGGCAGGGGACTGATAATGAGGATGGAGCGAGGCTCGGACAAGCCGACCACACAAAGACGGCGACGCACAATAAGGCTGGACGAGCAATCAAAGACAGAAGCCCCGAGGACCAAAGACACGCGCGCACTTCGAGACCTTTCTGATGTCCTGCACGTAACCCGCGCGGTCCCTGAATCGTGGCGTTCCTCGACCTGCTGGGCAGCGCCATTGATTCGACGGACTAGCTTTAGGCGCGCACGGAGCGGCAGCTTGCAGAGTCAAGTGGTCCCTGAACGTGGAGCCAGTCGCAACACAGAAGCTATCAAATGCGTGATGAAACGAATCTCCGTCGAAATGTCTGGACGATGTCGCAAGTGCCCATGACGAAATTCTTTCGATTATGTGCAACCATCACACGAGGCTGCACTCGCGTGGCACCTGAGAACGTCGGATGGAGCGGTAAGGCCAGGTGGTACAGTACAGAGCCGAGTTGAGGCTTTGTTCGCCAGGTGTCCATGCGCAGGAGAACCATTCGACCCGGACATTAAGCCACCTGCTTGATTGGATCCTTCGTGCGCAGTTGTTGGGCACATGGCTTATTGGTGTGGACGTTCTGCTGATACAGCAAGAGTTTCTTGACAAACGTTCTTCCCCAATCGCTTGGTTGCTGAGACGACAACCTTGGATTCATGATGTTTCCTGCAATCCTCGAGTTTCGAACAGTTTGAAGTATGCCACACGGCTCTGGTCTCATCGTTTCGGAAACAACATCCGTCGCACGGACCGGTCGGTAAGCTTGAGTACTGATATGGAGATGGCCAGGAGCGTGTTGCTACATATAGCCGTGGGGACAGCGGACATTGGCCTCACAGAATACCTCCTCGCCCTGCAAAGGACTCTTCGACCACAGGATTGCTCACAGGCTGCGCTCGAAGCTTGTACACTGTCTTGTTACCTGCGGCTCGGCACGGCGTCGAACAGGCGACCATCAAGAATGGTTCTAGCCTTGCGCTGGTACGAATGGGGTGTCGTGTGCTTTGGTGGTGATGCTGAACGAGTCATCATCAAGATTTGCGGCAGAAGTTGGACCGTCCTGGCTCATCGCGAAAACATCCAGTAGAACGTAGAGATAGGAACGATCACTTCATATGCCTTGAGCCGTCGAGCGTTGATCTCGAACTGGTGGAGCGATGTGCACTGCGGTCCACTCGGCCACGCCCACCGCTCCTTTCTCGCGTCTAGTGCAAGTATACGCGGGGTACGATGGAAGAATTCGGACATCCAAAGAGTGGTAAACATAACCCTAACCACCACGCCCCACTGTCATGTCAGTGTCTTGACAGCTGTCAGTTCAGCGTAACTCGTCTTCCGTCCTCTGGCGTGTTGTCGTGTCCTCGCCGAGGTATGCTGCGTGCTCACCATCCCAAGTGCGGTTCGGTTTGCTGCACCGTGAAATTGAGAGTGATATCGGGCGCGGCGCGGAGCAGACAGACGGAGAAACTCACGATACCATTGGCCTTCTAGGAACTGTCACGGGCTACGGCGGCATGAATTGGCTCAAAAAGTGGAACGCACGTCGAAGAAGCGGTGGGCGTCGTCGCTGCCCGGCAGCATGCGGGTGAATTAGCTTGTTGTTATCGATAAGAGGCAGGTACGAGGGGAGGACGTATATAGAAGGTACGTCCCACACCTCAACATTACCACTCCACCGCAAAGTAAACAATCGATCGGCTACACCATCTCACAAACAACACAAAGCTCTCTCTCCAAATCCACCAACAAGTCACTCGGGCCATAGCCCAGTCGCCAAAACGTTTTCAAATCTTCTTTCCTCGTAAGTTTTCCCCACCATTCCGTATGAAGGCAGCCATGTCTCGCCGCCGTAGTCCTTTCATACTTTATTGAGCTATAAGTGGCTTGCAAAGTAGCCTTGAGTACCTCCCATGATTTCGAGGACCGCGAGCTTGCATCAGGCTACTTCTGCTGGTTGAAAGGATGTCAATAACAAAGCACAGCGTCCACAACCCATTCGCCGGCCGACGCACTTCTCCTTCTGGGGCAGCGTCGGATCTAGACTTCCGCAGATAAGTTCGTTGAGCCAACAAGCCAGTAAGAACACCTCAAGCGAACGATATGGCACCTCACGCCGAAGAAAGCGTCGGCCATGCGGATGGGTTTAACGTGCAGATGGCACCTACTAAGGATCTCTTCGTCGTCAACTCTCCAAATGTTGAATACACCGATGACACTATCAAGACTAAGTACACTTACCGTACCACCGACGTTACTCAGAATGCGGACGGTAAGTACGTTGCCGTACCCAAGGAGACTCTCTACGACTTCAAGGTCGACCGCAATGTCCCCAAGGTCGGTGTGATGCTCGTGGGTCTTGGTGGTAACAATGGAACTACTGTTACCGCTGGTATCATCGCCAACAAGCGCAACCTGGTGTGGGAGACGAAGGAGGGCAAGCGCGCCGCCAACTACTATGGCTCGGTCATCATGAGCTCCACGACCAAGCTCGGCGTCGACAGCAAGACCGGCAAGGACCTCCACATCCCATTCCATGATCTCCTGCCGATGGTTCACCCCAACGATCTCGTCATTGGTGGTTGGGACATCAGCGGCATGAACCTGGCTGATGCTATGGACCGTGCCAAGGTTCTTTCGCCTTCGCTGAAGATGCTGGTTCGCAAGGAGATGGCCGTCATGAAGCCGCTACGTAGTATCTACTACCCCGACTTCATTGCAGCTAACCAGGAGGGGCGCGCCGACAATGTTTTGGAAGGCACCAAGGCCTCGATGGCCCATGTTGAGCAGATTCGCAAGGACATTCGGTAAGTCGGTTCCGTGCTCAGCATGCATGACCCGGTCGCTGACAGAAACTCAAGTGAATTCAAGGCTGCTAATAGCCTCGACAAGATCATTGTGCAGTGGACTGCCAACACAGAGCGTTACGCCGACATTCTGGAAGGTGTCAATGATACTGCCGACAACCTCATGAAAGCCATTGAGTCTGGTCATGAAGAAATCGCTCCCTCAACTATTTTCGCTGTTGCTTCCATCCTGGAGAACGTTCCTTTCATCAATGGATCTCCTCAGAATACCTTCGTTCCAGGTGCTATTCAGCTTGCTGAGAAGCACGGCGCCTTCATTGGCGGTGACGACTTCAAGTCTGGTCAGACCAAGATGAAATCTGCTCTTGTTGACTTTTTGATCAACGCGGGTATCAAGCTCACCTCCATTGCAAGCTACAACCATCTTGGCAATAATGATGGCATGAACCTCAGCTCGCAGAAGCAGTTCCGCTCCAAGGAGATCTCCAAGTCCAACGTTGTGGACGACATGGTCGCTGCGAATAACGTCCTATACAAAGATGGCGAGCACCCCGATCACTGCGTTGTCATCAAGTACATGCCCGCTGTCGGTGATGACAAGCGTGCTCTCGACGAATACTACGCCGAGATCTTCCTGGACGGTCACCAGACAATCAGCCTGTTCAACGTCTGTGAAGACTCTCTGCTGGCCTCACCTCTGATCATCGATCTGGTGCTTGTTGCTGAGATGATGACTCGTATTCAATGGAAGGCCCACAGCGCTGGTGGCAGTGCCGCTGAGTACTCTGGCTTCCACAGCGTACTCAGCATCCTCAGCTACATGCTCAAGGCTCCTCTGACGCCTAGCGGTACCCCAGTTGTCAACGCTCTTGCTAAGCAGCGCGCTGCTCTCACCAACATCTTCCGCGCCTGCGTCGGTCTTGAGCCTGAGAACGACATGACTCTGGAGCACAAGCTGCTTTAGATTACCGGATTATTCGGAGGCGAGGCTTATGTGAGCATAACGAAGGTGATAGTTTGATGGAGGTTACGGAATTCGAGGTTTTGATTTGTCCAACTCTCTACGCTCTTTACCTTCTATATCAATGACAAGAGACTTCTTTGTCACTCGCGTGCCCATACTGCATCTGTTGTGAACGTCTCGCTTCATGGTTTTGTATTGTTCCAAATTTCTTGTTCATAAGGCGTCGATATTTCGTGGGTCCGGTCACATTGTTTGACCGACCTGAGGGTGCGCCTGCAGAAGGAAGGCGCGCTTCTTCCATCTCAACCTTACTCACGTCACAACCCCTCACGACTCACTAATGCCACCACACCGCTACAGCCTGCCATGCCGACATCCTCATCCATACAATCCTACTTCACGTCTTCGCCGACCAAGAACAGCGATGGTTTCACCGCCGACGAGGTGCAGTCGGTCGTGCAGCCTGCAGGTGGATCTGCAGTCAACACATGGACTGTGTGTATCAGCGTCTCACCTTCGAGCCACCCAAACTGACTCCGACAGCCCACATTAGATTATGAAGAAGCTGATATGGGCTCTCTTGAGCCTGGCCCGCGCAACCTGATGCTCATAGGGCGCGTAGTCAACTTCTACGACGTGGCCAAGCCGAGCAAGCGTCACAAAGCTGCACAGGGCTACATCAAGATCATGCTTGCCGACGATACCGGCGTGCTCACCGTACGGCTCTGGTACGCTAATGCAGAGTACAAACTGCGCCTTGGACAGCTCATCACTGTCTGGACAGTACATATCTCGAACAGCTCGGAGCACAATGCACTTGCCCCAAACACTGCGCCACTCTTCACCACCATATTCCCTGAGGGCGAGCGGCACTGTCACCTCATGGTGCACGAGAACAGTGATGACGGGACACAGTTCAAGCGACCGTTCAACTGCAAAGACTCGAGGGCGCTGCCTAGTCTCATGACGCTGAGAAGCTTCACGGACGGCGGATATGATGTTGATGAGCCTAAACTGCTCGTGTGTGTGAAGAGCATCGGAGCAAGGAAACGCTGTATGTCTCAATGGCGTTATCATTTCAGCCCTGAGTACCGCCAAGCTGCCTCATTGTCTTTCTCTTCAGCTGACACTGTAACCTGTAGACATCAATCGAAACGGCACCACCTCCGAGCTGCTTACCTTAGGCATCTTTGACGACACAGCCGATGCCTCACTGACACTTTACTCCGGGCTTTGCGACTCTGCATCCTTCCTACAGACCTCCAAATCCGTCTTGCTAATCTCCAACCCAGGTTGGCGCATCGAAAAGACCGCCAAACTGTCGCTCAACGCCAACTCTCGTGTCGATATTGATCCAGATATAGGCGATGCCCGGCGCCTGCGTGCACTTGCCCAACGCCTGACCAAGAAAGAGCACGTCAATCCGCCCTTCCCTGTGATCGACGTATCTTGCTTTGAGGAAAGCCCTGTACGTGCGCTCTACAACTTCGCCGATATCGATGACTTCGCACGTATGAACCCACGTGAAGAGCTCCTAGGTTACGTTTCCTGCATCGTCACATCGCTCAACATCGTTGTGCCATACAAGCGCAACATGCTGCTGAGCGCAGAGTGCTGCGGTGTTGCAATCTTTGCGAATGCGACAAACACGATGTGCAAGCAGTGCGAGAAGGAGGTTGAGCTGAGAATTAATCCGAGGATCGTACGTGTTCAGCCCTCCTGCCTGAGTATTTGACTACCTTTTCGCTACCATATCCCCTCATTATTGAGAACATAGCCCAAAACTAACTCTTCGCGTGCAGCTTGGTCCAGTTCTTGACGAAACTGGACAGATTGGCAGCGGAAAGCTCGTCTTATCAGATCGCGCATGGGGAGAGCTCCTCGGTCGAACAGCCTCGCAGCTTGTCCACACGGATTTGGAAGTGCTGCGATACCTAGAGCAGCGGCTCTTATTCCTACGAGTCACGATGGGCTTCGCCTTGAAGCTGGAAGACGAGATTGGCAGGCTAGCTGTCTGGTGTGTGAAGAGCTGAGGATCGCAATAGGGACCCTCAACAACACGACCACCTGGACGTGTCAAGTTATGCCGGCTTGGCGCAGGCGATTTGTGTTGAGCTGTAGGGAAGCACCAGTCCCACTGCTAGGCATTGGTCGACAAGCTATGTTCGCCGAAGGACCCTCATTCTCTGGCGATGCATCACACGTGTGTTGGAAGTTTTACAAGGCGCGGGTAATAATCTGGCAAAATGTCCGGCATTTCCGCCTGCTATCGCAATGAGGCTGAAGCAGCGATGTATCTCCGTTTCGGCCGCGGCGCCGACACCGCGACATGATAGACGGAATAATTCTCTCGTGTACAAACAAATGTTTGGGTACAGAGCCTGTGTAAAGAAATGGTCAATTGGTGTGTCTCAATATGTTATCGGCGCTGAATGGTCGGCTTCGGCATTTGATCGCAGCTGCCATGACAGATGACAAACCATGGAACGTGCAGGGAAAGAGGTTAGTCATGGACAGTCAGGAGGGCCCTGGAGGCAGTCAAGGGACGAAGATGCACACGGCGCGTTATGAAGACCATCCGGATTGACCGCTTATCCAACTCGCGGACAGCTGCGGCAACGCTTTGATACAGACGGTGGACTCGAGGAGCTTTTGCCGGCATGACGCAGGAAAACTGGGTCGCGAGGGCCGTCACTCTGAGCGTGGCGGGCACCGCACTTGCCAAACATCCCACGTCGTTCTAGCGTGTCGGCGGCCCCTCCAAGCATTGAAAACCTCTAACACCAGGCTTCCTCCTTCATTCTTGTCCTATTGTCAGTCACATTCAAGATGCCATACAACAAAACAGACGAGCTCGCGATCAACACTATCCGCACTTTGGCTGTAAGTCCTCCTGTCCTGCCCCGCCGACGGTCATAGCTACCCCGCTACGCCATACATTTTTCCCAACAACATCACGATGAGGTCTTCTGGCGAAACTACGAAGCTCAATTGCTGACATGGCTGCTGTATAGGTCGATGCCACTGCGCAGGCCAACTCCGGTCACCCGGGTGCCCCTATGGGCATGGCCCCGGTTGCCCATGTCCTGTTCAACAAGTTCATGACGTTCAACCCCAAGAACCCTAAGTGGCTGAACCGCGACCGATTCGTCCTCTCGTACGTGCTCCTGAGCTGAGAAGTTGTCTCAATGGCTTTTATGGCCTTAAGCAGTTTTTCCGCGATGCTCCGCTATCGTCTGAATGCGAAACACTGACCCTGCGCACAGCAACGGTCACGGCTGTATGCTCCAGTATTCTCTGCTGCATCTGTTTGGCTACAAGATCAGCATCGATGACCTGAAGAACTTCCGTGTAAGCAGAGTCGACGAATGAAAGAAATAGAGCGGCGTCTGATAATCACAGCAAATCGACTCGATCACCCCTGGTCACCCCGAGTCCCACGACACTCCCGGTATCGAGGTTACCACTGGTCCCCTCGGCCAGGGTTTCGCCAACGCTGTCGGTCTGGCCATCGCTGAGAAGCACACCGCCGCCGTCTTCAACAAGCCCGGCTACGAGCTGATCAACAACTACACATACGCATTCTTCGGTGATGGCTGCGCTATGGAGGGTATTGCCTCCGAGGCTGCATCGATGGCTGGTCATTTGCAGCTCGGTAACCTCATCATGGTTTACGATGACAACCACATCTCCATTGGTAGGTTCCTAAAATTTGCACAGCACCGAATGATTACTAACGTAAAGTCTAGACGGTGACACCAAGTGCGCGTTCACTGAGGACGTCATGAAGCGATTCGAGGCCTACGGCTGGCACACACAGCACGTCGAGGACGGTGACTCCGACCTCGAGGGCATCGAGGCTGCCATCAAGAAGGCCCAGGAGGTCAAGGACAAGCCTTCCGTCATCAAGCTGACTACCACCATTGGTTTCGGCTCCAAGCTCCAGGGTACCGGTGGTGTTCACGGCAACCCCCTGAAGCCTGATGACATCAAGAGTGTCAAGGAGAAGTTCGGGTTCGATCCCGAGAAGACCTTCGTCGTTCCCCAGGAGGTCTACGACATGTACCACAAGCACGCCGCCGACGGCGCCGCTGCTGAGCAGGAGTGGAACCAGCTGCTCGAGAAGTATGGCAAGGAGCACGGTGACCTGCACAAGGACCTCATCCGTCGCCAAACCAGGGATCTTCCCGAGGGCTGGCAGAAGGCCCTCCCCACATACAAGCCTACTGACTCCGCCATTGCATCCAGGAAGCTGTCAGAGGCTGTCCTTGAGGCTATCCACGATGTCGTCCCTGAGCTTATCTCTGGTTCCGCCGATTTGACTGGCTCCAACAACACCCGATGGAAGAAGGCCGTCGACTTCCAGCCCCCCAACACAGGCATTGGAGAGTGGTCTGGTCGTTACATGAGGTATGGTGTCCGTGAGCACGCCATGGCTGCCGTCATGAACGGTCTGTCCGCCTACGGTACCATCATCCCCGCCGGTGGTACTTTCCTCAACTTCGTCTCCTACGCTGCTGGTGCCGTCCGTCTCTCTGCTCTCTCCCACCAGCGTCTGATCCACGTCGCTACCCACGACTCCATTGGTCTTGGTGAGGATGGTGCCACTCACCAGCCTATCGAGACTCTCGCCCACTTCCGTGCCCTGCCCAACTGCATGGTCTGGCGTCCCGCTGACGGCAACGAGACCTCTGCTGCCTACTACATGGCTCTTACCTCCAAGACCACCCCATCCATCCTCGCCCTCACCCGTCAGAACCTGCCCCAGCTCGAGGGCTCGACACTCGAGAACGGTATCAAGGGTGGATACGTCGCTCTTGAAAAGGAGGGTGCCGATGTCACACTTGTCTCCACCGGTTCCGAGGTTTCCCTCTGTCTCGAGGCTGTCAAGACCCTCGAGGAGCAGGGTCTCAAGGCTCGTGTCGTATCTCTGCCCTGCTGGGAGGTGTTCGACGCCCAGTCCAAGGAGTACAAGCTCTCCGTCATCCCCGACGGTATCCCCACATTGTCCGTCGAGGTCATGTCCACACTCGGATGGGAGAAGTACTCGCACGAGCAGTTCGGTCTCAACCGATTTGGTGCCTCTGGTCCCTACAAGGATGTCTACAAGGTAAGCACGACCCTATAACTGCTAATAATGAGGTAGAATCGTTTGCTAACACTCATCACAGAAGTTTGAGTTCACCCCCGAGGGCGTTGCTAAGCGTGCGAAGCTCACAGTCGACTTCTACAAGGATGTCAAGCCCCTCCGCTCGCCCATTAACCGTGCTTTCCAGCAGCTTATCTAAGCGTTTAAGCAGAATGGTAGCGTTGTTAGGATGTGGCATGTGTTTTGATTGAAAATACCTATGAGAAACGACCGTTTAGCGATTACGTAGTTCATACGATGAAAACTAGGATGCGCACGGATTTATAGAATTTGATTTCCATTTTATGAGTAACACTGTTCACGATCTGTACCTTTGATGAATGAAGTTGTGAAGCGGTGAACGCGCTGTTAAATGCTGGTTTCTGGTACTCTGATCGTCTTCGCACTGTGGCGCATGTATCAGCTGAGCCGATAGCGGAGCTGATCTGACCACGTGAACCTATGAATGAAGACTCAAAAACAAGTTGAAAATCAAAACAAATATAGAAGTAATAAATTTCTAATTCGAAATATGAGTCATCAATTATTAGTAAAGCCTCCTTGGCCAAGTGGTAAGGCGTCGCACTTGTAATGCGAAGATCGCTCGTTCGATTCGGGTAGGTGGCACATCTGATTTATTTTTTGCATTATATTCACACATCACCTTCCATGCAAAGCATCACCACTTTCAATCCCTAAGGTATGGACATCTTATTTTATTCCTGTGCCCTTCTGAACACCTTAGATTATGGTTGCAGGACTTGTTGGCGCGCTGTTCGCTGTTGCGTCTTTTACCTTGCGCGATACGTTGGACCTACAGCCACGCAGGGTGGGACACAACTGCTCTGAGCCCTTACTTTGTTCTCGCTGTTCAAAACAACAGACAGTACTTGCAATTACCCCTTCCAACCTCTACGCAGCTGCACCCTTTCTTCACTTACCACCTTCTCAAGACTTCGCACTTTACCAACCACAATTGCTTGGAACAACGCATTTAAAAGCTGCGTCCCGAAAAGTTGTACGGCTTACACCATGCAGAGGCAACATGCAAAGAATGACCGAGATGACCACAGACTCGCAGATGGCCAGAAAGTCTGAAGCTCAACCTCGTAGCGCGTTCTGTCTATCACTGTTAAGGCTCGAGCCATGCTCTGCTCCTGTCAACTGGACCGACAATAGTACTTCATTCTAAAGTGCACAAGATCCTGGCATGGCTGTCAAGTTCAGCCTTGTGAGCACCCAGAACGCTTGTTGTGGGTCTGGTCGTGATTCTCACCTGATCATACAATGGACCGCTACATAATTACACCCTCGAGCCTGTCCAGTCACTTCTCGATCACCAAGATGACTACATCCAGATTCGCACGCTGCTGATCAATTTCAGAACGAACAAGGAGCGAGAAATGATCTTTGTCCAGAAAGCCGTCGATATGACAGATCTTCACCTATATGCCAAGGCTAACACGATTCGCAGGCTGATCTCGCTGCTGCTGCTGCTGTAATAGGGGCAAAATCCTGGTCAGACACGCCCATCAGCTATTGGTTGGCACTGATGCTGAGCCTTGCAAGGATCATTCGAGGAATTGAGGGTCTAAACTCGAAAGAAAGATGTGGAGAACTTGGGGTTAAGCTCGACACCTCAGCCTTGTCTCTTTGGTGTCAATGTGGACACATTTGCAGATGAAGGTCAAAAGCCAAGCTCGACTAGTGGCAAGCCTTGGACCTCATAAACTCCACATCAGATCGTTTTGTAAACGGTTACGACCAGAAATCACTGAATAGGTACTTTCGAAGAGACAATGGCGATGCTGGCTCTTATCAGCCTGCATGCATTCGCCACCCCGTAAACCTATTCTATGTAGGGATCCTACGATTCAGTATAGCTCATGGGAGATGTCAGTCCGTGAGATGGTCCTTTGAATGTGGCCGAATCATGCAATGCCACAACAGCATTCCTTAAAACCCAAGTCCCCAGTATGCGGTGCATCCCTCACAAGTCGACTGCTCGGCTATGCACACGACCCGCTTGCCGTAGAGCTGTTACTGGTGGACTTGTCAGGATACTTCGAAAGACTTAGTAACATGTAGCACCACTATATCACCTCTCTACCTCTCTACCTCGATGTTGGGATACTCGATCTCATCACTCACCTTGACTGCCCCTCTTTACACCGCCAAAAGCTCACGGTGTCTACAACAATCGAGCCATCAACCCTCGACCTCACAATCAGGACTGATTGTCGAATGCCTCCTCAGCCACTTAAAATTAAACCACCTTACCAACCCCCTCCCTCAAACCCTACATCTGCGTACAAACACCTCGATAAATGCGCGAATCGGATACGCTGCGGACAAAGAACCCTGCCAAAACTCGATGCGTTTCTCTTCCGACCGTCGAAGTCGGACAAGTCCTCAACATTACGGGATCGGGAGCGGGCCTTGCAAAAGCGCGAGACTTCAGTGGCAAAAAGAGAAGTGATGGGAGGAGCGATTCAATCTCCCAGAAAGATGACAGGGGAAAGATAGAAGTTGGAGGGGTGTGAAGAGGTTTGTTGGGGCAGTGGCAGTCCCACATGCACAAGGTATATAGGCATTGCTCAGCAATGCCTGTTTTATTCATGAAAAATGGAAATGAGCTATGCTGTGCTATGACGTGGGTATCTCGATCTCATATCATACAAACGCCAAATATACACAAGAAACATCCCCTCCCCCGCCAGTGGACCCTCAAGTTCGACCTGTTCATCGACCACGCAAGTTATCACCCCAGCCAACGGAGATGAATAGGTCATCGCCCTTACGCGTTGGTGTGAGATGCGGAATCCATACCGGACTTTTCAGTCCAATCATCTCGCCCCCCTGTCCACTCTCCCTCTTAACATCAGTCTTCTTAACAATACTCAACGGCCTAACAACATCCTCCTCATTAACTAATGGACTGTTGCTGTAGCTGTGCCGCTCGACTTTAGATGCGGGCGTGTGCTCCCAAGAATTGCCGCTAAGAATCCTCTTGTGTTGGGTTTGGTACGCACGCATCTCGCGCCGCGTAGGCGTGGTAAACGGATCCTTAAGCACGAGTTTCTGTTCTAGTTGCACAGCCTCGCGTTCACCTCGGCGCTTGATGAGGAGCGAAGAAGGCTCGGGCAGCGGGCGGACGTAAGAGTGCTCTTCTTCGCGACTCCGTCTCGTGCTTCCCTGGGCCGTTTTCGGACTCCGCGGCACGAGTTGATTCGACGCGCGCGGGACTTTGGGGTAGCGGAGCGTGTGGATTGGACTCTCAGCCACAGGGGAAAGTTTGTTGTCATCGGAGAGCTGCTTGTCGCTTGAGTCGTCTTCGGGTGTGGGATCGTTGGGATCTGCGGTTTCGAAGGAGGTTTGGGAGGATACTGAGTCCCGGAAGGTTGGGCGTGTAGAAGTTTTCGATATTGTGCGGGAGCCGGTTGTACTCGGTGAGCGGTGCGCTTTGCGTGTCTTGGAGACGGGGAGCGTGTCTGAGTCTTGACGTGGTGTTGTGTCACGCTCTGGGGGTGGAGCAGAGCTGAAGTAGTAGTCTGGGATGTCGGCTGCGCTGGCGGGCGTGATGGTTGATGTCGATGTTGTGGATGTTTGTTGGGAGGAGGAAGGGGGGATTCGTAGTTTCGGCGCAGGACGCTTTGGCGCTGGGGAGCCAGTCGATGATAAGCCTGCTGCTACAATTCTCTTCGGCTGAGGTCTCTCGTGGCGGACCGGGATATCAAGGAATAGTTCTGAGCGTCGCACCGTACGGCTGGAAGACGTAGTCGATGTTGTTGGTGCTTTTGAAGGTAGGCGGGAGGGCTGGAGACTGCGGATTGGCATGATGGGAACTGGTGGTGTTGGGAGGAGTTTTGAGGATCGACGGCGAGCGGCAATCTCGTCTTCCTCGAAGACTGTGTTCTCTGTGCGCGTGCTGACAGGCCGAAAGTGATCTTCCGTGACCTTTTGTCTTGGGTGGTTCGCCGATTTGGCTGATGCAGGACACCCTCCGAGCTCAGCGCTGATAGCAAGACCGATCTGTGACATTGGAACAGAAGCCGCTTTAGCTGAAGTTCCAACACCTGGTCGCACTACAGTACGACCTGAACCTAATGTTGAGACCCCCAAGGTGCTGAAAGGTGATGGCGTGACTAGGCGTGGGTACGTGGGTGCAGGTCCATCACGCGAAGCTGCTGGTGGTGGTGGTCCAATAGGAAAGCGAGTTGACGGCGCTGGCGGTGCTGGCGCGTCGTCGACAGGAATGTAGTGCGAAAAGCGTGCCGATTGCTGTCTTCGTCGTCCTTCATCCTTCTCGTTCATGTACATGCTCTTTCGCTCCTTGCGCCGTCTCAGAAACACACTCAATGCCATTAGCCCAATGGCAATTATGAAAGCTGCAACGGCTGCTACCGAAAGTCCAGCAATCTGAGCTGGGCTCATCTTGGGACGATCATCGGTCGCGGCGGGTGCTGCGATCGAGGTCGGTGTTGACGATGGTATTGAGGTGGCAGATGCTGGGAGCGAAATTGAGTCCACAAAGACAGATTGGCTAGAGGAGACCTGCGTCTGCAGTGTTGTCCTTATGATGGATGTAATCGTGGCCCTTGAGGTTGAAGTAGTGGATGGTGTCGAAGAACGAGAGGTTGTGCTCGAGGTGCCGCTAGGAACGACAGTGAGGGCCGTCTTTGTAGGCAATACCGCATTCTTTTGGCCGAGACAGACATTGTATGCCGATGCAGCCGCGTCAATGCTTCCACACGAAGCATATACACAGCCCAGGGCCACTTCACCTAGTGACTCTCCAATGATGCTGTAACGAGAGCAGAGGCACTCGATGTCTCCTTGAGCCGTGCATGCTACTGGAAAGCGTTCTGATAACGAGGTTCGAATACATGAATGCGCACAGGAAGGAACGTCTTGTTGAAGCTCGGTTGGAAGCGCACTTGATACTGAAGTGACTGTGGGTGCTGCATTATGTGGCGCAGCTGCGATTAGAGGTGCCGAGATGATGCACAGCCTTTTGACATGGCTAAAAAGCATAGTTGTACAGAATCTGTATACCCATAAGCTGCATTCTTGATGAATTCTTGGTGTTGCTGGCGTACTTACTAGGAGATCTAGAAAACCTTGGGAAGTAACATAAAGAGAAGCGCCGAACCAGCAGCGGTGAAAGCAAAGGAAATTGAAGGAGATACTCAAGGAAAATCGTCACGCATCACTCGTCTCAAGAAGTCGACCTGCTGCATCCAAAAGGGACTTTACGAGGAGATGGTAGGTCGACGATATGTATCAACACCTTGGTTAGGCGCCTGGTCTTTGTTGTGGCCGGGCAGCCGCCGAGGCGTCACGATGTGAGTTTTCGATGTCATTGCTGTCCATTGTAAGCGCTCGCATGCTGGGTTCTGGAGTTATTCAACAGTCTTCTACCCGCTGTGCGGTGTTGTCATGTACTGGCTGCTATTCTGGGCGCGTACCTGAGGCGCCTTGCCGGATTGGGCGATGGTTAGGCGCCGAGTCACCGGCCTCACCAACCACAACAACTGTCGATGGACGCCTTCTGTGTACCTCTCGTGCAACAGAACTGAAGTAAGGCTTGGCCTACGTGTTTGTCACAATATCAGGTCATATTGTTGGGTGCTGCCGTGCACGTTGGGCTTACGTCGTTCGACGCGTTGTGCACAGTTGTGCAGCTTTCCGTGTGTGCAGCTTAACCTTCGACGATGCATGTAGAAGGTAACACAGTGCTTTAAAATAGAACTTCGGTTAGCAAGTACGAATTGCTGTACTGCGTTATATCAGGTATTCCCTCGTGACGACGTGCAGCTGTTGGAAGTGAGAATGCACGAGTAACCACAAGAGCTTGCCAGATACTGATCCAACTCTTGCTGATTCATATCGACAATCAAAGATCTTGCTGTGTCTGTACTCGAGCGTCTGCTGCAATTGTATTGCTTTAGCCACTGTCGAGCTCGAGTCTGGAGGTAGTCCAATATCCGTTGTGCCGAATGCCAGTGCCCACGAAGAACAGAAAACATAGTAGCAGAGACCGTTGAACACATGGAACGTGTGTACTCGTCAAGCTGACTCTGTGACGAATGACGGATGTAGCCGCAGCTTACGGTTACTCTGATGTGTGTAGTGGCAGGTACTCAGGAATGCTAGTATCAGCATTACATTGAAGGAGACAATGAAACCAAGATAGTGAGATATGGCCGCAACACAGGAGAGAAATTTGTGAAATTTGAGAAACTTGACGACTACTTTGTCGCTAATACTGATCAAATCCAGAGAAAGTACAATGTCGGATTGCGTCGAGCAGTCAATGGTGCACCGAACGGCGCTCGACTTGCCTGATGGGAATGTGACAACCCCCTTTGATTGTCATCACGATCGTCAGTTGACGACGTCAAACTCGTGGTCGACGTACTGTAGTGCTTGCAGCCTCGCCGTCGTTGTCCATACTTTCACTTTTGGTCAGTGCCTCCACGTGCTTGCCGACGATCCTGCCGCTTCTTGACTCGCAACGGGGCTCCAACGCAAGGTCCCGAGGCAAGAGGTGGCGAGATATTGTGATAACGTCGGGACAAGCCCTAAAGAAGGTTCTGATCGGAGTATTTCCCTTTTGCATAGATGCCGTTGATCCACTTGCTGGCGGAATAGTCAGTCGAAATGCAAGATGCACGGAACGACTGCGTGTGCTGCGGTAGAGCATGACCCATGCCTCGTGGAGAAGAGACGCGGTAGGTGGTTTATTGGGGTCCTGTGTCTCACGAACTGCATCCAAGCTTTTGCAGATCTCTCAGTGACGATGCCGTGTGGCCGCGGAGTAGAGGGTGAACGCGCCCATCGTCATTCGAGAGGCTCTGACTGCGGTGTAGGAGAAAAAGGAGAACGCGAACAAAGTAGTGCTGTAATTGGCCAGAGCCACAATGGGCAGCACGAGTCGAGGAGATGAAGACGCGATCAGACGGAGGATTTGGCGAGTCACCTGCCGCAGCGCCTTTCCCAATTGGGCGCTAAAGCCAATGAACAGCAGTCATGGTTTATCAAATCTGCCCCAGTCAACGGACTGGCAACGCTGCATGGAATGCTCGCAGCGCTGAAACCGCTCGCGAGGCACAAGCTGCTGGTGACGGAGGGACAGCGGCAGAGACAGCAGCCAGCAGCCAGCAGCCAGCGTGGACGCGGTTGTTGCCTGCCGGGTTTTGACAGCTGCAGTTGGTGATGAAGACGAGGGGCCGTGCAGCTGAGGGCAGCGCCAGTTCTGCGTTTCAAATCTCGTATGCAAAATCCCGGCGTCAGGCCTCTGTTTGCTGGGCCCCTAAATTTCCAGAGGGGCTTCTAGAAGAGCTGCTAGCTGCGCTGAGGCGGGACGGGAGTCGCATCTAGTGGATGCAGTTAGTTCGTAGCACAGCGCAACCATGTCCAACAGGTGCGACAGAGGCAACGGGGGGCGAGTGAGGGCACAGAATCGGCGGCGTGCGTCTGGCAGAAGTGCGGTGAAGGCTGGCGGCGGCGAACGAGCAGATCAGGGCTTCCAGAGCAGCGGACGAACAGGCGGGCCAGCCGCAGTAGTCCTTGAAGTGTGCGCTGATGGAAGCTATCTACGTAGAATTTGCAGAGGGTGGATGCAGCGTCAGGGCTGCTTGAAGGAGCCCTTGAGCGGCGTGTACTGTCATCTTGCAGCAGCACTGGCCTCCAACCTGGGTCCACTGCAGTGCACGCAGAAAATGTCAGTCCTTCCTGAGCGTGCGCCATCTTCGCCCTCAGACAGCCGGGAGGGTCTGCAGGGTGGCCCGCACCCCGTCCATTAGTGAAGCCGTAACTGCGCTCAGCTCTGGCCTCGCCTTCCTTTCAAGCCTGGCACCCGTTTTCTTTAGGAATAGCGCGTCTCCTTTCGCGGTGCCATCTAAAGCCTCCTCGCTGCCGGCTGTTGGGTGTTCTGCTGCTGCTTGCACTGCTTGCACTGTATCCTCCCAGCTGTCCAGCCTGTTCCCGTGTACTGTAGACAGCCTGCCGTGCGACGCCTGCCCGCTGCGCCCGTCTCTACTTGCGACACTCGACAACCCGCGAATTGACGATAGCCCCAGCCGTCTGAGCGTCTCCACCCCCGACCGGCTTGCAGCTGCCCTGAGACACCTCGCCGGAGCGAAGCGAGCCTCGCATTTCGACCCAGCCATCCACCCCTTCACCTGCCACACCCTCTCCACGACACAAACACCCGTCCCCCCGTCACTCCCTCGCTGCCGCCCGCATCGTAGTAGGAGAGCGTTTGAAGTCGGCATTTTCTTTGTAATAATAGGTACGCCGTCACTCTCTGTCACTCTCCCTGTGGTTCGCCCTGTGATTCGCCGTGCTGCTCGACCGCTCCTGCCCGCCAAGGCACGCCGTCTGTACTGAGCAGCCCTGGGGCAAACAGCACCACCTGCATCCGCATTCACACACCCACGCCCGCTCTCACCTCAATGCGCGCTGTTGGACACGCTCGTTAACAGCACCACCCAGATTTCCGCATTGGCCGGCCTCTCGACGGAACATCGCTAGTACCTTCACCCTAATTAACGCCACCACCCCCGACCACCGCCCACACTCGCCATCATGGGTTGCGGCATGAGCACAGAGGAGAAGGAGGGGAAGCAGAGGAACGAGGAGATTGAGAACCAGCTCAAGCGCGACAAGATGATGCAGCGCAACGAGATCAAGATGCTGCTGCTCGGTCAGTAGCCGTGCGACGCCCTCTGCGCCACCACTTTCTAACAGCGTGCAGGTGCTGGTGAATCCGGCAAGTCGACGATTCTCAAGCAGATGAAGCTCATCCACGAGGGCGGCTACTCCCGCGATGAGCGCGAGTCGTTCAAGGAGATCATCTTCAGCAACACGGTCCAGTCGATGCGCGTCATCCTCGAGGCCATGGAGTCGCTGGAGCTGCCGCTCGACGACCAGCGCGCCGAGTACCACGTCCAGACCATCTTCATGCAGCCCGCACAGATCGAGGGCGACAGTCTGCCCCCTGAGGTCGGCAACGCCATCTCGGTTCTGTGGAAGGACGCCGGCGTGCAGCAGTGCTTCCAGCGCTCGCGCGAGTACCAGCTCAACGACTCGGCCAAATAGTGAGCGCCCCTGAACAACCAGTTGATGCAACTGTGTGCTAATTGATACAGCTACTTCGACTCAATTGACCGCATCGCTGCCCCCGACTACATCCCCAACGACCAGGATGTCCTCCGATCGCGTGTCAAGACAACTGGTATCACCGAGACCACCTTCATCATCGGCGACCTGACCTACCGCATGTTCGACGTCGGCGGTCAACGATCCGAGCGAAAGAAGTGGATCCACTGCTTCGAGAACGTCACCACGATTCTCTTCCTGGTCGCCATCTCCGAGTACGACCAGCTGCTGTTCGAAGACGAGACCGTCAACCGTATGCAAGAAGCCCTCACATTGTTCGACTCCATCTGCAACTCGAGGTGGTTCGTCAAGACATCGATCATCCTGTTCTTGAACAAGATCGACAGGTTCAAGGAGAAGCTGCCCGTTAGCCCCATGAAGAACTACTTCCCCGACTACGAGGGCGGCCCAGACTACGCCGCCGCCTGTGACTACATCCTCAACCGATTCGTCTCGCTCAACCAGCACGAGACAAAGCAAATCTACACCCACTTCACCTGCGCGACAGACACAATGCAGATCCGTTTCGTCATGGCTGCAGTAAACGGTATGTCTTGCCAATCAGTCATTGTCAATCCAATCAACTAACATGTCACAGATATCATTATCCAAGAGAACCTCCGGTTGTGCGGTCTGATATAATGCAACGAATTGCTGCGGGAGCAAACAAAACATTTCGAATTTGCTTTGGTTTACGGGTTGTATGTTCTTCATGACGGGCATCACCATGTCATTCACCGGCGTTGTGGACATTCTTCATGCCGCGCCTTCTCAACAGTTCCACCTTCTTCCGTCGAGTGGCTAGCCCCAGGCCCGGGTCGCTCTTCTTTGATACCCTGCGGGCGGGTTCTGGGGCCGTCACAATAGCGAAGCGGTCCCTTTATTCCCTTATCCTCCCTGTAAGACTGGCGAGCAGATAAATAGCCGCCCAGAGAGGCGTTTGATTTTTCCTAATACTGTTCTTGTTCTTATCTATCTACCTACGTCTGGTGGCAATCTCTAAAGTTTCCTTGCGGTTTTGTAAGACAAAGACAAGCACGTGTGCGAATATGTAGCGGAATGATTACCGGTGTAAAGACAACCTGTCCTATTGTAACACCTTGATCATCAGAAATCGACCCGGCGCATACCTCCTTTCCTCAGATGACCTATGCATAAACTCCTTCGTGAGCTTTTGCACGCCTTGTATATCACCACCAATATCGATCTGCAGCTCTCCCCTTTCAGACCACGACGGTTTTTTCTTTGTTCCTGCCCGCAGGATGGAGAAGAATCCTGTGGCCCGTCTGACTGCATCTTCCTGCGTCCGTACGCAAGGCATGTCCTTCCTCAAGCTAGTGCGGCGCTGCGAACCCGCTGCAAACAAAACGGTCCGAATAGCTGTGTGAAGACATCTGCTTGACAATTTTCCTGTAAGCTTGCGGCCGACCGGCAGACGTCAAGGTTGCTTTGTAAGATGGCGCTCGAAGACGTGATGAAGAAGGCGTGAAGGGGTGTTGACCGATGTAGTTAGCGTCCTGGGCCATCGGCAGGGACGACGACGCACCCTCTTCGTCATGCTTCAACGTCAACATCTACACAAGGCGACAGCGATGGACATGTCCTCAGCTATTCGTATCGCACATAGAGTTGCATAAGCTCCCAAGCTGCGCCAAACACGTGGGTCAGCGAACAGGCACACACACTCGCCCGCAGAGTCCACGGCCGACCTGATCAGTGTTTGCTCGACAGACCAAATTGGAAGGCGCGGTGAGCAAAATCTCACCATCCTTTTCACACACACATCGGCTCCGATGATCGTGCCTATAATCCGAGCTGCCCAAAGATGCAGATTGCGTATACCCGTCAAGTCGGTGAGCCGACCATAGTCCCCATGAGACAAATCTTGGAACGCGTGAGATATGAGACAGCTTTGCGCATTCGCCGACTGTCGTCGCGGCATAATCCAAACGTAATCAAACATGACTGTCGGAGTCGCCATCCACTGGACAACGGTAGGTCTGTCGAGGACAGTCATGCACGGGGTTTGTGCGTACCCGCTCACCGGAGGGAAATGAATTGTCTAAAACGGGGATTGCACAGCTGTCACTGCTGCCTGGAGATGACGGGATTGGTCTGAAGTGTGGCGGCATGGTAGGCGTGGTGGAGTTGTCTGTCTATATTCACCTCGCTCCACCGCCAGTCGAAGCTTCGTTTTCGTCCCACCACTCACCTTTCTCCTTTCTCTTGCCATCCGTCCACCCATTCGCCATTCGGATGGGTGGGCCGGAGACCGGATAGCCAACTTCGCACCCCCCTTCTGACCCACTTCAAGCACTTCACACCACTATATATACCGATACATCCATCAACAAGGTTTGTTCCACCACCACGGAAGAAATGGTGCTCCTCCTAACTGTACCAGGCGAAAATGTGTTATCCGCTGGCTTCTCACTCGCCCGCTTAGCAGATGGCTCGGCATAGTATGCCCTAGCAGTCGACGATCGTCTTCGTCAAGCCCTGCCGGCTGTCCGTGAGGTGAGATTTCATTGCTGCTTTCCCCAAAGCTACTGATTAACCATAATGACGATGGCCACAGACGTTGAGAAAACGGCTACAGTTATATCTTGGTCACCAATCATGCTGTACCTCCGTGGTATATCTACCCTCGCAAAGGCATCCTCGGCCATCCGCGCCTGCCCTGGAGGCCAACAGCCGCCCAACCGACCCTGTTCTTTCGCAACCACCTATCGGCGAATACAACCCGAAAGACTCGATCTTCCAAAACTCAAATTTGGCGCCGTACCTACGCACCCTCTCCACCCCCGCTTGAGCCCAGGTCCCAGATTCGCTTCACTACTTCTGTCTCAACTGTCTCTCACTCTAAGACTCTTCTGCACCGCATGAGCCAATGCCCCGGCAGCGGTGCGAAGACGATCAGATCTCGCCTCTCTCTTCAGCTCCAAATGTGGAGTGCGACGAACTGCTCGAGATGATTCGGTGGTATCAAGTGCGGACTGATGGACTGCTTAGGACAGCAACCAATTCAGTCGTGCGATCGGGCCATCGACCTTGTCCGTGTGCTATTGGAGAAGTATGACCGCTTGGAGCTGCGCCAGGGTCATGGTGCAGACCGGACCTGCGGAGCAAGTCAACATTATCCATCGTCAAAGTGCACGTCACACCTGTCCGGTACTCCAACCATCAATCGGGCAACCGACGGCCTCTATCTTTACCTCAATTCCGTATATATAACATGGTCTCCAACAACCACAATCTCCATTGTCTCGAGATGCAATCTCGGCCGGGTATCGACGACTGGGCGCCCCTTCGACAAGTCAAGCTCTTGGCCGGCTCTGGGTTGGCCGGTGCACCGACTTCTTCTGGACCTAAACCTCCACAGGAGGAAGAACAGGATGCATTCCCTCGATCTCTCTCTGCCTGGACCAGACGTCGATGTCAGTCAGAGGGAGGCGCAGTTCCTCTGGACAAGCAGGGCTTAGCTGCGATCATCGACAGCACTTTGGCAGTTCCTTCAACCTCGACTAGGGCCTTTCGTCTGCCTTCTGGAAGTCACCGTCGTATCGGCAGAGTACCGGAAGCACGTCACGGATGTACAATTGTTCTCCATCGCAGCCTCGCGGGACGATCCACCATCCAAATGTCTCATAGCGCTAGTCAGCATTTGCCGCGATGGTGAGGTCAAGCGATTGGCAATTGGACGCGAAGATGGGTACTCCGTGATGCACGAAGACGAAGCCGCATTCACCACCTCGAAGGCTGACGGCTCAGGCAGCGAGCCTCCAACGGACGTCAAGGCTCCCTACAGGCGTGATGAGTCGCCGGATGGTCCACGCCGTGCCAGCAACGGCTCGGCCACTCGACGCAAGTTCCTCGTCAATCGCACGAGGCATACGAGGGCGTGAATGCGTGGATCGCACAGTATCGTAGTGAGCACAGGCTCGCCGGCTGCGAAGAGGAGACGGTGGCCGCTCCAGAGCTGAGCGAGAAGTGCACAGCACGGTTGACCAACCGTATCCGTCTAAATTACAATATCAAGGCGACTGTCTAGCGTCGTGCGCTATCTGAGGGGTCTCCGCAACTAGGACGATGAGATCATTGAAGCTCTACACCCATTGCCCTCAAACAGCTGCTCAATGCCACCCACGAGCAGCCATGGACGCCAGAGTCTCCGGTCGTCTGGAACATTTATCTTCCTGGGCTCTCAGGCCAATACATCGAGTATGAGGCTCACCTTGATACGTCGAAGGATTCACTCATGCCCTGTGTCTCCGATCCTCTTTGCATAGTAGTAATGGCGGAAGCCCTGAACTGTGTCCTTGCGTAGCTAGCTTCTCCAATGCTACGCATACTGAAGTAGCACCCGCAAGCTCTGTCAACGCAAAGATTGCCGGCTTTAAGGTGTTCAAGCTCTTCCTGAAGGCGTCCCGTTGTCAGACCCCCCCCCCCTCACCTACACCCAACAACTCGCCCATAGCGCTTACTCAACTCACGTTCGCTGCTCTTGCCACTAGTCCAGCTGATTGAGTACCCACAGCCGCGATAATGTGCAGCCGCTGCTCTACCTCCAGGACGCACAGAGCCCACCCGTTGGCTTGCCGGAGATCTATAAGCCAGATTCGCAGCAGCAACAAAGGTCCACCTCAGGTCTCTCCTGCAGAGCAGTATCGTACTGCCACCACAGACCTCTGCACCACAATCTACTCCGACCTTGCTAGGTACCTCGGACTTCACTCCAATCAACCTCGACTTTCACCAGTACAGCGGAAGAGGACTGGGCTTGTGGAGAGCGCGAAGCTGCCTCCGACTGGACTATACATTCTACTAAGTTGTTGAGGAAGCTGAAACATTTGCACACAACTGCCGCGAGGTAGCCCATCGAGTTGCCAGCCTGACGGAGCAGTTTCGACTAACCCAATGGCGCGATATTGGATTAAAGAGAGGACGAGCGGAGCTCTCAAAGGCAAGAATGACATCATCAGATGATTCAAAAGCACATAGATAATTCAGAAATTGGCTACCTGCCTCTCCAGAAACAACAAAAAACGTAAAACCTTATCCCCTTTCCCCACTTTTCTATCTCTCATACTCCCCTCTCCTACCCTTAATCCTACGACAAATCAAAACAACTCTTCTTCTCCCCACACCACTCCACCACCTGCAGACTCCCCGTCAAAGATTCGCCCTCCTCCAGCCACTCCGCCATGTCACCCAAATACTCCTCCAACCCTTCTAGCGGCTTCGCCCGCGAATCGATCATCCGCAAAAGCCTCAGCTTACTCTCACAAGACTTCGGTAGCAATTCGAAAACATCGATTAGGTGGCCGATGTGCATTGCATCGGGAAAGATGAGGGTATTGGAGGACGAGTCCCAGGTCCCGTTGCTAGAGTCCATCTCAATACACAGCTCGTCAAGATTTACGAAACTCGGAAGCACCGTCTTTAGAATGTTCGGCGCGCGTTTCCTTTCGATTTCTGTCCAGGCTTGTTGCGCTTTTATGTGCTTTGCCTGCCGCTCCGATGCGGTCTCGTCCGAGTCGCTGCTGGACGAGAAGACCTCATGTTCTCTCCAACACGACATATCGCTGCAGAACTCTAGTCTAAGCAGGGTTGTCTGGGCAACTGGCGACATGGCAATCTCAAATAGATCCTGTTCGACGCCCTGGAAGGTGGATAGGTGGATGGTGAGATTGGTAAGCGGGCGGTTTGCTGCGGGGTCGAAGTAGTCGCTTAGTCTATGCGTGGTGGTGAAGTCTTTTATCAAGGATTTAAGGTTTGGCAAAGCTGCTGGAGGGAGTCGCGTTTCTATGGCTTCGCCCTTTGATGGGTCACATGGGCCGTCGACGCGCTCTGAGAGACTCACAAGGCTGGGATGGCGCAAGAGGAATGAGGTGTATAAGGCGGGCGTGAAGTTCCATCCGAAGACGTGCAGTTGTGCGAGGTTGGGGAACGTCCACCCCCATGTTATGTTCTGGATCTGACAGCTTTCGAGATCGCATGGTGGCCACTCGAAGTGCAGAGTCTCGAGATTTGGGCACGCATGCAGGAGCGCGTCGATGGTGCTTCCATCATCCCCGTGTGCGCTACTAGTGTCCAACCGTAACTCTTTGAGGGCCGGGAAGACGGTGTTGGAAGGGAATGGTTGAAGAGTGTGGACTTCGTGGCAGAAGAAGTCCAGGTACAGCTTCTCTAGTGTCGGTGCATGAGCATACAGTGCAGTCCAGAAGGACTGCGGACGTGTGAATGCTTGGCCTGTGTAAGACGGTGCGGGCCAAGTGAAAGATTTGAGGCCGCCATTATGGGATTTGACAAAGTCGAGGATGGTGATGAGTGGCGTGCAGAGGGTAAGCTCATCGATTTCGATGACGGAGGGGTTTGTTGGTGGTGCGGCACTGGTGTTCTCGCCGGGTTCCGAGAGCTTAAGCTTCTCCTCCGTGGCGATAGCTAGTTGTTCTAGCTCTTCGACTGCTTGGAAGTATGCTGTAACATCGATCTGTATACTCGTGATCTTCGCCGCTCCCTGACGCAGCTCAAGGACCTGTTTCGCTAGTACCTCAGCATTTATGATATCGCAGATCTTAATCGTGAGCTCCTGGTCGCCTCCTATAATGTTCGCACCCTTTGTCAGTGTTGTTGTTGTTGTAGCGGCCATCACTCGGTCACCGCTGTTATATCCGGCTAAGAAAATGGTAGTGAAGGGGCTCTCGGAGAGATGAGTCTTGAACTAGCTAATTGTCGAACAATTTGGTCGAACGAAGATATTATGCCAAGCTCTAAGGTCGCGTTTAATCCAGGCAGCAGGCTGCTGGGGGTCAGTAAGGTTTGGTAAAAGGCTGGGTGAGGAGAAGGGCGATCTGGCTCTGTGGGTACCTGAGGATGGTGGCTTGCCGTATTGGGTCGGTCTGAGGCTGAGCGTGAGGCTCATCTTTTCAGCATTCAACTGTTCACCACTTGCACTCATCTTGGACGCTACAGTCACGTCACGTTGTGAGGCACAATCAGTATGAATTTTGGACGTTTCATTGCGTTGATTGAGTCGTATGTTCGTGATACTAGACACAAACACGCCCACCTCCAGAAGATAGTAAACAACACCGAGCACAGATGCTCAGCAGACTGGTCGTAACGCCATACGCCTCTCCCATTTTGCACAGTAAGAATCCAACATGCAGATCATGCATCGGGAAATGCCACACATATCACATGCTCCTCCTGCAGCGCTTACTTGCGCACTGTCTTCGCCGCCTTGGAAACTAGCTTCTGCAGCTCGCCGTATGCCTCCTCGAACTCCTTTGCGTCATCCTCCTTGACGTCCTTGGCATTCTTGCCTGACCCGGCCTTTGCGACCATGACGACAGAGGTGGGCCTCTTTGTTGCGCTGGCTTCACCAAGCTGTGCGCGCGACTTGATGTAGATGTAGGGGATACCGTGATCTTCGCAAAGGACGGGGATGTGCGAAATAACGTCCATTGGCGAGATATCGGCGGCGATGACGACGATGGCAGAGGTGTCGTTGATATCAGCAGTGTTTCCGGAGCCTTGCGACTTGCGGAGGGCCTTGACGACTTCCTTGACACCGCGACGGAGTGTCTTTGTCTTCGCAGCTGTTGGGTACATTAGTGAGCTGATTCTACTCGCAGCTGCGCAGGCTGTTGAGGATTTTAGAACGTACACTTCTTGACGGTCTTCAGGATCTTCTTGACTTCTTTGTCGTTATCTGCGAGAGGGAATGCGAAGGGGACTAGTGCGCCAGCGGGCTCGTCGCCCTCTGCGCCAGCACCGCTGTCAATCTCCATCATGGAAACATCGGGCTCCTCAATCGCAGCCTCGAGAGCGTCTGTGACATCCTTGCCCTTCTTATCCTTCTTCTCCTTCTTGGGCTTGGATACACCGTCGGTCTCCGCACGCTTTTCTTTCTTTTCCTTCTTGTCCTTCTTCTCCTTCTTCAACTTCTTCTCCTCAATTTCCTTGGCCATTGCGAATGAATGCGATAGAGTCTATTGCTGAGATATGACGGGTATGCAATGCGTGGAGTAATAGAGAGCGAGTGGCAGCGTGGTTGTGGGCTTGTGCTGTGCTGTGCGCAAGAGCTTCAATCTGGAATTTTTATCGAAGTCTGCACTAAATCCAGATTTTAGCGCGACTTGGCAATACAGACCGCCTTCACGCAGCAGTTCACGTACTCGATAAACATCACAAGTGATTTTGCACAGTGGGAGCATTTTACTCAGGGACACATTTTATACATGAATGTTCTGAAATGAAATCGCACACCATCACTCCTGCGTCATCAATCTACTACCTAAGTACCCTCCTTCCTCCGTCGCCGTGAAGACAATAAGCAGGTACGTGTGGTATATGCAGAAGGAAACCCATGCCAGCCGTAACAGATAGGAAACAAGAATATAAAAACAGGTATTATCGGAATGCAGCCGAGGCAGCTCGCAGCCAGACCGAGTTGAACCGAAACGCACTTGGGGCCAGCCTCCAAACTAGTCCAGAAAGCCAATGGGTATGAGCGAGAGGAAAGATATTAGAGGGATGTCAGAACGAAAAGAGCTTGAGCTCGAGTGTGTATGGACTGGACCAGACCGCCCCAATGCGCCATCTTGCCTCGATCTGAAGAAAGCAAATAACAGAATGACACCGAACTCCATGCCCTGCCTCCCGGATGCAGAAAGATGACGAGATGAGAGAAGATGACTGCAACAATCTAGCAAAGAGATGAAAGAGAAGAAAGGAGATGTCGTTAAACGTGGCCTAGTAAGCCATTTGCATCTCGAGAACTTGAACGGCGCCGGCTGCTAATGGCGAGGCAGATCCGGACCTAGAGGACATTGCGTCTTCGTAGCCGACAAGGGCTTGCGAGTGGAGTTTGAAGGCCTCGCCCATGAGCTTGGTGATACTGTGGTTCGTTAGCGTTGAGTTCTGCTCTTAAGAAAGGAACAACTTACCCCCACACAACCACTTCGTCAATCATGCTTCCCCACAAGCGTGCAACAGTGGAGCTCAGCTTAGCGCCGTACACATCGACAGAGTCGTCATCGAACAAGTTGCGCAACTTGTTGTACATGGCCAGCTCTTCTTCGTTCGCGGGCTCTTCGTCGTGTTCCAGACGGTAGAGCCAGAGTGTGAGGATCACCACAAGATCCATCCCGGCGAGCGGGTGCTCAATGCTCCAGTTAGTAGCGGAAGTACGTGCAACCCAGCGGATGCCTTGCACAGCTGCTACCTCGATGCAATCGAAGCACTCCTGGATGACTTTGATCATCTCCTGTGAGCGCTGAACCTTGTCGCGCGCATTGGTCATGGCCGCTGCGACTTCGTAAGAGTCGTGGTAGCGGAGAGCCTCCTGGATGGACTTCAAGTCGACGACAAGACGAGCTCGTGTGTTACGGTACAGCGCCATAGCGTTGAAGATCAAGGGGTGGCCCTTGTGAGGCGCGCTCAGACGAACCACAACAGTCTCTGGCTCGCACAGATCAAGTGACTTCTCCCATGTCTCGAGCGCCAGGCGAAGCTTGTACTCAGTAACAACATCTTGCAGGGCTTCTGGGCTGCGCTTGTGATACCACACCTCCAGGAACAAGGCGTTGATCATGACACGAGTTGCGAACGCGCTGTAACGGGCAGTCTCACCCTGGAACAAGTTATCGTGTGCCTGGCGGAAAGTGATGATCTTCGATGTGGCAAGGGCCTCGCGCCACACCTCCTCGTCATCACCACCCATGGTCCAAAGCGACTCTGAAGACGGCAGCTCCAGTGTGTCGAATTCGTTGAAGCCCATGGCTGGTGTGTGGTTGTAGGTCAAAGTGAGGAGACCAAAGAAGATGTACACTGCGTAGTATGTGCGGCGACATTGCTCGTCCTCAATCCACTCCTGGTGGCTTGGCTGAGCACCTTCGCGAGCTTCAGAGCGGATCTTCAGTTCGTAACGATTTCCTGCGACCATATTCGCAAGAAGACTTTTGATCGAGCAAGCCCACTCGAGACCCTTTGGATCGCCGCTCCAACTGGAGAACTGCATGTTCAACAAAGTGCTCTGCATAGTCCACAACGGGCATTTGCGCGAGCTGAAGTTCTCCTTGTTCTGCAAGAACTGGTTGACAAGGACCTTGGAGCCAATGTGCAGCATGTAGGCCTGATCCTGGTCGAAGATGTACAGGGCACCGATCGAAAGCACAGCTAATAGCAGAGGCGCAGCTACTTCAGTTGGGTGAAAAGTTGCTGGGTGCAGGAAGGGCAGGTGGTGGTGGAAGAGGTCGAAGTACGTCTTGAGCAGGCGGTTCAGCGTGTTCAAGCTGGGCAAGTGGAAGGTATCCAGAAGCGCGTTCTCGCTGTCGTACTGCTTGATGTTCTCGTAGACCTTGCGGCACTGCTCCTCAGACTCGAGCTGAGGCGCACTTGTCATGGTCAATGCCTGGCTAGGCCCTGGAGATTTCCGGTAGTCGACTGGCGAAACGGGACCAAGCATGGACGGGTACGGCGACAGAGGGTTGGGTGTGCCGAGATTGTTCTCGCTCATCGAGGGGAAGGTGGGCGCAAGGGCTGTGTTTCCTGACATGGTGCGCTCCATCATGGGCGCCAGGTGGTTATGCGCATGGAAGGCGGAGTGTGTCTTCTGCTGCGACTCAGGCTCGGGCTGGGGCACCATCGAGTCGCGCCACGGCATCTGCGGCAGCATGTTCTGACCGGGCGCTGTGTAGGGCACCTGTGGTACCGAGGGCTCCATGTGCTGGGGACCCGTGGGCGAAATGACAGGCTCTGGGTGCTGGTCGAGGACCATCTCGGGCTCCTGGCTGGCCATGGCCTTGTGGTGGAAGTCGGTCATCAGCATGGCGGCGGTCTCGATGTCGACGTCGACCACGCCGTCCTCGCTGGCCTCGAGCTGGTCGAGCACGGTTGTGTCGAGGGGCAGCGCGCCCTTGGAGGGGCCGGGTGTGGCGGCATCCTGCGTCTTGTTGCTGATGCGGCGCTTCTGCTCGCTGGGGAGAGGCGCGCCGCCGTCTTTGGCATGGACGGTGCGGTCGTGGCGCAGGAGCAGGTCGCGACGCACGAAGGTGCTGCGGCACTTGAGGCACTTGAAGGGGCGTTCTTTGGTGTCTGCGGTGAGGGGCAGTTAGCAACAGCAACACCGTGAGCGCCTTCCCCGCAGCGCGACCACCGCGCGAAGTCCCGCATCAGTAAACAGCTACCCCGCTCTCCAAACACAGAGCTCCATCAAGCACGGTCGCGACAATGAGAGATGACTTACGGGAGCGCTCGTGGCGACTGCGGTGCTCGCTCCTGCTGAAGGCGCGGTTGCAGAACTGGCACTTGTACTTCTTCTCCGGCTGGCCGGGCTTGCGTGCGGCGGCGGGCGCGGCGTTGGAGGCCATCGCAGCAGGCATGTGTTATTGATAGTGGGCGGCAGGCAGTCTCTCAGAACCCTAGACGGGGAGATGGCTCGAATGCCGGGCGCGCGTGGGCGTTAAAGCGTGGTGATGGCTATGGTGAAGCTGGCGTGTCCCTCTCTCATTCCGCGCAATGTGCATAAAAATGGCGATACAGCACCGGTAATGGCCGGTGGACGAAGAATGTAGGGCGGTGACAGCACCAGATGGCTGCGCGCGTAATGGAAGAATGGTGGTGGAGGATGGGATGGATGCTCCAGGCGCTGCGTGATGGCGGAATCCAGGAGGGTAAAAGCAAGAGGGGTGACCTGTGAGGCTACCGCATGTCCTGGCCTGTGCATTTTGGAGCGCCCCTCTGGAGCTTGCCCTCGACCAGCCACCCCATGATCGTGGAATTATTACGCCGCGGATACAAGCGCTAGGCGAAGTGGAACGGGGCCTGTCAATGCCATCTTACATCATGTCAAAGGTTGATGGCAATATTAGATGGTTTGACAGGTGCAATGCAGTATCGTTGCCTTCCTCCAGCAGCTGCTATCGACCACCAACCATGAAATTCAAGCTCTACAACCACTCCCTACTGAACATTCTGCAACTCCTTTAAGATCGCCTACACCCATCACGAACGATGCCACAAGCTCCGGTAATTTCTCTAGCATGGCCCAGACTTGCTTCACAACTGGACTCGATTGCCCGTCGCAGCCCACGGTCCAATTGTTTTTCCTTCGCGGCCTGATTTGAGCATGGTTGCGCCGTACCACATGCTTTCAACGGCGGTCTCTACCCGTCGTCCACTCGTCGCACAGCACAAAGAAAAAGCGGTAAGGAACCTCGAACTGCTTTTACCTGTTGCAGTTGTAGTTCGCACGTTGCCAGCGTTCGGATGCATGGGCGCGCTCACCGCCTCACGTGTTGCTGCATCAATACTGACATAGCAGGTCAATAATACACACGAGACACATGCTTTCATCCCTCCAGGCCTGTCATTCGATGACGACGGCGCAGAAAAGGGGCAGCCCTTCCTACAGACAATGACGCCAGGACAGCCTTCTAGCTTTCACCAACACACGTTGCAGCTACGAGTAATTTCGAGGCGACCGGGGCGATCGCCGGCTCGCTGACTTGTTCCTGGAAATCTATCCATTCCATCGGGCTAGGAAGCCGCTCCCCGGACCCACTTGGTGACTTAGTACCGGTCCTGCCAGAAAGCAGAGGCCTGCAGAAACTCAATTGCAGCTTGGAAGTCGTGTTCGTGTCCAGCGTTTGGCAAATGGCGCGGTCACTTCGACGAGTCGATGTATCGCGCAATGAGACGTCGACAGAAACTCACGTCAGTAACCGTGGAGGACACCACAATTGTGTAATGCCCCGCCAGCCCGCCTGCGTCCGTTGGATCGGAGATGGTCAGGATCCCTATGTAGCTCTGGATGGAGTGACCCGCAGTCTAAACGCTAAACAGGTCGCTAAGGACTGACAAGTCGTTGCTCTTCACCGTCACTCCATGTGTGCTCCCGAGACGAACCTCTGGCAAGTCTCAACCCCCCTCATATCAATGCCCCTCCAAACAATCAATGTGCCCCTCTATCATAGTGCTCTGTTCACGAGGGGTTCTGCCTATCACCATCAGCCCACGCGCTAGAATGTCTCTAGAAGAAAAGGAATGCGTCGACTTCCTGTGGAAATGGTTACGGATCGCTGCCGCGTTGCCGTGGGCTCGGTACCGCCGCGAAATTGGTATTCGAGCAGACGAACGAATGGCAGAACTCGTTGGGTAGATTAAACACTGGCCGCTGCGCGATGACATGCCGTTCTGGCCTGCAGTTGACGCACTCCCACGTGCGACCTGCAGCTTGTGCGCAGCATATCGCCAAACAACGCTGCCTCAACAGTCTTGCAATTCTTTCTGCTCAACTAAAAGGCCATGCATGTGAATGGGTTTCTGGTGTTGGTCGACTCGGACGCTAGTCTGACCCATAAAACCAGCGTCGCAGACTTTAGACAGCACTCTGCCGCCTTCCACGCGACGAGCTATGCAAGAAGTGGATTGGCGCTGGTTTGGTAACTTCCCTCCGAGCTTTCATCGGGGCCTTTTGTATCGGGAGTTCTCGTCGGTTGTCAGTGTGGAAGGTCGTCCCACAAACACTCACACCTCTCAACTGGAGTGCAACATTTGAGGGTACCACCATGAAATCGTTGCATGAGACTTACGAACATTGCTGAAGACCTCTGAGACAAGGCGCAGGATCGCCTCAAGTATACTCGACCTCACGCATGTTGCAGGCAAAACACTCATACAGTCCTCGCACATGGAACGTCAGACATTCAGGACGAGTGTAGTGGTACAAACAAGACCGTTGCACAGTCCTCGATACTTCGGCAGCCGTACGGTTCCGGAAGGCATTTCCTGGGCTTTCGTTTCATGGTGGGCATCCATGAAGTTGAGCGAGTCAAGCAGCGTTCTAGACGAATTCCTAGGTACCTCGATGCCCCACCCTCCTTCATCAGCCAAACATTCGGCTTCACAAGCAGTCATTTTCCGACTGAGACATGGTGGGGGTCGCACCCACAATATTGGCTGCTGCCGTTTGTCAGATGTAATTTGGAATGGAGCCGTCGGTTGATTGCAAAGTCAATGAACGACAGCGCAGCCCATTCAGGGTTTTTGAACATCTGCGCCGCAGCTGTGAGAGCTGTCCAGCTCCCCAGCTGTTTCTACAACCTGCAGAGGCTGCCCACAGCCGACAGCGTATATAGACGTGTGAATAGGGGTGTGAGGTTTGAAGCAAGGCAATTCCGGGTGTGTCAATGCCAACGCAAATGTGGAGGATGCACCTTGACACACGCCCGTACCAAAAACACGTGATCGGTTGACCGCTCAGCAACACGACGGCTCCGCGACCCGCTTCCTGGTGTAGCATTTTCTCTGGCTCAGACTCAGTCCTCATCTTTGTACCTCACCTGGAGCTGAACGCCCGTTGTGAGAGCTCATTCGCTACGTCGCTCTCGTTAGGCGCGAATGTGAGGGCTCTAATTCGCATGCCGCCTCTAGCCCAATTGCGTCCCCTCCCTGAGCCGTAAGACCACAGACGTGGAACCTCTGCACACCTGGAGTCTACTGTGATCCCAGAGCAGACTGCCTGCTGCTCGCCTCCTGTTGCCGCTCCCCGCACCACGCCGCAGCTGAGGGAAGGCCGCGCCTGGAGTCAGAGCGACGTTGCTGCCTTCCCATCCCCGCCTTGACGAGACGGAAGGGTCGCGCCTGCCGCCGCAACCATGAACGGCTACAGTGGCACCATCACGCCCGGGGGCATGTACGTGAAGGCGCTCTACGACTACGATGCCGACGATCGCACGAGCTTGAGCTTCCGCCAGGGCGACATCATTCAGGTCATCACGCAGCTGGAGAGCGGATGGTGGGACGGGGTGATCAACGGTGTTCGCGGCTGGTTCCCGAGCAATTATTGCACCGTCGTGCAGCGGTCGAGCGAGAATGTCGAGGACGACAGGAATGGCGCGGAGCCGGTCGACGATCACGATACCCAGTCGCTGGACGATACCGACTACACCAACTCTGACACTGAGTCGATCAGCGGGAACGACACGATACTGCCCATCGAGCGCCACAACGAGAACAACAATGCCAGCAGCAAAGAGGAGGAGGCCGCGTTCTGGATACCTCAGGCGACGCCAGACGGCAGGCTCTTCTACTTCAACACCCTGACAGGGGTCAGTACCATGGAACTGCCTCTAGAATCCCCTGCTGCAAACGAGAGCGGACCCCGCGACCGCGTGAACGTCTTCATACCAGAATCGTCAAGGCCGCCGGCTGAGCTGCTCGCCTCTGGCACAATGTACGATACCGACGATGAGACGTCAGCCTCAGACTTCGAAGGACACGGCATCAAGGGCTCATATGGAAGGAAACGGCTGTCAAGTGGAGTTTCACCAGCAACTTCTACGGAGTCTATGAACCAGGGTCTAGCACCAAGATCCTACGATGCGAACGGCACAAGCTTCTCAGGCGCTGCTATACCACCGATTGGCACCACAGCTACGTCCTTCGCGAACAGCCCTCCAACTGGAGGACCATCGACATCTGCGCAGTCACGAAAGTTCTACGATGATGTGAACCCAGTGCCCTTGACATGGAATAGGATGGTGGAGGACATGCGCCGAGCCATCGAGCGCTACCGCGAGGCCATCAACAATAGCGACCGGTCTGAGTTTGTCAAGAGGGCAGAAGATATCTCTGATCACTTGCGATTACTGCTCGCTGCAGGCTCTGGAACCACTGACAATCACTCTGGAAATCCTTCAATCATATCTACTAACAAGGCTCTGTACCCACATTTCCGAGAGACAATGTCGAGATTCTCTAAGCTGGTCCTCTCCTCTCACATCGCTGCGTCTGATTTCCCACCGCCAGACTCATACACAAAGTGCTTGAAAGAGGCGGATGGTGTCCTGAATGGCGTTTACGGCTTTGTCGAGGTAGCTCGTCAACAGTGTGGAGAAGATATTCCTCGCTTGGTACCTGGCTTCATCGTCGGTAGCGGCGTTAGTGGGAATTGGCACAACAATGGAGCGGACTTACGAGACAGCAACGGCATCTCATCCTTCATGGAGGACGAATTCGAACCTCCTGTTGAACCTACCGTAAAGCTGGACTCTCGCGTACTCGAAAGATTGGAGGATATCAAGCGACTCATTGTATCGAGTGTCCGTCGATTGGACGAGCAATGTGTTGTTCGTGACAAGGTGGTCTCGCGCCAAAGACACCAGTTGGTTGGCGATCACATTTGCACCGCTGGAGGAAAGGTCCTCGAAGTGTGCCGGCCATGGCTATCCACGATCGAATCGATCAACCTCTCCTCGACAAGCTCGACTATGCCAGAACAGCAACTAAGCGAATTCAGCATACAGAAGCAGAAGGTGTACGACGTGGTTTCAGAGCTAGTAATCGCGTGTCAAGGCGTTGCAGCACCGCTGGGCGACGAGTGGGCCGAACTGCGTGGCGACTCCCTCGAGGATCGAATCAACGCCGTTCGAGCTGTCTCGAGAGATCTCGAAACCATCGTTGCCCAACAGTACGGACTCTTGCAGAATTTATCAGAAGCAGTCCCCCTCTCAGACATCACCGTTCGCACTGACTCTCGGAGATTCACCGACACAGACTCCGAGCTCGCGGCTTCGCATGCTCGAGGACCTTCAGCGACGCTAAGGCCATTGCTGAAGGATGTGCCCCAATCCAAAACATACAGTGAAGGCACTGCACTGGACGAGAACAAGATCGACTCGATACAGCCTCCAAGAAACAACAAGAAGCTGAAGGACTTCTTCGGCGAAGTACCTGTCATTCCGCAGACCACTGTCGAGGAGATTCCGGAGTACTTGAAGCTCGACCACGAAGGAGAAATCTCCTATGATCATAAGGTCACTCCACCACAGCTACGCGGCGGTACATTGGCAGGTCTTGTGGAGCAACTGACGCGCCACGACCGTCTTGATCCAGCATTCAACAACACATTCCTTCTCACATATCGATCGTTTACTACGGCATCTGAGCTTTTTGAAATGCTGGTCAAGCGGTGGAGCATACAGCCGCCTCACGGCCTAGCCAAAGAGGACTACCAGACATGGGTGGACAGGAAGCAGAAGCCTATTCGATTCCGTGTGGTGAACATTCTCAAGAGTTGGTTTGACAACTATTGGATGGAAGGCAACGACGAGGAGGCACGGATATTGATCCAAAGAGTGTACAACTTCGCAAAGGACCACGTTGCGACAACTAGCACACCTGGTGCCGCCCCCCTAATGACCTCTGTCGAGCAACGTTCTCGTGGCCCAGATATGCCAACGAAACGACTCGTACTCACGCTCAGCGCCCAGACGCCACAGCCAATTCTACCAAAACACATGAAGAAGCTGAAGTTCTTGGACATTGACGCCACAGAGTTTGCGCGCCAGCTGACTATCATCGAATCGAAACTTTATGGCAAGATCCGACCGACAGAGTGCTTGAACAAGACATGGCAAAAGAAGTTAGCACCCGGCGAGCCGGACCCAGCTGCAAATGTGAAGGCGTTGATTCTCCACTCTAATCAGTTGACGAACTGGGTGGCGCAAATGATCCTGACCCAGCAGGACGTCAAGCGCAGAGTGATAGTCATCAAACACTTCGTCAATGTCGCCGATGTAAGTTGAGCAACGGCGTTTACACCGTTCTTTTGGCTAACATACCCCAGAAATGTCGATCATTGAACAACTTCTCGACATTGACATCAATCATCTCAGCCCTGGGAACTGCGCCAATCCACCGTCTGAACCGGACATGGAGCGCAGTGAACCAGCGGTCAATGGGTGTCCTGGAGAGCATGCGCAAACTCATGGGCAGCACCAGAAATTTCGCGGAGTATCGAGACACACTTCACAGGGCGAACCCGCCTTGTATACCTTTCTTCGGTTAGTGTGCAGCAACTGTAACACCCGGAACCTGGCTGACTAGTCTAGGTGTCTACCTTACTGATCTGACGTTCATCGAAGACGGCATCCCTTCACTGATCAAGAAAACGAACCTGATCAATTTCGCCAAGCGCGCAAAGACCGCCGAGGTAATCCGCGACATTCAGCAGTACCAAAACGTGCCGTACCCACTGCAGCCTGTGCCTGATCTGCAGGACTACATTTTGACAAATATGCAATCTGCAGGCGATGTGCACGAAATGTACGAGATGAGTTTATCCGTTGAGCCGCGCGAGCGCGAAGACGAGAAGATTGCAAGGTACGTGAGAAGCCAATACATTCCATGCTATACCCTCGGGTGCGAGACGCGTTACTAACGACAGGCAGACTTCTCTCCGAGTCTGGATTCCTGTGATGATACCCCACGAAGCGTTTGATCTATCGATCTTGGATGATGGCGATGGCGTTGGGTCACATTTTGGCTACGATATACGATTGAGGCGCTCGTTTTCTGGCGCGCAGGCGAATATTACTCAGTACTGTGTTGCATTTTTGGCATTGGAAAACGAACCGCGTACGGTTTGCTCGTCTATTGTTCTCGCTATTGATATTATTTCTAGAAGCTGCGTGGATGTTTACGAGGCTGTCTAGTTCGAGTTGCCGATTATTGAGAACGAACGTTTGCGGCGGCGGCTGGCGGTGTGCGCGGATGGGTGGCCTCATAAGGGTTTTTACGAGACTTTACAATGCTGGCTTCCTTCACCCCTCGTGTTGCCATAGGACGAGGCAAACGATGATCGTTCTAGGAAAGGGGACGAATCGCAGCCGTGTATCCTAATTTATGCGCGCTTGTTGCGTAAAGCTGCCGTTGCTGTGAAGAGTGTGGCCTTACAGGAGGCGGGCCTGCCAAGGAACGTTCATGCTGCCTACCTATTGCAGTACGATGATTTGGTTTCAAGGTGTAATTTTCCCGGGGTCGGTTATGAGGGGCCTGCATTTCGTGCAGCTGGCGTCCAGTGACCTGCTTATGCACCCTGGCACCAGGCCGTTGCACTTGCGGCGGACGCGGCAGAGGCTGGCGAGGCGCACCCACCCAGGCCGCATTGGGCGTGCGGCACCCGCTTCTGTAGCTCTCGTGACGAAGGATTCTCGTCGTGCTGTGTGGTTTTGCAGGGGGTGTTTCTGCGATTGCAACGTCGTGTTCTTTCCAAGATCGCTTCCCCAGAAGTTGTGCTGTCAGCGCCGCGCTCCGATTTGACAGCCAAGGGTGCTCCTTGGATGCTCTTGGGCATCCCTAGTCAGCGCAAACTGATCCCTTGCTGCTGGCCATTCAGGGAGGCGGCGGTCGTGTGAGGCCGTTGGCCCTCTGCGGTTGCAGTGCTCGTGTCGTTCCCCTCCCGCTTGAGGGGCTATCAATGCTATCATGCATCTCGAGTCTCTGGCGATGGCTGCTGCTGTGATACGCCAACCTCCGGAGATAACCAGCTGGTCCACAGCCTTCACTTTCGGCCATCTCGATGGCCCTTCCTTGCAGCGCTCGTCTGCTCACACTGACAGGTGATTCCCACCGCGCCGGCGCACCAACGCTCTGGGTTCTCCACAAAAATTCGTATGGTGATTTCGGCGCCTTTCGCACGGCGATCCTTCTAAGAGAAAAAACGGCAGCGCTCAGACCCTGCTCGTGACTGGCTGCTCGTACAGTAATTGCCAGATTGGAACCTTGCACCGCCGCTGCCCTGTCCAGCACGGCGCCGTGCCTGGCTGCTTTTGTACCAAAGCCCTCCCACTCCTCTTTACAAACCTCTTTGCGCTCGTTCGGTTTGCCCACCAGTAACCAGATCCTCCTCACCCTAGTCGCTCACTGCAACATACGCCTAATCACATAATCATGTTTCACTCCGCAATGGGCGCCATGCCCTGGCTGCTGCTTGCCATGTCTCGCTTCGGTAAGTTTGCAATTGGTAATGGAGGTGGTAGACCTCTTTATTCAGTCTCACCGCGGGCACCCGTGTGTTCCCGGCTTTGTCTACACTCAGACATACTGACCATGCGCGCTTACAGCCAACGCCGCCTGTGAATGCGGATACTCGCTTAACCAGACAACCGACTCCAACTATGCCATCTTTACAGAATTAATGGAGAATGACTTCCTACATATGGACACAGACAACATCACCGAGTACGGATGGAGGCCGCAAGTCTACAATGTCTCAGTCCCCGCCAACAATCAGAGGATAGCGTATGGGAAGGAGTTCAGCATGGGCAACATCGTTCCCAATCCTCTCAAGAACTCGAAAAAGTGGTCTGGCGAGGCTGATCATGGTGGTGATGCCGGTTTGGAGTTGTGGGTGAGCGGCGACCATTCGCATGGATTTGTCAATGGGTCAGAAGTTGTCTCAGTTAGGGACGACATCCTCCTTGGATCTTTCCGTGTTGGCATGAAGCTTTCGAACTCGTCTGGCACATGTGGTGCTTTCTTCTTCGTAAGAGACAGTTATTGTCGCATATCAAGACACTGCTAATTGTCTACAGTACTACAACAACTCGCAAGAAATCGACATGGAGTTCCTTTCGAATGAGTTTAACAGCACAGGAGGTGCCGTTAACCTGGTACTGCAATCGCCGGAATCTGTTGCCCACGGAAACGACGCTGCCGGCACCTCCACCTACAAGGTTGCGCCTCTGCCCTTCCAGCCCGATGGCATGTTCCACGAGTACCGCTTCGACTGGACCGCTGACCGCGTTGCCTTCTACGTTGATGGCGATTTTCTCTGGGAAATGACCGAGCAAATCCCTACCGAGGGTGGCGGCATCTTCTTCAACCACTGGAGCAATGGTGACCCTAAGTGGTCTGCTGGGCCCCCTGACACCGACACTGTCATGACCTTGTCTTACGTGAAGGGATACTTCAACTCTACCGATACGGACCGCTCGCAAAACGCCTACAAGAAGCGCTGCCCAAAATTCGACCCGGCCAAGGTCTGCCCAATTCCAGCGCAAACAACGCCTCCGGATGCTTCGCAAGGCACAGATGGAGCGAAAACATATTTCTTTTCGCAACAAGACGACATGACACCAGGCCAGATCACCTACCATAGCGGCGCAACACTCTTCGGCGCACCAGCGGTTTCAATACTAGTCCCCTTATTGGTCACTCTCTTCAGCTGGACGCTAGCATAGTAGTGCCGCTGAAGCACCGTATAATCAACCACTGAACATTACCACACTGTTCCCGCACTTCTTTATCGCGACAACCATACACGACCGAGGTTCTCCAAGAAGTCTTCGAGACGCGGCATTATGAGCGCATGACTTGGGCGATGGCGTTTCTGGATACCTTGCATCGCACTACCTTTTGGACTACCCAACACTCTTTCTTTACTACACGACTACTACACATCTTCTTGCCGGACGCGCTGACCGCTCCAATCACCTGCTGGACCACTCCTTTGGATACCGACCGTTTCGTGGCGCGAGTGCTGCCCGCGCCGTAGTGTTTACTTTACTTCCACGCTTTTCTTGTGCATAGACTTTGATACAGGGCTTGGTACGCCAGCCTCTTTTTACACCTTCTCTTGAGTCCGGCGGGCTTTGCTGCTCCGCCCTTCTTCTTCTTCTGAATACGACCCCGGTATAGATATTATGGGGCACAGGCTTGAGATTTCTTGGGGAACGACGGGGTTTCTTGGTTTGGGAAGGGATTTGATACCACCCGCACTGCCGCTCACGGCCGCTTTTGTCACAGTATTGCATTGTAGTGGCTGCGTTTCAAGAGGGATAGATTGAAGGCTTAGGACTGCTGCGGTGATTCCGTAGTCTGGTCACCAGCCAGAACAAAAACACATTTCAAAACAACTATCACGATCTATGGAGAATTTGAGGCGTGCATGAGTGAGTTTTCCACTGGGTCCCAAGCCTTGTCCAATGATGCCCAGCCTTGGCGCCTTACTCGGAGACGGCTCGTGCGCCAGCGCCAGACAGGCCAGACAGCAGACGCCAGAACGCGAGATGCCGAGGGCCAGTCAAACTTTACGCTCAACAGTGCATCTCGCGGGCATCTACAGAGGTATGGAGCTTCTTCCGCAACGACAAGTGCCAAAAGGACCCGCATGCATGAACAACTCGTAGATCTGAGAATTGCTGATTCCGATTACAGGGGCATGAGGAATTGCCGGTATCTAGGAAGCAAGACGGTATGGCGCCGTTGTCACTAGACTGAGTATCGTTCCATGTTTGTTGTCAGATATGACGTTGTTGGACGTTGTGTTGCTATTTACTCTCGCTTTCTTCCATTGTTTTGTGGGTTTTGTAAGCTACGGGACACTGCGATCCCCTGCACTTTAGAGCGGCAAGTCGCGGGTCTTCGGCTAGCAGTTTATGCGGCGCCAACGCAGGTACTAGTGGGCGCACTCTTGTACCTGCGCTGCGCTTGGCCAGGGTGGACTCATCTAACCGATAAGAAGCATGCCTGGGATGCCCACACAGATGGGAGCGCGAGTATCCATAGGAGCGGTCTGAGCGCCAATAGCCAAGTCTCGTGATAGCGGAGTCTGCGGTCTTCGCGAGGAGTCGTGGGGACGAGTATTTTTGGAGTGGCATTACGAGCACGCACACCAGCACCAGCGCTGGGCGTGGAAACGGCAGCTATTGGACCCTTTTCTTTTCTTGATTGTCTTTTTGGGTGTGGAGTGCGTGGGCTTGGGAGCTGAACGCGTGTTTGGTGATCAAGTCATGATGTATAATCGGTGGAGGCGCAAGTGCGCTGCAGTCAGCAAAAATTTCCCGACCGAGAGGGGTTCAAATTACGAGGCGGATCTTAGGTAAAAGGTGGCAAGGCTACTACAACACCACCTTCGATCGCCGAATCTTTATTTGCGCAGGCTGCCGCGATTCTTTAGTGGTCCTGCATGCAAGACTGGTGCATTTTGTAGACTGCTGGCTGAAGAGTGATTGAAACTCTGATTAGCTTGCATAGCTAGCACGACCTTAGCATTCAGCATTTGAGGAGCTGGGCATTACACCTGCACTACGGTCGAATGAACGTTGGTTTGCGTAGGAAGATACGAAATGCAAGACTTCCTTCCGCGAAGGCCATTGTTCTTGGCCAGATGCATCTGCGCATGCAATCCCCTCTCCTGCGAAACCAAACACCACTGCTGCCTGCAAAATCACGCCTGCCGGGTTCATCAGTCCACCGGACATTGCCGTACTATCAGTCCTCTCGGTCCATAAACTCGAATCGATAGTCCACCGTATTCCCAATTGCTAAGCAGCCGCTCCATTCTTCACCCTGTCGTTGACAATAGCTAAGCTTCGCCGGCGCCACGCTAGTCTCCTCTCTTTACTCATCTCAGTAGCACAAGCGAGGGCGAGACATGCTTGATTTCTCGCACCAGTGGAGCCGACGCTGCAGCATCGATACCACTGCGACCGTAGGGCGAATGCAAGGCTTCCCGATGTGTAGCTGGGTGCATTCAATAGACTGCAGAAATGCGGATCTAGAGGTCAGCAAGTACATGCAAGGCAGGATTGACCGAAAGTGTGGTTGTGAGCAAGAGGTAAGGGAGGAAGGTCAGGCTGGAGAGTGGAATGGAAGGTCTGACTGGATGATGGCTGCTGAATGCTTGTCCAGCCTCTTGAGCTCCTACATTCGACTTGATGCTCCTGAAGCATGCAAGGCGAGAGCTCATTGAGAGGTTGTTGATTGTTAACCGAAGCTCCGCAGACTGCCGTTCGTCATTGCTGATCATGTAGCACCAACGACGATCACATCGCGGGGTCGTGCATTGTCTGAACGGTGAGAGCAGCGAAGTGATGGTACGCATATCTAGAGGAAGCTGCCTTTGTATCGAGTTGTTGAGGAGTCGCTGCTGACTAGGGAAGACCTTCTGCCAACGCAGCAATGGGCAGACATTGCACAGTAGAACTACTGGTGGTCGTGGAAAGAGCATCACGGAGCAGCTGCCTTGTTCATGGTGATTGCGCTTTCCATCACTGTCTCGGCTTCTCTGATAAACTTTCAACGCCTACAAGATTGCTTTCTCTGCTTCATCACTTTCACTTCAGTCACTCTTTGCCTGTTTTTGGTCTGCATTGCCTTTCGTCCGTTGTCTTTTTGGAACATTCAATTTCCAGTACCCAAACCATCAACATCGCTCAGCCAGCAGTGACACCTACCTTAACCTTGAGTGGTGTAACAACAAAGACAATCCATAAACTTCGTCCCGAACTCGTTGAGCTGGCTGTCTGCTCCTACTTCAGCAACTAGTGAAAGTCGCAGCGTTATCTTGGCTGCATTGCGACAGAGCTCGGCCTGGCGCTCCCGACTGTTGAAGAGGTGCAGACTGACTCAACCTTGGGCTTGACAATCCCCGGCCGCCATGCATGTTTACGCTTTTGCTGCAGTCGTTATCGCAGTACTCACGACCGGCAGTCCTGCAGATCGCAATGTACTGTCAGCTCTTGCACCACATACGCTGACCATACGCGCACCGGTTCCAGGATCCACACCAACTTCAGTCCGTCCAACGCCACCTTCAGTACCTCCAATTATCAAGGATATTCTCGAGTGAGTTGTTAGACCCAGGCTCATACCGAGATCAGATAGCCTAAATTGACGTTCTTGCTAGACTTCGTCAGGCACCAGGCTTCGCGCCTGTTGCAGCACCTCCACTTGAGATTGTAGTGCCGGCTGCACCTGCAGCACTCCCTCCAGCCGTCGCGCCGCCAGCTCCTGCACCAGCTGTACCGGCTGCAGCCATACCACCGGCCAATCAAGCTGCCCCCCCGGCTCCAGCCGCGGTTTCTGCGCCCCCTCTTCCTGCAACGACTACGATCCCTCTCCCTCGACTTGTCACCGGTGACGACTTTGGGACCGTCCAATGGGTCGAGACGCACATTGGTACAATTCGTACTTGGGTGCCGAAGACCTATACTTTTCACTTCGAAGCTATGTCGCAAGCTCCACTGCCGGGTGTAGGATCGATCGGCATGGGAACGTTGACGGGCAAGACTGGGCAAACGCAGACAATCTATATGGTAGTAGGCGCGGCGCCGACTCTCGTAGTCGACTCGAGGAAGGTTATCGTTGCTGCTGTGGCAGTCGGTATCGCAGGTCTCCTGGCGTGAGTAGGTCGAAGACGCAGGAGGGCCCAAAAACCCACGTACGACTTTATGAAGCATTTAGGACGAAGGCAACATAACTCGCAAAAACCAAAACCACGGACTGATCAACGAGGGCAGAAGACCTCAAATTACATGACTGGCATCATTTAACGAGCATGCGCACATACTACGGGAGCACACTACCGTGTTGCATATAGCAAAGACATGTACAGATAGTAAGCCATACTCCCTCAATAGAAAAGTAAGCAATGACAGCAAGGTAACAGCGAATCCAAATTATCCTTGACATGTGAAGTGTATCAACTGACCTGACAAGAAAAAGTTGCTCGCAAGTTTCCTTCGATCGCGCCAAACTGAGGAATCTCGGAGATAACGAGTATCACACCACTGTACCACTGAGGCTGTGCGATAAGACACATTCTGTTGAGTGTATGACGTGCAACGTGAAACATACCCACAGACAGCTCACCTGCTCGCGAACCGAATCGAAAGAGGACTTCACTGATGTCGGTGGGATGTTTTGTGAGCGTTGGTGGTTTTAGGCTATTGTCAGTTCAAGCCTCCTGAGGAAGAACCCCGCTTTTCGATTTGGCCAGCCTCGCCAGCCAACGATCAGCTGTGCGCGTACAAAGAGCCCAATGGACGCATGCAGCTTGAGGCTGATAAAAGACAGGGTCAAAGAATGAGGCTCAGCTATAAGGTTGCATGTTGCGGCGGGTGTACTGACGCCCCGGGATTTGTGGCGCGACCTTCACACTTCCGCTATCTGGTGATCAGCCCGATGACGAAATTGGTTTGGGCTGTTGCGTGAACAGCACGATTTCATAACGTGATATCAACGGTGCTCGTTGCACCAACGCTCCCATATATAGTACGTTGAAGGTGAGGACGTTGTCTCCAGCAACATCAGTAAACACATACAACATTCGATCAATCGACCTCACGCCAACATCCGACCGAGGTGCTTTACCTGATTCGGGTTGACCTACGACATCATCGATACAGCGGTGTAGAGTATATGTATACATATCCTCCAACCCCCATCTTCATCAGACCATCATTCCCATCGATACAATCGACACCCGCATCATCAAAAGACGCAACTCCATCTATATCACCACCTGAGAGTCCCAGCCAAGTAGCACCGCATTTGGAACGAAGCAAGTCTGCCGAAGCCACTCCATTGACCTCAAGTTCACTTGAACACGAAACACCTGAAGTCCAGCAAGCATGGCAACAGCATACTATCTCGCCGCCCATGGCGCCCACTTCCCCCTGGTACACACAGAGCAGGAGCAACCTTCAAGCCCTCCGTCTACACATCCCGTGCTCGGCGTACAATACCAAACACCACTTGTACCTGCAACAACACCAGCCAAAATGGAACGCGCAGACAGCGTCATCTCGAACGCCCAACTCAGCGCAACAGCCAGGGACCACGCAATGAATGGACAGCTGGAAAGCCCGCTTTTCCGCTTACCCGCCGAATTGCGCAACCAGATCTACGAAGACCTGCTGTGCGCCAACACGCCAACGAAACTATCAGACCTGGCAAACGCAGCCAGACTTCCCGTTCCCGCATCCACGCACCCAGCGATTCTGGCAACGTGTAAGCGGATCCACTCCGAAGCAAAAGATCTCCTATACACAACACATGTCTTCCACGCACACCCGAGTCTCCTCACGGCCTTGCCGCATCTCATGACAACCTCCAAACCCGTCCTGTACCCCACCGTGCTCAGCAAGATCAAGCGCTGGCAATTGACGGTGAGGCTGGACACTGACCCAAGGTTTACTGCCGCGCAGGCCACAATCGCATTCTCCGGCGCCGAGTTCCTCGAGCTGAAAGTCTGGCAGAGCACGTTCGACGGGTGCGACGCCGCCGTGCTCAAGCTCTTTACAGGCGTGCGGGGCGTCAAGTTCTGTAGGGTGAAGGGGAGTGTGGAGGAGGGGCTTGCGCGGTGGTTGGAGGGGAGGATGATGAGTCCGCTGGAACAGCGTGGAGAGATACAGTGGTGTGAGTGTCAGGGCGAGAGGTATGCGAGGTGTGAGGGGTGCGAGAGGAGGGTCAGGTTGAGTGGGAATGGGGCGGGGGTGTGGGTGGAGGAGGGGGATGTTTGGAGATTTGGGAATCGTTAGGGGGATTTAGGCTGAGATGTACGCACAAGGACTTTGGCACGAAGTTGAGTGGTACGTGTCTTCAACACTCACCCCTATATATCGCTAGAGGCTGCAAGATCTCAGGGTTGAAAACACACTCCAGTAGAGTAGGCTATCTCCCGAAGTTCATATTTTCCAGCCCCCTTTTGATCCTTCGATCGGGTGGTGCAAATTAGTGAAACGGAGCATTTTCGAAGACGTGAAGCCCTCCACGCTGGTTTTACGCAACGGCCAGTTTTGACCAGTTTTTCCTGGTCGATGCGGTACTCAATCAATACTTCGGACCCAGGCAAACCACCTCATATATAAGCCCCACGACTTAACAATGGCGGTGTAGGCGGCAGGAGGAGAGGGGAATGCAGGCTGAGAGGTACACAGAGGGACCTTGATGCGAGGCCAAGTAGGACGCGTTTTCAAGCCTCACTCACATATGGCCATACGTAACTACCGAGTCCACTGGCACCAACCCTAGGTCGGTTGGTGTTCGATGATGGCGGCCGCTACCTGGGAATACGTTGGCGTGCGCGACCCGGAAATGGGGAGGCTAAGGGATGATGAGAAGTCGAAGGAGGATGGAGAACTTGGCGAGGCTTGTAATAATGGCAGATATAAAACGGCGGGTGAAGAGTCGGGATGAAGAGTCAGATTTAGAGCGTGATTGAGTGGGGGTTTTGTAGGAATTCAGCGATGGAGTGCTGACCTTGTGAAGACTATGGACGCTTCTTGCGTTTTTTGTGAATACGAGAGGGATATCGGTATCGAGTTTTACAGCTCAGACTACGCGTGAATGATTGATTGGTTTAACGTCCTATCTGAGTCTAAGACTATGGAAGACGATCTGTGAGATTACGCGTGAAGTTAGTATGCCCATACGAAACATATAGCGTGGAAGGTCCACAGTGGTCGGTCGTTGCATTGATCTACAAGTTCAGTCGAAAGCCTGCACATATCTGTTCATATCATGCAGCGTCTAGCCATTGACGCACTAGTGGAGGAGATTGCTGCGAGGAAGCTCGTGGCAGATCTGCGGATAGGCCAGGTATGGCTTGTGGATAGCGGGGCGAGCGCATAGTCGTTGTAGACCGGAACAACCCAGATACGATATGTCCTGCGTGCGTCTGATCAAGTGAGGAGTGATGGCTTCATCAACACCAACTTTGCAGTGCATCTCAGCCCTTTCCGGCAAAATTGACAAAGCGGAAGCGTGAACATACCGAGTGTCGGGATTCCTTTGCAATGTAGACCCTCTTGTTAGAGCTTGGGTGTCAGCTGAGAGGCCTAAAGATACGGGGTTACCTATGGGAGTATAGAATAGGAATGACGCCTGTTCCACATGTGTGTATACTTTTGTTGAGATGTAAGGCTGCTGTAGACAACACTGCAAAATAGCTGTAGTCGTCCAGTGACGCAGATGTGAACCTGATCTGCACCGCGAAATTGATACCTCGCAGGTGCATGCTTGCTGCAGATCCTCAGCAGAGGCGAGATACTCCGGTTAGCTTGGGGTTGCACAGACTTAACGGTTTGTAGGACAGGTTGACCTAGAACCAGCGCCTGCTGCAAGTGCGGAGGTTCGAAAGATTATCGAAGTGAAGCGGTCCAAGGTTTCTGCAGCAGCTGCCAGGGATGCTTACTTCGAGGACCGTGTCGGTGCTTCGCAAGTCCGGAGTGCCGATGTTTGTTCGTAACTTTCCTGCGGTAAGACTCAGAAACTGGTGGTGGTAGCAGAAGGCAGAAGGAAGGGGAGCCGATGTCACTCCATACTCCTATTGACTAGTCCAAAAGTGTCCTTGTGCTGGTTGCTCTTCGTAGCACAGGCAGGTGCTAGCCTCTCTTTCTCCACCAAACAGCAAATGTATACAAAAGTAAACAGCGAAGGCCGACTATATCCGCCATGTGGCCGATATCTTGCATGGTTAGCTGAACCAGTCACCGCTGTCAATTGCTCACCAACGCTCCTGGATGCTTGAGCAGGTCTAGACTACGAAGGGATCAATATGCATTGAGAAAGGTTGCGCATGCAACTGAGCACCAACCGAATGGACTTGGCCTTGGAAATTTAGAGTTTCGAGCTCCAAAAGATCTGGTAAAGTTGAGAGGTACATTGACAAGTCTCTCTGACGTACAGTGTCTGTGCGCGTGATGCGCACCTTCGCGTGATGCGCACCCCAAGCACTTTTCTGAGTATAGCAAAATGAGGCTGTACAGCCACCCATAAAGGCAATTATTGTGAGAAAAGTTGGTAGAGTAATGTATTAATGTATACAAAAGTATCCTGTGAAGGATTAATTATATAGAGTTGCGGTGCGGCCGCTGCAGGTGGTGTGGATGCAAGGTATTGGTGCAGGCAGCGGTGCACCACCTGCACTTTGCGCACCTGCAACACGACGCTTCTTTGCTGCAGTTGCTGAAGGAGCTTTTGAAGCTTTGCGCTTGCCTCTATTAGGCAACTGGGGGGCTTTTTGAGCGTTGCAAGCTTCTTTATCCTTGCATCTTTGCTCTTTGCGGGCATTGATTGCCGCACGCTCCTCAGCACGTTGTCGGTCACGCTCTTCCTTCTCCACTGCACGACGCGCCCGCTTTGCATCATCTTCCTGCTGTTTCAGTATACGGAGGCGCTCTTCACGCTGCTTTTTAGCTACTTTTTCTGCGTCCTGTTGTTGTTGATACTTCTCAAAAGCTTTCTCACGAGCATCGGCTTCACGCTTTGATGAAGGTGACCACCACTTTGCTCCGCCAGGCCGATTAGGGTCGCGAAACATCAGCGGCAGCGCTTTCTGCTTATCCTTGACCTTCTCCTTCTCTTGTAGCGCTGTTTTTGCACCCTCTAGCTGATGTTGGAGCAGCGAATTCTGAACAGAAAGGTGGTGGATGTATTGCTTCAGCTCCTCTACAGCAACAATGTCATTCTGCTTAACTGCAATGCGAAGCAGCGACTTTGCTTTGAGCCACGGTGGCTCTCTGGAGTGAATTGATAGCGTAGTTTGCAGTGGAGGTGTTGATGGAGGAGCAGGTGTTGCTGGCTTGAATTTTGAGAGTACTTTGTCAGCGTTTTGTGGGAAGAGACCTGTTGCTTCGAAGCTCTTCTCCACCAATGTTTTGGTAAAAGTTTGCACCCAAGCCTCCCAGAATAAGGGGAAGAAGTCGCTCTTCTTCAATGGCAGCCATCCCTGCACCTTCTGGGTACGTTTATCAAGGGCTTTGGTGTAGTTGTGGCTCAATGGAGCAAAGCACACTACGTCGAGCGGCTGCAATCGATGGGTACTGTGTGGCGGGAAGATGAGCAAAAGTATCTTGTTTTTATCGCAATAGTTGATGAAATCCTTTGTAACGTGGCTACCGTGCCCATCAATGATCAATAACCGCCACTTTCTGCGGTTTTTGGGCTTTGTGTAGCGATCAAAGACTTGGTGAAGCCATGTTAAACCAAGGTCGTTGTTTGTCCAGCCATTTGGTGATGTAGTGAAGTGTACTGAGTGCTTTCTTGGCTCAATTGAGCTTACCCAGGAGCTCTGTATAGCTTGGCCAGCGGCCGCGTAGATGATGCCTGGAGGTAAGACGCTCCCATCAGCACAACAACAAGCCAGAAGAGTTACCCACTCTCTGTTGCCATCGTGGAGTGACTGCCTGTACTGCTTCAAGCCATGGAGACGCTTATCAAACACCCTCTTGCTCTTATGTGTGACACCAATCGCAAAGCCCTTCTCATCCATATTGTAGCACTGCTCAGGCTCCAGCTCATATTCAGCAATCTTTCTGTGCACAAGTTCAAAATAGAAGCGATATTTGTAGTATGAATCAGCTTTGTGGC